CGAATGCGTGTTCCATGTGGGCCATTTTTGGTAAGCAGAACTGGCGACGAGGGTTCAACCTAAGGCAGGGTTGAGGCGACCAATTGGCAGCTAATGAGATGAAAAGGTGTTAGTTCATTTAGACAGTAGGACGGTGGCCATGGAAGTCGGAACCCGCTAAGGAGTGTGTAACAACTCACCTACCGAATGAACTAGCCCTGAAAATGGATGTCGCTAAGCAGCCAGCCGATACCCTGCTGTCCAGCTTGATGACAGTTGGACAGGTAGGAGGGCGTGGAGGCAGCGCAGAAGGCTCTGTGTGGACAGGGTTGGAGCTACCTCTAGTGCAGATCTTGGTGGTAGTAGCAACTATTCAAATGAGAACTTTGAAGACTGAAGTGGAGAAGGGTTTCATGAGAACAGCAATTGGTCATGAGTGACTCGGTCCTGAGGCCAGGGGTAATCCCGCGACGACATCGTCCAGGCCGAAAGGGAATGTAGTTAAAATTCTACAAGCAGGCGGTGGGTATTGAGTGGCAACACAACTGAACTCAAAGACGTCGGGGCGAGGTCCTGGGGAGAGTTCTCTTTTCTTCTTAACAAATCGCTGCCCTGGAGGTCTTTGCGACGAGAGAGGGCTATCGGTTTGGAAGAGCAGCACACCCTTTGTGCTGTCCGGTGCACCTCCTTCGGCCCTTGAAAATTTGAGGGAAATCTTATCGCTCGCCTGGCCGTACCCATAACCGCATCAGGTCTCCAAGGTTAGCAGCCTCTAGTACGTAGAACAATGTAGATAAGGGAATTCGGCAAATTAGATCTGTAACTTTGGGAAAAAGATTGGCTCTGAGGGCCAGGTCTTGGGCCTTTTGACCTCTTCATAGCTTCGCAGGAAGGGGCGACCTGACCAGCGTTAGCGACTGTTGAGCCAGGAGTAACCCAGGACAGCGAATGGCTAACTCAGAACTGGAGCAGCGAGGGGAATCCGACTGTTTAATTAAAACAAAGCATTGTGAAGGCCTCAAAAGGTGTTGACACAATGTGATTTCTGCCCAGTGCTCTGAATGTCAACGTGAAGAAATTCAATCAAGCGCGGGTAAACGGCGGGAGTAACTATGACTCTCTTTGGGACCAAAAATTTTTCCATAAATATTTCCTAGTAAATTTACTATAAAATATTGATTTTTTCTCCTCTCTTAAGGTAGCCAAATGCCTCGTCATCTAATTAGTGACGTGCATGAATGGATTAACGAGATTCCTACTGTCCCTATCTACTATCTAGCGAACCCACAGCCAAGGGAACGGGCTTGGCAGAATCAGCGGGGAAAGAAGACCCTGTTGAGTTTGACTCTAGTCTGGCTTTGTGAAATGGCGTAGGAGGTGTAGACAAGTGGGAGCCCTGCGACCTTGAAAAACCACTACTCTTGATGTCATTTTACTTACCTCGTGAGGTAGCGACCATTCGTGGTTCTAGCTTTGCTTGCTAAGCGAGAGACAGAGCCAGGTAGGGAGTTCGGCTGGGGCGGCACATCTGTTAAACAGTAACACAGGTGTCCTATGGCAAGCTCAAAGAGAACAGAAATCTCTTGTAGACCAAAAGGGGAAAAGCTTGCTTGATTTTGATTCTCAGTACGAATACAAACCGCGAAAGCGTGGCCTATCGATCCTTTGCTTTTTAAAAGTCTTAAACCAGAGGTGTCAGAAAAATTACCACAGGGATAACTGGCTTGTGGCAGCCAAGGTGGCAAAAAATATTTTTAAAAAATTCTTATAGGAAATTACTTATAAAAAAAAAATAATTATTTCCAGCCAAGCGTTCATAGCGACGTTGCTTTTTGATTCTTCGATGTCGGCTCTTCCTATCATTGTGAAGCAGAATTCACCAAGTGTCGGATTGTTCACCCGCTAATAGGGAACGTGAGCTGGGTTTAGACCGTCGTGAGACAGGTTAGTTTTACCCTACTGATGAACTGATGTCGCTACAGTAATCCAACTCAGTACGAGAGGAACCGTTGGGTCAGATCACTGGTTCATGCGATTTCCTGACAAGGAAGTGTCGCGATGCTACCATCTGTTTGATTATGGCTGAACGCCTCTAAGTCAGAATCAATGCTGGAACGCGACGTCCGCCAGTCACCTATGGAAACCATAATCCCACTCCCAACTGAGATCCTTGTCCAGGCGAAATGCTGAAGACGGCTTCTCAATGTACCAAATAGTGACTGGGACAAATCTTTTGCAGACCACTTACATGGAACGAGGGATTGTACGTACGAGAGTAAGCTTGTCTTACGATCTACTGAGATCCAGCCTCCTTCCTTCGATTTGTCACCCCCTGTATATTATTCTCTGCTGGGGTATAGAAACTGTCTTTAGTTTTCATGAGTGTATGATTAATTTCTTTTTAAGTTTTTTTATGCTTACTCACCCCATACTTGATCGAACATTCCCATTGTTTGATTAAGGTTTGAAGAGGTGTAGCCTCGGCTGCTGATATAGACAGGCATGTCAAGATGTTTCATGAGGGAATCCTAAAAGCAAAGATGAAAGAACTGGAGGCAAAAAAGGGAGCTACAGTTACGGGCGCTACTGAAGGCAAAGTTAATAGGCAGAAATCTCTAGATAGTTGGATTATAACAAAAAACTCATAAGGGTTTGCTGCAGGCTTGCCTGCTGAATAATTGATTGATTGATTAGGTTTGAAAAAAAAATAAATATAATTGTTTTCAAGCTAAAATCTTTGCACTAAAATATATTTTATATACTAGCCACAAGAGATGGATAGTCGTTCGATCAAGATAGGTGAAGCTAGAAATCTTTATTAATTGATTTATTTCTTTAATAATATACAATAATTTCATCATACATAATTTTTTATAATATTAATAATTTATTTTAATAAAGTATTATTAATTAATAGTCAAATTTTCAGTCTGTAAGACATGCTCTTCAATTTTTCATTCCACAACTTTTCTATCAAAACAATTTTCAACTGACGACGCAAATGACAATAAAAAACAAAAGCAAGCAAGCATCCCCAGCATAGACCCAAAAATAATTACCATCAAATCTTCATGTATATGCTCTGCTGAAGCAAAATAAAACATGAAAATCACTGCACACATTATTAAGAAGCCAATTATACATGAAATCCAAGCCACACTAGTTCCTTTGCTGCAAGGGCTGAATTCAGTGGTATAATTGAAGCTCATTTTCAGTGGCTGGTGGCACAGCTCACACGAAGAAATCTCATGATTTCCCCTTTTGCTCTGCAGAAGCCAAATTTTCAAGCATTCTTGATGCACGAACTTTTGAGTGCCTTTACACTTGCAAGGGCTGATTAAATCTTCTGACTTTTCAGAGTCCAAACAGATCCTACACATTGCAGGAGAGGTGATCTTAATTAATTTGATAGGGATAAGGTGACTATTTGTGCTTATATTTCTAGAAGAATCTGATGAACAGTCATCTTTGCTGTCGTCAATTGGGAAATTAGACACTGCAGGAGCTTCAGAAGCAATTGGAAAGCTTTTTGCGCTGGCGGCTTGTTTTATTTGACTTCCAAAGTCAAACTCAAACGATTTCTTCGTGAAGAAAAGTCCAGGTTTTTCTATATATAGTTTTAAAGGAGTATTCTTTTCTGACTTCACATACACTTTGTGGCTTGTCGGAGTGAAATAGCTGCCTTCTAATCTATTTATTGGCACTATCTTCTTTGTAGACTGCGAGAAAGATGATGGTAAAGCACCATAGGTTGAAATTGTTGATAATTTAAACTTGGCTGGCGATTTTTCACATGTCGGCAAAGGCTCTACACTCTTAGCTTCACTTGATATCTTCGGCTGCATTTAATAAGTAAATTTCCTCGCTTGAAGATCGCGAAGATACACAATTAAAATGGATACTTCAGTAGCAAAATCTTAAAAAGTATCTAATTTTTATATTCTAGTAGTTATCCTCTCTAAAGGTGAATATATCTTTAATTATTATCCCTACTATATATACCTAATTACAATTAATAAAAGCACTCATATTGCCTGCATTATTATATTTTATATCTGAAAATAGGATAAGATTACCATTATTTATTATAATTAGACATAATAAAATTTCGAAATATTCTCTTTTAGAAAGTATATTAAATCTTTATCTTTCTGGAACTCTTTCAGCACAGGGTAAATTTTATCAAATGCTTCTTTGATATCTCCTCTTGTTTTCGCTCCAGTAAGCACCAGCTTCCCTGACACAAAAATCAGCAGCGCTACCTTTGGGGTCATCATTCTGTATATCAGCCCTGGGAAGACTTCAGGCTCATAGCTAGAAAAGTTGAAATGTTTTATTGCCAACCCTTCCAGTCTTATCGGGAATTTCACATCTACAGAAGCAACCAAGTTTTGGATTTTAAATTCAGAGAATTTGGCAGGAAAATCAATTTTTTGGATAATTCTGGTGAACTTTCTGGTTGCGTTTCTAGCTTGGGTTTCGTCTTTAGCTCCTGTGACGACCATTTTTCCGGAAGAAAAGATAAGTGCTGTAGTTTTTGGCTCCCTGATCCTCATAATTACAGCTGCGAATCTTTTGGGGTTGTATTCGGCATTTCTGGCTTTTAATGCAATTTGTTTGAGATCCAGTTTGCATTGCATGTTCGCTGTTGCGACGACGTTTTGAATTGTGGGTTCTATTGACGAAGACAGCCCTGCGGATTGGAAATTGGTAGTTTGGAGGGCAAAGCCGGTCTTCTCGCCTAGCAAACTTGATACACCTTTTAATGATTGCTCACTCCCTCTGTGAGCGAGTAAAACCATTGGAAAAATCTTTATTTTTAGGTAATAACCACCTCTCGGTAACTAACAAATATATTTTTTAACATAAAAATTTTTTATGATAAAAATATTTTTTGATATATAAGTGATAATTAAAATAATTAAAATCTATTATGTATTGCAATAATTTCTTATCATGCATATGCATGTCAATTTGGCTTTGGTATGTGAAAACCAAATATGCGTTTCAAAACGCAGATTTTAGTGCGGCAAATTCATAATTTGAAATTTCATATGAAAATGGCGCTTATAACGTCAATATAAAATTTATGCAACGCATAATAGCTGATTCTGCTGAACTTTAAAAGCTTGAATTTTAAAACATAAATTTTGCAATTTAAATTAATTTTTACTCTCAATTTTCGTGAATTGGGGGTTTTTAAATTTCGAAAAAAAAAAATCACTCTAAAGTTTATATAAATTTTTTTAAAAAACAATTAACTCCGCTGTGAAAGAAAAAATCAATTTTGTTCGCTCACGGAAGGAGAATCAGTAAAATCATCGTCTATTATTGCTGATGTGGTAATGCTATTGCTATCCATTTTATATAAATCTAAAAAAGAAAGCTTAAATAATTATTTTGAAATTTTATTCAATAACTCATATGTCTCGATTACAGACATATCTGGATTGCCTACTAGTTTTCCTTGGCCAGATCTCAAATAATCTCCATTAGCCTCTTTTTGAACATCGCAAGATTTCAAGCATTCATTGGCTAGCATAGGAAGCTCTTGTGGCTTAAGGTCACTAGGCTTTAGTGTAGCCCTAATTTCTCGAAGTATCTTTGGATCCAATGTAGGAGAGCTTTTATTGAAGTTAGTTAAGCTACTGCTGAGTATGCTTTTGACACTTTTGAAGTAAGTCTTTTTATGGAGGCTTGCAAAAATTTCTTTTGGGCCGAAGTGCTCGTCTTTTGGATCAGGCTTCCTTTCTTCATGACTTGACATAGAATTTCTGAGTGCCTTTTTTGGCTTTTGTTTGAGCTTCTTTTTATAGTCGTCGCCGATTTCTGTTATATCTATATGCCTTGACATTAGCTCGTCTTTAATTCTTTCTAAATTTGTGCGAGGCTTGAAATAAGGCTGCATTCAAATGATCGTGCATTTTGATAATGGGGCATTTCTTCGAAAATCTAGTCAAAAATTTTTTTATAATGAGGCATTTGATTGAGAAAAATTGTTAATTTCGATCAAATGGCGCACTATTAAAAGAATCTCGACCTTTCTCCTATGAAATTACACTCTATCAAAAAAGTATACTATCATATGGCCTGCACCTTGAAATACATCCTTTCATTTAATTCTTTGTCTTCATCTCTCTCACGTCACTTCTCAAAAAAGTTTAAAGGAACTGAACTAGCTCCCCCCCCTCCGTGAGTGAACAAAAAAATTTTGTTCACTCACGGAGGAGGGTTAATTTTTTTTTTAAAAACAATTTATATATAAATTTTTTAAAAACAATTTATATATAAATTTTATAAAAAATTTTTTTTTCGAAATTTAAAAAAATCCTAATTCGCAAAGATTGGAAAGCAAATATTTATTTAATTTATAAAATTTATGTTTTAAAAAGCAATTTGTTTAAAATTAAACAGAATTAGCTCTAGATTTCATTATACTAATTATCATTTATATATCAAATTTTTTTTCCATAAAAAATTTTTCTATTAAAAAAATTTTTGTTCACTCATGGAAGGTGGGGTTTTTGGGCAAAAAATAGCGATTTTTCTAATGGTTTTGCTCACTCACGGAGGGGGGGAGTAAGAAACTGATTATTTTTTAATGACTCTTCACGTCTTTGCTTTTCTGACTGATAGCCTTTCAGTATGATATGAGCTTGACCTTTAAACTTTTGTGGGTCAGATACTCTTCCAGCAGTTTCCAATGGCCTTTGATAGCTCTTGATTTTTATCGGCTCTTTAATCATGTTTACTATAAATTGTCCAATTCTATGATCATAATTATCATTAAGCTTTTCCCTCACTTTTAAGTCTCTTTGTCTCTGTTTAAATGCTTTCTGCATTTCTTTATCTCTTTCTGTCCTTTCTTTCAACTTTTGGTCATATGCGTATACATTAAACATTGTTTTGTATAATAATATTAAACTTATTACGATGAGCTCTGAAATGCAGACTGACACTAACGCTGAAAACCCTGATATTTATCAAGAAAATGCTAGAAATATTGAAAACCTGTCGTTTTTTGATAAGTTTGATAATGAAAGAATAAGTGTGTTGGAAAAAGAGATTGGTGAAAAAGATCAGAAAATTCTAGCTATGCAAACAGCACATTTTAATGAAAAAATCAAGCTTCAAACACAAATATTTGAGCTGAAGAAGCGAATAGATAAAACAACCCAGGACCCAGTGTCAGAGGCAGGAAAAGCAGAAGAGCGCAGCAATGAGGCAATTTTAAGTGAAAAATTAGGCATTAAAACAAAGCAAATAAAAAGCTTTAAAAAACTTCATTGCATTGATTCGAAAAGAATTCAAAAACTAAAAGAAAACTTAGAGGAAACTAATAAAAGCTGAAAAGAAAAAATATCTGCTTTAAAATCCCCCATTAATAGCTTAAAAGAAGAAATCCAATCTGTAAAGACAGACGCAGCAGCATTATATGCAGAATGAAAAATCAGCTCCGAAAACGAAATAAAACGCTATATGGGAGAGTTTTCTAAAAAAAATATCTCACTTTTTAACATCAAAGACAGCTACGAAAAGCTATATCTTTCTTATCAGTCCTTATCATGGGCTTTTCAAGACCTTTCTAATGCACAAAAAGCCCAATTAGACGAAATTGCAAAGCTCCAAATAAACCTGAAAAATGCACAGTCAGAAAATGATAACTTAAAGCTAATAAACTTCAAGCTAATTGACCAAGCTAATAATAGCCAAGGAAAGGAAATAAGCAGCCAAGACTTATTAAACAAAATTTTGGAAACTGTTAGAGACTGCCCTCAGGTTGATAATAAAAACACAAGAGAAATCCAAAATGAAAACGATTCCTTGAGAGAAAAAGCAAGAAGACTTGAGATGGAGTTGAAATATAAAAACCATAAGCTAAAAGAACTTCTTGCAAAACCCATTGAAATTTACTCAGCATTTTCACATAAACCTAAAAATTTTAACAAGGAGCATGAAGAGTTGACTAATTTTCGGCTGCAAAAATGCAAATTAGATGCAGAAGTTGCTTATTTGCATGAAAGAATGCAGGAACTTGAAGAAAAAGATAGAAGCTTGAGAATCGAGTTGGAGGAGAAAATAAAAGAAAACGCTTACTTGCTGGATGAATTGGGTGTTAAAAATAGCACAATAAATGAAATGCAAGTAAATTTGGATGAGAATCTTGCAAAAGTTCAGCTCTATCATCAAGAACTTGCTAAACTTCAAAATTTAAATTCAGCAATGAGTAATGAAATTTCTAATTCAAAAATTGACTATGAAAATATTGAGAAGATGTTCAGTTCATTTGATAAAAATATAAAGCAAGTCAGCTTTAATCATATTTCTCAATTAAACCAAATTACTGATGAAAAAAATACACTATATTTAGAATATAAGAAACTGCAAAATGAATATGAAAACTCCAAGACACAGCTTGAAAATCAAATAGTTTTATATCGAGAATTGCAGCAGCAAAATAAAAATGCTTTGAACTTACCTTTAATAGCTAGCTCAGACATCACATTAGAATCTAAAAATAAAGAAATTGCTGATTTGCAGCTTCAACTAAATGAAGCAAAAGAAGCAATCGCCCAAAATGAGCAATATACAATTTTTCTTCTAAGCCATATTGACCAAGCAAACCAAAAAATTCAAAATAAAGCACCCAGTGACACAGAAATTTCACTAAAATCTGAGCTAGATTCACTGCTTGAAAAGCTCTCAATCTACGAAAATGATCTCCACGAAGAAAAAGAAAAATCCGAAAATTTGCGAAAAAATAATCTTCTTTTAGAGCAGGAGTTAAAAAAACGCAAAAATTCAGCACTAAATAAAGCAAATGATGAAAAAGATATACGAGCTGAAATGATGGAAAATGAAATTAAAAGTTTAAAAGAAATAGTTGAGAAGCAGCAAAGAGAGTTTATGATTAAAGAGCTTGAATTATTGACAACGAATTCGGAGATACCAGATATAGAAGAGCTCAATAGAAGATATAATAATGAAATCATTATATTGAAAGAGATAAATGAAAAAGAAAAGCAAGAATTCAATAAAGAAATAGAAGAATATAAAAGAAAGAGTGATAAAATTACTGATGAGCATGAAAAAGAAACACAGGATTACGAGAATAAAGTGCAGAAGCTTCAAAATCAAGTCAAAACACTTAATATCCCTCTGACTGAGCAAAACCATTGGAAAATCCTACTTTTGGAAAATTAAATCCTCTGTGAGCGAGCAAATATTATTTATTTTATAAATAATAATAAATCTTGAGATAATTCTTCTATTAATTTAAAATTTGCATTCAAAGGCTTAAATTTTATAATTAAACATTTTTACATATTAAAAAAATAATCACCTTTGACGGAGGGGGTGCAGTTAGAGATGTACTAATTACGAAAAGGACTGATCAGTCTTCAGATACTTTGCGTAGGCTAATTCTATCTCTCCATAAAGTTACAAAAATAATATAGATTTTAATCATAAAATAGTATTTTCTATTAGATTTTATAGCGCCTTCCTATAGATGGCGCGCAATGCGCCATCACCGGGCCATGTCGGGAGAGGGTTCTCCACGAGGAATAGTTCCACGTGTGGAACCCTCTTTTTCCACGAGCCAAAAAGAGGGTTCCACACGTGGAGCCATTCCTCGTGGAGAACCCTCTCCCGACATGGCCCAGTGATGGCGCATTTGCGCGCCATCTAATAGAATTCGCTATAGCTTATATGGAATCATTTTAAGACATTTTTATTTTTAACGTATGCTTTTAACGACGATATTTTGTATCACAATCCTACTCATCCCAAGCACACAAGCAAACACAGATAGCTTTCTAGGTCTTCTTGAGTCAGAAAATCTCTATCACCAAGTTTCAAGTTGCCCAATCGGCAACTGTAAATATACCCAATCTGAAATAGATTCAAGAGGGCAAAGCTGGCCAACATACTGCTATTCCTGTACAGATGGCGAAGAAGAAGTAACCTTCAGAAAAATGTATTCCCCTATGTCATGAACTTATTATACAAGTCAAGCTGAAGGAAATCCTAATTACCAATTTCGAGTAATCGAACAAATTGAAAGATGCATAGGCAATAACGTAGAAATAGATAAGCAAGGAAAAAGTTGGAAGCTTTGGTGCTATGAAAATGGAAGCAATGTGAAGTTTGAGATAACAGGAGACGAAAATAATTGAACATATCTGGAAGATTATGATTCAGGGTATTCACGATATGAGTATAGGAGAATTATAGGTGAAAATATGGTATTTTTAGAAGAGAAAAATGAAGATGAGGGAAATTTATTTTTAATGATTTCTGCTGATGACGATGAAGATCTGAATACTTATTTTCTGGAAAATTCAAGAGAAAATGTTGATAGTGATGAAATAGTTGGAACTGATGGAAATATAACTATAGCTCATGCACCATTATTGATCGCTATCATTAAAATTTAACCGCTGTAATTGATTTGATGTCTTCTGCATTTTAGACTAGAATTATCATAAATTAAATAAATATTCAGAGTTATTAATTTCAAGTTTTTTTATTCTTATTTATAATATTTATAATTAAATTGTTCTTCTCTTCCTCTATATGAAAAGCAGCGATTTTGTGGCAAAATAGCTTAAGCCCAAACTTCAAAAATGATTGGCAAGTGCAAAATATGTTGACAATAAGCAAGCCAATTTTTAAATGGCATTACTATAAAATTATATTTTAAATTAGGATTCTATTAGTTTGGCATTGGTGCATGAAGTTCTTAAAGCCTTATGTTAATATCTATATAGTGAAATTAAAATGACTATTTATCGAACTTCCAAAATTTTATTTTCAATTATGTGTTTTTAACAGTCAGCTGAATTTTTAAAAAGTATTATCAAATTATTTGAACTTGTATTTGCAAAGTTAGAAGCTATGGGAATTACTCTAAATGAAGTTCTTAAAATCCTCATATATTTACTATAAAATGGCTATTTATCAATTTTCCAAAATTTTGTTTTCAATTTGTGTTTTGGTGAATGGTTAACTTTAAGAAAGTATTGTCAAGTTAAATCTGATGATTTGAACTTTTATTTTCAAAGCAATGACTATGGAGAATTGCTGCGCACAAAGTTCTTATACCAATTGCCCGAGGATGGCGCTATCTTGCGCATCCTCAGGCAATTCCTATAAAGACTTATATGAATTGGCTCAAACAAAAAAAATATATTTTAATAATTTAAAAATTAATTGTATAATAATGCCATTTTAAAAATTGGCTTGCTTATTTGTCAACACATTTTACACTTGTCAGCCATCTTTGACATGCCACTTTTGGTACCCAAAGTTGGGCTTAAGCCATTTTGCCATAAAATTTCTGCTTTCCATATAGAGGAAGAGAAGATGATTTAATTATAAATAATATAAAATTAAAATAAAATAAGAAATTTTATTAACTCTGAATGTATATCTAAATGATAATGGCTATATCTAAGATATAGAAGACATCAAATCAATTATAACAGTTAAATCTTCAATTATGGCTATCATTAACGATGCATGAGCTATATAAGTTCTGATATAAATGATATTTTAAGCCCAGATTATATTGAAAATCTAGGTGGCATTGAAGAAGAAATTTATGAAATGGATATGGAAACTAGCCTTCAAAATGAAGGAAGTGCTAGCATTTCTGGAATATCCGAAGAAGAAGAAGAAGAAAGTGAAATCTTTGAGGAAAGTTTGAATAATATTAATGCCACTGCTGGCGAAGAAGAAAGCATTCCTTTTGATGAAAATGATTTCAAAAATCAGGACTTTGCAAGCAAAGAAAATATTATAGAAAATTTTAGCACAAGCTCATTTGATCTTGATGGCAGTTCAGATGACTTAGATGAAAGCTCAACTAGCTTTGATAAGAATACAGTAGAAACTGATTTTGATGAAAGCCTAGTAGACACTCTTAAAAGCTCAACTGATCATAATGAGGCTTCAATTGACATTGATAAAATTCCAATTGAGGTCGATGAAAACCCAGTAAATATTGATGAGGGTCCAATAACCACTGATGGAAACTCAACAATTGAAGCTGGTGAAAACTCAGTAAAAGATAATGAAAACTCAGTTTATCCTTATGAAAGCTCAGTCAGCATAGATGAAAGCTCAGCAAGTATTGATGAGAGCTCAGTTAATATTGATAAAAGCTCAGGAAGTATTGATAAAAGCTCAGGAAATATTGATGGAAGCTCAGCTGATATTAATGAAAGCTCAAGAAATAACGAAAACTTACTCCCCCCCTCCGTGAGTGAACAAAAAATTTTTTTTAATAGAAAAATTTTTTATGGAAAAAAAATTTGATATATAAGTGATAATTAGTATAATGAAATCTCGAGCTAATTCTGTTTAATTTTAAACAAATTGCATTTTAAAACATAAATTTTACAAATTAAATTAATATTTGCTTCCCAATTTTTATAGAAGTGAGATTTTTTTTAAATTTCGAAAAAAAACTCTATAAAAAATTTATATAAGGATCCCCCCTCATTTGTCCAATTTTCTAGTCTTTTATCATTATTCCATTTTTCTAGTTTTTTTTATAGGAAAAAAAAATGTTTTTAGGACCTCATTTGTGTCCAATTTTCTAGTCAAAATTTTGATAGAAAAAAAAAAATTTCAGGACCTCAATTGTCTCATTTTCTAGTTTTTTTTAAAATAAAAAACTAAAATTTAAGACATTCGAAAAAATCCAAAAAAGACTAGAAAATGGGACAAATCATTTTTGACTAGATTTTGGGACAAATGAGGTCCTGAAAATTTTTTTTTCTTATAAAAAAAAGACTAGAAAATTGGACAAATAAGGGGGTGGGATCCTTATAAATTTTTTTAAAAAAAAAATTAACACTCCTCCGTGAGTGAACAAAATTTTTTTGTTCACTCACGGAGGGGGGGAGGAGTTAGCTAACTTTGAAAAGAGCTCAGTTTTTTCTGGTGAAAATGTTAATACTATTAATAATGCCACAACTGGCAATCATGAAGAAGAATTAATTAACGCTGGAATAGAAAATAACGAACAAGAAGAGATAGAAGATAAAAGCACTTCTATTGATCAAGAGTCAGAAACTTCACCAATAGCTCCTCAAAAAAATACTGATGATGACGATGATATTGTCTGCTTTGACAACCAAGAACCTCTAGAAGCCTCCATATCAATCCCTAATGATGAAGAGTTTGTTTATACACCTGTCAAGCAAGTTCGTCCTTTTGACATAATTCCTCCAGTTTCCCAAAAAGATACAGACAATCCTTGCTTCAACCTAGAAAGAGATAGATCAGGCAGATACTTTATCAAGCATTACACAGAAAATAATACTTCAATAGAGTATGAAAAAGACCAAAACGATAACTATATTTGGGACTCTTTAAGTTTATCACGAGTGCCAAAAGATAAATCTCAAGAAATCGAAGAAATTGACGTTTCAAATATTGATTTACTGTGCATTTGTCCACTTTATGATAACAATGGTAAACTAATAGAACTTGAGCAAGATCGTATTCAAAATGGAATTTTCTGGGAAGTTAATTATGAAGGTGAAAATAAAATAAAATATTTACCTTCAATATCTGAAGAAGAAAAATCTCAAGGTATGTATATGATTGATAACAATACAGGATTCAGGCTGAGGATGTTTCAATAAAGGTATTTATATTTAATTTTAAATAAACCATGCTATAAAAGCTTAAACAATAAATAAAAATGAATTTAAAAGAAGCTAATTCTAATAAGATTATAAAGCATAAAGATAATTATTTATTTAACGTCTTAATTGATTGAACAAATAAATATTGGAGTAGCTGACATTGTAAAATAGTGTATAGTAAATCTTTATTCTTCGATATGCATAATCAAAACCATAAAAATGGCATTGACAGTGATTGGAGGAGCCAACTTCTTTGGAAGATATCTTATTCGAGCCTTAGCCGGACAATACTCAGAAATAAGACTTGCTGATATGTATCCTTACCGCAAAGCAGTTTACGGTCTTCAAGAAGAGATCGGTGACAAGATTGTAAAACATCCTCTCCATTATTCATTAAATCTTCGTCAGTGCATTGAAGGCTCAAAAGATGTGATAGTGGTGACTCACGACTATTTCAAGTTATACTTGCTCAGGAGTATTAATATTGTATTTTGACATTTAAAATGATATTTGATTAGTAAAAGCTATAAAGCCTACGTTTAAATGTGAAATAGAATCAAAAAATTCTAAATATGACAATAAAATTTTCAACATCATATAGCATTCGGCAAAAACTTTTACCTTGAAAAAGCAGCAGGATATGCAAAAAATGCAGGGATTAAAAATTTTACATGGGTTGGTCCTCATGAACTAGACCAATTGAATGGCTTGGACGGAGACCCAGAAAAGCTTATCCAAGAGACTATTTCTAGAGTCCGCTTGCTTATTCCTGAATTCTCTGTATTAAGGGCAAATTTACTATTTGGGGAAAATTGCACATCTCTAGCTATTCATAAAGCTATTGAATCATTATCAACCTCCCAGAGTGTCCTAACCGCAAACGGTGGGAGAAGCAAATTCCAGCCAGTCCACGAAGCAGACGCATTAAAAGCTTTTAAAGAACTAAAGCCTGGCGAAACTGTAGAACTTGCAGGCCCTGAAGTTTTATCGTGGAAAGAAATAGTAGAAATCCTTACTCCCCCCCTACGTGAGTGAACAAAAAAATCTTGTTCGCTCATGAGGGGGTTAATTTTTTTTTCTAAATTTTAAAAAAATCCTAATTCGTAAATTGGAAAGCAAATATAAATTTAATTTATAAAATTTATGTTTTAAACCGCAAATTTTTATAAATTAAACAGAATTAGCTATAGATTTCATTATACTAATTATCACTTATATATATATTTCATAAAAAAATTTCCTATTAAAAAAATTCTAGTTCGCTCACGGAGGATGGGTTTTTGGGCAAAAAATAGGGATTTTTCTATTGCTTTTGTTCACTCACAGAGGGGGGAGTTAGCAAGTATGCAAATGTGAACTCTCCTTCACACGATGGGCTTGGACATCAACTTGCATCTACTGTAGGAAGCTGCAACTATTTAGGAGACTTATTTTACCCTAGCCACTATTCGCAGCTCTATAAGCTTTTATCTAAAGATTTATTGCCAACTCCAACTAAGGTAGGAACAACCAAGCTCTCCGATGTATACGGCCCTGCTAAATTCAAAGGAATCCCTGCTTTAAATTGGCACAGAGTTATACTGGATTAAGTTATTAATCTGAATAATTCTTAAATTCCTTAAATACATATTAAAATGGCTGATATGGTACAGGGCATTCTAGAGGACATGGTCCCCGACCTAATGAACATGATTGAGCGTGAAATCTTCACAGAAGCCCAAGTCACCGAAATCATAGACAAGCGCCGTGAGCTCGAGTACAAGCTTGCCCGAAGAGTCCCACTAAAGCACCATTTTTTGTCTGCCATACAATATGAGCTTACATTAGAAGAAAAAAGACTTGAAAGAAAACAAGAATTAAACTTAAAGCCAGCTGCTTCTGATAGAGCTATTATAAGGAGAATCATTAACCTTTTCCAGAGGTTTACAACTCGTTTCAAAGCAGATCCAGATGCTTGAAAAGAGTTCATAAACTTCTGTGTGAGGTCAAAATCCCATAGACAGTTAAGCAAAGTTATAACAAAAGCTTTACAATTGCACCCTACAAATATTGATATGTGGCTGATTGCTAGATATATTGAAGAGAAAATTAAAAGTGATGTGGATTCAGCAAGAGGGATTATGCAAAGAGCGGTGAGGATTAATAGGAAAAGCGTACAGATATGGAAAGAGTATATGAAGTTTGAAGCAGAACATGCAAAAGAAAGCGAAGTGCCCAAGATTGTGTTTAAGCATGCATGTGAAGAGCTACCAAATTATATAAAGGAGTTCAAAGAGTTAGCAGCACAGCTAAATGTCACACAGGAAATTTTTGATAAATAATTATATAGAGGTTTCCTCTATATAGCGCTGAAAGCGCAGACATTTTCCCAGGAGCTTTCCAAGTTCGTCGGACCAAATCGCTTTTTGGTCCGACCAAGGCATTGATTTGGTGCAACCAACCGATAAATTCCGATCAGAATTTATCGGCCTTGCAGCGCCAAACATAGGAAACTTCTATATTTGCTTAAGCTGGATTTCTTGCACTTTCCATAAGGAGTTTTCACATTTTAGCAATACTTCTGCATAATTGTTATATAGAACTGCCCCTGGATTCAGCACCTTTTTCATATCATCTCCAAAGCTGAAGACTCCTACTCCCCAATGGGTATGCCCATGGATGTTTATGAGTATTTTTGAGGCATTGTCGATTAATAAATCTTCAAGCTTTGAGCTCCCTGCTTCTATTATTTCCCCACAAGTTTGATAAAACCTGCATGTAGGGCTAAAAGAAGGGCCAAAATGAGTTAATAAAATATATTGACCATCTCCAGCAAGCTGCGGTTCCAAATAATTAGTTATTGCAGAGTCACACTCTTGTTCTGTGGTGTAAGGATACCCTTTCCAGTGGAGTCTTTCGCCTATATAGGCTGGCAACGATCCTCCAAGAGCTGCTATATGAAGCCCTGGAGCTATGCATTCGCTTTGAGCACCTAATGTTTTGGCTGTGTGGATGCCTAAATCTCCATATTTAGCTTCAAGATGCTTAAAAAATGCGCCTGGGTCATGCTAAGTAATGAGTACATTTCCTGGGATAATATAAATTGGTTTTCCTTTTCTTGCAATAATATCTACTTGTCTCTGAATTGATTCTTTAGCCTCTTCTATATACTTGGCATCTTCTATAAATTCTAGGGGGATGTTGCAAAAATCTCCAGCGTGAAGTATGATGTCAGGATCAGATCTGTCTATGATTGTGTTTAATGTATCATAACATTCATGAGTATCACTGACAATAAGCAGCTTTAGTTCCATATTAGAGATTCTAATGCTATGCTTCGTTTTTAAACAATATGGTCGGTTCCTCACTCCCTCCGTGAGCACAAAACCATTGGATATTCCGAAAACCACCCTCCATGAGGGATAAAACTTTTTAATATAAAAATTGTTTTAAAAAAAAAATTTTGATATATAAGTGATAATTATTATATGAAATCATTAGCAGCTTTGTTTAATTTTAAGCAGCTTGCATTTTAAAGCATAAAGTAAATTAATATTTACTTCTCAAATTTTACAAATTAGAATTTTTTAAATTTGAAAAATAAAATTTGTCTATAAAATCTATAAAAAAACAATTTAACCCCATCGAGTAAACAAAATTTTTCGCTCACTGTAGACCACTCTGAGATAAGGCCACCCTGGCCTTATCTCAGAGTAGTCTACTATTATAAGAAAAATTAATATTTTAATAAGAAATAACATATTTTATTAGTAAAATTTTAGGTGGCTTTATCTCAAGGTGGTTAGCATTAAAAAAAATATACCACTCTGAGATAAGGCAGGGGCATTTTTATAATAAATAATAAATGAATAACTCCTGACAAATTTAAAGAGAAGAAGATATAATTGTAAAAAACTTCAAATTATGCAACCTAAAAAGACAAGAAGGAGAAAATATTGAATTTGATCATTGTCCAAGATTTAAAGATTTAAATTATATATAAAATATTTTTACTTTAATTTGATTTTTTTATACCACTCTGAGATAAGGCCACCCTGGCCTTATCTCAGAATGGTCTACAGTCATAGAGGGGGAGTTAGAAAATTAATGATATGGCGCTTATTGAGAATATAAGCGAATGATGAATGCATTTAAATTATACATCTATTATCTATAAATCAAATGCTTTTAGTCAATTATTTAGCACATATGAGATTTAAAGTTTTTATAAATTCTTAAATTAATAAATATTTTTAAACTTCAGGCTTCAGGAAACTTAAAATTCTGCTAAATTATTTAAATAGTTCAAATAGGCTTAATAAGAAGCGCTTGAATCATCAATTATAGTGAAATTCGATTTGTTTATTGTTGAAAGTTTATCAAATTTTATTTAATTAAATTAAATGTGGATGTTAAAGAAAACAACAATACTGACTGAATTAAATATGTAATTATTCTAATTCGAAAATCCACAACAAAATTTTATTTTAGCTTCTCTTCGTTTCCATATTGAATTGCCTATAAGAAAACAATTGGCTTAAGATTATTCACATTACTTTAAACTGATCAGCTCTAAAATTAGAAATGCCTTAATCTTCAAGACATCTTCCTATCGATCTCTTGATTTCCGAGCTGATAATCTGCAATAAATAGCTCAGCAGTTGTAAAAAATCCAATGGATTTCTTGTATTTTCACAATTTACCCAAAGAGTCTTAAATTTTCCCTTAAGACTCAATATCATCAGAATTCTCCTCAAAGTCAATTATTTTGTAATGGATCTTTATGGATATTAATTTTCGCTAATTTCACATCAATTTAAGCATAATCTTCTGAACCCAGAGACTATATTGATAAAATTAATGGTGACTATGTATAGTCCAGATACGAATTCCATCATCAAAGCCTTATCCGACAGTCTGCACATCAATTCAAGCAGCCCTTCACAAATCTCACGAAAAAGACGTATAAAAAGAAGCCATCTCTTAGAAATAAGTAAATCTGCTTGCCAATCCGAAGACGATTCTGAGCTCTCAAGCCGTATGCTTTCATGATTTTGTTCATTATCAGCCTCATCTCGGCTTAATGTTCTTTCTCTTCAAAATGGCATTACTTCGACTTTTATTCGTCAAATGTATATAAAAAAGCTCACCGAAGGTGAGTACGAATTTGCAATTGTTGATAATATCCCTAAGCAATATGACCAAGAGATTCCAGAAGACAACTTTCTATTTCGAAGAAAAACATTTGAAGGCTACTCATATACAGACACAAAATTCCAAGCAGAGAAAAATTTCGAACAAATCATCCGGCTCACAGACACTGAAGAATATTTAGATACCCTCACTGTAGATCCTGAGATGGCTAAATATCCAGAGAAGCTGATAGAGCTGATCAAATCTATCTCAAATAAGCAAGCTTTCCAGATCCCTTGCAGATGTTTTTGGGATAGCTCATTTAAAAGATGAATGTGGGAATATCCATCTTGGTTTTCGTCCACATCTTATAACTCTTTAGCATCTTGGGTTTCGGCGGGGTTTGAAAGAGCTATATGAATGAGGTTTTGGATTCTTAATGGGATTGACCCCAGAAAGCAAGGAGAAATACAAAATTTTTTATGGGATGAAATATATGGAAATGACGCCCAAGAAAACCAGCAGAGACTTTCTGAGTTTATTGGCCAGCTGAACGAAAAAAATAAATTGTCAGTGGTCGGAGATATTGACGAACTTACAAAAATTTTTTTGGCTGTAAAATCAGAGCTAGCTAACTTGAGTAAGGACCAAATTAATACGTGGGCTTACCCTCAAATAGCGAGATTTCCATATTTCAGCTCGATGGCGACTGGAATTTTTGCTTATTGTAATCCTCTTATGGGAGGATTCCATATAAATGCATTGAGAAATAAAATTCAGTATTACCAGACCGCAAAAAGTGTAGAAATTATTATTCAGAGAGCACAGTCAGATAATGCTGAAAAATTCATTGAATTTCTAGCAAGCTCACCTCTAGATAGAGCTGTGACTTATTTAGACATTGTAACAAGAAAAGTGCTTCTTACTCCCCCCCCCTCCGTGAGTGAATAAAAAAATTTTGTTCACTCACGGAGGGGGATTAATTTTTTTTTTTTTAAAATAATTTATATATAAATTTTATAAAAAAGATTTTTTTTCGAAATTTAAAAAAATCCTAATTCGCAAAAATTGGAAAGCAAAAATTAATTTAATTTATAAAATTTATGTTTTAAAAAGCAATTCGTTTAAAATTAAACAGAATTAGCTCTAGATTTCATTATAATAATTATCATTTATATATCAAAGTTTTTTTTCCATAAAAAAATTTTCTATTAAAAAAATTTTTGTTCACTCACAGAGGGTGGGTTTTGGGCAAAAAATAGCGATTTTTCTAATGTTTTGTTCACTCACGGAGGGGGGGGGAGTTAGGATTAAGAGCGCTTTAACAGAAAAAAACGCTGAAGACTTGCTTAAATTAGAAGAAATTGTACCAGCAAAAGGTAAAAAAAACGACGAGAGTAAAAAGAAGAAGAAAAAAAAGAAAAAGCACCATAAGCCAAAATTGGTAAGCCAGCCAGCTGCTGAGCAGACTAATAAGAGTGAAAAAGAAGACGACGAATCAGAAGTTGTTAAAAGTCTCATAGAATCTATAATGGAAACTTTATATACCCAAATACAAAAGATTGAGTCGAGCTCTAATTATACATCGAATGACTCAGAAGACACACAAGTTACTGATGAGCCTCTTGAATTCAAAGAAACTCAAATTGATGAAGCACAAAAAGAAGAATTCAAAAAAGTCGAGATTCATAAAAAGAAAACAAATATAAATAAAAAGCAGCAGGCACCGAAAGGAAAAAAGCATAACAACAAAAGGCCAAAGCATGCTAAACCGAATGAGCAGTCAACAGAAAATAATCAGAAAAAAGCAGCTCATCCAGCCAAGCATCCAGCTCCAAAAAAGAATTTTCAGTGGCAAAGTCCTCCAACCTCAGCCCAAGCAGCACCAGTTTCAAGCGAGCTTGACTTTCCTCCACTTGCGGCTTCCTGTATAAGCCCCAAAGTCAAGCATAAGCTTCACCAAGAAATCCTAAAATTCGGCAAAGAAATCACTAAAATTACAAATTCAAGAAGCTCAATAATTTACGGCCTAATGAACAACCTTAATGAATGGGCCTGGAAAATGTTCCCATTGGCCACAGTTCAGCTTTTTGGCTCTTACGGTAGTGGTCTAGCCTTAGACGACAGCGACATTGACTTAGCCATCACAAATGTCGGGCTTTTTGATCGCCCAAGTATCCAGCAAGCATGCTCCCAGCTGGGAGAATCCCTTATGTTTACTCGTTGGGTCACGAAATGTACAGTGATCACAACTGCGACCATCCCAGTTGTGAAGCTTGAAGTCAACCCAAAGTACCTTTGCGAAGACCAAGAAGAAGGAAATATCATGGTAGATGTGACATTTGATGATTCTTATGAGTCAAACATGGGCACACATTTAGGCCTATCATCTTTATATATGACCCAAACTCTTGTCGGGAATTATCTACATTTCAGAGAAATTGCTTTGGTGCTAAAAAAATTGTTGTACGCTCATTCCTTGAACTCGCTTTATCATGGTAAACAATATTTTAGGAGGCCTAAGCTCTTATAGCTTAACTATATGGATTGCGGCTTATATGAATAATTCAGGATTCTATGAAGACTTAGGAGAAGTCTTGCTAGGGTTTCTTGATTTTTTTGGAAATAAATTTGATCCAAAGAGAACGGGGATTAATGTGGCAAATGGGGAATCTTTTTATAGTTTGCCAGAAAATAATTTTGAAGTAATAGTCACTATTGATCCAATTAACCCTGAAAATAATACCACTAGAGCTTCGTATAGGATACAGGAAGTTCTTAAGCTGTTTTCTTGGGCTCATAGTAAGCTTAATGAACTGATTGAAAGTGGAAATGCGAAAGAAATGCTTAAACAAATTCTCAAAGGGTAAGTTGGGAAATTTTAGGAGAAATTAATAATAAAATTTTGCGATTAGCAAGTGACATTAAAATAACGTAGAATAATTTTTTTAAAAATAATTTCGTGTCATGATAAATTAATTATCTTTGTGATTAATTGCTATTTCAAATTCAGTAATTTTTCTTGAAATTATTGAATTTATTATTCTGACACCCTCGAATCTAAAAAAATAACTTCAGAGAACCACATATAGAAGACAGAGTTTGATAGCATTGATTCTAAGTATGAAAAGGGACTTATCTATAACAAAGAAAAGACTATGTTACTATAAATAGATATAAATCTTTTGGTAAGGATATCCAGAATGGTATGATTAGTTTTATGGCAATAAAGTTAGTAAAAAATATTTTAAGATCATTTAAATCAACGAGATTAAAAAAGATCTTGTAAAATCTCAAATAAATTTACTTATATTGAGAGAAACATTGATATTTCAACTTATTATAGGCAAAAAATATTTTATTTAACTCATTAAATTATTAATATACTATTGTGACTTTCATAAACAAAAGATCCTCTCCACATACCTCCATAAATTTTAAATATAAAAAAGTCAGTTAGCTTATTTATTAATTAAAGATGCAGTCAAAATCTCATTTGCACAACTCTCCAAGACAAATTCTAAGAAGATCACATACCATAATCCACAAAGAGCCAACCCCATCTCACACTAGAGTTAAGACTTATTATAACTGTGAAAATCATTTAATAAACAATTCAAACTCAAATAAAAATATTTTTTCATTCTCAAAACCATCAGAATATTTTAGTATTTTGAATCGCTCAAGCACAACAAGAGATTCAGGACTGGCAAACTCATGCTCAAATTTAAATAAAACAAATTTTACGATTTCAACGAATCAGATAAATGATTACTCAAAAGGGCTGGATTTATGCTACAAACTCTTTCCCATTGCAAGTCCAGAATCATCAACAAAGGGAAAACCTAAAAAAATTAATTGAAATTATCATAATACTGAACTTAGCCAAGTAGCAAGTGTTGGGTTTAAGAGCAGGGTAGTTAAAAAAGTTCTTAAAAATATTGTAATTGATCCCTCAAACTCTCCAATCTTAGGTAGAAAATTATCTCCTAAAACTACATTTTCTCGCGAAGCCACTGAGAACAGTAGACCGTATCTAAAGAGTGATATTGAAAATATACTGGAATCTTTACATGCTAATAGATCTCGGAGATTAAGAAGCTTATAAACACAGTTATAATTAATTATTGTTATAGATATCTAAATATATCTCATCTATTTTAAGCAAACTACAAATTAAGCCCTGCAATCTTTAATTTTTTAATAGGCAAGCATTCATTCAGCCAGCTTTTTAAATTTTTTTCTCTTATCCAAAAATCTTCAACAAAATTATTTAAGTCCAAGCATTTTCATTGAAGAATTATAATTATTTTTATATTTAATATGCACTCTTATACTTATAAAATCTCATATTTTAATATTTATAAAAGATGTTTTTCCGAATTATGGGTGACATGTTGCATGTAGCATCACTTCTCATTCTCGCTTTCAGAATCAGAAAATCAAAGAGTTGTGTTGGAATCTCATGCAAAACTCAAGAGCTTTACTTTATTGTGTTTGTCGCTCGATATTTGGACCTCTTTACTTATTTTGTGTCAGCATACAACACATTAATGAAGATTACCTTTATTTGTCTTACAGGATATGCTTATTTAACTGATTTGGCATAAAAATATTGCCAAGTCAAAATATTTTTGATTTATCAAACATAGATTTGCCTTTTATGGTGGATTCGCCATATAAAAGAAATATTATATCTGATATACCTAATGAGGTTTGCTAAAATTTACAAGCAAACTTATGACCTGAAAGGGGACAACTTTGAGTACTGGAAATGGCTCCTCGGCCCATGCTTTTTCCTTGGATTAATATTCAATACGGAATTTACTCATATGGAAATTTTATGGAGTTTCTCAATATTCCTTGAAGCTGTAGCCTTTATTCCACAACTAGAAATGCTACGTAAAATGAAGGAGGTAGAAAACCTGCAGTCTCATTATGTATTTTGCCTGGGAGCTTATAGAGTTCTATATATACTTATTACCCTAAATTAATAGTTGAAATGGCTTGAATTATCCACTAGGCAATATAAAGAATAAGGCTATATCATAAACTGGATCTCCAGATTCTTGAATGATGAAGAGATTTCTTATATTTCTTTATTCGCTGGAATTATTCAGTCAATTCTTTACGCAGATTTCTTTTATTATTATGTTCTTGCAAGACTTCAGAATAAGAAATCAGTGACTCTACCAATCTAAATAACCAGATTTGCTTAATTTATTTGTTTTAATATAAATATAATTTATAAATGGGAAAACTGCATATAGATTATTTAGATTCCGGCCAATTGTATGTATGTGGAATCTGCAAAGCACATTTGACTGATCATAAAGAGCTTATATCGAAGGATTTTTGGGCAGGAACTGGGAAAGCTTATCTTTATAATAAAGTTATTAATGTTTATTCTGGAATTTTGGAAGAGAGAATGCTTACTCCCACCTTTTAAATTGGAGCAAAAATCTGTTCCAATTTAAAGGGGCTAAATTTTTGTTGAAAGAAATTGGACCTCTTTTGGGGACTGCAAAAATACGGCAAGGCAGGCAAAATCGGCAAAAAAGTGGGCAAAGCAAGTAAAAAAAGACAAATTTTTATAAATGCCGTTTTTACTGATTTTGCCATTTTTTTAAAAATTTTTCCTGTTTTTGTAAAATTTTGCCTTTTTTTATTTGCTTTACCACTTTTTGCAAATTATGCCGTTTTTTCTAACTGCCTTACCGTATTATCCGTTCCCAAAAGAGGCTCAAAAAAATTAATGATAATAAAAAATTTTTAAAATATAACTGAATGCAACATTTTTTGAAATTTAACTTATTTTTTATAGAGAATCAATTGATTCAGTGTGCAAACTGTCCAAAAACCATCTATGCATTCACTCCATTAAATATCATCAAAGCTATCTTATAAAAAATAATATTTCACCTATAAAATCGTTTTAATTTCAATTGGGATTCACTTAAAATATTAAAATTTTACAGATATTTTGCTCTGGGAGTCAGAACTGGACTTCATAGTTGCTGCGATATTTTTTGCAAAAGCTGTGAAAATAAGCTAGGATGGAAATATGTTTGGGCTCTTGAACCTGAGCAGAAGTATAAGGAAGGGAAGTTTATTTTAGAAAAAAATTTAATTGAGAAAGCTGAGTGGGATCTCTAAATGTTAAAAAATTTGTCTCGATATAAAATAATATTGATAGTAATCTCATTTAAAATAATATTAGCGTTTGATATGAAATTTATACAAAGATATACAAAATTTATTAATTCTATGAAAACCCTATTGAGAAATAAAAATATAATCTTGTTATTAATTATCAATTAGCTATGCAAAAAAATAAATAATACTAAAAGACATACATAATTTGAGCTTTCTTTGAATGCAATTAATAAAAGAAAGTAAAATGGAGTATTGAATAAATTAATTTCAATATTCAGATTAAAATTTATCTAGGAGTTATGTTAATTAAAAACAGGTGCTAGACATATTTGTGAAGCAGTCTCCGTAGACCTCCTGTGTAAAAGCTTATCCGCTCTCAATAAACTGCTAACATGTCTAGCAGTAACCGGTATAGCTGCTTACTCCTTGATTTGAGGCTTAATTCTTTAGTAGACAGCTTATAGATTTCTTTGGCCCTGCAAAGGGCGATTGGAAGTAGCTTAATTTCCAGGAATTAGATCCTTAGAATCAATCGGATACCAAGTGACTTGCTTCGACGGTACAGGAAAAAACTCTTCCCCTATGGTCTAAAACCTCAATTTCTCTGTAGAGATACCCAAGGAACCGAAGGATAATTCTGGGTACTCCATTTCCAACCACAGAAGAGCAGCCAAAACATGCCCGGATACACATTTGCTGAGGCTATACTTGTGGAGTCCGTTCCAGTTCGCCGTCTTAAGGTCTGATCTGTTGCACCAAGAGCGTAGGTCAGCAAGTGCCAGCATTTTAATGTATATGAAAATTTATAAAAGAATAAATGGAAAAAGGTGGCTTTAATTTAATGATATTGGATATAATTAAAAAATGTCAAGTGATTCAATGAGTCAGTCTATAAGTGATGAAGATAGCGATTTCGATATGGATGTTGAAGAAGGAACTGAAGTAGGTAGTGTCCAGGTCTCCGTTCAAGAACCCCAAAAGCCTCAAAATATAAAAGCAGCTAAAAAAGAAGAATCTCCTGAAAGCAGTGAAGATGATTTCAGTGAGGATGAAAATGATATCAAGAAAAGTCCACCTGCAATCCTTAAGAATGACTTACCTAAAAATAATGATGCAGTAAAAGAACCCAAACAACCCATTCCACAAAACAAGCAATCATCTATAAAAGAAAAGCCTAAAGAATCTCCCCCTAGCCTTAACATCAATAAAAATTCTTCAAAGAAAATAATTCCTCCCAAATCTCCTCAACCTGCCGCAAAGGACAATAATCTTGAAAAATCTAAAGAAGCTGTTAAAAAATCTCTATCCCATTCAGAGCTCGATTTTGGCGACATTGTCACCCAAAAAAGTGAGCATAAAGAAAATATTGACGTTGATGAGCGATTTTACAAGTACCAAGAAAAAGTCAAAGAAAAAGTTGATAAAATTGCTAAAGACCTTAACCAAGAAAAATTCAAAGAATGCACATTTAAGCCGACAATTAATGGAGAAGGAAGCAAAAGAAGTATCGATGAGTTTGTAAGCGAAATGCAAAACTATGAGAAAAGAAAGCAGGATAAAATTAATACGAAGAGAGAAGAAAATATTAAGACGCAGAGTTTAACTGAAAGGAATTTCCAGCCTGCTATATGTGAGAAGTCTTTGCAGATTTTGGCACAAAAAGGAGAAAGCAGTGAGCCTGTGCATGAGAAGCTGTTTAAAATGAAAAAGAGCGAGAGTAGTAAGCAAGTTAAGAAAATAAAAGAAGAACAAGAAAAAATAGAGAGCTCGCAGTTTAAGCCAACTTTAAATCCGAAATCTCAGAATTTAATAAGAGCAGATTCAATAGAAAAAATTCTATATGATGACGCTGTAAGAAGAATACATAAAGAACCAGAAGGCCCGACTCTTCAAAAGGAAAAATTCATAAGCAGCAAATCAGAACAAGTTTTGATTATAAAATTCAAAAAAGAATTTGAAGAAGCATTCAGCTATCTAGACTCAGATAACCAAGATAAATTAAACTACTCAAATACTCTTAATTTGCTACAAAAACTGTTCTTTATTAAAAACAGCCTAGAAAACCCTAAAAATGATGAAGAAAAGCTTCTTGTCCTAAAAATGTGAAGGCTTCTCGGTGGTAATGACAGCGAATTTATTACAAAACGGAATCTTGAAATTTTTACGATGGGTCTTATGAATTACTATCATCCCCAAATGAGTTCAACAATAGATCAATCTTCTTCAATTACAAGCTCTATAGGCAGATTAGTAGATGGAGAGTTTGCATTATTTGAAGATGAAGTTGCCAAGCTCCATCGCACATTTTTTATGTTCTACAATAATAGAGCTCAGCAGACTCAGCATTCAAATGTGAATCCGACTTATAAAAATAAAGTAGAATACTCATTTCATCCTCAAATCAACAATAGCAGTAATAAACTCGCAGATGGGGCAAGACTGAAGAGGACAGAAAGCTTAGGCTCTAAAACAACCCATGAAGATTATCTAATTTCAGAAAGACAAAAAATTGATGAAAAAATAAATAAACTTAAAAAAGAATATGAGCAAGAAAACCGCAAAGAATGCACATTTAAGCCTATGATTAATAAAAAGCCAGGGTATAAAATGGCTGAAAAAACACAGAAAGACACGATTTCTGAAGAATATAAAAAAATAAGTGAAGATCCTAATGAGCACAGATCAATAGCACTTTACAACCTTTCAGAAGTAGAAAGAAAGAGAAAAGAACAGATATTTCGAACTGCTGAGGAAATGGAAATTGAAAAAGAGCAGGCTGAGTGCACTTTTAGGCCTAATCTAGAAAAACCTGTTATTAGTAGCAGTACAGATGTGTTGAAGAAAAAAGGAGTAGCAGAAACAGTAAATCGTATGAGAAAAGCAAGAGAAGAGCAAGAACTCATAAAAAGTATGAAAGAAAGAGGCTTCACTAACAAAGGTGAGCTAAAGCCTTTGAACTCAGATAGTGAAAGGCCAAAGTCATCACTTTCTCATTCTCAGTCCCAAACCCTTGCAAAGCCGCCATTACCGTCTAGCAAGTTCAAGCAGCAAAGAGATTCACTTAAAATCCTAAAGCAGCAACAATCCGAGACAAATATAGAAAAATAATCCTAATTTAATACTATAAATATATGAATTTTGTGATTATATAAGATCTTTAACCATGTAAGCTCCTTCTAAGCGGTATCCAAGCTTTCTATAATAGTGCCTCACACCTACCCCAGCGATAACTGCGATTTTCTCAGACCCATGCTCTTCTCTAGCAATTCTTTCAGCTTCTTCCATCAGCATAGTTCCAAAACCTTGGTGCTGGAATTTTGTAGGGTTTCTTGAATGCACCGGCACTACACTTCCATAGACATGCAGTTCTCTGACCATGCTGCACTTTCCTAGCAATTCTTTTCTAAATGTAGCTGATCCCAGTTTTCTCAATCTTAAAAGTCCTACCAAAATATCTTGTCGAGGATCCTCATAAGCTAGAAAAGTTTCCCAAGAACCACTGGCGGTATAATCTCTTCTTACAAGCTCAATTTCTTCAGGTCTTATTTTATTATGCACTTCTTGCATGCCGACTTCTCGAGTCCTGACATCTCTGCATGCAAGTTTTAACTCCTTCATCCTATTTAAGGCGAGTTCTCTTAAATTCCCATAATCTACACCAGATGTAACAAGAGGCATGGGGATATCTCTTTGGACTCTATAAACTCTGACCCATGGTGGGGCTAAAGCAAGTATTTTGGCAACAATATCGACAAGTTGGTCAGGGTGGTAATTTTTGTATTTGTTTGCTTTCCATAGCTCATAGAGACCAGTTCCTCTGATTACTAAGGTTGGATAAAGTTTGAGACCATCTGGTCTGAACTCAGGGTTTTCAAAAAGTTCTTTGAAGCTTTCTATATCTCGCTCATAGCCCATGTTAGGAAGATCAGGCATTATATGAGTCACGATTTTATAACCTGTGTCTTTTGAAAGCACAAAGCATTTTTTTACAGCTTCAACTGTATGCCCTCTGTTTGTATCTCTAGCGATATCTTCATATACAGATTGGACTCCTATTTCTAGCCTTGTACATCCATATGACAACAAATCATTTAGATGTGGCTGTAAGCAGTAATCAGGCCTGGTTTCTATAGTCATACCTACACATTTGTTATACCCTTGCTCTCCGTAAAACATAGCTTCTTGAACATTCTGTGAAGTATGCCCAGACAAAGCGTCATGTAAATTCCTGATAAAATAGTCACGATATTCTTTTGCTAATGACATAAAAGTGCCACCCATTACTACGAATTCTACCTTGTCGACATCATGGCCTAGCTTTTGAAGCTGCTCGATTCTGTCTTTTGTTTGTATATAAGGATTGTAGCGAGCTCGAATAGCTCTCATCGACGTAGGCTCATACCCTGTGTAAGATTGTGTGGAATACTCAAAATCGCTGTCAGGACCACCTGGACAATATACACAAATATTGCCTGTTGTAGCGATATGAGGACACCTATGAGGCTTGGACATAACAGCCACAACAGCTATCCCAGATGCAGTCCTCACTGGCTTGGCCTTTACAAGTGGGGTTAAAATTGCTTTATAGTCATCAGGAATTCCACTGATTATATCAACTAGCTTCGGGATTTTAGCAAGCGAGTACTTTGCTGAAACTTCTTTATTGAGTTTCGTTAAATTGACAGGCTTCTTGTCCTCATAGCTTTTTATCAGAATTTTTATTATCTCAGCAATTGCTTTCACCCTTTGTGGCTCTTCTTTGTCCTTCATGATTAAATATTACCAGATCATAATATTAGATTTAATGGAATATTTAAATTAAAGATCAAGCTTAGGTTTTTTGTCTTCAGCTTTAAATGAGGTGTACTCCTGGATAAATTTAAGCAAATTCTCATAGTTCGCGTCACCATGAAATAGGACCCCTTTTTTGTTTTTGGCTGGAAAGAATTTTATTGTGGGAAAGTCTTGGATGAATTGGCCTTTTACATCGTTTAGATACATGTCGATTTTTGCGATCACAAGCTCATCGATTTCGATTAGTGTCGCTGCAAGTTTTTCGTAGTCCTTGGCGAGGTTTCTGCAAGCAACTGACCAAGGTGCGTAGAATTGGACCAGGACGTCTTTTTTGTTGTCCATAACGATTTGTTGGAAGTTTTCAGCAACAATTATTCTGATTCCTTGTGCGTATAATTGGTCTGGAATTGGTTCAGATTTTGCATATGGCTCGATTTCTTTATTTAGCCATCCTTTTATAAATGATCTTAAGTCCTCTTCATTAACAGTTTTGTAATATATACTTTTCGAAACAAATTAGCATTAATTTGATGCCAAGAAATATTATATTATTTTAAGAAATAGATAACTGATACTAAATAAAAGTAAGTAAGTCTATAAAATTGATATAAATATTTATTTATCCCATTTCCATCATGATCAATGATAACAAATGTAGGCTGAGCGTGCTTTGGGACCCCCAGAACCACACTTAATTTTTTATAAGCTGGCAACGATAAATCCGCATGTGTAAATACTAGCTTACTTTTGTATTCTTTCGCCAGCTTCTCATATATTTCATTATATGTATTGGCTTCTCCTTCATATCTAAAAAAGAATAAAGCTGGATGTTTCTTTTGGAAAATAAATTCAGACGCATCACTGCAATATTGCCAAGTCCAAGGCCGCTTATTTTCTTCTATCCATTTAATTAGATAATTCAATGCCATAGGCCCATAATATCGAGTCGCCTTGTCATCATATTGTTTGAACATCATTATGCTTCATTCTTCGACCCCATAATAAGAAAAAGCATCTTTATCAGTACAAATAATAAAAATAGCATCATCAAAAAGCTTGGAGGCTGCTTCGAAGTGGTGAGGAAATTTTATTGTCGCAAATAAAACAACTGCGACTTTTGTATTTTCGAGTACTGACTGGAGCTCTGTAATAGTTGAATAATTTTGGATTTGAGATTGAGATCGCTTTATTAGCCACGCAGTAATTGAGTCTCCAGTTAGATCACCTGTGTATTTAATTGATCCTTCTTCGGAAATGTATTTGAGGGTAGGGTATTCAGTAATTCCATACTTTTCTGCGAGGGTTGGATTAGCGGCTGCATCAACTTTTGCTATATAAATTGCTGGGCTTATTTGTTTTAAAGCTAAAGCAGCTTTGGAATATTCTGGAATCAAGGATTTGCAGCTTTGGCTCCACGGTGAGTAAAAATTAACGAGAATTTGACTTTGTTGAGCGAGCAATTGTTCAAAGTTAGAGTCATTAAGAATCAAAACGTTGTCTTCTTCAGATATCTCACCAAAAATGCATGCAATTAAAAGTGGAGCCAATATCTTGAATGACATTTTAATAATTAAATAAAATTAATCATACAATTTAATTATAGCAATGATCCAGTTGGTAGGAATTTGTGTTAATTAAATCTATTTTGACTGTAGAGCAGCCTTATTTAGAGATTTTGTAAAATCACCCTGGAAAAAGGACAAGGGTTTTAATTGCAGCATTCTAATGAGTCATTCTTGTGCCAGATAGATTCGAATTAATTAAATAAAAAAAAGTTTCATATTAATTATTAGCAATCAATAATATTCCCAGTCATCGATTTTACGGATTATCATAGATAGAAAGTTAGATTATACAACAAAGTTCATCTCTATTCATAATTGCTTCAAATTTCATAAAAAAATATAGCTTTATTCAAACCACTTTACAATTGAGCTCCATTTTAAGAAACATAATATTAGCTTCTCTTATAAAAATATGGGCTGCATGTCTTCGAAATCGATTTGTCCAATAGAACTTCCTAAACACCAAATCGTATACAAGTTATCTGATATTCATTATTCACTTGGATATTTTGTTCATAGAAATTTTTCTTCTTTCTATACCTTATATATGCTTCTTCCCGATCCTCTTGGCACTGGGCCATATGGTGAAGTAAGGAAATGTATACATAAACCCACTGACACTATAAGAGCCGTCAAAATTCTAAATAAACACACTTTGCCGAAAAATTTCATGCGGCAAGAAGGTGTAATAAACCAAATCAGAATTTTAAAAACCCTAGACCATCCAAACATAATGAGGGTTTATGAATTTTTTGAAGATAACTCTTCCTATTTTGTAGTCGAAGAATACTATCCAGGTGTTGATCTTCTGACTGCAGTAGAAAAAGTGAAAAAATATAACGAGCCACAAGTGAGGGAAATTATGAAACAATTATTTTCTGCTATTAGCTATAGCGCTTTCCCGAGGATGGCGCGGAATGGCGCCATCCTCGGGAAAGCCAGGAAGGCATCCACACGGGAACTGGGAGTTCCACGTGTGGATGCTTAGTTGACTTTCCCGAGGATGGCGCCATTCCGCGCCATCCTCGGAAAGCGCTATATCTTCATTGCAAAAAAGTTGTCCATAGGGATTTGAAGCCAGAAAATATAATACTAGAGGAGAACAAAAACAGCGAAGCTTTGTCAATCAAAGTAATTGATTTTGACTCTGCGACGTTTTTTAATAGGGAAAAGCCGATGAAAGGGCTTTTCGGGACAGTTTATTATATAGCTCCAGAAGTGATTAATTCAACGTATGATGAAAAGTGTGATATATGAAGTCTTGGGGTTATTATGTATATTTTATTATCAGGAAGAGCCCCATTCTTTGGACTCTCAGAATTTAGTATCCTCAAAAAGGTAAAACAAGGAGAGTTTTCATTTGAGGGGCAGCTATGAGAAAATATATCAGAATCAGCTAAAGACCTAATCAGAAAAATGCTGACAAAAGACCCATCTCAAAGAATTTCTGCTAATGACGCATACAATCACAGCTGAATTCAAAATCCTTCAGCTCCCCAACCACCTCTTGCAAAGAATCCTTTTATAATACCAAGAATTAAAAGACACCATAGCCATCCAAAGTTAAAAGACGCTGTTAAAAGTTTCATAATCAGCCAAATTCTAAAAAGAGACGACTTAAAAAGCTTGGAATCTGCCTTTATAGAAATGGACCTTGACGGAAATGGAACAATAAGCAAATATGAGCTAGAATCTCACCTAAGAAATTTCATGGATGACGACAGTGCAAAACAAGAAGCCAATCTAATTTTATCAAACGAAAAACTGCTAGACCATGAATATCTAAGTTATAGTGATTTTTTAAATTTAGTGACAGATCAACATATTGTTTTTTCGAAGGAAAACCTGCAGAAAACTTTCAAGATAATTGATAGAGACCATAATGGGAAGATTTCGAGCCAAGACTTAGAAAAGTTCATATTAGAAGACGAAAAACTAGACAAGGAGTCGCTAGACAAGATTACCCATGAAATGGACCCAGAAAATAAAGGAGAAATCGAGTTTGCAGAGTTTGAAAATTCGTTTATTCACCGATATCTCTCAAGAAAATACACAATTACCGTTGATATGTCATAAGTATAATAATAAAATGGCAGAGTTAATAGATAAACTTGAATTAAGAAGCGAAAGCTATGTTCACTGCATTTCTTTCAATTACTTCGGAGATAGAATGGCTCTATCTTGTGCAGATCAATCAATCCAAGTATGGAACTTACTCCCCCCCCTTTAAATTGAAACAAAATATAGGTAAAATTCCTACTTTTTTGGGAAATTACCCCCCCTTTAAATTGAAACAAAATTTATTATAATAGAAAATTTTATAGGTAAAAATCATTATTTTATATGTAAATACGTTAATACCCTATTTAATATGCTTCAAACATATAAGATTTAGAAATTAAACTCTATTTTGTCCAATTGTTATGGGGAGAGTTAGAAGAATACCATTTCAGCAAGTTTACACTTTGAGATTGAGAAATTTATGAATTAATTTTTCATGAAATTAAAATTAAAAATCAAACACAGAATGAACCATAAAATTTTATCTCTGAAAAAAATTTTTTATATATAAATTTTTTTATAAAAAAAATTTCTTAACCCCCCTTTAAATTGAAACAAAATTTTTTGTTTCAATTTAAAGGGGGGGGGAGTTAGAAGAAAACAAATGGAAACTTTCCGCTAAATGGAATGCTCATAATGGCGCAGTTTTTAAAGTTCGCTGGGCACACCCAGAATTCGGCACAATCTTAGCAAGCTGCTCATTTGACAAGAGCGTAAAAATTTATGAAGAAAATCCCCAAGAAAACTCTTGAACACTCCTTGCATCACTAGTAGAAAGCAAAGAGCCGATAGAAGATATTCAATTTGCCCCACATCATTTACGATTAATGCTTGCTGCTTGCTCATACATTAAAATGGCGACGGCGATTCAACCCTTTTTTCTCAACACCTGTAGCCTGTATTCACGGGGGACCTCGTGGAAGGGAGAAAGGCGCTCGGAATGTGTATCCGGCTAGGTTTTACCTTGGCACAGTGGAGCTCGAAGTCGGATTAGGCCAACTGCAGCTCATTCTGACACCAAGGGTTTTGCCTCAGGGAGATGGATTCCAAGGTTGAAAAGGGGAAGCTCAGCAGCATCAGGAAGGTACCTCCTTATCAATCGGGCAACTCCCTAACGTGAAACTGGGCGTTACGTCCCAGGCCTTGGATTTCCATCTTAGCCGACAGTCCTACCAGAAAATTTGTTTTTCAAATTTTCGGAACGGGCGACTCTGTTGACGTACTGCTGGATGGCGTAACTCATCCAACTACGGGTTGCGAGTGCACATCCTCGTCCAGTAGGAGCAACATCTTGAAGGTCGTGATCGACTGATGGTGAGCAACCGGGTGAAGCGTGAAGCGTGAAGGGTGAAGTTAGGACAGGGGAAACCCGCGTTAATACGACGAGCCTCTATAATACTAATTAATGGTAATGGTAATGCTTGCTGCTTGCTCAAGTAATGGGGAAATAAGAATATATGAGCCTAGCAGCGTTGTGAATTTAAAGGTTTGGAGCGTGACCAAGATGTTCTCTGCTTGTGCGTTGGGAAGCAACTGCATTGCGTGAAACCCTGCTGTTCATGAACCGCCAATGCTACTTATAGGGAATAATGATGTGCAAACGGCGACAGAGAAGTTTGGGAAAAACTTTGACGTTGATGAAGAACTTCTGCAGCTTTGGGCTGTTTCTGAAGATAAGCCTATTTAAAGGAAATTAATATTAGATATAGAATTTTCTTTTTTTAGTATAAAAATATTTATAGAAGCTTGTATTAAATAAATGCATTTAATCGAAATTAAAGGAGTATACAAAAGAATGAGAGAAAAAATGTGTCCCTGCAAGAATCCATGAGAGAAGCATTGTGGATATCAGCTGGGCACAATTAATGGGAAGATCAAAACATCTTGTAGCTTCCTGCTCATATGATGGAATTGTAGTGATTTGGAGGATCGATGGCAGCACAGGAGCCATGGAAAGCGAAATGAATATCCGAGATGACGTAGGCGGACCAGTTTGAAGAGTATCCTGGGATGTCCTTGGAACTATGCTAACAGCAATAAACGGGGATGGCACTGTAAAAGTGTGGAAGAGAAACTTACAAAGAGAGTGGGCCGAGGTAGGTGCATTACAAAATAGATAGAATAAAGTCACTTTCTTAATAATAACACCATTTTGAATAGAATGTACAAAATTATGTTTTTCATACAATAAAAGATTAATGCGTGGAAAAGTTTGATTTCCAATTTTCCTACCTTTTAGAGGCTAAATTAATTTAAGAATGATAAGCGGATTATTTATCTAACTTTCCTTAAAAGGAAGGTAAATTTATGAATAGTTTATTATTATGCATAAAAATGGCAGGAGATAAGCGACCTGCCCTTTTAGTGAGCGGTGTCTCTATGTATATTGGGTACGATATTTGAGATGCAGTCATTATCTAGTAACAGTTAGCTAACCCCAAGGTGAGAGAGACGAAACATTGGAATCTGCTGATTTCGTTTCTAGATCCTTGGGCAATTAATTGTATCTATGAGAGAAATTGAGCTGTTAAACAATTTATTTAATTAAATTAGCCGCACCTCTTTTTACCAACAGGGGCGAGCTTTGTGGGTGCTCGATATGAGACAGAACGACTTACCTGCTCATGTTGCTATTGATGAGGTGTTCTGAAACGCGAAAACAGCTGAGTTCTTTCTTTATTGATTGAAAAAGAGGGGAAAACCAAGTTAGACTCATCTCAGCGGGGGTCTCCAGTTGAAAAAGGCTTTTTAGTGGAGCGATCTGACCCAAGCAGCAAATAGACTTGGCGTAAAAATTAATTGGCGCCGCAAGTTGGAAATGGGATGCCCGCAAATCTCCTTTTCGGATTAAAAGGTGTGCTCTATCAAGAAAAAGGGGTTTCAGTTCGGCTTGTGGCATTTATGATCTGCTATCTGCCATCACACATAATACACTTGGAGCTAGAAATAAGGAAGTGTATACTTCAAAAACATATTAACTTGAAATTAAGAATAATTCTCGAGCCAAAATAATTACTATCTAGAGTAAGGTTATTGACCAGGCTTTGCATTGCGCAAACGAACTTCTCTGTATTCTTGAGTTACCATGCAGCAAGAGCATCCAATCCAATACAGAAGGCAATCGACAATAAAGCTTCCGTGTATGTTATATTTCTCTCTGATTTTTCCACGATTAATTGCAAGTCCAATACAACAGAGCCAGCAGGCTATGCAGCATTCCCCACATCCTCCTTGGCCTCCATTCATTTCATAAAAAGTAATGCCCTGCAACAAAGCAGCTCCAGCAGTACAGTTTGAGCAAATCAACCAGCATGCTGGGAAAACATTGCAGCATCCAGCAAATTCAGCGTTCCAATTGTTTGACATTTTATTATTACCCACAGGTTATTTTGAGTAACTGATTTTAAATTGAGGGCGCTAATTTAAAATCTGATATGATAAGTAGTTTACTATATCTATAAGGGTACTAAAAACAAAGAAAGTTATAGTCAGAAAATAAGAAAATTATAGGAGGTGAAGTTATTAAAAAACCGTTTCTGGCTTTAAAAGCTGAAATACTCGCCTGAATTGTTTGAAAATTATAAATGATAATCGATAATTCTCAAATAGTTTATGAAGGTTTTATTTTGTTCCAGATAATACTTTGAAAAATACTAATCGTATAGCTTTTGTTGTCATATGTAATTTTGATTAATATTAATAAAAATCATAGGATAGATCACAAAACATGTAAAAGTTATAGAATATGAATATTTAAAGATGCAAAACTTATATTAATTTAAATAATACGATAAATTAAAATCTCCACAGTATTTTAAATATAACAAAGGGAATTTTTTAAATAGCAAGTGTGAACTATAATAAATTGCTGAATGACTTAATAATAGATATGAATTTTATATACAATTTATTAAATTCTTAATTTATTATAGATCTTTCGTTCTTGTAGCATAGTTTGCACAAAGAACCCCTGCTATTGTGGAAGTTTTTAGACTTTTGTACCAAAAGGGACTTGACCCTCTAATGCCATCCTAAATTTTATTTAAGCTTTCAACACAAAATTTTAATTCCTCTAACTGCTTTTTTTACTCTCTATTTTTATTAGTTATTAGTTCAAAACGCAGCTTTCATAAGTTGGGATCATATATTTGATATTGATAAAAGCGTCTTCCCCACCTGTTGTCTCCAATAGCTCCAAAGTCTCCTGTATAAGTTCTCCTATATTTTGCCTCTTTCTTTGCGAATAATCAATCTTATCACCAGAGTTCACATTTTTTTGTTTGAAAATATTAAAAATTGGCAAGATCTGTCTATAATAAGGAACTAAAGCTTCTCCAATCATATCTGCGCATGTCACCAATTTTTGAAGCACTTTCAAGACAACACTGATAATATCAGGATCTCTGGTATTTAAAGCTGTTTTTATAGGGATAATCAGCTGAGGGATTACAGGTAAAACTTTATTTCCTCCATGCTCAAGCATATCATGGACTCCTTGTATTGCTAGAAATCTATAAGGGTCTTGCTTTTCTCTTATCCCATCAAAGAAAATCGGTAAGTAGTGATGGTAATCCAGCTGCTCCACTGGTACTTTCCATGCGATTTTATTACCTGTGCCATGGCTTATAGCTATAGGAAGGTCTCCACGGTCATAAAATCTTCTAAACTCACTAGGAGGAATGGTTCTTCTGTTAAATGCTCCTGCTCTAGGTGGGACTTCAGCTGGCTGCTCTCTTCCATGGAATAGAGACGATGTTTTGCCGCCTGAGCCTTTGCCTTTCTTTACAAATTCATTAGGCTGGCTAGCTGCTTGAGATGCTTCATGGGCTGGGTTTAGGTTAAATTCAGTAGGAATTCGTTTGGAAGGAATCACATAGCCTGGAGGAAAGTCACCAAATGGAGAATGTGAGTTGCGAGGTAGCAATTTTGCATCGCCTCCAAAGCTGGGGCCACCTGTTTTGCTAATTATTCCCACCTTAATGAGAGACTTCATAAAAATAAATTAAATTAATTGTATTGTACTCAATTTATATATAAAAAAAATTTAAATATAATTATTTTCAAAAAAATAACTTCCCTTTAAATTGGAACAGGATTTTTTGTTCCAATCAAAGAGGAGGAGTGAGCATCTTGCGAAGATGATCCTCAGTTGAAAGAAATTGAGCAGGGGAATTCGTGTAAGCCATAACTGTCAATAAAAATTATTATGAAAACTAAAGAGTAAGGACAATTGGCAGGAATTTAATAAAATAAATAGAAAGGCACTAAATAAAATTATTTAAATAAGAATTATGACTATATGTATAGATGTTTAAAGTCTTTATGAATTTTTTAATAATTATTTAATCAATAATTTTTCAGCTATATTTATTAGCAATTTATATGATATATAAATGTCAAGCCAGCCTACATTAACAGCAGCCCAATATCTCGATAAAATTGGCTGAGGTAAATATCAGAAATTAAAATTTATCCAATGTGGATTTGTAAATAATAGCATAGGCATGGACAAATAGCCAGCTCTGACTCCCCCCCCTTTAAATTGGAACTAAAAATTTTGTTCCAATTTAAAGGGGGGTTAATTTTTTTTTTTAAAAAAAAAAAAAAATTCAAAAACTTATCGAGTTAGATTAATAAATTTTATTTAATAAAATGCTATTTACTCTTTATCCCTTTTAAAACAAAGCAAGATATAACTAAAATTTCATTATTAGTTAATACGCCACTATTAATTGGCATCAAAATTATTTGCACAAAAATTATTATTTTTTATTAATAAAAAAAAAAAATTTAGAAAATTTATCATCAAAGTGTTAATTTTGTTTAAATAAGATGTTATTTATACTCTATTCTTTAAAATAAAGCAAGAAATAATTAAATTTTGAGAAATCTTATAAAGAATTCCTATTGAATTTATATCAAAACTATTCAAAAATAAAAAATATCATTTTTATCAAAAAAATAATGAAAATTTTTTTTGTAAAATTTAACAATTAAGGATAATAAATTTATTTAAATAAGATGCTCTTTATACTTTCTTCTTTAATCAAGAACAAGATATAACTAAATTTTGAATTTTAGTTAAGAAGAAACATTTAACTTATATCAAAACTTTTTAGATAAAAATTATATAGCGAATCTATTAGATGGCGCGCAATGCGCCATCACTGGGCCATGTCGGGAGAGGGTTCTCCACGAGGAATGGTTCCACGTGTGGAACCCTCTTTTTGGCTCGTGGAAAAAGAGGGTTCCACACGTGGAACTATTCCTCGTGGAGAACCCTCTCCCGACATGGCCCGGTGATGGCGCATTGCGCGCCATCTATAGGAAGGCGCTATATATAATTTTTTATTATAAAATTAAATTTTGTTCCAATTTAAAGGGGGGTTAATTTACCAAAAATGTGGAAATTTTACCTATATTTTGTTCCAATTTAAAGGGGAGGGAGTGAGTAATTCTTATTGGGATCACACTGACAAATATTGGCCATGAATGAAATATATCTAATTCAGCAAGAGGATTTATTGGAACTTTATTTCAAATAGGCATGCTCTTTGGATCTATTATATGAGGATATTTAGCGGATAAGTATGGAAGAATGTTCTCTTTTAAAAAAAGCTTGATTCCTGTTGTTATCTTTAGTATGTTCATGATACTATCGAGCTCTCCAGTAATGCTTGCGATATGCGGATTTATTATAGGGATTGGAGTGGCTGGCGAGCTTGTGGTATCTGGTGTTGTTTTTAAAGAATTCTGCCCACCGAAAAACTCAGGATTTGTTACAGCTTTATCCTCATTTTTCGGAATGGGAGGGGCATTTATAGCACTAATCTCGATTTGTGTAGAGCTATTCAATACTTCTGCAATTGCTAACTGAAGACTTATTATTTTGTTTATTTTCTTCTACGATTTAATCATGTTTATTCTTAGGATTGATATGGATGACACTCCAAGCTATTATTTTGCAAAAGGAAATAAAGAAAAATTCGAAGAAATTCTTAATCCCCTCCATGAACAAACAAAAAATTTGTTTATGAAAAAATATTTTTTTATATATAAGTTATAATTCGTAAAATGAAATAACTAATTCTATTAAAACATAAATTTCGCAAATTTTTGCGAAAGGGATTTTTAATTTCTAAAAAATAAAAAAACCATCCATAAGCAAATAAAATATTTTTCGGTCATCGAGAGAGGGAAGTTAAAAAAATCGCTTTGACAAATGGAAAAAGCGAAAATGAAGTTGCTTTAATTGATCCAATTTTGAACGAAAATACAAATTTAAAGAGAAAATCAAACTCATATAAAATGTTATGGTGCTTTCCTTTGGATGACCTAGTAAAAATTCATGCTATATCCCTATTGGACAGCGAAATATATAAAGTATATTTCAAAAAGAGCATCGCAGGGCTAGCTTGCTATTAACTGTTATTTATTTTACAAAAATGTTTGGATACGCTAATCTTCTTATGTTTATGCCTCGATTTTTAAGTGATTATTCAACTCTTACCAGGTACATAGCAATTTTTATTCAGCAGCTTTCTGGGATACCTGGGACATTCCTAGCTGCATATTTGGTTAATACTAAATTTGGAAGAATAAAAACTCTGGCTATGTGCGAGTTTTCTGCAGCATTATTTGTATTTTTGTTTCTCCTATCCAGCAATGTAGTATTGGTTGTGCTTTGTACATCACTTACCAGTCTTGTTGTTTTAATGGGATATGGATGTTTGTATACAGTAACTCCTGAGTCTTATCCAACAGAGATTAGAAATACCGCAAGTGGCTGGCTATTTTCAGCTATGAGAATTGGAGGAATCATATCTCCTACAATTACAGGAGTTTTACTTGATACTCCAGGGGGAAAAGAAATTGCTCTAGCTATATACTCAGTCTCCTTTTTAGTAGATACAACTTGTGTGCTCTTCTTAAAGGACACAAGAACAACAAATGCAAATTAAATTATTTAAAATTATTTTTATATCTTTTAGTGTTATTTAATAGATTTTAGTCATCGAGCATTGTTCTATCAGCTGGGACAAATGCCATTAGTTTCTTAAAGCTTCTACGCTCCCTATAATCCGCTCTAAGCATATTTTGAAGCATAACTTTTAGCCACTCATATTGAAGCTTATCAAGTTCTTCTGCAAGAGCTTCAGCAGAGCCTCTTGCATTGTATGTGCTTACGCTTTTGAAAGTAATCATCTGCAAAAATGTCAATCCCAAGCTGTAAACATCAGATTTCCAAGGGTGAATTTTTGCTTTGACTTTAGTTCTAATAGATTCTTCAATTTCAGGAGAAAAATATCCTTGAGTGCCTTGAAGCATTCTCTCGCTTACAGTCCTTGTTGTCACTTCTGTTTGTGATTTTGCAATATTAAAGTCACCAATTTTCATTCCATCTTGGCCGATGAATATATTGTGTGGCTTTATGTCTCTATGCACTATTTTAATCTGTTCAAGAGAAGAAAAGCCATTCAGAAGTTCATATATATAGAATTCTCTATGAATAGTCTATTTGAAATTAATATAAATGGCTTCATTTATTTCTTGATTATTATAGTGGCTAGCTATATTATCTCTCAGCTCTTCTTCTGTAAATGGTCTTTCCTCTTCTTTTCTCTTTGTAATTTCTTGCATTAAATCCCGTTCACAAAACTCCATTACGATAAACAGCATGTACTTTTCTTCAATTTTTTCAATGAAATGTCCGTAATATTTTAAAAAGCATTTGACATTTAAACCTGAAAGTTTTTTGAGCATTTCCCCTTCTTCATTAAATTTTTCTATATTTTCCCTTTGAGTTGATGAGTATCTTTTTATGGCGACGTTGAGTCTTCCTTTGCTTCTTAGGATAGAGCCGCGAAAAACTGCAACTGAGTATCTTCCGGATGTTTGGTAAGTATAAATGGGGTCTCTTTCATCATACTGAATAGCAGAAGATCTATTTATTTCTTCATCAACTGGTGACAGAGGCCGAGGCGGTATTATATCAATATCTACTTTTACATCTGGGACAACTAAATTATCAAACCCTCCGAATTTTTCTGTATATATTTTCAGCCTCTCTTGCTGATGCTCCGACAAGTTTCCTCCTCTCAAAGCCCCTAGAAGCGGTTTCATGTTTATCCTGGTCACCTCATCATTATCTTTTCCTTCTTCCACATTTTTTTCCAATATTTCCAAAGCGTTATCTGATAAAATTTTCTTTAAAACTGACATATCATACCCAAACCCCTCAAGTTTAATTGAGTCAGTCAAGTTTTCAACAACTAGCTTAGGGTCATCATAAGAGATTTTTCCCCATTGTATATCAGTCAGCACAATTTCGGCCAATTGTTTCGATGCTGTGATATCATAGTTTAGCCTTTGCTCCATCGCATTTAGCAAGTTAAGCCAAGCTACAATTTGCTCAACTGTTTTGGATTTTTGGATATAAAATGGCGTGGCGAATCAATCTGTACTCTAACAATTCTAGCTAGATGGGAGTCTGGGGACCTTGTGGAAGGGATAACAGCGTTCGGTAATATCCGCCGGGTTTTACTTGGTCTGGTGGAGCGCAATGTCGGGCTGACTGACTGCAGGCTCACATCTAGGGCAAGGTTTTACTCCAAGGAGGATGGAAGTTGGAAAGGGATCGGCCAATCGGTATTTTCCCAGCGCAACCAGGAGTTGCGCCTAGGCTACAAGTTTCATCTTGTTAGCAACCTGACCAGAAAATTCACTTTTTGACAGTCAACCTCGTCGGCATATGACACGGTGACCCAGCGTCTTTACCTCCGGGAGCAAGTGCAAGCTCTTGCCTGGAGGGAGCAACATATGCCTAGGCTGTGCAATCAGACTGGCAAGCAAGGGGGTGGTGCAAAGCAAGGGATGTGAAAAGCTATTGTTCGGCTGCCAGGAGCTTCTCGATAATAACTTAATAGAATATAACTGTTTGGGATTTTTGGATTTCTGTCATAATTTTTGATTCTAAGCTACTTGCTGCGCTAGAGATGTCAAAGTTTGGCTTTTGCTTTAGCCCAAGGATTATTCCTGTGCATGCTTCAGCGAGGGTATAAGTAAGAGGAGCGTTTAAGGCAGAGACAAGTACAGCAGAATAGAAAAGGTCGAAGATTAACTCTCTCGACTGAGGATATTCCATCGCTGAAATTGTGAGCTTTTGCTCGAACTCGTCTTTCTGTTCCAATGGGAATGAGTAGCTTTGCTCCACAAAAAATTAAGTTAATTGCTATAAAGGCCATAGGCGGATAAACCGCTAGCCTGTCTATCTGGCATAAACCCACATACTGAAACCTAGGTTGGATCCAACTCTAGTGATGCCCCATCAGTTCCGATAAAGCAAAGACTAAGTGGGAGTCCGACCTGCTCCATAGAGAAGTCACCTCGGAGTCCAATTTCTGTCAATGTCACCATTTTATTTCGTTTTGTCCCCAAGGAATTGGATATTGGGATCTTTTCTTTCTGTTATCAGCTCTTTAATTTTTGGTATGAGCTCCTGAGATATAAGTGAGCTAATTTCGAGATACTTTTGCTGATCTGCCATGTTATTACTATATAAATCTACATTATTATTCAACAAAATGCTATTGGTCTAATAAAAATCGATTATAAGGCTTTATCTTAGTTTAAAAAGAGTTTTAAGGCACCACTTACTCCTTGGGAAAGCTTTCGCTCCCTCTTCTCCTCCATGAAAAAAAAAATTTGTTCGCTCAAGCAAGGGCACAATCCACAGAAATTGAAAGCAAAAATTAATTTTTTTGGGTAAAATTTATGTTTTAAAATGCAAGCTGTTTAAAATTAAACAGAATTAACTAAAAAAAATTTTGGTTTGCTCGAAGGGTGGGTTTTTATCCAAAAAATAGGGATTTTTTCAATGGTTTTGTTGGCTCACGGAGGGGCAGAGAGTTAGAAAATTTTCCCTTTATAGCTAATAACTAGTTTAAAGTTAAATAAATTCTACACTGTCAGAAGATTATAAAATAAACTTTATCTAAATTATGATTTTTTATCTCTCCCTCAGAATGGGAATTTCTATATCTTCTACTTCATCCACTAGCTTCGCTTGTGCAATCATCTGCATTAAAGAATCAAAATCGCTTAGATAATTATAATGCATATCAAACGCTCTTTCGATTTCTTCAATTTCTATCTTATACTCATCGTATACATCGTCTTCTATAAGAGTTAGAGTCAAAGGCAATGAATAAGGATTCTGTGTAGGCGGCTCTGAGTCTAATCTGCTTCTGTAAAATGAAAGAATTTCATATAGCTTGTCAGGGGTAAGATCTAAGGAAACTGGACCTTTGTTGACAATTCTTTTAATATCTTGAACAGCTTCAGAGATGCTTACTTCATGCTTTAATAATCTCATAGAATCTTCATAGATATCTCTTTTTATTGCTTTTTCGCTTAGTCCCCCTCCATGAGTGAACAAAACCATTGTAAAATCCCTATTTTTGCCCAAAAATCCAACCTCCTTAACAAACAAAAATTTTTATATAATCCGTTGATAAATTTCTTATGGACGTTATACGCGCCTATTTCATATAAAATTTCATATATTATCACTAAAATTGCGTTTTGAAACGCATATTTGGTTTCCACATACCAAATTCAAAATGACATGCATATGCATGATAAGAAATTATTGAAATACATAATAAAAAAATGTTTAATATATAAGTGATTATTAGTATAATAAAATTTCATACTAATTCTGTTAATTTTGAACGAACAGAAACGAAAGAAAAATTTGGTTTCCAATTTTCAAGAATTGGGATTTTTTTAATATTAAAAAAAATTAATCCCTCCAAGTGTGTGAACAATATTTTTTTTTTCGCTTACGGAGGGAGAAGTTAGGACTTCATCTATTGCATCATCTAAGAGTTTGTTAAGAACTCCAAAGCACTCTTTTACATATTTGAAATACTCATCTGAGCCTCTCAGCAGCCTTCTACGCTGCTTTCTTGCATGAAGCTGATTTTTTTTGTAGTATTTGGAATATTGCTTTCTTATAAGATGCAATAGATCAATAAGGGTTTCCTCAGGCAAGACTTCGAGAGTCAAAGTTTTAGCCTTGGGTGGCTTATATAAATAAACTACAAGCCCACTTAATGCAACAAAACTACTGCCGATGAGGAATCAGCCTTTAAGAGTCAAGCCAAATATGCTGGAAATTAATTTCATTCAATAATCAATAAATATTCGAACTCAGCATTAAATTGAACAATTAGCATTAAGACTTATAAATAAACAATGATAATTTTCTTTGATCTCCTTACCCTATTATTTTTGATTTTAAAATAAAAAATTCCCAATCAAGCTATAAAAAACTATTAGGTAAAAAATTGTTCACACATGATACTAATTTTTAGCCTAATTTTATTTAATGCATTTTCTAGAATAGCTTAAAATGAACTCTTTTTTATAATATCTTTAATATTCATGTAATCTAAATTAATATTAGAGAGATGCTATCTATGATGCACTCAGTACCAAAGACCTAATTTTCTTATAATAAGATTTTTAACTTAAAACTTTATATCATGCTTTTTACAGATCGTTTCTTATGTGAATCCATTGGTGCTCATAAATGGAAAACAAAAGTAAATAAAGCTAAGGATATTTACTAGAAATATTAATTATCATTGTATTAATTGCTTTTGTTTCTAAATATTTAGAGACTAGCAGGTCGTCTCATAATAAGTTTCAGCCCCAATCCTCTTTGTTTGTCTTCTCAAATCAACTATCATTTTTTTTATTTGCGACCTATTGATATATACTTCATTATCCATGTTTTGCCTTGGCTTCCCTCTGGGGCTTCTTTTATCTTTTCTATCATATTTTTCAAGCTCTTTTATGACTCCTAGCATTTCTCCTTCACTTCTGGAAATTTCATGGAGAAATTTTCCTGAGCCTTTGGAGTTATAAGTATTGCACTCTTGGATTATGTTATCAATTTCAATAAGCATTGTGGCAGATTTGGACCCTTTTAATGGGTAACTTTGCTTTTCCTTGCTAAATGTCCTATATGTTGGACTTATTGAGCTCGGACTTGAAGGCTCTTTTGTGCTCAGTCTTATTTTTGGATTAGTGATTTTAGGAAGTTTTAAAGTCCTATCACTAATTTTTTTTACTGCTTCTATTGCCTTTTCTGTGCAAAACTTGGATTTAAACAGCGTAAATGAATCAGGCTGATTCACTGGCGTAATCTTGATACAGTTTCTTGTTTTCATTAATGGGAACATTTACAATTATTTTTATTTTATAACCTATTTCCAGCACTCAAAAAATTTTTATTATGAGAATCCCAGTGACCATCTGACGACAAGTCTTTATTTGATTTTAATTTTCTGTACAGTTTTGAAATTTTGCTGTTTTCGTCTTGTAGTTCATGCAGCAGCTCGCTATCATTGAAACCGAGCTTTTTCTGAATAAAAATTACAATGCTTCGAATTAAACCAAAGTCTAAGGCGTCTCCGTTAATGGAGCAGGCATAGACGATTGCTTGTGTAGCTGGGTCTTCTTTTGGGGCTGGGGTTGGCTCAATGTCTTGAAGCCAAGGATCTGAAAGGATTTCCTGAGCTGTGGGTCGGGAATTTGGGTCAGATTTAAGAATTCTTGCAATTAGGCTGCTAGAAGTTCTTGAGAGGTATTGTGGTAGCGAATAGCTGGATTGCCTGATTTTTCTATAGAGCTCATGATCATTGCTTCCTTTAAAAGGAAATGTCCCTGTTAAAAACACATATAATAACACTCCAATAGCCCAAATATCTACAGGAGGGCCAGAATATTCCTTTCTGGTCACAATTTCAGGAGCCATATAGCTGGGAGTTCCACAGAATATTCTTGATTTTTTATCCTGGACTGTAGAAAACCCAAAATCAATTATTTTTATTTCGCCTTTGTCATCTAATAGCAGATTTTCTAACTTAAGATCTCGATGCGACACATTTTTACTATGGCAATATTCAATAGCACTTACTATTTGTGTAGTTATTTTTTTGGCTTCATTTTCCTCTAGTCTTCTATTTGGCTTTCTTTTTAAATATCCATGAAGTGAGCAGCCAGCCACATACTCCATAACAATATGCAGCTGCCGAGAGGTCTCTACAATTTCATAAAATTTTACAATATTTGGATGATCAAGCATTTCTAATATTTCAATTTCTTTTAAAACATTTTTCTTTCTGCTTAGATCAAGTAATTTAATTTTTTCATAAATTTTCAACGCAACTTTTCTGCTTGTTGGGGTATGTGTCGCGAATTTTACAGAAGCATAAGCCCCTTGACCAATTTGTTTGCCTATGGCATATTCTTCTATATTTCCTTTACACCTATTATCAGTGCTAAAAATTTCTTTCTGCTTTGAAATAGGACTTGTAATGTTTATTTCTCTTGGCTTTGGTATCGGGCTTGAATCCTTTGCAAGAATATTAGCAGAGCCATCTCTATTTTTAGCTATAGGGCTGGATTCTTTTGTAAGGTTAACCACAATTGTTTCTTTTGGCTTGACAATAGAGCTTGCATCTTTATTTGTATTGATAAACTGGTTAAATCCTAATTTTGTAGCATTCTGAGGAGTTTTAATAGGAGATCGAAATTCCACTTTGATATCGTCTCTTGGTGACTCTCCAGGAGGCCTTCGAATAGTCTGTAGTTTAGAGACTGGTATAGGAGTATAGCATCTTCCTTGAGCTTTATTATCGTCATTATTCCTTAGCAAGGTAGAAGGCACAATTGGTGTTTTCGGACAGCTAATTCTCCTGGTATGGACTTTTCTTTTGAATTCTTCAGGAAATTTTGACACAATTTTTGTATCTGCATTTCCTTTATCTTTTGCTTTATTTGTTACAATATCTAAAATAGTTGTATCAGGGTCTCCTTTATCCATAGATTCATTTCTTTTTTGTTTGACTAGCCCTGCAGAGCTTGGGCGTTTAAAAGCTTGATGCGCAATAGCTATTTTTTTAAGGTTCAGATGTGAGGTTATATCATCTCTATCTTTTTCTAAATTCCCTGAACTAACAATCCTTGTTCTTGAATTATTTGATATCATATTTAAGGAAACGGAAATTGAATAATTAAAGTTAGGCTAGAACGAATTTTCAGCTGAAGCTAAAGCAAGGATATTGAACCTAAGCTCTTCAGGGTCGACATCCATGAATCCTTCTTTAATTACTTTTAGGCAGGCTTCTTTAGCGAATTTTTGAGGTGCTGAGTATCTGCCATGGTTTATAGGGATCCCAGCTCGGCCGTCTAGCTCATAAATGTACCCATCTTTAGGAACAATTGCAATAAAGTGTAAATCGACCCTTTCGTTGTGGCCGGGAACTCGCGACTGGCCTTCTGCTGCAGCCCTCTGGTGCTCGCTTTCTATATCACTTTCTAAGTCTTCGCCTTCTTCTAATAGCCTGCCTCTTTCTTCAGGTGTTAAATTCCACGTTCTATCAAGAAATCTCTGCAGAAAGCTTCCTTCTGCTAGAATAATTCTTTGGCTTAACAGCTCAGAATTTAAGGAATTTGCAATTGCATGGATCGCTGCTATGGTCCCACAAGCATTTCCTACTGTTTGTTTCATATAATATAAATTCTGAGAGATTTCTCTGTTTTCTGCTTCGCAGAGGCTGACTCTTTCTTGACGAGCAGTTCTTGAGCGATCTGATATAGGATAAAGCAAAAATAATGCTAAAACAGGCTGAGGTAGCATGTCGATAGCCCATTCTTCCCAAGACAGAACATCAGTTAAAGAATACAAAGTTGTTGGGAAGCCTAAAGAATTGATGTATTTAGTAATGACTTCTGGGTTGGATTCTAAAGGGATTCATTGCTTTCTTCTTTTTTCAGACATGACTATAATAATGGCAAACATTAACCAGCCTTCAAACTCGAATAGGAAAAATTCTGCATTAAGCAACCAAAGCAGTCCTAACGCCAAAGACAAAGGGAAAGAAATACTAGTAATGACTGTGAATATAAGGGATGGCCAAAAGGATCAAATTATAGTTCATGAAGCTGATAATCCTGAAGACTTAGCATATCAATTTGCTAGAAAACACAGTTTGCCCAAAAGAATCGAAAATGCGCTGATCCACCAAATCCTGCATGAAATAGAAGTTTTGATACAAGAAGAGGACGATAAAACACAAGAAATAATTTCTCAAAACCCTAGCAAAGCTGCGTCCCCTAAAAAAAGTCACAATCCAATTTTTCAAAGAATCCAAGACAAAGTTTCTTCAAAGTCTAACAACTCCCCAGCAATTTCCAGTTCGTTTATAAGTGCTGCTCGACAAAAATCAGCAAACTACGGTGAATATTTATACACAAAAGAACTACAACATAAAGAGCAAAAAGAACTGTTAAATCAAAAATGGATCGAAATGAAACAAGAAGCTGAAGGCAAAGAGCTTACATTTAAGCCAACAATAAACACAAGCTTAGCGTCTACTAAAAGATCGCCGTCTTAGTCGGCAAACTGCCCGGAGGCACGCCCTGGTGCAACAAAGCTAATCGGCCCAGAGGTCTGTGGGCCCGGTGTAACAAAACCGCAGCGGGAAGCTCTGGGTTTGGGCAACCCCGTAAAAGACGTTAAACTTATAAATCTTAATGTAATGTCTACTAAAAGATCAACTGGAAAATGTGAAGAAAGCTTGCTATCTAGAGAAGCTGATCGGCAACAAAAATTAGCCCAGGAGGTTGAACGGAAATTTATTGAAGAAAAAGCCAAGTGCCCGTTTAGCCCAAAACTGAATAAAATGAGCAACAAAATTCTTCAACAAATAGGAAGAAATGGGGTAGGGAATATATGAAATGATTTATACGAAGAAGCAAAAGTCAGAGAGGCAAAGAGAGAAGAAATGTCGGTGCAAGATTAAGATTAATAAGTATCCGGCCATAAGCGCTTCTTCAGGCAATGGCCATAAACCCGTCTCGGCTCAAAAAATGGCTTGGCGCCATTTTGGATTACCGGCCTGAACCACCTGTCTAGGAGATTAGCTCTTCCTGGGCAGAACCACATCTTGATAGTGCCCCAAGTCCTGATGAGGAAAGGCCATATGGCAGGCAAAACATATCTAGCCCATCTGGCAGGGGCAGGGAAAGCATTCGGGGAAAAATAAAACACCCTGCTTCGGCAAGCTTCTCATTGAGACAGTCTGCTTGAGCCTTGAAGGCACATTTAGCCATCTCTCTCACCGACCCACTGCTCCATCAGGAGGTATCGCCTCGGAGTCCAATTTTCCTTCAACATCACCATTTTATTTTATGTCGGTGCAAGGGTAAGAAATATTTAGATTTCGGAAAACGTTCACTTTTCAGCCTGAAATTTCAGATGTTTTTCCTCATGAAAGTGGCACAGGAGTTGTAGAGAGGCTGCTGTCTGCAAAGCAGGAAAGGGATAACAAGATTGAGCACCAAAGATCCATAAATAATCTTCCTATTGACCAAAATACAGGACAAGAACTTTTTAAACCCGCAATTGGGAGACCTCCTGCTTCGGATAGAAATAGAAAAGAGGTACCAGTTGGTGAATATTTGTATAAGCTTAAAAAGAAGCCTGTAAAGCCTCTGGATTTTCCGCATCAACCAGTAGATATGGAAGGAAAAAAGAGAACGAGTAGAGTTGTAGAAAAAATGAAAATTGAAAGGTATTTTGAAATATTTTATTTAAGGCTGATATATCTAGGTAAAAAGATGCTGAAATTATTTATGCGATAAATCAATACAATAGAGTATATTCCAAATGTTAAGCCCAGATATGCAAGGCTGCATAAGTTTTGAAAATATTAATAGAAATAAGGTTGATCCTAAGATACTCAAGGTTATCAAACCTTTGCTAGAAGAACTTGAAGGATATGGCCAACCTCTGAACTTCCAAGAAGTATGTGATGCTTTAGACAATTTATCAAAAACCCTTACACCATTAGACAAAAGCGTAATTACACTTAAAAAAAGAGAAGAGAAAATAATCGAAAGTGAGCCACTTTCACTTAAAAAGAGTATTTCTCATGATTCTTTGAACAGGACAAATATATATAGATTCTCCACACTTTTAGCCTCCTCTTGTCCGATGTCTTCCGAGGCAATCTGGGAGCTGGTTTCACCACCTTATGCTGGTGAAACTTACCCTTAAAATGGCAAATCTGCACTATCTTGAGATTTGCCACTTTGAGGGTTGGCTCCGCCGACATAAGCTGGTGAAATCCACGCCCAATTGTCTCGGGAGACATCGGGGCAAGAGAAGGCCAAAAGTGTGGAGGCGCTATATATATGAGAGAGGAATGCAAAACAAAGAGCTGAGGGCTGCTAAGCTTGAAAAAGAGAGATTGCAATTTGCTGAAAGGCAGGTTCAAGGATGCACATTTAGTCCAAAGATTAAAGAGTATAAGCCTGAGCATAGTTACTATTATTAAAATCAATTTAATGTATATGAAAATTGGCTAATTACATATTAATTATGGCTTAACAAACAAACTAAAAAATTTTAATATCAGTAAATTCAAATAATTAGGAAACATTCTTAGTTTTCTTAAGCGTTAAATTATAATTCTTTTCAGTATCTGAATATTAAGACAGCTCAATTTATTAATTTTATTTTAAAAAAAAATATTTCTTATACATTTTCTTTATTCGTAAACCAAAATCATATCCCTTATCACTCCTCTGCAAAATGGGCACTTAGATAGTGATTTTATCAAATTCCTAGAGCATGGGGCACACAGACATTTATGCCCACAAGGATACACCACCATAGTGCAAGGTCTATCATAACAAATCTTGCATAAATTATTTGCATTTTCTATAACTCCCCCCTTCCCTGAGCGAATAAAACCATTTGAAAAATCACTATTTTTTGGGTAAAAACCCACCTCCTGTGAGCAAACAAAAATTTTTTAATATAAAAATTATTTATGAAAAAAATTTTAATGTGAAAGTTATAACTAATTCGTTTAAAATTTTAAACAAGACATAAATTTTACAAATTAAATTAAATTAATATTGAATTGGGATTTTTTAAAAAAAATTAACCTGAACAAAATTTTTTTTGTTCACTCATGGGGGGTGGGGAGAGTAAGAGGAATTTGATATTCTTCTGGCACTTCAGATATAGTAGGTGGCTCTAATATTTCGAAATATAAATTTAAGCTTAAGCATCCTGCAATAAAATCAACTAAATAAGGAATGCTTATCAATAAAAGCAGGATCTTATCTGATGCAGAATTTGTTAAAAATAAAAGCTCTATAATTTGATATATAAAGAATCCACCAAGTAAAACCACTGTAGTAAATCCATGAATTGAAATTTGTGTCCTATGCATATGATTTGCACCTACATAACCTACTATTGAAAGGCATGCTGTAAATAAATTTATGATTAAAACCATAGGAACTCGCCTGAGAAATAGATAAACAAAAATCCCAGCTATTGCGCTTATAAATTGAAAAATGCACCCTACTCCTGCAAATTTTCTTTTTCTTTGGATCCGATCTGGCAAGGAATCCATATTTGCGAACATTTTATAAATGATCTTTAAGATAGCTTTACTGAATCAAAATTTTTATAAGAAAATGAAGTGGACTAAATGTGCTTTAAATTCTTGAAAAATTCTTTTTTAGAAAAAACTTATTCTTTGAAAACCCACTAAAGACTAAATCTTTATTTTCCTAGATAGCCCTTATCGTTTTGAAATCAAATTTTTATCAAAACAAAACCAAAAATATTCCATTATGGTTAAATTTTAAAATTAATTAAAAGATTGACATCTTTCCAATATAAAGCTCCTAGACCTGTCTTGATCCAATATGGCCTAGAAAGGATGAATCGTAATTTTTCTAGTTAAATCTAAGTCTTCTTGAATTGGGCTTATCCGTAAGCTCATAGTCCTGGCCTAATCAAAATATGGCTGATAATCGTCTGACATCTACCTCTGACAGTGACTTTAAAATAAGGCTTCCTGTAGATCTTTTAAGCAAAGTAGGCGCCCCTAACGTCCAAACAATTTTAAATATTGCCAAACTCCACACCCAGAGATTCCAACCGGTATTCGTGATGCTTGAAAAAGTCCCTGGCGGATTAAGCATAACTGAAGAGCCACTAAAGCCGCCAAAACCAAAAAGTGAGGAAAAAGTAAAAAATCATGCATCGGAAATCCAGAAAGTCCCGCAAAGGAAACATCAGAGAACTTTTGGGGACAAGCAATATATATGTCCAGTAGAGACATGTGGGAGGCAATTCATGGACAATTCCAAGCTCAACAGACATATGTTAGTGCACACAGGTGAGAAAAACTTCAAATGCGAATTCTGTGGTAAACGATTTTCGCTAGATTTCAACTTAAAGACCCATCTTAGGACACATACAGGCGAAAAGCCTTATCAGTGTTCAGTCCCAGGGTGCAATAAAAGGTTTACTCAGTCAAGCAACCTCACAGCTCACGAGAAAACGCATTTCATGAAGGAGGGCGAAGAAAAGCCTAGACAAATAAGGCATATCCCAGAGCCTGAGATAGTTACTTTGCCTTCAATTCCTCAGCAGGCATTTTCGTTGGAGTCTGCATTTCCAATGACGTTTGATGTAATGTGTGTTAGTGCAACCCCTCTCCCTAACCAATAAGTATAATATCAATTACAAATTTAAATATAAATTTGGAGCTTTTAGATTAGATTATGAATTTTAAGATTTAATCATAAGGAAATAGAGAAGAAGTGTTTTTAAACTTATAGGAATGTTGAAAAATAATTGCGTTTAAGCAAAAAACAAAAAAATCATTTCTAAAAAGAAATTTCAGTTAATTACTGAGTCTGAGCTTTTTGTTGAGGATGATCAGGGCAGGCTCGTTCCATAGCTTGCAAGGTCTCTTCTGAAATTCTAACTCTGCCCTCCGTGAAAGAAAAACAATTTTGTCGCTTACGGTTTGTTTTTTTAAAAAAAATTATATTAAATTTTATAGTGAAAATTTTTTCGAAATTTAATTAAGCAAATATTATAATCACTTTCATATCAAAATATTTTTATATTAAAAAATTTTATCTTGGCTAACAGAGGGTGCATTTTGGATTTTTCCAATGGTATTGCTCGCTCACGGAGTGGGGAGTAAGTTCTTTTGAGTTGGATTTATAAACAGATTTTAATTCACTGCAAGGGATCCCTCCTCGCAATTCAGTTGCATTGTCAATTTTCTCTTTCATTTCTTGGTAATCTCTAAGTTTGTCTTTACCTTTCAAGATTGGATAATGTTTCTAGCACGTCGCTTGCTTGATGGGCAGGAATAATGTGCTTGGTTTTATCCTTAATGGCTTTTACCATGAACGCTTCGTGGTCAACTTCTTCTTTTTCCATTTATATTAGTCTAGCCAATGAGAGAGTTATTCTCATTAACGCAAAATTATATAGAGTTCTAAAAGTATTTATTTAGGAGCATAATATTAGAAATTCTAATTTTATAAATATCATGAAAATTTTCTGATAAGTAAATACCAATAATTTGAGTCTAAATCCTATTCATGATTCTATAATTGTTTTATACCTCTTTTTATATAGCCATCACTGACCTCTTTTGAAATTCACATAATAAAATTAATGATAAACACAGAAACAAGCAATCATGCATCCCCTCAGAACTGTAAAATAATCTGCCACGAAGACTGCAATGGGAATGGCTTAACTTATATGCTGAAATCATCAGAGCCAGAAGTAAAATCTTTAGAAATTCTCCCTCAAATTGATGATAATTTTGACATGCCTATCGAAGAATTAGTAAATAAACTTCTTGAGATAAGAAAAAATGCATCAAATTTTATCATCAGAAATTACAGAATATTCCTAACTAAAAAAAGGCTCAGGTTTTATGCAGTAATAAACCGATTGATATTAATTCGAAAAATACATGCAATCACCATACAAAGATATGCTAGAGGATGACTTGTAAGGAAAGACTTATCATTTCTTAAAGGAATTGATAATAAGAGATTAATAAGATGAAGGCATGGAGGAAAAGATGTGAAAATGATAGGAAATTTTACTGAGCCTACATGAAAAGAAAAAATATATCATTTTGGCTAATTTTAATATATTTTTATACAAAGATTTACCTAATTTTTTATAGAAATTAAAGAAATTTATGTATTTTTTTAATAAATATAAATCACATGCATAATAAATTTAAGATACTCTAAATACCTCAAAGAATTTATATCTACAGTTGTAGAGGACCGAAAACTGCCTGAAGGGACGTATTGTGTAAAATTCAATGTTGACGGCTCCTGGGTTTGTGATGGAGATTTAGCTGTTTCACAAGATCAATTGGGAAATTACAACAATATTATAATAGTAAAAGACAAAGCCAAAAAGCTATCAAGATCAATGAGTGTCCGTTCCTTCAACGCTGTCATTGACTCTGAACTTTCTAAACAGATTATCACCGAAGGCAGCCAATCCCCTCTAATTTTAGCTCGTACCTTAAGTGGAAATTTAGACTCCCCTAGAGGTTTTGGCCTTATAAGAGGGAAAAACAAAAAAGCTCCTGTCGCTTTAATAACTGGCGCTGCTATGTGTGCGAGGCCTAAAAAGAAATCATCGCCGGTAAACCCACAAGGAAGTGCAGATGCCTATTTCATTAACTCTGAGCTACAGGCATTCGGATTGGCAGACGGCGTAGGAGAATGAAGCTCATACGGACTAGATGAAAGCAGGTTTTCCAAAGAGCTCATAAGATACTGTGAAGATGTTATACAGGAAACTGTGTCACCAGACTCAGGCTCAGCTATCGAATATTGTGATCTTCTTGAACAAGTTGCTCTAGAGGCACATCGGAGGGTGATTTCATATGGAAGCAGCACACTGCTTTTGTGCATTTTTTATGAATCCATGCTCCATTCTTATTGTCTTGGGGACTCAAGCTTTTTGGTGCTCAGACCTCGAGAAAACAATAAGGCTTTATATTCAGTCTATCGGTCACTGGAACAGCAGCATTCTTTTAACTGCCCTTATCAGCTATCAAACCTTCCTAAATCCAACAAATTCCAAGAGTTGATTGAACAAGGGCTTGGCAGACTTATAAACTTGCTATCTCGAACAAACCATACTTTGAACGACTCAGCGTTAGATGCCCAAACTGAAATGATTCCTTTAAAAGTAGGAGATATTATTATTGCAGGCACTGATGGGCTATTTGACAATTTATATGAAGAAGACATTATAAAAAGTGCTGAAAGTATGTTGGAATTTTTCGATGATCCACAAGATTTCGCTGACAACTTAGCTCACACATTGGTAGAAAAAGCTATAATGAAAGGATGGGACAAGTCATATAAGTCCCCTTTTGCGAGAAATGCTTCAAAAGCTGGGAAAAGGTTTATTGGAGGGAAACTTGATGACACCACGGTTATTGTATCAGTAGCTGTTGATAAGGAGCCAAATCATTCTTAAACACACATATGAAGCCATAATAATGAGAAGCATTAATTATCTAACTTATCATGCTATTCTAAAATAATTATAATAATTTTTTAGCAACTTAGTCCTTGAAGTTGAAATACTGGAAGTGGTAAAATTGCGTCATAATCTACCACTATATACCCTGATTCCATTCTTAGATGATAATTATCAAACGTCGTCCCAGATGGGTATGGAAGTGTAAATACTGGGAAGAAAACACTGCCATTGTAGCTTTTTATGAAACTTTTCAAGAGATCGGCAGTCAGCATTCTTAGATTATAAGTATTGACTGTACCAATTATTGAGTTTACATTGTAAACTGAAGTGACTTTTTGGTTGTAGGCATATCCTTTAAGGACTCCATTTTTCACTTGTGGAGTCACTAAAAATAATATGTCAGCTTTAAAATAGATTGGATATGACCATTGGTTGATCAAGGAATTATAAGTCAAAATCTGGACATCTACTGTTCCAGATACCAAAATCCCAATTTCTGGAACTATAGTAACACTTGGAGCTCCAACAGTAGAAATGTTAAGATTTACAGGAACATTTCCATATGTTTGGTAAAGTTCAGGATAATACCCAGATGTGGAAGTTAATATATTAGGATAATCATCAGGGAGCTTTTGAATGAAATGATATGCATATTTAGCTGTTATCGCGTTATAATATGATTGAAGCATATATTGAGAAATCATTATCTGGGATGACCCAACTCCTTTAGGATTAGTGTAACGATCTGGCATAGTAAAAGATGGAGCTATAGAAGGCATCTTAGCTGAGGTATCATCTTGTGTCACAAATGTCCCATTATACCATATAGTCACATAATTATTGCTGCAAGGATATGCTGGATTATAACTGATTGCTGGAGTTCCGATTCACAAACTATTTAAATATATAGGCAAGTCTGGCACCTGTGGAAACCAGTTGAGACTCTGAGTATAGCCATTTATTCTTGATTCAAAAGCCTGCAGAAAAACAAGCCCAGTATTTGCCTGCAAAAAATTAACAATACGTGTTGTAAACTGTGTCGTTAAATTTGTAGAGAAGTTCAAGTTTTGAAACGTAATCTCATATATGCTGAGAGTAATAACGTCAGTATAAAGCTGAGGAATTCCGTCATCATTTTGAATTTCTGCATCCATTATTAAAACCCCAGTAAAAAATGCATCAGCAGTTCCTGTTTTGTTAATATTTTTGCTTGTGTTGTATTCAGAGTACTGGAATGACAAGTCTCCTGTAAAATTATAAAAAGTGATATTAAACCAGTTTGGCTGCTCAATAATAAGACTCACATTGGAAGGATTAATTGTGGAATTTGTAAGAGCGATATTTTTAGCAGTGACAGCTACATTTATGCCGTTGTCTACTGTGTTGAAGTTGAGACTTCCTAAGTTGCTTGCTGATATGTACTCTGCTGCAATAGGTATCAAATCTCTTATTAATGAAGAAGCGTCTTCAAGACTTCGAGAAATTTTCATTCCTGGATTGGCAGCTGAGCATTTTGTTATCAAAACAATAAGCGCAACAGCAAAAACCCAATTCTTCGACATATTTATTATGCAAAATCCTTGTTTTTGCTATTTCTCATTGTGTTTTCATATATTTACCACGCGTCTACTATAAGAATTCAATTTAAATTCATAAATTTATTAAATGGCACGAGTTCTTATGGCAACTTCTTACGACGAGCAGTTTCCAGCTGATAACATCCTCTCCCAGCCTACCCGAGAGTTCTGGATGAGCACAGGAGTTTACCCTCAAGAAATTTTAATTCAATTGACTCCAGCCAAATCAGTCAGAAGCATCCGATTTGTATCAACAAAAGTGCGGCAAATTGTAGTCGAGGGAAGTGAAGGCCCACATCTAGGGAACTTCGTAAAAATCGGGGAAACTGAAATAGGTGATTCGAGGGATCTTCAGAGAGAAACTGTAGAGATCAATAGCACTAAGGTTTTTCAGTATGTGAAGTTTGTGATTGCTAGTGGGTGGAATGATTTCGTGAGTATTCATTCGTTAAGATTTGAGTAATAAGCTTTATATGGAAAAGAATAATTAACCCTTTATGGTGATTGCAGATGAATGGCTTGATGAGGCAGGAAATTTTTAAACAAAATAAGAGATTAGCATTAATTATAATAAAGGAAATTGTTATCATAAAAGGATTATCTCATGTGTGGAGTTATAAAAATAAGCAATAAACATCTTTATCCGAATAATACAGAAATCAACTGACGCCCCCCCATCCTTGATCGAACGGCTCGCCATCGTTCGATCAAGGATGGGGGTTAAAAAAAAAATTTTTTTGGAAAAAATTTTATATATAAAATGGAAAAATATATATATATATATTTTTTTTTTATATATTTTTTAAATAAGAGGATTAAGAGTATTTAATAATTATTTTTACAGCAAAAAATTGAATTAATTTCATAAAAATACCAATTTTTAATATTTTGATTTTTTGGTTACCCCTTTAAACTGTATAAAATTTTAATTTGTTCCTTATTGAATTAAAAATTTTAAATTTTAAAGAATCTCTATTTTTTAGATTATTGAGTTTTTAAGCCCAGTTTGAAGACTAAAGCACTTCGAATGGTTGATTCCGTAGCTTTCTGTCGTCTCAAAGCCTCTGACAACAACTTCATTAGGCACATCTTCCCAAGCTTTTGATAACTAATATATTTTTATATATATAAAAATTTGCATGATGGGGGTAATTTTCCCAAATTTTTAGAAATTTTTACAGTGAATAGTTCGATCAAGGATGGGAGGAAGTGAGTAAAGTTATAAAAATATTGCAGGGAAAAAGCAAATTATTATAAACCCCACTATCAAAAATTGATTATTGTATAAGTGGTTTAAAATTAATGGAACTTTCTAGAATCAGCTATATAAGCTTATGAGATCTTGCTTTGTAATATATTTTAAATGCATTTCTTCAGTAGTGGTGGCGGCGGTGGATTTCCATTCGGCGATTTCTTCGGTGGGGCAGGCCCACAGAGTCCTCATGAAGAAGAGGAAGTTGATAGCACAAGATTCTATATTCTTTTTATAATAAAATTTTTATATAAAATTACTATCGATTTCTCTATTTTTTCTGCAGAAAGTTGCATTCTTTTTAATTAAAAAAACATTAGGTTTTATAAATGACTATACATTACTTGGAGTTGACAAGAACACATCATGTGGCGACATCAAAAAAGCTTACCGACAACTAGCCAAAACCAAACACCCTGACAAAGGTGGAGATCCAAAAGAATTCCAAGAAATCACACATGCAGCAGAAATTCTATCAGATCCAGAAAAACGCAAAGTCTATGACCGATATGGCGAAAAAAAAGATTAAGAATAAGATTATAAAGTCATGAGCGGGACCCTAATAGTCGGGCTACATTGACTCCAGGAAAGGTGGCTAACGCTAGCTGCGTATACACTAAAGTTCAAATGGTATAAGGCCAAATCAAAATTAAACCTCTTTGATTTCTGGTAAGACTCATAAATTCGACCTGCTCCATAGGGAGCACGCCTCTAAAACCAATTTCTGTCAGTGCCACCATTTTATTTGTTGGCGCAAAAGGCATCAACCAAGGGATGAGTGGCGCTGAAAGTGAAGCAACCAGCATCTTTGACTTACTAGCAGGCCGTGGCGGACAAAGAAGAGAGCAAGGCCCAAGGCGTGGCCCAGACGCGACTTACACATTGAAATGCAGTTTAGAAGATATTTACAATGGCGCTACAAGAAAAATCGCTATAAACCGCGACAGGAACTGCCAAACTTGCAATGGTGAAGGTGGGCACCATGCTAAGACTTGCAGTTCTTGCAAAGGTAGAGGTATAGTTACCAAAATTGTTCAAGTTAATCCTTGGATGCAAACACAAAGCACTGGAGCTTGTGATGACTGCAATGGCACAGGGAAAACATATGATGCCAAAAACAGATGCAAAACTTGCAAAGGGAAGCAGATTCTCCCGGAAAAGAAGGTGATTGAAGTCGTTATTGATAAAGGTGTGCCAAACCATCATAAGTACTCTTTTATGGGAGAAAGTGATGAAAAGCCAGGGATGCAGGCTGGAGATCTCATAGTGGTGGTTGAAGAAAAGGGGCATGAGCTTTTTAAGAGAAAAAAGGCAGATTTGGTCATGCTAAAGAAAATTTCTCTAAAAGAAGCACTTACAGGCTATAAATTCATTATCACACACTTAGATGGCACACAAAAGCTCATCCAATCTGAACCTCAAGATATCGTAAAGCCTGGAGATGTTAGAACTGTGAGAGAACTCGGAATGCCACTCATGAGGACTCCATTTAAGTTTGGAAACTTATTTGTTACCTTTGAAGTCGAGTTCCCAGCTCCACGTTCTTTATCTCCTGCACAAATTAACCAATTAAGAACTGTTTTGCCAGGTGATTTAATGGAAATTGAAGATACCCCTGGGGTAGAAAAGCACTCCACGATTGAGTTCGAAAAATCCCACGTGACGGAAAATGATACAAAGATTCATTCTGACTATAAGGATGAAGAAGAAGATGACGATGACCCAAGGTTTGCAGGCGCAAAAAGAGTTCATTGCTCTGGGACAATATTCTAAAAATATTTTCATTAATTTTGCCTTTCTACATATATTTTTAATTATTTTTCTTATTCCAGCAGAAGTTGTTTATTTTAAAATAGAGCTGCAGTAGCATAATTTATGAAAATAGAAAAGAGAGCAACAGACTAGTTCATACAGATTAAAGATTAATTATCTTGTTCAATTATTTCACCTGTTTCTTCTTTTTGTCTTTTCACTCGATATTCGATTTTATTTTCAATTTCATCAAGAATAAATTCATCAACTGCTTCATATACTAGAGGAAATGGGTATTTCGTATATCTTCCCCACATATGGTGATCTTTTCATCTTGCAGAAGGCGTTCTCCTTGAATTAATTCCTTGCATCACACAAACTATATCTTTTGTATCTGGGATGCCATCAAAGTTTCCTACTACCGAGTGAATATCCATATCAATATCAAAAGGCAGCCGTTGCTCTGGCAGCATTTCTTTAACATTGCCATTCATATATGTATTAATATAATCCCCAAGTTCTTCATTGCAATTTTTGCTGGAAACATAAGAATCTGCTGCGAATGTATTTAAAACATTATAGCACGTTTCGATTTTTTCTCGATAAACCTCTTCTATTTGTGAAAAATACATTTCCACGTCTTTTGCCAGTTTAAGCAGCTCAAAGTCTTCTGGAACTTTTTTTGGTTCCAAAATAAAAGCTTCTTCAGAGAATTCACATGAAATTTCACCTGTAGCTGCAAGCCTCCTTAGCACTTGTATAACATCTTGTACGGACAAGCCTATGCCTTCTGTGATATCAGGAATATAAAGTTTTCTCACTCCTGCGTAGTTTTTGGATTTCGCAAGAACATGGCTGATGATAGAATATTTTTCTGCTAATTGATCAGGTTGCGATTTATGAAATCGGATTTGGACAGCTGTGTATGTTAAAGGGTTTAAAGTTATCACATCTCTTTTTTCAAGCTCCAATAATAAGGATGAAAGAGTGTCTTTTTCTAAGCCCATATCTTCGCATGTTTCTTGCAGCTTAATTATAGATGGATCTTTTGAGGAAATATCATTGTCTCCTCTTTTCCTTTTAAATCCATTGCGATTTATAGCTTTTACCAGTTGGATTATGATTTTTATAATAAATAAGCAGTTTTAGTGTTTATTTATAGAAAATATATGTGTAGATAAATATGTATATGTGTCTTTTTGTTATATGATTTGTGTACCCTAATGATCTCAATTGAAACATATCTCTTTCATTCAATATAATGTGGGCATATGATTTTTCGCCATCTCTTCCAGCTCTGCCAGTTTCCTGCACTAAATGCTCTAACGTTTTAGGCAAGTACATATGAATGACCCCTTTTACATTAGCTTTATCGATTCCCATCCCAAACGAAACTGTAGCAACTAAGACTCTAATTTTTCCTGTCATGAAGTTTTCTTGGATTTTTTCTTTTTTATAGTCTGGCAGACCTCCATGGAAGCTTGCAGCTGATTCTCCTTTGCTTTTAAGCCATTGGGCCACACTGTCTGCTAGGTATTGAAATGGTGAATATATAATAACACTTCCTTTTCTGAATTCATCAGTTTTAATTATTCTTCCAATTGCTGTTGTAATGTCAGGATCTCTAGAGATTTTTATTTCAATATTTTTCCGCAATGGGAAGCCATATGACACTACTTCTGTAATATGTAAAATTTCTGAAATATCTTTGCAAGTATCTTTATGTGCAGTAGCTGTTAATGCAAGAATTCTTAAAGAATTTGTGGATTTCGGAATTAGTAGATAGGAAAGTCTGGATGAAAATGATAGCTGAGAAACACAGTGAGCTTCATCTATACAAAATAAAGAAATATTTTGGAATTTAAAACAATCTGAAAGAAACTTTTCTGGAGTTAAATAAAGAATATCAATTTTCCCTTCTTTTGCTTCTTGGTAGATTTTAAATTGCAGCTGAGGTGGCAATTGAGCATGAATGCAAGCTCCTGATAAGCATACTGGCAGCCTTAAAATTTGATCAGTAATAAGCGAGACAAGAGGTGTTATCACAATTGTGAGACCTGCTAAAATTCTTGCAGAAAATTGATAAATCAAGCTTTTTCCAGCACCAGTAGGCAATATTGTTAAAACGTTATTTCCATTTGTCAATTTTTGGATGCTCTCAAGCTGTCCTTCCCTCCAATCATTAAAACCAAACTCAGTTTTTAAGATTTCTGCTCAGTCTGTGTGCTCAGTTCTAACTTTATTAGTAAACCCTTCAGAATAAGAGACAATATTCCTTTGTTCCATCCCGTAAGATGTAGGATCAAATAATGCTTTATTTTTGCCCTTTTTTCCATATCTCGTTTTCCCCATTTTAGAAAAGCTTTTCCCTTTGCTTAGATTTAGCTTCACGAAGTTTTCTTTAAATTTTGGCTTTTGCTTTAGCTTTTCTTTGGCCTTTTTAGGGATTTCTGCGAAATTTTGATTAAGTGCTTTATTAAAGGTTTCATCCTTGATTTCTTCATCTATCAGCGGCATATCCAGTTGCAAAATTTCAGGTTCTTTTACCTCTTCATCGTCATTTTGCATAAGTTTTAACACTGATGATTCATAAAATTGAACCGCGCGATTTTTTTGATCAGGAATAATAGGCTCGCTTTTGGACTCAGTAAGCAATTTTAATTTATTTGTAGGTGGAGGTCTTTTTATGACTTTTTTCACTTGAATAGCTTGTGGTTTTTCAATATCTCCTGGAGCCTGAATAAATTTTACATCAAAAAAGCTTGTGCTTGGAATAAAAGACATTTATATATTAGAGATTAATTTATTCAATAAAATAAATAAGCGATTTTTCAAATTTTCCCTTCTTCTAAGTGTCTGAAGCACCTAATTAAGTAAAAGAGTCCTCGCATCCTTGAAATGAATGCACTGTCTCTATAGTTACCGTTATTATAAAATTGTGCATCTTGCATTTGTTAAAATGGCATGATAAACATTTAGGAAAGGAGAATTGTGTCTAAATTGTGGATCCAGCTGATTTTATAGGTCAGGATGAACGGTAACTTTGGAAAGCAATTTTTAGGCTGACAGAATAAGCCTGAGCTCATTCTCTGGGCAAGTTTTTTCTTATGGGAGTAGACGAGTGTCACAACAATACCTTGGGCATCTACTAAGTTCAGTGCAAATATTCAGTTTTTTGGATTTTATGCAAAGCATGAGCATAGAAGATAATGAAAGATCTCGGTAAATCAGTATTATCAATGCATTTAGCTAAAGTTTGAGGTAATTAATATATAACAATTGCACTTAAATTGTAGATAAACAATAAAAGTGTGAAACAAATTAGGTTAGACAAAGATAGAAAAATAGTCTTATATCTCCTAAACTTTATTGTATTGATAGATTCACAATTTATTATAAAAATAAAATTTATAATATTCATTATTCTGATATTTTATATCATAAAAAATAATACCGAGATTTAATTTAATATATAAAAATTAATTATTTCGAGCAAAACCCTACAAATAAAAATAATTAATAATAATAAATAAACTCTTTCATTTTTGTAAATTTGAGAATATATATCTACATAAATCTTAATGAACATAAAGACTCATATGCCAATAAATTGATTTTAGGATAGGGTTGATACGACATTTATAAAAATATAAGCTATCTCATGAAAATGTTGGATTTTCAAAAAAACCCAAAAGATGAGCTATCTCTTGACTATGAAGTATCAAGCCAGAGATCTTCCTATGGAAGCAAATTACCAGTAAATTCTAAGCTGCAAGAAATCGATTTTCCTTCGATCGTTAGTAACTCTCCTTATTCTGTCAAATCATTTCCACCTCTGACTCCTTACTCAACTTCAGTTGAGCTGGAAACTTGGATTAATTCTCATCTAGAAACCTACGAAAATTCCTCGATTCCACAAGAAATTAAGCAAAAAACAGGCACTGAGGCTCTTTCCCTTTTAACTAACTTACTAGAAGAGTTTAAGATTGAGCTAGAAGAAATCACAAAAAAGTCAGGAAAAGCTCATGCTCCTGCTTTATTTATGGATCATTTCATTAGAAGTGAAGAAAGCCATGAAATAAATAGCTCAGAAACAAATTTAAAAGCAGACTTAACAGTAAAATTATTTTATAAGGTTTTGCTTGAACTCATAAGAAATGAAGAAAAACAACAAGAAATTCGGCCTGAGGTCAAAGGTCCACTCACAATTATATTAAAAAACGAAACTTTTTATAGAGCTTTACTATCCTGCTGCCTAGAAACTGTGCTTTTTGTAAACAATATAACAGTAATCGATTATGAGCAAGTTTTAGACTTATGCAGAGTTTCTGCATTTGACTCGTGGAAGCTAATGAAGAGTTTTCTTGAGTTTGACCCCAAAATCCCTACTGCTCTCCGTACCTATTTTAAGACGCTTGAGCTTCGTACAATCTCCTATCTAGCATGGGCTGAATCTTCCCCTGTCTTATCTCTAATAAAACAGCATTTTAACACCAAGGAAGAAAATACTCACCCAGCTATTCAGATGTTTTGCAGAAGAGTCCTGTCACATGCTGCCTTAAGAATTTCAGATTTATCAAATTTATTGGAAATTCCTGAGCCTCTTAAAGAAGAAATCTGAAATGTTATGAAAGATGCTTTAAGTGACAATACTGAGCTATTTATTAATAGACATATGGACCAAATAATTATATGTACAATATATGGGGTTTGTAAAGCTATACCGTTTAATAAGACTAGAATCTTGGCTTTAATAAATATTTTAAGAAAAATTGGAATTTCAAACCAGACAAAAGGAATAAAAATTTAAATGTCACTTTTAATGCTTTGATTGCAAAATACACAGATTGTTATAATGACCCTGGGAAAATTTTTAGAAATGTAAGGATAGATGGGCTAACTAATACAGGAGATATCATCAAGTTTTATAATAATGTGTATGTAGCTCATATGAAATCAAGCCTTTTGGCTATAAGTAAAAATAGTGAAAAAATCCAACAGCAGCCGAGAGTCCCTTCACTAAATCCTCCAAGTTCATTAGCATGCAATTTGCCCTTACCAATGATATCTTATTGTCCATCCCCTAGCAGGCAGCATACAAGATCGCCATCGCGATCTCCATTTTTGACACCCAGATCTAGAAGATACGCATTTGGAGAATCACCATCATGTGTGCTTGATGGGATCAATGAAATGATGAAAAACACTGAAAGGGAAAGACTTAGCTATGATGAGGATGAGCTCCTTGGAGAACCAACAAAGAGGCCAAAGCATGGAAATGAACCTTTTCAAGACAGTGAAATGGAAGAAGCATTGCCATACGATTTTTCTGAGAATTAAAGTTGTGAATGCTGCAAGAATGATTTAATATAATAAATCTCTTGAAATCTTATTAAACCATTATATTTAACTCCTATGGATTGGACTCATATTTGCAATTCCGCCATATTTGCGCTTCAGTTCTTCATATTCTTGATATTTATTATAATTGCTAGTTTTTTTTGTGGCATCTTCTCTTGTTCTTCTCGGCTGATTTTTAATTGTAATTTCTTTACTTTTCATAATAAATGGAGAAGAGCTATGATGCTGATTGGGCTTCCCTACATTATAAGAATTCCTAATGCTGTTTAGAAATTAAATGGCGACGCTAGGTAAGATTGCACTTCCTATGGATAGGTGCCGATAAAGCTGAAAATATTGCCTTTATCACTTTTTGAAGTATGCCTTCAGGCTTGGAATGCTTTGATGAAGAGGGAAGTTTTGTTTCTCCCCGAAGATTTTTCCTGTCACTGCCAGATGGGCTAGAGAGGATTCTACCTATCACATGGTCTTTTCTTATCGGGACGATCTGTTTACCTTTCAGATGGTGGCTCTATCTAGTAAGCTAATCCTTATGTTAGGTGGGTTTACGCCAGCCTTATAATATTTAGCATGACTTAATGCTGTTTCTTTGGTCAAGTGCTTTCGAAGCTCTTGATGTAATTTCCCTTAAATCCTTCAAAACATCATTATAATTAAAATGCTCATAAGCTCTTTGATTGCTTGAATCTGGTCTTCTCGTTAATTGGTCAGTATCTGAATCAAATGTCCCAGCTTGTCTTGCTGTTAAAGATCCATCAGTTGTAAATGACTGCCTACTTGAATGGCTTCTATCATTCCCTAGCTTCAGCAGCTGTACTTGATTTTCTAATTGTGAAATTATTTTATCCTTATTTTCCAATCTTTCTGTTAACTCAGAAATCATGGAATCTTTTTCAGTGTCAAATTTCTGTATTCGGAGTTCTTCAGAAATTTTAAGTTTGTTATGGAGGTCGTCTATGATTTTATCTTTAAGTTCGTTATCTTTATTTTCATCAATTTCAAGATTCAGCCTTTCAATTTCATTTTGAAGATTTTCATTTTTTGCTCGGTATCTATGCATTCTTGACCTTAGAATCTCAAGTTTACTAGCGATATGATTATAAATGTGACCATCTGCTTTGTTTATTCTATTTGTCCGAGGTATTCCGTCTTCTTGACTGATATCTTCGACTATGTCATACATTCTCAAAATTTCTTCATCATAGGTTTTTTGTTTTTCTAAAAATTTTTGTGAGTCTTGTTTAGTTTGCTTTAAAGATAATTCCATTTCAAGAAAGTCGTTGGTGATAAGCTGAATTTCAGACCTAAGCTGTTGGTTTTGTTTTTCATATCTTTCACATTCCGTTTTTCAATTTTGAATTTCATCTTCAAGTTCTTTAGTTTTGCTATTTGAAAATTTTTCACTGATTTGGGAGTTTTCAGATTTTAAATTGAGATTTTGAATTTCTAATATTTTGGCTACATTAAAGCCTTTACGTTTACTAGAAGATCAATATAATTCCTGAAGGACTATTTATATCCTTAACGCTCCCTTCAACTGCTTACCAGTTAATGCACAGCCTCACAAAGGTTGCTCCTTCCGAACGAGGGCTTGCACTCGATCTCCGGAAATAGGATGACTCCCATCACACGGCCGTACGTCAAAAAAGGGTTGTTCACAATGGAAAATTCAAAAAGGTTGAATTTTCTGGTCGATTCTTGGTAAAAATAAAAATCTGAAGCCCAGGGTGTACTTCTGATTTAATGCTGCGAAATAGTCCCGATTGATTATTCATCCCCTCTTAGACAAAAGCGTTGATCTGTAGAGCTTGCAGTCGACTAAGCTAGACATTTCGCTCCACCAAGCCAATTAAAACCTGACCCGATATATGTCCCGACCTCCATCTCCTTCCTTGCGGTCCCTGGCCCAATGCAAGAACAAAACGAGTTGCACATTCAAGAAGGCGAGTTGGGTTGATCCGCCATTTTAATACAAACCTACCATAAAGCAATTTTATAAATATTTCAAATAAATAAAGATTTATTATTTTTATAAATTTTATCATAGCATTTGAAGTAAGATATTTGCCTCTTCTTTTATTGATTTTTCTTCATAAAATCGATCCGTTGTTGAACCTTCTTGGCAATTCACTGAATTACTCATTGAGTAAACTGGAGCTTTTGGTGTCGATGCTTCATATTCTATAAAATTTTCATAAGTTAAAACAGCTGATCCTTCTTCTTCCTGAGTGATTTTTGGAGTATTTGCCAATTCAAATTCTTCATCTGTATCATCTAATGAATAAAAATGAGAATTAATTGACCCTGAAGGGAAATAATTAATGACTCTTTGAGAGCCTGATGAAGGAGTTGCTAATTGTTGAGTATACTTTAAAAAATCTTCTTCTGATGATCCTTCCAGATCGATTTGTAATAGAGACATTTAATTTAATCAAAATATTTAGCATAAAATATTAAGCGCCATTGCAAATAAAAGAGATAATTTCTTCAACTTTCATTTTATAGACCTATTTTGGCAATTAAAAGTTGCTCTGAAAAATTTATTATTTTAAATGCAAGAGAATATATTTTTCTAGTGGAGTCGGAAAGTGTATATATTTAAATAAATATGTCGAAAAATGAGAAATCACCATTATATAAAATTTCAAGGTTCGACCACAAGTCTGATAAAGATATTCTTTCAGATTTTAAATTAACAAAATCCAAATCATTAGCAAAAATAGACACCAATATAAAAGATCTTGAACGATCTATACATAGATCATATTTTTCTCATTCCCGCCTTTAATTAGACAAAGTATCTGCAAATTTCCATTTTTGAGTAAAAAACCTTTTAATTGAAAGAAGTTTTTATTATAGCTAATAAATTATTCATATGCAAATAGTAATTTATAGTTGCAAAAATCAAAAATTTTACTATAACTCTTTATATTTTAAATTGAGGAACGAGCAACAAATACTATTTAAAAAAGGTCAGCATTCGAGCCGATAAATTTCACAAATTTATTGAGAAACAATTTTATATAATTTTTTATTTTAAAAAAAATTAATCTCCTAGACTGAAACAGAATTTTTTTTGCTCATTTTTAAAGGGGATATCAGAATAATAGTCCCGCACACTCAAAATACTGCATGGAAAACCTATCTTTTTATGAGAGGCAATATATTAGTGGCCCTGAATCTCCAAGATTTAATTCCAGGTTAAAGAAAAACCCGATCAATAAATCATTAGTTATGAGAGAAACAGAAAAAAAGCTCAATAAACTTTCATCATTAAAGCCACCTTCAAAATTTACTGTCAGCAAAACTATTGGCTTAACTTTATTAGATGATTTGAAAACCCGCAAAGCCCTTACTCAATTCTAGGTTAACTAGCAAAAAATTTTTATTTGTTTTAAATTTTATTTATTAGATTTTAAAAAATTAAAAAATTTCAAAGGAAAAATCAATATAATTTAATCTTTATTAAGATTTAATAAAATTAATTGTAGATAACATCATAATCACCCTCTAATTATTGTTCTATTACATTTTTGGTCGCCAATAAAAGGGGTTAATTTTTTAGGAATTAGGTTTTTCTAAAGATTTTACTTGCTAATCAAAGAAAGAGTTAACAGCATTTTAGAGAAAAGTTTTAGAACTGACTCTTTTACTTATTCTGGACAAGTTTATGCAAAAAAAATAAACAAACTACCTATAATATCAAGCCATAAGCCTAAGATATCTAAAACAAATGAAAAAAAAGTAGCTGAGAATAACTCTCCAAAAAGCCCAAATTTATCATATTATAAATCAAAAAAAGAAAAAATATATGAAATTTTCGATCAAACCATAAATGACTTTAAACTAAAATCTGTATTTAATTACGATCGAGTAGATACTGCAAATGTTTTAGACAAATATTTAATTGATTACAATAATTCTTGGAGTTTGGAAGCAATAAAATTAAGCAAAAAATCTGGCCTATAGTGATTAAATCTAAATTTATCTAGCTAAAAAAAAATTAATAGAAAATTTTATAATAAAAAAGTAGTGAAAGTCATAATATTTTAATCCTGTGTAGATTTTGTAAAAATAATTATTAAATTAGCCTAAATCCTTAGTGAAAGAATGCTAATACATTTTCTATGCCTAAATCTATTAAATTTAATTTTTAAAATGAACGTATGGAGTCAATATAGAAGATTTTATGATCTCTATGATCATTCCTTAAAACTTAAATTCAAAAATGTTTATATTGCACATCTTAAAAAACGATTATTTTTTTTATCCATCAAACCATATCTATTAGTTTGTTTTTATCATTAAAATTCGTATTTTTGTAAACTTACTATGGAAGAAGACAAATATGTGAAATCATATTCAGCTGGATTCTGGAAACCAGACTCAGACTCGTCCAAAAGAAACTTAGAAATCCCTTCCCTAATTACTGACCAGCAAAGTCCTATCATTTCTTTAACCCTTTCTCAAAACTGAGGGTTTTTATTATCAGCTGATGGAAAACTGTGTGAAATTGCAAATAGTCAAAGCCCTACCTTTCCTGTTGAAATACCTACCCCTATCAAGCTTATACAAGTGGTTTGCAATGATTCAATAGCGATAGCTATAGGATCCAATAGAAATATGTATTCTTGGGGTTACGATCAAGACCAAACTGGTCTTCTTGGCATCCCTGATGTGTACGAAGCCTCATCTCCTACGCAAATTCCAGGTATATCAAATATAACACAAATTTCTATTGGAACTTCACATGCAGCTGCTATTAATCAAGAAGGACAACTTATAACATGGGGAAGTGGATTTCATGGAGAACTAGGGACTTCGGGACCAATTTGTAGGCAAAGCCCTCAAATAGTTACAAAAGCAGAAAAATTCAAAATAAATCAAATTTTATGCGGGGATACTTTTACGTGTATTTGTACTGATGGGTGTTATGTTTACATCTTTGGGTCTTTGGGAAATTCACATCATCATTTAAGAGGCAGGCTGATTTCGACACCAAAGCCAAGTATTGGGCTATCACAAAAATCAAGGGATATTCCTTTTTCCATATATTCCTCTATTAAAAATCATTTATTATTCGCTGGGCAATCTTACTCCCATTCTGTGAGTTGACCAAAAAATTTTTTGGGCGAAAACTCACCTTTATCTTCATGAGCAAGCAAAAAATTTTTATAGAAAATATTTAAATATATTTGATATATATATCTCAATATATTAAGCTAAATTTAACAATTTAAAGAAATTGAGATTTTATTGAAACTTCGAAAATATATAAATTAGCTACCAAAGTGATGGACCTAAAAAAATTTGCTCTCTGAGAGGTGGGAGTAAGGGGAAATACTATAATAAAATATTGACGACAGTTCCAGACTTAGAAAGACATGCTGTGATTTCAATGTGCTGTGGGAATGGTTTTGTTAGTGTTTTAACAGATTTAGGAGAAGTTTTTTTCTTTGACGACTGTTTAACTTTAATAAAGGCACCAATTTATCAAGATTCTATCATTGAAATGATATCATGCACAGAAAATGCAGTTTATGGGATAGATAAAAATAATGGGCTAATTTTTGAATGAAAATATAATATTTTTTTTAAAAATGCTATTAGCTTAAATATTTTATAATCAGATCCTTTTTTATTTTCTAGATCAGCCCTATTTTTCACTTGATTTTTAAGTCTAATTAATTTAATTTTGGATAGAAAAATTCGACTATCTTCCTCTTTTGAGTCTAATATCTGCCAACTTTCATGCTGGTCTGCAACAGTTTTTGCAGCTAATGAAGAATACACAAATATAACTCTTTTCAATTCTCAAAGCATATATTCTCTCTTTTCATGCCAAACATCAATCGGGTTTATAGAGCCTATAGGTTATTATCTTTCTATTGTCTATCCTTATAAACGGTCAGAAATTGCTCAGCAAGCAGTCAGAAATTCTTTAGATCTCTGAAACAGTGCCCCTGTAACCCCTCATATGTTCAATAAAACAATAAGGATGGAGTCGCCTGTTTTTATTCCAGAGGAAGAAAACGAAATGGAAAAAATATTTTTAGAACAAATCAATCAGGAGCAAGAAAAGCAATTATTGAATGCATTTAGGCCTACTGTTTTTAATGTTCTACAAAGAGCTTTTAAAAAGATCAAAGAGTATACAATAATGAAAATCATCCATAAAAGAACTCTTGCAGCTACTTTAGTTCCTACGTCAATTAAAAAAGTATTAAATAGGCATGAAATCAGCTCAAAGTTCAGTGCCTTTCAAGCTATACGAAATTATGTTCAAAATCTAATAATAATTCAAGAGCAAAATGAAAGAAATAAACAAAAAAGGCAATTGAAAATAAAAGAAGGCACGAAATTATTGCTAAAAATGCTATCAGATTGCATTTTCAGAGAAGAGTGGTTTGCTTTTTCTCAAATAAAGGAATATCAACTTTTGTATCTCCAAAAGAAAAATGCTATTATGATCATCAGAAAAACATTTACTCCCCCCCCTTCCGTGAGTGAACAAAAAAATTTTGTTCACTCACGGAGGGGGGTTAATTTTTTTTTTAAAAAATTTTTATATAAATGTTTTATAAAATTTTTTTTCGAAATTTAAAAACTCACTTCTATAAAATTGGGAAGCAAATATTAATTTAATTTGTAAAATTTATGTTTTTAAAACGCAATTTGTTTAAAATTAAACAGAATTAGCTCGAGATTTCATTATACTAATTATCACTTATATATCAAATTTTTTTTCCATAAAAAATTTTTGTTGACTCACGGAGGGTGGGTTTTTGGGCAAAAAATAGCGATTTTTCTAATGGTTTTTGTTCACTCACGGAGGGGAAGAGTTAGAAATTTTATTGGGCATAAGGTTAAGTGCGCTTTTGGGAAATGAAAATATTATTTGAGAAGGATGAAGAGTATTGAAAAACAGAATGAAATTAAAAGAAAAAAAGAAATGAACAAAGCAGATATTATTAAGCTTGAACACAGTTTAAACATAATGAATGTTATACGAATGCGAACAATTAGATATGGATTAAATGTATGGAAAGAAAAAACAGAAAAAATAAGAATTTATATTGAGAACAATAAAAAAAAAACTGAGAGTTGTTTAAAAAACTTTGTTATATTATTAACATTATGTCGAGAAGAAAGAAAAAAGGAATCTATTTCAGCTATAAAAATGATCTCAGATGCACATAAAACTTCAGAAAAATTAAAAACTCTTGGGATCAAGCTGAGTGAAAAGGTACGAAATATAACCGCATTTTCTCTTAATAATCATTATAAATCATTGATATCCTATAGCAGATTGTCATCTTACAGACCAGCACTCATCAAGATCGCAAATATTTGTAGATTACATATGATTGAAACTTTCTCTAAAATTTTTAAAGCCTCAAAAAAATTGATCATGCTATCAGATTTACTTAAAAAACATATTAACATGTCTCTTAAAAACGCTTTTACAGTTTTGTCCCAAAACTGCAGGCAAAAACTAAATTCTCGATACCAGACCTTTGAAACTCCAGATATTTCAATCTTCCAAGAAAGTGATATGGTTTTAATTCAATCAATAGAAAGTATTGGTGACTTAACTACCTCTGTAGCCAGCGCATATAAAAAACTGTCTACGTTGCAGACATCAAATGATTTAACAATTGAAACCAAGCCAGATTTCAATATTTCCTTACAATCATCAGACTCAAAATCTAAAAATCTTGAGTTATTCACATATCCTTCTGTCAGTGTATACTTATAATAAAGACCATAGTAGTCTATTCAATTAGTTTTGTTCTTGCTTTCTATAAAAATAGTTTTTTATTTCTATTCGCAAATTACTTATTTTCTTCATTTATATTACTTCAAACCCCCAGAGAAAAGCGGCAAACTTCCTCAGGTATTCAAACTTCGATAGTCTTAGAAAAAGAGCTCACATACCAGCAAAAAATTATCCGAAACATAATGGCCAAAGCAGGGTATTTACAAGAAAAATCCAAAAGCTCTCCGAAAAGGCCACCATGGATCCCACCTAATAAAACAGTAGAATTATCAAATGCAAAAAATTCAAATAATTCACAGCAAAAAAGAGCAGATTATGATAACCATTTAAAAGAAAGAATAAAAATAATCCAGCAGCGAAAAAACCCAGAAAACCTTTACTCTTGTGCAGAAATAAAACAAAAACGAGAAGTTTGTGCAAGGAGAATAAAGTCTTATCCTGATAAAACTGCTTTACATTTGATTTCTAAGCATAATAGTTAACTCCATTTAATTAATACTAAATTGACTAATAAGTTTACAAAGAATTGCGAAGATAAATTACTTAATTGTTGACATGAGGACTGACAATTTATTGGGCTTTTTAGCTAGTTTATCTTATTATAATAAAATTCTTTTTAAACCATAATCTCTTCAATTTCTTGCAAAAGCGCCTCAGATGTAACTTTAACTCTTATTCGTGTGGAACCATAATACCCTAATAATGTAAGTGCGCATCATAATTTTGAGGCATCTTCATTTGGAGTTTCTATAGCCACTTGATGATTTTCAGCATCAATATCAAGCAGTCTGTATTGGATCTGGCTTCCTCCAACTTGCCCATATAAAGAAATAACAGCAAAGTTCAATATATTAGCCAAAAAAGACTCACTGATATCATCAATGTCATGCTCAAATTTAACTTGGAAAGTGATTTTGGTTGTCATTTACTTAATTTATTAATATTTTTCAAAAGAACTATTTGCTCTTTTATGATTCAGAGTACTGAAATAAGGTGACCTAATAAATGCTCGTTTTGGAAAATTCGGCTTTGTTCTTGGCCTTTCTGGTGACTGTGGAGTCTTTGTTCTGGTTTCGTCTGTAAGAGTAAAATCAACTGATTTTCTCAAAAACCATGGAGATTTCTCTCCTGCTTCAATGGCACTTGCAGGCCGTAGAGGACGATTTGGGAGCACTTGTGAAGCGTCAATCCTAGGGGTGATATCATTTATACTATTTTTATTATTTATTTTGAAGAATTTTTCAATTAATACTACGATATTGACATTTATTTCAGTTAATTTAATAGGGAATATGCTTGCTCTTTTAGATTTCAAGACAAATGATGGCTCAAAAACTATTTGATCGCCAAGGTAATAATACCCGTTATTTGAGAGATCCTTTTCTGCATGATTTTTCTTATAAATTGGGCCTTTTTTGGTGATATCTTGCTTAAGCTCGTAGGAGCCAGGACCAACTCGATACCCAGTTCTTTTGGCGTTAATTTCATATTGAGGGAATCTTGATGCTTTGGAAAAATTTGGCCTTAATCGACTTGGAGATGCAAAAAGAGTATTTCCTGTAATTGTAACCCCAACATCATAATATTCAGGAGTTTTTTCTTTAGGACTACGAAATTTGAGATCAGTTGGCCTCATTTTTGCTATGTCTCTAAATAATAAAATAAAGATTGGGAAGCTATATTATGCGTTTCCTTTTAAATATATTGGTAAATCCTACCAATTTGACTTTGGTAAGACAATTTTTTGAGTTTTATAAAACCCTAATTCTTTAGCAGTTTTGACGATTGAAATATTTTTGACTTTCAAAGTCTAATTTAAATTGATTTACAAGTATACTTTATTATAATTTACGATTATCGCGTCTTAGGCGCCTTTATTTTTAAATCTCATACCTATTTTAGCATAATTCTTGACTGCAGCATCAATTAATCTATTTGACTCTTCTTCATTTTAACTCGAATTAATGCCATCATGGCATGCTCTAATCTAAAAATCTCAATCTCAAAATCTCATTTTAACTCGTTTTTTGATTTCATATCTTTTTGAAGGAATTATACTTAATCCACCCTTATGGCTTTCTATAGAGTCATCATCATCATATTATTTAGAGGTCGTAAGACCATTTTATGGCGGAGCCAAAGCTCACCGCGCTAGGCTATATGGCCTTAATTACCCATCGCTAGCGACGACGAGGTAGTAGTTTATCTCCTCATCTCACGCCCGTTGTCTTAGCCAGAACACCCGTCTTCGATGCGATTACACCCAATTAACTCGCGTCTCCTCCATCGGAGTCCGATGAGCTGCGGACTTGCTTCCATCTTGCCTTAGACGATCCACCTCTCTGCCAACTCTGAATTGCGCAGAGACTCGTGCAGCCTACACTGCCCAGTCTTCGTCCCGCACACGCCTTGATGCCGGTCTATCTCGCCAGCCATCCTATCCCAGGAGCCCTGAGTCCGTTGACCCGATGGTAGGGCCCGGCTTGAGGAAAAGCTCAAGGTCGGCTGAGCCAAAAAACCTCACCTGGGGAGAAATAACTAACTTAATTTAAGCATGCTCTAGGTCGGTCGAGCATGCTTCCTTTGACATTTATTTCTGGCTTTCTATAGAGTCAATTTCTTAATTTATAATCCAATTTTTATCTCTTTTAATTATTTTTGGTTGTCCAAATATATTTGAAACTTCATCCAAAAGCGCATTGGAATCTCATTCCCTAATTAGCTATGACAGAAAAGGGTGAAAGTGTAAAAATTACTTTAACATCAAGTTCGATGACCAATTATATCAAGTAAAGCTTCGGAGCTATAAGTGATAAAGGCAAGAAATTAAAAACAATGGATAAAGCCAGATAAAATAAAATTTAAGGTAAATGTATAGCGGTCTTGAAATTTGAAAAATTATGGCATACTATTAAGCTTTATAAAATTAAAAAGAACCATGTCCTTAATTGATGCAACTTTTTTACTTTTAATTAATTCCTACAAGTTAAATATTCTTTTAAATTCATTTAATACAAATTCATGCTGGCTTACGTGTTGAAATGATAAGCTTGCGCACATGATTGCATTGGTAAGATCTTGAAGTCTAGAAAGATCTGGCTTCTCTTCTGGAGAGAATGATAAAAGCAAGTAATTTATCAGGTTTTCTAGCATTGGATCAATTTCTGTGTAAGACTCGTCTGTGAAAGGAATTTGCATTAAATCGCCAAATTTTAAGCATTCTTGTAATGGAAAATTCCTAAAAATATTGTACATCTTTAGAACTATTGAAATTTTCTCACTAATCCCGATGATGAAGGGATTAATTTTGTTTTTCAAATTTTATAAATTTTTATAACAAAATTTTGGTTTTTTCGAAATTTTTAAGTAAAATTGAGGCTTTAGAATTCAAGCTGCTTAAAAATTCAACAAAATTAATGAAAAATTACATTATAATGATTATCACTATATATTAAAATCTTTTATAAATTTATTTTGCATATCAGAGTAAGAGGTCCTCTTAACGTCTCATGGATAAGTCTATCTCTTATTCTTATTAAGCATTGTATCAGAAAAGAAATCGAAAATTCATAGCTATAAATTTTTCTCGAGTTTTGTATAGAATATGGAGAGTTGCATTTAGGAACTAAACAGACAAAGTTGACATTGGAAAATCTTTTTATTTCTTTATAAACCATCTCGAGTGATTTTGGTGAATGATTTTTATCTAGGAAAATTACATGATTGTGTACATTTTTGTAAATTTCATCTTTTAGTCTTTTAAACAAAAGAGTCCTGGTATTTTTGTTATTATAATCAAAATTATAATCAAATTCAGTGTTCGTCTGCTTGTTGATACTTTCAGCTCTTATTGTGTCAGGAGATATAACGGTTAAGGTAAAACTTATACTATGCAAAACTTCTTGAAGGACAGGGATCAAGCTTGATTTTCCCATACCTGGAATCCCTAATGGCATAATCAGATAGCATCCTTTTCTAGGATTATTTATAGTTTGGGGATTTTTCATTAAAAATTTAGATAAAATTAATTGTCCAATTTCCTGTGGCTTTAAGTAGTCTGCAGCAATCACATTATTTGGGTATTTTGAATTTAAAAGTGCTATATCTTCTCTTCAGCATGATATAAGTTGTACCAGTTTTGAGCGAATATCCTCGCATTTCATATAAGGCAACGCATAAGAAGGAACTTCATTTGATTTAACTGAGACAAAATTTCTAATGCTTTCTTCTGACTTATTTACCCCTTCATCATTAATACCACAATACACCATTAAGCACTTTAAATTCAGATCTTGAGGAATTCTAACTCTATGAGAAATTAAGCAAAGCCTTAACCCTTCGGTTATAGACATCCTTGGATTTCATGAATAGGTTATTTCAGTCGGATGAATGATTGAAGCTATAGTTTCAATGTCTTCATTTGAAAATCATTGAGGAGGATAAACAATTACAACGATAAGTGGCAGTTCAAGTTTGTTTATAACACAATCAATATTTTTTGATTCTTCCATAGATATGCTATCCTTTCCTTCTTCATTAGTATGATTATTCATTATTGCGAAAATGGTATGGCCATATGGTTTATTATTAAAACTGGTATATAAGATTATAAATTCTTTAATTTGAGGGAATAAATATATTAAACATAAGCATTTTCTAATTTTTGATGTCTTCTAAAAGCAGCTGTCTGAGGTCTATTAGATTTATTAAACCTGTTTATTGAGCTCTTCACTGAATTTACGATCCTTTCACTGCTTAGTATCATTGGGCTTGATGAAGACTTTACAAATAAAACGTCTTGCATATAGTCATTTTCGATCTTTTTCCTCAATGTAGATTGTGCAAGCCTTGAATCGAATGCACTTTCCTCAAATTTTTCAATGATTTTTTCTTTGGATATCCCTTTTTCAATATCAATTGCTTTAATTTCATCATGAATTCTGTCCATGATTGACTCAATTTCATCGTTAGCGACCTTAAAGCTAGTTCCTTTCTTAGGCTGAACTATACTTTCATCGATTCTTACAGAATTATCTTTGGATGCTTGATTGCTAGTAATAACTGGGGGCTTAAAGAACAGTCTTTGAGCTGGGACCGCACTTGTATTATTACTATTCAGCATTTTCAATAAATTTTTATAGACTTTTGTCTTCATTTTCGATTTCATTTTAATTTCCTGCCTTTTGATGTTTTCCTCGTCTGCTGCTTTTAGCCTCGCTATTCTGTGCACAATTACATCAGTATTCCCTTGTGGAGGGATCATGTGCCGAAAATGCTTTCTAAGCCTTAGATCTGAAATTTTTCGCTTGTCTTCTTTTTCTTTTTCTCACAAATTCATAGCCCCGCTGGTAGATAGTGGCCTCATATGTTTGACATCTGAGCCAATATTTAGAGTTTTGCTTATTTTTGTATAGAAATACTGGTCTGCACTTACAAATCGGTTAGTAGGGTCTTCTGTTAGTCGTTTTTGCAGCCTTTTAAGCTCTTCTGGGGAATAATATCGTTCTGGCTTTTGCTCTTTTGGGACTGCAGATAGATTTAGGCTTGGCAGAGAAATGTGGGTATTGAGCTTGTCTTGTTCGGTATTTAGCTGAGAGTCGGGCTGAATACTGGTTTTAAACTCAAAAGGCTCTTCTAAGCTTTTTTTTTGCTCTTCTAGGACTGTCATGAATTCTCTGCTTGATAGAGGTCTCATTCCTTTCATTCTTTGTGAGTCTGGTCTAATGATCTGTGACTCTGCTAAAGCTCTTTTAGCAGTTTCCAGTATATGGTTCTCATCAGATAAAAATTGAGATCCAATATTCACAGCATTTGTGTAGGCTTGAATCATAGCTTTTCTATGGCCAAGGGATTCTTCAGCAACACCAATATTGTAAAATGCTATTACATAGGTGGTAATCATAGTTTCTACCTTGTATTTTTCTTTCGTACTTAGCATAGATAACGGTCTCCCATCTAATCTCTGCTTATTTTCTAATTGCAAAGTTGCTAGTGCCTGCTCTGCATGGCCTATTGCTTCTTTATAGCGGCGTAGTTCTGAATATAGAGCACTTATGTTGAGTTTGGTTTTCGCGATAAATTGTAATGAATCAGGTTGGTTTGCATGAAACTCTTCAATTATTTTAAGCCCTCTCATAAGATAATTCAAAGCCATGTGATAGTTTTTCATTGCTTGATGATATGTGCCTCAATTGTTAAAAGTCAAAAGAACTAACTCCCCCCCTCCGTGAGTGAACAAAACCATTAGAAAAATCGCTATTTTTTGCCCAAAACCCACCCTCCGTGAGCGAACAAAAATTTTTTTAATAGAAAATTTTTTTATGAAAAAAGAAATTGATATATAAGTGATAATTAGTATAATGAAATCTCGAGCTAATTCTGTTTAATTTTAAACAAATTGCGTTTTAAAACATAAATTTAATAAATTAAATCAATATTTGCTTTCCAATTTTTGCAAATTAGGATTTTTTTTTAAGTTTCGAAAAAAAAAAATTTTCTATAAAATTTTATATATAAATTTTTTTAAAAACAAAATTAACCCCCCTCCATGAGTGTACAAAATTTTTTTGTTCACTCACGGAGGGGGGAGTAAGCGAAATGTGCTTTCATTCATTGAAATATTTTCCTTTTTGCAAAGACCCATTCAGTTGGATAAGACTTGCTCAGCTCTACGAAGGTAAGAAACTGGGGAATCTGAAGCTGAAACTAGCTTGTTGCATAATGAAGCGATTTGTTCAGTTATATCAAGAGAGCTTGGAACTGAAAGATTTATGGCATCAGAAGAAACTCGTTCAATTGCATCTAGGGCTTCTTGGAGCTTGCCTTTGTGCTCCAGGCGCTTGCTTTCTTTAAGAGCGCCGCTCGCTATTTCTTCTGTAGGATGATCTACTTGAAGTAACATAAAATTTCTTTTAAAGGATTATTTAAGTAGTCTTATAAAACTGATGAAATAAAATGATTTACATAATTTTCAGAATAGTCTTCGATCAGAGATCTTAACAAAACTTAAGATTATTGATAAGCTCCCTGTCGGGGCCCGAAAGCCCTTATTCCCTCCCGTAACGCTCCACTCGATTGCTCGCCAACAACCGTCTCACGGCCTTCAAAGTCTTGCTCCTACGGACATGGGCCTGCACATGCACTCCGCAGTTGGGAAGTTTGGATCACCGTGCCGTACGCCTGACGAAGGTTGCCTGTCTCGAAATTTCAAAAAATGGAATTTCTGACCGACTTTCGGCAAAAGGGAAAAACTTGTAGCCCAGAGCGAAACTCCTGGTTTCTCGCTAGGGAGTTGCCCTATAGACCTTAACAGGCTTGGCTGGGCTTCCCCTTTCCAACTCCAAGTCTCCTTTCTCCTCGAGGTAAAAACTAACTTGGAAAAAGGACTAGGGCTAGTTATCTAGCATAGCTGTCCATTTCTTCGCTAGCAAAACCTTGCCGGATATAATTAAAATAGGGGCTCGATACTGCTTGGCCGAGAGGGCCAAGCCAAGTTGAGACACCATATTTTAATTATCTTCGATCAGAGATCAGCTACCTGTTCTATCATCATGATTTATTTATCTCAAATCCTTGTAAATTCCTAGATTTCAGAAATTGCTTTTCTCATTATAGCTAATTAACTAATAAATAGTAAGTAAATATACAAATTAATAAATAAATAACAGTAAGGTTTTAAGCCTTATTATTTTATCTAAATTAGGTATTTTAAATTTTGTCTTACTCATTAAAATAATGAGGAAAATAATATTTGTAAAATTCTTAAATTATATAACAATTAATAATTTAATCCAAATTACTATGCCTATTACTCTGTGCAGGTGAAAAAAATCCTTGAGGTATTGAAATATGCTGATTCGATAAATTTAATTTTTGCTCAAGAATTTCTAATTTTGAATAAAAAGAGTTTTGAATTTTACCCAAAGGAATTTTAATCCTCGGCAAAGATTTTTGTTTCAACGGAATATTTTCTTTGTTACAAGCAATAAAATTGATAGGTTGGCTTGGATGCTTTATATGGTTTGGGATTATACGCGACTCCCTCGGATTTAATTCTTCAATTGTGTCTCTTGATGAAAAACTCAAGTTTTTTTCGAGCCTTTTCTTGTACTTTGATAGAAGAGTTTGCTTGAAATTCATTGGCTTGCTAATTGTGGAAATTTGTCTTATATTTGAATTTTCGAATGACATTTTTAATTGTTTAAAAAATTGTTATGCAATACTTGCGAAGATTAAGAGTAATAAAAAAGCCATAAAACATTGATGCCATTTGAATTTTAAATATAAAGACTTAGGATTAATTATTCGACTAAATATTCCCAAGGACCTTGCACAACTTCCCAGACAAGTCCAAAAACATACGTCCCAAACCCAGCTCGCTCATCACATGCAAACACATCGTTGAAAACATCATTAGAAAGTCTACAATACAGGGATTTTTGACATTTTTTATCACATTTTTTAGACTCAAATGGATATTGGCCGAGCCAGTTTGCATAGTATTTTTGAGCGACCGCCTCATCTTTAAGCACTTGGTCAGCCAAATTAGCAAAGGATGAGGGTGACATGTCAGCCATACCATACTCTTCTTTGAAGTTAAAAGCGAGCTCAAAAATTGCGCTTTCAGTGTTTTTATTGGCGCTATGAAGAGGCAATCTATATTGGTGAATATTTACTAAATGATGTGTCTTCACATCGTACTCATATATGCATCATTATAATGATTTTTAAGAAATTCTGAAGCTTGAATATTTACTTTTTTGTAATTATAATAAATATCTCAAAAAAGATATTCTCAGTCTAATATAAAGTGCATAATCTAAATGACGGATTTTGATACCAATAAGTTGTAAAAGAAGGAGCTGCAAAATAAACACCAGCTGGATCAGCACCAGAAACTAATGAATGAACTACAAAGAACTCATCAGCATGAGTATGGCCAAAAAGCTGTCCTCTAATTGTATTTTGGAACCTATTCACAAGGGCTCTGAAGTGCCTCGACCATATTGAGTCAATATATTTATCTCCATGAGGAATATGCCCTATAATGATAACAGCCTCATTATTTGATTCAGCTTTATAGAGTTCATTTTTAAGCCATGCAAGCATTCCTGCAGGATCTGTATTGTTTTGGATAAGCCATCCATTCATATTATCCCCTAGCTGATTATTAAGCCCTAAAATTCTAAATCCTGTTGTTGGTTCTAAGGTCGAGTAATAGCCATTTTTAGCAAATTGTTTAATTTCTTCATATCCAAGCCAATCCTGCCAAAGTTCAGTTAAATTTCCCAATAAAACTTGCTCATGATTTGGGTGAAAAAAATCCATAGGAAAGCAATCATGATTTCCAATAATGGGGAATACAGGGACTTTTAAATGGTCTTTGAACATTTTCGTGATTTTTCGAGTCACGTCCATTTCTTTTTCTCTTTCATAGTCCCACACATCATGAGGGGGATTATCTCCTGTTCACACCACAAAACTTATGGGAAGATTTTTTATTTGCTCAAGAAAAGCTATTGCGGTTTGTGGAGGAGTGTCACAGCAAGCTCGAGATCCCCAGTATCCAGCCGTTCCATTTCCTGATCGACAACAAACAGGATATGAGCATTCAGCTTCTGATCCTGGCTGATAAAAATAGTCAATGTGCATGTCTGTTACTTGCAGCACAAAGAAGGTTTCAGATCCTGTTATTGGCCAAGGCTGGATTGGCGGCATATCTTTAACTCCCCCAACCGTCAGTGAGCAAAATTATTGTAAAAATGGGAAAAATAAAAACCCTTCTAGAGCAAAAAATTTTTTAATATATAAGCTATAATTATTATAATGAAATTCTAGCAAACTCTGTTGAAGCTCAAACAACTTGCATTTTAAAATAAATTTCACAAATTAAAGCTATTTTACTTGGGATTTTTTTTTAAATCTTGAAAATATAAAAAATTTAACTCCATAGTGAACAAGTAAAAAAATTTTTTTACTTTCTCACATAGGAAGGGGAATAAGTACTTCTTGCTCGTATTGCGTTAAATTATCTAATAAATACTCTGGGTGCTGGCATAGTCCAATTTTGGAACAAATATGGCCAGTCTCTAAAAGTTTTGCCATAACATTTTCTGCATATCCACGTCCATACATATCAACTAGTCCTTGACAAACTTCATGATGTTGGAATAGCGAGCAAATTTTAATAAGGAATTCTGCTCCTGAGTCCATAAAAATTCCGTTTTTAAATGTATCTCTTGCTGCAGCCATTATAATGTGACAAGAAAGGCAAGCTGGAGATTGTTCAGCAGTAATTTGCGAGAGGAGTAAGACAAAGGGCAAAATTATTCTCATGATATAATTATTCAACAAATAAATGGTGGCTAGAAAGAATAGGTCAATAAAATTATTTAGTCAATTTCAATATAAAATTATAGAAATAAGCGTTAAAAAATGTGATGCAGCAAATTTAAACGGACAAAAATCGAAACAAAAAATAATTCGCCGATTTATTTATAAAAATGGAGATTCTATTTAAATATTTGAATAAATATATAATTTTTGTATGAATGGTAAGTTATGAAAGCACATTGATCTTGCAATAATCAATTGATATATCTCAAAACGCTTTCTATATCGCAAGCAAATGAATTATTCAAAACATTAAAAATAAGTATAAGTTTTTTGGCTTTGTGATTATCATTAGAAATTTCTAACAGATTTTACCCAAAGAATTTATATTAAATTATCCCAAGTTCCTCGCAGCGACAAGATATTGAATAAAAAGTAGATTCCCCTTAAAAAATGATTCTTAATCCCAAAACTTTAAATTCATAAATTTTGAATATCCAAGAATCTTATTTTAGTTGTTTGTAAATGCTTAATTCGTTTAATAAATAAAATGGATCGAATTCCTATGAAATTATCTTCAAGAACTCTAAAAGGAGAAAAATCTAATTTATCTCAAACAGGAACTTCTATGAAATTAAGCTACAATTCTTCAAATTATGGAAGACATGCAAGTGACTATCAGGACAAAGAGTTCAAAATTCCCAGAGAACGCTTCAATCCTATTGAAATTAAACGACTAAGGACTGATTATCGAAAATTCTGCAATAAAATGGAAATTATGACCAGACGAGCTTTTCTTGAGTTTTTTAAAATAGAGGAGCTAGAAGGAACCTTAATTGGTGACAGACTTTACACAGCTTTTGCCCTTCAAGGCTCGATAGACTTTGAAAAATTTTTAAATGCAGTTGGAGTCTTATGCAAAGGGTCACTAGATGAAAGGCTTCAGCTTGTTTTCAAGATTTTTGATGTAAAAAATGCCAATGTGATTGATAGAAGTGACCTAAAGAGAATTTTGCTGTCAATATTAAATTCTATGCTGGAGGTCGAAATGGATTCTGCTGAGGTTCAGAATTTGCAAATGGAGGTTCATGGAATTTCACCACAGGAAAGAGAAGAAGCAATTGATGGGATTTTAAATGACATTATTACGCCGAATTCTGGGGATATTTTAACACCTGAAGAATTTTGTAATTTTATAGGAAATGAGCCACTGCTGAGAAAAATACTTGAAGGTGCTTAATATGTAACTAAACATTAGGTTTTATACATCATTTAAATTCTTGGATAAATTCGGCAAAAATTTATTTTCATAAATGACGTAGAAATCATCATATATCAACATTTTTTATAATTTCCTTAATAATACTGATTTAATTAGGCAAGAATCCAGCACGATCCACTTAATAATACGACTATATAAGATACCTATTCTTACTCCCCACCGTGAGGGAACAAAACCATTGGAAAAAATCCCATCCTCCGTGAGCGAACAAAAATTTTTTAAGAAAAATTATTTTGATATATAAATAATAATTATTATAATGAGATCTCTAGCTAATTCTGCTTAATTTTAACAGCTTGCATTTTAAAACATAAAATTTACAAATTAAATTAATATTTGCTCTAATATAATTTCCAATTGATTTTTTTGATATTTCGAAAAAATTTACATTAAAAATTTATATATAATTTTTTTTAAAAAAAAAAACTAAGCTCTTGATTCACGAAGGGGGGCCGTCGAAGCAGGTGACACTTTCCCAAGAAGCACCCTGGTGATCGAAGAGGCCATCCCCAGCGACCTGTGGGCCCGATGCGACGAAGGTGAGTGATAGTACCTGGGGTTGCACCCCGTAGTGGACGTTAAACGATATAAATTCTATAAGATTCACGAAGGGGAGTTAGATATGCTGATCAAATATTACTTTATAAGTAATTATAATAAAACTTATATATTTTCTATGTCTAAATCGCTTTTTCGTTCTTCATCACTCGAGTCACTGTCCTCTTCTTCAACATTTGTCATCCTTGCAAATTGAATGTGGTCGTTTGGATCTTCTTCTTGATTTTCCGCTACCTTAAGATTTTCAGGAAGCTCACCAAGAGACTTTAAATTTCGGACCTCATCAGGTGTGTATTTAAGAATGATGTCAGCTTTGGAGTCTTGGTAATCTCGTAAGCCCACCAGTACAATGTCGTCCATGCCTATCCAAACTCGCCTTTTCATTTGGCCTCTAATGTGGCAGAGACGCTTTACACCGTCAAAACAATATGCTTCTAAACGACCATTTCCAAGCATTCTGAGCACTTGTGCGTATTCTTGACCATCTTCTTTGAAAGTCAGCTCTCGCTTGAATTCTGTAGCTTCGTTTTTCCCACGACGCTTGTTCTTGCCACCTTTCCCTTTTTTAGGCATTTTTATTATAAGTTAAATGAGAAAAGTATAGGATTATTGAACGAAAATTGATAATAATTATGTAAACACACTATAAAATGCTTTTTTCTCCTTTTTTATTAAAAGAAGTTTTATATTGATTTCTTTTTCATAATTTAGCACATTTTTAGCTTACTCCCTCCCCTTCGTGAGCGAACAAAACTATTGGAAAAATCCACCATCCATGAGCGAACAAAATATTTTTTATGAAAAAATAATTTATATATCAGTGATTATTAATATAATGAAATCTCTAGCTAATTCTGTTTAATTTTAAAAGCATGCATTTAAAACATAAATTTTACAAATTAAATAAATACTTGCTTTCCATTTATCGCAAAATGGGATTTTTTTAAATTGAATAAAATTTTAAAAAAAAAATGAACTCCCTCCGAACAATTTTTTTTTTTTTTCACGGAGGGGAGTTAGTTATTACTCATAAGGCTCAAATCATATATCAAGCTAATCAATATTATCTGAATTAATTATTTGAGATGATAAAGATAGCCTCCATATTCTGAAATCTATTTCCTTTTTAAGCTTTCTTATCTCTATCCCAGCTTCTTTAAGTTCTGCCTTAAACTCTCTATGAATTGGAATACTTCTAATTTTATTACAAAGTATTGCATAATTCGTATCTGTTAATTGCAATCTTAAAGTTTGAACATAAGGCTTTATCAATTCTCTAATCCAGACTACATCTGCTGATATAATAATATCTGCATCGATTCTGAAAGGACTAAACCAATCTAATTCTACACAGTCTATGGTCACAGAGTTTCTCTCAATGTTTCTTCTTGCCCCAATTAGTACTTCTCCTAAATCTGTTGCTATAACTCTAGAAGCTCCTAAAATTTTGCAAGCTATGCTGGTTATCCCTATCCCTGCACCTAGCTCAAGAGTTATTTTATTTTCTATAAGGCTATTATTTTCTTCCAAAAATTTTGCAAGAATTATGCTCGAGTCCCAAAAGCTACCTCCTGTACCAGAAATAGCTTCATTTAGATCAATTATCATATGGGCTCCTTTGATATCAACTCCTTGTCTAATATCAAAGAGTGGTCCTGGTAATGCCAGCATTATTTTTATTTATTTTTTACAAATTTTTTATAATATACAAAAGCCACAAAATTTGATAGCACGATGGAATTTAATCATTTTAATGTATTAAACGCATATAAATTAAAAATATAATTCTTTAAATTTGAAAACTGATAAAAACGCATTATTACGCAATTTTGGTTATATAACAAAATTAAAAAATTTAGACACAAAATCGCCCAATCGTTCATATTTTTCATATTTATGGATTCTACTTTCCGTTTCTTAATAGAATTTTATAGGTTTATGTCATCGAAAATTCATCAAATATTTGTGCGATTTCTTTAATAAGTCAGCAAATTTTTACCATAAATATAAATTCTGAAAAGAAAAGACCTCGAAACATGGCAAACTTCTTCAGCTTTGATAGCCTACAATTTCCAGTAGGTTTTGTTCCAGAAGAATGATTCTTGCAGACTGCAGCGAACAGAATGAATACAATAAACGCTATGCTACAAACATCCGAGGACATGAAAAAAAATGCTGACGAGCTTGCATTATTGCTTAGAGGGTTAAGAGAGAGATTATCCCCTAGCTTAGATAATCGACTCCAGAAAGTACCCAGAAAACGAGACTTAATAAATATGATAATTTGTGGTAACAAAAATTATCAATTTAAACTTAAGCTTGATTCATCTTTCCCCAAGTGTGTCAGTAAATCAATGTTTTTTGATTTTCATGTTACAGTGAAAGCCTATAATGGAGAGTCACTTGCAGAAAACTCTGAAATTTTGCTCAAAGTAGAAATCTGGTCAGCAGAATGCCCACCCAAGCGACTTTTCAACAACAAGTCAGGGAGAGATTTAATCATAAATGATACCTGCAACTTGAAGTTCTACAGCAGAAGAAAAAAACATTTAGCAAATATTAATTTAAATTATAAAGTTTATGTTTTAAAGCGCAATTTTTTTAAAATTAAACAGAATTAGCTAGATTTTTCGTTATATAATTATCATTTATATATCAAATTTTTTCATAAAAAATTTTTGTTCTCTCACAGAGAGTGGTGTTTTAGGCAAAAAATAGGGATTTTTCTAATGGTTTTGTTCACTCATGAGAGTTAGCATTTTTTTAAAGTAAAAATCACAGAAGTCACCTCGCATTTTATGAATGGATGAGTATTTTTATTGATTACTGCGGATAGCAGAGATCTTAGTCAACTTTTTCAACCCTTGGTTATAAAGCATGTCTATGTACAGTCGAAGAGAGAGCTAAAGTGCTACGATGACAGCGATTAGACACTGCATCAAAGAAATATTGAAATATTATTAAGCACTAATAATCACAGTTAATAGTTTGTTTGTAGTTTAAAGGGGCAAAACTTTAATCTAATAAATTATTAAATTGAATTAATAGTTTCCATTATAATTGGCACAGAAAACAAGAAAATCTTCTGAACTAAGAAGGCTTGAAAATAGCTGAAACAAGAATTAGAGTTGTCATAATATAAGCTTCTATAGCGCATTATTTGATTTCTAACTGAAGTCTAGAAACAAATATAAGGCATCATAGCATTCTAATGCAAATAATACAAAGAAATTAAGCCATTATAGAATTACAGATTTTTTACTATTCTATAAAATTATTAATATTTTAACATTTTTATTACCTTCCAAAATGATTCTAAATTATCCTTTCTAAATATTCTTCAATACCTTCCAATGCTTTCATATAACCTCTTATTTCTTCTTCTGAAATTTTCGCCTTTTGCATGAGCTTATGCATTAGTTTGCTTAAGGCAGAAATATGAGTGAATGCTTCATCGTGAAAACTCTCCATTAATTTTGAACCTACCATTGATCTTGCTTCTTCACTTCTGCAATCAAATTTTGGACTTATAGAAGTTCTGCTGCATATTGATCTTTGTGTTTGAGTCACTTTTTCACTTAAACCCACTTTAAATCTAAGCTCAGCTAGTTCAGAAGACAAACAAAAATTTTCATTTTCCAAATCTTTTATTCTTTGCTTATTATTCTCAATTTCTTTTGTATTTTCGAAGGTGTGGGATGTATGGATTTGGGTTTTGGACTTTAAATTCTCGATTTCTGAGTTTAGCTCACTCTCCCCCACTTTAAATTGGAACAAAAAATTTTGTTCCAATTTAAAGGGAGGTTAATTTTTTTTTTTTAAAAAAAAATCAATATAAAATTTTTTATATAAAAAACAAAATTTCAAAAATTTATCGAATTAGATTAATAAATTTATTTAATAAAATGCTATTTACTCTTTATCCTTTTAAAAAAAAAAGCAAGATATAGCTAAAGTTTCATTATTAGTTAATACGCCACTATTAATCGGTATCAAAATTATTTACACAAAAATTATTATTTTTATTGATACAAAAAAATTAGAAAAAAAAATTTTAGAAAATTTATCAATCAAAGTGCTAATTTTTTTTAAATGAGATGTTATTTATACTCTATTCTTTACAATAAAGCAAGAAATAAGCAAGTTTTAAAATTTTATAAAGAATTCGCATTGAATTTATATCAAAACTATTTAAATAAAAAATATCATTTTTATTAAAAAAATAAAAGTTTTTAAAAAAAAAAATTGTTTTTAAAATTTAGCAATTAAGGATAATAAATTTATTTAAATAAGATGCTCTTTATACTCTCTTCTTTAAACAAGAGCAAGCTATAACTAAATTTTGAATTTTAGTTAAGAAGATACATTTAACTTATATCAAAACTTTTTATATAAAAATTATATATAATTTTTTATTATAAAATTAAATTTTGTTCAAATTTAAGGGGGTTAATTTACCAAAAAAGTGGAAATTTTACCTATATTTTGTTCCAATTTAAAAGGGGGGGAGTCAGAAATTTTTTGTTCTTTTACGGAATTATTTTTTACTTTAATTTCTATAAGGTCCCTACACTCTTGAAGCTCAAGCTGTAATTGCCTGATTTTTGATATTTCTTCAGCTGAGTCTTTGAGTTGTTTTTTTAAATTTCTTATTTTAGCTCTGCACTTTTTGTTTTTTTGTATTTCTTTTTCATAGTCTTCTTTATAATTTTTTTCATAATTCTGAGTATTTCTCGAGTCAAAAGTTGAGCTAATTCCTTTTAATTCTTGAGACAGATTTCTAACTTTTACCTCAAAACTTGATGAAGGTCGTTCTGTCGCTGGCCTTTCTCCTTCTATAGTATAAAACGTGCTTAACTCTAAAATTTCGCTTTTATTTTTTTTTAATGCTAAATCCTTGCAAAGTAATGCATTTCTTTCTTCAAGTTTTTGAATTGATTTTTCTTTGATGCTCATCCTCATTTCCAAAGTTTTGCATTTCTCAGTCAAATAGAAAACTTCATTTTGATAGCATGAAATTTGCTGTTGTGCTGCTTCATTAATCTTTTTTTCTTTCGATAATTCAACTTTTAAAGAGTTTATCAAATTTTGGTCCTTCGAATTATTACGATTTTTGTTCATTTTATCTATAGTGATTGCAAAAATGTCTGATCTAGCTCCATAAGTGGAGAATTTTTCCACATGTAAAACCTAAATTTCACACTCCACTTTGGAATTTGCGCTTCACATGTGGAGAAATTCTCGACTTGTGGAATCCGATCAAATATTACTGCAATGCACTATATTAGTCTAAGGGAATAATTCCATTTGATTATAAATGCTTCATTAATCCCATAATCATAGATTTTAATACATTTACTAACTCCTCCCTGACTACATGATCGAACAAAATCAATTGAAAATTACTATTTTTATAGTTAAAAAACCAATATATGAGTGATAAGTATATTGAAATCTCTACTTCTGTTGATTTTTAAACAGCTAACTTTTTTAAAAAAAATAAATTTTTATAAATTCATTTATTTTGCTTTCCAATTTTTGTCCGCTCACAAGAGGAAAAGGAGGATGAGGAATGATGCGAAAACAGTTAAAATAACAAGGAAAAATACTATAACTAAAAGCTGGGTAATGAACATAATAATATAAAATTTTGCAAATATTATTTATAATATGCATTGGCTAGCTTATTGCTGATACCTTTAAAAGGCTAACTTAGGCAAAGATTATTAGTTAACTTTTCCTCTTGAAACTTTTAATATATTTTATTTAATTTACACGGTTTCCATCTACCCATTCTGCAACTTTTTCATTTCCAGATGCATCTCTATAAAGCCCTTCTCCATGCTGTTTTCCATTTTTCCAATAGCCCTTATACATTTTACCATTTGGCCATCTAAATTCTCCATATCCTTCTTTTTTATCGAACAAATATTCTCCATTATAAGTTCTACCGTCAGGTCATCTAAAAATTCCTCTTCCATGCATTCTATTGTCTTTTCAAGCTCCTTTGAATTTTCTTCCATCTTTTCACCTATAAGCTCCATATCCTTCTATTCGATTTTCATTGAACTCTCCATTATAGCTTGACCCATCAGCCCAATGGAATTGACCAACTCCAGTTTTCTTACCTTAGCTTAACTCATTAAAGGTCGGTAATGTGCCTTATTAGTAAAGCAGTCACCAGGATTACGTGGGAATTCATCTGCTCTACGACGAGCTGAGAGGGCTTGAATGATTGAGTTATCTCACCGACAGTCAGCTCGAACGACTTCTCCTTCTTTCTTCAGACCCTAATGCAATGGATATCCGAAGAGTTACTTGCTACACATTTCTTCCTTGACTTGACTGCTCCAGTGCTGAGTGGGCAGGGAAAGGAATCCTGCGGCCTTTCTTGAGGCTGTGAAACTAAATTGTCCACATAAAAATCCCACAAAATGGAATTTCTGGTCAACTCTCGGCAAAAAGAAAAGCTTGAAGCTCAGGGTGTAACTCCTGGCTTAACGCTGCAGAGTTGCCCAATTGGTCTAGGTATCGAATATAGACTTTTACTGGACTTCCTTTTTCCAGTTCAAGTTTTCCTTTCCCTCTAGGTAAAATCTAGCTCTGAAAGCCGACTAAATTAAATTAATATAAACGGCTTAAATTCTTGCAGATGCTGCCTCCGCGCGCTTGAAACTACCGGAGCCTCCTTGCCGGAGGAATTTAGCCGCGTGAACTCTGTCTCAATATCGATCTACTCCGGGACCTGGAGCCTACACCGATATCCCTGAGTCTCGACAGATTAGGAAGACTCATCTTGCTCTACGGCATTCGACGCAATGGAGGGCAAAGATCAGCCAAGACTTCCTGTAGGCCATCTCAGGGGAGGTGACACCCAGGAAAAAACCACAGCTCTTTGGAATCGGCAGGAAAAGAACCCGTTGCCCAAAACCCATCCGGATAACTAAAACTTGGATTGGAGTCGCCAGCAGCTGATTAGCAAAGTTTACCTGCCTCATAAGGCCTTTCAAGACAAATTAAAGATTAAAATTAAACGCCTGAACCCTGTTTAAGCTATAAAACCGTTTTGCCATCCAAAGTAGTGAATCATCAAGGACATATTTTGTAGCCCACCGCCATATAAATAAAAAGCGGACTAAGGCTAGGCTCCAAACATTACTTGAATTGCTTACTAGCATAGCTGACCATTTCTGGGCTAGCAAAACCTTGCCAATATAATTAAATATATATGCTCGAGGCACATAGCAGGGAGGTCATATCCAGGCCAAGACACTATACTGAATTATCCAGTTTTCTTACCATCTTTATAATCTCCTACATAATAAGCTCCATCAGGCCATCTTTCTAATCCTTTTCCTTCTTGTTTATCATCAATTCAATCTCCTTCATAACTGATTCCGCCATAATGAACATATTTTCCTTTTCCATGTGCTTTGTCATTTTTTCACATCCCTTCATAAACATTTCCTTCTGAATCCACTAGCCTACCATGTCCATCAGCTTTATCTTTTTTTCAATATCCCGTATATGTAGATCCATCTTGCCATATATACACACCTCTACCATGCTTTTCGCCTAAATGATTTTTTTGCCCAATATAGACAGTGCGATCAGGATATTTTTCTGCAGGATTCATATAGTCAGGATAGCCGTCATTTTTATCAAACTCATAAGGAAGTAAAGTGATGAGTATTTCTTGCATTTTTGGGGATTGAGAAACAGAATACGGATTTGATTTAAGAGATTTTGTAACTTGATAAGGCTCCTGGCTTGAACTTTGTTGGCGTTTGGTTTTGTAAAATGATTCTTCAATGTTTATGACTTCTAGGTCATTATCAACGTTGAAATCAATGCTTTGACCGACACATGAACAAGCTCTGCAACCCATTTTATAAAACTTAATTCAAACTATAGCAATTTAATCAGTTCTTTTTTAGAAGATCTTACTCCCTCCTCCGTGAGTGAACAAAACCATTAGAAAAATCCCTATTTTTTGCCCAAAAAACCACCCTCCGTGAGTGAACAAAAATTGTTTTAATAAAAAAAATTTTTGATATATAAGTGATAATTAGTATAATGAAATCTAGAGCTAATTCTGTTTAATTTTAAACAAATTGCTTTTTAAAACATAAATTTTATAAATTAAATTAATATTTGCTTTCCAATTTTTGCGAATTAGGATTTTTTTAAATTTCGAAAAAAAAAAATTTTCTATAAAATTTATATAAAAATTGTTTAAAAAAAAAAAAATTAATCCCCCTCCATGAGTGAACATAATTTTTTTGCTCACTCACGGAGGGGGGGAGTTAGATAAAGCCCTTGGTTCCCTCTTCCATATACAAAAGCGATTTTATCTGACTTGAAATCCTTCACAAACTCATGAATATATTCTTTGTTTAAATTCTCTCTTGGTTTCTCCACACATTTATTCAGCCTTTTAAAAGCTGATTTAATAAATTTATCTTCTTCTATTATCCTGCCTGTCTCTTTTCTATTCGAATTTACGAGCTCTTGGCATTCATTAATTATTGTATCAAGGCATACTTGGGAGCAATTTCTTGTTGTTTTGGGTTTTCTTGGTGAATTTGCAGTGGTTTGATATAAATCGCAAGAGGTAGGCCTAAAAGTACAAGTAGAGCCAGTTACAAAAGTGCTTATTGGCAATTCAAATTTTTTATTTTCTGATACTGGTGTTTTATTTAGCTTCTTTATTTCTGAAAGCTGTAAATGCAGCTTTATACTTTTTCGCTTTGTAAGAGGCTTTGGGAGCGGAGGAGAACTTCCAAAGCTGAAAGAGGGCCTGTGTCGGACTGATGAAAACTTGTGTTTTTCATTGACAATAAATTTACTTGGATCGGTTGTTGATGCTTGCGAATAAGCTGGAGGCATTTTTTCAAGCCGGCTTAGGGAATGCTTTAGTTTTTTTGATATTGAAATTGCATCAGCTGTAGACAAAAGGCCTGTATCAACTTTCTTTTTCTTTTGTACATGATCAGTCAAGCTTTTTGCTGCGTCTTCAAAGCTTTTTTTTGAGTTCAAATCAACTCCGAAAGCCTCATTTGAAGTATTTTTGGATATTTTAGGTTGCATTATGAGATGTTCCATTAGTTTAATTATATAACTAATTCATATGATTAAAATCTGTTTTAATAATTTAATTTTCTAATCAATACTCCTTATAACTTTTTTATAATTAATTAATTAATTAGACTTCTGATCCATTTACTCATGGTTAATCTGAAAATTTATAAAGTAAGAATCGTAGGGTATTTTCTTATAATAACAAAACCAGGAATTATTTTAAGAAAATAATAAGCACTATGCTAGGATTAAATTATACTTTCTGACTGGATTAATTAAAATGCATCATGGAGCAGCTCAGAAAAAAATGAAAAAAATAAAATATGAATTGCTAACTCAACTAAAATTCTAGAAATTCCAATTTGAACATTTATTAAAATAAAATCTAAGGCAAACTTTCTTAATCAATAAGATTTTTAAAAATTCAAGAGTTTCAATGGATACATTCAAAGATTCAATATTTAATAAATATATTGATATATTTTATAACTATTTAATTCTTTTCCTATTAACCCACATTTATTATTCTAACTCCCTTCCTTCGTGAGCGAACAAAAACCATTGGAAAAGTCCCTATTTTTGCCCAAAAACCCACCCTCCGTGAGCGAACAAACATTTTTTAATATAAAAACTTTTATTTAAAAATTAATTTTTGATATATAAGCGAGAATTATCATAACGAAATCTGTAGCTAATTCTGTTTTAATTTAAGCAGCTTGAATTCTAAAATATATATTTTATAAATTAAATAAATATTTGCTTTCTAATTGGGATTTTTTTTAATTTCAAAAAAAAGTTTACTATAAAATTTATAATGAGCGTTTTAAAACAAAAATTAACCCCCTCTGCGAGCGAACTAAAATTTTTTTGTTTGCTCTTGGAAGGGGGGAGTAAATGAACCATTTTCCTCTTGATACTCCTTTTTTTACAAATTCAAAAGATGCAAAAAGTGGAAGACTCAAATAGCATACTTATTGAGCCAGCCTTATCTTCCTCAGAACATCAAAATAGGAAGATTTGCAATTGCCGTAATTCTCATTGCTTGAAATTATACTGTGAATGCTTTTCATCAGGAGATTATTGTAAAGACTGCAATTGTTCTGATTGCTATAATAATAAAAATTATGAGCTTTTTCGAACTAAGGCGATACAGACCACTCTTGAGCGCAACCCAATCGCATTTAGGCCGAAAATCAGTCTCGAGGCAGATAAAGAAGGCCAACATATAAGAGGCTGTGCATGCAAGAGATCGAGCTGCCTCAAGAAGTATTGTGAGTGCTTCCAAGCAGGGATTTTATGTTCTGACAACTGTAAGTGTAAGGACTGCAGAAACTACGAAAAAGATATCACTAATGATCATAGTCCTCATTGTAGTCCAGATACTAATGATGGAGATGAAAGCACAGGTATGGCACATATTGCTGGAAAGGGAAAAATATTTTTAGTGGAGTGACTATCTGGGACTGCAAAAAATTTTAATAGAGAAAATTATGATTATGTGATGGAAAAAGAGGAAATTCAAAGCAATGAAATAGTGCATATGGGATATGAGGAAAGCGAAAGATTTCTATATGAAAAACTGATTAACTTTCTAAAGTAAACCTAAATTAAATGCATATAATTAGCCGTAAGAAATAAATAATATAGAAAAGATCTAAAGGGCTATAAGATATAATGAAAATTTCTGAGAATCAATTAGAAAGGTTTTTTTTTATATAGCAATTTTATTTCTAAAAAGGTATTTTCATTATAATTTAACACATTAAGAATGATTTCTGAGCATTCAGGAATTTACAATTTTTCATATGGAGACATATGGGATTTTCCCATGGATGGCGCTATTTTGGCCTTGATTTCCCACCCGGAAAAATTTTTGGTTTGAACAAACCATATTGCACGGTCGAACCAAAAAATTTTTCCAGTGGGAAAATCAAGGCCAAAACAGCGCTATCCACAGGAAATTGCAATAGACAAAATTTGAAGTTATAGAGGAAATAAGGTATCATTTAAGTCTCCACAGATCTCTCCTATTCGAAATCTATATATTCCAGAAGTTGATAAAGGGAATTCAAAATGAGGGAAAGAAAAAATTCCAAAAGAAAGAAAAACCAGCGGACTTACTGATATAAAACTAAAATCCAGCTGCTCTTTACCATCATTGAAGCAGAATAAGAAGATAAAAGTTGAGACTTCAAGATGCGATCACATTGTGCATGGATTCAAGCCTCTGGAAAGAACTTTTCACAACCCAATCTTATCATACTCTCAAAAAGATAGCATACCAACATCTCCGAAAGGAAACATAAAAAATGAAAAATCAACAATGAAAGCTTCAATTCTCACTCCGAAAATACTTCCAAAGCTAAAAAGCCCAAATCGGAAGAAACAAGCTTTGATAGAGAAAATCAAAGTAAAAGGCATATTTAGCGCCTTATAAATACACCTGAAATATGGAATATCAAAAGCTATTGATTCACATAATAATTCTTAAATTAACATGAAATTTCATTATTTTAATAATAAAAATGTTAGCTAGAATTAGCAAGCGTCTTCTCCACATCAATCAGTCTATCCCACATCTTAAACTTGTAGTCTGCTCAGGGAATGAAGGAAAATACAATATCGAAAGAGACATAGACTCTGAAACTTATTTCGCTAACAAGAAAGTTGTTCTTATAGGTTTTCCTGGCGCTTATACACCTACATGCACTGGAACTCATATTCCTCAGTTCGTAAAGCTTCAGGAAAATTTTGACCAAAAAGGTGTTGAATTAATTGGCTTAGCTGTAAATGACCCATTTGTCTTAAAGGAATTCGGACAAGACATGGGAGGAAAGATAGCTTATATTGCTGATGGTTCAGGCTATTTCACCAGAGCACTAGATGCAGGACTTGATTTAACTGAAAAAGGGTTGGGATACAGAACAAGAAGGTTTACTGCACTTGTGGAAAATGGAGTGATAACCCAGGTAAATGATGAAAATGGTGGACAATTAACTGCGATTTCTTCAGCAGAGACCATATTAAAATCAATTTAATCAATACTTTCTATTAATATCGCCATTGCAATTTTGACATTAATTTTTTAGTAACCTGAAAAGCTTATTAGCTCATTTAGCTTAATTAACTTTTAAAGTGTCTTACTCCCCCCCCCCCCTCCGTGAGCGAACAAAAAATTTTTGTTCGCTCACGGAGGGGGGTTAATTTTTATTTTTTAAAAAAAATTATATATAAATTTTTTAATTGTAAAATAATATTTTTTTTATAAGTTGAAAATTATTTTAAAAATATTATGGGGGGAGAGTAAGGGAATTTCCCAAAAAAAAAAGAATACCATTTGATTAAAGGTAAAACACAGCTTAATTTTTCAATAATTTAATAATCAATAAACCTATTAGTAATAAATATATGCATTCAGTTAAAATATTTTATATATTTTCTTATTTAATATAATAAGCAAATTCTCTATAAATCATAATAAAAATGTACAAAGGGAAAAGAAAGTACATTGAAATTTGGCAGAAAGTTGAAATTGCTGAATTTTACATTCAACACCAAAATGAGATGAGCATGAGAGATGTTGCTGCAAAGTTTCATGTCAACTCCTTTAGCTCGATTTCCGAATGGGTGAATAAGCTTGATGAGTTGAAGAAATCAGTAAAATCTGATAAAAAATTAAAATTAGAAAGCTTCACTCAATTTCCAGAGCTAGAGAAAGAACTAGTTCATTGGTTTACTGCAATCCGTGAGCAAGGTATTCAGGTTCTCAGATCAACGATTGAGGAGAAAGCAAAAAGTTTGGCGGCAGAAATGGGATTGGCGCGATTCGGCTGTGGAGATAAATGGTGGCAAGGATTTAGGACCAGAAATAATTTATCTTTCAGAAAAATCAATTCCTCAAGCATTAAGCCAATCGAAAAAGAGGCAGAACTTGTCAGGCAATACCTAGATGATTTAGCGTCATTGCTTCCTCAATTCGTTCCATCTAACATTTACAATTTCGATGAAACGAGATTTGATTGAGATGTAAAAAGCAAGTTCACTTATGATTTCAAGGGAACTCAACGAATTCTAGGCGTTCAATCAGCTAAAATGAACCATTTTATCACTGTTATGCTTATGATTAGAGCTGATGGAGAAAAAATGCCTGCTTTGCTCATTTTTCAAGAGAAAAATGGCCAGATCCCGAACCTTGTAAGAGAAAGACTGAATATTCCAGAAAATGTCATCATAAAATCAAATAAATCTGGCTACATTTCTGACCAGATTCTTAATGACTACCTCAGAACAATATTGAGACGAGAAAACCAACTGCTGATTTATGATCAGGCTGGAAGTCATAAAACTATCATGATTTCTAATGCAATTTCAGATTTAGATGCAACCAAAATTGTGATCCCTGGAGGGTGCACAAAGTATTTGCAACCACTTGACGCACTGGTAATTGCAAATTTCAAATCAAAAACAACAGATTTCAGAATCAAATTCCAAACAGAGCAGATTGAAAGAAGATCGAAAAGAACTGGAAACCTCAAAGCTCTTGATCGCCAGCAACTGATAAACATTGCTTCAAAGGCGTGAGATGCTGTAAGCCCTCAACTTGTCAGAAAATCATTTGAGTTGACGGGTTCTTATGGCGTTAATCATCCAAAGATTTTCAGCCATCAAGTTAATATGAAGAAGTTAATTATCTAATCGATTTCTTCTATTCATTTTTTTGTCTTAAATTTAAAATTGTTAAATTCAACCTTTTCACTTATGGTATTCTTTTTTTTAACCCTTTGAATAATATATCAAACAAACTTAATAATTATTATTTTTCAATATTATCCTCTTTATTTCTATTAAATATAGATATAATAAACTATATATAAAATTATATGTAAAAAAATTTTTTGTTCGCTCACGGAGGGTGGGTTTTTGACCAAAAAATAGGGATTTTTCTAATGGTTTTGTTCGCTCACGGAGGGGGGGGGGGGAGTTAAGACAACATATTAATTCAGCAGAGCGAACCCTGTATAATTGTTATGAATTTCAACGATTGCCATAAGTTTGATTTTTCATTCTTAAACTTAAAACTAAAACTTAGCATCTTTTATTAATTATAATTTTAAGATAATTGTTAATCTCCTGTGATAACCACTGCTGATGATCCAATAGGTATGTTATCTTGATAATGATAATAAGCCGACGAAGGTATGGCTACATCTGCTATAGTTGTAGAACTCCAATGAATTTGCATCTTAGCAGATCCGCTTGAACAATAATACTCCAGCTTAAAAGCATAGTAAAAATCTTTAGTAAAAGTATATTGAAAAGTTGAACTCGAGGACGTATCCACTTCTTTCTGATTGCTAATATATACGCTGCTCCAGTCTTGTGCAGTTAAAGTAAATGTATATTGTTCAGAAGTACTAGGGAGGAGAAATCCACTCCAAATAACTCCTAAATTACTAGTAGAAATACCTTGCACTGTCGTTTGTGATGTCCAGTCAAAATTTATTGAAGAGTCCACAATGCTCTCTAGAGGTCTACCAGAGAAATCGATAGTATCGTAATATTCGCCATACACTCCTGAAGTCAAAATAAATGCATAAAATGACAAATCCCCAGAAAAATCGCACCAAGTAGAATCAGAAGGCGGAGTCGATGAATAACAAGCTCCACTCTTATCAACTGCATCTTGACTAAAATTCTTAGATGCTGTAAAATGTCCATCAATCAAGCTTGTAGTTGTCACGTCAAAAAATAAAGGGTTAAAATTTGGGTTATCTTCCTTTGTCATATAAACATATCAGATTTGTGTCTGATTAACAGCATTTCCGTATATATCGTTTAAATAAATGTCCACACTTAGGACTTTATTAAGAGTTGCAGTACTTGGTGCAGAAATTGTAGAATCCTTTATGCTTAAGTCAGTATGGGTAACTGTTGTAGAGCTTGTGGAAGCTGAAACACCATTCATAGAGGTCGAAATTGTATAGGTGTCAGCTATATAAATCATATAGGTCACAGAATATGTGCCATCAGAATTGTCAGTAGCATGAATCTGTGAGGATGGGACTGTGTTTTGAGAGCTTGAAATAGTGACAGTGACAGTATCTAAGCCTGAAGTAATATGGTTTCCAGCTGAATCATAAGCAGTTACTAAAAAGCTTCCTTCCTGTCCAGCTATTGTATTGCTGATTCCAGTTACTTTCGTTTTAGCAGGATCTGTATTGCCTGGGATGACAGTCACAGAAGTTGAATAAATAAAATAATTGACGCTGCTTACTTGCAAATACACATACAAGGTATAAGAACCTGCTGGAGAGGCTGTAAATGTACCTTTGTAGAGCCCTGCAGAATCAGCAGAAAATGTGCAAGATATTGGTGAAGACCCTGTAGTTACAATTCCATAGAATGCGTCAGTCGCGGTTGTTTGTAAGTTTCTATACCTGTCTCTGGCTTCAATTCTAAAGTTTTTAGCGACTTGAGATTTGGCATTGGAAATTCCACTAGAGTCTCCAGGGTATGAAAGGACTTTGCAGCTTGATGCACGAGTTGAGGCGGGGTTTATGGTAAGCGAATAAGGATTTGATGCAGAATTTAAATCAGAAAATAAATAATTTGAAGGAACTACTTGTCGGGTTATGCTTGTGGACTCCCATTCAAGTTTTATATAGACTTCTGAGCCAGAGCCTGCTATATAATCAAGTTCTATATCATAAAACGTCCCATATACTAAACTAATTGAGCCACTCTGGACATTAGTAACTGTGGAACCAATACTATTCAGCAACGTTTGGCTATTTATAACAAGCTTAGCTTGATAATCACTAGTGACATATAATTAAATATGGCGTCCCAGCACTTCGAGGTCGGCTATGCTGACTTCCTTCGAGTGCATGTTTAATTATATCTTGTAAGGTTTTTTGCCATCCCAGACAATGCTAGGTAAGCAATTCTTGATGCATCAGAGCCTAGTCCAAGCCTGATTTAAAGGATGAATTAGCCTCAAGGGAGGGTGACATGGAAGTTGGAATTGGACTACCCAAAAATGTCTACAGGCATACCTAGGCCAATCGGGCACTTCTCCAGCGTGAAACCAGGATTTACACCTAGGCTATGTGTTTTCCATTTTTATCCGAGAGCCGACCAGAAATTCCACTTTTTTAGGATTTTTGTGTGGACAACCCTTGCTTTTCTACTCCAACATCTTCAAGCAAGGCTGCACAAATCAGAAGACTGCCCACTCAACATTGAAGCCGAAAGGCAATAAAGAGGCACTTCCATCCCTGGTGGAATACACAGTCGCAAAGTGGTTGGATCTTCTTTATCGGAGATTCTCTGTATTCGCGTAAAATTAGAGCGAGAGCCTATCTATTAATAAGTTAAGTTAAGATAATCACAAGTGACATAAAATGTAAACGTTTCTGTCGCAGCTGTATAAATTCTCCCTATCCATTTAACAGAAAATAAATTAATGATAGCCGTCGAAAAATAGCTTGGGCCTGAATTTTTCCAATCAAAATTTATTTGCGAGTCTACTGCTGTATAATTTTGCGGGCTAGCTCCATTAAAGTTATAGTAAGGATTATTTGATTGCAAGCTAGTAAATGCTTGGTCTTTATAGTAAAACCCTATAAGTCCACCTTGTTGCACAAGTGTAAGTAATATTGAGTAATCTCCAGATACAGTCAAAAATGATAAGTCTACTTTTAGCTTTGTGAAGTTTTCATAGGCAGCTTTAATTTGAGTATTGGGCGATCCTTGTATATTTGCATAAAAATATTGAGCACCCAAAGAGCTTGGAATGCTTGTAATAGAATTCGAATATTTATCCTTTGGGGCTATATATAAATAAGCTGTGCCAGCTTCTTGTGAAGAATAGCTAGAGAATGTTGATTGTAATGCAGAAATTAAGGAAATAGACACAGTAACTGTAGATCCAGATGAGCTTAGACTAGACGAGCTTAATTCAACAGTAACTGTGTATGTATCCGCCACCGTTGGAACAAACGTAAAAGTATATGTCCCATCATTATTATTTGCAATAGAGCTTGACACACTTGCCCCTGTATTTCCTAGAATGCTTATAGTAAAGGTATCAGATGAAGAAGTTCTTATATTTGAATATTGGTCTCGGGCATAAATAGTCCCAGTAATAGTAGTTCCGGCTGTTACACTAGTGGATGATAAAGTAAATGAAGAGGTAGTTGAGCTTGTTGAAGAGGCAGGGCTGATAGTAATTGAACTAAGATTTGGGACATATAAGCTATTTATCAAAAGTGAAAGAGTATAAGTCCCTGAGGTATTTATAGTAAAAGTTGCATCAAAGGTGCCACTTCCAGTGTTAACTAAAGACCCTGAAGCAGTAGAAGGTCCTACAGCTGTTAAGGTATACGAAGAAATGCTAGTGATAACAAGATTATTATAATACAAATCTCTTGTCTGCAGGCTAAATGCAAATTGAGTCCCAGCTGTTCCTTGAGTTGTTGAAAAAACTCCTACACAATAAGGTGCATATATCGAAGAAGGAATGATGGATAAGGATAGAGGATATCCTGATAATATAGCTTGATTTATATAGACATATCCTTGATAGTTCCCAGCTCGATAAATCACAAAAGTAATGCTTGTTCCTGAAAATGTGCCAGAATAGTTGGTCCCGTATACTGTAGTCCAGTTGCTAGGTTGGGAAACTCCTAAAGAGCTTTGATAAGAATTGTTGTCTATGAAGTTTATAACCAAATTTATACCTGAAACACTTGAAGTTATTGAATTGGAATAAGCATCAAGCGGATTAAAAGTTATTGTATATACAGTTCCTGCTGTAAGAGATGAGGATGCTAGTGTTGACAAAGAGGATGTTGAAGTATCCGTACTTGCGGAACCTGGATTTACAGTCAGCTGGAACGGGCTTGTTTTTATAGATGTCCCATATAATGTTATAGTAGCAGTATAAGTCCCTGATTTTGTAAGTATAAAAGTTGCAATTTTATGGCAGTTAGGGGTAGGACCACAGTCCTACAACCTTGCTTAGTGAGAGAAGTTATCGACTTCCTGAAAGTCTCAGCTTGAAGAGAAGCATTCTACATGAGACTGGGATAGAAAGAGAGGTCCTAGCTCCTCTCCTTGAGTGAACAAAAAATTTTTGTTTGCTCCTGGAGGGGATTCATTTTTTATTTAAAATTTATATAAATTTTTATAGTAAAATTTTTTTTTTAAGATTAAAAACAATCCCAATTCGCTAAAATTGGAAAGAAAATATAATTTGTCAAATTTATATTTTTTAAAATGCAATTTGTTCAAAATTAAGCAGAAATTAACTAGGGATTTCATTATACTCATTATCAATTATATATCAAATTTTTTTGTTCACTCACGAAGAATGGGTTTTTTATGCAAAAAATAGGGATTTTTCTAATAGCTTTGTTCGCTCATGGAGGGAGTAAGAGATTGGGGACAGAAGCAGTTCGGCAGTTAGACTTATCTATCACTGTTAATCAGACCTGTTGGTCCAAGTTGAGGCAATATGGGAACGGGACTTGAAGAGTAATCTATTTAAGGTTAAACTTAAATATAAAGGTTGCCGTCGATTTTCCAGCACTTCCATAGACACTGTTAAAATTCACAGTTGCAGGACCCGAAAAACTCAGTGAGTAGACATCAGTTGGGTTATCAAGCAAATTCCCATTTGCATCAACTGAGTATAGACTGAGCTGATTGCTTACTCCTACAGTAGTTGAGCTTATTGTAGTAGAATAACATAAAGAAGGAGAACTAAGTCCAACCCCTACCTCTAATGTATATAAAGACCCACTGACCCTTGTAGGGGAATAAAGTTTGCTTGAAGGAATTGTTTCTTTAGTTTGTGAATAGCTGCTCCATCCTACTCATATATTAGCATTTCCTTCCAATTGTTTATAATTTATTTGAATAAATGCATAAGAGTTCGCTGTTAGCGCAGCATTTCCATTGTATTCTCTGCAGCATATAGAAGAAGCGTCCACAACTAATATTCCATCAATATAAAGCTGCGCATAATCATCTGCCAGCACATAAAATGTATAAGTTTCTGAATATAAAGGCAAAATAAAGCCAAACCATTTAACGCTTACAAAATTTGACGCATAAGATGTAATAAACTCATCTGAACTTCAGCTGAAACTTAAAGTTTTATCAATTTGTGAGCTATCAAGGCTTGAATACCACCATGCATTGTCCCAATAATTTCCTAAAATCCCATATTGTTGTAATTGGATTACCGAAACAGTATAAGGTCCAGCTAGTTGCGGGGTATAACTTGCTGACATCGTCCCATCTCCATTATCAGTGAAGGAAGAATAATCAAATCCATCCATCAAGTCAGCCACATAATTTGCATTTGTCGAGCTTACCCTTATGCACTCATACCCATTATTTACTTCACAGACATCTCTGACTTCAAGCAAAAAAGTTGAAGGACTTGTCACAGTGTTTCCTGACTCCCCCCCTCCGTGAGTGAACAAAACCATTAGAAAAATCGCTATTTTTTGCCCAAAAACCCACCCTCCGTGAGTGAACAAAAATTTTTTTAATAGAAAAATTTTTTATATGGAAAAAAAAATTTGATATATAAGTGATAATAATTATAATGAAATATCGAGCTAATTCTGTTTAATTTTAAAAAAATTGCTTTCTAAAACATAAATTTTATAAATTAAATTAATATTTGCTTTCAAATTTGTGCAAATTAGGATTTTTTTAAAATTTCGAAAAAAAAATCTCTATAAAATTTCTATATAATTTTTTTTTAAAAAAAACAATTAACCCCCCTCCGTGAGTGAACAAAATTTTTTTGTTCACTCACGGAGGGGGGGGAGGAGTGAGGAGTCTTTCATGTTGACTTCTACGGTAAAAGAATATAATGCTGAGGGACTGGATGGATAAGTGGTGGTAGATTTACTTGGATCGGAGACCTGAGATATTAAAACGCTGATAGAGTTATCACCTGGGGATTCTCCTACCCAGTTATAAGCTGTAACTTTATAATAATATTGAGTTGAATAACTTACAGTATCCACATAAGAAAATGTTGTAGGACTTGATATTGCTGATTAGATTAGATTAGATTAGATTAGATTAGATTAGATTGTGCCATTCGCTTTTGCAAGAGCCGGGACTTGCACCCCTACACGCTCATCATCCCTGAGGAATCCCGGCGGGCACCCTTCCCCGTTGCCGCAAACGAGGCATTCGCGCAGCAGTCTTGACTTCCTTGGCTTCAGGAGCCTGAGGACCAACTACCTGGGTCGAAACTCCCAGTTTCTCGTTGGCAAATACCGTCTTCAGGGTCTGAGGGTCATATTGCCCTTCAGACATTGGCCGACCTTGCCCTTTCCAATGGGTTGTACCGGAGGAAAACTCTAAGTCCAGGAATTATCTCCCTGGCCCGAGGAAAACCCAACCCGATCATACATAAAGGATTACCGACCCTTTCCACCTAAATCCCCGACACTGGGTTGTTGCCTGCAGGTTTTGAAGAAATAGGGTCGAGAGGTCGGGTGGTCTGTCATCACCATTTTTATGTATATTTGATATTGCTGATAATAATGCCCAGCTTGATGTCTTTTTATATACATTAAAGCCTAAGATTGGAGTCCCTCCATTCGAAATACCGTTTGCAGACCATGCTACTGTTACAGTATTTAAGGAAGCCGAGTATGATAAGTTGACTACATCAGCTGGAGTTCCAGCGCACATCATAGAAACTGAGTCTGAAGTCGGTGAAGTCCCAGAAGTCACAGTCACTTGATAATAAACGTCTAAAAAGCTGCCATCAGTGCTGCTACATTGTATAGTAGCCGAAGTTGATGAAGTGCTGCTAACTCCCCCCCCCTCCGTGAGTGAACAAAACCATTAGAAAAATCGCTATTTTTTGCCCAAAAACCCACCCTCCGTGAGTGAACAAAAATTTTTTTAATAGAAAAAATTTTTTATGGAAAAAAAAATTTGATATATAAATGATAATTAGTATAATGAAATCTAGAGCTAATTCTGTTTAATTTTAAATGAATTGCTTTTTAAAACATAAATTTTATAAATTAAATTAATATTTGCTTTCCAATTTTTGCGAATTAGGATTTTTTTAAATTTCGAAAAAAAAAATATTTTTTATAAAATTTATATATAAATTTTTTTAAAAAAAAAAAAAATTAACCCCCCTCCGTGAGTGAACAAAATTTTTTTGTTCACTCACGGAGGGGGGGGGGGAGTAAGTGAATATGTCGTCCCTGAATGTGTATAAGAAACATAGTAAATAGGCGATGATCCGCCTGAATATGCATTTCATTGAATTGTTAAGGTGTTTGAAGATTTATCGTAGCTTTGTCATTTAACTGGATTTGGCTTGATTACTAATTAATGTCTTACAGCTTGCTGCGGCGAGGCTTAATAAGAGAAAAATCATTTTATTTAAATAATTCTAATTAATTTGATTTAAAACAATAGCAATTGTTTGCATCAATAATCATATCACTATCTAATTTGTTGCACGTGGAATCGTCCACTCTTTTAATTTCTCTCAATTGCAAAAACATGCTGTGTGTAGTTCCATTGTAATCCTTATCAAATCATAGATAAGGTAATAAATGGTTTCAATTTGATACCATAAATCGTTTTTTGAACTGGTCTGTTACCAAATACCCATTAAATTCAATCTTTCCTCCTTCATTGATAGATACAGTGATTTTGTATTTCTTGTTTCCTCCTTCAACAATTGGTTTTAGGGCTGATACTTCAGCTTTAACTATTTCTTTAAAGGTAATTTCTTCACAGTCATCTTCATTGCTTTTATCTCTAATTTTTTCATTTAATGCCGAAATTCCTAAATCTATTAATTTTTGGATTGCTGCGGTTTGCTTTGCGATTTCAATCGAAATTTCTTTAAATTCTTTGCAGGTACAGGAAATGTCAGGAATTTCAAGATCTGCACAATTTCGATTATCGTTAATTTTTTCTAATAAAAGAGAGACAGCATTATGTGTGTGCTGAAAACTCTTTCAGTGCTTGTATGTCTCTGAATCTAAAAACAGGTTTCCATAAGGAAGAATGGCTAAGTGTTTAAAGGTTAAATGCCAATCATATCGACTTACCAGCCTTTTTGTATTGTATTTTATGATTTCATCAGTATTTTTACCAATTTTTGAAATTAATTCTTTGTTTGTTATCATAAAATGCATAGGAAGCCTGTTTTCCATATACCCTTCATAATCTAAATCTCAGAATCCAGAATGTTTTCCATGATCAGACATAAAATGAATGACAAAATCTTCATTATTTTTACTAAAATAGGCTAAAATTTCATTGAAGAATTCCTTAATATCTTGGTCAGCAGTAATAATCACCCTTCCTGTTTCTTCATGCCCAGGAGAAATGTGAAGATATGCAAACCTATTGTGCCCAGAATAATTTTGCACAAATTCATATGCATAATCCAATAGGTATTTGTGAGCATTTTTATTTCCGATGCATCTTTCTTTTGTTGCAAAATCCTGATAATTAAATACTTTGCTTGCTCCATGGTAGAAATTTGAAACAACATGGTCGGTAGAAATTTTCCTACCAGTGCAAAGAGATAAAAAATCGTTAACAGTATCATACCCAAACATTGTTACAAATCCTAGATCTTTGTAGTGGTTTCATATAGCATCATTTTGTGCTTGCTTAAATTTAAATCAATTTGATGGGTTATGAATTGTATAATTTGATAATTTTTCTTCAAGTTCGCTTAGCTCATAGCCGTATAGCAAAGGGATCATATTAGGTCTTGTTGTATCACCTTGTGCATTATTTATGAGAAAATCATAAATTGCTAATTTTTTGGAAAATTCTCCGGTCACTATATTTGAGTTGAAAAAATCCACAGTTTGATTTAAATTCCTATAGAAATGATATCTAGACACTGAATCAAGCAGCAATATAATCACTGTAAGCGGCTTAATCTTATTAATTTTAAGGCTTTGCTTAATTTCTTCCATTCTTTGTAAAGCTCTTTCTGATGCTTTTTGGTTAAATTTATTCTGAAGCTTAGCCATAATATTCGTTGTTGAGCATTTTCCAAAGGCAAATTCCATATTCCCAATTTTCACCTCTCTCTGAAATACTCTTCATATAGGCAACATTTTTACATCCCCAAATACTTCTTCATCTGGATAAGTTCCTAAAGCATACTGTGTGCTTTCCCCTTCTTTGCAATGCAAAATTAAGGTATCATTGGTGAATTCTAAATATTTTTCTTCGTCATTCCCAAATTTTTCACACTTTCGAAAACTGGTTTCTTTGAAATATTTTTTGGCTTGCTCTTGTGTATATCCAAATGCTGCTGGCTTACAATTGACAGTATTTTCAAGCTGATTTTTTGGGTCTCTTATTAGAGGTAGAGATTTTATATAGTCAATCGAAATAGAAGAAAAATTAATAGTGATTATTTCATATGTCACTTTGCTATCACTCAATGTAATGTTCACCTTTACATATAAATTTTTTGTCTCTATTTCATTTTCTAGATTCTTCTCTAAAAATTCCGTTTTCTCATAAGTAAAAGTCACTAACTGCTGATTTTTTTCTTCCTCAGAAAATCCCCAAAAATAAAGTATCAATGGAAAAATCAGCGCAAAACTCCCAACTCCTATAAGCGCCCTTTTAAGACCCTTATTACCTGCCATTTACAAAATAAACTAAAAAATTTCCCCAGCATCTGCATCCCTCATAGACCCTATCACCATTTTGATTGGATAAATATCGTATGAGGAATACAACAGTCACAAAAGTTGCAAAGGGTAGACCGCGAAAGCATAAACTTTCTATTGCTCACATCAAGAAAGCCATTTCAAAGTTTATAACAAATACCGAAAAGATTATCAGATCGGTAGATCCAGATGCAAAAATAGTGATGTCGTCGCCCAAGCCACCAATGAAAAAATCTGGTCGTCCAAAGAAGATTATTGAAGAAAAGCCTAAAATCGTGAAAAAACTACCAAAGGCAGAGAAGGCCAACCCTGATAAAGAAAAAATCATTGTCCCTCAATTTAGGGGTAATTCTTATGTAGCTAGAAATCTCGCCTTCAGAGATTTCTGATAATCAATCCATTGAAAACACTGACGATGAAGTCTATGAAGAATTCCACTCTCACTCAGAAAAAATTGAGTCTTTGCTAAGATCAAGGCCAGATATCAGAAGAATTAAGGCCCATGGACGCTCTACGAATGGCGTCCATAGCAAAGGCCAAACCTACGAAAATTGGAAAAGGAGCCTGAAGAAGTTTGGGATGTATACTCCTGAGGATATCATGGTGAATTATTGGACTGAAGGAATTGGCGGACTTCCATATGAAATCCAAGAGCCAGTAGAAGATGTAGTTATCGAGCTTGATAATTAATTACGCGCCATTCTGCTATAGTACTTCGCTTATTGGCTTTATTAAAAGAGAGTTACTACAGGAAATCTATAAAATGCGAGATCATTATTTTTTTAAGATAAAAGCTCAATAGGTCTTAGTTATGAGAATCAGTGAATTATTTAGAATACACATTCTTAAATAAAAATTTACTATTAAATTAAACGGTAAAAAAAATTTTTTTACTCACTTAAATAGTAACTACCACTAGTAATTAGAATAAAAGCTTGTCAATTTATATAAAAGAGAATCTTTTCTGTTATAAAAATGCGAAATAGTCTTTAATATAATCTTACCGGCTAGGAAATAAATAAAATAGGAACTCCTGAAGTCTATAGTAAAAATTGATAAATGCTTATTTCAATAAAACAGAGAAGCCATTATATGGCTAAAAAGATATCCAGTCAAATCACTAAAATGCTTTTTTTAAAGAAATAATGGTTTATTGTATAGCAAAAAATGCCACTAAAAAGCTGCAAAAAATGCAATCCCATGCACAATCGGAAATCAAAGATTCTATTGTAAGTATAGGCCAGCACACTCAATAAAGTTTTACAACCCGAGTTTAATCCGAGCTATAAATGCAATTAACTTTGCGCTTTCTATAGAGATATAAATAAGAGACTGATATATCCAAAGATTACGAATCAATTATTTTTTAAATAAACAAAATCGTTATCTCTATATTACAATCATAGATTGGAAGTCTTTAAAAAAAGGACTTTTTTTTTTTAACGGTAAAATTTATGTACAAATTTTGAAAGTATTACTGTAGGTAGTCTAAATGAACTGATTTTATAAATGATTACATTATAAAAATAAATAATTCTTGTGATATCATATAAACTTTTTAATTCTATTATCTACTAAAATGCTCTTTATGAAATAGAATAAAGTAAAATCATTGTCTTTACAAAACGGTTTAACTCATTTGTCTTATTTATTAACTATTTAATTGAGGAATATAGAGAAATAATAGAATAAAATATTAATATTACAGTATGCAAATATTTTCGCACTTTATTTGCTTATTTTTCAACAAAATTTAGCACCTTTATAAAAATTGGCGCAAAAATATCGACATGACTACAAGCCAAATTGAAAATCTCTGACCGAGATGAAAAAATTACTTACTTATATGCAATATTTCAGATGCACTGATGAAGACAGTCTTGAAGATTATTTTTATTATTTTCAATGGTTATTGGCCAACAAAAGTAAACTTTCAAAACTCCTTTCTTTAATCAATATATTAAATACTAATAATTTCGTTTAATTCACAGGCAATACAGTAATACTTCAAAATTTGTACATAAATTTTACCGTTAAAAAAAAGTCCTTTTTTTAAAGACTTCCAATCTATGATTGTAATATAGAGATAACGATTTTGTTTATTTAAAAAATAATTGATTCGTAATCTTTGGATATATCAGTCTCTTATTTATATCTCTATAGAAAGCGCAAAGTTAATTGCATTTATAGCTCGGATTAAACTCGGGTTGTAAAACTTTATTGAGTGTGCTGGCCTATACTTACAATAGAATCTTTGATTTCCGATTGTGCATGGGATTGCATTTTTTGCAGCTTTTTAGTGGCATTTTTTGCTATACAATAAACCATTATTTCTTTAAAAAAAGCATTTTAGTGATTTGACTGGATATCTTTTTAGCCATATAATGGCTTCTCTGTTTTATTGAAATAAGCATTTATCAATTTTTACTATAGACTTCAGGAGTTCCCTATTTTATTTATTTCCTAGCCGGTAAGATTATATTAAAGACTATTTCGCATTTTTATAACAGAAAAGATTCTCTTTTATATAAATTGACAAGCTTTTATTCTAATTACTAGTGGTAGTTACTATTTAAGTGAGTAAAAAAATTTTTTTACCGTTTAATTTAATAGTAAATTTTTATTTAAGAATGTGTATTCTAAATAATTCACTGATTCTCATAACTAAGACCTATTGAGCTTTTATCTTAAAAAAATAATGATCTCGCATTTTATAGATTTCCTGTAGTAACTCTCTTTTAATAAAGCCCGCTTATTTTGAAAATAAAGATAAGATTATGAGTTTTTAAAAAGCTAAAAGTTTCTGATAGTTTAGGATATTGAAACTGGCTCCCCCCTCCGTGAGTGAACAAAAAATTTTGTTCACTCACGGAGAGGGGGTTAATTTTTTGTTTTTAAAAAAATTTATATAGAAATTTTTTAAAAAAATATTTGTTTTTGAAATTTAAAAAATCCTAATTCGCAAAAATTGGAAAGCAAATATTAATTTAATTTATAAAATTTATGTTTTAAAAAGCAATTTATTTAAAATTAAACAGAATTAGCTCTAGATTTCATTATATTAATTATCATTTATATATCAATTTTTTTTTCAGAAAAAATTTTTCTATTAAAAACAATTTTTGTTCACTCACGGAGGGTGGTTTTTTAGGCAAAAAATAGGGATTTTTCTAATGGTTTTGTTCACTCACGGAGGGGGAGCGAGGCTATATAGAAGATGCTTGCTTTATAGCTATTTAAGATATCTATTCTTTATTATAAAATCAATTAACTGGACTTCTTAACGAAATTCGCCATTTATTAATCCACAGATTAAGAGTTAATAACAAAATAACGATTCATAGATTTTTAATATTGAGCAGCAGAGATTACACTAATTTATATTTTATGTGTTGGTTTAAATGCAGGCATCGCTTTACATGCTCTATACACTTTGCATCATAAATGACTTATGCCGTTTATGAAATTCTGAATTCTGCGACTGCTGCTTATAATCTGCTAATAAATTTACACTACTCTTTTTTCTACTTATAGGGATTATACAATCCCTTCTCAACTTCAAATTTTGCATGATTTCGTTAGGTGTTTCGAGCCCATTTTGGGCATATATAAAAGGTAAATATTTACTCCCCCTCTCCATGAGCGAGCAAAAAATTTTGTTTGCTTACGGAGGGGGTTAATTTTTTAAAAAAAAAATTATATATAAATTTATAGAATTTTTTTTTTCGAAGTTTAAAAAAAATTAATTCGTAAAAAAAAAATCGGAAAGCAAATATTCATTAATCGGTAAAATTTATGTTTAAAAACGCAATTTGTCATTTATATATCAAAAAATTTTTTTCATAAAAAGTTTTTGTTCGCTCACGGAGGAAGGGAGTTAGAAGAAGCCGGTGAGCCTCTCAAGCTTCTTGGCGAATGCAAAAGATCTAAGGCTGGGCTGATAGGACTATCCCTGCTCCCTATATGTTCTCTTGCAGAAAAAATCGAAGGAAGCTTAAAAGCTTCCGAATTTCTTCTTACGTCTCAACTTGAGATTTCTTTTATTTTTAAAGGCTTCAGCACAAGTTTCCGTTTTGTTGCTAGATATGATGGGATAGAAAGCGTGAACGATTTTATTTTTTCTTGCCTAGAATCAGCCATTATAATTTAATGGATAATCTGTAAAATCTAAATAATTAATGATAATTTTGAATGGGATAACAATCATAAATGAGGAAAGTAAAAATTTTAAAAATGGAAATTAAAAAATAAGACAAAGTAAGAAATAATTATTCAATAATTTTTAAAAAATAAATTTTCAATATAAATTTAGCTGTGCAACAATAATCTTTATATAAATTATTTTTTAGTTATTAAAAATTAAATGAAAAATTCAGAAAGAGATAATGATAAAATTACCCTTTGCCAATTTTCTAAGACTGATTTGTAAGCTAAGAGTCGAATAACGGCTAGCAATAGTAACATGAAATATTTCCGCTCCATCTTTTTTGAAAGATTATTAGTCGAGCTATTAATTATCATTTTCAGAGAGTTCATAAAAAATGATAATCAGAAGTCAGAATAATTTAGAAAAATCAGATTAAGGGCATTTATTTTGCCTTCTCAGCAGAAAAATGAATAAAATGCACGAACATTAATAATTTTGCCATTCTGCAAATAAACCTTATTTCAATTTGATAAAAATCACAATCAGTTATCAGCAAAAGCCTTGGATTTAAATTTAATTAAATTATAAGAACATTATTATTTGGACGACTTATAGCTTAATTACGAAGAATTAAGCGCCTAATTCATATCTATATGTTAACGTTTCCATAATCCTACATTTTCATGATGGCTAACCCTTATTTTTAATTTTTACTACAAATCTTGACTCCTCGTTTTACTCATTTTCAACGCTTAAAATGGACTATATTTATTAAATTTCTTATATTCAAATCCTTATTTCGTTTTATTGTCGACAAGCCTAGTATTTGGCTTTCTTCAAATTTTCCTATCATAAGCAATAAACATCCATTATGCATAAAACGCTAGCGACAAATGCTGTTAATAAAATGTCGGATTATCGATATGAATGTCCACTCTGTTGCGAAAATTACAATATCAAGAATAACCCCAAAATTCTTGCTTGCGGACATTCATTTTGTGAAGAATGTTTAAAAACAGTCTTCAAATCAGCGAAAAAATGCCCTCTGTGTGATGGAGACATTGCGGTCGAGAATATTACAGATCTCCCAGCAAAGACGGCTATCATTCCGAGTAAGCATGCCTCAAGAGACGAAGAAATAAAATGGTGACGCTGACGGAAATTGGACTCCTAGGCACACCTCCTATGGAGCTGGTAGGACTCATTTCTGATGAAGTTGAAACATAGGGCCTCATTCCCTATCTTGAGTAGGCCTTCAGAGGTGGGGAAGCCTTGCCGAAAAGGAAGTTTTATTTCTCCCCCAAAGGTTTTCCTGTCCCTGCCAGATGGGCTAGACAGGATATCCTACCACATGGTCTCCCCACATCGGGACCATCGGGGCACTCTCCAAGAAGTGGCTCTGCCCAGAGGAGCTGATCCTCTGGACAGATGGTTCAGACAAGAAATAAGATGGTAGCGGGCCTAGGAGTATGATCGCATCAGAACCCGACCTGAAGTCACCTTTCGAGCTGAGGTGTGTGTGTGTGGTCAATTGGTTTTGCCCACTTATGGCCATGCAGAATTAATCTAATCTAATCAAGAGACGACACCAATTGGTTCTACCCTCAGCAAGACTTTGACAACTATTTCGTCTCCACATCTAGTTTTAAAAACAAGTTTTCAAATAATTCCCAAGCTATAAGCACTACTTTGGAAAACGGTTATACGCCATGGGAAAATAGTTTGGAAAACAATGGATACCCATCGTGGTGGAACAACATCACAGATGAGTCCCCGTGGAACTTTTCAAATACAAATAAAATTTCGAGTAATGGCATCACCCAAGATTATACGAGCACACACAACATTGCCAACTCAAAAATCAGAGAACTGAAAGGATATATGGATGAACTTGAAAAATCCAAACAGAATATCAAGCAGTTCTGCACCTATGCAAACAGCATCACTCTCGAATCCAAAAATCAAATTTGCCAAAAAATCCAATTCGCTAAAAAATTTCTCCAAGACTTGGAAGAAAAATCAAATAAAGACGCTGAAAACTACATCACTTTGAATCAGATTGTAGCCAAGAAAAGCATCGGAGAGATCGACGACAAAATCAATTTAATTAATAGATGTCTCGGAAGCTTATCGAAGGTTCTTTCTAATTCAAGCGGAATTAGCGTGTCTCTTCAAATGGAATTAAACCAACTGTCATCGATGGCTATTCCTGGGGCAAACATTGAGTTCTATTCCTACAAATATGATCCAGAATGGACATTAGAAAGCGAACCCAGCTTTAAAGTAGGAAAATTGGACAGCCAACAGATGCCTTCAATATACCGAAGCTCTAGTTTCAATTCTCAGTCCTCAGGGAGCGTAAGTCCTATTGGTAAATATACTCCAAAACTCGCTAAAAAGGTCACGAACTACGAATGGTACACTATTGATAATGACAAGGGATCTAGAAGAGCTGGACCTGTCATTGAGAAGCAGATTGAAAAAGGATACAAAAAGGGTGCTAAGACATGGAGGATTCATCATAAAGACCATGGAGAATACTTCGCAATCGTGAATTATGAAGATCGGACTTTTAAATACTTTTCAACCAATAAGGTTTTCAAGTTAGAAAGAGTTCCGAGCTATTAACTAAATCTCATCGATACTAATAGGTCTTCACATTAAAATTAAATTTTGTATAAATAATTATGGAAGGAACCATGAGGGAATGCCTGCTTTGCACAGAGCTATATAATGATAATATAAACAAGCCAAAAGTACTTGCATGTGGACATACATTTTGTGAAGCTTGCTTAATAAAAACTTTGAAATTATCCCAGCCTTGTCCAATGTGCCAAAAAGAAATCAGGGAGATATCTGTTTCAAGAATACCCACAAATTTCGCTCTAATACCAAATAACCCTACTCCGAAACCAAAGGTAACGAATAACGCCCAATTTGCCCAAAAATACGATACACATGGTGGATATCCTGCTCAATGAAATCCATACTCAAATGTAGCAACACGAAGTGTTCCTATCGTAAACGCTCAGCAAGATAGGGCTCTGCAAGAAGAAAGGAAGCAGATGCAAAGCTTTGCTAACACTAAAGTAAAAGAATTCTCAGAATTCGATGAAACACTCGAAAAATCAAAACAAAGCTTGAAGAAGTGATGTGCCTACGCAAATGATATAAATCTTAAATCAAGATCTCAGCTCCTCGAAAAAATCCAAAAAGCGAAACAATTTATTGATGAAGTTGAAAAATGGTGTATTGAGGGTTCTCAAAGCTGCATAGATTACAACATTGGTATTGTCAATGAAAGTATTTCTATAATTGATACAAAAAGAAAGGCAGTGCTGAACTGTCTTGGGATTTTACAAAATGTATTAAGAGGGATTAACATAGACAAAAATACCCTCAATAGCCAACTGAGCCAGATATCTACAAACGAGGTTCCAGGAGTTGATGTAGAGTTTTATACAAATGTATATGAATCAAGCTGGAATTATACAATTGCTTCGCCACAGAGTAGCCTAAATAAATATAAAATAAAGGAATTTGAAGTCATGTCAACGACTCCAAAAGTAGTGGAAAACTTTGAAAACTATGAGTGGCACACCATTGATCCAAAAACTGGAGATAGACGGCAAGAGCGCTATATTGAAGAGCAAATAGAACTTGGATATAAAAATAGAGAACCGAAGCGAAAAATTATTAATAAGTTTGGGTTTGTTATAGCTACCATTGATTACGCAAACAAAACATTTATTTTAAAAAAATCGAAAAAGCTGCTTACTTTACAGAGAGTTCAAGTTTAATTAAAATTATATTTTTTCATTAAGAAGGACTAGACTAATAATTTTTTATTAGAATAAAATATGGAAAATTCATATACCATTATTGATGCAGATATCACATACTCTATATTAAAAGACGGAGTTTCTGTAGATGATATTAGGAAAATAATTAGCGATCGAGTTGAAAAAGGTATTGGTCAATCAACTAGCCAAGAGAGTCAAAATTTTATATGGTGGCCAACAAGAGTAAAAGATTTGTATCAAATTATTGATAGTGAAACATATATGTGCACTTCAGTACATGCCAGGCATATTAAAAGAGCCCTTGATTTAATAACAGAAAATGCTGATTTGCAGCAAACTCATATGCTCTTAATTCTCGATGCAACAATCGAGGGCATGGCACGTAAACTTACATATTAAGAGAGATAAGGTAAGGTACATCTGGAGAATCTGGATTTTTTAAAATACCACTCCACTTAAGCCAATCTTTTCAAAAGAATTAATGTCTAGGAATTGCATACATTTTATTCAAATAATTAAGTTCATTATTAATATTAAAAGCAACCTTTTAAATAAAATAATACAAATGTCAAAAATTTATTTTAAATTATTTTTTCTTCTTCATTAAAGCAGATTTGCTTGCCAGCGAATCAAAAATGGCTGCAATATCGCTTTTTGGCTTCATAGATCTATCAACAAATAAGCTTGCGTCTTTGCATGGTCTTCCTCTCTTTCGAGGAAAAGTTATTTCTCTACTATTCATAAGGGTGTCATTTATATCACCCTCCAACATTTTTTTCTCTGAAATTCAATTGTTTTCTATGGCTTCAGTGTCATAAACTTGAGGCTCCTCGTAATCGTCCATACACAAAAATCACTGATCAAATGCTTCAATGCTTTCTTCTTCCACTCTGCTGAAATTGCTTATTGGTAAAGGCTTGCTTTTATTATTGTTATCACTATGGGCTGTAAGAAAATGCGAAATAAGCTCTGTAGACTCTGTGAAGCCTTCTTGGCAATTTGGACAGAAAATTCCTTTAGGCTTGATTTGGGGCTTTGAAAATTTCAAGCCTTGCATTTCTTCTGCTGCAGCGCCGCCTTTATAGTAATTAGTTTCAAAATTCCCAGGTTTATAAGTTTCCATTTCAAGTTTTGGGCAGATATGCAATTTCATGATGCCGAGACAAGTGAATTTCTGTTTGCATTCTGGGCATTCTTCCATGGGTGCAAATCGTTTTTCTTCTGGATCTATTAGTCTTATTCCCCAAGATGTGTATAACTCTGATATATCCATATTTGATTATAAGATGATTTTCTTTGAAGGTTTAAAACATTAAAACCCCCCACTAGTAAAATAGACAAAGAAATATTTTTTTATTTTAAAAATGATTTTAAATTTGATTTTAATTTTTAAAAAAATTAATATGGTTAGCTGGAATAAGATTTAATTTTAATATAAAATTTAAAAGTTAAATAATGCTCAATTATTGGATCTATTAAATAGCTTTAAGATCAACTCCTTCTGCTAAAGTTCACTGTAAAAATTTTCAATAAATAAAATTTTTATGAATAAATTTTAATATTTGTGTATACATAAATGAATTTGCCTCATTTTCTAAAAGAATAATAATTTAGATTAATTTGAAATAAATCAAACAATGAAAAAGCGTTAAAAATCTTTTTACGAAATAATGAGAAACACTTTTCATGGAATTAAGCTCATGCTTAATCATTTAGTTGATCTTGTAGACTTGCTATTTTAAGATAATTATTATTTACCTCATATCCCTGATTGAATCTGGCACATCCCTCAAATAAGGATGGTTTAATGCTTCAGCAGCACTAATTCTATTAATTGGGTTAATCTGCAGCATTCTATTCAGCAAATCATACCCTTCATCATCAAGCCTCGGCACAAGGGCCCTTAGATCTTCCCCTGGAAATCTTTCGAAATTTCGATTATATTCCGACAATTGGCTTATACCTGGTCACGTTTCTTCTGAGGGTGTTCCCATCACCTTAAAAATTTTTCTAATCTGATCGTTATTTGATGTTCCTGGAAACAGTGGTTTTCCATTTAACTTAACTTAGATATTATCGAGAACCTCCCTTCCAGTCATGTCGGCCTTTCTCGTCCCTTGTCTTGCTCTATCTTCTTGCTTATTAGTCCTATTGCACAGCTAAAAGGTATGTGTGGCTCCCTCCAGACGAAGTCTTACAGAGGTAAGGATGCTGGTCATCGTGCAGTACGGGAGCGGAGTTGCCCTTTCCAAAAATTCAAAAAGTGAATTTTTGTCAGGCTAATAGCCCAAATGAAGTTTGCAGCCCAGGACACAATTCCTAGATTGCATTAGAAATGTTGATTGACCAAGCAAAAGCTCTCTGACCTTGCTGTGCTATCTCTTTCTAACTTCTGTTCCATACTCCCTCAAGATAAAGCTATGCCCTGGATGTGAGCATGTGGTCGGTGAGCCAGACAATGCTCTTCACCAAACCAAGTAAAATCCAGCCAGACACTTTCACCGCACATTGCTCTTCCTTCCACAAGTCCCCAGAATCCTGTCTGGCTAAAGGTATTAAGAGGGCAGGTTTATTCGCCACTTCATTTTAGTGTGGTTTTCCAAGTTAAGGCTCAATATCGTGCACTTTTAATAATATGCTTTTAACCGAAGAAAATTTAGTCTAAAATTTTTAAATAGCAAGCATTTGGTTGAAATTGAACGATTTTTTGGTTAAATGCATTACTATCAAAACTTTTCGAAAAAATTTCACCTAGGAAACGCCTCTCTACCGAAAATGGACGGTGATTTGACACGGAGCCTAGTTTTCCATTAAGCAATTCAGCAAAAATACACCCGACTGACCAAATATCCACAGAAGTATTATAATTTCTGCTTCCCATCAGGACATCTGGTGGTCTATACCACAAAGTCACCACTTCATGAGTATAGCTCCTTACTGGGATCCCAAAAGCTCTTGCCAGGCCAAAATCCGCCAATTTTAAAGCTCCTTCTCTATTTATCAATAAATTCTGAGGCTTCAAATCTCTATGAAGGACTCTATGGGCATGACAATGAGCGACACCACGAAGTAATTGAAATAGATAGGATTTTGTAGTTGCGATATCTAAGCCTTGCCCAGAATATGCATCAATTAGCTTTTTTAGATCTTGGTCGAGGAATTCAAACACCAGTGTTAGTTTACGCTCTGTGTGAATTACATCATAGAGTCTAAATAAACTCTTACTGTACAATGTTAGGGTGTTTTAGCTCTTTCAGAAGGGAAATTTCTCGAATTGCAGTGCTGGGAATTCCTTCGTCTTCTGTTTCCAGTCGGATTTTTTTCAAAGCGACTAAGTCGCCTGTGGCTGTTTCACGCGCCTTGTATACGACTCCGTAAGTGCCTTCTCCTATCTTTTCGAGTTTTTGGTATTTATCCATGCGATTGCATATAATAAAATGGTTGGTGGCGAGACCTATCCTCCAATGGCGGGTGCACTTATGTATATTGGATGTGGTTTTTGATGCAAAGAGCTACCCAAGGTTGGGTCAGCCTCGAAGAGCGAGGCCCAGCACTATTTCCGCTGATTTGGCCTGGCTTGAGCTGCAGTTTTTATCAGCAGCACCCGAGCCCAAAATGGGTGTAAGTCGACTTACGATGTGTAAGAGGTTTATTGACCTGCCCCGAGCCGGTGCAAGCCTGCTGATTTTTTTCTTTGGAGATGGTTGAGGGAAAAAGGAAGACAGGCTAGACCAAGATTAAAGGGCTAGTCTAGATATGATTGACCTAAACCAGGCAGGGCTGGGCAATTTTGACTTTTGGGCTAGAAATGGAGATTCCCATTAAAATCTGGTTATCCAGATCATGACGGAAAATGCTTCTACTAAAAAGCCGAGGATTTCAGCACACGGCTCATACTGCCTTTAGGAGACCCTTTCACAGCAATGCTATGGAGCGCACATGATGAATCAGGAAATAAGGATTTAAATACTCGTAAATAATCTAATTTAATCCATGCGATTGCGAGTGACCATTTCTTAGCAAATTATTATTGAAGCTTGGATCAAAAAATGAAACTTCTGTAACTAAAGCCTAATTAATATTATTTAAAGCATAAAAATTATATTAGTTTTAATCTCATTAATCAACATAATTAAAGATGTTTTTATCATACAGCCTATTCCTGACTATAGATTGGGCTATGCCCGATCTTTGCCAGGAAACTCGGGGAGTTGTCTGCGTCACTTCGAGGTGACAAGTCAACTCCCCGAGTTGGCAATCACTATATGGTGGCTATTTGCTAACTCGGGAGTTGACTCGCCACCCAAAATTGATGTAGACAACTACTCGAGTGTCCCGGCAAAGATTGTACATAGTCCGATCTATAGCTAGGAACGGGCTATATTTATGAAAAACTTATTATAAGGTTTTCAATCTAAGCTAAAAAGTTATATATCAGAAAAAAAAACTAATCATCCCACGAATCCCAATTTTTATCACACCCCTGAGCTTTATTAGCAGGAATAGTTTGCTCTTTATAAGTCGGAGCATGATGCCCATAGATAGGTCCACGCAACGTTGGCCCATTTTCTTGGTTCTTGCTTTTAGTGTCTCTAATAAAGGTAAACTGTTTCCTATCAATTATATCAGTTTTCATCATCTTTTTCCCTTGATCCTTTGATGTCGAGTGCTTATGTCTTTGAGTGCTTGTTTGATTAGCATTGTTGCTGCTCAAGTCAGCTTTGCTAACAATCACATTATCTTGGCTTGGCCTAGGTCTTGGAGCAGAAAATTCTCTTCTCCTCAAAGTGCTTGCTTGCTTTACCTCTTCCAATCCTAATTGATCCATATCAGACAATAAATCCAGCATACCTGCTGGCTGATTAAAAGTTTCTCTAAAAGAATCTTTTCTGACATATGACTGTTCTGCCCAATTTATTGTAGAGCTCATAGTAAACTCTTTATGTACATTTTCAGATTGCAAAGCTGGCTCCCTTTTAGTTTCGGTAAAAGTGCTAATTCTTTCTCGTTTGATTTGATTTACATCTTCTTTAGAAGACCTTGGCTTGAATACTAATACAGTGTCCTTGGAGGAAGGCTCAGGATTGGATGGCAGTTTGCGATCTGAGGATTTTTTGGCAGGAGAAATTTTAGGTGCTGGGCTAGCTTCAGGGGTTGGGTCTTTAATAGCTTTGTTTTCTTGTAAGGGTTCGACACCGAAACGAGGGGAAAAGCAAGAACTATCTTCTGGCGGCTTGGTTTGTTGAGCTGGAGAGTCTTCTTGTCTAGCTTGAATGTCAAGAGATGCTGTTTTTCTGCTCAAGTCACTTGATAAAGTTGAGCATTCATCTGAGTTACCTTCTTTAGGCTTTGCTAAAATTTTGAATGCTTGGCACCAGCTGTCATAAATTTCTTTAGTTTCAGCGTATAATGTATACTTTCTTGAGGGGAATTCAACAGTAAACGCAAATTTTCAGTCGCATTGCTCTAGAAATTTTGGATCTGCTTCAAAAGAAATCAAATCTTTGATACTGTGTGTGCGCTCTGCTTTCTTTTTATTTGCGTTTGGGGTATAATAAAAACAGTCTTCGTCGAAATCTAAGACAAACCATCGTTTTGTAAAGTTTGACATGAATCTTGCAACAGCATTTTGGCTTTTCAATTTTTTGAGATAGCTTTGTACATTTGAAGGACGCTGCTGGGCTGGAGTTTGGTTGTTAAATGTGGTGCTCATTTTTCAAAAATTATGAAGTTCTAACAGTTTTAATCCCTTTTATTGGTTTTTACTTTAAGAAAGTTTCTAATCGAAAATACAAAAAGTAATTATACCTATTTGCCAAGAATAGCCCACTAAGGAGCATTTTTTGATTCGCCATTCTTAAATTTGGTTGGCCATAAAATATGGCATGCCAACGAATTTGGCAAGCCAGTTATTGTCCGGCAACCAAAAAATGCTCCTTAGTGGGCTATTCTTGGTAAATAAGTATATAACTATAAATACAGCGAAAATTAATTTGCAATATATAAATTGAATAATAAAAAGATTGACTTAGCTATCATATTAAAAGCATATAAAGTGAAATAAAACAAAAGATAAATATGGAATATCCGATTATATTGCAGAGCTAAAAATCGGTGATTTTAATCCTTTTAGATTCAGAAATCAAAATTCAATTGCTTGCATCATTTTAACTCTCTCTTAATAAATAGAAATCCTTATCAATGAAAGAAGCTTTATTTGCTTTGCACTATTTAAAATCTCTTAAACTAGCATTTAAGATTAAGTTTACATTCTTCTATAATTTTTTCCAATCATACCCCGAAATTCTAATTTAGATTAATTGATCTTCAAATGAAATATGATTGATTGTATTAAAGAAATGGTTACAAATTAATTTTATTCTATTCTTTAATTGCACAATTTTATCATAATTCTTATATATAGGCTTTTAATTAAGTCTTCACCTAAATTTTCATTGAAAATAACTTCATGTCATATTAAACTTTCACCCAATTATAAGTACAAAAATGAGAATGATGTCTGCTCTTGGTGGGTCCTTCTGGTCCACTTTCCGTAATTTTCAAAGCCATTCAGCATTGGATGAGCTTTTAGAAAAAGAAGATGCAACTTTGTCCGAAGTTCTTAACGAAGAAGAAACAATCCAAGAACTGAAGAGCCATAACCAAAAACTGATTGAATTGTAACTATTATTCAGCTTGAATGAAGAGCGACTTGCACAACTCATTGAGTACATTACAGTCTTCCCTCCAGAGAACTCTCCAAAGGAGCGAGAAAATAAATACCCCTTCATCTCCTGTGAGCTCTTAAGCTGCGACGTTCCACCTGTCTTAGATAAGTTGTTCGACTCTGAGCCCCTTCTCCAACAACTATTTTCGTTTTTGCATAATGATTACATTCATCCTACACTAGCAGGATACTTCGGGAAAGTCGCTTTAACTCTAGCCAACCGTCACATAAGGGAGATTATGAAATTTGTCACTGAAAACAATTTCATTGGAGAATTGTTGAAGCATCTAGAATACAAGTCAGTTGCAGATGTAATTTTTAAGCTCTTGCTAGTTGATATTCCTGGCGAACCTGTATATCTTCCTCAAAGAATCGAAATAGTAAAAGGGCTACTTAAAGGACTGAAAGATGAAAAAAGGGAAATCCAACACCATGCTGGTCACATCCTAACTGATTTAATTAATAAAGTCACAGAAACTAACTCATGGAGGTCACTTGTCGAAGTAATCATGAATAAAGAAACACTTGAATACTTGTTCAGCGGTCTTGTTGAAGCTAACTTAGGGGTTGTAAATGCTTGTGTGAGCGTCTTAAAATCTATTATGTCAAGCCAATATAGAGACGAACTTTTTACACTTGACCAAAAAGATAAAGATAGCTTAGAAAATGAAATGGTGACCATTCAAGAATCTGAACAAACCTGTACATTTATTGACTGCTTTGTGCAGTCTTTAGATGGATTTATCCAGATTTTAGTAAAAGAAAGTGATGTTAAGTTTTTGACAACCTTTAATGAAAAAATCGAGGTCCTTGGAGAAGGGAGACTTAAAATAGTGGAAGCATTAAATGCTGCTATTAAAATGGAAAAGAAAGAAATTTATACCAAATTGTATGAATCTGGAGCAATGAAAGTGCTTGTAGACTTATTTTTCAGGTTTTCATGGAACTCCATGCTCCATTCGTCTTTTGAAAATATCGTTCAAGGAGTCTTATATATCAATCACAGTGATCTTAAAACACAACTTCTTGAAGATGCCAAACTAGTCGAAAAAATTGCACAAAAAGGACTCGAACAAGTGAATTCTTATTCCAAGCTAAAGCCTGGCTATCTTGGCCACCTGAAACGAATTGCAAATTTAATCAATAAGCTCGCCCAAGCCCAACCAGAAGTGCATGCAGTTTTATTAAAATCAGAAAATTGGGAAAGCTTTAAGACTCAGTATTTAGAGGTTGAAAATAAAAAAGAAGAAGCTACGCTAGGAGATCAAAGGCTACCTACATTTGGTGATAATTTTTCAGAAGATGAAGAAAAAGAGCAAGAACAAGAGCACGAGCATGAGAATAAGGAGCACATATTTTCTTCTTACCAAAGTAGTGACAAGAATGAATATGAAGAAGCAGAAACGCCAGAAGAAGAAATCGAGCAAAGTGAGCCACTTAGCAAGGAAGATCTTGAATATGAGCCAGAAGATAAAGAAAAAGAAGTAAAAAATGAAGAAAACCAAGAAATTGATGTAGAAATTCCACAGCCAGCAAAGGAAGAGTTTGAGTTCGAGTTTAAAGATGAAAAGCAAGAAGAAATTGCTGATAACTATAAAGAAGATTATGGATTTGAGATTAAAGAAAGTGAAGAAAACCCAGAAGAAAATCCGGAAGATGTTCCAACAGATGCACCAATGACTAAAGAAGAGTTAGAGTTCGAAATTAAAGAAGAACAGCCTACAGTTGAGCCTGAGAGTATTCAAGAAGAAGTTACAGAAGTTCAACCTGAAGAAATAAAAGAAGAGGTAGAGACAACTGAAGAATCTAAAGAAGAGGTGGAGATAACAGAAGAGCCTAAAGAAGAGGTGGAGATAACTGAAGAGCCTAAAGAAGAGGTGGAGAAAACAGAAGAGCCTAAAGAAGAGATCCAAAATGAAGAAAGTCATATTGATGAAATCATTGAAATCGAGAAAAATGATGAAGAGTCAAAAGCGGAAGAAACTGAGACTACTGCAGAAAATACTAATATTCCTGATACTGAGCCTACAGCTGAAGAAGCCAAAGATGAGGGTGAACAAGAAACAGGTCTAAGTCAAACAGTCCAAATTGTATCTGTTCAATGGGATGAAACAAATGAAAGTGAAGAAACAGGTCTTACTCAAACAGCAGAAATTGTATCAGTTGAATTTGTTGAGACTAAAGAAAATATTGCTTCTGAAACAGTAGAGACTGCAGTTGAAGAAATACAAACTCAACCTGAAGACCAATCAGGACAAACCCAAACTGTTGAAATTGTATCTGTCGAATTTGATACAGTTATTGAAATACCTGAAGCAGCTCAGCCTTCAATAGAGGAAGTAAAAACTGAGGCTAAAGAAGAAGAAAATTTAACTCAAACCACTGAAATCGCATCAGTTGAGTTTCAAGTTGTTCAAGAAACCTCAGAGCCCACATTTGAAGCTCAAAACTCTCAACCCGAATCTGAAGAAACTAAAGAAAGTGCAGCTGAAGAAGTAATAGAGACTTCAGAAACCCAAAAAGTCCCTCAAGAGTCCCAAACTGATTCACAAGAAAAAGAAACCCCAGTCTCTGAAGAAGTTGTGCAGCAGATCCCTGACATCCAAGAACCTCAACCAGAATCTGAAGCAAAGGAGACAGTGGAAACTGAAGAAATAAAGCAAGATATACCACAACAGACTGAGGCTCAAGCTGAAGTAGTAGAAGCCACTCAAGAAAGCCCAAGCGAAGAGCAAAGCATTAAAGTCTCAGAAGAGGCCAAAATTGAAGACTCTAAAAGCATTGAACTTCAAAATGAAGAAGAAGCTAAACCCCCCCCCCCTCCGTGAGCGAACAAAAAAATTTTGTTCGCTCACGGAGGGGGGGTTAATTTTTTTTTTAAAAAAAATTTATATATAAATTTTATAAAAAATATTTTTTTCGAAATTTAAAAAAAATCCTAATTTGCAAAAATTGGGAAGCAAATATTAATTTAATTTGCAAAATTTATGTTTTAAAACGCAATTTGTTTAAAATTAAACAGAATTAGCTCTAGATTTCATTATACTAATTATCACTTATATATCAAAATTTTTTTCCATTAAAATTTTTTCTATTAAAAAAATTTTTGTTCACTCACGGAGGGTGGGTTTTTGGTCAAAAAATGGCGATTTTTCTAATGTTTTGTTCGCTCACGGAGGGGGGGGGGGAGTAAGGAAGTAGAGTCTGAGATTGGCCAAGAGCCGCAAGATGAAGTGCTCGAGCAGCCAATAAGCCAGGAGCAAGGTGAAAATACTGAAATACCAAAAGCTGCAGCTGAGGAACCCTCAGAGCAAGTTAATGAGTCTGAGCAAGAACCTCAAGAAGTCAGTGATGCTTTTGGCTCCATGCCAAATGAAGTACATTTGGTCGAAGACTTTTAAATAGTGTGAGATTTAGTGGAAATTTAATAGTTTTTTAGGTCAAATATCTCGCTATTAAAAATTTTCAACCAATTTTCGACTAAATTTACTTCGGTGAAATGTACACTATCAAAAGTACGCGATCATTGATCTGCACCCATGCTTCTTGCTAAAAATTATCGAATTCTTAATAAATATCTATCTTTCTCAGATAAATTAGCCTTGTAAACTGAAAATGATATCAAAATAATATAAAAATATTGATAAAAATGTTTGGATTTGGTCAGATATATGTCATTGTGATACTCATATTGCAGCCATCAAAATATGGCGTGGATCAAATTTTCTGTTCTCCAAAAAAAAATCTCCTGGGACAACTTTGGCTATCAGTTTTGGTTTTACCCGTCGAGTTTATCCTGACTGTCCAGCGAAATAAGATCCCACAGTGTACGGTGAAGTATCCTGCTTATAAGAAAATGGAAGCTTCTTAAAAGTGCACCAAAATCCCAAACTTTTAAGATTGGCACCTATAGTAGTGTGCCTGGCCTAAGTTGGTTTAATATCCAGAAGAACATATCTTGTAAATATCTTAATACCAATGGGGAGTTTACAATGGGGTTTTAAAATTTTCTGGTTTATGCTAATGATATCCATATTGCTTATCTTTTTGCAAACTGCTGAATCTAGAGCAGGAGGTGGTGGCGGTAGCAGTGGAGGTAGCAGTAGAAGTAGCAGCAGAAGAAGTCGCTCTTACTCAAGTAGCTATCACAGCTCAAATAATAATAATGATAATTCGGATGAAGCATCCACTCTTGACTATTGCATTACAATCGGAACTTTCTTATTATTTGCTATTTTTGCTATATTGGGATATTTCTTCTCAATTGACAAGAAGGTTGAGAAAAAGCACAATGAAATAACTAAACAATTATACGATGAGTCTATTAAAGAATCTATATGAGATGAAAAAGACTTAATTTTAAATGTTAATCAATCATTTATTGATTTGCAAAAAGCATGATCTGAGCAGGACTTGAACTTTATTGAAGGAAAATTATGTCACAACTTATTTATTAAATGGAGAGATATCTTAAATGATATGAGATATCGAAATGAAAGCAACGTAGTCAGTAATGTGGTAGTTAATAAAATAAGATTTGTCAAGCTAGATAAATCAGAAAAGATTTTCACAGTTTTTATTGATGCTAAAGTTAAAGACGTTACTGTGAATTTAAGCTCAGGGAAAATTTTGAAAGATCAAAGTGGTAGGTTCAGAGAGTTTTGGACTTATATATGGAATATTGATGGATGGCTTCTAATGGAAATTAGTCAAGAAAATGAGAGCTCAAAATTCCTTTAATATATAAGGTTAATGTTTATTAGTAATAATGGATATTTATTAATAAAATGGCAGATTAACTACAATAATGGAATAAATGTTGATGTGAAGCAATAAGAGCGACAAAACTACTATTAGAAAATTAATTAGATACTACTCATAAAATCAGAATAATACTTTGGAGTATAAAGTAAAGGTTCAAGATTAATATTCAACAAAAGAGCGTTTGTGATTAAAATTTAGAGGTTTTTTATTTTTTAAAATTTCAATGATCAGATCCTCATGAGCATATTGACAAATTTCGATTTTCTTTTCTAATTATATTTGTACTTGGTGTATTTTCTTTTGTTTTTTTATCAAGTGGAGTTATTTTATCTTTTGCAATTTTTTCTAAAACTACCTTCTGTTTTGTTATTTTTTTTATCGGAATCGGCTTCTCTTTTGCAATTTTTCCAAGCGAAACTACATTTTCTTTAATTTTTTTTCTTAAAATTTGTTCACTTTTTGTGAAGTATTTTATTTGCTTATCGTTCTTACTGTGAGTTAAAGAGCTATTTAGAGATTCTGACGACATTGGAATAATTTTATGCTTTTTTGCCAGGCTCGATTTTTCAATTTTTATGCAATTTGTTAAATTTGGCTTTTCGTGTGCTTGAAAAGCAGATTTTTTGTAATAAGAAATTGGGATTTTTTTAATTTTTATGGTTACCAATTTGCGCAGGTTCTGATAATTTGTGAATCGTTTATAAGCAAATTTGGAAGTTATGTAATTTATCTGGAAATTCTGTGAGGAATTTAATAATAGAGACTCTGAAGATGCAGAAGATAGGATGAAGTTATTGACGATCGGAGCTTTTGATGTCAATTTTGTGTCGTCTTTTCTTAAGATTTTTAGATGGTCTCGAACTTTTGGGGAACTTTTAATTGAAGAGTTTGAACAATTATTTAGTCTTGAAAGTGATTTGGCTCTAAAGCATGAGGATAAGTTATATTTATCTTCTTCAAGATCATTATCAGCAAATGAAGAATTACATATCTTTTTCATATTTCTAACTCCTATTATTGATTTATCATTAGTTAATGAGCAAGAAATTTTTTGCTCTCTCATCAAGGGCTTAATTTCTTTTCATTGAAATTCTATATCAAAAAATTTTTTGGGATTTAGATTAATAAATATTTGAAGCAAAAAATCTTAAAATTTAATAAATAGCTAGAGATCTCATTACTACTATATTCATCAAAAATTATATAAAAATTATTATTATATTATATTATTAACGGTTATCAACCCATAAAGGGGTCAATTTCCTATATAAAATTTAAAATTAAATATTTTTGTTCGATAACAAAAATTAATTTTTCCAAAAAATAGGAATTCTCAAATGGTAGGGGGCTAAGAGTAAATTAATTAATTTGCTGATTCTGAGACAATGTATTTCTTTGATCAATTTATAATTTTCTAAGAAGTAATTTATAATTAATAAATTCATTTTAATTTTATATTATAGATAGTTTTTATAAAAAACTTCAATTCTAAATCTGTTCAATAGTTGGTAATTCAATAATATCCTAAACAAGTTATCTCCATAAATACCAAATAATTTTATAAAAGAAAATATCAAAATTACCATCTCTTTATATTTTTCAAACCGCATATTTGTTTTTAATTATAAATTTTCTAATTAAAAAGTGCTGATGGAAGAAGAAATTTCCCTTCTCAAAAAGCAAAAAGCACTTATCAAGCAAGCTCTCCAAACAACAGTAAACGAAAACACTGAACTGCAAAAAATTAAAGAAGAACTTGAAGCCAGGTGCAAGCTTCAAGCTAATGAAATCGATTCTCTTAACCTTCTTAACCAACAACTTTCTAAAAGATGTGAAAATTTGCAAGAAGAATCCAAGTCAAAATCTCAAGGTTCTTGGTCAACCTGAGGACTATGAAAATCTAAAGGGGCCAATAAGCTTGAAGAGTTAACAAACCAATTAACCATTTTGCAAGAAGAGCTAGATGCTAAAATCAAAGAAAATGAGCAAGTCCATATGACAAATTTTTATCTTAAAGAGAAAAGTAAAAAGAAAAAAGCTGATTGAAGAGAAATTGTAGGGAAAAAGGACGAATTTATGAGAAATATGAATGAGCAGATTGAAGATATGCAAAGCCAAATAAATTCTCAAAAGACCCAAATACAGCAGCTAAATAAAGAAAGAAATGAGCTTTCAGCATTAATTCAAGTGAAAAATAAAGAGCTGCAGGAATCTCAAGCAAATTTCCACAAAATTAATTCGTCATTTCAAGAAAAAACGAACACTTTAGAAAACAAGTTGAGAACGAAGGTGTCCCTTGATGATACAGGCTTTGAATTTTTATCATGCTATAATGCACCTAAATTTAATTTTTCTTATACCCAAAAGCAATGTGAATGAATAGCAAAAGCAAAGTCTTCTTTGTCACAAATTTGTCCTCATATTTCTGATATTTGTGTAAAATATAGCACAAGACTGCAATTTTTATATGAAAATTCAAATCCATCATACAGAAGAATTTTAGCTGAATTTCAAAAGCGATATGAAACATTTTTGGAAAATTTCAGTATTGGGATCAAAGAATTGACAATGGAAAAACTTGATGCAAATAAAGTCATAAAGTCAGTTGACGATATATCAAGAAATTATAAAGCTTTATTATCAATTTTAATATTGCAATTGCAGCAAGAAGGAAAATGAGTCGAGGACTCAGCTGAGTTGAATAGCCTCAATCAAGAACTAATTGACTGTCTGAAAAAAATAGATAGTTATATTGGAAGAGGTCTAGCCTTTGTTATCGCGTCATCATATGGAAAGCACAGTTGCTGGGATCTATTGCAAGATCTCACTAAAAATTTGGTACAATCTATAACAAAATGCTCAAATTTTTGAGGAAAACGCTTGGCACTTGACACAAAACTTAGGTATAAAATTACTGTGAAATCAACTAGATCAATCAATGATGAAATTTTAGGATCTTTACAAGCACTTTGTTCAGTTGTAAACCATATTTGCTCAGCTTTATTGCAGCTGAAATCAAACCTTTACTTCAATACTTCTCAGCTTTATTTTAATTCAGTTTCTTATTTAACAAATTTAAGAGAGATCTCATATACTCCAGGAATCGAATATTCAAAAGCAATACAAAACGTTCAGGATTTAAAGCTTTCTGAAAGAAAAATTGACGAGCAGAGATTGCAAATTCAGAGACTTGAAAAGGAGCTAGAAAAATCTCAAACTTGCACAGAAAAAGCTAATAATGAAGTAAGGCAACTTCAAAATATTTTAGTTGCAATTGAACAAAATGCAGAGAAGTCAGAAGAAGAGGTTGGGAAAAACATTTTTCAGGAGTCTGAGCCTATTTCAGAAGATGTGAAAAATGGAGCTCAGAAGGTCGCGCTTAGACTTACAGATAGCAATGGAGAGCCTGTGCCTATATCAACTTTAAATGTTGAATCAGATTTATATGAAAAAATCAAAGAAGTAGCTATACTGCAAATAAATAAGCTGGCAGAAAAGGTAAATAATAACGAGATATACATGTTTTAACGATTTTCATCTATTTTAACTATTTTATTTAATAATTATTTTATCAAATTCCCATGAAAAAATAGAAGTCTATCTATAGAAAATTCGTTTAGAAATTAGCGAAAAAAATTCTACTTTTATTCATAAAATATTAAATTAACTTTTAAAAATTATTAGATGAAGAGTGATATTTTTACTAGTAAAGCTTGCTCCTCCCATCTTTGATCAAACAATTCCATTGAAAATTTCTTAAAATTCGGGAAAATAAATCCTATCCTCGATTGTAATTATCAAAATGAAATCCACTCTATTAATTTTTATAAAACTAATTACCATCTTTGATAGCAATGATAGTAGAGATTACCTGCATCTGTATATATACATAAAAATGGTGACGACAGACTACTCGACCTCTCGACCCTATTTTCTCAACAGCAGCAACGGCCCAGTGTTGGGGATTTAGGTGGAAAGGGGCCGGTATATTCGGGCTGGGTTTTTTCTCGGGCCCAGGATGCTAAACTCTGGACTTAGAGTTTTTCCTCCAGGACAACCATTGGAAAGGGCAAAGTCGGCCAATCTGATGGGCAATATGACCCTCAGACCCTGAAGACGGTATTTGCCTAGCGAGAAACTGGGAGTTTCGACCCAGGTGGTTGGCCTTTAGACCCCAGGAGCCATGGAAGTCAAGACTAGTAGAGCGAATCCTTTGTTTGAGGCAACAAGGAAGGGTGTCCGCCGAGGTCCCTTCATGGACGATGAGCATGTAGAAGTGCAAATCCCCTGCCCTGCAAGTGCGAACGGCTTAACTTAATCTTAATCTTAATCTGCATCTGTATAATCACTCTTACTCCCCCCTCTGTGAGCCAACAAATTTTTTATGGAAAAAAAATTGATATATAATTGATAATTATTTTAATGAAATTACGAGCTAATTCTATTTAATTTTAATCACTTGGATTTTAAAACATAAATTATAAATTAAATTAGTTTTTACAAATTAGGATTTTTTATTGAATTTTTGAAAAAAAAAATTAACAACCGGCGAGCGAGTTAGGCAATTATGAAATTATTCATAAAATATTTGTTAATATACTGGACTCTTTATTTAGTATGGCTAGCGCATAAAATATTTTATTTGGAATAAAATTTTCAATTTAATAAAAAAAATTATACAATCTTTGGCTTATAAAGATATTTTATGATCAAGTTATGAAGATCAGTTCAATCAAGGACGTGGGGCGCTAGCTATTATTAATCGCTAATTTAATTCATAAGATGATCCCTACTATTACGTATCTGAAGATATTTATTCCATTCCATAGTGCTCCATATCTTGCTCGCCAGTACACACTTGGTCTTAGAGCCACTTCCATACAAAATTCGAATCATAAAGACTACCGTTAACTAAAATGGAAGCACGAAACCCAGGGCACAGCAACTGGTATCACGCTGTGAAAGTTCCTATTAGCAAAAAAGCATTCTCTCTCACTTTGGAAGAACCTTTTCATTTGTGGCTCATTTCCCCATGAAGAAAAACTGTCAAGGACTAGACTTTCGTTATTAGCTGATTGCTGTTCAAACCTGCGCCAGTAAAGCGAGCCGGATACAATCATAGGATAATCCACTCCATTTCTCAAGGGCTTTCTCCACTGTAAGATGCAAAATACAGGATCTAAAGAGGGTGGGCCTACTCGCCACACCATTTTAATGCAAATGAAGCAAGCTATTGCGATTAATCTAATTACAATAAAAAAGAAAACATTTACTCCCCCGCCATACTAGGTTGAAATAACTCTTTAATAGATTAATTAATTTTATATAATTTTTTCCATATAAATGCTTTATGTACTAGTCATAATAAACAGAGTATGCAATATATTAGTAAATATTCTATAAATCTTATTAGATTTGAGCAGATATGAAGATTATTCGATCAAAGGGGGGCATTAAATTTGCCAATTATAGTAATTTTTTAATGAAATTGTTCGATGAAGGATGAAGAGAATAGTAAATTATTTAAATTTAAAGCCATTTTTATTTCCACAACTTAAAACTAATCGTTACTCTAATCTTTTTTCTTTTAATAAAATTATAAAGCTCATATTTATGGTCCATATAAAATTTTGTTGAGATAATTCAAAATTGAGTTCATTAGTTCCTCTAACTATTATAGGCACTTTTTAAGTAAATAATATGCATCCATCACTTTTAAACACTATTAAAATTCTGAACTATAAAAATATTTATTAATTATGGGAGCAAATAATTCAAATCAAATACTCTCTCAAAGCAAGCTAGTCCATACAAGCCGACAATCTAAAGTTGGTAGACACTCATCCTTTAATGAGAAATCAAAGACCCTTCGGATTCAAGTAAAATCACAAACATTTTCAATCACTGTACCTGACGAGTCCCTTACAAGTGGTTGGCTGATTTCAGAAGTGATAAGAGTCTCAAATCAGCCAGATATTATAACATTTCATACAAAAATTTGTTCAGACATTTTGGATTATTCTTTAACGCTTTATGATCGTTCACTTTCGCGATTTAAGAATAACGAAGAGCTGGTTGCAATTTTTTCCGAGCAGACTAATGGAAGCGTTTCATGCAGTGATTTCCATCCTATCAAAGTAATTGGCAAAGGAGGATTTTCAACTGTGAGTGAAGTGAGGAAAAAAGATACAGGAGAGCTATTTGCAGTCAAAACAATAGATAAAGAGTTCATTAAAAGAGAAGGAAAGATAACTCAAATTTTAACAGAAAAAGATATCATGAGCAGAATAAGCCATCCATTTATAGTGAAAATGCACTGGGCTTTTCAAACAAAAAATAATTTGCATTTAGTTTTAGACTTTTGTCCAGGAGGAGAACTTTTTTTCCATTTACATAATTTAGGCCGATTTACAGAAGATCAGGCGAAGTTTTACTTTGGGGAAATTTTGTTGGGGTTGGAGTATCTGCATGATAATGGAATTATTTATCGGGACCTAAAACCAGAAAATATCTTATTAGATATTGATGGGCATATAAAACTAACTGATTTTGGCCTGTCAAAGCAACGTATACGCCGTAGGCACAAAACTTATAGCTTTTGTGGATCCCCAGAATACATGAGCCCAGAAATGCTCAATAATAAAGGTCATACTCATGCAGTTGATTTTTATAGTCTTGGCGCATTATTGTATGAGATGCTGACTGGCCTTTCTCCTTTTTATGACTCAAACAAAACACGCATGTTTTGGAAAATTCTTAATGAAGATCTCCCACTTCCAAATTTTCTGTCAAAATCAGCCAAGTCTCTTTTAAAAGGCCTTATGGAAAAAAATCCTGAAGACCGTCTTGGCTTTAAAAATGGCTTTGATGATGTAAAAGAGCATCCATGGTGCAGCAAAATTCAATGGGATAAACTTTTGAATAAGAAAAAGCTGCCCCCATTCCTTCCTTCTGTAAGAGCTTCTAATTTTGACGAAGAATATACGTGCTTACCTATAAATCCAGATTTTCTTGAAAAAATCCCAAATGCAGATGATGAAATTTTCCAAGCTTTTTGTTATTCTCGACTAGCTGAAGAAGAGGAAGAAAAATCCCTAGGGAAATATGAGCTGTTTGATACTTCATCTGCATCAACTGTTGCAAGTAAATCTGTGAGTCCAATAAGTGCAAGTCAAAGTGAATTTAGTTTTTATAAAAGAGAAACATTTAGAGAGCTGAGTGGCCAAGTTTGCAGCTCATTATCTGATATGAAAGCAATCAATCCCAGATTTTTCTCTCTTAGAGACATTGCCAATAGAAAGCCAAGGCTTGTAAACGCAAATCTATCCTTTCTAAATGCTATTCCAGCTAGAAGGATTCGCCAAAACAGTGAAGGCTCATGCACTGAGATAAATTTTGAAGGAGAATTCCTAAATCCACCTTTCCTAACTGAGAGAGATGAAGATAACTTGTCCTCACAAGAAGACTAAGTTATGTTTATTTTAAACTAATTAAACTATTAAATTTCTTCCATATTGTCTTAATAAATAATAGAGGCTAGGATGGCAGAAGAAGCCCAGGTACAAATTGAGGAAACTGAAGCACCTGCTGAAATGAACATCTATGATGCAATCAGAGAGGTGCTTAAGAAAGCTTCACATCGTGATGGCCTGCTCCGAGGCATCAACGAAGCTGCTAGAGCCATAGATAGAGGAGACGCCAAAGTTTGCTTTTTAGCTGAGAACTGCGACCTGAAAGAGTACAAAGGCTTGATCAGAGCTCTTTGCACAGAAAAGGATGTCCCACTTGTGATGGTTTCTGATAGAAACACCCTTGGAGAATGGGCTGGAATGTGCAAAGTTGACACAACAGGAACAGCAAGACATATTGTGAAATGCTCTTCAGTAGTAGTGACTGATGTTGACGAAGAAACACAAGCCTGGAAAGTCCTTTCTAACTACATTCATTCTCAGCATAGCTAAATAAGCAATTTCTTATAAGATTTTCTAAACTATATATATAAATTTGACATAGAAATTAAATAAAGTGCCAAATTGATACTTTCCAGATACACAACTTAAATTAAAATCTCTCTAAATATTTTAGGGAAATTAAATAAAGCTAATTTTAGAATAGTGATGATGCTATGGATATTATCAATCCCACTGATTTTTTCGGTACACTCCAAATTCTTAAGTATGAATTCAGTCTAAAGTAATTTATAGCTTACCGATTTATGGAGCATTATTTTAATTTCCTATTAAACGACTCTAATTGTTACAGTAAATTCTTGATACAAAAAATTAAAGTAAGACTATTTTTCTTTTCCTTTTTGAATCCATATCATATAAAGCTTGCTTAGGGATATTAACTTGATAAGGTTTTCCATCAAGCTGGAACGAAAAAACTCCCCCTGTAAAGCCTAGCATATCTTCTATTTCTTTTATAATAGGCCTCATAGTTTTATCAGTGCATATCCACCCATATATTTCTTTTCTCAATGGCGTTCTTTCTATATGATGAACTGATGTTTCAGCTGAATTGTGAATAATTAAATTATCGTCAGCAAAAACAACTTCTGCGTCTTCATCGTGCAATTTAAATGCAGTTTTGGGATCTCCACGTAAAAATGCTTTTTCTATTTGATCTTGAATTTCTTGTGGAAATTCTGTTTGCTCTGAGTCGAGCTTGTATGACCATGCTCCTGAAATTGTGCAGTTCTCAGTATAATATTCAGGGAAATTCTCTTTATCTGCGCCTCCATGTGCGTTGTTTTCGTCAAATAATATTTCGGGGTCTTGATCTCTATCTCTGTGCCTTTTAATCGGCCGATTTCCATTATTTCGTCCATTTGAAAGATTTTCAATTTGTGAAGGGTCTACTGGGCCAAAGCCTGCATTTGCATTATTCTGAGGAACCTGAGAAGGCTCAGCGATTTCATTTTTGTCTGTTTTAGAACAGCAGTGACCCATCTGATTTATATATATAAAGATAATATGCAAATGATTTAGGCTAACAATATATCATTCAATCGTTAAGCAGATTTAAATAAATTCTTAATTTAAAAACTTAAACTAGTAAACTGGCCATAAGCGGATAAACCCATTAGTATTTACCTCGTCTTAGCTCCAAAAGCTTCAAAATAGTAGCCTCCATTGCCCCATTAGCCAAAAGAAGGAAATGGAAGGTCGCAATTTTAGATTTCCGATCTGAACCACCTATCCAAGGGATCAGCTTCTAGGCTAGAACCGCCCGCTGTAGGGTAGCCCGATATCCGGATAGACGAAGACTATGTGAGAAGGAAAGCTTGCCTAGCCCATGTGGCAGGAACAGGAAAACCTTAAAAGAAACAAACCTCCCTCTTCAGCAAGGCATCTCCAAGCCTTAAAGCCTACTTCAAAAGGGACAGAGGCCCTGTTTTCAGCTAATCAGGACATGCCATACCTACTCCATAAGAAATGCGTTTCAAAGACCAATTTCTTCAAGTCGCCATTTTATTTCTGTAACTCCCCGCCTCTGTGATTAAAAAAAATTTTGTTCGCTCATGGAGGGGTTAATTTTTTTTAAAAAATTTATATAGACATTTATTTTTTAAAAATTTATATAGAAATTTATTTTTAAAAATTTAAGAAAATTCCAATTTGTAAAGAGATAAAAATTAATTTAATTTTCGAAATTTATATTTTAATATTAAGGTGTTTAAAATTAATTAGAATTAGCTAGATTTCTCTATAATAATTATCATTTATATATAAATTTTTTTCATAAAAAATTTTTGTTCGCTCACAGGGGAGTAAATAAACTCTTAAGGAGTCATGGGTAAATCATAATTTGAAGTGATATTTGAAATCAAAGATAAATGGTTTATATTGCAATTAAATCAATGAAAAGCAATCTATGAACTTTTATATAGACCACATATTAAATTGCTGAAAGATTAAAGTATGAGAACTTCAGATTTAATGAGATTCTCAAATATGTATCCAAAATCAAATTTTAAAATATAGGGGTTTTCCCTATGTGGCCCGATAAGGGCCGGGTTCTCCGTGGAATCCCTCTGTTGGACAAACCAACTCAGTACGTTGGTTTGACCAATTCACTGGTTGGTTCAACCAGCAGAGGGATTCCACGGAGAACCCACAGCCCTTATCGGGCTATATAGGGAAAATACCTATAGATTAATCAATATCATAATCTACAACTAATATAAATTTGGCCAAATGTTAAAATATTTAAGTCTCATATCTAAAAATTCTCCATAATTATAACTCACTTGCGCATGTGAGAGCTAATAGAAAAATAAATAATTAAAATGATTTATTATCTGCTTTTGCCTATTAAACGAGCCAGTAAAAATGATAGCAAAGACTTCTATTTATAAAATCGCTTTTCTTGATTATTAATCAATATTCTCCTAATTTTATGCAAAAATTTTACAAAAGGCTCCTCTTTTAATCTTAAAAGAGCTTTAACCCTTCGCTATCACTTGCCTAATGGTTTTTCAATAACTGACTAAAATGTATTTTATTAACTTCGCTTATCGTGAGTGAACGATACCATAAAAATTTCCTATTTTCATATAATCAAACATGAAACCTACCCATATATACAGCTTAATATATAACTACTTACTTTTGATAGTAATTAATATAGAGATTACACCGTAAAATCAAGTTAATCTCCCCCTTTACTTGGGAACAAAAACTAGATAAAAATTTCCAATTTTTTAGGTATTTTAACCCCCTTTAGCAAAGGAAAATTTTATAAGTAAACAGTTTTGACCTATTTTAAAGTTAAAGAAGGGGGAATTTAGAAATTATAATACGATTTCTAGCACATTTCCTACTTTATTGCACGCTTTATCTTTTATGGCCAGCACATAAAACATTTTATAGGGAAAGTTTTAATATAAATTTTCAAGTTAATAACAAAATTATATATTAAAGGTTAATTGCTAAATTTTAGGAATGTCCTTATTTATATAGGTATATATATCTTTCTAAAACTTTTTATTATCCACTCTCAATCTAACGATAGCAATCGTTTCGATTAAGGATGGCTGTAGTAAGATTACTACAAATGTAAAGCTTATTTCAGGTCTCGTTCAAGTAGTGTCCCACGGCGTTCATCTTCTCCTTCTAAAGCCCACAGTATTGGCCACTATATGCTTGGAAGATCTATAGGAGAAGGCACGTTTGGAAAAGTTATGCTCGGAACTCATATCCTCACAGGCGAAAAAGTCGCTATAAAAGTCCTCGAAAAAGACCGAATCAAAGATTCATCAGATGTCGAGCGTGTTTCACGAGAAATAAAAATCCTCAAAATGATGCGGCACACTAACATTATACAATTATATGAAATAATTGAAGCTCCCAAACAGTTGTATTTAATCATGGAATACGTCTGCGGAGGTGAGCTGTTTGATTTTATAGTGGCTAGAGGAAAAGTCAAAGAAAACCAAGCATGTTTATTTCTGCAGCAAATTTTGTCTGGAGTTGAATATATCCATAAACTAGGAATTGTGCACAGAGACTTGAAGCCAGAAAATTTATTGCTGGACGAAAGCCGAAATATAAAAATCGTGGATTTTGGCCTAAGTAATACTTATAGGCCAGGGGAAACCTTAAAAACAGCTTGTGGGAGTCCTTGCTACGCAGCCCCCGAAATGATTGCGGGGAAAAGGTATCATGGGATTACTGTAGATATATGAAGCTGCGGTGTTATTTTATATGCAGCTATATGCGGATACCTTCCATTCGAAGATGAGAATACATCAGTGCTATATAAGAAAATCATGAGTGGGGATTATAAATGCCCTAAATGGGTAAGTTTCGAGGCCCAAGATCTATTGAAAAGAATTTTAAACACCAATCCAGAAGACAGATATACAATTGATATGATAAGAAGGCATCCGTGGTTTTTAAGGCACGCAGAAGCAAATAGTATTGTAAAATATGACGAAATAGTAGCAGATGAAAATGTCCTAAATCAACTGGACCAATATGGAATCGATTTAGAAAACGCAAGAGAAGCTATCATTCAAGGAAAACATAATCATGTCACAGCTACTTATTATTTACAGTTAAAGAAAAGCAAAGCGAATGAAGGGCTGAATCTATCAAAAACTCCAAGTAATCCTGCCCCTCCTCCAGCACCACTGCCAGTTGCTTCTCCGAATCCTCATCCACCATTTAAGCCAATTCCTGCAGAAATTAAGCTTATGAACCCAAAAATCAAGCGATTTTTGGAAAATATAAGAGTTGAGAGCACAGGTGGAAGCTCATCAAAAGAAGCAGATTTGGCTTATAAAACTCAAGATTTCACAAGGAGCTATTATAAAAGAGAAGGCTCCACAAGGGCAGGACAAAGGATAAAACTCTATTCGCAGTTAACTCCACATCAGCCTAATGAGCCAAGATCTGTCTCAACAAATCCTCGAGTAGGGAAATATAAGCCTAAAGAGCCAGAATCTGCAAAGCCACCTGCTCCAAGAACTTTCAGAGGGAGACATTTCGTGAAAAGGGAAAAATCGCCTATATCAGCAAATATGGAAAATCACTTGAATCTCTCCTTTAACCATAGTCCAAGAGCTACAACAGCTATGGACTATTTTAACACCCAATTTTAAAAATTTTTTGTATAATTTGAATTTTTTATTTTTTGTACGCAGATCTGCAAATTTTGAATAGACTATATTTAAACGATGTCACTCCAAATAATAAAATTTATATCAATCACCATTAAATTCCTAATAAGGTTATACTCAATCTAAATTTGTATAATTTTAGAATATTTAAAATCGAAAATGGAAAGTCTGATACAGTCAAGATCAACAGAAGGCTTCATAATCCGAAGACTTGAAATTGGGGACTACAATAAAGGGTTTTGTGAGCTGCTATCAAACCTCACTGTTGTAGGAAACTTGACTGAGGAGACTTTCCAAGGCATTTTCAATCGAATTAATAGCAAACCAAATGAATATTTTATAATTGTCTTTGAAGACAGAGTCAGTGAAAAATTGCTTGCACACGGAACTTTATTAGTAGAGGAAAAATTCATTCATGCTGGCGGAAAGGTAGGACATATTGAAGATATAGTTGTGGCTAAAGGATGCCAAGGCAGAGGATTAGGCAAGCAATTAGTTACACTTTTAATTGACTTAAGCAAAGAATTAGGGTGCTATAAAGTGATATTGGATTGCAAAGAAGAGTTAAAAGGATTTTACGAGAGCTGTGGGATGGAGCAACGATCAATTGAGATGGCTAAATATCATAATTCATAAAAAATTAAGAGCATAATATTTATGATAGAATATTTAATACTTAATTATTCTGGCTCTCCAAAAGCCTAATAAATTATGACTTAGATTAATGTAGCATTACTATTTAAAGAGGAATGCTTAAAGAATTATCCAAAAAATGTTATAAGAAATGCATATTTAAAGATAAAGTAATTAGATCTAATTAAACATCATCAAAATTTTAATCGATTTATATATGCATTTAAATTTAATTTTTGGGGATAAATTTCTCATTTAAATTAATTAATTTTAAATTTAATAAAAATTTCTAAAAATTATTGCTTTATTTTTATAATATTTTATTTAAAAAAGGGGCCAACTAAACTTAAATGGCAGGCATAAAATTTAATCCTGATGCTCAGATTATTAGATTTTTTGTTCATCAACCTCCAAATGTTCTTCTAAAAAGCACAACAGAGCACATTCAAGATGAAACTTTCCAAGCACAAGAGATGGACCAGATCAAGCTAAAAATCAGAAGAAATCCTTTTGCAGAATTTGACGAAGAAGAAGAGGAAGAGAGAAAACTTGAAGTTATCACTTATGTTTCCTATGAAAATATCTGATGCACGAGCGTTCACTTCTACATCAATGTAATTCTCTATGATATCTTAGCCAGCGAAGTGGCTCAAAGAATTTTATACTTCGTTAAGGCATTCGGCCCAGTCCAGCATATTTTCATTGTAAAGCCAAACCAGGCAACTGCAGATGACTTTACTTTAGGCGTAGAAGGAGCTTTATTTGGAATTCTAATGGAAAATGCGAACTATGCAAAGCCCTTTTTGTTAAAGGAAAATAAAATCGAAATCCCTGATTTAGGGTATGTCGCTGTTTTCCCTGGAAGTATGGGAGAAGATGTATGGAATAAATTCCAGAAAGAAACAAATTATCTGCAAGGGTTCTTTTTTGTAGGAAAAGATATGGTCGATTATAGGCCTGAATGTCTATGCTACTTTGCATCTCTTCCTAAAGGATCTTTTCCATACAGAGTAGCCCAAGAAATTCGTTCTCATGGTATCGATGAGCCTATACATATGTTAAAAAATCCATTTGAAGAAAAATCTATAATGAGGCTTGAATTTCGGGAAGAAAAATCTGTTAATGCTTTACTGAAGCTTTGCATGAAAATTAACAACAAGCCAATTATCATATTGCCTTGCCTAGACAGAACCCCTGTTGAGGAATTATATAAAGCTTATGAAGTGCTTATACTAGGATATAACCAGACCTTGCATACTGGAGAGCTACTCAAAGCTTTGGTAAATAACTTTGGGCCTGTTGTAGAGCTTGTTTTAAATGCTGGGATAAATAATAATGGAAACCAGTGTACTTTGGTAGTTTTTCAGACTATCAGGGCTGTAGAAACTTGCTTGAAAAAAGGAGAAATTATTGTTAAAAAACTACGATTGAGATTTGAAGCTGTGACGAGGCCTTATAGACTGACAGGAAGAATGGTCTTTAATAGAGTTTATAATTCTGATCCACCTGTTCGACCGCTTGAAATTATTCCTTCTCCTTATTCGTTTACAGAGCCACTTGAAGGATAATCGAACTATATACCAGGTAGCCATCTCATATAAATATTCTTAAATAAGAAACTAGCACAATAATTTAATTGGAATTAATATGAATTTTAAAATGCTAACTGTTCAATTATTTATTATTTTATTTACATATCATTAATATTTTTTATACATAAAATCTTATTTTAATAGGGAGCATTTAATCATAGAAAAATGGGTAAGTAAATATATATAGAAGGGGAATTTTCGATTAATAGAGAAATAAACATTCTTCTTCTGTTTAACCTCTCAAATATTATATATACATAAATATGGGCACCTACGGCTCCTGATCCCTTGACGCAATTGTCTCACCTTATGGCAAAGCGAACCGAGAAGAAAACCCAGTCAGATTCAGATCTGATGTCAGCTTATGTATAGTCGTTCCTGCTGTTGGAAAGGGTTACCCTGGCAATATCATTCGAGACCCGAAAGTGGAACTCACCACGAGACAGAGGTTGCGGCTTGGCCAGGAATTAAGATTTTCCTGCAGTTGCTGAGGGCAGACACCTAGCAACTGCTAGACTCCAGGTTTAACTCTCTGGATCAAGCTACTTTCCAATCGTTTTGATGAAGGGCCACAGAAGTCCATAGTCCACCCACTCAGCATGGATCCGAAAAGGCATGGAGGAGGCTTTCTCAACTACCACACTCTAGAATTCCACAGCATCTGGAGTGGAGAATAATTAAGTTGAAGTCGATGGTTTTTTGATGGCGGAGCCATCTCAACCGGTTAAGTGTCCGATAGTGAATGCCGTAAAATCGGATCAACCCATATGGATCCTTGTTGACTGCGTAGCCAGCCAGCCACGCCCATCTACTAATTAAGATAGATAATATTAAGATCTCTCAAGTATTCACTTTCTAATTAGTCTTTCATATTTTACTTTTAAGTAATTTATAAATCACTTTTTCTTTATACGTAAAATTAAATATTATTAAAATGGAATTTCTTAAAGTAAATAGCAGCCGAAAAGACTGAAAGCTGAAGATCAAACAAAATCGCCGAGAAGAAGGCAATAATTTATTGAATTCCCTTTCGCGAAAACATTATGAACGTAGCGCTTTATTTAACCGAAGTTTTTCAAAGATCGTTTTAAAAGAGAAACCTATTATAGAAGAAAATTACAACAAAAAAACTCGTAGTTCTACAAAACTTCCATCGGTCAAAAAAAGCAGGAAAAGACGGCTGATTTTAGTGCAAAAGCAAGAAGTGACTTCTTTATCACCGAATAAAAATGGGAGTTTAAGTCCCGTTTGGCGAGATTCCCTGATAAATAGTAAAAAATTGGAAATTAGCTCAAGAAGCTTTATTGAGCCGATTTCTTATCAAACAAGCGGTTCAGCTTTTCCATCAAGAAGAGACACAACTATAAAGCAAAAATATTTAAACTTTAAGCTATCATATAGAAAATCTCCACAAGAGAAATCTGTTAGTAATAAAAGTTTCTTGATTCGGCGATTTTCAAAAGAAGAGAAATGCAGTAAGCTAACTAAGAAAAAAACAGACAAGCAAACTGTACTATCAGAAAATGACGAATGCTCATGCTATGATAGTGGAGATGAGATATTTAAAAATATCTATTAATTCACAACTCAAAAATACAAAAGCAATAGTGTATAAGAAGCGTAGATGCCTCTAAATCGTTGCTATATCTAATTCAATTTTTCAAAATTTCTATTAAATAATATGGTTATTGCATTTAAGCTAACTCCACGTTACGCTTTAAGACATAATAATACACAAAAATGCATGAATCTCTATTATATATAATTCAGGAAATCTCGATAATAAAAGACAAGCCTTTACGATTTATCTATTTTCATATCATATTTGACTTCATCGTAAAATTAGCATTAATTGTTTTCCTTATAAGACAAAGCGGTCCTTCGGTCCATTGAATTCAGTTCTAACCCAGGAGAAAGCGGCATTTTATTATCACTCACACTTTTACTTCGGCTATTTGTTGTATCAAACGACCCCAGCCTGCTCATAATCAGTTTTTTTACAGCAGTCTGTCGTCTTCCTTTCATAGCAGCTCTACTGCTATTGCTCCCGATGCTTGAATGCGAAGACGTTCGTCTTATAGCATCCAAAGGAACTGGCAGGGTCGCTCTGTGCTTCTTTTTATCAAGCTTCACAAGCTTATTTAGGTTTTTATTTATAGCTTTGATTTTTTCCAAAACAGAGAACTCGTCTTTCAAATATCGAGCCCCTAAGCTTTCATAGACTCGGGAATGTGCCAAATAGTCTTGCATTCTTTTCATAGCATGGCCAGTCATGTCTCCAACCTCACTCATCTGTTCTCGAAACAGAGGGTTCTTTTGGATTTTTATCTGGACTCTATTGAAGTTAAATTTATACACACAAGCTTGGTACTCTATTAAAAATTTTATTCGTGGCTGTCTCACAACAATATACATTAAAATGGCGACGGCGATCCAGCCCTTTTTCTCAACACCTGTAGCCTGCGTTCGCAGGGGACTTTGTGGAAGGGAGAAAGGCGCTCGGAATGTGTATCCGGCTAGGTTTTACCTTGACACAGTGGAGCGCAACGTCGGATTAGGCCGACCGCAGCTCATTCTGACACCAAGGGTTTTACCTCAGGGAGATGGTTTCCAAGGTTGGAAAGGGGAAGCTCAGCAGCATCGGGAAGGTACTTCCTGATCAATCGGGCAACTCCCTAGCGTGAAACTGGGCGTTACGTCCCAGGCTTTGGATTTCCATCTTAGCCGACAGTCCTACCAGAAAAATTTTGTTTTTCAAATTTTCGGAATGGGCAACCTTGTCGACGTACTGCTAGGTGGCGTAACTCATCCAACTACGGGTAGCGATTGCACATCCTCGTCCAGTAGGAGCAACATCTTGAAGGTCGTGCCCGATCGATGGTGAGCAACCGGGTGAAGCGTGAAGGGTGAAGGTAGGGCAGGGGAAACCCGCGCCAATATGACGAGCCTTTATAATACTAGTTAATGTTAATGCTAATGGCTGTCTCGCAACACGCATTTTTGCGTATTTTCACCATTTTTGTATGAGAATTGCAGCGAAATCTGCAAGTTTGTTTTTAATCCTTTTTTTGTATTTGACTAAAGCATAAAGCTTAATTTCGTTATCAGAAAATGAGGTGATTTCTCTTACTATGATAACTAGTGAAGATACAAAAAAAGGACCAAAAACGCAGGCCACAACAACCAGAGCTCGGCCAAGGTGGGTTTCAGGAACTACATCGCCATAGCCAACTGTTTCTTGGGTTGAGGCGAGGATTCAAAATGCATCTCATATGTAGTCAAAGCTACTGGCTGGAGAAGTCCTTTCAAATACATGAAGGATTAGTCCACCTACCAAACTTAAAGAACCAGATAATACTACTATACTTTTAAATGGATGCATTTGCATATAGCACTTTAGTGTAAACCACACTGATGTCTTGGTATTCTGCAATGCAGAGTAAAAATAGGCTTTCGCTGTGTTGAATGAAGAAGTTTCGAAAAGAAGCTTTCCTATATGGTATAGTCGTAAGAATGAGAGAGCATATATGATATCAGAAATTGATAAAATTGCATAAGTCTCTAGTTGGTGGAACTTTTCTTTTCAACTAATATAAGGTGGGACACAAAAGCATGTCAGCAGCATTTCTATCGTCATGTTTCTCATCAGCCTAAGGTCATAATGGATTTTGCTTTTCTTTGTAACTTCTTTGTATGCTTTTTTGATTTCCAGCGTTCCTAAGTAATATTTATATATGAAATACATGTGTAAAATAGTCACAATCATAATAATTAATCGCAGAATATTACTTGAATTTGTAGGGTGTTGGTGATTAAAATATTCCAGTTCATTCTCAAAAAAAGCAAGAAAAAGAGTTAGGATAGAAATCGCAGCGGAAACAAAAGCAAGATTTCTTTGACTTTTTCTGATGTCCATTATGTCTTTTGTAGGCAAAAATGAGCTTAAAATTTTTGGCAGTCCTCGCTTTTTTGTGGAGGCTCTTGAAGAGGTCTTGGAAGATGGTGTCCCATTTGGAAGTGAAATTTTATGCTGTGCATTAGACATTATTATGAAAAATTAAAACAAATTTGCAATAGAAAAATAATATCAAGTATGCAATAATAATGAGATCTGAAGTTTAAATTTCTGAACAGAAACTATATCAAGTGAAAAATGCTCTTTATTAAATATATCAATAAACTTAAAAGAGATTTCAGCCTAATAAGTAGGCATGACTTTGTGAAAAGTATTATAGATAAAAAGAACTCTTGCTCTGCTTCTAATAGCATGTTTTGCTACTCAAGAAGAGAATAATATATTTTATCCTACAGCTTCACTCTATTTAGTAAATATTTTATTAGCTAATCATATCGGAAGATAACAATCCGCTAACCAAATCTATCTCAAAAAGATAATACTCAGTAGAAAATTGCACTTTTACTTCAAATAAATAATAAAATTAGTGAAAACTTAAGTATTAATGGCAAGCAGTCTTTTTGTTTTTCTCTGACTTGGCTTTGCATCTCTCATCTACATCCCTGTCGGGATTCTGCTATTTCTCAAGGCATCTAAAAAAGCAATAAAAAACCGATCATCACAAATGGTAATAATTACTCACTGAAGCAACTATATACAATGTGTCATTCTAATTCTCACTCTTTATGTCAGCTTTTCCAATATGGGACCCAATGAATTCGATCACATATATCGGGCTGTAGCAATTATTGTTCATTATTCAATGTATTTCCCCTTCTTATTGCGCTGTTACCGAGTATATTTCATATTCAAAGTAGATTTTAACTGAGACGAGGAAGACAATGTTTTCAGGAAAAATATTCACCGCACAAGCCAGAAGTGGCTGGTAAAAGTTTACTTATATATTTTGATTGTAGTAGTGGCTGCTGCATCTATCATCAGCTCTTTGGATGTAATCAATGAATATTTCCCTATTGCTTACTATGATGGGAATTCTGAGAGCAGCCAGAGGACTGAGATTATATATTTGTTTGTGCTCTTTATTGAAGAAATGACGTTTGTTATAGCAGTTTTTAACTTGAGGAATGTAAATGATGATTTTTCAATGTCAAAAGAGCTGACTTTGATTTGTGGATTGTGAATTTTAACAGGGCTGGTTTCTACATTTGATGACCCTTATTGAAGAATAGAGTCAGTGATCAGAAACCACCTGGTCAAGCAGGGGTAGCAACCCTACACCCCCACCCCCCCTTTTTTAATGGTAACCCCACCCCCCCTTTCACAGATGGCACCCCCACCCCCATCCCGCTTAATATAGCATAAAAATATATGAAGAAATGCCAATTTAGAGCAGACGTAATAAATAAATTATTATTTTAAATAAATATTCAAAAAACTGATTTATACAATATCCACATAGCGTAGCTCAATCGATTAAGGAGGAGATGGAATGGGGTGAGAATTTCCTATAACTAGTAAGCTCACCAAATCTGAAAAAATTTGTTAGCAAGTTAATAATGATCTTTGGTATTAATTAGCAATATATCCTGCATATATGTATGAACTTTGTGGAGCAATGGCTAAAAGTCGAATTAGAGATCCAAAAGTAAAACTGACAATAGCAAATGCTATTTTTATTACCACTATGAATCCTGTTACCAATTCAGTCCTGCAATCTTTGTACAATGGTAATCAAATTAGCTTTAATTTATGAATCCATAAATTTAATGCAAGTTATTCTATTGTGCTTGGCTAATTTAATAATTAATGCATTTATCTATATCTTTGGCATTATATTTATAAATATAAAAAACAAATTTAATATATTTTCTAATTAATTGCTAATTAATTTAAATTTATTAATTAATCATAAATATAAAGTAATTTGCGGACTTAATTTAAAAATATATAGTGTTTTAATTAGGTTATGTTTAATTTATTCTGCTTATTTCCTTCAAATACTTCTATAGGATAAACCCGAGAGGAGGGGGTGGGGATGCCATCTGTGAAGGGGGGGTGGGTACCATTTTTTAGGGGGTGGGGGTTCCCTTATTCGAGGGGGGTGGGGGTGTGGGGTTGCGACCTATGCTTGACCAACCACCTCATTATGGTCACATCGTCAATATATCCGCTGTGAAAAACATATGAAGAGCAAGCTTCTTATGAGGAAGCACTCACAATCGAAATGCTGCAGTCCTTGGAGTTAATTTTGCAAAGCAAAACTACATTGGAAGCCTTTGAAAAAGCTCTAAATAGCCAACAAGATAATGAACTTGGCATACAAAGTGGAGAGTTTTTACAGTTATGAATCAAATGTGAGCTCTACAGACATAGCCCAGAAAAGGAGCTAGAAGGAGAAATACGATTTGGTGCAAGCAACCTCAAACTGTCAGGAGAAACAATTTCGCTGATTCAAGAAGAGGTTTTTGGGATCCTAAACGTGAGATATTTCCCTATATTCAAGAACTCACAAATTTATGAAGATTTAATGAGAGACATCACAAGGCAGCAAATTTATTATAGTAGGATTATGCAGACTTCACTATATGGAGATGGAGTAGTTTCATAAATATTGTAATAAACATAGAAATTCTCAAATCTTTTTAACTTATGAAAATATTACTCAGTTTAATATGGCGAATGCAATCCAAAATGAGGCAAGCAAGCTTGGATGGAGATGACTTCTGCAGGTGATTATTGATCATTCAAAGAAACTTCCAGTAAAACTGCAAGTATTGGACACTGCTTTTATTGACTCTGAAAATGATATTGGTCTATGGGTTTATACTGACAACCTTGGTTACGTTCATTCAAAACCGAAGTCTCAACTGAAAGCTACAGAAATAGTAAGATCGTTCCTGAGAAATAATCTTTCCAAAGAAGAGCAAGTACATTTTAAAAATGCATTAGATCATAAGGATGAATGACTAAAAATCCAGTATAGGGACCGGAAAACTTGTTTCAGTGTTAAAAAAGATGAATCAAGAAAAGTGCTTTATCTTTCAAATTTGACAAAAGTAATGGGGCAGTCATTCCAAACTGTTTTTAAAGACTTGGAAGCTCTTCAATTGTATAAATCCTCAGCATTTTCTAATGATTACTTTTATATTGTATATATAGACCAATCAGATGATGATTTTAAATTTGAAATGAAAAAAATTATATATAATCATAATTATCCAAACCGAATTAGCCGAATCGATATCATCAGTAATTTAGCTCTTGAGGAAAATATTAAAAAAATCTGCAATGATGCGATTTCTTATATAAGTGACAACTATAAGGTTATTCACTGCGAATTTTTGCTAATTGAAGATAAGCAAAATAAGTTGTGGCTGGCAGGGCTACAGAACTCAGCAATTTATAATAAAAATTCTTCGCCTAAGAATAATAAAAGTGTTGAGTGTGATGAAATGAATTTTGACTCGCCATTAAAACACAGAGCTCCGAGCTTAAATTCGTCATTCTTAACCTATTTTTTCAATATTTGGAAATTTTTAGTTTAAAACAAATAAATATTGTATTTGCATTTTTTACAGAACAAAGAGATATAGATTTGTCAAGAGGTTCTACTCCCCAATTTGCAAAAGGCCATATGAGAAGCTATACAAATATTTTGCCTGCCAAATTTCTAATAGATTCAAGTGAAAAAGTGTTTATTCGAAGGAGATCTAAAAGGCAAGTGAGTTATGCGAATGTAATTGAAAGAGTCCCTATAACTGATTTTTCTGCTGTAATTCAAGATTTCCAAAATCACAAATCGCAATCTATGAAAAAGCTAATACTGCCAAGATCTATCTGAAAATTGAAGCACAAGTCTAAAACTCATTTATCGATGTCTTATTCTCAATCAACAACTAGCATAAACGAGAAAAACAATGAAAACCTGCCATCTAAAATAAAGTTTAGATATAGTGTTTTCCCATGGATGGCGCTATTTTGGCCTTGATTTTCCCACTGGGAATTTTTTGGTTTGATCAACCCATATGGTACTGGTCGAACCAAAAAATTTTCCCTGTGGGAAAATCAAGGCCAAAACAGCGCCATCCACAGGAAATTGCAATACTTTCCAAAGCATATTAAGGGTGAAAGTAAAATTGTTGAAGCTATAAATAGAGTGTTTAATAGTAAAGCGTGGCTTAATTAACCACTTGTATAAAAATCATTATCTCAGTATTTTCATTAAGATTTATTTTATTTTAACATAATATTTATAAGTTAACTTCAAATCCAGTCTTTCTTATACTTTTAATAATTATAGCATGAAAAATATGAGTTCCCTTAAAAATTGGCCATCTTATCTATAATTCTATGGAGCAGAGCTTAATTCAAGAAATCCCCCAGCCAAAAGAACCAGAAAACCAAATTGAATCAGCCCAGGTTGAATCTCAAACTCAAGAATCCAACCAAACCTCAGAAGTTCCAGAAGAAAGCAAAGTCGAAATTCAGGAAGCAGCAAATCCAAACCCAAATGCTGAAGAAATATCCACTGCAGAGCTCTCAAAACCAATTGAAAACTCAGAAAAAATTTCAATTCAAACTTCTGCTGAAGAATCTAAAATCCAAGCTAAATCAGCATCTCCCTCCCAAATTTCCCAGAGCCCCAAAGAGCCAGCAAAACCTGCTCCAAAAGAAGCACCAAGATCTCTTCCAAAGCCAACACTTATTGAAGTTGCTGAAGTAAAAGAACAAGAATCCCAGGCAGACAAACTCAAGCAATTAAGTAATTTCTAATTAGAAAATCTCCTCAAGGATCGTATCAGCGAAGCCAAAGCCCTCATCGACTCAGCTCTTCCAGCTAACGAAAAAATAAAACTTCTTATTGACCGCTTGACAGATCAGATCCCCTGCACGAAAATGCTTGAAAGTGAAATCCAAAGCAATCGCAAACGTGTGACAAACATGGCTCGTGAGAAAGAATCCCTCATCAACGAGCTTTCCTCTGAGCGTGAAATGCGCAGGAAGCTGGAAAACTACTGCAGAGAAATCCAAAAGCAAAATCGCCAAATCCAGGATGAGTGCAAGAGCATGACTGATGACGAAAAAAAGAAACGCGAAGAGCTCACAGAGAAACTTAATAATGCTTTAAAAGAAGTGACTAGCAAATTTGAAGAAAACGAACAGGAAAGAATAAAACAGATTGAGGAAAACGAAAACTTAAAGCAGAGGATGCAAGAGCTAGGGAATCATGCTATACAAAGAGATGATGAGTACCAAAAAATAATTATGCAGAAAGATTTGGAAACTCAGCTATGCAAGGTACAACTGGAATATAAGGCAGGATTCAAGGAAGCTGAACTGAAAAATCAATTGGTTTTATATAAGGACAGGTTTGAAGAGTTTTCGAGCACCATAACAAAGAGCAATAGTGCATTTGAAACGATCAGAGCTGAAGTGAAAAAAGTGGACGATAGATTGCAGGCTGAGCAAGACATAAATAAAGAGCTGAGAAAAAGAAAAGAAAAAGCTGATATTGGAATTGTGGAAATATTAACAGCCAAAAATAATTGGAAAAAAGAACTAGCTGAGCTTAAAGCAAGACACGATGCACTTAAGGGTGAATGCAGTAGGCTGCTAATTGAGAAGAAAAATCGAGCCACTTAATTTAAAGAGATAGATAGCTTCAAAAGTAGGTTTATAAATTTAATTATGCAGGAATTAGAATTTTTATATCATTTGCTGAACTCAGGCTTTTAAATATTTTATTTTGCCGATTAGCAAAGTAAAGTTGCTTTACTCCCCCCCCCCTCCGTGAGCGAACAAAAAAAATTTTGTTCGCTCACGGAGGGGGGTTTAATTTTTTTTTTTAAAAAAAATTTATATATAAATTTTTATAAAAAATATTTTTTTCGAAATTTAAAAAAATCCTAATTTGCAAAAATTGGGAAGCAAATATTAATTTAATTTGCAAATTTTTATGTTTTAAAACGCAATTTGTTTAAAATTAAACAGAATTAGCTCTAGATTTCATTATACTAATTATCACTTATATATCAAAATTTTTTTCCATTAAAATTTTTTCTATTAAAAAAATTTTTGTTCACTCACGGAGGGTGTGGGTTTTTGGTCAAAAAATGGCGATTTTTCTAATGGTTTTGTTCGCTCACGGAGGGGGGGGGGGAGTGAGGCATTTCTCCTTGAAGCATATTCTTCAAAGATAATTGCGAAAAGATATATATTAATGTCCTCTTGTGTGAGCTGTGCTCAATCAGTGCTAGATTCATGCTACAATACTTATGTCTCTTTAATGTTGGCATAAAATATATGGATATCGTAAGTTTATGCTTTGGCATCCTCCATATTAACTTCTTTATGAAGTAAAATAGCTTATTTAATTAGTGGTTAACCCCATCTCTTTGAGGGAGCATAAAAATTTTGATCGTTCAGAGAAGTTGATCTCTATATTTTAAAATTTATATACTTTAATAATAATTTAATCTTTAAAATTAATGTTTTAAAATGCAAGCTACTAATAATAATTATCAATGCACGCCAAACTATTTTCCAAAAAACTTTTTGCATATTAAGGTGGGCTTCTCCTAAAAATATTGATTTTTCCAATGGTTTGCTCATTCAAGGAGGGTTAGCAAATATATAGACGCTGATCAATGCCTTCTTAGAGCTATATTAAAAGATATAAAATTTTTGAATAACTATGATGCTATGATTAATTTATAAATTTAAGGGAGCTTAAAAATATAAAAAGTTGTTTTTTAGATATAGGCTTCAATTTAGCAATTTACTGCTATCAATAAAAAAGTTAATGACGTTCGTGAGCTGCAAATATTTATGGCCCTCAAGAATTATTACTATATCCCTTAATAAAAATTGTGCATTACTTCGACAAGAAAAATTATTTTTGGACAACAACACGACCATTTTTGGCATGCCAATGTCAAAGACTTATCCAAAAAAAAATTTTTCCTTACTCACCCTTTCCATGAGCAACAAAACCATTGAAAAATCCTTATTTTTTGTTCAAAAACCCACCCTCCGTTAGGCGAACAAAAAGATTTTTCAATAGAAAATTTTTTATGAAAAATATTTTGATATATAAGAGGTAATTATTATAATGAAATCTCTAGCTAATTCTGTTTAATTTTAAACAGCTTGCATTTTAAAACATAAATTTTATAATTAAATTAGTATTTGCGTACAATTTTGTGATTGGGATATTTTAAATTTCGAAAAAAATTTTACTATAATTAATTTCATTAAATGTTTTAAATAAATTAAACCCATACATAGAGAACAAAATTTTAGTTCACTCATAGAGGGAGTAGGAGTTAGAAAATCAAATTTTTTCGAAAAAAATAACTTATTAATTATTCATTACTTACCATATTTTTTTCTTCAGGTTAAATACGCCTGAGCCCACCCTTTTAACTCCGAATTGATGACGACTTGGGGGCTATCTCTTTCGCTACACTTTTTATTGAGCAACTGCAAACTTTCCATCAATAACTTTCACATCCGGCCATCTCGCCTCAAGGGGACGCGCGGCTTTCACATATTGCTCACTAGTTCTGCTTCAACAGACTCCTTCGGGAGTGTCAAATAGATAAACTCTATGTCCCTTAATATCCAAGATTTGGAGTTCCAGCCTATAAGCTGGAGCCTTCCCGATATAGCTGGATAAATTCCATTGGGAAAACAGATCACTATCATAATAAGATATCGTTAGATGTAAAAATTGTCGATGAGAGCTTATTCCGAGAAAGTCCATTTTCAATTATTGTTCGAGAAAGACGAATTGAAATATTGCAATGCATTATATTAATTAACTGCATAAAAATGCGTCCAACTGATCTTGGTTTTCGCAGTCCAAAAGAAAGGACCCCAGAATTTTATAACCCTCTCATGACCTGTGATGGCCGCTCACTTTCTATTTCTCCAATAAAAATTCGCCCAAGCTTCTCTAAAAGCAAGCGTTTTCCTCAATATGAAGATGAAGCCAAAAAAACTGGCTTTCGAGTCGGCCCAGGCTCTTACAGCCAACGTTATAGAACAGTTAGTGGTGAGCGTATAAAAGGATCTCCTTTATATCACAGATTTCATGGGAATAAAGATACATCAAATAATGGCTACTATATGATTGGAAACCATATGGTTTATGATCCTTCTTTTGTTTTAAAAACAAGGAGAGCTAGTATTGGTGAATCTGTGTCTCGTGTTGACCCAACGCAAGTTTTATCCAACCCTGTAACTCGCACAACCTCTGCAAGTAACGATAAATTTTCGCCAAAGCACTCTCAAGGGTCTCCTTGATTTCTAAAGACAGACGGGTCGCCAAGAAGCCATCACTTTACCATTAAGGAAGAGTCACCTAGCAATCAAAAGAGAACAGGGTCTGGAAGTGGAAGGAGGCAATTTAAGTCGCCTTATGAAAATTAAGAATAATGATTAATTATATAAAATGTATAGAGAAACATTAATCAAACAAGTTAGAGAAAGTAGTGTTGCTGGGGCTGATATTTTAAGGGTTTTAGACAGAGGAGTGAGCAGGCTGGATGAGTTCACAAGGATTGTGTCACCGCTGCAGGAAGCAATAATTAAGTTTGAAGAAGCTAGCTCCAGTATTGATAAACAGCTAAGTCAGGTGAAAGATATGGCGCAGCTGTCGAAAGAAGCTAATGGACTGGTCCAGATGCTGGGAAATCCAGATAATTTAAGGAATCATTTGAAAAACATTGGAAGAGCTCAGCAGATAAGGACGATTTATCAAAAGAATCAGCAGTATCCAGACTTACCTACTTACTTACTTAATTAGATTATCGAAAAGCTCCCTGTTGGCGTCATACAACGCTTTATCTCCACCTTGTTTCGTCTTGGCCGCCTGCCGCCACCCTCTAGGGGTAGACTCCTCGCCGCCTGAGGCTCGCGTCTAACGGCGAGTCAGTGGGCTGGGCCACCGTGCCGTACGTCAACTTGGGTTGCTCTTCCAGAAAATTCAAAAAATGAATTTTCTGGTCAAGCTACCGGCCAAGATGGAATCCATCGCCCAGGACGCAACGCCTGGTATCGCGATAGGAAATTGCCCGATTGGTCTTGTCGACTCGGCTGGGCTTTCCTTTCCAACGCTGAACCCATCTTCCCAAGAGGCAAAAAACCTTGGTCCCGGGTGTGAACTTGCGGTCGGCCTAATCCGACATTGCGCTCCACCCAAACCAAGTAAAAACCTGGCCGGATACACATTACCGAACGCCAACCTCCCTTCCACAAGGTCCCTGGGTGACCCCAGCTACAGGTGTTAAGAGGTCGGGTTGGTTCGCCACTCCATTTTTATGTATATGCAGTATCCAGACTCAGCTACACACTTAGAAGAGCTAACTCAAGCACTTAGCATTGGCTACACAAAATGTGCAGACTTTCTTCAAGATCAGCTTATAAAATACTGTGAAATATATGCCCTCAATTCCATAGCTGAAGATCAAGCACAGCTAGAAATGATATCAAGCATTCAACAGCTCATAGAAGTTTGCAAAAAAACTGCTCCTCAATATTGGAAAATCTACTCAGATATTAGGTCTGCTCTCTTACTAATTCTCATCTCCGTAAGTAAGCAAAATCTTTTAAAAATGACAGTTTATTCTGAGGCTTAGATTTTTAAATTAAATTGCTTATATCAAATATTTTTTAAACTTTAAAAAATTAAATTTAAGCCAAAGAGGAGGTATAAGGCATGTGAAAGTTCCTCAAAATATTTCAAAACCATATGTGATTGGGTCGCATTACATTATTATCATGCTTGGCAGTTTCATTGAGTCCCTTGCGATAGAAAGCCAGCTGCTTCAAATGATTTTTCAGGTCGAAAACGTCACTGAGTGGCTTATAGATGTAAGTGAAGCAGCCTACCAGCATTTCTACGAAGCACTGCAGTCTCATTTCAACTCCCAAAGCAATATTTATCAAACCCTTGATATTTTGACAGCTTTTGGGCAGTCGCTTCCAGCCCTTGAACAATTATTGGGGAAGACAGTGAACTATTACAACTTAAGCAAATGCTTTACGAATTTACTTCACAAATCTCAGTCGTGGTACAGGGATTATTCACAAGAAATCCAGTCAGCCAAAATTGACATCGGTGAATTTGTACACGATTTAGCATTTAAGTTAGCTGAAGAGATTAAAAAGGTCCATTTATTTCATGCAGGATTGAATATTGCCAAATTGGAGCAAGCCCCAAGCACTCTAATAGCAGCGTTGCTAGATACTTTCAGGATAAAAACGAGAGCACAGGCATCAAAACAGCCTGCGTTGTGCCATATTTTCATGATCAATAACCTTAGCTTTTGAATTCGGGCATTGCAAGATGTTGAAATCGCTGGAAAAACAGAACTGCTTAATAAAATCGAAAAAGAGCTGTTTTCTGAGATCGAGGACTATGCTCGAACTACCTGGGCAAAACTCCTTACCATTTTAAGTGATAATCCAACCATCATTGAGTTCAAAAAACAAGGAGTTTTGACACGAACTTCAAGAGACGCAGTAAAAAACAAATTCAAGCAATTTAATGCAGAATATTCCGAAGTCTTTAATTTCCACAAAAACTTCACCCTGTATAGCCCCGATGTCCTCGACACCCTCAGAAAGAAAAATCACTCTCTTATTGTCCCAGCTTATAGAGAATTCTTTAGGAAGTTTACATCAGTAGATTTTACAACCAGGAGAGAAAAATATTTGTTATATTCAATTGAAAGAGTTGATAGTGGAATTTCTTCAATGTATATCCTAAAAAATCGTTAATTGATTCTAATTAAATCATTGTTATTATGATAGCAATTATTAAGGTTTCTAAAATCTCAAGGAAACTATTAAATTATCTTTGGGGGTGGAACTTAAGCGCTTCTTCATAGACCATGCTTTGCAAGATTTCCTTGGTCGGCTCAAAATTATCAAAAGACCAGTCAAATGGCTCGCTTGCAACAGGCTCTTCATCAGCGTTATGAAGGTCTTGAAAGTAAGGGTGGGCTAAGCACTGCTCCACGTTCCATCTTTTTTCGGGGTTAAAAACAAGCATTTTATCAAGCAAATCCAGCGCTACCGGATTTGCCTTCGGATACAGCGTGCTCCATTTCATTTTTTCTCTCTTCGGCAATTTGCTGATAAATCTTCTTGCAGCCGGGTTTCCAATAAAATGCATATCGTCAGCCGTCGGTGTGCCTAAAACTCCAATAACTCGCTGGACTTGATCTAAGTAATCGTCTCCAGGGAACAGCGGAGCTCTTCCTATGAGCTCAGCAAAAACGCACCCACAGCTCCAAACGTCAATTTGTTTGGTATACATAGATGAGTTCAAAATTACTTCTGGGGCTCGATACCACCTGGTGACGACGTATTCGGTCAGATTTTCCGTTTCTCTGTCATAGCCTCTTGCCAAGCCCAGGTCGCAAATCTTGAGGTCGCAGTTTTTGTTGACGAGTAAATTGGAGGGTTTAAGATCTCTATGAATTACATTTGCTGAGTGCATATACAGCAGCCCGCGTAAGACTTGGTACATAAAATACTGGATGTGGTCATCAGATAAATCCTGTCTTGAATACACAACTCTATGTAAATCCGTCTCCATCAGGTCTGTGACGATATAAATGTCATTGTACCCAGTCCTGCTTGGTGGCAGCTGCACGTCGAGTAGACTGATGATGTTCTCATGGTCAAAGAACCCGAGTAATTTAATTTCGCGGAGGATTCTCTTTGCGTCAATCAGATCTTCGAATGCATTTGGAATTTTCTTGATTCCCACCTTTCCTCCTGCCTTTGAGTCATTTGCAGCAACTACAACGCCGTAAGCGCCCTGGCCTATCTTCTTGATATAGCTAAAGCGGTCGTCCACAATAAAGGTGGTTCCTCCAGCTGAGAACTTGGTTTTTCCTGCAGGTGTTCTTTCTTCCATATTTAAATTAGACTATGAATTATGGTAAAAGAGATTAGTTAGCCTTAGTACATTCCTCCCATGCCACCCATGCCGCCCATACCGCCCATGCCGCCTGCAGGTGCTGGCTCCTTTTCTGGGATGTCTACAATCATGGCTTCAGTGGTTGTCATTAAAGCAGCTACGCTTGAGGCGTCTTCAAGAGCAGTTCTAACCACCTTGGTTGGGTCCACAATGCCGACTTTGACCATGTTCACGTACTCGTGGGAGACTGCATCATACCCAATGGACTCGTCGCCAAGCTCCAACAAGTAGTCAACAACTCCGCTTCCGTCTCTTCCAGCGTTCTCAACAATTGTCATCAAAGGCACCTTGCAAGCGTTCTCGACCATCTTGATGCCAATTTGTTCGTCTGGGTCTGATTCTTTCTTGATAGCTTTAAGCTTCTTTGATGCGTATAAAAGAGCTGCACCTCCTCCTACAACGATTCCTTCTTCGACTGCAGCTTTGGTAGCATTTAAGGCGTCAGTGATTCTGTCTTTGACTTCTCCGACTTCTACTTCAGATCCTCCTCCAACTTTAATGACAGCGACTCCTCCTACAAGCTTAGCAAGTCTCTCTTGGAGTTTTTCCTTGTCATAGTCGCTCTTAGTGATTTCAATTTGCTGTCTGATTTGTTCAACTCTTTCCTTTATTGCTTCTTTGTCACCAGATCCATCAAGAATTAAGGTGTCATCTTTGGTAATCACAACTTTCTTGGCAGTTCCCATAACAGTTGGCTCAGAAGATTCCAAAGTGACTCCGACTTCTTCTGAAACAAGGTTGGCTCCACAGAGGACTGAGATATCAACTAATGTGTTCTTTCTGTTGTCACCGAATCCAGGTGCTTTGACTGCACAAACTTTGAGGCCTCCTCTGAGTTTGTTAACGACCAATGTGGCCAAAACTTCACTTTCAACATCTTCAGCAATGATAAGAATAGCTCTCCCAGTCTTCATGGCAAATTCAAGATGTGGAAGAATTGACTGAATGGTAGAGACTTTCTTGTCTGTCAGCAAAATAAGAGGGTTCTCCATCTCGACCTTTTGTGTTTTTGAGTCAGTCACGAAATAAGGAGAAATGTATCCTCTGTCGAATCTCATGCCTTCAACAACTTCGAGCTCGTTATGCAGAGTCTTCCCGTCCTGGACTGTGAGGGTGCCGTCTTTTCCAACTTTATCCATGGCTTCTGCAAGCAAATTTCCAATAGCTGTGTCTCCATTAGCTGAAATAGTGGCTACGTTGCGGATGGAATTTGTGTCATTGATTTTTATTGATCTCTTATGTAAATCTTTAACAATTGTATCGACTGCTTTCAAGATACCACGTCGGATTCCCATAGGATTAACTCCTGAAGCAACTGACTTGACACCTTCAGCGAAGATGGCTCTTGCCAAAACAGTAGCAGTGGTTGTCCCATCTCCTGCGATTTCATTGGTTCTGCTGGCTACTTGTTTTACAAGCTGAGCACCAATGTTCTGATATCTGTCAGCGAGCTCGACTTCCTTTGCAACTGTGACACCATCTTTTGTGATTTTAGGAGCGCCGAATTGTTTGTCGATGACAACATTTCTTCCTCTTGGGCCGAGAGTCACTTGGACTGCATCAGCTAGTTTGTTGCAGCCCTCAAGCATGAGAGCTCTTGCGTCTCTGCCGAATTTTATATTTTTGGCTGCAAATGAGCGCTGAAGAGTTCTGCGTGATACCGAGCTAACTAAACGACTGAGCATTATACGCCTCTAAATTTATTATCAAAATGGTGATATGCTTAAAAGTGCTTTATCGAATTTCTAGAAGTGACTATTCGAATTCAGATGTAGCGTATATTAATGAGATTAATGGCAATTAAAAATCATCTTAAGCATTGATTTCAATTCTTCAGATAGAATAAATAATTCAAGATATTATATTTATGAAGGAAATATATTTCTGAGCATATAGTCCCGATGATGAAATTTTATCCCAATGTCTATTAAAATTACTCCAGCAATTATGTCAATGCTTTTGAGTTTATCCTAATTATTGATTTCCTAAAATACAAATTATATATTGAATTTGGGATAAATAATTCTTGTATTTGAATATTTGAAGAAATTATGAAGTCAGATGATAGATTGGAGAAGTAAATGAAAGTATTGGGGCATATTAGAGAAATTATTAAGAATAAGTGAATTTTGGATTGAATGCTGAACCATGAATTGATGATAGGTGTAATTCTTTTTTATAGAACTTTGGATCCTGTTGATAATTTTCTAAACGAAAATTGGATTATATTTGCCAAATCGAAAAAGAGCAAAACAAACTTTGCTCACTCACACAGGGAGGTTAAGTTTTGTTTTTAAAATTTTAAAAAAACTCACAAAATTGAAAACAGAAATAATTAATTTCATCCTAGAATTTATGATTCAAAATGTAAGCTTTTAAAATTTAATAAAAGTAGCTAGAGATTTCATGGGTACCCGCGGGTTAGCTGCAACAGGTAGTTAATCCAACCCAGAAATAGGGATAGCTGACGTACCCCAAAAAAGCAAAGTAGGGTTAGCTGCCAAAAATCAATAAATTTTTTTCTGTTATCAATCAAAAATTAACGGTTGGCAGCTAACCCGAATAGCGTCTTTCTATTTAAAAACTGCATTAGCTAGCCGGCCCAAAAAATAGGGATAGCTGCCAAAATTTAAAAAAAAATCGGGATAGCTGCAAACAAAAAAAAAAAAAGTTGGGTTAGCTGACAAATTATTTTTTTAAATTTTTTAGGTCGGGTTAGCTGCAAACCTATATATAAACTATATTATGCAATGTCGATTTAAAAAGGTTTTTATATATGAATAATAATTTAAATAAAATAATGAATAGGTGCGAATCTAATAGACCTACAGAAGATAGGGCTTCTCAAAGGTATGGATATCTATCCAGATGCTGAGAATTAAATTCAATAGTAAATAGCGAAACGACAGAGAAATTCATAGATATAGTGTACACCAGGTGTGCTCTTGAAGATAAAACCATAATATTGGTTGAATCTGCCAGCAGGAGAGATGTGGTAATTCTTAGATGCTATTTTTCAAAACAGAGAGCCACAAGTGACTTTCCTTCGATTGGTTTCGCTGAATTGTGCCAGTTTAGAATGCTCTGAAAAATAGACAGGACGAACACAGATGCTTTTTCATACGTTCTTACAGAACTTAATGATTTTCATTCTCATCAAAAATTCAGTGAGGATCAAATACAATATGAAACAAAATTGCAAAGAATACCTGCTCATATGCAAAAAAGAGCTATAGATTATTTTAGCAACAAATTTTTCAGCAAATAGCATTTATAATGTATTAAGGCTTGAATTTACAACTGATATGGTTCCTTTTTCATTTGATAAATTAAAGAATTTCTTGGATTATCATCATCAAAAATCAAAAGAATCATTCTCATTTGAAAGTATTGTGGAAGCTAACAACGATGATGGAAATACAATTTATTAAAATAGACAACGAAAACGAAAGACTTTTTATGACAACAAAAGAAAGAATTTATCTATGAAATAATTTAAAAGATGTTTTATTATAATTTGGCAAATTTGCTCTCAATAACCATGCATTTAACAAGGAAATTAGTTTTTGCTCAATACTTTTGATATATGGCCAAATTAACTCTACTCTTAATATGTATATTGGAAGCAAATATTTCATTATCTATACTAATAGATTCAACTTACAAAATACATAAGCAATATTATTGTGCCATCATTTTAATAACAATTTGACAGCTTCGGACAGAATTGCTTACTTGCTTTTGCAATGGTTCATAATGAGCAAACAGCGGATTATATATGATTTTTTAATAATTTAAGAGAAGTTGGATTTGAAAATCCAGAAACAGTAATCGCAGATAGAAATAAGGCTCAATTTAATGCCATTCAGCAGTTTTATGGAAGAAGAATGCACATAGTTTTTTGTTGATGACACATTAAAGGAAATATTATCAATTCTCTTCCAAGGAAAAATGAAGAGATTGACTTTTAAATAAAAGAAAAAATTTTATAAAGTCTATGGCACAAAAAAATGACGCAGATTTTGATTGTGAATGGCAATTATTTATGATAGATCATCCTGAAATCGATGGATGGAAGTGCAATTTTTAAAGAGCTTTATGACAAAAGAGAGCACTGAGCTAAGTTTGCCATTAATAATTATTTTACTGCTGGGACGATAACAACAAGCAGAATACTAAAAATACAACTTTTACAATTAATACACAATGCGAGCTCTAAGTCTGCTATATAGTGAATACTGCTTAAATCACTATCAAAATTTCGATTTATGGCATTAAAGCAACCTATATAAAAGAAAATAGAAATGACGAGCAAAGATGAATTGTTTCAACATGATTTTCCAATAAGATAATAGAGTATCATATCATAAAAAATACACTCAAATGTTCGTGCAAAAAATACGAAAATATAAAATACTATGTTGCCATCTATTATTTATTGCTAAAACAACTGGCAGAGATGTAATAGAATTTATCATACAACATACAGCAAGAAGATGACTAATGACTGCACTGTCAGACGAGAATAATGAAGTTTTATTGAAAAAAATTAAGGGTATTGAGTATTATCACAAACGAAATATGACTCCAGTTAGTAATGAAAGAAGAATAAGATAACTTAAAAAATCATTATTCTTATAGTCTTTATCATTTACTTTAACTAAACTTATTCATATTGCATAAATAATGTGAAAAATTTTATAGGTTTTGGCAGCTAACCCGACCTAAAAAATTTTAAAAAACATAATTTGTCAGCTAGCCAAACAATTTTTTTCCTGGTTTGCAGCTATCCCGATTTTTTTTTTAAATTTTGGCAGCTATCCCTATTTTTTGGCTGGGCTAGCTAATGCATTTTTTTAAATAGAAAGACACTATTCGGGTTAGCTGCCAACCGTTATTTTTGATTGATAACAGAAAAAGTTTTATTGATTTTTGGCAGCTAACCCTACTTTGCTTTTTTTGGGGTACGTCAGCTATCCCTATTTCTGGATTGGGTTAACTGCCTGTTGCAGCTAACACGCGACACCCAGATTTCATATAATAGAAATCACTTATATATTAAAATATATTTATATTAAAAAAACTTTTACTCACTCACCGAGGGTGATTTTATCCAAAAAATAGTTTTACTCGCTCATAGATAGCGAAAGTTAGTTATATTTTATTAGATAATGAGCAAAATCGTTTGACGATTACTAATATTGATTTTTGAAATAATATAATTCGCTATTTTGCACGATATCTTTTTCAATATATATGCTTCATTTATAATTTATGCTAATTTCTATGTCTATTCTAAATCTTCAATTGCTACTTTTATTGCTCTTTTTAAATTCAATTATATGACTATCAACACCATAAAATTCTATAATATAAATCCCGAATTTAATAATGGTGAAACAAAACTTGCCTTGCATCTTCCATCGAATAATTCTGAGAGCATATAGCAATTATAGTTATCATGAATTAATTGTTTATTCTAGAAATTATTACGTTTTTTATTAAAACATAAATTAAAGTAAAATGAATCGGTTTAAGAAATAATTCAATCTTTATTACTATGAATATTAATTGAGAGATTAATAATATAATTTTGTTAAAATGAGTTGCCAAGAAACCCAGAGCTCATCCATGCTGAGCCAAGAAGAGATTTCAAGTAAAACTGAAAATATTTGCCACATAGAAAATTGTAAAAACGGAGCCCATGCAATATGCAAATGCCGTAGCCCATCAGTGTTTCTCTGTAAAGATCATATTTTATCCCACTTAGAAATAGCTTCTGACATTCCTCATCAAACGGACTTTTTTTACATAAAACTTGACCCAAAAGATAACGAGTACATTGCAGATATATCCTTTATCAATGAATATTTTATTAAAAATAATAAATATTTATATTATAAAATGTCAACTTAAAGGCATATAATTTTACAAGCAAAAGTAAAACTCCAATCTGATTATGAAAAAATCTTAAAAGTTTCCTCCGAAGTAATCCAATCTTTCACCTCGAAAATCACTCAGCACATCAGCAAAATTAAAACTCTCCAAAACGCCTACATTTCTGCACTAGAAAGTGTAATTTCAGCAGAAAAAATAAGCCGAGAAGCCCAAACCCCAATATTTCAAGAGCTTCAAAAGGACTTGCAAAAATTCAAGTCTGATATTTCTAACGTAAAGTGATTTTCATTTAAATTAGACAGCAATGGAATCATGGATGAGATCGACAATTTTTGTAGAATCCAGCTCAATAATCAGCAAGTTTTCAAATTTACTGGCCTAAAGGATGAGATTCTAGTTTATGAGAAAAGTGGGAATAAAGAAAGCGAAGATGTTATTATAGAATTTGAAGAAGTTTATGCTGAAAAGTCTGAAGAGGAGGAAGAAGAGGAGAATAGATGAAACTATGATAGCGTGGATTACGAAGAAGGAGAGTTGAGAGACTTTTACGAAGAGGAAGAAGAGGATACGTATGAAGAGCAGTTCGAAGAGCAGTTTGAAGAGCAGTATGACCCCTGGGACGATTATGAAGAAGACTATGGAGAAGACGAAGAGTTATATGTGAGAACCAATCAGCAAGAAAGTTATTCTGAATATTCGGATGAAGATTATTAATTAAGATTTGCTATAAATAAAAAATATTCTAGATCTATTGAATTAGATGATAATGTATATTTATATTCAACTCTATAATAAATTTTTTTACTATTATTGATCGCAAATTAATCAGGATCCAGTATGATTTAAAGCATTAATAAGAAGGGATATATTAGCATGCCCCACATTAAGGCTGATAAACTGATTTTTTCCCCAAAACCTTTTGCTCCAATTGGCTTAATAGAAATTTTGATCTTTGGTGAAATTCCAAAAAATACTGCTGAAGCGAGTGAAGATTTGAGGCTTCTTTTGGCGGTTCTTGAGGCTGAATTTTTGCATTTTCTGGGGTATCTTTTCTCTCTGTTGTGCGGGATTTTGATCTTCCTCCATATAAAGCAATTTTAGAAGCTCTGTTCGCATCTAGATATTTGGAGTCAAAAGAAATGTTTTCTCTACGAGTTTTTTTCCTTTTAGTTCTATACACATCAGGAATTTTTGATTGAATGACTGATTTACTTACTTCCTCTCCGCTAGTGAGCAAAATTTTTGTTCACTCGAGAGGGGTTTCTTTTTAAATTTATAGATAATTTAATCGAAAAAATTGGAAAGCGAAAAATTAATTCAATTTGTAAAATTTGTGTTTTAGAATGCAAACTGCTTGAAATTTAACAGATTAAGTTGAGATTTCATTATATTAGTTTTATTAAAATATCTTTTTGTATATAATCATGAGGGTGGGTTTTTGGCTAGAATAAAGATTTTTCCAATGGTTTTGTTCACTCATGGAGAGGAGGGAGTTAATTTTTGATCATTTTTAAATAGAGGCAGGCCTTCAAATAGCTGCTTGAGTTCTTGTGCAACATTATTTAGATCTGATAAATTATTAGGGGATTTTTGTGGAACTTCTTTATATTGGCGTGGTTGCATTAAAGAAGTGAATTTGGCTCGTCCTTCTTGAGTAGGTGTCAGTGAATATTTTCTGGCTATGTGATTTTCTATATTTAAAGGAGGGTGAGGACTAAGCTTAGGCTCTTTTATCTTTGTAAAAACATGTCGCTGATTCGGTTTTGTTTTGGAAATTTACATATAATTAAATATTGCATCTCGGCTGGAGCATGACTTCGGTCATGCAGCTTCGAACACATATTTAATTATATCCGGCAAGGTTTGCTAAGCGACAGTTCGGAGCCCAATAGTAGTATGCACTGAATAAGGAGCAAGGTGATATTTGAGCCAACTTTTCAAGCGAAATCTTCTTAAACTAGTCACGCTGAACTGAAGATATCGCAAAGTGTATAAATATCCTAGAAGATTCTTAGTGATGTCGTTAACAATATGGTGTGTAGCCTACCTTTAATAAATTAAGCTGAGCTAAATTTTGGAAATTATTGGAATTTTTGATTCTTTATCATAATCTTCTGGGATCTCTGTACTTTTTCGATAAGGCTTCGGGCGGCTTCTCTTTGATAATTCTGGAGAAATTCGAGAATTAGATTCAACTGGTACTCTGAAGAGTATCCCATCTCTGATCCTGTAATTTCTTTCTTCCATTTAAGTTTTGTTTAAATGATTATAGAAAATTAGAATACTTTTTAAGAAAAATCATAGCTCTCATTAGAATAAGGCTGAAAATAATTAAGAGAAGGGTTTTTTAATTAAAATCAATTATTTAAATATACTAAACAGTATAACTCATGCACCGCTATTGATTCTCATCATTGAAAATTTAGCCGCTATAATTGAGTTGATGTCTTCTGCATTTTAGACTTGAACCATCATCTTTTAGATAAACATTAGAATTAGAGTTAAATATTTCTTAAGTCACAAGCTATTTTATTTTAATTTTTATATTATTTATATATAGTTAGTGACACTGACTATATTAAATGATTCTTTTCTCGCTCAATATTAAAAGTAGTTATTTGCGTCAAAATTGCTTACTCCCCCCCCATCCTTGATCGAACGACTCGCCATCTTTCGATCAAGGATGGGTTTAAAAAAAAATTTTCGGGAAAAAAAAAATTTATATATAAAATAAAAAAATATCTAGATATTTTTTTTTATTTACTTTTAAATAAGAGGGTTAAGAATATTTAATAATTATTTTTACAGCAAAAAATTTAATTTATTTTATAAGAATACCAATTTTTAATATTTTGATTTATTAGTTACCCCTTTAAATTGTATAAAATTTTAATTTGTTCGTTATTAAATTAATTTTTTTTAAAAAAATTTTAAAGAATCTGTATTTTATTAGATTATTGAGTTTTTAAGCATATGTTAATGACTAAATCACTTCGGATGGTTGATTTCGCAGCTTTCTGTCGTCTCAAAGCCTCTGAAAACAACTTCATTATGTACATCTTCCCAAGCTTTTGATAAATAATATATTTTTATATATATATAAAAATTTGCATGAAATGAAAATCGTTCGATCAAGGATGGGGGTTAATTTCCCCAATTTTTAGGAATTTTTACAGTCAATCGTTCGATCAAGGATGGGGGGGGGGGAGTTAAGTAAAATTTTGGAGATTCAAAGTGGCATGCCAAAATTCTTGACAAATAAACGAGCCAATTTTAAAATTGCATTATTATAAAACTAATTTTAATTACTAGAAATATCTTTCAAAAATTCATTTTGCTAGAGTCAATTAATTTGTGCGATTAAGAACTTCATATATAATAATTCTCCAAAACTCAAGACTTTGCATATGCAAGTTCAATTAATCAGATTTATTTCGGTATCGCTTTCTTAAAAATTCAAGAGAAAGTATTTTTGGAGAATCGATAAATAGGGAAATTAATATAGGCTCTATGTAGAGTGAACTTCCAGAGCCTTTGACTTTGCATATAAAACCCAATTAATCAGAGATATACAAATTGCCCGAGGATGGCGCTATTTTGCGCCATCCTCGGGCTATTTGTATAATTTGGTATTTACTTTCTTAAAAATTCAACCGACCGCTAAAACACGCAATAGAAATAAATTTTTGGAAATTTGATAAATAGCTATATTAAATTTTACTTTCATATATCAATTTCAAATATATAGGATATCATAATTTAAAATTAATTTTAAAATAATGTAATTTTGAAATTGGCTCATTTATTTATCAACCTATTTTATACTTGTAACCATTTTGGCATGCCACTTTGAATCCCCAAAAATTTTAATTAAGCCATTTTGACGCAAAATAACTACTTTTCATATAGAGCGAGAAAAGAATCATTTAATTATAAACAATATAAAATAAGAATAAAATAGCAAGAAATTTATTTAACTCTAATACTTATCCAAATGATGAAGTTCTAGTCTAAGATGCAGAAAGCATCAAGCCAATTATAGCGGTAAATTTTCAATGATGAGAATCAATAACGGTGCATGAGCTATAGCATATTGCTGATTAGTTAAAATTATTAGACTATAAAAAACACTAAACTTATTTAAACAAAGGTAGTGCTCATTATATGAATTGTTTAAAATTCTTAAAAGACTTGTTATATCTTAAATCTTATATAAAACTCTGGAATTTAAAAGATAAATAGGTGTGAAACTCTAATAAGATAAAGATCTATAAGAAGATATAAAATGATATATTGCCTTAAGGATCTTTTGAATTTAAAGTTATAACTCCCACTTTCCTCCGTGAGTAAACAACAAAATTTTGTTCACTCATGGATGAGGTTAGTTTTTTATTTAAAAAAAATTTATATATATTTTATAGTAAAATTTTTAAAAAAATCCCAATTCAAAATAATTTAAAGCAAATATTAAAAATCTATGTTTTAAATGCAAGCTGTTAAAATAATAAAAAAAGCAGCTAGAGATTTCTTTATTATAATATCAACATATTTTTTTATAAAAATTTTATATTAAAAATTTTTGTATTAGCTCACGGAAGTAAGAAACTTTTTGAAAGCTATGATATTACATTATTTTTAATAGAACCTTTGCTATATTCTATTTCATAATCATTGATTTGTTGAAAAACACTTATATCGTTGTTAGATTTGTTAATCGCATTTGATAGTAGAATTCTCCTTCTCCTAGTCGAAATTGCAATGAATGGTGAAATATGCTGAGCTTTAGAGGACTGTAGAATCTTAGCAACATCCAAAATTAATTTCCTCACCAAGCCTTTATAAAATAGGCTTTGAAATTGTAAGAACTTTACGTTTTCGTTTCTAAAGCATGCGAGCAACCTTTTTCCTTTCGAGATATTGCGAATAACTCCCAGCTCAACTAAACTTTTAGCGATGTCTAGCCAAAACAAATACCCGATATTATCTTTGTCAATTCTGTCCCATATATTGTGGATTGCTGCTAAAAGCTGATCGAACTCTGACTGAGGATTTTTCACCCGGTAGTTTCGGTGATTCAACGATAAAACTTTGGACTTTTTGTGTTCAGAAATCAAAATTGTTAGTGTTTTTTCTGCGTAAGAATCATCACACATCATAAGGAGATGATGTTTGCTAATAGTAAGCATATTAAAAGGCCTGGATTCGTCGATTGTGAATATAGAGACAATGCTTTTTGAGCTCGCAGACAGATTGAGACTAATAAAAAATCTTACTAAATCATAAACTTTAACTTCTCCTAAAGCGTTTTGGGGGAGAATTTTAAAAATTCCTTCAATAGCTTGGCCAACTATTGTATTATTTTCAAATTTAGGCTCTTTCCGAGCACATTTGGGGACTTCGCTGTGGCTGCGTGACCGTGAAACAGCCTCAGAAATTACTGCGTTAAAGATATCAGGGAATTTTACTGATGGTAGTAAAGCAGATCTGGGGCTGTCAAGGGGAAGATATACTCCAAAAGAGCTATCAAGTGGTTTTAGTATAATAGGCTTTTTGCTTATTTTTTTCATAGGGTCTGCTAATTAATATATTACTCATTTTATTAGGATTAGCTGCATTGAATATTTATCAGAAATCTACATCCAGAAATCAAGCAGAGACTTTAGGATACTCATTTTTCTACTTACAAGCAACTTTCATCAAATTAAAATAGAAAAATAATATAAAGAATTGCTAAAAAAGGTTTATATAAGAATTCAGAAGTTAACTATAATGCAAGATCACTAGTGCTGGAATATTCAAGGGAACGATTGTGCTTCTTAGCCTGAGGGAACTCTTTCTTTCATCTTTCAAATATGTAATTTTTTGCTTGGAAAGCTTGCTCGACACAAGATTTTATGCAAACTTTTTGGCTATCAGCTATATGCAAGGCGTATAAGTCTAGATCACATGTTTTGAAGCAGTGCTCAGATAGCTTGGAGACAGTTGCCTGAACAGTAAGAATTTGCTCTGTCTCTTCGTCCATTTAATTATAATCAAAGTATTTAATATTGGCTTTCTCTGTTCAATAGCTTTTATCTTTCAGTCTTTCAATAAATTGCTTTTATTAATTAGAGACTTAGCATCCTTACTAGCATTTAAAGATTTATAATATAGCGTTTTTAGAGAGTAGTTTTTAAAATGTTGATTTAAATAGCATCACATTATCTTTTACTTTTGAATTCTAAAAAAATTAAGCATCGTCCAAAATTAAAACCCCATTTGAAAATTTATGTAAAATTCAACCACTCTTTTTTCTTTGATAAAAGGATAAAGCACAAAAAATTAAATTCAATATATTTAAAATATAAGCCAGTGCTTTATCTTCTAAACCTGATTCTAACATGTTACGACTTAAAATTAAATTAAATTTTTGATTCTGGTGAAAATATGCAATTACAGCCATTTTGTTGGTGAAATTATAAAATAAGGATGAAGCTTTCATTATTTGCTCTCCTCTTTATCGTTGCTCTCGGATCGATCGATATCCCACTGTCTCCTATTTATGAGACTGAAGAAGAACAAATGGCTTACTTCAAGTTCATTCAACTTAGAAGATTCTTGAAGGGAAACAATCTTCCTATCACCAACTACATGGACGCCCAATACTACGGCTCTATCGCTCTTGGAACACCTCCTCAGCCTTTCACAGTGGTTTTCGACTCTGGTTCCTCAAACCTCTGGGTTCCATCAGCAAAATGCACTTCACTTGCCTGCTACGTCCACAACACCTACAACTCCGCTGCCTCATCCACTTATGTCGCAAACGGAAAAGCCATTTCCATTCAATACGGCTCAGGAGCTTGCAGTGGCTTTATCTCACAAGACACCTTAAGTTGGGCTGGCTTAACAGTTAAGAGTGTTTTCTTCGGAGAAATGACTTCTCTTCAAGGCTCAACCTGGGTCAGCAGCAAACCAGACGGTATCCTTGGTATGGCTTGGCCAGCAATTTCCGAAGACGGACTTGAACCAGCTTTCATGTACTTGGCTCAGCAAAACCTTGTGTCCAGCAACAGCTTTGCATTCTACCTTACTAAGACTGCAGGCCAATCTGGAAGTGTACTCACCTTGGGAGGCTACAACTCAGCACTTACCAAAGGAGATTGGAACTACATTCCTCTTTACAAGCAAGAATGGTGGCTCATTCAAATGGGATCAATCAGTGTTGGTGGAAAAACAATTTCTGGGTCTGGATTCAAAGCCATTCTCGACACTGGCACTTCACTTCTTGTCGGCTCTCCAAGCATTGTCAACCAAATCCTTGCCTTGATTCCTTCTGTAGCTCAAGATTGCTCAAACCTTGCAAAACTCCCAACTGTTAACATTGTTCTTGGAGGAGTCACTTATGCTATGCCACCAAGTGCTTACGTTTGGCAAATTCCTAATGGAAGTGCGAAAATAAAATGGTGACGCCGACGGAGATAAACTCAGGGAGGCACTCACTATGGAGCAGGTCGGATATGTCCTGATGAATTCAAAATAGTGTCTCTGTCACTTTTGGAAGGAGGCCTTCAGGTTTGGGGATGACTGCCGAAGAGGGAAGTTTTGTTTCTTCACCGAAGGTTTTGCTGTCCTTGTCAGATGGGTAGACAGGTTTTGCCTCCGCTTAGTCTTTGTTTACCAGGACTAAGGTAGAATCCGCAAGAGATAGCTCTAACCTAGGGAGCTAATCCTTGGGTTATGCGGTTTACGCCAGATAGTGGTCTATCCACTTATGCCTTTATAATTTTAACTTTAGCTAATGGAAGCGCAAATCAATGTATTAATGGATGGCAAGCTGATGACTTAGGATCAGAACTCGCAAATACAGTCATCCTTGGAGATCTCTTCATCAGAACTTATTACACCCTTTTCGATATGGGCGGCTCAAGAATTGGACTTTCTACAGCAGTTTAAGTAATTTCATTCAACAAAAAGTTTTATAAAATAAGTTTTTAAATGGAATTTCTCGCAATCTATCTAGACTAGATTTAAACAATTTCGCATGAATTAGCACAGCTTATTTATATAAAGATATCTACTCAAAAGATATAGAAGCAATTAATTTATCAGGAATTATTTTAATTTTTAAATGCAAGACCCAAACATTTCAGTTGCCTATGTCATTGAGAAATTCAAGAAAAAAGGCTTTAACTGCTTAAACTTAGAAGAAATCGCTATCACACAAATAACTCCTAACTGGCCTCAAGAATTTTACTCCTCCACAGGAGAAGACTGAAACAGCTACCAAGACAAAGCTTCTGAAAGGCTTAAAAGAGCGAATTTCAACTTAAAGTGATTATCTACACCCTCAAATCCTGCACAATCTCCTTTATTTTCCGCAATTTCTAGAGGTGATTTAAAAAAAGTAGAAGAATTTCTCTCTTCAAATGATTTGAAATCATGCATAGATGCGGTCGATGAAACAAAGAAGTCATGCCTTCATATTGCGGCTAAGGAAGGACAATCAAAAATTGTTGAATTCTTATCTCAGCAAGGTTTTTCGATAGAAGCCCGTGATAAATTATTAACAACTCCTTTACATCAGGCAAGCAATTCAGGTCATTCTAATATTGTTTCGTATTTGCTTTTAAAAGGTGCAGATCCACATGCAGTTGACATTTCAGGCAGGACAGTGCTTCTATACGGTTCTCTTTCGCCGAATTCTAATGTAATTGATGTTCTGCTATCACATGACTCAACTTTGATTGACGACAAAGATTTTTCTGGGAGAAGTGCTTTGCATTATGCAGTGTTCAATCCTCATCCAAAGCAGGTTGATATCATGAGGAAGTTATTGGAGTTTGGCCTTCCTGTTGATGTTCAAGACAATGATAAAAGGACGCCTCTTCATCATGCTTGTGAGGCGGGGAAACCAAGAGCTATAAGACTACTCTTAAAATGAGGGGCTAATATCGAAATCAGAGACTTGATTAGCAACAAAACGCCGCTTGACCTCTCTGCTAACCAGAACATAAGGCAGCTTGTGCTACTATATTCACAGGATAATAAACAAGCTGATCGTCCTGTTAAAACACAAAAAATAACAGAAGACAAGCTGCCAAATATTAAAAAGTCTCCAATTGACACAATACAAAATTCGATTTATAAAGAAAAGCTCCTCTCATTGTTAAAGAGAGTTCAAGAAGCAGGAGTCAACACCAACCAGCACTATATTAAACCATATCTATACTCTGGAATGTGGCTTGAGAAAATTCAAAGTGTCGGAAACTTGCACAAAGAGCTTTCTACTTTAAACCCATCGGAAGCTGTTTTGCAGGTATTTAACGTATTGTTCCCCTATCCAAAGCCTTTACCTATTCCTCCAATAGATGATAATGAAATGCAAGGATTTTTTGGCAAGTATGAGCCAACAAGAAAATATGATGCAGTATTCCAGGGAAGCAGCGATGATTCAAGAATATTAAAATTACAGCAGCAATTACAAAATAGCGATTCGAAAATATTTGATTTACAGCAGCTAATATATAGCTTGGAAAAAAGAATCAAAGAGTTGCAGATTGATTCTGAAAATAAAAGCACTGAAATTAATAATTCCGCCAAAATAATAAAAGAGTTGAGAGACAAACTTATCAATGTTACAAAAGAAAGTTCGAGCAAAGAAGATTATGAACAAATCAAACTTGAAAAAGCTGAGGCTTTAAAAACTATAGAGAAACTTAAAAAAGAACTTGCATCACGTAGCATTTCACAAGATGGTCCAAAAGAAAACGAAAGCAATGCAGAAACAAATGTCGAGCTTCAAGAAACAATTGAGAAGCTTAAAAAAGAAAATCGAGCACTTCGATTCAGAGCTGGACAGATTCTTTTAAAAGGATTAGAAATTAAAGAAGCCCAAACTCCAAACACTGCAGAAGTCCAATTAAAAGATGATGAGACCTTGCAGAGACTTGAAGAAGCACTCGTTGATAATCCACCAAATTTTAGGAAAAGATTGACTGAAGCTGACTCTAATAAAGATGGAAAAATTACGAAAGCAGAACTAACTAGGGTTTTAGCAAAACTGATTTTAGTCCCACAGGATATAATTGTTATGCTCAGAATTTCAGGCTTTCGCCAAGGAGTTACGGCAGTTCCTATAGATGATATTGCAGAATTACTTGAAAAGCGATTAGAAAATAGGAATAAATTAGAGATGGACCTATTCACTAGATTGGCTGAACACTTTCAAAGTAGCAATTTGAGCGTTGATCAAGCTTTTGATTTTATAGATGTAAATAAAGATGGATATGTAAATTTTCAAGAACTGTCTGATGCTCTTGATGCAATTAATCTGCCATTAAACAGAGAAGACAGGCATGCTCTATTTACAGTTTTTGATAGTGATCATAATGGATACATTTCATTAGATGAACTTAAAATAAGACTAAACAATATACCAATTAGTCTAGAAAAACCTTCAAAAGTGAATACAAGTAATAGCTTTACCCAAAAAGGAGATGAAGAAGAAAACCCAAAAATTATGCAGAGGGAGATTATTACAAAAAATCCAATCCCAAAGCAGATTAAACCAAGCAAAGAAGTAGAAGACATCGAAATTGGGCCTTTTGAAACTGGGCCCAAAACCAAAAATCAAATACTGAAAACTCTTAATAAAAAACCAATAGAAAAAGTTGACGATCTCAGTCCAATACCTCGCCCCAGCCAAAAGCCTCCAAATAATAATTTTGAGGTAAAAGAAGAGACTTATGATCCAAATAAAGATAATCTAAAGAATTCAAGCAAAAGAAAAGTTCTTGCTAGAAGAGGACTCAAACAAAATGGAAAGTATTATTTTATATGCGCATATGAAACAAAAACTGGAATTGAAGTAGAGCTGCATTTAGTTGATAATAAGAATAGCCCAATGTATTTAGTTAAGGATAAAGCATTAGTAGACAGGACAGATGATATTAATACCATTTTATCCAAAATATCAATTACGCCAGATAACAAAATAACATTCGCCACTTATCAAAATAAAGATGATGATCTAAAGAAAACAAGCAAAAGAGAAGTTCTTGCAAGAAGAGGATTCAAGCAAAATGGAAAGTACTATTTTGTTTGTGCATATGATGCAAAGGCAGGAATTGAAATAGAGTTGCATTTGGTAGATAGCAAGGATAAGCCAATGTATTTAGTTCAAGATAAGGCCTTACTCATTCAGGGCTATTTTTTTCCAAAAATAAGGATATTTTAATATATTTTGTTCAATCATGGGAAGAGGAGTTAGTTGATCGAAGCACTGACATTAATAAAATTTTGTCCAAAATTTCAATAACACCAAATAATAAAATAACTTTTGGTGCTTAAAAACGAAACTTACGATAAATCATGTTCCTCTCTTGCTGTGAGCATAATTAATTGAATTGATATTAATTATTATTATGAATGGGTTCCTTCAAATATCATTATAGATTTAAATAAGTCCATTTTTAATTTTAAAATATATTAAGATCTCTTCTTTGAAAATAACTGGCAATATGCTTAATATACAATAAATTTACGAATTATTGCTTGGATTATTTCCTGGATTATTATTTTCTTGTCTTTTCCTATTTTCAATTTCCAACAAAATCCTTTCAAAGCTATTTATTCTAGCCCTGCATGAGAATTTGTAAACAGGAAGAGCGATGTAATAAATTTTTGGCTCATTAATCGCGAACGTTACTCTTTTTCTATCAATTTGTGAATTTTTATTCACATCTAAATTAAGCTCATCAAGCACAATTTTTGATTTTGCAGCTTCCTGAAGAAATTGGGTTTGCTTATAAACATTAATTTCATTCCCTAGCGCGACTACAACTTCCCTTTCTTTTCCTATTCTTTTTTGAATATTAGAATAAAAACTATCGTTTTGAGTCTTTTTTCTCTTTATAGGCATTTTTTGCATTTTTTCTTTGTAGATTTTAGCATACTCATTCAAAATCACCTGGTCTTCTTCTAAATCTTGGTCCTCCATTAACCGATATATTGAAGAATCCACTTCTAATTCTTCTTCATCTTCTGGACTCTCTATTATTTTATGTCTTTTCTTCTTTGGGGGGTAGTATAAAGAACTCGCATCAAGGACTTCTTCTTCTATGACATTATCGAACTCATTATAAATATCATTTTCAGTGCTATTTTGTATGATTTTTGCTTTAGGCCGAGTGTGCTTAGGCTGAGTAGAAGTGGTTGATGATTTTGGCTTAGACTTTAGAGCAGCTCTTTTGGAAGGCAGTGCAACATGAGACTCTGGTGAGAAATAAAGTTTGTAGTTAAATATTTCTTTACATGCAAGGAACTTGAATGTTAAATAGAATAATCGAGCTATTTTTTCTTTCATAATTATATCCCCCAAAAACAAAATCACTAATTATTAATTCCTTATTTAGTTCACTTTGAATTTGCTTTATATCATTTAATTATTAATAAATAAAGAAAACTCATTCGATATTGACTAAATTATTCTTATAATTGTTAATAAGCCACGATATTATTCATTTTGGGGGATTTTGATTTAATTTTCTATTAATAAAAATATGGTTCTGCTTCCTCATACAAATATAATTATTGATGGCTTTTCTTTTACAGCACAATTAGAGCAGCCTCATTATATTTTTTTCCTAACTCATTTTCACTCAGATCACTATCAAGGCTTATCTCCATCTTGAAACCGTGGCCCAATTTATTGTTCACCACAAACTGCTCTTTTAATATGTGATAAATTTTCAGGAATTCCTAACATATATCCTCTGGAAATTGGTGAAACTTATTGAATTTCTTTAAATCTTAAAAATTGTGCAGGCGTAAATGTAACCTTTATCGATGCGAACCATTGCCCAGGGGCGGTTATGATACTTTTTCAAGGCGAGATAGGTACAATTCTTCACACTGGCGATTTTCGCTATACCCCTCGGATGCTCCTAGAGCCTTGCTTGAATAATTCCTCAAATAGCCTGATCCCAATAAACCAATTGATTCTTGATAACACATTTTGCATGCCCGAGTATGATTTTCCATCCCAAGAAATGTGCACAAAATTAATAATCCAAATAATTGAAGAAAACCCTAACTATGACACTTGAATTGCCATAGAAAACTTTGGGAGAGAAACATTATTAGTAGAGCTCTCGTTATATTTCAATACACTTGTAATAGTAAGTGAGTCTATGTTTAGAAGGATTGAAATTTTAGGATTAAGGCCAGATTTATTCAGCACAAATAGTGACGATGGATGAATTCATGCAGTGCCCAGAAAGCATATGTTTAGAATTTATCAAAGAAACCGAGAGGGGCTTGATACGATAGGAATTTATTTGTCTGGGTGGTATAAGAAATACAGCAAAGAATGGCCATTTTACCATGTTCCTTATTCATTGCACTCGAGTTTCTCAGAAATAAAAGAATTTGTTGAAAAAATAAAACCTGAAAGATTGAGTTATATAGTGGCCCCTGGAAAATCATTGATGGGAGTGTTTGAGTTGAGCAGGAAAGTATTAGAGGATGTAGCAAAAGATGAAAATATGATGGAAGGTATAGAATTTAAACCACCTGTCAAAAGAAAAATAGGAAGTGGAGGTGGGGGGTATTTGAAAAAATTAAAGAAACCTAAAACAATTGGTTGTAAGATTGCTGAATCGGAGGAAATTGATGAGCATCCAGAGATAAATAAGTATACAATGCATTATTATATATAAATAAAATGAATTTTTAGTTTAATCTTTAAGATAACTATTCAAGTCCGTACTTCCTGACCTCAGCTTAGGCCATAGCTCTGAATAAAGTAGTTGGGTCAGCTAATCGTCAACCTGTTTCTGTCCCTAAGCCCTTTAGGATCTTTCTGATCTCACCAGACTCAGTGTAGACCCATTCTCTTGAGCGAGACTCCGGACTTCTCTCACTGAGATCGGATTAGGATAAGGATTCTATCCCTAGCTAAAATTTTTAACTGCATGAGTTTAATCTTAATTATATTTACTTTCTTAACATCTTTGATGCTTTTACCAATACCGAGTTTGGATTCAAATTTTAATGTCATCTATCCCAAAAAAAATAGATTTACTAATTAATAATCATTGTTACTGAAATCTATTGCTTGATTTTATTTTCTTATGCTAGTGCCTAATAGGTTTATATCTTCTTCTTAGCAGGAGCCAAATAGCTCTCTATGTGAACAAAAACATTTTTCTTCAGATTAGGCTAGCTCGTTTGTATTAAAATTACTACAATTAAGTAATCAGTTTATATTGAATTTTGAAAGATAATTTAATTTTTCCATATTTATTTGGCCTTAATAAGGAATCTGTTATTATCCATTTTCTATATTAATTTTAAAGATGCGTAGGGAGAAAGTTCATGGAGTTTATACAAATCAAACTGTGAAGCATTGTGGAACTTGCTGCAGAGAAGGAGGATTTTCTGATGAAAAACCATACTGAAGCGGTTTTGGAAAAGTAACAAATGGGGTTCCCGAAATCACTTACTCTATAAAGCTGCATAAAAACATAACCACTTCAAAGAAGTATAATCGTCGAAGATGATCACCAGTGGAGATCATTCCAAAAGAAAAAAAAATAAAAAAGATTTTTAGAGAAGATTCAACCAGGTATAAGTTCGAGCATAACTTATACGTCCTTGAAGCGCTTAAATTATAATTGGTAATTAAATTGTCTATTAAAGAAATATTATTGATGCAAATTCAATTTATGAGTAAATAGCCATGGTCAATACTGCAGAGATATTTTTGGAAATTAAATAGATTTTAAAATAAATTTGATCTAACAAAATTATGAATATACAGTTGCTCAATTATTAGATTTTCTGTGCCTTAAATAGCTTGGAGAGTAGTTATTAGCTCTTGGAACTCTTGCTGCTATTTTTGATAGTATACTTGCAGAGGCTTCAGGTTTTACCTTGCTTAAACTCCTTTCATCTTTTTTGCTTTTAGTAGTTGCTTTTGGAGATCTCAAAATGACTTTCTTGCTCTGTGCATTATTTAACTAATTAAAGCTTCATCATGATGGCAATGACTTTTTATACACTCATTTCCACTTTTTCTAATCCCTTTTTAAGCAAACCCAGCTCTTTTCTCATTTCTTTTACCTGCTTTTCAGTCTCTTGTTTGCTGATCTCATAAAGCTGGAGTTTTTTTTTCAACATCCTTATTGAAATACTTTCTTAGAGTCTAACACTTTTACTCAGAACTAAATACTTTCAGATTTTAATTAGCTCATTATAATTACTCTTAAGAATCTATTGAAGAAGATAATTTAATTTTTCCATATTTATTTTGGCCTTAATAAGAAATCTGTTATTATCCATTTTCTATAATAATTTTAAAGATGCGTAGGGAAAAGGTTCATGGAGTCTATACAAATCAAACTGTGAAGCATTGTGGAACTTGCTGCAACGACGGAGGATATTATGGGGGAAAACCATACAAAAAGGGTTTTGGAAAAGTAACAAATGGGGTTCCTGAAATCACTTACAATATAAAACAACATAAAGCAATAACCTCTTCAAAGAAGTATAATTGTCGAAGATGAACACCAGTGATGTATACTCCAAAAGAAAAAAGAATAAAAAAGGTTTTTAGAGAAGATTCAATCAGGTATAAGTTCGAGCATAACTTCGAAGTCATTGAAACAGCTTTAATTATAATTGGTAATTAAATTGTGTACTAAAGAAATATTATTGAGTAAGCAACCATGGTCAATACTGCAGAGATATTTTTGGAAATTGAATAGATTTAAAAATAAATTTGTTATGAATTTACAGCTAGTCCATTATTAGATTTTCTGTGCCTTAAATAGCTTAGGCAATAATTTATAGCTTTTGGAACTCTTGCTGTTATTTTTGATAGTATACTTGCAGAGGCTTCAGGCTTCACTTTGGTTAAACTCCTTTCATCTTTTTTGATTTTAGTAGTTGCTTTTGGAGATCTCAAAATGACTTTCTTGCTCTGTGTATTATTCGATTCAATTAAAGCTTCATCATGGTGACAATGATTTTCTAAATCGTCAATTCTTGCTATACTTTCATTTCCGCTTTTGCTAATTCCTTTTCTAAGCAAACCCAGCCCTTTTCTCATTTCTTTTACCTGCTCTTCAGTCTCTTGCTTGTTGATCTCATAAAGCTGAAGAGTTTTTTCAAGCACTGGAATAACATCCTTTTTGAAATATTCACTTTCGCTTTGGCTTTTTGAGAAATAGAAAATTGCTCTTCAATTTCAGTTCGGACTTTTTCTATTTTTTTTCCTAAATCAGCGATTCTTTCTTTATTTTTGCTTTCTTTAGCTTGATATATTGTAGGTTTGAGAGAAATAATTTCTTTGTATTTGTTTTCATATATATTTCTTAATTCGTTGGCATGCTGAATCTGCAATTTGATTTGCTCAATTTCTTGATCGTTTATTTTGGGGACTTTGAATTTATCATTTTCGACTTCTACATTAAAACTTTGAGAGAGAAACATTATTAGTAGAGCTCTCGTTATATGTCAATATTAAGTGAGTTTATGCTTAGAAGGATTGAAATTTTTGGATTAAGTCCAGATTTATTCAGCACAAACAGTGACGATGGATGAATTCATGCAGTGCTGAGAAAGCATATGTTTAGAATTTATCAAAGAAACCGAGAGGGGCTTGATGCGATAGGTATTTATTTGTCTGGGTGGTATAAGAAATACAGCAAAGAATGGCCATTTTATCTTGTTCCTTATTGATTGCATCGAGCTTCTCAGAAATAAAACAATTTGTTGAAAAAATAAAACCTGAAAGATTTAGTTAAATAGTGCCACCTGGAAAATCATTGATGGGAGTGTTTGAGTTGAGCAGGAAAGTACTTTCTTAACGTCTTCAACACTTTTACCAATACTAAATATCGATTTCAGATTTTAATGCCATCTAATAGATTTACTTCTTAACAATCATTGCAGAGCTAAGCTCAATTAATTTTTCCATATTTATTTTAGCCTTAATAAGGAATCTGTTATTATCCATTTTCTATAATAATTGTAAAGATGCGTAGGGAAAAGGTTCATGGAGTCTATACAAATCAAACTGTGAAGCATTGTGGAACTTGTTGCAGCGACGGAGGATATTATGGGGGAAAACCATACAAAAAGGGTTTTGGAAAAGTAACAAATGGGATTCCTGAAATCACTTACAATATAAAACAGCATAACGCAATAACCTCTTCAAAGAAGTATAATTGTCGAAGATGCACACCAGTGATGTATACTCCAAAAGAAAAAAGAATAAAAAAGGTTTTTAGAGAAGATTCAATCAGGTATAAGTTCGAGCATAACTTCGAAGTCATTGAAACAGCTTTAATTATAATTGGTAATTAAATTGTGTACTAAAGAAATATTATTGAGTAAGCAACCATGGTCAATACTGCAGAGATATTTTTGGAAATTGAATAGATTTAAAAATAAATTTGTTATGAATTTACAGCTAGTCCATTATTAGATTTTCTGTGCCTTAAATAGCTTGGACAATAATTCTTAGCTCTTGGAACTCTTGCTGTTATTTTTGATAGTATACTTGCAGAGGCTTCAGGCTTCACTTTGGTTAAACTCCTTTCATCTTTTTTGATTTTAGTAGTTGCTTTTGGAGATCTCAAAATGACTTTCTTGCTCTGTGCATTATTCGACTCAATTAAAGCTTCATCATGGTGGCAATGACTTTCAAAATCGTCAATTTTTGCTATACTTTCATTTCCACTTTTTCTAATTCCTTTTCTAAGCAAACCCAGCTCTTTTCTCATTTCTTTTACCTGCTCTTCAGTCTCTTGCTTGTTGATCTCATAAAGCTGAAGAGTTTTTTCAAGTACCGGAATAACATCCTTTTTGAAATATTCACTTTCGCTTTTGGCTTTTTGAGAAATAGAAACTTGTTCTTCAATTTCAGTTCGGACTTTTTCTATTTTATTTTCTAAATCAGCGATTCTTTCTTTATTTTTGCTTTCTTTAGCTTGATATGTTGGAGCTTTGAGAGACATAATTTCTTTGTATTTGTTTTCATATATATTTCTTAATTCGTTGGCATGCTGAATCTGCAATTTGATTTGCTCAATTTCTTGATCGTTTATTTTGGGGACTTTGAATTTATCATTTTCGACTTCGACATATTGGAATTGGAAATCGTATTCAGGAACTATAAACCTTCTTGAAGTCTCTGTTGAGCTCCGAGCATCACTGTCAGTGAAGCTATAACTAAATTGTCTTTTTAATCTTGAAACTTCGGCTTCTTTGGCTTCAAGCTGTGCAGATAGTTCGCTGACTTTGAGTTCGAGATCTGCAAGCTGAGACATAAACAACATTTTAAAAAATTATACAATCATAAACCTTCATTACAAATTTTTATTAATTAATGAATTAAAAATAGTGATGTGAAATTATTTGACCTTGTGGATTTAATTTAGATTAAATTCAGATATCGATTTAAGAATGGCTAAACAAAATTAAGAATGAGGGTGAGAACTATTATTAGATTCTAATTTAAAGTTATTTGAGTTGGCTGATAAGCTCACTTCTCTTTTGATAACACACAAAAAACAAATAAAATTCCCCTAAAAATGCAATTTATAGTCTTAATAATTATAAAATAACTTTTAATATTAATTAGATATCTTTCAATAACTTTAAATTAAATATTTGAGAGAATGCCTTTTCTTAACTTTTCTATTTCTAATATCACAATAATGATATATGATAAAATATAAGATTTCAAAAATTCATATCCCAACAAAATATATTATTCTAAAATAGGAACATTCAGCCAATATTCAAGATAGACTTATAGTTAGAATATCATCTTACAATTAAATAATTAATTAATTTATGTCTTCAAGACCGAAACGAATTGTTAAACTGCCAGCCTCACTTGACAGTCTGATAGGCTTTCAGTTAGACTTCTCCAACCTTAAAGCTGATATCGAATTTTTGGCCAAATCGATAGCTGACAATGAAGAGAATTTAATCTCGTTAACCATAAAACTTGATGAAGAAATTGACAAAATCTCCTCTCGTATGAATAAAATCCCAGAAGTTGAGCAGAAAGCTGAAACTTTCAGTAAATCCGTTGAAGACGTTTACCGCATGAAAGATAAAGTTAACTCTTGAAGCGAACGTTTTGTGGCCCTGGAGGAAAAATACTTCCTAATGGGTCAGCAGTACTCTGACCGATTCAGTCAGCTGGAAAGTGTTGTCGATTCTACAATAAAAACCATGGAAGATAAATTCACAAATCTTTATCAGAAATCTACTGAAAATGCACTCTCCAAAATTGATGAAATTGAAAAAGCAGCAATGGCAAGAATCAAAAAGGCTGAATCAGACTTAGCTTATTTCCAAAACATGGCAAGGATTAATGATCTCGAAACAAGAGATATGCTTAAAAAAGAAATTAATGCTTCAACAGAAAAATTAGTAAATATGATCCACGATGTGCATGAAGTTGATAATATAATGCAGTCCCCATATAATTTCCCTGATGGTTAGGATTAACTCTAGCGGTCAGTGGAGTTCAACTCTACCCCTTCATAAGTTAGCTTTACGCTCAGATGGCGCTAGATACTAACTACAACTAACACCCTTTTCCGTTGACGTCACCAAAAAATGATGACATCAGAAAGTCTGTTGGGAGACTTATCCGTAAAAGGCTCGATCCTTGACCAACGATTAAGGACTGCCTAGAATCGCATGCTTGATGTATTGCTGCCTACATTAGCCCTATGCAGACCAAAGATTGCCTCCCAGAAATTCGTAAGGATGCTGCGCCTCGGTGGATTTTTGGTACTAACTCCCCCCCCCCTTTAAAATTGAAACAAAAAATTTTGTTTCAATTTAAAGGGGGGTTAAGAAAATTTTTTTATAAAAAAATTTATATATAAAAATTTTTTCAGAGATAAAATTTTATAGAAAATAAATTATATAAATTTAAAGAGACAATAAATTGAGTAAATTATATTTAATAACATTATAATTTTATGACAATGCCTAGTCGGTAAGTTAGCAAGTTCTATTTTCTTAAAAATCGCTCTTTAAAATTTAAGAATACTATTTTAGAAAGTTTTGAATTTTCACGTTAAACTTATAAAATTTGCATTTAATAGTTTTAAAAATGGAAAGTGTTTGATTTTTAATTTTAATTTCATGAAAAATTAATTCATAAATTTCTCAATCTCAAAGTGTAAACTTGCTGAAATGGTATTCTTCTAACTCTCCCCATAACAATTGGACAAAATAGAGTTTAATTTCTAAATCTTATATGTTTGAAGCATATTAAATAGGGTATTAACGTATTTAAATATAAAATAATGATTTTTACCTATAAAATTTTCTATTATAATAAAATTTTGTTTCAATTTAAAGGGGGGGTAATTTCCCAAAAAAGTAGGAATTTTACCTATATTTTGTTTCAATTTAAAGGGGGGGGGGGAGAGTAAGCTTTTTGCCTCGACCCACAAAAGACAGACTCTGGAGAACTATCACCAATGGGATCCTCAGGCCTCGATCAACTCACAGGACATCAGGAATCTAACTCAGCCCAAATTTTAATAATTCTTTTTCCTGATGAAGATATTGAAAAAGCTTTAATGTACCGTGATGCACAGAATATCGTGGATATGCAAGATTATGAATATTATGGAAGCAGGGAAGGAGAGGACACACTAATTAGAGATTTTGAAGAGGGAAAGGAAAGCAGAGCTAGATCAAGACGAACTGATGATCCTTATGTAAATCAGTTAAATATTGAAAGGCAAGCTAATGAAACTGAAGTCTCACCTAGCAGAAAGCAGAGAAGAGAAATTAAAAACTCAAGAGATGAAAGAATCCCTTCGGAAGGCAGTGGCAGATTAGATGCAAGAAGTGGGGAAAGATATAGGCAAAGCTCTGAAAGAGAAAGCGCTGATATGAGAGAAAGACAACGAAAAGGGAGCAGAATTGATGAAAGAGACACTGAAAGCAGAGACAGGCAAGGATCAAGATCCAATGAGACAAGGAATCCACAGAGACTTGGAGACATAAAATATCTTGAAACCCAAGCCAGCTACTTAGAAGTCTCTCCAGATAAAAACAACCCAGACACCCAAACTAACGCATCAGACCAGTCTCCTTTCAACGCAAAAGAAAAAATCGAATCAGCCACCAAGCAGCAAGGCGAGCGAAATAGACAGCTGATAGACTACATAAAGCGAATGAATATGCGACTCTCCGAAGTTGAAAGCAAAGTTCAAAACATAAATTTACGAAATCTCCTTAAAGAAGATTCTACCATGCAAGAAATCGAAAATAAAGCTCCAAAATCTAGAGACGAGCTTGAGCTAGAGATGAATTTAAAGTTTGTAACAATAGTTACTCAGTTGAACGACTATAAGAAACTTATGAGGTCATTTTCTACTACTGTGGCTGATTTCAGCATTGATCAGGTGGCGACTGAAAACCTAAACCGCTATATCCCTTATATATCAAGAATAGCAAGGCTTGAAGAAATCATTGAATCTTTCGCATCAAGAGACGACATCGAAGGCGTCTTTAAAGAATTAGACGATTTAAGGGATAATTTGAAAGAAAAAATAGATAAGCCAGAAATTATTGAAATGAATTCAAGAATGAGCTATTTGGAAGAAGAACTTAATAAGACAAGAGGCATGGCTATCTTGACTTCTTCTTCTCCATTGATGAAGTCTAGAGGGAGCTCAAGCCACTCAGAACTGAGGACTGAAGCTAATGTGGCTTTTGAGCCTGCGAAATTCAATGAGCTGTGGGATGCAGTTGCAAGGATGTCAGAAACTGTTGGAAGTATCCAGCAGACTTTGCCATTGAAAGCTTTTAGGAGTGAGTTTGAAGAGGTTTTTAAATTAAAGGGCAGCACAGTATCGAAAGCTTCACCATTACTCAACCTGCTAGATGTGGAGGAGAGGATCAAACAGATAGAGGATAGGCTGAACTTGTACTGGTACGAAATGGAAAAACAGAAACGAAGTGAAGATCCATTGGTGAAAAGTCCCCAAGAGCTAGAAGAAATGCAGCATTTAATAGAAGAGGCTGTTGACCTGCATATTTCGACTATTAGACTGGAGCTTAATAACAGATACCAAGAACTATATGAAATTATATCAAAGCCTGCAAACGAAGGAGATATCACGAATATCCATATATTGAGAGGCACCATTATGAAAGTTCAAAGAGAAAGCAGAGATCTTATTGAAAAAGTTGCCAAAATTGAAGAAACAGTTACCCAACAAGCCAACGCACTGGCTGAAGAGTTCAAAGAAGAAGAAGGCGAAGAAATCGACCCCTCTCTCCTCAAGAAGCTCACAAATGCCGTCAAAAAGCACGAAGCTCTATTTAAGATAATGAAGGATCAAATGTCAAAGATCTACAGCGAAATCGAGATCTATCAACAAAGCACCAAAAAGCAAAACGAAGTGACCATAAATACGAACATAAAGATGTTTGAAGAATTAAGGGGAAATGTCTCTGATGTTATGACCAAAATACAAGAAGGAACCAGATTAAACCAAAGAGATATGCAAAAAATTAACGACGTGTTTTTAGTTCTGGAAAACAAAGGAAATAAAGAAGACATCATGCAAAAAGTGGATAAAAACGAACTGAAAAAAGCGTACAGGTACCTATGTAAGAAAATTGATGACCTGCAAAAGAAACTCAAAGCAGCAGAGGAAGCAAAAGAAGTGTCGAAGCAGAAAGATGACCCAACAATTTTTAGGCAAAAACTTGGGATGGAGTGTTTGGCATGTGGGCAGGACATTTCAGGAATAAACCAGCCTCCTAAAGGAGACTGGAGGTCATGGGGACGGTTCCCAGAGGCTCAACTTAGATTTGGCCCTGGATTTTCGAAACTGCTCCCTATACTTCAAAAAGAGATGCATGGAAAGCATAAGTCTGAAAATTTGACAGCAAGAATTCTTGCAACTGTTGATGACTCAGAAATTCAGGAAGTATCAAAAAGACCTATTTACTTCTTATAAAGTTTTAATATGCTTTCTTCTTCAGCAGGATGATTTGGGCATCCATAGGCACACCCTTTTAACCCCAAGTTATGATGTGAGCAGCCATCTTGTCTTGTAAGCATTCCAGAGGAACCCACCAAAAGTGTCAGAAAGTCTCAGGAGTCGCGCTGTTATTGCTCGGGCTGATTCCAGTGCGTATTCTGCCTAAGGGTCACCTTCCTCGGTTGTTTCAGGCAGTGAAACCATATGCCTCTCCTTTTTTCCTTAGGTCAAAGACGGAATTATGAGATAATTCCATATTGGCATTGTGGAAAAGGTGTATGTTGAAAACTTAACACCATAATAATAAATATCGCGGAGAATAAAGGGTTGTCGAGAAAACCGCTTCCATATAACCATTTTATTATTATGAGTATCAAAAAGACAAGAAGAGCCCCAGAGTTATCAGAGATACAAATCACAGACAAGACTTGCCAAAGTCAGAGATGATTAACTATAATTAATGCTTTTATAATAGGCTAATATTAATTTTGAGCCATACTATCGCAAATTGGGCATCTTCAATACTCTTGAACATCACACAAAGAAAATGATGACTTATCCGACCCGTCCTTCTCCCACACCCTCGGGGCTTGTGGTTTTAAGAGAGACGGGGCCTGGAAATTATGCACGGGCAGGCTTTTTATACCTATCGGAACAGCACGACAGGCTTTTTGCCTCGACTCATTGAAATGTAGACCAGAGTCCACATGACAACTCCTTACTTACTTCTAGTTGCGAAGGGTAATGGAGACCAGAGGCGGATTCAGGATCGCCTCTTGCCTTCCATCTCGGGTAGATGGTGCTGACTGCTAAGAGTTTTTCCAAGGAAGTGTCTGGGTACCGAGAGATCTAGATGTCACCATTATTTGGCGACATCAACAGAAAAGGGTGTAAGTGCAGCCCGATGCTTATGACGGGAAGCCTGAAGTCGGTGAAGGCGGGAGTACTAAAAGAAACCCTGAAGACCCATTCTAAAGTTTAATCTAATCTAATATAATCAATATTCTCGAGAGGTATTTACATTATATAATTGCACGCAATTAAAGCAAATATCATGGCAACTTTGGCAGAATTGCTCCATTTGGAACAATTGATTGCAATGCCGGCAGAAAAAGCAACTATCAATATAGTTATACCATTCATGATATTGACTCAAGAATTCTGTATTATGGTTTGGACATCTATAAAACTTCTTTTTGAAAACACAAAAGTTGCATATCTTACAGCATTGAAAAAAAAAGCCCACTTGATTTTCCTCGAATTTTAAATTGCATATTAAGCACTGATCTTGATTAGCTGTCTGCAATGGGAGATTAACGGGCTCTGTATATGAGATAGGATTGAAAACAGGTTCTTTGGATTCTTCATGCACTTTTTTTCCCTCTTCTCTCAATTCAATTTCAGATTGTTTGTCTTTGCAATAAAAATGCATAAAATGAAGCAATTCTTCTTTCTCAAGTAAAGCATCAAGAAAAGCTTCCAATTCTTTATCACTAAATAGGCTAAAAATGACTTTTTTTAAAGATCCTGAGTTTTGAACAGAATAATTTCCTGCAAAAATAATATAGGCATCAATGTGCTGCTTGATGGTATCATGGTTAACATTTAAAGCTGGTTGACTTATTGCTGGGATAGCAATTGATGATTTCCCCCCACTATGAGCTTTTTTAAGTAAGTTAAAAACGATTTGTATGATTTTATCATTTCCTCTCCATAAATAATAATCGGTGTCTCGACTGCGTATTGCCTCGGCAACGCAGACCTGAGCACATATTTAATTATATCCAAAATGTTTTTGCCAACCCAGAACTTGACAGTTGCGCTAAGTAAGCAATTCTGGGAATGTTCAGAGCCTAGCCCTAGTCCACTTTCTGGATTGGATTTTTACCTCAAGAGAAGATGAGCTTTAGAGTTGGAAATGGAAAGCCCAGCATCGTCTGCAGGCAACAGCTAGACTTATTGTGTAACTTTCTTGCTCGAAACTGAGAATTACGCTTCAAGCATTTAATTATTCCTTTTTGCCAAGAGTTGATTCCATTGATTTTTATTTATACAACCTTCGCTCAATACAGGCTACAAAAACAACAGAAGCTCATAGCCTTCTCACTCAACACTGGGGCTTGCAAGCCAAGGAAAAAAACGCAGACATAGAATTATACTTCAGATGGGCATGGCAGTAGCCGCAGAAGAAGGTGATGCCCAAGCCTTGCTTATCTTAGTATCATCATCTATTTGAGCAAATTCTCCCTGGAGACACGCAAAGAGGGTGGATCCCTCCAGAGATCTTTGGTCATTGCGTTACCAATAGGCAAGCCGTCAAACTCTAATAAGTTTAAGGCATCTCCTTTCCACTTTGCTGAATCAATAGAATATATTGATTTTTGCTCTCCTTGATCTCTTAAAGATACTTCAAGGATCATTTCATTTCTCTTAGCTAGCTGCATTTCAAAAGGTTTTCCATATCTTTGTCTTGCATCCCTAAAAAGACTCTGAGAATAATCATCCACTACTATAACCTCTGCATCTGTCTGGTTTAAAACACTTCCATGCCTTATTTCTATTGTAACATCAAATATTCTCCCCATTAAGCACGTATTCACCGATCGCATATCTACAATTTATAATTAATCATATTGATTCACAATTATAATTCAATATGATTTCATAATCTATTAAATAAGCATAATTATGCAGCATCCGATCAGAGCTTCGACCGAGAGTGAGAAAACCACTCCACATGAATCACAGCATTTTGATATAGAGCTGGAGTTTGGTCATTTGGGCAGTTTTGAGTCCACTTTTATTAATGGCATAAATCCCAAAGTGTTTTCTTATACTTCTAATGGCGACTTACTGGTTCAACCTCTATTTCAATTTCTAGCAGAAAAAGGCTATCAAACCTCAAACTCTATGATTTCATATTTCTCAAACAAAGAGAATATGTATGTATTTATAGGCAATGACCCTTTAGCAGCTGATGCAGCCATTCCTAGAGAAGAACTGAAAACAGCTGCTTTAAAGATAAAGCTCAGGTACAGTCCACAAATTGAAGCGCCTATTCCAAATGTTGAAGACGATGACGCAGGCTCAGACAAGGGAGGTAAAGGCTCAAAGCGAACCAAGGAGAGAAAAATTGGGTATATAGTGGAAAAAGTTGCCAGATGGAGAAACCTATATAATGGGATTCAAAATTTGAAAGGAGAAACAGTTAGAATGACACTTGAGGAAGCAGCCACTCAAGTGGGGATTTCAAAAAAATCGCTAGATGATTATTTGTTGCAGCTCAGATTTGGCAGGAAATTTGGATTCAATTTCGAGGAACATAAAAATGATAAGGTCGGGATTTTAAGAGCTTACGTGAAAAAGTACAAGCAGATTCAAAATGAGATGTCAAAACTGTCACCAGGTGAGCAGCTTTCTAAGGAAAGCCAAGAAATCCTTAACCAAAAAGGAACTCCATCTTGTAAGGCCAGAAAATGCTGTGTTCCTCCACCTGGAGTTTTAAAGTTCCCAGCCCAGAATCAAGCAAGCTTAGGAATTATGGAGTTTTCTTATAATCCTTTAAGTATTGTTTAAACTTATTAGATCTAATTAATTATTCAATAATTTCTATGTGAATATTAAGTAGCCTGCAGTGCTAACTCAATTTCTTATATTTTGAGTCATTTCGTTGTGTTTTTGAATTCCTAGAGATGGCTGGAAAAGAGATTTTTTCCAATGACTTTTTTAGGTAGAGATTTTGCGTTTCTTTGCCTATAGACAAAGATTTGGTTTTTATATTCTCTATTCGGCTCCTAAGTTATTGCTTACATTTTCCTCTCAAGGTCTAGACTAAGAATCTTTAATGATTGGCCATTAAGATTTGTGCTTTTATGTTTTTGGTGAGTTAAGGCGGACAGTTTTTGCAGCTTTTTTGTCTTAACTAATCTTAATTATTATCGAGTAGATCCAATCAACCATGAAGCCTTTTTACGTCCCTTACTTCACAACAGCTTCTGCTTGCCAATCTGACTCCAGTAAAGGTATGGTTTCCAACTTTCAAGTTCCTTCTCCCTAGGTAAAGCCTTGTCCTGGATAGTCAGCCAGCCCTACATTACTCCAAGCAAAGCCTGGCTTGGCACACTCACCGCACGTTGTTCTCCCTTCCTATGCTCCACAGACTCTCGTCTGGCTACAGGTTGATTCGCAACGCCATTTTTTATGAGTGTTCAGCTTTTTGTCAAAGTTATTGATTCCTGTCAGCTCATCAAGCTCAGATTTTGGGCTCTTTACAGCAGGCACAAGCAAATTGTGTTCTTGTTTCAGAGAAAATGCATCGCCTCTTGACTTTTTCCCATCATTTGTTCCGTGGAAAAAATCATTGTTATTAATTGATGCTGATAACTTGGCCATTATCTTTCTTTCTGGGTCCTTTGCTTCTGTGTCTGTTGTCATAGTCTCATACATTCGAGAAGTGTATATTTCTTTTTTAAAAGGGCGCCCATCAATAATTGTTAATGAGCGATCTGCTCATGGTCTTGTAGTTCTCTTTCGTTGAATGCTATCTACTATGCTAATTTCCATTGAATCCAGCTTATTTTTGCACTGTTCCAGAATTTTCAAAGTGGCAATTTCAAATTCTTTCATTTCTTGCTGAGAAGTCGGCTCTTTATTTGCTATTCATTTATCTTTTTCAATTACTTCTTCATCTTGCTCATCAAGATTTGCTAGTAATAGATTAATAAGATCATATATTTTCATTGCAGAGGTATACATTGAGGTCCATTTTCCTTTGCTTTCTTTCATTGCTCTTTTTGCCTCTTTATATTTTTCATGCTTTCTGTCTTTTTCCTTTGTATATTTCCCTTTGGACTTGGGCAGATCTTGAATTTGCTTGAGATTTGAAAGCTCTACTTCTAAATTTAATTTTTCACTTTCGAGCTTTCTTAAATCTCCCATTAGTACTTGAATTGACCTGCTCAAGCTTTCTTCGATGATTTGTATTCTTTCTATCTCCTTAATTCACGATTCAATGCTTTCAGTTCCTATAAGTTGGTCAAGCGTGTCTGATTTCACTTTATTTTCTTCGACATCTTTTACTCTTAAAGAGGTGATTTTTTCTACTGTAGTAAGCTTATTTGATATTGCCTTCAACATTTCCATTTCATCTTCTTTAGAATCTCCTTCACTCTCACTTTTTTCACTGCTATTTGAGTTCTGGTTCTCATTGTATTGAGTTCTAACTTCCATCCCATCTTTAATCGAAGAACAACATTGAAATTTGGAAACTAAATTTACATTCCTGTTCGAATGGATTTCATATGATAAAAATGAAAGTTACTCCATCAATCTAACTACCTATCTTTAATAATAACGAATCTGAGAGGTAGTATAGGATAATTGCTCCTATTCAATTTCAATTTGATTTATAACATATTTGCTAATATATTGCGTACTCTATCTCTTGTTTATAGTAAACGTTTTATCTAGAAAAAAATGAATATAAAATTTATATATATTCGTTCTTAAAATCTTGATCGAGCAATGGATATTGGCTTGATCAGATGAATAGGGAAATAAGCTTTTTCTGAGAAGTTGCAGTTTTTAAAGAATCAACATATCTATTAAGGAACTTTAACTCATTTTTTACATCTCTGCTAGAAGCCAAAGCTTCGGCAACTATATTTTCAGTGTCTTTGACCCTTGAGCTTATCATTTTTTCCTTTATCTGAAACTTTTCGACGAAAACTTTCATTGCATCCATATTAGATCTTGTTCGGTTTAAAATGTTGTTTAGAGTTTCCATTTCGTCTAGTTCCTGCTCTCTTAATAAAAATTACAGTTTTTCTTGAAGTTTTGCAGCCTCTGTCTCCATTTCAATTACTTTGCTGTTCTTTGTTGAGATGAAGTCGCTTTCAAGCATTTTGCTTTCTGTTTTTAATCTTGCCAAAATTTCTTCTCTTTTAATGATATCATAGTTTAGCGAATCAAAAGATGATAAACTGTCTTTAGAATGCAATGAAGGAGTTGTGCTGTTTCATTCATTTGTTATTGGACTTAAAGTTTGCTTCATTTATTTTACTTGGAAATTTAAGGAAATTAATAGATAAAAAGGCTAACAAAAAATTTGCAATAGTAGCTTTTAAATAAATTGTCAATAAATGAAGAATAAATGAAATTTAAATAAGCGAGCATTTTAAAGTATCTTTGACAATTAAATAAAAGCACTGAATAACTCAAACTAATCAATAAGCAATGCCAATATTTTAAATAGTGTACTCTTCTCAAAACTCAATTTCTCAGATTTCTTCATATTTTTCATCGAGCAATAATTTAAAATTATTTAATGGCAGGAAGACAACAAGCTAAATCTGGTGCAAAAGGATTCAACCCGAAACAATATGAGCGTCCAGGTCTTACAGAAGACGAGATTGAGGAAATCAAGGAAGCTTTCGATTTATTCGATACTGATGGTTCAGGGACAATTGACCCAAGAGAACTCAAATCTGCAATGCAGTCCCTTGGCTTTGAAGCTAAAAACCAAACCATTTATCAAATGATCAGCGACTTAGATAAAGATGGGTCAGGCGCTATTGACTTTGACGAATTCTTAGACATGATGACTGCCAGGATGAGTGACAAAGACACCCGTGAAGACATCAACAAGGTTTTCAGGCTGTTTGACGACGACAAAACTGGCTACATCACAATAAAGAATTTAAGAAGAGTAGCTAGAGAACTAGGAGAAACCATGACTGACGAAGAGCTTCTGGAGATGATTGAAAGAGCTGACAGTGATGGAGATGGACAGGTTACACCTGAAGACTTTTACAACATCATGACTAAAAAAGCATTCCCTTAAGTTAATCATTTAAAACTAACTTGACAGAAATTGCTGTCGAATAAATGGAAGTTATTAACAAGCTCGTTTAATTTGAATAGAGATTTTGAGAATTTTGATATTGGAATACAAATGCAGAAACATTTAAAGAGAAAATTATATGAGATTTCACATTATTACTTGCGTATAGCAAAAGGCTTCTTCACTTAATTTTTAAAGGATTTAATTTTAAGTGTCATTAAGCTATCAACAATTAGAAACTTTATCTTTTTCTTGTATATTTATGATCAACTGGTTTTTGCAAAAAAGGAATAACTTTCGTATTTCTAATGTAAACGTCGTTAAAAGATGTAAACTCTCCATAATGCTTATAAAAAGCTGCAGGGTTGTTATTTACTCCCCCTCTTCCGAGAGTGTGAACAAAAAAATTTTGTTCACTAACGGAGGAGGTTAATTTTTTTTTTTTAAAATTTTATATAGAAATGTTTTTTTCTTCGAAATTTAAAAAACTCACGCTTCTCGAAAATTGGAAGGCTAATATTAATTTAATTTGTAAAATTTATGTTTAAAAACGCAATTTGTTTAAAATTAAACAGAATTAGCTCGAGATTTCATGATAATAGTTATCACTTATATGTCAAAATTTTTTCCCATAAAAATTTTTGTTCACTCACGGAGGGTGGGTTTTTGGGCAAAAAATAGCGATTTTTCTAATGGTTTTGCTCACTCACGGAGAGGGAGGGAGTTAGCGACAAATAATATTTGGGGTTTCTCTCGACTCCAGGCACTTCAGGGTTTTTCACCAAAGGTCTAAAATCAGAAGAAACAGGCAGTTTAGAAGAATACATATCCCTGCTGAAGGGCTTCCTTTTCTCAAAATTCAAATGTCCTGCGTTATTTGATTTCCAAATTTCATAGGCTTCAGTGTTTTTGTCAAATCTTGAAGCAGTCGCGACGTTTCTTCTTAAGTGAAAATCTGGATCAATCAAATCTAGCTTTCTCATCTCATACGCAGGAGCAGTTGAACTGTTTTTTATATTCGGTAGTCTGGGTTCTCCTGCTTTTTCGATATTAACTGCAGGCCGAGAGCTCTGCCTGGTTCCCAGGGCTCCTTGTGACAGAGCTCGTCCTAAATTTAAGTTTCCTTCCCCATTCATAGTGTACATTTGATGAAAATTATTTTGAGGTATAAATATGAATTTACTGCTATAAAAACAACATATAGTTATTTACTTCTCTACTCATCACAGCTAGGCTCAATGCTGCTTTCGGCTGCTAGGAGATAAGTGAGTTCTTCTGAGGAAAGAGGCGGTTTTATTTTTTTACTCCCTCCATGAGCGAACCAAAAAATCTTGTTTGCTCATGGAGGGGGGTTAATTTTGTTTTTTTATATATAGTTAGATAGGATGACTGGAATGGGGCTTTTTTGGCTTCCCGACCTCCAAAAAAGCCCAGTTCCAGTCATCCTATCTAACTATAAATTTTATGGAAAATTTTTTTTTTTCGAAATTTTAAAAAAACTTAATTCGTAAAATTGGAAAGCAAATATTAAATTAATTTATAAAATTTATGTTTTAAAGCGATTTATTTAAAATAAACAGAATTAGCTCCAGATTTATTATACTAATTATCATTTATATATCAAATTTTTTATTCATAAAAAATTTTCTATTAAATTTTTTTGGTTCGCTTAGGAGGGTGGGTTTTTGGGAAAAAAAATAGGATTTTTCTAACGGTTTGTTCGCTCACGGGGGGGGAGTTAGCAAAAGATGGTCCCAGTTGATTCCTTTGAAATATTTGTGCCTCTTCAGCTGGGAAACTGTAGGCCTTTCTTCTGGAATTCTTTTCATCATTTGTTGAATCAAATCTTTTGCACTTTCACTTATATCATTGGGAAAGCGGATCCTTGCATTGGCAATTCTTTTGTAGAGAACCATAACATCTTCAGTATAAAAAGGAGGCTGACCAGTAAGCATCTCATACAAATTGGCTCCTATACAATAAATATCTGCTGGCTTTCCAGCACCAGCTCTTGCTATCATTTCAGGCGCAAGGTAAGCAGGGGACCCACAAAACGACATGGCTGGGTTGTCTTCAGTCACATTTTGCTTTGCAAGACCAAAATCAGACAATTTTATGTGCCCTTGGCTGTCTATTAGTAAGTTTGAGGGCTTTAAATCTCTATACACAATATTAAGTGAATGCAAATATTCAATTGCTAGAATTACTTCTGCTATGTAGAATTTCGCTTGCTGATCTTTAAGCTGCTTCATTACGCTTAAAAGGCGAGAAAAATCCCCAAATTGGCAAAATTCTAGCACCATAAAAATGCATTTTGGGCTTTGAAAAACTGAATATAGCGGGACTATAAAGGGATGCCGAATATTTTTTAAAATTTTGCACTCAGCTCTGGCATATTTTTCTTGTTTTTTGATTTTCAAAGTGTTTTTATTCAAGGATTTTAGAGCAAAAATTTCGTTTGTAGACTTTTTCAAAACTTTGCAAACTTTGCCAAAGCTTCCAGTGCCGATATCTTCCAGAACTTCAAAACTTTGAAGGCTCAGCTGCGGGTTCTCTTCACCCAGCAACTCTTCTTCATGCCTTTTAAATCTTTTCCCCATTAAGGTATTTCTGGCTTCTTTTAATTCTTCTTCTTCCCTACTCCTGTGGTTTGAAAGCATATGAAAGAAATCAACTGCTTCTCTCACTCTATTAGTTCACTCGACAGTCATATCTAGATATTGACAATAATATTCTAAATCCTCCTTTTAATAAAAACAAATGGATTTTTTTGGGCTATACAAAGATTATTTTATTTTGCAATGTTTTTTAAATAACTATATGTTTGAATATTCTCTAAATTAAATCAAAGATATGGTTTAAATTTATAATTAGCCCCATTAATTGCTGCTCACTATCAAGTAGGATAGTAAGCTATTTTCTGGAGTTTCTATTACAAAGAAAAATTTGCCTTCTATACTTGAATTCACTGTATTTCTCACATTTTGAATTTCTCTTATAGGAAATGATATATCAGGTGGCTCTTCATCCATGTATTGGATCCTTGAGCTATAGTGCTTAAAAATTCCTTCTCTTGTGTCAAGGACTAAAAATACTATTTTATCCTCGATTTGTAAATCTGATATGCAATAGACTTCGCCACTAAAACTCAACGGCCGATCTTCTGGGCACTTTTCCATGACTTCTGAATCTTCTTCTCTAAATGCCTCTAAAGTGCTTGCGTTGCTTGGTGTCCTACCATACTGATCTTCTAATTGGTTTTGATTAAAAATCATTAAAAGATAATATAAATATCTTTGAATTGAGCAAAGTTTATGTTAATTCCAGGGAAACTTAAAAACTTCGTCTTCCATCCTGTTCTCTTATAATAATCCCCCTATAAATGCCCTATCAATAATGGAATTCCTTTTCCAATTCACTTCGGTAGAATCGCGGGCCTTATAAATAAATAGGCGGGATGTACTGGGAAGCTCCGACTTGTGTAATTTGTTTGAATGAACTCTCTGCAAATCTGACAGTAACTCCATGCGGCCATGTTTTTCACCTCGAGTGCATGGAAAAGTGTGTGTTTAACAGGTGCAAGAATTGTCCACTCTGCAGGAACCGCGTCCTGCCAAGTAAGCTCACAAACATTTCTTTTGCTTTGATTCCAGCGAAGTCAGCGACTCCTGCTATTTCTGGATTGTCTGAGGAAGAAATGAAGGATCTTCAGGCGCTGCAGAACAGAGCTAGAGAGGCGACGAAAGAAAAAGAAGCCTTGGAACTGAAGATCGACCTCACAGAGAAGTTTTTGATTGAGAAAGAAGCTCAAATCAAGTGGTTTCAGGAGATGTATGAAGAAGAAACGTCAAAAACTAAAAACTTCAAGCGAAGATACGAAGAAACCTTGGCCCAGCTTCAAAGCTTCCAATATGAATCAGAAAAATACCAAGGATTATTTAATAATGCTCACAAGAAACTAAAAGAAGTTGAAACCAAAGTGACAGAACTTGAAAATGTCTCGAAATTAATTGAAGAGCTTGAAAATACGCAATCCACTGTTACTTGGGCGAATTTAGCTAAAGAAAAATTAACAGCAGAAGAACAAGCAGCTCATTTCTATAATGCCTTGCTCATCACCACGAACTCAATGAAAAATTTGGAAAAAGAGATGAAAGAGCTTAAAGACCTTAACAATAACACTGCGCAGCAATTTTCATCAACCAAGAGGCAGCTATTAATGGTGAGAAAAGAAAATGAAAACCTGACTAAACAAATGAGCACCCTTGAAACACAGCTGAATACCAGCTCTTTAAAGGTAAAAACTATCTAGAGAAAAACTGAAGATGCACCAGCAATTTTGGTTGAGAACGCAATGAACTTTCAGCCCATGTTCAAGCCTAAAAAGGCCTTAAGCTTGCTGGCAAGCCGTCAATAATGATATATCAATTATTTAGGAATTTAGCCTATCTGGTTTAATTTTTCTATAAAAGTTACCCATGAGAGTTTCTGGGCGTTTGCAGTTTTGATTTCTTTTCTTGCGTAATTTTCGAACTCTCTCATGTTTCGGTTCAGTTTATAGTTAGCGAACCATTCAGCTTCTTCTTTTAGTTTGTAATTGTGGTAAGCATACATGTCTCTCAATTTTTTCACAGAGTTGGTGTCTTCATGTAACATCTTTGTAAAGGCAAGCGTCTTGTCCTTTTGCAGGACAGTTATATCAACTGATTGGTCATTTGGGTTTAGTTCCCAGTTGCGCACATCCCCTCTGGTTCATAGTTTGTCTTTCCTAGCGTTTAAATCCCTCTCAGCTTTTACATATGATTTATAGTGGTTTTCTCTGTCTTTTAGCAAATCTTTAAATGGCGTTGTTTCGTGCAGTGTGTACTTGAAAAAAGCGGTTAGGTGCTTTTCCAAGGTATTCTTCCTTTTCATGTCATAGCTAGACCAAGAAGTCATTGCCTCCTCAAGAATTTGATATAGATCTGCTTCAGTTTTATTTTCTGGTGAAAGGCCCTGCATTACCCTTAAGCTCCCTGTGTCTCCTGCCAGTCTTTTTATGGAGTTTGAAGAGCTGACTAGCTGCTCTTGGGTTTTTTCTGATGTCTTTTTAGTGTTTTTTACCAAGTTTTGTGATGGTTCGAAATAACGGTCAACAATACTGGAGTACTCTTCAGAGAGAGAAGGATTGCACATAGTAACTCCATCTGCAGTTGGAATATTTTCGACTGCGTCAGGTTTCTTGACGTTGCTCATCATTTTTTGGAAGAGCTCAAATTTCATCTCGTCAGTTTCCTTTAAAAAGGTTTCGAGAAGTGGTGATTTTCTTAGTGTAGGGTGATGGGTGATAGCATCCATATGATAATTCAGAAACCTCATATCTTTCAATAGAGATTCTTCTTTTGAGGCTCTTAAAACGCGAGTTGGAGGAATAGGAGGAGCATAAACTCCAGGATGTGTATTAACCAAACAAGTCCTGAGCCATGCAAAATCGTTTAAGCTTCTTTTTACTGACCAACCAAAAGGAAAAGTTTTTACAGTATATGATGCTGCGTGGATTTTTTCAGGGCTAAATGGGGATTACTGTGATAGTTTCACTTTTATAGACCTAGTGGACAGCTCAGTATCTGGCTCCGTTATTGTGTAAACTTGGTAAAGTTCTGTCACTTTGGTTGTGGCTTCACTTAAGCGAGGCGCTTCGGACTCCATAGTATGGATAGTTTGACTAAGAGGCATATCAGGCTGTATCATTATTGGTCTGCCTGTTGTTGTCTCTTCTGAAATTCTTGAAAACTCTTTGCCTTTTGTATGCTTTTCTTCAATAGGGATATCTCCTTCATTGAAAAGAGGTCTTCCCAGTTGCTTTGGAGTAAGAGATTCTGGCTCTGTGAATTTATTAATTTCTCTTCGCTCAGCATAGGTTGTTGGTTCTTCTATAGTGTGCGTTATTGTAGTTTCTGCATGGCGGAAAGGGATTGCGCTTTCTTCTTCGAGTGGACCTTGTTTTAAGTTTGATGAGGGCTCACTATACGTCTTTCGACGTGATAGCTCCTCAGATTCTGGATATTCCGTTGTAGTTTTTGTCTCGGTGACAACCCTTTTTTTTACAAGAATGTTGGCATCTTGTTCTGATGGTTCTGATGAAATTTGAGGAGGAGTTCTAGATGAAAAACTCGTTTCATTTAGACTCTCTATGGCTTTTGGTTCGGCTCCATGCCAAATGAAAGTGTATTTTTGATAGTACAAATTTCATCAAAGTGCATTTGGTCGAAATTTTTTAAATAGTGTGAAATTTGGTTGAAATTTAATAGGTTTTTTGGTCAAATGTCTCGCTATCAAAAAGTTTTAGCCAATATTCGGCCAAACGCACTTCGGCGAAATACACACTATAATGTATTGGTAATATTTTATTTTGCTTATTTATGGTAAATTGATTTTAAAATGTCAAAAAAAATTTTGACATGCCATTATATATAAAACTGAGTCTATGGTATGTTAAAATTTTTTTGGCATTTTAAAATCAATTTACCATAAATAAGCAAAATGAAATTTATGCAAGGGATTATATCAAAAGTGCACGAACAACGGGCCTGCACCCTTTGGTTCAGATCTATTTGTTTCAGAAACTCTGGGCGAAATCCTTTTATTGGCCTGCAGAAAATCTTGCTTAATTTGAGGGTAATTCTGCTTGAAATCATAAAGCACTGACTTTAGCTCGTCCACTTGCCATTTGTCTACTGAAGACTGCTTATAATTTCTAGTATAATAATCAAAAACATCGGGATTATAATTTCCTTCAGATAACTCAGCTTTCAATATATTTCGCTTTTTCATCTCAATATCAGACGACTGGGCTGCTGTATCTATTACTCTTATGATTGTATTCTTAGCTTCATCTGAGAGTGTAGTTTCTTTGGTTATCTCTTTAAGCCTTTCTTTGCTGTCTATTACTTTGTCTTCTGATAAATTTTGACCTTTATTTTCCATTTTTAATTAATGACGACAGAAATGATTTGCATCTTAAAAGGATTTATTTAATTTCATCAAAGATCCATCTTTCAATGCCAGCAGTAATGAATCATCCCAGCCGATTTCGCAGCATGAAACAAGCCTTTCATATGAATTAAAAATACACTTTAACTGCCCTTCAGCATTACAAATTGCTGTCCCATGCTCCACTGACGTTACTAACGTGTTTTGTTGCTTTGTAATTTTTAAAAAACTGTCATCGGGGCGATCTTTAAGAAATGGGAAAGTGATGTTGTGTTTTATGCCTTGGGTCATATCAAAAACTTCAACAGAATTTTCTGTTTTCGCATACAAGAGCATTCCGTCAGGCGAGAAATCCAATCCTGTATATTTATCTGATCCAGCTGTGATATTAAGATTTGCTTTCATAAACGTGTCATTATACAGGTTGACTGTTCTGTTTGTGATTCTAACTCTGCTGTCCTGGATCCTTCTGAATTTATTTGGCAGAATTTCTTCATCCTCTGCGCCGAAATTAAAAACTGGGGACTTGATTCTCCTTATATCTCATACACTTACTCACCCTACAAAAAAATTTTGTTCGCTCACGGAGAGGGGTTAATTTTTTTTTGAAATTTTTTTAAATCCCAATTCGGAATAATTGGAAAGCAAATATTATTTAATTTGAAAAATTTTATGTTTTAAAATGCAAGTAGTTTAAAATTAAACAGAATTTGCTAGAGATTACATTATACTAATTATCACTTATTTATCAAAATATTTTTCATAAAAATTTTTTGTTCGCTCACAGATGGGTGGTTTTTTTGCGCAAAAAATACGGATTTTTCCAATGGTTTTGGTTCGATTACGAAGGGGTGAGTTAGGCTTCCGTTATCCCCGCTAGTCACAAAAATTTCATCTTTGATAGGGCTCCATTTAAATGTAGAAAATTTCCCTTCTGCTTTGAGGTTTTCTTTTCAGTTCGCAATATCAACAAATTTAACGCTATTTCCACAGTTTACAGCTACAAGTCCATTTTCCCCCTGTTGGACTTCTAATTCTTTCCCATTAGTAATGCTCAAGCTTTCCAATCTTTTGCCAGTATTAGAATCCCATATGATTGCCAGTGAGCTATCAAGAGTGAAAAAAATGCTTGGATCAATCGGAAACCATTTGGTTTGAAAAATCACCTTGGGAGACTGAAAATTGCTAACCAATGATACTCCATCATCTGATAAGTCCAAAATCATTCATCCTCTGTAGCTGCCGCATAAAAGGTATCTTTCTGAGCACTCAAGGTCTAGTGAGCTAGATAATAATTACAAAAGCTCTTGCTGAGTTGAAAAAAATAAATCAAAAGAATAGCCACAACTAGCCTCAATTGTTGCGAAAACCCCAGAGGAAGGCATAATTCCAAGTTTCATCTGCTCGATAATGTTTAGCATTTAATTATTAGATATGGCAGTCAATTCTTTTAGTGCACAGTTAGGAGACCTGCTTTTTTCAGTCGCAAAGCGGCCAGGAATCCATCTGATGGCTTTTATTCAAAAATCTATTGAGAACGAGTATAAGAGGATTTACTATGAACTTACTTACTTACTTACTTACTTACTTAGGTATTTAAGGTGTTTTGATTTCTTCAGCAGGATGATTTAGGCATGCTTAAGCCCATCCTTTTTAACTCCCAACTGGTGACGTCACCAAGCACTCCTGGATCGGTTAGCCCGATCTGGCCGTCTATAAAGTTCCGCCTCAGCAGGGCTAGAAATCCCGCACCGGCAGCGTTGCCTCGCCCGAACTCGACTCCTGCGCGTGTTTCCGCCTAAGGGTCACCCTCCTCGGGTGTGTCAAGCAGCAAACCCAGGTGGAGCTTATTATCTTGACCAAAGAAATACCCTATGCGGTATTCCATATTGGTATTGCTGATAAAAGGCCACGTGGAAAACTGAACCCCATAATAATAAAAGCGAGGGGAAGGAATAGTTCTCTCGGAGAGAACTAATTCCGCACTGAGCCATTTTATTATTATGGATTTACTATGAACAAATGATTTATCAGGCAGCATTCCTAGCTAAAGTCAGAAGGCAGCACTTAGCTGGGGCTGTGAATTTTGATACTGCTTATGAAGAAGCAAATGAAATGAGCATAGAAGAGCACAAGATCTATGCGAAAGGCGAATATTTAGAACAAATTTACAATATTCTGGGAACTCTTCATAATATTGCAAGGAATATTGAAGTGGTTTATGATAAAAAGCAGTATGAGAATAGTGGGAAAACTTCGCTGTTAGATCCCAACTCGTTCCCAATTGCTGATTTATCTAATAAGCACCTAATTAAAGACATGACTTCAATATGAACTGAATTCCCTAATGATGTAAACCCTAAGCTTATTGATGGAGTTGGCTTCAGGACCTATACATATAAATCTACAATAAACCACCCAGAAGCTGGGCTTGGAGTCTTCACAGAGTCTGAAAAGCCTATTCCACCTGGAACCTTATTAGGATTTTTCCCTGGGATTGTTTATCCTTCAAGTACCATGGAAGTGAAAATAAGCAGGAGCAAGATCCTGAAGGCAGAATTTCCCTTTATACAAAGGTATAACGGAACAGGCATTTTCCATGACGACCCCTTACTTTATCCTGCATATTACTTAGGCTACACAGTAGAAGAGTATTTACATAGCAGAGCTCGCTTAAAAAATTTCCCTCAAATTGAAATTCGTCCAGACATGCTCAACCCTTATGCGTTGGGGCACATGATAAACCACCCACCGCCAAACACAAGCCCAAATGTTGGCTTTATAGACCTCGAAGTCCCTTATGCCTTTTTCCCTAGCTTTCTAATGAGGTATTTCCCTTATATGATTTATTCAGAGATTTCCAAATCAAGAGCGTGGACCAATAGAAATTACCACGTCGTCGGGGTAGTTTCTCTAAAAGAGCTCCATAATGAAGAACTTTTTGTTAACTATGGAGGAGAGCGATTTCCTCAAGATTTCGCCCCAGAATGGATGCATGTTCCTCCAGAATGCAAACCAATAGCCCCCTATCTATGTAAAGAAGAAGCTCTTTACGAGTTTTCACGCCTGAACAAAATGCTTATAAAATGGGACGAAATTACTGCAAGTGCAATAGAGTCTGTAGAAATGGAAAGAGAAAAACAAAAACAGCAGCGAATTAAAGAGTCCTTAGAAGACCCCAAGATTTTTGAGAAGTATTATAACAAACCTAAATAAGCTAATTATTAATTTCATGAAAGCAGGTTTCTCCCCTTCTAAAACTGTCACAAGCATCCCCAAGTCTTTTAAACGAGGCGAAATAACAGGCGCAATTTCAGCTGCATTTGGAAACCCAACGCCCCAAGCAAAGCCTTCAACTGCATCTCAAACGTTAAAGAAAAAATTATCTATGTTGAGAAGTAGGACCATTGGAAGGGACACCTTTTTAACTGAGGCAGAAATGAACGAGGTAGAAGAAGTCATCCCTACGCTTGACCGAGAAGAAATAAAAAAAGACATGACCTATGAAGAACTTATTAATGAGGTCGAGTCCATCACAAGTGGACTACAGCAAAGGGATGACGACTTAGAAGAACTTAGAAGGAGGATCCACAGGTGCGACTTGGGGATCCACAACCAGACGAAAACCACTGAAGGAATTCGAAAGAACGCCAAAGCACTTGATCATAACAACAAAAAAATGATGAAAAAATTCAAATCGTATGCAGATCTGCCCAAGTATTCATAATAAAATTGTTAGAAAAGATATTAAATATTATTTTCGGAGTTCTTGGGATGTGAAAATGTAGGAATGTATAGCAGGCAGGAAGTGCAGCACCACAATGGAAAAGTTTATTAGATTAGTTCGGAAGGTATTTATTGTCCCCACTTCACTGATTGCTCCGTTCTACAGTGGCGTGCTGCGGGGTTGCAGAGTACTACCATCTTGCAAGCCGGGCTGAAACCAGGTTTCTCAGTAGTGATATCATCAAGGGTTCAGAGGACATTGCTAGTCATCATTATTTCCAACCACGAAACGTCACTTTTTCCATGAATATTCACAAGTCAAATCCCTCTCATCTTGAGAATCACTTTCGATTCGAGAGACTCCGCTGCTGGGTGTGCGTCAGCTGCCTAATTTGCCTCCGCTCTTTTTTGTGTACTCAAAGAAAAACTCAACAGCTTTCGCCATCTGGGGGAAATCACCAAGCAGCTTCAGCAGATATGCCAGCCTTCTCCATAACGGACTCTTTGCTGCTGGAAAAAGAGAAGCAATTAACTACCCTAAGATTCAGGACCCAGTTCAGCGGAAAAGAGACTCATATCTCTCGCTTCGAGGCTACTAAACATCGCCGAGCTATAATTAGATCCAAAAAAACACTTCCGGTATGCATAAGGACTCTCGTCTCTCCTCTGACATTTTATGTATGTAGCACCACAATGAGAAGGCCAAGGACAGACCGTGGCCAGTTCGGAGGTTTTCGTCTCCATCCCAAGTTTTATCGACGCCGTAGATATCGCCAACAGCCAAATAAATTGTGAGGCCCATGAAGAAGATGATAGTAGGTGCCCAGATCCCATGGTACCAAATCCAGTGCTTGCATTTTTTGCCAAAGTACATGCAAATATGTAGCACAACATAAGTAGCATTAATAAATATACAGACTGATAAAAATCCTATCATGATGCCTCCAGCAGTTCAGAATCTCGTCAAATTCCCACAAAAGTCATTGCAGGCAGCATCAATCACGTCTTTGTAATAATCGCACATATTATTGTTCATATCCTCATATGACTCGTTATTGGAGACTCTCTGATCAAGTCCTGTTTCAGATGTTTCGCCTGCATATAAACCCCAATCAAAGTAGCAATAATGCACCCACTGTGTCAATGTCAAATCTACTAATTGCACTACAATAACCAAGACATTTAACAAGGCCCCTAAAAAGCAGTGCAATTTAAATGCGTTTTGTCGTTCTTGATCAAAATTGCTTTCAATTTCCATATTTCGCATGTTTATTATAATCTATTACTATCTAACTCTCTCATTAAATTAACAATATGTCCAATGGATGCGAATAAAAATGAAATCAATCCCATATCTTTCCCGCAAATTCAGGTCTTCTTTCAAACTCTTGGATCCTGTTAAAATTTTTATTGATGGAGTCCCGATCACAGTGGATTCTTCTTATACTGTTCTCCAAGCTTGCCAGAAAGCTGGCGTCGTCATCCCTCATTTTTGCTATCATGAGCGTCTTGCTGTTGTTGGAAATTGTCGCATGTGTCTGACAGAAATAGAAAAAATCCCTAAGCCAGTTGTAGCCTGCGCTTGGAATGTAGCCCCAAATATGAGCATCAAGACTAAGTCTGAAATGACTTACAATGCTAGAGGAGGAGTCATGGAATTTTTATTAGCAAACCATCCTTTAGACTGCCCAATCTGTGATCAAGGGGGAGAATGCGATTTACAAGATCAATCTTTATTATTTGGATATAAAATAGGGAGATTTATAGAATATAAAAGATCAGTTGAGGACAAGAAACTTGGCCCTTTAATTAATACAATAATGACTAGATGCATCCATTGTACAAGATGTATTAGATTTCTCGACGATGTAGCAGGAAACTTCGTCTTGGGGACCTCTCTCAGGAGTAGGGAAATGGAAATTGTGAATTATGTAGAACGGCTCATTACAAGTGAGCTATCAGGAAATGTTGTAGATCTTTGTCCTGTAGGCGCTCTCACTAATGCTCCTTATGCTTTTACTGCAAGACCTTGGGAACTACGATCGGTGCCTACATTTGATGTAGAAGATGGAATAATGCCTGCTATCGAAATCAATTCGAGGCGACAAGAAATAATGAGGATTCTCCCAAGGGTTCATGAAGAAATCAATGAAGAGTGAGTTCATGATAGATCACGCCACGCTTATGACGGATTAAAGCGCCAAAGGATAAATGCATGCCTGAAGAAAAATCCTGATGGAAGCTATAAAGATATATACTGGCAAGAAGCCTTCGAAATTTTGGCTAGTAAAATCAATGAGGTGTCAGGGGAAGAAATACTAGGAATCATAGGTGAGCACATGGATCTCGAGTCTGTGACTGCATTCAGAGATCTCTTGTACTCTCTTGGATGTGAAAATATAGAGACAGTTTCAAATACAATTAAAATTAGCCCTGATTTCAGAAGTAATTACTTGATGAACTCGAAAATTACAGGAATTGAAGAATCTGATTTAATCTTAATAGTCGGAGCGAATATGAAAATCGAGTCTCCAGTGCTTAATGCAAGAATTAAAAAAGCTATAAGAGAAAATGATGCTTCAGTAGCTCTTATAGGGACACCTGATTATCTGAGTTATGATTATTTGCACCTTGGAAATTCTCTTGATATTCTTCATGATATCATTAATAAAAAACACCCTTTTTCGAAAACACTTGAAAAATCAAAATTTCCAATGATAATTGTGAGTTCTTTGCTACTCCAAAGAAATGACGGAGAAGCTATAAATGCTTTGATTTATGAATTGGCTCAAAAATTCAAAATGATTCAGCCGGAAAATAACTGAAATGGCTATAATGTTCTTCACTTCAATGTAGGCCCGATATCAACCCTAGAAGTGGGAATTACTACAGATATTGAAACAAAGGTTAAGCCAAAATTTGTGTATTTATTAGGAGCTGACAATTATAATAGGGATAAAATCCCTGATGATGCTTTTGCAGTCTATCAAGGAACCCATGGAGATGAAGGAGCATACAGGGCAAATTTAATTCTTCCTGGCGCTGCTTATACTGAAAAAAATGCAAGCTATGTAAATACAGATGGAAGAGTTCTTCTGGGAAGAATTTCTTCAACAAAATTTGGCGATTCAAGAGAAGATTGGGAAATCATAAGAGCATTAAGCGAGTCTTTAGGGAAAGCACTGCCGTATGATACACTGCAAGAAATTAGGTACAGAATTGCAGAGCTTGCCCCACATTTGATTAAGTATGACTATATTGAGCCTTATAACTTAGGATGGACAACAAAACCAAGAAATGGGAAAATCGATCTGAATTGGGTTAATGATACAGTTGATAACTTTTATATGACTGATAGCATTTCTAGAGCTTCTCCAACTATGGCCAGATGCTCACTCCCTCCATAAACGATCTAAAAAATTTGTTCATCACCGAGGGGTTTAATTTTTTTTTAATTTTTATATATAAGACAATCACAATTGGAAAGCAAATATTTATTTAATTTGTAAAAATTATGTTTTAAAGTTATTCAAAATTGGCCAAATTAGCTAGATATTTCATACATCAATTATCAATTATATATAAAAAATTTTTAGATTAAAACATTTTTTTTTATGTGGAGGGCGTTTTTTGGGAAAAAAATGGGATTTTTCCAAGGTTTTTATTCACTCACGGGTGAGTTTTTAAATCCAGAAAAAAATACAAATTTCATACCTGAAATACCTTTAAGAAAATAACTGTAAGATAAAATATATGATTAATCTAATATTTAATAATTAATGCTTAAAATCTCCTTTTAATGTAGATAAAGTTTAATTTTGTTCAAAATTAATACCCCCTCCTAAATAATTAAATTTATGAGTGATATAAAGAAACGGAGTGAAAACAAAAGAGTGTTTGTCGGAAATGTACCCTACTCTCTGGCTCACCCAACAGTGAGAGAGCAAAGCTATTAGAAAAATCGGCTCCATGTTCAAATAACAGTGAATTTTTGAGAGTGTAAATTTCATCAAAATAAAATTGGTCAAAAATTTAACGGTATTTTTGGTCAAATGTCTCACTAAAAAAGTTTCAACCATTTTCGACCAAAAGTACTTCGTTGAAATGCACACTATCAATAATAAGCACTATCATTGGACCTGCACCCAGAAAAATCATATGTGTTGGAAAAATCGCCAAACGATTTTTTTTATAAAATATTTATATACAAGCGATGGCTATTAGTATCTAATTTTTAATTTCATTTTAAATGATTGCATTCTAAAACATAAATTTTATTGTTTAAATTGCTAATTTAAAAATTTTAAAAAAGATCACTATATAAAAAAGTTTATCTCGTTTACAGAGAGAGGAAGAGTGAGTAAAGCTGAGCTCCAACTGCACATGGAGAGAGCTGGTGAAGTTATCAGGGTTGATTTATTTTTGGATGAAATGAAATATTCAAGAGGATGTGGAATAGTAGAGTATTGTACTTACTCTGATGCACAAAGAGCAGTATCAATTTTAAATCATTCGGTACTGATGGGTCGTACTATTACAGTAAAAGAAGATGATACATATGGGAGCAGCAGAAATCGACGCAGCCCATCTCCAAAACCTCAACCGTGCCAAATTAGAATCAAAAATATGCCTCCTTCAGTAACTTGGCAGCAGTTAAAGGATGTGTGTAGAGAAATCGGAAATGTTACAAGAGCTGACCTTTCACTTGATCGAAATGGGAAATCTAAAGGATCTGGGATTGTGACATTTGAAAAGCCAGAAGAAGCAAAGGAAGCATTACGATTGCTTAATGGAGCCATTTTCAATGACCGAGAAGTTTTTGTGTATTTGGATTCAGGTGATATTTATAATTAGAAAATTAATTAGTTTTTATTTAAGAGGTTTTAAATATAAAATATTCATAAATAGATGAGTAATTAAAACAGCGAATAAAAAACAGTGTATTTTTCATATGTATAAAATTATATTAATCAATTTTGAGAAAATCTGAAACAAACGCAAAATTTCTTTTTTATAACAACATATTTATGTTTAAATGTCCCTAAAATATAAAACTATTTTAATTTAAAATATAAAACCCAAAAGAGTTTAATTGAATATTTTGATATAATAGAGCTAGCACTATATAAATGGCAAGTTTTAACTCTAGTTGACTATTATAATGGCAAGCCTGAAGGGTTAATAATTCTCCATTTCCCAATGAAAAGTATTAAAATTGTCTATTTTAATGAGGAAATTACAAAAGTTTTGATATATCGGAACAAAGATATTAATATTTTGAAAATTAATATTTTCTAAAATCTTTTAATAGCCAATTCCCTTTTTATAGTTCTAAAAAAGTTATAGCTTTTTTGCCTTGAGTGGCGCGGTATGGGCGCCACTCCGGCAAGCTCCTTCTTCCAGCTGGCCGAGCCAACTCAGGTTGGTTCGGCCAACTGGAGAATTGACAAGTGAGGCCTTTTGGGGAGACTTGTCAATTCTAGTTGGCTGAAACCAACCTGAGTTGGCTCGGCCCAACTGGAAGAAGGAGCTTGCCGAAGTGGCGCCCGTACCGCGCCACTCAAGGCAAAAAAGCATAATATTTAAAACTTTTAATTGAAAATTAAAATACCAGAGGTTCTGTCAATGCAAAAATAGGCGTAGTTTATAAATATTTCAGCGATTCTAAATTCTTCAAAATTCACGATATTTTATTAATTATTTTTAAAACCCTTTATATAAAATGATTTAATCAAGCTCTGATGCTTTTTTTACCCCACACAACTCATCAACTAGAGAATTATAGTTCACCTCTGGCGGAGCAGGATCAGTGGCTATGATTTGGCTTAGCTTTTGATTTATCTCGATCACAGATGGTTCGCAGCTGTCAGTCATCATTACCCAGTAGTGATATACTAATTGACCAAGAATAGCCCACTATGGAGCCATTCTTGGTCTGCCAGAAAAAATTTTTGACAAAAAGATCCTAATCTGCCATTACCACTGAGTTTTGGTGTTTCCAAATTTTTTTGGGCAAGCCAAATGCAATAAAACAAAATTGTTCTTTTGCGATGATGCATTTGGCTTGTCAAAAAAAATTTGGAAACACCAAAACTCAGTGGTAATGGCAGATTAGGATCTTTTCTGCCATTACCACTGAGTTTTTGATGTTGCCAAAATTTTTTTTGACAAGCCAAATGCATCATCGCAAAAGAACAATTTTTTTTTATTGCATTTGGCTTGCCCAAAAAATTTGGAAACACCAAAATTCAGTGGTAATGGCAGATTAGGATCTTTTGTCAATATTTTTTCTGGCAGACCAAGAATGGCTCCTTAGTGGGCTATTCTTGGTCAATTAGTATAGTTCAAGTCAAATGTAGGAATGGATATCCTCAAAAAAGATCTGTAAATGTCTGCATCATCATTGATGAACTGCTTGGCATTGAAGCCTGTAAAGATCAATACGTAGAAAGGGTTATTCAGTCGCTCCGCTACTGAAGTGCTTTCCAAGAGGAGAATCCAGACTGCAATTTCGATTTCGTTGAATAGCATAATGTCAGCAATCCTATTTACTATGTGATATGGGTCCCTCACCATTTGTTGAACTTCCGAACTTCAAGAAAGCTCGAGGAGTGCTTGTTGCCTCAGAAGAGAGATGCCTTGCGCAAAGAATTCTTTACGTGCATTGAGATAGCTAGCTAAATTTTCAATGCCAGGCATTTTCTTACTTATCGCATCTTGAATGCTTTCATGGCAGGGTTCACCAAGAGATATTGATTGATGGCTCATTATAAATTTGAATTATTAATTATAACCATGAAATTAATAGAAAATTTCAAACAAGTGAATTGTGATTATTAATAAAATACTTAACAATAAAGGTTTAGTTAATCTAAGCTGTGTAAGCTTTCGTAAAGGTTGCTTAATAATTGTTATAACCATCAAAAATTTGTGATGAAATGCAAGAAGGTCACTAGTGCTAAGAAATGGCTTGGGAGTTTTTAAGTGGCATTTGGTTTCTTTCTTCTTGACGTCATCTATTTTCGGTCCCCAAGCTTTCATTCGTAATTTCTGGGAAGAAAATTTTTGATACCTGACCATGAGCTGCTGCCTGAAAGGTGCTATATGATGTGGACATTTTTCTGTGGACTTTAGTTATTTAATTAAATTGCAGAGAAAATGAATTATAAATAATTTGAAGCTAAGGCTGTCTGGCAAAATAGCTAGCCTTATTGAATCCGTTTTTTAAAGTATTAAAAATATGGCAGCTGGTGATGTTTTAATTAAGATTTGCCATAAGATTAGCATTTATAAATCACAAACTATCGCTATAGTAGGTATTGGAGTAGTAATTATGGAGATCAACTTCTTTCCCAAGAACAAATAAAAAATTAAAGCACGAAAATAATAAAATAATATTACTTAGGCATCAGCTCTTCTCTAGAAGTTTCAATTTTGTGAATATTTTTAACTCAAAAATATATTCCACTCAAAGGAGTCAAAGTTAGGTGAAGCATTCAATTCAACCATTCAAAATCATAAAAGATCCTAAATGTATAAATTTTGATTGAGATTTTAATAACAACATTTAGAAGGACTAAAAGATACAATAAAACTGCAATAAATAAGCAAGACATAAAGAAAGAAATTGAAGAGCAGCTCTTCACCAGATGATATAAACAAAATGGAAACGAAATTAAATATAATTAGTCTATTTAATTATTTTTCTTAACCCCTTTAAATTCGAACAATTTTTTCTCTATTTTCTAATTTAAAGGAGGGAGCTATTTTAGCTTAAATTTGTTTTTTAATAACTTAAAGTGATTTATAATTAGGCTTTGTGTTGAAATATAAGACTCTTTAATTTCTATAGCACTAATTCGATAATTAAAATAATAAAGTATCTCTTCTTAGCTAGCAATATAGTTTAATGACAATTAGCATGCGAATGCTAAATATTCTTATAACCATATCGATTAATACATTGGAAGGACTCTTAAATCTTGACTTATGGAATTAATAGATCGCTATCTATCATACCAGCTTCAATTATCCTAAAGCTTAGTTGCATTTTATAGCACATAAAAAGAATAACAAATGTCCTAATAACAGTGGTTTGGTAGGATTTTATTTTCGGCTAAAATTATAAATTTTTGAATTTAATGGATGCATAGTTGATGGACTTTAAAAATAAAAATTCAGTAATTTAATGATAATCATAGAATGACAATTTTTTGGAATATTGTTTTAAGTGTTATTTTTATCATTTTTTATGCTAGTTTTGTGACACACTTCGCATTCTTTTGAAATCACTCCCCATCATTGTTTTAATCTGGCCCAAAGTCTTCTTTGCCTCGCCATTCTGCTTGTTAATAATGGTATTGATGATATTTTTATTCCTCAGCATTAGTCTTTTCGAGTCCATTTCTCTATGCTTTATCTGCTCATTTCTATCCCTTTCAATCCTTTTTAAAAGTGCAGCCAAGGCCAGCTGCTGATTTTGTCTCAACTTTTTTTCTTTAGCTTCAATGTATTTCTTCATAATTGCTTCATTTTTTGCGTTTTCCCAAGCTTCAAGCTCATCTGCTTTAAATTTGATTGCTTCAGCTTCTTCATATAACTTTTGCCTCGCCAAGGTCTGCTGTTTCTTCCTCATTTCTAAAAGCTCTTTTGAGTGTTTAACTTTTTTCTCTGCTTCCTTGATAACTTTAGCTCTGAATTCTTGGTATTCCAATATATGCCTTTCTTTGAGTTTTTCAAGGGAAAGATAAGCAGTAGCTTCATAATCAGCCATGTATTCATCCCATGCTTTGGAGAATTCTGATAATTGGCTGTTTTGTGCTTCTTCTATCTCTTGCAATTCTTGTTCTTGTGCTTGCCTAACAGATTGCAATTGTCGAATGGTTTCTTTCTTTTTCAGTTCTTCATATTTTTGAATAGCCTTTTTGGCTTCTGCGTAGTTTCCTTCTCCTTCACATTTTGCTCGGTATTCTTCTAATAAGCTAAATAGTACTTACTTTAAAAAATCCAAGACTTTGGCGTCTGCTTGGACAGCTGGTAATTCAGGAGGAGGAATTTTTGGAGTATCAGCCCTCAGCCGTTTTTCCATTTCTGCAAGCATCTTCAAGAACTGGTCAAAAGTGACCTTGTTGTCGTTTTCTGGGTCAATTTCTTTGAGGATTGATTGGGCTTCTGCAGGATCTTTTCCAAGATTTTCCATGACTTGTTCCATATCTGATAGGTCGATTTTCCCAGTTTGGTCTTTATCGAAAATTTCGAAGAGCTGCCTTAAGTTATTTATTTCGTCCTCTGAATAAGGAGTTTCGTTGGATTCTGCAGTATCCATTGTTAAATAAATATAATGAACGATTAAATTTCAGTTGACAATGAAAATGAAAAGGGAAACATAAATTGGAAATTTAAGGATGGAATTTTTACTCCTGCCCTTGAAATTAGAAGAAAAATTATTGCCCCAATTTTAAGTAATTTTTTAGAAAAAAATTTATAAAATTTTTATAATAAAAAATACAAATTTTATTTTTTTATAGAAAATAATTATCTGTTCTATGAACCCTGGCTAAATAGCACTATATAATTTAATCAGATTAAAAAATAATTTTGTAAAAATTTAGTATTTCACTTATAAAATTTTCGATTGAATAAATAATTTTTTGAGGAGGGTTAATAAACCCAAAAAATGAAAATTTATCTATATTTTCTTCCTATTTAAGGGGAAAATTAGGGAAACTAATCAAAAATTAAATAAAAAGATTTACTTACTCCTTGAGTAATAAATTTTCTAAAATAAATGAGCATATTTAATTATTCATAAAAAGTAAAAGTGAAAGGTTAATAATCTCTTTTAAAGAAGAATTAAGTTAAATGCCGGATTATTTTTATATTATTCAAATTATAAATGGAATATTACCAAGATAACTTTCTAGCCGATTTCGAGCTTGAAGCCGCTCAAGGAGATTTTTACGAGCGTGAGAGGTGTAATCTATTTCAAGGCAGCTCTGAAGCTTCATTTTCACTTAATTTACAAGTAGAACCATTATGCATACCTTTAGGTGATCTTCAAGATATTTCTCTTGTTGAGCCGAGCTTGGCTGCTTCAGAAGAAGCGAGCACAGCAATATCTGAATGCTCTTCAGATGAACACTCAGATTTACTCAAAAATGCCCCAACTTATCAATTCGTTGCTAATCCGTCCTCTAACTGCAAAATTGGAGGTATCAGCTATGAAGAGCGGCAGAAAAAACTCCAAAAATACAGAGAGAAAAAGGCTAGGAGGAATTGGCGCAAAAAGATTAGCTATGATTGCAGAAAAAGGGTAGCAGACAAGCGAATTAGAGTGAAAGGAAGATTTGTTACAAAAGAGCAAGCAATGTCTTTATTAGAAATACAAAGCTTACTTAATTTAGAAGTTGAGAAACAAGAGTTCACTGATAAGCATTAGATTTAAGATCAAAGATTAAAGATTAAAGATTAGCGGTTTATTGTTTAGCATCACACCCTTTTCCTTAGCGTGGGTGAATTCTAAGGTTTATCAGCATAGCAAAGGAATAGCTTTCGACCTGGCTTTGATGATATTTCCGAAATTTGAGTTACAGCTTAGAAACTAGAAGGCTTCTTCAGTGATTGAAATTCAGGCTCAAAATAAACTCCCTAGATGGTATCATCACAAATCTACCTTGATTGTTAGTGCTTGTGACCCCTGGGTACATACTTCGGGAAAAAAACTAAATTTTCATTGTTGGATGAGAAAGGCAAAACCCAACTGAAGCGCAGGTCTAGAGAGGATAGTAGTGACGCCACCATTTCATTAGTATATTTTGCTGATAAGCAAGCTGGAATAAATAATTAACTAATTTTCGATAGCGCGGCCATTTAGAATGGAGTATAATATAATTAAAATTTATACACGGTTAGAGATTGTTCAGCTTCTTTGCATTTTTGAGGTAAAAATAAAATTAATTGCCTAAAAGTATAATTTTAAAAAATATAGTTAAAGCAAAGATGAAGGAAGGTGCATAATAAGCCAATATATTAATTATATATCATAATATCTGATATGTGTATTGCACAAATTCAGTCGGAATTTTAAAAAATCCAGACTTTTAGGCCTCATTCCTTAAAATTGGCCTAATCTCAATTCTTTTTTCCAGCAAGCCTTCAGATTTCCCCAACGTAACTCTTGGCCTAGTGCAGTTTTTGAGCGCATTTTTATCAATTTTTATTTTTGCAAAAGGTTTGATCGTCATTGCTAGCGGTGGCTTGGCAAACTCTACTTCTTTTCTCGACACCAGCTTGATTTTTTCGTTGGAGGTAAGTATATCAGCTAATTCTTGGATCAAGGAATCCTCCTCTTCATAAGAATCATCGCAATGGTTTTCTTTTATGGGCTGAATATCTGTATTGAAATCATGAAAAAAAGAGCTTTGCTCCTTAAACAGGGTGTTTTCGTTTTTTAAGCCTTTTATGTTTTCACAGTTGATTAGTGATCGCGTGCTTTTATTTCTCGAGGAAATTTTATTCAACACTATATTCCTAGCAGAACGATAGGAAGATGAAGCTGTTTCTTGCTGGTCCATTAATAGTGAGCTCCGGTCCTTTAGTTTTGGTCGAAATGCGTGAGTAGATAGAGATTTGCGCATAAGATTTAATCTATATTAAATTAATGGCTCGCAATTTTGATTATTGAGTGATTAAAATTAAATTTTGGTAAAATAGATAATGGAAGTTTGCATCGAAAAAATACTTTTTCTTGAATAGTTTATATAATATTAAAAAATATTGAAGCTGGCTGGGATATTTTTGATGAAATTTGGAATAGATAATAGAGATAAGACCACATATTCAATAGTATCCAGGAATTAAAAAAACTACTTACTCTACATTTAATAGCAAGCAGAGCATAAGGGGCTCTTTTTCTAATTTAAAAATTCAGAAAAATTTAACTGTCTCACTATATACTAATTTTAATGCTGGCTAATCCAAAAATTAAAATATATTTTAAATTATTATTCTGAACTTTTCTCATAGAAGGCCAATTTTAGGCTATAAAATTAAGGGAACTTTCATATAAAGTATAAAAGCAAACCAAGCATTCTTTATTAAATCAAATGAAGTTAGGAAATTTGAATGAAGCCTTATTTAATTATTGCTTATTAATATTTCTTTCTCTCACCGAATTTGCCTTATATTCACTTCCTTTTGTAAGAAATCTTACACAGGGCTATAAAGTTTATAAAATTAATCCTTGAATTTAATTGTCCATAATTGATATTACAATGCGTCTTATATGTATCAATATAAGCTTATGTTATCTATCAACTCTCACAGTCTGCGGTTCCTCAATATATAATAATTCTTCTACTTGCCTTCTTGGAGAGTCATTTTCGCCTTCAACCTTTACCCGCTTTGCTGGTGGATTAAAGGGCAAAGGAATGGCTCCTGAGATATTAGGTCGTAGGCTAATAATATCGCTGCTACTGTCTTTGCACTGCTGATATATCATAAGTATAATCACTTGCATAAATTTCATTTTGCTTATTTATGGTAAATTGATTTTAAAATGTCAAAAAAATTTTAACATACCATAGACTCAGTTTTATATATAATGACATGTCAAAATTTTTTTGACATTTTAAAATCAATTTACCATAAATAAGCAAAATAAAATATAGCAAAACATTATAAAATATTTTTCACATTTTTTATTCTTTGGTTTGTCTGTCAGCACTGCTGGGCTATTAGCTTGTTTTCTTCAGAAAGGGTCTCAACCTTGTTTTTCAGTCTTTTCGCGTGCTCTTCTGACACAATAGTTTGATTATTAAGCTGAATTAATTGGCCTATTGCAGGGCCCAGCTCAGAATTTGCCAATTTTTGGCACAGCGCGAGGGTCATTCCTTTATCTTTTTTGGTAGTCATTTTTTTTAAGAGCTCTGGCTTCTCCCTTGCGAAGAAAGGGTGATGAAAAATTTGGTTGGAGTCCTTAACCTTGTGAAAACCATAGTTATTAAGTTGCCTAATAAAGCTTGAATAATTATTGTGTTTGAAATATTTGGGTAGGACTGATTCTGTAAATGCTGGGATATTTTTGATAGTGAAAGCGAGCCCATCATCAGTCCAAGTGCTTACAGATTCAAAGGCGGCGTCGTTTAAAATAGAAAAAAGCTTTTTTAAGAAAGGAGTTGATGATACCTCAGATAAGTCAGCTGATGACATTATGATTTTTATTCAATCTAGAAAAATAAAATGGAAGTGGTTCTAGAATTAAGAGACTTATCATAATAATTTTTTAAGAGCACGCTAGTTAGGTTTAGTGTATCTTAAGTGATCTTTGATGATCCAGAGATAATCAATTTTTTCTAAAGCTATGGCGGAGTATTGTTCCCAGTAGATGTGAGTTTTATTGAAAACTTTTATAAGAGTTTGCCTTGGATTCTCCAAGAGGGGAATCAAGATTATTTTTGACTGGAAAATTTAAGGAAAATCTATTATCTTCCCGTAGCCATAGTCTTCACTCATAAATGCTGTCCAAGGCATCCAGAGAGATGGAATTGGGTCGTTGTGACCCTTTTTGTTTCCTGCATTGCCACTAATAATATATATTGGAGCATTTGGGTTTTTATGAGTATGAGAATCATCATACTCACTTTTTACTGTTGCGTTTTTATATATAGGAGTATCTCTTTCATAGTTGTGAACATGCCCTTCGAGAATTAGATCAATGCCATAGTGATTTCATATATCTTCAAACAAGGAATTATAAAGGGCGCTTTCTTCCCAGCATTCCCGACTGAAGACATGCTCAACGGAACAGTAAAATGCATGATGGGTTGCAACAATAATCCAAGGTCTTATATTTCTCTCATTATATTTAAATCTAATTTTTTATTATGGAGAATTAGGAGAATTACGCTAAATTACTTCCGCCTTTTTATTATGGAAATTTTTGAAAAAGTGTTGATATTGAAGAATCTGGGGATTTTCTGTGGAAATTGTTATGAAGATGTTGCTCATGAGTGGAGGTGACGCTGATTTGGCGTTAAACTTTTTGCAGGATGTTGGAGATGCTTGTAGGCGAATTGGGCGATGCTGATGAGGTCAGAGACTGTAGAGATAGAGAATATGAAGATAAAGATGTAGGAGGAGTGATGATGGGTACTGGCTAAGGTACCACATGTGAGATTGAGGACGAAGCTGATGATTTAGATGGAGGAGATGAAGGCAGAGGAGATGTAGAAAGTGCCCGCGAAGAAAATGGAGATAAGAATTTTAGCGGGAAAAATGTTAAAGTTGAAATTTTGGAGGAATTTTATTTTTCGCGAGAAAATGGTGAAGAAAAACAAGTCAATAAGAGCTGCCCAGGTGAACAAAAAGCTGGGAATTAGCGAAAATGACCTTTTCTACAGCTATTTAGCAACATGTGATGATTTAACTATAGAAGAACTGGATGATCTGGAGGAGTACCTAGATAAATGCGAGGAAGATTTGTGGGAGGACGAACTTACTGAGAGCGAAATGGAAGAAGATGAGGAAAATGATTATTTGGAGGATACAGAACAAGAAATTGAGGAAAAATTGCTGGAATGAGCAAAAGAGCTCAAAGGAGAGGTGCTACCGCCATTTTTCCCATTCTCCATTTTCTCGCGGGCAATTTTTTGTGCATACGCTTCTCTCTAGTTACCACTTCATCAATACAGTCTTCAGTTCTATCTTTACCTCCATCTCTGTTTACTCTATTCTCATTAGTCATCACACTTTCACAAACCTTAGCATGACCTCCATCATCTAACGCCTCTTTCTCTTGATGTAATGCCCATGCGTATTTCGCACAAATTTCTTTTTCTGATTCGCAATACTCACAGTTTTCATAATCTTCATAATCTTCATAATCTTTATAATCTTCATAATCTTCATAATCTTTATAATCTTTATAATCTTCATAATCTTCATAATCTTCGTAATCTTCATAGTTTTCATAATTACCATAATCACTACCAAAACAATCCTCAGCACTAGGTTTATAATTTTCTATATAATCATCATAGTACCTAGCGTCTTCTTCATCTGACCACATCTCAGTGATTTTGCTGTCACTTCTCATATGAAATTCTTCAAAATCTTCTTGCACAAAGTCCTCCATTTCCCGCTAAAAAATTAACTATGCTCTGCCCGCTATAATTAATGATGATGATGAAATTTTGGAGGAGCTATTGTTGCGGCAATTGCTGTTTATTCAGAGGATCAGAGACTCTTTGTCATGATAAATAAAGGGAATGACAGAATAGAACCGAACCCATAAAAATATTTAACCTCTCACAAATATCAGGTGATTGTCTATATTCTCAGGTTTAGAGCTGAATTCAGCCCAACTGTGTATTCTCAGAACCTGAGACATTTAAACCAAGCAAGTGTATAGAAATTGCCCGAGGATGGCGCAAAATAGCGCCATCCTCGGGCAATTTCTATATGCAAGGGTGGCGGACGGTGAAGAGAAGATGAAGTTCATATTATCGATGATCGCTGTTTATATGAAAATTATAGATTAGATTTTTTATTGGATAGCAGAATGAGGAGTATTGGTGAAGTTATTTAAAAAAAGGATTTCAAAATTCATGAAATTGCAATAATGATGAAAAAAGAGAAGAATGCTGACATCAATCAGCAGTAAAGTCTAAATAATAATAATAATATTTCTCTCATCATTTGCCTTTTCTAAATCCTCCAAAAGTCAATTTGTTTCAGTTAGTTGAGAGTCTTTAAGATTTTCACTCAAATACACTTCAGTATCCATCATAATTCAATGAGCTGGGCCAAGATTGAAAGAATAGAAGCAGCTATTCCCATCATTCGCTTCATTTATTGGCATTTTAAACCTCTCCTTATAGTGAGTGAAATTTGAAGCTAGCTCATGGTTTCCTGGAACTGTCATATAAGCAAAATTGGCAGCAATAGTCTGTATTTGATTCAAAAATTCGTCTCCATTTCTACCATCCTCTTCGTCCAAATTATAAGCAATATCTCCTAAATGAAGAATCCCTAACTATCCCTCCTCCATGAGCAAATAAAAATATTTTTGTTAAGGGTTAAAAAACTTTATAAATTTTATAATAACTTTTTATGAAATTAAAAAAAATCCCAATCGCAAAAATTGGAAAGCAAAGTTAATTTGATTTGTAAAATTTATGTTTTAAAATGCAAGCTTTTAAAATTTAACAGAACTATAGAGAGATTTCATTAAATAAATTATCACTTATATACCAAATATTTTTCCATATAAATTTTTTGTTCTCTAACTGAGTTTTTTTTTTAAACAAAAATAGCGGTTTTTCAAATGATGTTGCTCGCTCAAGCAGGGAGGGAATGGGGCGTAGAAATTTCTAATTTTTGAATGCTGATCCAGTAGTTGTTTCACATAAACTCCATTCGGGCCAGTTCCTCAATCCCCAAAAACAACAAGATCAATTTCATTATTTGCGTCTTGATATGGCTTCTCAGAGTCTGGAGTCCTCCCGCTGAATATAAAGTTCTCACTTTTGCCTTTTTCTGTTACTATATAGTATTCATAATAGCACTCAGGCCTTAAATCAGTCATAATTGCTGTATGTATGAATTGAAACAGAACCATGATCTCACCCTTATTGAATTTTGTAGTATTCGGAAGGATGGTTTTTCAATTATCGGAATGCTCGATGCTTGGGCATATTATTGGCCGATAGGTCACATAGGTTGTGGTGTCAATGTTCGTTATCCATGTAACTCTCATTTCATTTTCCCTCTCAGTTCACGATAAGTGAATTTGTTCGGGCAGCAATAAACTGTGCCCTGCTTTCAAAATGCAGCTTATTATCACTAAGAATATCATTATAATTTACCTATAGCCCAAGCCTACTTTTGGTGCGAGGTATTACGACATCTCCCGACGTCAATCGGGAAGTTGGATTTGCCAGCATTTCTGATACAACCAACTCCCTAACCCCCCCCCCCCCCCTCCGTGAGCGAACAAAAAAATTTTGTTCGCTCACGGAGGGGGGTTAATTTTTTTTTTTAAAAAAAATTTATATATAAATTTTATAAAAAATATTTTTTTCGAAATTTAAAAAAATCCTAATTTGCAAAAATTGGGAAGCAAATATTAATTTAATTTGCAAAATTTATGTTTTAAAACGCAATTTGTTTAAAATTAAACAGAATTAGCTCTAGATTTCATTATACTAATTATCACTTATATATCAAAATTTTTTTCCATTAAAATTTTTTCTATTAAAAAAATTTTTGTTCACTCACGGAGGGTGGGTTTTTGGTCAAAAAATGGCGATTTTTCTAATGGTTTTGTTCGCTCACGGAGGGGGGGGGGGGGGAGTAAGTAGCAAGTCTGCTTCTTATTGGAGCTTTGCCATCTGGGAGTTGGTTTTACCATCAAATGTTGGCAAGCATAACTCTTCTATTGACGTCGGGATAGCCCATGCCAAAAGGAGGCTCGGATATATTAACATTTTTATTATATTCTTAAAATCATTTACAAGATTAAGGAAATTATTATCGATTAATAATGGAAGCAAAATATGAAAGCATTGAAAATACAATTTGCAGTAATAATTTGGATAAAAATACAATCCCAAGCGTGCTAAGTTTAATTTTGCAAGAAAGAAATCGTGCAAATATTTTAAGATCTCTCGAAAGACTGACTGAAGTAAAGGAGACTGAAATCCATGACCTTTGCATAGAGCATAGCAGAGATCTTCTCTTAGGCGTTGAAACTGCATCAAAATTGTGCGATTCCTTTAAAAACGCCCGCGAAGATGTAGGATTTTTACAGAGCGGAGTTCAAGAAGTTGGAAATCTTATCAATGAAGCCTATAAGAAAATTGAAATCCCAAAAAAGAAGCTGGAAAACTCAGAAAAAGCTTTGAAACACCTCTCCGATATCAGCTATGCAGTTTCTTTACTAAATAAAGCTCAGTCACAAATTGTAAGCATGAGACATATATCAGCACTGAGAACCCTAAATAAAGTAAAAGGCTTAAAGCTATTAAAGAAATCCTCAACAGATACCTCAAAAATGATTTTTTCCTTTGTTCCAAGATTTGAAGAAATGATTGAAAGGCAAATCGAAGAAAGCTTAAGCGAATGACTAGTATCAACCAGAAAAATCGCCGAAGAACTTGGCAAGCAATTATTTTTGCAAGCAGAAAACAGGGTTTCTTTTGAAAAAAAGAAGAAAAACAATGAGCCAAAATTTTCTGTAAAACCCCGAGAAACCAATATTTTAAGCATGCATACAAGAGAAAGTATAAGGCCTTCAATAAAACCATCTCGAGAGCTGAACTCTTATGAGCTTAGCAAAATGGCAAGTATGAGACAATCTACACGAAACCAATTAAAAATTGCTGACCATAAGCAAGATTTCCATTTAATTACAATCAATTTTTCGAGTTTGTGACAATTTGAATCAGTTTTCGACGTTCTTGGCAAGGCAAAAGAATATAGGGAAAAATTAAAGCACAATAGGAAGACTCAAATTTTGCAGACTACATCATTCTACCAAAACCATATCGAAAAATTCGAAGCTTTGGCTGGACAGATAGCAATTGAGAAAGAGCTATATGAGCATGATGATAGATTTAGGTCGGAAGAAGAGCTTCAAGGATTGTGGGTTGAAACTATCTCGCAATTGGAAAGAGGTTTGCATGAAATTCTGGTGAGCTGCACAAGTGCTTTGGAAGTTCTTCAAGTTAAAAAGGCTATCGTCTTATTTATCCACTCAACTGTAAAATGTGACTTCATAATAATAAAATGGCTATGTACAGAAAATGCTGTTTCCGACAACCCTTTCTCCTCTATTGTTTTTATTATTATGGCTTCAGTTTTCCATGTGGACTTTTATCCCAATTCCAATATGCAATTACTGCATAGGGTATTAGGTGGCTCAAGAAAGTAAGGAGACATATGGTTTTCACTTCCTGATGCACCAGAGTAAGGTGACACTCAGATGGACGCGCTTTGAAGCTATAGGAAATCCCCGATGATGGCGCTCAATTGCCATCATCGGGCACCTACAGTAAAGGGTCCACACAGGAAATGGGTTCCACGTGTGAAGCCCTTTTTGACACTTTGAGAATCCTCACTTTCACGTGCCAAAAAGGGCTCCACATGTGGAACCTATTTCCAGTGTGGACCTGAACTGTAGTTGTCTGATGATGGCGCATTGAGCGCCATCATCGGGCAACTTGTATAACTTCGGACGAAGCGAAACACGGACGGTGAATAATTTCTAGCCGCTTTGGTGAGTCTTCTAGGATGCTTGCTAAACAAGATGGTTAAATTTAGAAATTTCAAATAGTGGCGTATGCATACCTAAATTATCTTGTAAAGGAACAACACAAATTAAAATCTAAATAATTAGTAGTCAAATGTGGCTTCACACATAGATCATATGAACTTTTTCAGTTGCTGAAAGAAAACCATTAACATTAATTAGTATTATGAGAGGCTCGTCGTTTTGGCGCTGGTTTCCCCTGCCCTGCCCTACCTCCACCCTTCACGCTTCACCCGGCTGCTCACTACCAATCGAACACGACCTTCAAGGTGTTACACCTACTGGACGAGGATTGCAGTTGCTACCCGTATTGGATGAGTTACGCCACCTAGCAGTACGTCAACAGAGATTGCCTATTCCGAAAATTTGAAAAACAAATTTTCTGGTAGGACTGTCGGCCAAGATGGAAATCCAAAGCCTGGGACGTAATGCCCAGTTTCACGCTAGGGAGTTGCCCGATTGATCAGGAGGGTACCTTCCCGATGCCGCTGAGCTTCCCCTTTCCAACCTTGGAATCCATCTCCCCTGAGGCTTAACTCTTGGTGTCAGAATGAGCTGCGGTCGGCCAAATCCGACGTTGGGCTCCACTGTGCCAAGGTAAAACCTAGCCGGATACACATTCCGAGCGCCTTTCCCCTTCCACAAGGTCCCCTGCAAACGCAGGCTACAGGTGTTGAGAAAAAGGGCTGGATCGCCGTCGCCATTTTAATGTATATGCTGAAAGAAAACCATTGAAGATTTTTAGACACTTTATCGAAACAATTTGTAAATGAATCACAGAAAATCATAGACACAGAGACTTATCAGCCTCTTAGAGCGGACGAATTAGAAGGAGCACAGCTTGAAGCAATTGGGCTGGACCAAGAAGCTGATGAGGGCAAATACCCATTCAGTAAAACAGTTCCTGATCTTGGAAACCTACTTAAGAAATTTGTGTGGCATGATTTGGATTATTTAGAGCAAATCACTGAAAGTCCTGGAGAAGAATTGTTTAAAACTATCGACCAAATGATACACAAAATAAACGAGCAGCTTTTTGAACAAATCAGACACTCAACTGTAATGCAAACAGCAATTTTGGCAATAAATGCAAATTTTATATATAAAACTTTCAGCCACGTCTATGAATATTTCGAAGATATCACAGGAGCCAGCCGGGATTTTTCAGCAAGAGAAGCATTCATGCAGCTGAAAGAAAAATGTGAACATTCAATATTTTTGAAAATCCAAGAGCAGGTTGGGACTTATCTAAAGATGATAGTTGATTTCTTGCCAAGTTCTCCAAAAAGGCATGGCTGAATTGATGAAATGTTAATGTACATTGACAACACAACAGCATCTTTAGAAAAATTACTGGGAACTCAGCTCAGCTCAACTGCTATTCTTGCAAGTTTTCAATATATTTCAACTCAATTTATAGCAATACTCAACAGTCCTACAGTGCAGCAGTTTAACATATATTTGATTGAAGAAATCAACCAGGATACAAGGATAATTGAAGAATTTATATCAAGGTCTCCAAACTGCTGCAGAATTCCAGGGCTTAATGACTCGCTTATTGAAATAAAAGAACTGATTTTTGTGTTCGTAAATAATGATTTGGAGTCTCTTAAAGACTCATCATTAAGAGATAAGAAATACTCGAGGCTGCATTTAGAATATTTAATCCCTATTCTTGAAAAGTTTAAAGAAGTCAAGGGGAAATTGCCAAAGCAGAAAACTGCAGCTAATGTTGCGAAAAAATTAAAAGAAAGCAATAACCGTGGATCAATAACTAATTAGCTTATAATCATCACAGCTTACGGTGTCTTAAGTTGCTAGTGCTTAATTATTCTAAATGATTTAATAAAATACCTAGGAATGCCAAAATAATACTCTAAAAATGTCAGATAAGGACACAGATTCTAAGCCGAAATTCAAAGACCTCAACATCTGCATGGAGCTCAGAAAAACTTGCAGAAAATTGAAATATTTCCACCCAACCCCAATTCAATTAAAATCAATTCCACATGCATTAAATGGCAAAGACTTAATTTGCGCCTCTCAAACAGGGTCAGGGAAAACTTTGGCCTTTATATTACCAATTTTGCAAAAGTTCATAGAAGAGCCTCATTCATATTTTGCTTTAATTTTGACTCCTACTAGAGAGTTAGCATTGCAGACAGCTGAAACTATAGAGACTGTAGGCAAAAAAGCTGAAGTTAAAGCAGCTTCTATAATAGGGGGACTTAGCTCCTCTGAGCAAAAAGCTATACTGAAAGAAAAGCCACACATTATTGTAGGGACTCCTGGTAGAATAGTCGATTTTTTAGATAACACAAATTTGCTGAAATTAGAGAAAATCAAATTTTTGGTTTTCGACGAAGCTGATAGACTATTAAGCATGGATTTCGAAAATGATATCAAAAAAATCATAGAAAAATGCCCAGAATCAAGATCGACTTATCTTTTTTCAGCCACTATGACGAGTGGAGTGAAAAAGCTAAAAAATTATTGTCTCAAAAAAGACGCAGTAAAGATAGACTTGTCTAATAATGAAACTGTTGAAACTCTTACACAAAAATTCGCATTTTTGCCGTTTAGGTTTAAAGACACATATCTCGTCCACATCATCGAACAATTTTCTAAATCTTCAATCATAATTTTTACAGCTACAAATTTAGATGCAAAAAGACTTGAAATTCTGCTGCAGCAGCTAAGCTACAAAGCCATTGCACTTTATGGGAAACTTACACAGAAAAAAAGGATAAAAGCTCTTAATAGGGTTTAAAAGCAGTTCTTACATTAAAATGGTGTGACCAATCAGCCCTACCTCTAAATACTGTAGCTGGTATCTGAAAGGAGCCAAAATATTAAAAGAAGTGAGGCGCTAATATGTGTATCGGTATAGAAAACTCCCATGGGCAAAGTTTGGTCAACCAAAGATAATAATTTTGGCGGAACCAAATGCAATTTTAGTGGGCAACTCACACACTTATGGTACTATTTTAGGAATTAAGTATAGGGCTCTATGTCAGAGCAATGCTTAGCTAATCAGCTAAGAGCTCATTCTGGAGCAGATTTCTCCTTATGTGAAATGGAATATAAAGTTGAAGAGTTCTCCAGAAGTGCATCAGGAGGATTTTAGACCAATGGAAAATTTTACCCAGCGCAATGCCAGGTGTTGTATTCTTGGCCTCTATTTTAGTGGTCAAATCAGAAAATTCGTCCTTTTAATTTTTCCATAGAGAGCGACCCTGCTGGAGCCGCAAGGTGGCATAAACCCTTTGAGTAAAAAGAAATAATATGTTGAACCACGTATGAACTGATGAGCAAGCAGTTGAGTATTAGGAAAGCGAATAAGGGACTTAGATGCCTGACAGTGGGCTTTTATAATTTTTAAATAACGATAACGTTTAAAAACAGTAAAAAAAATATTTTGATAGCGACTGATGTGGCAAGTAGAGGCATAGATATCCCTGAAGTTGAGCTGATAGTAAACTATGATGTCCCAACAAAAACAAAAAACTATATACATAGAGTAGGGAGAACTGCAAGAGCAGGACTGCAGGGGAATGCAATTACAATGGTAAGTCAGTATGATATACAAAATTTCCAAAGGATTGAAGAGTCTTTAGAAATAAGGATGGAGGAATATTTGATAAACCATGCAGAAGCTATGAAGCATTATGATGAAATCACATTAGCAGAAAGTTTTGTAGCGAAAAAGATTGAAGATGAAAAAATAGATAGTGAAGATAGCGATGAATAAACTTTTGGACAGATTTAGCATTAATTATCTAAAATAAAGCATGAGCGAATATTAAATTATTCATATTAGATCATCTCGGGATGGAAGATTTTCATGATTGGTCTGATTCAGCCTATCGTAGTTTAAGTCGCCTAGAAGTCATTATTAAGAATTCGGAAAAGAATAGCAAAGAAAGCTCTCAGGAGTTTTTTGCAGAATGCGAAAAAGAAATATTGTATATTAAATAAATAAAGCAAATATATTATATTTTATTTTATAATAAACTACTTATGGCAGTAAAATATAAGAAAAATTGAATTAAATTTAGAATATTGTGAGCAGTCAATCCATGAAATAAATAGTCCAAATAAAGAAGTGTGCAAAATTAAATATAATGAATTATCAGACAAATTAAACCGCTGCAAAGCAGAACTTGAATTTAAAAATCAAAATAAAAGAAACTTATTTGGAAACAGACTTGAAGAAAATAAGGAAAACGAAAAGCAAGATTTGTCCAATGTAAGTGCACAAGAATTAATTACTAAGGGTTATAGGCTGTATCAAGAAGCTGAAGAAAGAATGCTAGGGATATATGGAAAAACAGAAGAAATCAAGTCTGTAGCTAGTGCAATTGAAGCAGGATTATATGAGCAGGAACAGAAAATAGATAAAATCGGGGATGAAGTAAACGATTTGAGAGGAGTCCTTAGAAGAACTGATAAGATCATGAATCAAATATATCGTAGATATTTGACAGATAAATGCATACTTTGCTTGATTATTACTATTTTGATTGTACTTGTCACAATTATCATTTATGGAATTGCTAATGGCAAAAGTTTAGGCTTTCCAAATGATACTATGAAATAACTTAATCAGATATTTAGCTATAGAAGTAGTTAAAAATCCACAAATATGTGTATTTCCTCTATTTCTTTTTACTAAAATATTATTTAAATAATCCGATAATATATATTATTTAAAATTAAATTATTCGAGCATCGTTAAATAACACCTATCTTGTGAAAAATATAAATATTTTAGAGGCTTATGCAATTTTAATTACTTATAGGATACTCGAAAGAATGGAAGATTTTCAGCATTATTCCGACAGCTCCAGCAAGCGTTTAGATCGCCTTGAAGGCAACATTAAGAAGCTTGAGGATGCTCCAGTTCCCAGCGTTCCTCGTATTATAACAGAGTGCGATAATGAAATAAAACGAATCCGCAATGATTTTGAAGCCTGCGAACAAGCAATCTCAGAATGTGATGGCCCAGACAGACAAGAATGCAAAAAAAAGCTAGCAGAACTTAACGACCGATTTGACCGCTGCCGAGCTGAACTGGAATTTAAACGTCAAAGCGGGAGCCAAAAAGCATTGTTCGGCAATGCGCTTGAAATTGATGGCCCAAAACAAGAAGCAAAGCAAAACCTCTCGCAGATGAGCGCTCAACAAGTGATTTCTAGAGGAGACGTACTATATCAAGAAGCTGAAGAAAGAATGCAAAGAGCTTTTGGGGTCACTGAACAATCAAAGCAAGTTGCAGGAGCTATTGAAGTCGAATTAAACCAGCAAGAGCAGCAAATAGGAAGGGTCGAAGATAAAACACAAGACCTGAGAGGGCACTTAAGAAGAGCTAACAAAATAATGGACCAAATATACAGAAGATACCTGACTGACAAATGCATTTTATGCTTGATCATTTGTGTCATGATAGTCTTGGTGGTTATTATTATATATGGAGCAGTCGGTGGGAAAGATTTAGGGAGTCCTTCAGATAGTGTGAAATAAATAATTTCAGAAAATAAATTAATTACTCTAGTTTTTGAGACTCTCTTCTAATCAGATCATCTGTGCAGGCGAAGAAATAAAATTAAAAGATGAACTAGAATTATGCTAAATTACTTCCACCTTCTAAGAGGCTTTTCTTTATAGATCAAAGTAATAGAATTATTTATTTTAGTTGAGGTTCTAATATGGGATCTATTTTGAGAAATGCCTTTAATTAAAATATTAAAAATTTAATAATTTTTTTGTGTAAAGAATTAATATATCTATGAAAAAGCTTGGGATCAGATCATCTAAAAGCTCAGTGGTGATATTCTGATAGTCAAATGATAAAAATTTAACTGAGTTTCCTCTGATGAAACATTTTTCGACGCCTACTAGATGTGGGTCTTCAGTTGTTACATCTGTGATATTCATGTTTAGGTTTGTGTCGATATAGTGCAATTTTCCTGATAATTCGATATTATTTTTTAGAGTGATGGTAATTCTGGTGTCTCTTTCAGCTATTGTTTTAAAGAGTGGGTGAAATTGCACAGACATGATTATATTGAATGTTTAAGTATAAAGTATATATAAATATTTTAAATTGTTTCAGAATAAGACTCTTATTGCTATTGCTTCATTTATATATTTTAATTATATAATAGTTTTATAGACCCCTTTAATATGGAAGACAATAGCAATTGGAAAAGAAAAGCCCCAGAAGAAGTTTCTCCTGCCAAGCTTTTAAGAGCTCAAACCTCAGAAAACGATCAAAGTACTCGAGAAAAATTGGAAGCAATAATCAAAGAAAATCAGCGTCTTCAAACTGAAAACGATAATTTATCAAGAGAATTGGCAGAGAAAAAGGTAAAACTTATATAGAGAGAGCTCGAAGTGCTTCAAAGAGAGCATTCAAGTGATTCAATGGTAATAGATGAGCAAGTTAGCGAGCTTCAAATACAATATGATATTGAAGTTAGGAAATTTAAAGAAGAAATGATCAAGATGTTTGATGACTTTGAACCTCATATCAAAGTTTAGGTGAAAATAATTAAGCATGACATTAAAATAAAATATTTAAGAATATTCTCAATTTTACAATATAATTAAACTAGCTTCGATTGATTTGCGATTATAAAACACTTTTAATGCATATTTAATTTAAATATTAGAACCTAATATTAGTATCGATTATTAACACAAGAATTTTATTATAGAATTGATCTAATCTATTAGCCTAATCTAATTATAATAATTCGGCTGGTTTTGTTAATAAATGGTTATCCATAAAGTCACACATGCTTTAAACAATACTCAAGAAAGCAAAGGGCTTAATATGTTTGCTAAGAGGTTTCAAAAAACATGGAAATTCCTCGAGTTTAAGGCATTTTGTGAAGATCTGTTAACTATCATTCATAGCTAAAAAAATAAAATGGAAGATACTGTTGACGATGTATTCCGATTAGAATCAGAAATTAAAAATCTCAAATTCGCATTGAGTATTATAGAGGGGAAATTACAAGACCCATTTATAGAACGCAGAGCTTCGTCTACAAATAATAAAAGAAATCCAAGCGAAGACATTAATGAAATAACGATGACCCCCATCAATCTTCATGTCTATTGCAACAAAAATCCAATTTTTTAATATAAAATTTTATATATAAAAAAATATAATAATTTTCATGTCTCTTGCAACAAATTATATACATTAAAATGGTGGCACGTGCCAACCTGCCCTCTTGGCACAGCAGTTCAGACCTTATGGCTACAGCGAACTGGGACGGACTCCGAACCGAGAATCAGACTCAGGCTCAGAAGCGTGTATCCGGGTAGGCTTTGGCTGCTTTCCTGTGTTTGGAAATGGAGATGCTCAACAACATCCTTGGATCCGAGGACCAATGGGTATTCCTCTAACGAGAAACTGGGGTTTCAGCCCAGGCCACAGGGGAACAGTCTTTTTCCTGTAGCTGCCGAAGAAAGGCACTTTGACACCCAATAGACTCCAAGAGCTGATCCTTGGAATCAAGCTACTCCAATCGCCCGTAGCAGGGCGCAGAAATCCATAAGCCGCCCACTCAAGACTGAACTCCCAAGGCAAGGAGGAGACAGAAGGTACCGGAAGGGCACTCGTAAGAGGGATAGATCCTCTGGGCTGGAGTCGAAAAGCAGTAGAACTTTCCGTACGGGAGGTCTTTAATTACTGTGTCATCAATATGGCTAGCGCCTGTCTGTAATAATCTTAATCCTAATCCTCTTGCAACAAATTTTCGATGCGCATCTTAAAATTTTTCCGTACTTTTTAGCTAGGTAAGTTTAATAAAATGGCGAGCGATGACAATAACCGTCCAAATCTCGATGAGAAGGCCATTGACACACCTACAGTAGCGCTGTTTTATGGTTTTTTTGAGAAGCTCACCTAGAGAAAAATGCTTTAATTTTTTCTATAAAAAATGTTGTGTTGTAGTGGGCATGAAGATTTTTTCGAAAAACTTTTGTTGCAGTAGACATGAAGATTGAAGGGGGGGGTCATCGTTAATTGCTTTATTTGCAGATCGGGAAAGCGAATTAAAAGCTTGTATTGAAATCGCAAATAATTTACTTAACACAACAGAAAAATCAATCATATTAATAAAAAACCAGAAGGAAGATAGCAAAATCCACAAAGAAATTCTCTACCAAGAAAACCAAAAAATGAAAACTCAATTATCAAAAACAGCCAAAAAATTTGAACAAACTAGTTCTGCTTTATTTTTATCTGAAGAACAATTACAAGTTCTTAATGCAGAATATCAAAAAATTCTTTCAGAATGCAACAAACTCAAAGAAATGCCAATTTCACTTGAGGATGAAATAATTAATCTAAAAACATTTTTTCGAGAACAATTTGAAAGCATGTATAAAGAAATAGTAGGTCTTGAAAAGAAAAATAAAGAAATTGCTGATGAATACCAAAAATTGGGTGCAGGTTCAAGAATCGTGCAATTTTGATTGGAGAAAATTTGATAATAAATTTTAAATATTGTGTCATTTGATTGAATTTTAACAGTTCTTTTCGGTTAAATGCCTCTTATCAAGAATTTCGATCAAAGTTCCCGAGGTAATGCCCCTCAATAAAATAAATGATCATTTGGCATGTAGCCAAAATTGGAAATGCTTTACGATGAAAAGTGTGAAAAATTAAATAATTTAAAAAAAAAATACGAAAAGTGCAGTGAAAAGTGTAGTTTGCTCGAAAATGACATATTGGAATATAGCAACGAATTGATGGATAAGGAACAAAAATATGGCGAAATGATGGTAACCAACGAAAAACTAAGAATTCAGGTGGAAAAGCTTGAAGAAGACCTTTCAATATTAGAAAATGTAAGAGTAAAAGCCACTGAGCCCAAAAATAATGAGAAGAGCATTTCTCTTTCTTCAGAGCTAGATATCATAGATGAAGAACAATTATTTTACAAAAATAGAAAGAAATCTGACTCCCCTCCCCCCTTTAAATTGGAACTAAAAAATTTTGTTCCAATTTAAAGGGGGGTTAATTTTATTTTTTAAAAAAAAATATCAATATAAAATGTTTTATAAAAAAAAATTATATATAAAAATTTAAAAAAAAAAAAAAATTCAAAAACTTATCGAATTAGATCTATAAATTTGTTTAATAAAATGCTATTTACTCTTTATCCTTTAAAACAAAGCAAGATATAACTAAATTTTCATTATTAGTTAATACGCCACTATTAATTGGTATCAAAATTATTTACACAAAAAAATTATTATTTTTATTGATAAAAAAATTAAAAAAAAAAAATTTAAGAAAATTTATCGATCAAAGTGCTAATTTTGTTTAAATAAGATATTATTTATACTCTATTCTTTAAAATAAAGCAAGAAATAAGTAAATTTTGAAATTTTATAAAGAATTCCTATTGAATTTATATCAAACTATCCAAATAAAAAATATCATTTTTATCAAAAAAAAAACAAAAATTATTTTTGAAAATTTTTAAAACAAAAATTAATTTTTTTTTAAAATTTAGCAATTAAGGATAATAAATTTATTTAAATAAGATGTTCTTTATACTTTTTTCTTTAAAAAAGAGCAAGATATAACTAAATTTTTAATTTTAGTTAAGAAAAAACATTTAACTTATATCAAAACTTTTTAGATAAAAAATTATATATAATGTTTTATTATAAAATTAAATTTTGTCCAATTTAAAGGGGGGGTTAATTTACCAAAAAAGTGGAATTTTACCGATATTTTGTTCCAATTTAAAGGGGGGGGGAGTGAGATTAAGCAAATAAGTATCATGCTAGATGATGATACAGAAGCATCAGAAACCCCACAGGTAAATACGCCTAAAGCACTTACCATTTTATCAAGCCAAACCTTAAAGTCAGATCAACTGGCCAAAGATTCAAAAATTATTACAAATATAAACTCCATTCTATTAAAACCTCAAAATTCCTGTGAATTTGCTGGTCGAAAAGAGCCTGCTGAAGAATATTTCATTCTCTCTACTCAAGCAGTCAAACTAAATCTTTCATACATGGATGCTATTTGTATCATTCCTCCTAAAGATTTATATCGCAAAGCCTTGAAAGAGAACGTCCCATTCCATACATGACATCAATGGATTGAGAAGCAGTTATACTCAGCATATATACAATTAAAATTCGCAAGAAGTTATAAAAATATTTAGATTATTAATTTTAATTTTAGGACAATTTCAACTTACTCCCCCCCCCATCCTTGATCGAACGATTGACTGTAAAAATTCCTAAAAATTGGGGAAATTAACCCCCATCCTTGATCGAACGATTTTCATATCATGCAAATTTTTATATATATAAAAGCATAATTTATATCAAAAGCTTGCGAAGATGAACATAATGAAGTTGTTTTCAGAGACTTTGAGACGACAGAAAGCTTCGGAATCAACCATTCGTAGTGATTTAGTCATCAATCTAGGCTTAAAAACTCAATAATCTAATAAAATAGAGATTCTTTAAAATTTAAAAAAAAAATTTAATTTAATAAAGAACAAAATTAAAATTTATACAGTTTAAAGGGGTAACTAATAAATTAAAAATAAAAAAATTGGTATTTTTATGAAATTAATTCAATTTTTTGTAGTAAAAAAAATTATTAAATACTCTTAACCCTCTTATTTAAAAGTAAATAAATAAAAATATATATATATATTTTTTATTTTATATATATAAATTTTTTTTTTCCCCCAAAAAATTTTTTTTTTAACCCCCATCCTTGATCGAACGATGGCGAGTCGTTCGATCAAGGATGGGGGGGGAGTTAGGAAGTTTCACTCCTTTTATTTGCTTAATTTTTTTATTTGCATCGCATAGCTGTTTCTTCGACTTGATTTCAATGAACCCATTAACATCAGTTTTTAGAGAACAACTACCTCTTCCTCTTTCTGTGGATTCTTTCATTTTCAGAATTTTTAATCGCCTTCTATGGTTTTCATACAAATCTGGCTTCTTCTTGTAATGTAAATTTGGTGTTAGTTCAAGAAAAGATTCTTTGTCTTTGAAACTGTAATTTTCCAATGAAATATGTTTTGGCACTGATTTTACTGATTTTGAGTGGAACTTTTCAAGGGCTTTTGACTCATAACTGTCTTCAAGATCAGAATGTGGGCTTTTTATTTTTGGGCAAACTGGTGATAAAGGCTTTAGGGATTTTTCTGTAGGCTTGCCATTCAAAATTTTATAAAAATCAATAGGAGATAGCATTTGTTTATTTCTCCATATTTTTGGTGATAAGTCAATTTTCTGAGAGTTAATAGGTGTATCTATTTGAGTGCTTTCATCTTTGAAATTACTCATAAATGATTGCTTATATAATGAGGCTATATCCTCATTAATAGTTTTATCATTTATTTCTTCATAGAAAGTTTCTTGATCCTGCATATATCGAGCTTTTCTTGTATTTTTTTTCCTTGAGTCTTGTCGGTACGAAATAGGATTTTCTTGGCTTTTGTTAAGAAGCTCATTTAAATATTCTTTTCATGCATTTCTATATTTTATAATAGATTTATCCTCAATCTCTTTTGATTGATCAAATTTTTTTTCCCTTTGATTTGCGGATTTTATTGTCACACTGATTATTTCTGGATTTTGGAGCTTAGCTTCCGAAGGCTTTGGGGTCCTTGGAGTTCGAGAGTAGATCATTTCTTAAATAATGCAAAAGTTGAAATGGCGAAATTATTATTATTTCAAAAAGCGTTAACGCTTTCAATAGTCTTTTCTTCAAAAGTCAATCATTTAAATGAAAAATGCAAATATAAAGATTCTTACTTTATTAAAACCTTTTTTGAGAGGTAAATTGCTTACTCCCCCCCCATTCTTGATCGAACGATTGACTGTAAAAATTCCTAAAAATTGGGGAAATTAACCCCCATCCTTGATTGAACGATTTTCATATCATGCAAATTTTTATATATATAAAAAATATATTATTTATCAAAAACTTGGGAAAATGTGCATAATGAAGTTGTTTTCAGAGACTTTGAGACGACAGAAAGCTTCGGAATCTTATCTTATCTTATAAATTTATAACGCTTAACGTCCACTACGGGGTAGCCAACTCCAGAGCTGCCACCATATTTGTACACGTGTCGGGCCTGTGGACCGCTGGATCGATCCCTTTTGATCACCAGGGCACGGTCAAATAAGGCGTTCTGGCTTCGCTGCTGCCACGGCTTTATTTCGACTCAGCTCCTACGCGTGTTCCGCCTGAGGGTCCACCTTCCTTCGGGTGTGCTGAGGGGTAAAAACTCAAGGTCTTGAGTGCACTGAGAAGCAGTTCCTCTGATTATCCCCAAAGTTAAACCGCTATGGCTGTGCAGAAGTTCTCGAGGTAAAAACCCAACCCCATAAATAAAATTGCTTGAGTGAGAGAAAGTTAGCGGAGCTAACTTCGCTTGAGCGAAAGCCATTTTATTTATGAAAGCTTCGGAATCAACCATCCGAAGTGATTTAGTCATCAACCTAGGCTTAAAAACTCAATAATCTAATAAAATAGAGATTCTTTAAAATTTTAAAAAAAAAAATTTAATTTAATAAGGAACAGATTAAAAATTTATACAGTTTAAAGGGTAACTAAAAATATAAATATTAAAAAATAATATTTTTTATGAAATTAATTCAATTTTTTGCTGTAAAAATAATTATTAAACACTCTTAATCCTCTTATTTAAAAAGTAAATAAAAAAAATATATATTCCTAAAAATAATTTTTTTAACTCCATCCTTGATTGAACGATGGCGAGTCGTTCGATCAAGGATGGGGGGGAGTTAATAAGAAAATTTTTACGCTAATAAGTTAGTAGGCAAAATAAGTTATAGATGCATTGCTAGCCAATGTAATAATGGAAACAATTTTCTTCATCAAAAACTTGGTTAAAACTATAATAATTCACCTTAGCTTTCCAATATGACAATAATTAAGTTCACAAAATGACGTCATTAAAATGACAGAATTAATATGAAAAAGTGAGTTTGTAAATGTCTCATATAAAAATGAAAAATATGATTTTTGCATTTCCAAATAATTTTTAAAAATAAATAATTCAATCACTAAATAAAGTTTATTTTACTTTAGCTTATATGTGCTAATAATAAAAATGGATGAAAACATTATCTACTTTTATGACAAGGCTTCTGAAAGAGTTCGTGAAGATAGCATCTACTTAAACAACTATTTTGAGTCTCCATTTACGATAGGAGGTAAAGAATATCAAACTGTAGAGCATTTTTACCAGGCTAATAAATATCCCGACCATGATACATACGAAATGATTAGAAACTGCGAGACTCCAGATCAAGCCAAGAAACTTGCAAACAGCATGCAATATGATAGAGAAAACTGGCAAGAACGAAAAGATGAAGTCATGATGAGAGCACTTTGGGCTAAATTTTTACAACATCCAGAATTAAAAGAAAAATTATTGGAAACAGGAGATAAGGTATTGATAGAAGACAGCAATAAGGACGCTTATTGGGGCGGAGCTTTAGAAGGCTCAAGGAATAGATTAGGAGAAATGCTGATGGAAATTAGGGTGAAATTAAGGAGTGATTAAGCTTTTTTTCTATTTTTAATTAGCAATTCTTCCAAATATTCTCAGTTTCTAATATTCAACATATTAATTTAATATTTATTAAATCAGATATTACAATATCAATTTCTTTATTCCTTAAAAATATTGCAATATCTCTAGTCTTTCTTTAAGAGAAACTCATTCATCTGATGTGACATCAATTTTAAAATAATGAAGGCTTCCTGAGATAAAAAACAAGATGCTATAAAGTCACTAACTCAAACCTTGCTTAATTACGTATAGAGAAGTTCCTGCATACTCACAGGCAATTATTACAACAATAAAATGTTTAAATTAAATTAAATCATTCTTTGAAATTTTACAAGGTTTTTATTTCTATTCAGACTCTATACTACAAACATCATGCTGATAAGGATATAACTGTTTTTAAATTTATTGCAAATTTTCGTCAATTTATAGTAAATTAAATATAAGAAATATTAGATTTTTAAACTTTCATAAAGAATGATATTTTTATTATCATTACCACTAAAAACCAGCAATATAGACAGTCCAAGACAATCAATAAAGAAAAATTATAATTTCAATATTATCAATGGAAGATTATCATTTAAGTTATCTTTAAATACTAGTTATAAATTGCTAGCCTATTCTATTTTAAACTTATTTTATGGTACATATGCTGATTAATATCGCCCTTACACAAAAATATAAATTTGAAAGAATAGATTTTAGAATACTCAAACTTAAACTATTTTTAATTTTAATATTAAACACCTATAAATGAACGAACCGATTTTGTCTAAAGCTAGCTTTGTTCATTCATTCACTTGCAAAATTGATGAGAGATACAAAATCTTCCATAAACTTGGAGACGGGTCATATGGCCGTGTCTTTTTAGCCCAACACAATGAGACTAATCAAGTAAGAGCAATCAAAGATATTCCAAAAAGGCGTCTAAAAAGCAGAGAAAGACTCGATAATGAAATCAAAGTTTTATCATACGCTGATCACCCAAATATATGCAGGATCTTTGAGTTTATTGAAGATGAGTCAGATATTTATTTAGTTCTTGAGCATTGCAAAGGCGGTGAACTCTTTGACTTCATTCTCAAAAAAGGCCGCCTCAGTGAATTAGAAGCTGCTATATTATTTCGGCAATTATTACTTGCTATCAATTATTTATACTCTATAAATGTATTTCCCTCTATAGAGATAAATAATAATATCTTATTTCATATATTAAGAAAGACAAAATGTTGTATATACAACTGGCGAAATCTATATGGTCTTGATTACACTCTAATGGGGTATGCCATCGAGATATCAAGCCAGAAAATCTGATGTTTTCTGAAGCCGATTTCAATTCGTCTCTCAAATTAATTGACTTTGGACTTGCAAAGTTCGTAGATAACCCTTCAGGACTGATGTTCACTCGTGCAGGGACTCCTTTTTATATTTCACCAGAAATCCTTAAAGGATCTTACTCAATGAGTACTGATAACTGGAGCGCAGGAGTGATCCTTTATGTAATGCTCTGTGGATATCCTCCGTTTTACTCAAAATCAGATAATGAGATTTTTCGGCTGGTTTTAAATGGAAATTATAGTTTTCGTGGGAAAGAATGGACAGATGTTTCTCCTCTAGCTAAAGATCTAATAAGGCACTTGCTTGTAGTTGACCCAAGTCTTAGGCTTACAGCTGAGCAAGCATTGAAGCACGAATGGCTTTCCGGACTTACTTTGACGGATACACCTCTAGAGATTAATATTAATTCTTTAAGGAGTTTTAATATTTCAAGAAAATTCAGAAAAGCAATTTTATTATGTGTGGCTTCTCAGTGCAATGAATGTGATATCTCAAATTTAAGAACGCATTTCATGAGAATTGATAGGAATGGTAAAGGAAGCATCACTTATGATGAGCTACACCAAGTTTTGCAGCAATACTCAGCAGCTCTAGGTGATGAAATAGGGAGCATTATTGCTAGTATGGATGTAAATAGAAATGGAATCATTGATTATACTGAATTTCTAGCAGCCTCATTAGACAAAAGCATTTATATGCAGCAAGAACGTCTTATAACCGCATTTAAAGTGTTTGATAAAAACAATAATGGATTAATATCTATAGATGATTTAAAAGAATTGCTAGGGAAAGAAGATCTGCAAGATAACGAGTATTGGGAAGAGATTATAAGAGATGCCGATGCGAATGGAGATGGAGTTGTAGATTTTAATGATTTTATTGCAGCAATTGATTTACGGCTTTCATCTCAATATTCTTATATTCTTTAATATATTACAGAATAGCTTTTAGCTCGCTCTCGGCTACCAATTTTCGGTCCAATCGTTGGAGTTGGCTCGGAACCAACTCTAGGAATCAGACCTAAAGCTTGCAGCCCACAGTGAGTTAAAGGCGGTCCTGGGTTATATCAATTAATATAAATTTTATTCTACAGGATATTCAAAATTTTTAGAAATAAACAACTTTGTTAAGATCCTCAATTTATTCAATGAGGTAAAATTTTCCCAAAATATATGCTTTTTTGATACTTTGCTCGTTAATCAAGAGTGCTTTTTATGGATTTTGTTCAAAGCCATGCACATTAGTGTAAAAATGTGAATATTATTAGTTTATAAGAAAAATAATATTGCACAATAATCTAGAAGCTTAAATTAATTAATATTTTGTCCCATTATCCTTGATATTAAATCTTGATTCTAAATCAATTCTATATTTATCACTCTTATCAATTCATATTCTAGCTCCTTAAAATGCTTATTATTACTCAGCTTCGAAATATATCAAGCATATCCATTTCTCTTCTCGAGGCCAATAATGCTAAATTAATATTCTACTTTACTTAAATTGGGTTAAGCAATTTTATAAAAATCGTATTTTAGCCTATAAAACTCCCTATTAAAATAATTTGCTATAATTTGAAGGGAGGTCCCAAAAATGAAAATTTTAGCTATATTTTGTTCCAATTTAAATGAAGGTGAGTAAGAAGAGAAATCATATACTTGACTTTCTATGTTAGATGCATTGGGAAAGAATAGCTCAATATTATCCAAAATATAGCATGTCTAAATAAAAAAGTCCATCGATAACTTATTACGATTTAATTTTAAGAAATAGGCGAATTCTATTTTTATTGTTTAAATTTTGTAAATATAGCTATTGATTTAATGATTTTGAAGAGTTTTAATAAGTTTCTGTTTAAGAATCCATTTTTGAAACAGTATAATATATGCACAAATATTCTTAATATTAAAAATAATAATTAAATAGGATTAACTAAATGTATATAAATTTTATTTAACCCCTCAAGTTCTCAATTATTTAAATCCTTTTTGTATTAAGAATATCTCGCCATTATAAGGTAACTTCATACAGAAATATTCATGTCAACAAGAATAAATTTAAAGTAAATCGTTTTGATTTCTTATTTTTGCGCTATATTCTCGGTTTCAAAAGAAATACTTTGCGTGGCAATTTAAAAAACATAATAATCCTGAATATGTATGCGATAAATAATTCTTTTCAAGCTTTTCAAATAATTTATTTTATGACAATCAGGCGAAATAATGTTTTATGAGCTCACTTTTGATAATTAAGCCTTTAAAATTGGTTAATTTATAGTTATATAATTAATTAATTAATATTCGTTCACTTCCAATTTTCCAGCTTCAAAAATATTTTAAATATTTCAGAGAAATACCTTTTATAAAAGAGACTTAAAATATAAGTTATTTTGATATAAAGGCGAATATATTATTAGGCAGCATTTATTTAAAGTAGCAATAATGTCTGAGACATTAATTAATGATTGTTTCAAAACCCTATAATTCCATTTTTATCATAAAAGCGATTTCACGGCTGAATTTTATTAATATAGTTATTAATATCCAAACTACTAGATTTCAATTATTCGATATTTATTTTACAATTTTTGTTAGTATAGAGATTGAAATAACCTTTTTTTGGCATAAAATTTATAAATAACATTATTTTGGAATGCTATTTAATGCCGCAAATTATCCAAAGATTGTGCAATGTAAGAGCTTTATTAATACAATAAGATTACTTCTAATTATAAATAGAATTTAAATTAATTTAAAAATATACATAAAAATTAATACCATATAATTCAAAATTTATATAAGATCACTGTGGCAGAAAAGAGGATTCTTTGCATTTTGATGAGTAATCCTTAATTTGAGATCAAAAGTCTGAAGTTCTTGAAGAATGATCCAAAGAGCATAAATTCAATTTCATCAAAAATATTATATCAAAAATTTAGTTTTGATTGCTTATTATTAGAAGAAGCGATACAAAAGCAATATTACTTATCTCTACTCTTCAAACTTGCTTAGAGTTCAGCACTTTATGACAACTGAAGTCAAAATGAAGATAATTAGTCGAAGATGCTGGACATTTATTTATCTTCTTTTTAGTGTTTTTAATTCCTTCCTGCAATAAAATATTCTGATCATTTAGATGTTACTTCCGCCAAAGATTGTGAAACTAATTCATTTGTGTGGATTAGAATTTTCAAAAGAAAATAAAAAAATCTAAAATCAAATTACCGCATTAATGAAGCCAAATTGCTACAAATATAAAACCTCTCTAGACTATTTCAAATTTTGCTTTACAAAAAATTTTAAGCTTCCTCAAAATTATAAAAAAATCACTGGCTGTTTTAATTCAAATTTATAAGAGCCATTCCACATTCTTTTTAGATTAATTCATATATCTTAAGCTTAAATTTTCAAGCATTAAATTTTAACTTTTCAAATAAATAGTTGCAAGAAATAAATGGTATAAATTATTCCTAGATATGAATTGGCATAATTTCGATAGAAGAAATGAGAATCGCATTTTCTCTATTCCAACAGAGACAATTGAACAAAACGAGACAGATAGCATTGAAATCAATGATTGTCCAGAAATTATATCGAATAATCGGATATATTGCTGTTCAATCTGTGATATAAACTTCTCAGGGCCAAAATCCTTACAAAAGCATTTAAGGAAGCATTTCACATCAGAAAATCCTTCGTCATTTGCATGTGAGCAATTAAGACCAGAAGGCAACGAAACTGAAGGCGAAAACCATAACTTATAATTTAAAAACTTTCACCAAGATGGTTTTTATGATTATCACTCTAAAAATAATGAAATGAATTAAACCAAACCAATAACTTTATCTTTTCTTTATGTGTGAATAATGACTCTATGTTGCATTTTTAGGTTTTTAATATTTAGCCTAAGATTTAATTAGAGATATAAATGTCTGCTTTTTTTTCTGAATACGACGTCAGCTTGATGAAAATGAATTTTTAAAATCATTCTTTTATTATAAAGAAATTTTAATAGACTAGAACTTGTGAAGTCTTGCTGAATTTTTATTATCGTTAGATAATCTTTGTTTCAAAAATAAAAATGTTGAAGATATCATTAAAACGACCCTATTTCTTCAATTGCTTATGAATTTAAATAGATTTATGAAAATTATACTGATTTTGATACCTTAATTTGTTTCATCTATTGTTGGCTTACTTTATGGAAAAATGATGCTTAAGATCGTTATTTATGTTGCGTATTTTTAGATATAAAAAAATGTGTTAATTAAATAATAAAAGAGGTTGCATATCGTAAAGAAAGTATTTTTATAACTCCCCACTCCGTGAACGAACAAAAAAATTATTTTTGCTCAAAGAGGAGGATGATAGTAAATTTTATTTTTGAAAATTTAAAAAAACCCAATTCGCAAAAATTGGAAAGCAAATATTTATTTAATTTGTAGAAATTGTGTTTTAAAATGCAAGCTGTTTAAAATTAAACAGAATTAGCTAGAGATTTTATTATACTATTATCACTTATATATCAAAATATTTTACAAAAATCTTTTTTCTATTAAAATCATTTTTGGGGGAGGAGTAACTATTTTTCTAGATAATCTATGGCAATATATAAGCCAAATAATTGAAAATTAAAATTGATATTCAAAATTCCTGCAATTTTTTGGGTTGGATAATCTTAAATTAGATTAAATTAATTATGTGTGTCATAAGTTAATAAATGTTTAAATCAAAATTGTTTTATTTCATTTATATAGGTCATTCAGCTCTTGACATCGCCTTAGCACTGGCTATCCCAACATCTTCAGATGTTGGGTTTAACAACATTTTTGGGTAAAATAACTCCCAAGATGATAAGTCCACTCCTTATAGGAGATTTCTCTCTGGAAAGCTGGTTAAATGTTTAAAACTCTCTATATAATGATATTTCACTTTATATCTACCTTTCAAAATATACAAATTATAATAAATAAAAGCTATCTGCTGTAACTGTCATCCTATTTCACATATAAAATAGGATAACGAGTAAACAATATGAAGACTTTTAATCATTGTAATTAGATATATAAATTAGATCATATTAGAGTATTATAAGAAATATGTCTACGAGTTCAAGAGTTCAAGCATTTCTTCAAAGAGCTCAAGAACTTAATACTGTCCCTGCTAAACCTCAGCAGCCTCCTCCAAGACAAGTAACATCACCTCCTAGAATGAAACCTTCTACTATCTCTCCAATAACAACTCCCAAACCACCCCGTCCTTCTGTATCTCCAATTCACGAATCCAAGCTTTCAGAATCTGACATAAAAGTTCCTGAACTTTCTCAAACTCTTCAACCAAAGCCTCAAAAACCTTTAATTTCAACAATAAAGCCTCCTCCTATAAATATTGCCACATCTCCTCGAGGTTTAGCTACAGCTCGCCCTAGATATTCAACTCCAACTTCAACACTCCGACAAACTCCTCCAAGGAACAGACAAAGATCAGCATCTCCCGCTAGCAGATCTGCCTCTCCAGTTAATATCCCTTATTATAATGATTATTTTTATTAGCCACTTTCTATAACCTAAAAATTAAAAATTAGCTTAAAAAATTTTTAAAAATCTTGATCCTGAAACTATTAATGAAGTCGAAAAACTAGTTGACTCATTGATTGAATCTAGACGTAAATTTGCTGAGCAGGCTAAAGCTCAAGAAGAAAACGAGCTAGAACTTATAAGCCAAATAAAAAATTCTCTACAAAAACCTGGAGAAGCTTTAGATCCGATTCAGCAAGCAGAAATGTAATTGAGAATTAGGGCATATAAAAAGAAAACAGAAAAGCTATTGAAAGTGGTGAAAGATGAAGCATTAATTATGGATAAGAAATTATTGGTCTTGCAGCAGGAAAATGAGCAGCTAAAACAGCAACTGGCAGGTAAAGAAGAAAATAAATCGAATTCGAGATCATCAAGCAGGGGAGATGGAAATTTTAGCGGATTAAGCGAAACAGAAATAATGCAGAAACTAAATGAATTAGTTCCACCTGATAATGAAGGAGATTATACAAATTTTATTGATTCAGAAATTTTATTGCTCTTCCAACTTTGTGAAATAAAAAATGATCCAGAAACAAATAAAAAGCTTTGTATAGCACTTTCTAGCTCCCCATCCCTGATCAATCCAATATATACTGATCAAGAATGGGGGAAAAAATATTAGTTTTATGTTAATTTGTTTCCCTATAAAATATTTTATGCGTTAGCCACTAGATATATATTATATAATATATTACAAAATGCTAAAATCACGTTAGATGAGAGATTATGCAGCATAATCTTTATTAATTAGCATTAAAAATAGATAGTTAGATTCGTGGTGGAGAATTTTTTGACTGTATGCATATCGTTAGATAAAGGATGGGGATTATAAAAATTTTCTTAAAGTATAGAAATTTTCAATGGTTTAGTTCAATCATGGATGGTGGTAATAAAGAAACTTGTCCATGAGCAACAACAAAGATTCAAAACTGAAGAGCAAGCCCAAAAAATGATAGCAGAAGATCAGAAACTAATCTCATCATTAGAAGAAAAGTTGAAAATGCTTGAAGGGAAAGGAGGAGCCGATACAATCGAATTGCATTCTTAATTTAAAATATTCAATACAATTATCAACTCTGAATTTTATTATATTTTGTCTGAAAATATTTTTATATTTTGTCTGAAAATATTTTAATATTTTATAAAATTTTACTGTTTTCTTTATATATTATTATAATACAATAATTTTTATTTATCTGAATTTAGCAGCTTTCATCAATCTATTTTTTTATAAATACTACTGAATATCCAAATGGTTGCAATTTTTTAATTCTATTAAAATGCTTTATCGCTATGGTAACATCGAATTTTGGAACCATGCAATTGTTATCCTTCACGAAAAATTGCGCTCAGATCCTACACTTCGTCATTATTTTGAACGAAGAACCCCAAGTGAAGTTCAGTCTATTAATTTTGCAATATTAAAAGCAGGGCTGGGCTATGCTGATGATAATTATGAAGAAGTCTTAAAATATGCTCACCAAGATAGAGGAATCACACAAGATCATATGACAAGGTTTATCACTTATTTAAGGCAAACATTATATGAGGTTGGAATTGAGCCAGAAGACATAAACATTATCATTGGAAGAATTTCCGAGTACACTCCATATATAGTATTCTTAATTTATTATATTAACTAATACTATCAATGGTCGTTGTCATGCCTGCTTTTGAAAATAGTGATAATGTCTTATAGACAATCAAAGTATTTATGTATTCTAGCTTAGATGAGTAAGAAGATTATAAAATTTAATTAAGGCAGTCTCCTCCATCAAAGTCCAGAACTTCAGTGTTACAAGATTCATCACAAACTCCATTTCCCAATAGTTTTTCGTCACAGCAGTCCCCAAAATCGTGGACGCATTCTTCAGTGTCACATTCTTTGTTACAAACTCCATCCCCCAGCAAGCCTTTTTCATAGCAAGGACAATCTTTTGGAGGGTTCTTGAAACAGTCTCCTCCATCCCAGTTATTTTCTATGTTATAGCAGTACTCTTCACAACGTCCATCTCCCACTTCAAAGTAAAAGCAACAGTCACCTCCTTCCATGAGACATTCTATATGGTCGCTGCAATGCCAGTTGCAGAAACCATTACCGATATCATTCCAAGAGCATTTGCACTTGCCTAATGGTTTTTTGCAAGCGCCTTGGTCCCATTTGAATTTTTCAAGGTAGCAAGCAGCATCACAAAAATCATTATATAGCATCCAATTTTCGCAGCAGTCTCCATGGTCTCAGTTGCAAGCAAAATTTACGCATTCCCATTGGCATATTCCGTCGCCTAGCATTGATTCATCACAGTTGCATACGTTATTTTCAGGGCAGCCTTCTGGTGGGCATTCGCCTTCAAAAAATACTGTTGCTTCCAGGTCTGGTGCAGTGATAAATTGTTGAGGAGTGCTTGATAGGGATAAGGAAATTAACGAGCAGATTAGTAAACTTCGTATCATATTTTATATTGTCTGTTATAAATATTTTAACGATAATGGAAAAAACGGATACTGTAGAATCATATTCAATTATGGCAGAAAAAATGAAGGATATTAATAATCAAGGCAATTTTAGTTATAAACATAAGAAAAAAAGAGATTCTAAAGAAGGGGTCAGTTTAAAAATTAATTTTCTTAAACAAATCAATTTGCCATTTTTATTGTTTTTAATCTGAATTAAATTTATATAGCAAATGTCAAATAGCTCTTTTGGAAGCCCATTGAACTTCGAGTCTGACAAAGAGAACTCATTACTAGAATACGGAATTACTGCTTCTGAAAGCTTTATTTCAGACTCATTTACATACTCAAATATCTCAAAGCCTTCAATAAGCGCCATTTCACAAGCTCCTGCTTGTTTAAATCCATACAAAGTCAAAATCCAAGAGCTTATTACCGAAATCAATACGCATATTCAGAAAATAGAAGAGAAACTAGAGAAAGGAAGTGATAATAATCCAGAGTATGAGCTTATTTTAAAGGAGTTGAATACTCAAAAAGATTCTTTAGTTCAAAAATGTGAATCAAATTCAGTTACCAATACATTTATTATGGTCGCTGAAAATAAGCAAAAAACACTATTAAGTGAAGCCAAAACTTTATTATCAGCTCAGTCTCGACCACCTCTTTCAGTCCCACCTTTGAAATTAAAAGATGCTCCATTTGAAACTCAAAAATCACAGCCACTCTCTTCAAAAACTTTACCAAGAGGCAAATTTTCTTCAGAAGATGAAGAAATTGCTTCAAAAATCAATCAAATTTTTAGCCTGTGCTTAAATTCTGAAAATTTTGATGAGATTGTTAAGATTTTATCATTAGATAATTTTGGATTTAATTTTCCTAAAGTGAGAAATGCATTATCGAACATGTATTTCAGCTTAAAAGACGTGCTTGATCAAATGTCTACAAGAGATGTAGACCAATTAAAAGCAGAAATCACCAAACTAAAGATAGAAAATTTAGCTTTTAAAAAAGATGCAGAAAATACCATAGAAAATGCTTTGGCCCTACAAGATTTGCACTATGAAATTAAATCTAAAAGGAAAACCCATGGAAATGACAAAAGAAATGAGGAAAGAAAAGAATTGAAAGAGAAGCTATTTGAAGAATTTAGGAAACTGTTCAAAAAGCAAAATGAGCTGCACAAAGCTCAAGTGATTTTGCTCGAAAATGAATTGCAAAAACTCCAAAACACTATAAAAGAGCTGGCAGATCAGCAGGAGAATCAAGAATTTGCTAGTAAATATATCCTTGACCAGGATTCAAGAGGAAGAAAAATTTTAAAACTTGAAGCAGAAAATAGCAAGTTGACTGAAGAGCTAAAAAAGTATAGAGACAAACAAAGGAGTTTTAAGACAAAAATAAGGGAGCAAAAATCGAAAATAAATGAGGAAGGGATTTTTGAAGAAAAATCACTTCCGAATACCCTTTCGCTTGTAAGGCTTGAAATCACAAAGCTCACAAAAACTATCGAGAGAGCAATACCGAGTTCTAAAGATATAACTTTCCTTGAGCAGATTTTATCTTCTCTGCATGCAATTATATTAGAACTATTAGGCCAAAATTCAGTTTTGAGCAATGACTCGATTTGCAAAAGCTATTTATCTTTAGAATGCCAAACCAAAAGATCAATGACTCCTAATATTACAAAAAGATCATCTCCATGCGTATCCCAAAGAACTTTAGCCCATGATCTGACCCAAAGATCAACTGATAGTGGAAGAAAAGACCAATTAATAAAGCCAGAGACCATTACATTTTCCAATGAAATCAATATGAAAAACCTTATTGATGGGAGCTGCGAAATTCCTGGAGCCCAAGCCATGATGGTTAAAAAAGATGGAAGATGAGCTATCGTTAGCAGTCCTAATGATTCTCCTAACTCCCGCTCATTTAACAGTAAAATCATTGGAAAAACGCTTTACGAAATTAACTATCCATAAATGAGAAAACAATATTGTTAATAAAAGAAAATTTTTTGCCCTCTAAATAGCATTTATTAAATGAAATCTCTAGGTAATCTGCTATTGCTTGATCAGTTTCATAAATTGAATTAAACTTTCAATATTTTCCAATTAATATTTTTATATTGAAACATGTTTTAATATACAATTTTTAGATACAATTAAAATTTTCTTCCCTAGCTAGCTCACAAAGGAGAGTAGTAAGAAAACAGCTACAGAAATGCTTGAAGAATATTTGATATCCCAGTAATAGATATTGTAATAAAATTTATAAGTAAAAAACCTAATTATATCTAATATATAAAGATGGAAGCTGACTCAATGAAATTCCATGCAGCACTTATAGATATGTGCATTTTAGCTTCAAAAGATAAAAATCTACACTTTTCAGAAATGAGCCAGAAGTATAAAGAAGAAAGAGGCCATGATTTCACTAGATTTCTACTAATTGAAAACAAAGGCTCAATATACGTTCTCGCTGATCATGAAAGATTAGATTAGATTAGATTAAAAGTTATAATGGGTCTTTGGGGTTTATTTCAGCCCCTCGCCGCCTTCACTGACTCCAGGCTCGCCCAAGGAATTGGATTGCTTATGCACTTTTCACCCATGTCCTCAAGCGAAGTAGCTCAGGCATGAGCCGCCTTAGTCGGCAACACTGCTCCGGAGGCGCGTACTGGAGATCGAGGCTGACTGGCCCCAGACGGTCGGCGGGCCCTATGCGGCGAAGAAGCAGCGGGAAGCTCTGGGAGGGGTTACCCCGTGAATGGCGTTAAATACAAAACCTAATAAGTTAAGCTTATGCACTTTTCTGCCGACTTCGCCATCTCTTAGGGATACGCATAGGTACTTCCTTAACAACTCCTAGCGGTCGGCATGATCTACATTGGGATGGAAGATAGGGCACGACCCCGAATCCTCCTTCTGATCCGCATTATCCTTCACATCCAGAAGTGTGGGGTTGTCTTATGGACTCTTCAGTGCGGGTAAAACCCCTGTTGTGGAATCCCGGCCAGGGATAAAGAAGCAACCCCGTCACAAATTTCAGTACCGGCCCCTAAAATCCAAACACACAAGAGGGTATGGAGAAGGACGGACGGATAGGTTGCCATTTTATTTGTGTCTGATCATGAGAGAAGAGAATTATATTATGTGGTAATTGGCTCGATATTCGTTGAAGGACTGCAGCTTTATATAAAAAAAGTGTCGATTGATACTTTTAGTGCTTTAGAAGTGCTTGAAAAACGGAAAAAAGAGTTTAAAAATTATGATATAACTGGGGTTGGATACTCATCTGGAGCATGCATTGTTGGAGCTCTTGCAGATATTATAAAACAAATGAGAGCAATTTGCTTCAATCCTTTAGGCTTAGGTGAAATTGCATTAAGGAATATAAACTCATTAAAAAAATTTGGCCTTACTCCAGATCCGATTGATATAGAAGTATACAAAATTGAGGGAGACTCCCTATCAAAATACTACATTTCCCCAGGAGACTCTAACAGAGTGCATTTTCTGCCAAACCGACCCGGCTTGCACCCTCACTCTATTCTAAATTTTCTGAACTACCAAATTCCAGAAATCCATATATCGACTTCAAAGTACTTTCCAACTATCAAAAAGATTTCTTTTGACCCAAAATCTGGGTTTCTGCTCATTGAGACAGAAAAATCTGATGAAAATTTGTATATAGAAGGAGACTTGGCGACGATATTTTATATGGCATATGAGTATCCAAAACGATTTAGCTTTACCTTGGTCCCAAGTGACCCAAAAGCACCTCAAGGGCCATATCAAAGGAAATTCTATGATCCTCCTGAGCTGGAGGATACAACTGTTGGGAGTGCATTGTTTGAGGCAGACTGAAAGCTGAAACAACTAGACCAAGGACTGTGGTTTGATGACACAACCCAGCAAAGATCCCCTATATCTCTTGATATTCCCTGGTTCAAGAGCGGTTATGATTATTATGCATCAGAGCCTGACCATAAAGGCTTCATAAGACTGTGGTTTGTGAACGACAAAGTAGATTTTGATTATTTTAATGCTGAAGATGGAATTGTAATTGATCCAAAAGACTTCAAAATACGTGTCGAAGCAATGAAGCTTCAGATGAATGTGAACTCTGAGTTTGGCTTAGAAGACACAAATGAGGAAACTATCACGAAAGAATTTGCAGCCTATGTAACTGATCATTTTGATGAATTAGCATCATTAATACCAGAATTTCACAGGCTTAAACAAATATCATTATTATCAGCAGCTGCTGAGTGGTTTCGAGATGTCCTTAAAGTCCCTAAAGATATGATTGACACACAAAGCTTGAAACTGAGAATGCCCAAAGTTGAGGATTTTTACCCTAAAGGCCAAGTTCCAAGAATCCAAAGAAAAGAGCAAAGAATTGAAGGAGACTATGCAATGACTCTTATAATTACTGGAGGAATAAATTTGATATCCCAGAATACCGAGTACCATTACGAAGCACATCTCCAAGAAATTTTGACAAGAGATATAGAGGTCCTTTCTCCATTTCATATAACTCACTATGACTATGTAAATGATTTATTAGAGTATGATGAGAGCACTGAGGATGAATTTAATGAAAACGAGCCTGTAATGTGCTTAGTGCAGCTGATGCAGCCTCATAATTGTTCTTATGAAGGCTGCAACTCAATCGTTGAGTTCGATTCTAAAACAATAGAGACAACATCAGATTCCAACGCAGTTTATAATGAAATCAATAAATATACATATTTAGGAATGCTCTTTCACACGACTCCGACATCACAAAAATTAATTTTTTGGCCTATTTTTTTGGCTTTTTTTAGCCTATGTTTTAGCACTAAAAATTTTATATAATTTTTGCCAAGATCAATAGACGAAAAAATTGATTAATCACCTAAAAATAATCAATATTGAATCATTTCTAAAGCAAATGTACCAAGGATCAAGGTCCAAAAATTAAATAAGCTACCAAAATAGGCCAAAAAAATAGGCCAAAAAGATAGACCAAAAAAAATAGCTAAAATTAGGCCAAAAAATAAGCCAAAAATTAGACCAAAAAAATTAGACCAAAAAAAGTGGTTGCTGAGTAGGCGTCGTGCGAGGTTACGATTTAGGAAAACTTTATTGTCTCGAGCATCATCCATTCAGATGCGGCAGTGAAAATTGTCAGCTTGGAAAAGTTGTTATATCAGGCCAACCTTACTTTGAAGCACAAGGGAAAACATTCCATTCAGAATGCTTAATTTGTTACGCATGCAAAAAGCCAATTAATACTAGTATTGTGTTAAAAGAAAGAGGATTTTTGCATCCGCAGTGCGTAGCTTTGGATATTCAAATGGGCCAAGAGCAAAAGAGCGAAGAAGTAAAAAAAAATGATGAAAATTTTGAAATTAGAAGAAAAAAACCAATTAAAACTAAGGAAAATACAAAATGTAAAGGAGCTTCTGATAGGGTCATGAAGATGGCTGAAGAAGAAAAGGCTCCTGAAAAGCAAAAGGCTGGCGTCTTAAATGCAGGAAATGCGAGAGTTGATGATGGTTTTGTAATAAATCGAAAAATTCCACTACCAACCACTCCAAAAGCAAAAACTAATCAGCCAAAATTAATTGGAAGTAGTCCTTTGGAAAAAGAACAATCAAAAAAAGCAATTGAAGGATTAAAGGGTAATTCTTCTAAAATTCAGCCTGCAAAAAAGCCTGCTGAAGAATTAAAAAACAGAGAACCTGTAAAAAAATCATCTGAAGAGTTAAAGAACAATTCACCAAAAAAGGAGCCAGCAATTAAATCAGTAGAAGAAAAGAAGTCTCCTGCTCAACAAAATATTTCTAATAAAAAATTGCAAGAAGACTTCATCGTTAAAAAGAAAGCATCAGCAACTCCTATAGCGAAAACTACAAAAGGCTCCAGCTTTGCAGAAACATCATCAAAATCAAATGCTGCAAATACTCCAAAATCAAAGCCAAGCCAAAACGTAAGAAAATAATAAATAAATTATCAGGATTTATATTAATTTTTAAGATAGTTTTACTACCTACGATTATCAGTAAGCTATGCACTAATTATTTGATTAATATATTATAGTATCATTAATGTCATTAAAATATCAGTATTAATTCAATAAAATTAATGTTTCCCGCTTTTATCCCATCTAATCCTTCAGAAGTTTCATTGCATTGTTTTTCAAGTATAATGAAAGCCAAAGCAATCAAACTTTATGATAATGGTTTGATTGCAAATGGAGACAAAGGCTATCGTTCTGTATTAGGTACACAAGGTGTGACTGAAGGAAGCTATTATTATGAAGTAACTATTCTTAACCCTTCCAGCGAATCTCTCAATATTCCTTCAAACCCAATTCCTCCTTCAGCTCCAATGCTGGAGCCTTTATTGACAACTTCAAATATGCTGTATTTAGAAACACATGACACAATCTCTATACATTTTAACTCAGCTCATACAAGGATAGGCTTTGCAACAGCTCAAACTGATTTAGAGTTGCCAATAGGAGCTGACAGCTACAGTTACTCATATAGAGACCTTGATGGAGGAGTATTTCATGAAGGCTATATAAATGAGTACGCTGATTCATATGGATACAATGACATAATAGGATGCCTAATTAGACTTCAACCTCAAAAGCCTAAAATAAGAGGAGTTATTGAGGAAGGGCCTGTAGTTAGCGAAGGGAGCGAAATTCATTATTTTAAGAATGGAGAACATATGGGATGCGCATTTTCCAATATTTATGAAGGATGCTATTATCCAGCTGTAGGATTATACCAATATGCAAGAGTCGAAATAAACATGACTCCAAATCTTTTATACCCTAAAATACTAAAGCAGTACAATGCAAAACCATTTTTTAATAATCATAAATACTTTTAACGTAATAAATGTGTGAAAACGGAAGCTTTAACAGACAGACTTTTGGGCAATTTCAGCTAGAAAAAGATTCCATGATGAGGATTAATCAGTATTATATTGCACAAGTAAGCCAAATGGAAATAAAAATTAGTGAGCTAAAGGCACATTTGCAAGCAAAAGATTCAGAAATAAAATATTTAAGTGAAAAAGTTCAAGAATATGAAAATAATAAACAGGAAAAAAATAAAACCACAGTAGGCGAAGCTTCAATAGATTATGAAGAACAACTTTTAACAATTTCTGAAGAAAATGCAAGCTTGAGAAACACTTTGATTTATTCTGAAGATGTTTTGAGCTTGAAAATCCAATTAGATCATGCTTTAAGGATGAAAGATGCATTTGAAGAAAAATATAGAGATTTATTGGAAAAAAGTTTATCAAATAAAATAGACTCTAAATTCGATCAAGAAAATGAAGGCTTGAAAGCTGAAATTATAAGCTTAACAAATGAAAATTCGCAGATTTTAATAAACCTTGAGCATGAGAAAAAAAATAATTTGGAGAGGTCTATTGAAATTGCTGATCTTAAAGAAAAGCTAAGCTCAAAAAGCGAATATATAAAACAATTGGAAATGAAGATTGAAACCTCAGATAAAAGTACAGTGTTAGAGCTTAAATTTTCAGATGAAAATTATGATGATAAAGCGTCTGCAGTCTCACAGCTTATATCATCGCCTCGGCGAGAACAAAAAATCTTGCCAGTATCCCCTACAAATCAGCCTAACTCCCCTCCCATCCTTGATCGAACGATTCACTGTAAAAATTCCTAAAATGGGAAAATTAACCCCACCTTGATCGAACGATTTTCATATCATGCAAAATTTTTATTTATATATAAATATATTAGTTATCAAAAGCTTGGGAAGATGTGCCGAATGAAGTTGCTTTCAGAGACTTTGAGACGACAGAAAGCTACGAAATCAACCATCCGAAGTGCTTTAGTCATCAACCTGGGCTTAAAAACTCAATAATCTAATAAAATAGAGATTCTTCAAAATTTTAAATTTTTAATTTAATAAGGAACAAATTAAAATTTATACAGTTTAAAGGAGTAACTAATAAATCAAAATATTAAAAATTGGTATTTTTTTATGAAATTAATTCAATTTTTTGCTGTAAAAATAATTATAAAATATTCTTAACCCTCTTATTTAAAAGTATGTAAAAATATATTTTTTATTTTATATATAAAATTTTTTTCCTAAAAAGTTTTTTTTAACCCCATCCTTGATCGAACGATGGCGAGCCGTTCGATCAAGGATAGGAGAGTAAGTTACTGTTCTTTGAAGAATTAGACAAATCAATCCAAGCTATTCCAAGCTGCCAGTCGACCAAAAATTCCTTTATTTCTACTAATTTGAGACTATCTGAGTGTATGAATACATCATTTACATCAAATGAAAATAAGCTGACATTTTTATTAGAGAAAAGCACTCAAAGATCAAGAAGCATCCAACCAGTCCCAAAGCTTAATGTTTCAACTGAAAGAATTCATTCAATTTTAAGTCCTAAAAACTCAATGGAATCTACAACAAAAAGATTGCGCAAGACAAATGAAAAAATAGTTATCACAGCTCCACCAGTGGCTGAGTTTTGCCCTAACTTTTTAAGAAACAAAAAGCTATAACTCTTTTAATTAAATACCCTATTTTTGTCTGTAGGTAAAAGAATTATATAATTAAAATGTGATGGAAAATTTAAGCAAGAAAGTAATAGATAAAAGTGGAAAAAAAGAAAATACCCCTCTAAGGCAAAAGGATTTATCCAAAAGCTTTATTTCCAAATCTCCATTCTTAGAAAATATGATGTAAATTAATTTAATTACTTGAGGCCATATAATTTTTTTTATTAAAATGGCTTGGATTTATTTGTACTGAGCATTCTCTCACTTCTATAGGGCAACTTCCCTTTTAATTTTCCCGATATAAAGCTTTCTTGGCTTTAACTGCCTCACTCATCATTTCATTCCATTGCGAAATTAATCTTACAGCCCTTATGAAAAAAAAGTAAACATTGCTCTTGGTATTCCAATAGCTCCTAATATCACATATGTATTAAAATGGTTAGGGAACCAATCATTCTCTTAAATTCATAGCTAGCATCTCATAAGATGCGCAGGGACCTCAAGGAAGGTAGGATACTTTTGGAAGTCCATCCGCCGGCTTTTTCCAGGTTTGATGAAGTGCAATGTCGGGCTAGCCGAAAGCAAGCTTCTTCCAGATTTAGGCGTTGACTCCTTGGGCTTCAGATTTCCATTTTGACCGAGACTTTTGCTGGAATATAGCATGATGGCATGACTGTTACAACCACAGGTGGCGAGTGCAGGAATTCTTTGCAAGATCATGCACGAACTGGCGACAGGCAAAAGAGGCGTTGGGATGGATAGTCCTTTGAGAATTACAGAGGGCTCTCGATAAGTGCTGATAAGTTAATAAGCTTCTAATATCGCACATACAAAAAGCTTTCGACAAGTTATACTTCCTCTGTAGATAAATTATAGGAAGTTCGTAAATAGTGCAATAAGCTACTGTCGCAATTATCGGAAATTTTGTAATTACTTTTATAGCAGCTGCTTCTCTTTGACTAGGATTGTTAATATAAACTATTTTGCACAAAAGCTGTATAGGCCCAATAACACCTACCATTATAGCCATATGATGGAAAACTACTGTAAAAAATCAATTAATTTCTGGTGAATTGGCTTTCAACTGGATTTGCTGCTCAAAAGAAGCAATTCCTGGCTATTTGGAAGGTTTCCATATAGCAAAAGATAAGCAGACTTCTAAATAGGAGCAATTTTTTGCATCATATCCTCTGCATCATAAAAGATCTTGCTCTCCGTCAGCATAGGTAAAATTAGAAAGAACCTAGTGGTAGATGTAAGGTCAGGGTCAAATATCAAGCAGCCAGTTTGGGAATAGACATTTTTTATGTCAATAACTGGAGGCCCAGCTTTTCATTATGCTATAGGAAATTTATATTTTTTCTATGGACAAGAGTTAAGAATGCACCATCATTATTTCCTTGATCCATTTTGAATTTAAATTGTTAATGCATATAGCTCATCATCCCTTTTATCTTGCCCTGATTCCCAGCTCTAGCCAAAAGTTGCCAAACTAACTCTACGATTTGACAGTTTGCACATATCTGCCATTGACAACCCGTGGAGTTGATTAAGCAACTTTTGTTTCCAAACTAACTCTACGAATCGACTGAAAATTCGGGAACTCAGGGCGAGCTAAAAGCCGTTCTGGGCTATAATAAGAGAGAATAGCTGACATAAGATTTTATAGATATATAAAAAGAATGGAAACTAAATTTAATTAATAGATCATCCTGATTATTTAGCTTAATTAGCAATCAGTATATGCAGTTGTCTAAAATTATTTTCTCAGTTAGAAATATTTCTATAAGAACTATTCAATCAATCGAGCATTTAAATTTCAAAATCTTCTAAAAATACTAGTTAATATGGGATCAATTGTAATTAATGGGTGAAAATTGGTCGTGCTGCAGATCTGAAGAATTTGAAAGTTTAAACTACAGACAAGAGCTGGACATGAGCTTAAATAAAATAACTTATACGAAACAAGAAGCTGGGGTTGATATCCAAGGTAACAGCAATGAAATTATTCAAGTCACTTTTAACGGGAAAATCAATCTCAAACAAGATGAAACTGTGCTTCAAAGTGCTGCAAGGGGTTATATGGCCCGTAAAGAAATCGAAAAGAAAAGAGAAGCCATAAAAGGAAGCAAAAAGTTAATAGTTACTGTTAATGAGCCAATGTATGAAGCACCGTTCAAAGTCGCTGAAAAATCTAACTCTTATCTTCTTATAATAAATCCTGTTTATAAAAATGCATAAAAAACTTAAAAATGAATGAATTCACAATAATAAGGGAGTGAGAATCTTAATTCGGATTCTCCAAAAGCGACTTCTTTCCCTACACCTGAAGAGCTATATGAAGAATTAAGTTCAGCAATTACAAAACATCAAGCCAATACCGTTAGTGCTCTAGAAAACGCTCTGGGTGAATTTGATATAAGCGAACCTTTAAACGATGGAGTGCCAGTAAAAGCCAAGCCAGCATTATTACTTAAAGATGGCACAATATACCAAGGTGAATGAAATTCAAATAGCCAAAAACACGGCCGAGGAATAGAGATAAGTCAGGACGGTTCGAAATTCATCGGATACTTTGTAAATGGACAAAAAGAAGGTAAAGGAAGAATAATTCACATAAATTCTGACGTTTACCAAGGAGATTTTAAAAAAGACAAAGCAAATGGCTTTGGAATTTATATCCATGAAGATGGTTCCAAGTATGAAGGGGAGTTCAAAAATGATGAACAACATGGGCATGGCAGAGAAGAGTACTCCGATGGATCTGTATATGAAGGAGATTACAGAAAAGGAATGAAAGAAGGAAAAGGAGTTTTTAAATGGGCTGATGGCAGCTATTTTGAAGGAGATTTTAAAGCAAATAATAGAGAAGGGATAGGGACTTATGTGTGGGCAGACAAAAAAGCATATACAGGAGAGTGGAAAAATGGAAAAATGAATGGGAAAGGAGTATTTAAATGGGCTGATGGGAGGGAATATTCAGGAGAGTATGTAAATGACTTAAAGGAAGGTCATGGAAAATTTGTATGGCCAGATGGGAGGATCTATGATGGAGAGTGAAAAGAAGGGAAGCAGCATGGGATTGGGACATATAGTCCGTTCCCGGCTATAGATCGGGCTTAGCCCGATCTTTGCTGGAAAACTCGGGGGGTTGTCTCAGTCACTTTGAGGTGACGAGTCAACTCCCCGAGTTGGCAAATCACCATATAGCGGCTATTTGCCAACTCAGGGAGTTGACTCGTCACCTCAAAGTGACTGAGACAACCCCCCGAGTTTCCCGGCAAAGATCGGGCTAAGCCCGATCTATAGCCGGGAACGGGCTATATTCGTTTTATACCAAGCATGTTAAACATCATAAAGTCAAGCAAGGAGAATGGCATGAAGGATATAGAGTAAGATGGCTTTATGATGAAAGCGAAGTTGGTGACTCAATAGTTAATATTAGCAAGGCTTAAATATCGGAACGCAAATTAATTAAGAATTTTCTATCTCAGGACTGATAGTTAGCTTTTATGAATTGGAGAAATGTATGGATACTTGATAAATCATGGTGTATAGCTTTCAGAAGCTGTTGTCTCAAAGGTTTTTGTATCATTAAAACTGCTTGAAATGCAATTTTTCAAAGATAGGCTTCTTTTCAGTGCAGATCGACTCAATGAAATTTTAGTTGAGTTTGTCTCTTCATTATTTTCCCTTCTGTGCCCTAACGTTAAATTTGGATTTGCTATTTTTTTCATCTTAGTCAACCCAAAGCAAATTTTTGGGGATATTGAGAGTTTTTTACTGAAATTTATATTTTGTTTAGCATTTTCTCGTTTTTTAGACTTTTTATGATTGCATATGCTTGAAAATAAACTTTCATTAGAGTTGAATTCAGTTAGCTTTGAAAATTTATACCTCAAAAACATTTTGCTTGCTGATTTTTCAGGCTTTCATCTGCAAGCAAAAGGAGATGGCTTTTTTGATGATCTATGCGCAAGGCTATTACTAATCAATAAAGGCTTGTTAAGTTGAATTGAAATTCTAGCAGGTTGGACTCAAAAATTTTCAGTTTTTTTTACTGGCAAGGAGCCATTATAAGACAAGCCTAAAAATTTTATTCCATGAGAGTTCTCCATAATTTTATATTACATTATTAAATCAGAAAGTATCTTATGAATTCAATTTGTCTTTTGTTAATAATTGAAAACTATTGCTAGATATCTAATAAATATCTAATAAATATATTTCCTAAACGCTCGAGTAAAGAATGTGCCGATATTTTTATATTAAAAATATATTAACTTCGCATCAATTTTTAATCTTGAAAATGGATTTAAATGCGAAGACTTTTGACAGAAAATAAATGTATACCACTTATAGGTGCCTACAATGGGTTAATTGGAAAAGCTATTAAAAGTGCAGGGTTTAAAGGTTGCTATCTAAGTGGGGGAGCTCTTCATGCATCAAAAGGGTTTCCTGATGTTGGGTTGTTAACTTATGAATCTTTTTGCCAAGCAATCAAAGAAATTCATGATAGCTGCCAGCTGCCTATTCTTGCAGACGCCGATACAGGCTTTGGAGGTCCTGAGATTATAAGAAAAGTTGTTTATGAGTACTGAAATTCAGGTGCTGGCGGATTTCATATTGAAGACCAAACTTTTCCTAAAAGATGTGGCCATTTAGATGGAAAAACCCTTGAAAGCACTGAAATAATGCAAGAAAAAGTTGAAGCTGCCAAAAAAGCATCATTAGATTTCACTAATGGAGAATTTGTTGTATGCGCTAGAACTGATGCTTTTTCGGTTGAAGGGATAGATAGCGCAATTAAGAGAGCCCAAGCTTATATCGAAGCAGGAGCTGATATGATTTTTCCCGAAGGTCTGCATAATATTGAAGATTTTGAAAAGTTTTATAGAGAAATGAAAAACAAAGCATGGCTTTTAGCCAATTTGACAGAATTTGGCAAAACATCGCTTGATATCAATGTTGCTAAACTTGAAGAAGTAGGCTACAAAGTAGTCATTTTCCCAGTCTCTACTTTAAGAGTTGCTATGAAAGCAATAAATGATTTATTAGAAGCAATTAAAAACGAAGGATCTCAAAAATTAAGATTAAGATTACGCTGGGTATTTAAGGTCCCTACTACGTCCGAGGTCGCATGCCACGGTTTCCCGTGTGGTGGCAGAGCGTTCACCAAGCCCGGGCCGTCTCATACCGGCTTTGCTGACCACCTCCATTTCCAACTTGGATCGTCGCCTAAGTTTACGCCAACTCCGCTTCGTCGTCCGCCAGATCTGCCCATTGAAGGGCACCTTTTCAACTGGAGAGACCCCCGTTTTGGTGTCTAACTCGCCTCCCCTCTTTTCCGGTCATCCCGAGAAAGAACTCAACAGCTTTCGCCATTCGGGGCGAGCCACTAAAGCAGCTTAGGCAGGTAAGTCGCCCTGCCTCATTTCGGGCACTCACTGGGCTGAGCGCTGCTGGCAAAAAGAAGTCACGAATAACTGCCCATGGGTCTGGTCGCAAAAACAGCGGCTCTCGCGCTTAGGCCTCTCGCTTCGAGGTCCCAGACGTTATTGGGCTAATTCCTGGCTCCAAAAACCATGCCCGGATATACATGGGTAACCACCACTGAGAGGGTGGATCGGTCGCCATACGCCATTTTATGTATATCGAAGGATCTCAAAAATCGACTCTTCACAAAATGCAAACAAGGAAAGAACTATATAGTCTGCTTGATTATAACCCAAATCAGCCCTGGGAATATAAAATACCTAAAAATTAATTTATTTTTCAAAAAAATTATTTTAGTCATTCAGATTTCTTTTCTTATTTGAGAACTCAACCAGGGTTCTCCCTACTTGGAGCATTAGCTCACTTTCGTAGCTTAGCTTGTAGCTTTCTTCGAGCTTGACTAGAGTCCCGAATTTGCTAATATTATCTTCAAGCAAAAAATTCCCTCCCTCATATTTGATACTTGCGTGGCTTCTTGATACTGAAATATCAGAAATCCTAACATCGGAGTCATGCCCTCTTCCAAGAACTGCTATACATTTATTCATAAAAGAGACCAAATAAAGATATCTATGGCTATTATGATCTTTATTCATTGCTTCTAGCACGATATAAGGGGTGGTTATTCCTTCTGCTATAAAAATTTCATATGTTTTTCTCCCTGACTTTACTTTTGTTGGAAAAGGCTGCTTGCATAATTCGCAGTCCATGGATTTTCAGCAATAAATGACTGAATTTTCGCCTTCTTTAGTACTTAATTTTGAGGAAATTCATTTTTGTAAGCAAAGGACATGAATATATTTCATTGTTCCCGAACACATGCAAGGAGAGATAAGAGGATTATTTGGCTCATTAGTATCGCATAAGCAGATTCTGCACACATTTTCAGTATTTTCGGGGTTTATAGCTTCTTGGGTTATTGGCTCTATTAAATCATTGTTTAATGAGCATACTCTGAATTTTAGTCTGCCAAGTTTTATTATATCATTTTCTTTTAATGTGTATGTTTTTGGCTGAGACGATGACTTATAGTTCCTTAAAGCAAGCCACAAGGATTCCTGCTCCGCAGAATTTATTACGGCATGATACCTTATGGGATTTACTGATAGTAGCAAGGAGCTATTTGCCAACTCTGAATTATGGGCTTGTATATGAGTTTCATTTCCAGCCCTCACAATTTTTGAATTTTCAGTAATTTTAAAAAGCTTTTTGCTTATATGGCTGGACTCATAATCAAAAAGCCCATGAGAATCTCGAGACCATGTAAAAGTACTTGCATAAATCCTGCGTAAAAATTACGACTGTTCTTTTTTCATTTTCCTTTAAATAATTATAAATCGTTAAAGTTAACGTATAATTATTGATTAAATAAAAGTTTTCTTTGTAAAGCATTTACTAGGGAATTCTTATTTGAATGCTACTAAATTTCATAAATATGATAGCAGTTGCAATTTTTGCTGCGCTTTTCATCAATAAAACTATAGCATTAAGCTTCTCAAGGCTACCTTCAACTGATTCACCTCCTAGTAACAGGCAATATTTATGTGGAGATTACTATAGTAGCGATAAATCCATTATTCTATTCGGAGGAAATCAAGGGATTTCTTCTACTTTTAACAGTGTATGGCAATATAACTTAACCTCAAACTTATGGCAAAAGCTCGTGCCGATTTCTTCACAAGCCCCACGTAATTTATAAATAGTTGCAAGATATACTCATGGGTGCTGAGTTGATGATACTAACTCAAAGCTATATATATTTGGAGGAAATTCTGATAATGGGCCGCAAAATGATATGTGGGTTTATGATTTGAGCAGCTTGCAGTGGACGCAAGTGCTTCAGAAAGGATCTGTGCCTGCTTCAAGATTCAGGTTTGGCTATTCAAAGTATATAGATAGCAATGGGAAATTGAAACTTATTTTATTTGGTGGAACTTTATCTACTGGATACTCAAGCTCACTTTATATGTAAAAATTATTTAGCTTTGATGTCGAAACTACCTATTGAACGAAGATGACGAACACAACTTCATTAGTTCCTAACAAGCTTAATGGTCCATTAGTTCAATATTATGATGGGTATGTTTATGTTTTTGGTGGAGATATCACCGGAAATAAAGAACTCGGCATAGACTCAGCGAATACTGACACTCTTCGCTACAGCTTAGCATCAAGCGCGTGAACAAATATAACAAACATTAATCACAAATATGAGTACCGATACTTTTCAGGAAGTGTTGTCTACAATAAGGCTGCATATTTATTATATGGGTGGTCAGACAATACAAGCCAAGATATAAAAAATATTATGAAGCTAGATTTCACAGATCCAGATTTTAAATGAGCAGAAGTAACAGTTTCCTATAGCTCTGGCGGACTAGATCGAATTCCCAGAGACTCGTTCGCCTATGTTCTTGCAGATTCAGCATTTTATATTTTTGGTGGATACAGCAGTAACGAAGGAATAATGAATGATTTAGTTAAGTTTGACCTCACCCAAAATCCTGTCACTTATACAATTTTGAGCGATTTATATACAGGCCCAGATTCTCGAGAAAGCCACTCGCTTTGCGTGATGGATGGACTTTTATATTTATTTGGAGGAACTAATGGGAATAGCTTTGTGAATGACTTGTGGGTCTATGATCCAGATACTGATTTATGGGAGTCAGTCAAGGCAGAAGGTACAACGCCTTCAGCAAGATCTGGTCATGCGGCAAGTTCCCAAGGAGATGTCATGATTATTTTTGGAGGAAAAGATGACTCAGGATATTTAAATGACATGTATCAGTTCAACACTTTGTCTAATCAATGACAAGAAGTCAACCCTACATCAAGTTCTAGCCCAAGCGCAAGGACGGGGGCATGTATGCAGATTTATATGCCTTATATTATTATTTTTGGAGGAAAAACTAGTGCAGGACTCTCAAGAGAAGTATGAAGCTATGATAGTGGGACGAATGAGTATACTTTGCTTTATGATGGGACTGGAGATGAAGGGCCAACCCCAGTAATTGGACCAGCATGTGAGCTGCAGCTGGATGACTATGGGAATATGAATTTAATTACTATGTATGGGACTGCTGATGGAGAAGTTCCACTAGGTGACGTCGATTTGTTTAATTTGACGTCTCAAAAATGGACAAAGCTGTATACCACAAATGGAGCAACACCGTTGACTAACAGAGCTCAAGCCATTATTAAGAAGATGAATTCAACGATCGTCGTTATGGGTGGAGAGCAATGGTCTACTGATGTATTCAATGATCTTTATATTTTAAACCTCAATACAAGCACAACTACAACTATTTCAAGCCTTCCTGATTACTACTATAATGCTGCTTTTGCATACTATAAAACTATACTTTACATACATGGAGGTGGAGCTGTTTATGGGCAAGCAATGAGAACTTCAGTGACAAAATCAAGCTTCTTAGAAGTTGATCTGAAATGTCCTAATATGAGACCTTGCCCGTATACTTGCAGTCCAGGAACTTACTTGAATAGTACTTCATGTGTAGAATGCCCTAAAGGCAGCTACTCTGAGAATTATGGCGTAGATTCTTGCACCAAGTGCCCAAAAGGAAGCTTCAATCCCTTAAATGGAGCAAATACAGTTAGGCAATGCTATCCTTGCAGCCAAAATTCTTTCAACAACGAAGAAGGAGCTTCTTCTTGCAAAAATTGTCCAGCCGGGAAAACTTGTCCTGTAGGCAGTACAAAGCCCTTACTCTCCTGTTTGCGAAACCATTGGAAAAATCCCGATTTTTAGGCAAAAACCACCCTCCGTGGGCGAAGAGAAAATATTTTGATATATAAGTGACGATTATTATAATGAAATCTCTAGCCAATTCTGTTTAGTTTTAATTAGTTTACATTTTAAAGCATAAATTTTACAAATTTTAGATTAATATTTGCTTCAAAATTATTTCAAATTGATTTTTTTAAATTTTAAAAAAAAAAACTATTATAAATTTATATTAATTTTTTTAAAAAAATAATTACTCCTTCTTGTGTGAACAAAATTTTTATTCCTCATAGAAGGGGGAGTTAGATGATTCAGTTGAAATCTCTTCTTCTTCAATTCAGCCAAAGCTTTACTCAAAATCAGATGGTGATGCCCAAAATGCTATAGATTATATGGTCATTACAATCATGATCATTACATTTTTTGTACTTGTTTCCATTTATTTTTTTAGAGGTATCAGGCTTTACTTGCAGAAAATTGATCTTTATTCTGATAAGCACAACTACATTCTAGATGCCCCAATGAAACTTATGAAAACACGTATGGGAGGCTTGTTCAGTATCTTTTTTATTATCCTTGCTATCATCTTAATAGCTTCTGATATAATCACTTTTGAAATGGCCAATATAGAAGAAACAAAAGCGTTGGTGCCTTTGGTGACTTTGCAAAACGAAATTTCAGTCTTTACAGGCTATATACGCGTTTATGCCACTTTTTTTAGATATGGAGGAGAGTGTGTAACTGAGAAAAACACATGCCAGGAATCAATATCATATAATCTTTATTATATAACCTATGATAAGCTCCAAGTCAACTGCACAAAAAGCTCAGAAAATGACTGCACGATTTCATTAGCATGCTCTAATTGTGTAGTTGAGACTGGGGCATATATACAGTATAACCTATTAGAAGTGTCGAGCTATACGTCAGCTATTAGTGTAAATGTAACATCAACATCGTCTATTCCTAATGAATTAAGCAGCATTAATGAAGTATTGGTACCTAATGATATAGAAAATTCCTGGGATAGCGCGGAATACGCTATCCCCAGGACCAACCGGGATCAGATCCCACATGGAACGAGGTTCCATGTGTGGATCCATTTTTGAGACGTGAAAGTAAATATCTCACATGTCAAAAATGGATCCACACATGGAACCCCCGTTCCATGTGTGGATCCGATCCCGGTTGGTCCTGGGGATAGCGTATTCCGCGCTATCCCCAGGAATTTAGTATAACTCAGTTTTTAGAGGATATAACCCCACACAATTCTTTTATACCATGACTCCTTCATATTTTAGGTCGTATGTTTCGGATTGGACTGATAAAGTGACTGGCTATCATGTGTCTGTTGCTTCTTCACCTGTAGGAGGATCTCAATATACGATCACAGAGTAATTTTTATATAGGCTTCCTTTTACTTCTGATTTAAAGCTGCAAGTGTATCTTGCTAAAAGTGATACAAGTTTATACACTACAAGGGCAGCGAAACAAACTGTCATTATCCTAATAAGCACGCTGTTGGGGTCTGTTTTTGGAGTTATGAGTGCTATTGGAGGAGTCATGAGAATTACAGAAAAGTCCTGGAATTATACAGACACAACGGTAAAGCACAAGAAAGCTAAAAAAGGGCTTTCTAATAATAGAAATAACTATAAAAACATGCTGAAAGATGACCAGGAATTGAAAGATTTTAAATATGACGAAATCGAGCCAAATACTTCAAGAGGTGAGTGGGTTCCAAAAGAGGATAACTAAATTATACTTATTATTAAGCCTAGCTAATTAATAGAATATTTAATATTAACAATATCAAAATAAATCGTGATTTTTAATGCAGAATGCATTATAATTAAATGATTTTATTTTTATACGGCTTTGATGCGACCAAAAACGTATCTTCTTCGATTACAAGTCTTAACGGATGAGGAGTCAGAGGAAGTTTAGGAGAAATATCTAAAATATCTGCAGCCCATCTGTCAGGACTTGCAGGACTCATGATTTCTTCAATAGCATCTGATGGCACCTCTACAACATCTTGGCAAGGTGAAGCCATTTTTCTCAATTTATTTACAATTTCAGGTATTTCGGGCTCTTGGTCTTCACTTTCAACCAAATGGAAATTTCGATTCCTTGGCCGGTCTGAGTGTCTTAGTCTTCTTGGTGACGTAGATCCAGCACTTGTAGCTCTCTCCCTGACCACTCTTGCAATAGGGAATTTTGTATTGTGGTCTGGGGGCAAAATGATGACTCTCATCCTATCGATAGCTGCATCTTTAGGTTGAATATGCTTTACATTCGGCATAATATCTCTTGCCAGCGTATCCCCTTGATTTCCTAGTTTATGTAAATATAGACATTCTTTTTTAGGGCAAGGGTTTCCTTTGAGAAAATATGCACAATACTTCGTAGTCCCATAAGTTGCGACCAGAGTATTTCCTTCTAGCTCGAAGTTATTTACTGCCTTCAAACAAAGTGCTGCTTCTTCGTCTGTAGAATAAGTAACGTAAGCTCCATATGTCGGTGGAGCGTCAGTTTCCCCATGTGTAATAGACTTGTTTATAGAGAACTTCTTAATGTTTCCGTACTGTCCAAAATATTCATAACGCTTCAGAAGGTCGTCGTCAGCGAATTTGGCAGGGATGTTTGTGACATAAATTAAATTGCTTTGAATTACCCTTGCATTTGACAGCTCAGCAAGGTTCAGAGGAATCGGCCTTTTCTTGTTTTTCTTATTTTTATTTTTGGGAAAAGGCTGCACAAGAGTTCCATTGGGCGGGCTTTTAGGGGTTTGAGCAGGGGGTATTGGCCTTCCAGGAAGAGAAGGGGTGATTGAGATTTGAATTACGCTTGAGTCCATCTTAATTTATTTATTCAACCTAGTAGAATTAATAGAAGACGATGGGAGATTATAATATTGGATTAAAAAGGATTTTAAATTAAAAAAAAAACAAACAAGAAAATATAAAATATGACTTTTAAATATGCAAAATGGTTGCAGTTAATTAATGTGGTAGAAAGAAAAATTATAATAAATTTTATTATTTAATTGCGAAATTAAGCAAAAATAAAAATCCTGTACAACATAAAATTATTTTGGTTTATTACCTCCCTCAAATTGTGAAGCCATCTCATAATCTTTTTTTGCTAACTCTATTTCTCCAATATTATCATAGCAGCATGCTCGATTAAAATACGCGTCCCCATAGCTTGGATCGAGCTCAATTGTCTTTCCAAAATCTTCTATAGCCTGCTCAAATTTTCCTGATCTTTCATATGCAATCCCTCTATTATAATAATTTTCCGCTTCGTTTGGCTCATGAGAAATAGCAAAAGAATAATCATTGACTGCTTCGTTGAACTTATTGATCTTTGCATAACAATAAGCTCTACTAGTATACGCTTTTACAGTAGGATCTAATGTGATTTCTTTAGAATAATCATCAATCGCTTTATCAAATTGTTTCAGCTTCCTCCAAACCCATGCGCGGCTGTTGTAAATTTTGGAGTTTATTGGGTCGATTTCAATAGCTTTTGTGAAGTCTTCTAAGGAGTCTTCTAATAAATTCATGTTCCTCTTGCAGCATGCACGGTTGTGGAAATACGTCGCGTTTCGATTGTCAAGTCGAATACTTCTGGTGAAGTCTCCGAGTGCTTGCTCGTATTTTTTTTGCTTGTCCCAAATAATGGCTCTGCCATTGTAAGCAGGTGCATAATTGCTATCAATTTTAAGTGCTTTGTTGTAAGTTTCTATAGCTTCTTCATATTTTCCCCTATTTTCTTGGACGTTCGCAAGTCTTTCTATTATTTTGAGATTTTTAGAATCGATTTCTAGGGCGCAAAAATAATACTCCTCTGCTTCCTCTAGCCTATTAAGGGTTTCTAGCTCCCCCTTCTTTCTGTGGGCGAATAAAAAATTTGTTCACTTACGGAGGGAGATTAATATTTTTTTATATATAAATTTTGTAATAAATAAATTTATTTTCGAATATAAAAATGGAAATCGCGATCCCAAAAATTGAAAAGTAAAAATCACAATTTATATCTTAAATGATAGCTGTTTAAAATTTAAACAGAATTAGCGAGAGATTTTATTATAAGAATTATCACTTATATATATATAGAAATATTTTTCATAAGCAAATTTATTCGCCAAAAAATAGGAGCTTTTCTAATGATTTTTGTTCATGCACGGAGGGAAGGGAAGAGTAAGCACACTGCACAAGAGAAAAAAGCTCTTACATGGCGAGGGTCAATTCTAATTGCATGGGAATAGTCTTGGATAGCCTTATCACACTCTTCTATTTTTTTATAAGTAAGTCCACGATTATGATAGAAATCAGCTTTATAAGGATTGAGCCTTATTGCAGTTGTGAAGTCATTTATTGCTGATAAGTATTCTTTCTTTTTATCATATGATATCCCACGGTTGAAATAGACACTTGCATGGTTTGAGTCGATACTTAGTGCTGACGTATAATCAATAACAGCCTCTTCTAGCCTTCCCATCTTGTCATAAGAAAAGGCGCGATTGAAAAGAGATTTGAAATGTGAGGGATCAATGCTCAGTGCTTTCGTGTAATATTTAATAGCCTCCATATAATCTTCATTTTTCTGAGCTCCGACCCCTTTGGCGTACAAAGATTCCGCTGTTTCATTGCTTTCGTCTTCAAGCCTTGCAGACAAAGGCTCGTCATTTAGCGTTACATGAAAATCATCTAGTCCTGGGTTGCTAAGTCCTGTTGAGGTTGATCCAGAAATTCTATTTTTGTAAGGCGATGGTACTCTTTCTCTATCAATTTCTAAGGCCATTGAATAGTCTTCTAACGCCTTCACAAAATTTCCTATCCTGTTTTGACAGGCACCTCTAGCATAAGCTGCGTTAATGTGGTTAGGATCTAGCTGCAAAACTGTGGTGAAGTCTTCAATGCTTTTTTCAAAGTTTCCAAGTCTTTCGTTTGTGCATCCTCTGATGTAATATCCACCTACAAAGTTTTTGTCATCTTCTATAAGCTTATTACAATCTGTCAAAGCTTCTTCCAGCATTCCTTTTTTAAGATAAGAAGAAGCTCGGAGATACAGCGCTCTTTGGTTATTTTGGTCAATTTTCAAGTTTCTTGTGCAGATATCTATTGTATTATCGAGATCCATACTTTGACGGTAATGCCGATAGTGGCCTCTTAGCTTTGGGTATCTCTGCATTTCTCTTCGGCGGTTCATGACGCATTTTAATAGCTCGATTTCAAGCTCGCCGTCCATCTAACTGCTTTTCTTACTACTCTTTTAAAGTTACAACATTAAAGGGATTTATTTTTTAAAATAAAGTTGTAAAAAAATTTTTTAAAAACAAAAAAAAATAAGTTGAATATAGTATTTTAGTTTAACTTATCGTGCCTTAGCCTTTTCGGGCGCAAGCGCAGGTTCAAACTGATGACTAGTTCCCTATCCCAGACTTGGGAAAATACGGAACTGTTCATCAGTATGACCCGTGCACTTGTTCCCAAAAAGGGCCAATGCACAATATTTATAGTGTCCTATTCACACCCCTTCATTAAGGTGATCAACGTATTTTTAAAAAATTATTATCCCCACTTATAGAATTCCCATTGAAAAAATTTAAAATTTTGTTCAATTATGGGTGTAAGTTAATAAATAATTATTTCATTAGCTATAAATTAGATTAATATCTTAATCTGAAATGAGTAAAATATAATGGCTCGCAGGCAATTCTTCGTTGGTGGTAATTGGAAATCTAATGGAACTCAAGCTTCAGTCAGAGAACTATGTGAGCAAGTTTTAAATTCTACAAGTATTGATTTTTCAAGAGTGCAAGTTGTGGTTGCTCCTGCATTTATATTTTTACAATTTGCAAGGTCACTTCTCAGGCCTAACATCGCAGTATCTGCTCAGAACTGCAGCTTAACTGGATCCGGGCCATTTACAGGAGAAGTTGCAGTCGAGCACATTGTTGATTTGGGTCTTAACTGGACAATATTAGGACATTCAGAAAGAAGAAATCTATATGGAGAAACTGACGATATAGTTTCTAACTCTCCTATCCTATCCTTGAAATTAGAGTAAAATATAAGTAAAATTTTGAATACTCAAACCCTCTTTAGATTTGAACTATTTTTTTCATTAGGAGAATTTTATAGATGAAAATTTAAAGAGAAGTAAGAAGGTAAATAGAGCTTTAGCTCATGGGCTGAGTGTTATTGCTTGCTTTGGGGAAAATCTACAAGAAAGAAAATCTGGAATTACTCTTGATGTCGTTGCTAGGCAGCTAGACTCTTTAAAAAAAGGGATTATTGATTGAAATAAAGTAGTTTTAGCATATGAGCCTGTATGGGCTATTGGGACAGGGATAAATGCAACGCCTGAGCAAGCACAAGAAGTACATGCAATGATAAGAAACTGGCTAAGCACCAATGTGAGTGCTGAGGTTGCTGAGCGCACAAGAGTCATTTATGGGGGGTCTGTGACTGATCAAAATGCAGCACAATTGATTTCCAAAAATGATGTTGATGGATTTCTTGTAGGAGGTGCTTCATTGAAGCCTGCCTTTAGAGTGATCTTGGAAGTGACTAACACTCAGCATTTGAATCAATTCCCTTATCCTTGCATTTAACTCAGAGATAGATTCTTTCCTAAAAAACTATGGATCTATATTATACGTGATTTTACTCTCAAATCAAAAAATAATTTAAAAAAACCTTAAACTAGGCATACCTCTGCATATAAAATTTCCCTTTATTTATATTTCACTAACCTATTTTTTGCTATAAATGGCTATCAGAAACTAATTATATTCCAGTTTATCACTTTAAACACCATATAATATTAAAAATCAGATACCAGAATGCTCGATCAATATTAAATCCATTTTTAGCAGATACTTCAATATATAGAATGCCAAGACTATCTGCAAGGTCCTTTGCTTCTTCATAAGTGATTTCTCTCTTATCTTCCAAATCGCATCAATTTCCTACTAAAATGCATGAATCGTTGCATCGTCAACTATTATCACAGAGATCTTTTCAAAATTTAACTTTTTCAAAAGAGCTCCTATCTGTCAAACTAAAAATAATAAAAACACCATGACGACCTCTCAGATAAGAAGTTGTTATATTAGTAAATTGAGCTTGCCCAGAAGGGTCTCATATATAAAGCTTGATACATTTTTTCTGATATTTTACATACTTCGCTTTCTATAATGAACCTTACAAAATCAATCCCAATAGTTGATTTATACTCAGTAGGTGGGTTTTCGTTCATAAATGATGAAGAAAAAAATGATTTTCCGGTAGCTGGCTCACCTAAAAGAACGATATTTAAAAGAAAATCACTATAGCACAAGCCTCATTTTAGATCCCTGAGGACAAGTGCTTTTATATATAAAAAATTTAACTTTTTAAATTAAGGCAAAATCTGAAAAGTCTTATTTCAAATTGACAAATCGGACATATATAATGCATTTTTAAATTGATATCTGACTTTTTGGAGTTCTTTTAGAATTTCAAATAATTTTTTTTATTTGAAGGGCATTTTCCTTGAAAATCTATAGGGAAGCACGCGCTATATTTTAAAAAATACCAACTTAGGCTCATTTTAATTTTATAATAAAGATGCTTCTCTACTAAGTTTACTACTCCTAATTGATGCTCTAAAAATGGTCATTAAAGTAAGCCCCATGCATAAATAGCTATTATCTTACAATGTGATTTCACTAATAAATAAATATTAGCAGAGTAATTAGAATTTGTATATAAATCATTAATTTTAGATAAATTCATTAAAAGCTTCGCAACTTTTGCAAATATTTATTTCTTGTTAATCCAATAATTCATAGTGCAATTCAATGGTGTGATATATAAGGAATTAAATTTTCATAGATAATTTCTGCATAATTTCAAAAATCTTATCTACATTATCCATCTCTATTAATTATTTAGCGATAATCATCATGCTTATAGTTTTTTATATCAAATGATATAAAATTATGCAAGCCATTAGTCCTCAGGCTTGCGAATATTAAGTCTATTTTTTGAAGATACCTCTATATATGGAATACCAAAACTATCAGCGAGCTCCTTTGCTTCATCGTACCTGGAAATTTAAAGCGTTTGTAAACTTTATAAGACTTATAAAACCAAATTTAATTGTTGGGTTGTATCTTTTGAAAAGTTTTTATTAATGAATGATGAGAAAAAAAAATGGTTTACTAGAGCATTGATCTTCAAGCAGATAAATATAAAAAGAATCTTTACTTAATAATATTTACAATTCCTTGCTCATTTTAGAAATAAAATGGTGACGTTGACAGAAGGAGGACTTTGAGACGCACTGCCTATGGAACAGGTAGCACTCATCCTGATGAATCTGAAAATAATCCCTCTGTCACTTTTGAAGTACGTCTTGGGATTTGGGATGCCTTGCCGAGAGAGGAAGTTTTTGGTTCTCCACTGAAGATTTTCCTGTTCCTTCCAGATGGGCTATAGAGGCTTTGCCACTTAGTCTATGTTTATTAGGACTAACGGGATACCATAAGAGCTGGTCTAACCCTAAGAGACTCAATTAATCCTTAGACTAGGTGGGTTTACTCTAGATAATCAAGCTAGGGGTTAATCCACTACACCTATAAAGCAAGAATACAGGGTCGTAAGTGTATGGGTGCATCAAATCTGAAAAGTTTAATTTAATTTATAACACCGACTTAACTTGCTCATTTTATTTATATTTTGGTAATTTTAAATAGCCTAAGTAAGAATTTACTCAAAATAATGAATGATATTTTTATAGATGCTGATTTTAATGTTTAAATGTGTAAGAGTTGCATAAAAAATAAATTAGGGTTAATAAAACCAAGGAACTTTCTTGAGATCAGGAAGATAATCATCATGCACACTCTGGCCAACTATATAAGCTAACTTATGAGCCATCATAGTAGGTGCTGGAATTTTGATAGCTCCCGTCCAGTTGTAATATAAAAAGCACAGCTTATAAGCTAGTCTAGCATAAACAATAATATCTTCGCGATTTGTGCTATCTTCAATAACTCGATAAAGAATTGGTGTGGCAACACCTTGATTAACATTATGTGATATCAAATAAAAGCTCTTGTTGTCTGGAACCACAACAGTGTCTACAAATGTCCCATTTAGCGGATTAACAATATTTCCATCATTATCTCGTCTATAAAGCTTGCCATTGGTTTTCTTATTAATAATAATATACGCAAGTCCAGGTACCCAGCCTTCTTTTGAAGCAATAGCATTCTTTATCCCTTCAATTTCATAAATTCTAAGAGCGTCAATTTGTGAGTCGGAAACTCCATCTCTATATATGACTATCATTTCAGGGTAATGCCTCGAATTTTCATAATAAGCGTTTATTGCTTCAGTAAAACACACTGATACTGAGCCCGCAATTTCCTGGCCTATGTGGTCTTGCTTTTTAACAGTATTGAAATACTGGGTGAACTCTTCATTAAATGAAGCCACAAAACCCAGTATACTTTGGGCTTTGTTCACTGTGTCATGGAAAACGTCAATTCCAATAACCATGGTTCTGCTTGAAAATTCATTAATATTTGATATGGACCATAAACATGATCTAGTTTTTGCAGCTATTTGAAGCATAATTTTTTGAAGTGCTGATTTAAATTTTTTGTCATTTATAGTATTTTCCATTACTACTTGTATTGGAATTCCTGACTTCATGCATGAAGTTTCTTTTATTGCATGATATAATCCTTTGAATTCCTCTGGCAGAATCACAATACAAATTTGAGGCTTTACTTCATTAATTACTCTGTCCTTCAATTCATCAATGATCTCTATAATTTCTGATTCTTTGCATGTTTCTTTTAAAGGAGCATTTGCGATATTTAACCCTAGCCTCTTTCGTTCTTCTTTAAAACCCTCTATAAACTGTTTAACAAGATTATCGCGGCGTCGAGCCCTTTCGGGGTCTTCATTGTCTTTGGAAACTTGTAGAATAATCCAAGATTTTATTTGATTTGCAAAGCGTAGAGAGTTTCTAATAGCAAAAGAGCCATTTTCAGATATTGGTGTATGAGATGAGCCATCTTGAGAGTTTAATATTCTTCCACAATCCAGCCTTTGTCCTGTAACTGCAATAGGTCTTTCCCTTATATTTAAGTTTGCCTCTTGCATTTCTCGAGATTTTTCAATTAAATTTTGTGCTAAATCCATACAGTTATTAAATCGATCTTTTGGCCTTAATCTTGTGTGTTCAGCAATATCTCTTGAATTTTTCATATCATCAGGAATCCCAGTGATATAGCACAATTCAGGTATCAGCTTTATTTCTCTCTGCCCTCTTTCTATAGTAGATTTAATTAAAGGTTGTCTAATATCGCGAATTGTTCTATTAAATCTTTCATAATAATTCACATAAGTTATATCTTGTCCTTTCCAATTAAAAGTGTTTGTTGGATTTTCATCCCAGCAAATTCCTTCTATTCTATATATAATATTATGCAGTAAACCACACGAGAATTTGCTTATAATTTTACCATACATAATTATTATCAATTAGTTTGCATAGATATAGCATCTAAAATTACCATATCTAGCCATTACAATTTTCCCAATTAATTCGGACTCAATATATTCTTTTCTCTTATTTCCTTTTTTAAAGTTATTAATTGCTTGCAAAACTGTATCTGTGTTAACTATTTTGCTTGCAAAATCGATGTTTAGTAAGCACTTATCCATATGGTGGGCAAATGAAGCGGTATTTCCTTTCCATACTTCTAATTTATATCTTCTTAGTTCAACAGTATTTTTAGGATGATAAAATTTAGGCAATTTTGTGACTTGCCTCATTCCTAAATCGAAGAGCAGTCTTTTCAAAATCCCATTGGCATACATTTTCTGCATGATGATGCCTTCTTCTCCAACATCACGAGAAATTGAGATCGTAATAATGTAAAAAAGATCATCGTAACCTTTGGATTCAAAGGAAATTGGGCTTAATACAGGATCGTTTTGAGCTGATGCAAGGGTTTGGCCTAATTGAATAAATCACCAGGATAATAATAAAATGGCTACCTATGGAAGTGGTTGTGCCTAATTCCTCTGCAATATCTATTATGGGGTTTAGCAAGTAGACATTTATCACAATGCCAATACGGAAACCACAGAGAGTAATTCAATAGCATAAGAAAGAAAAAAGACATATATATTTTTACCCTGAAACACCCGGGGAAAGTTGATATTTCGGCGCAGCATGTGTTAAAGTCAGGCTCGGGCGAGGCCAAATACGATATGTGAAGTCTTTCTGTCCCTTTTGTTTGATCTTCTGGAATGCTTGCTGAGGCAAGATAGCTGTGGCGCACCACTTTGGAGTTAAAAGGGTATCCTCAGTCTAAATCATTCTCTACAGAAGGCTAGCAAGTAAAAAATGTAAGTTAATAAGTAAGATAAATCGCCCAATGCGAGATTCGATTTCTGCTCTTTTGCTGGAAATTAAAAATCTTTGCAATTGCCGATTAGAAGGGTCTACAGGGGGAATAAAGTCTAAAGCATAAAATTTTATGGTAGCAGACAGTGGCTGCTCAAGCTCAAAGAAATTAGTTACAAGATCGATTCTTCTTTCCATATATTATAATTATGGAAAAACCATCGCAATAAATTCATAAATTGAGGGAAAAATTAAAAATCTATATAATAGGAAAAAGTAGAAAATTAAAATGGACAATATAAAATATTTATTAATTGTAGAAATTTTTAATAAGAGCAGCAGTATCTAATTAAAATTAGAAACAGAATTTACTGAAGGATTGAATATTTTAAGATGCTTATATAATATTGAGTTTTTCGCAATCGGTATTTGTTTAATTTTTTAAATTTTGTGAGAGAGCTTAATATCTTTATTATGATCTTCAAACTTTTATTAGTACTGACTAATAATACCTCATGATTCTGCAGGTATTGAAAGAAATCTTATTGGAATAAACAAATGATTTATTTTCTTCAGCTTTATCCACAAATTGATCTTTATTTTAAATCTAGTAGAATAAATAAAATTTATTCAAGGATTTTTGATTCTATCTTTAATCTATGTCAAGATATTATAAATTAAAAGATTTGCTTATTTTAGGTATAGTAAATTATGGTTTCAAATCTAATATTTATATAGGTATATTGGCTTATTTGGGTTTTTAATTATATTATTGTTTTATAATATTTAGTAACTATAAAAAGCATTGAGATTCTATTAATGGATCTATTGATCTTTCTTTAATCTATGATGGCTATTCATGCCATTTCATCAGCATTTTATTAGTTCAAAATGATTAAATATTGACTGTTTTTGGTCTTTATTGGAATTTCCTTTGCCGTAAGAAGGCATGAATTTAAAACCTGTGAGCATTCAAGTTTCTGTGTAAGAAATCTTCACTTACATCCCAAGCTAATTTAAATGAGCACTTCTCAGTTAAGGCATCAATTATAAAAGTTATTTAAGGCTATTGCTATCAAAATTAAGTCCAAAAAAGATTTGTTTATTATTAAACGGAAGGGTAGCAAAAAACAATAGCAGGGTTAAAAGTGAAGGACTTAGATTTAGCATTGACTATGAAATTAAAGAAGGAACAGTGTCGCGGATTTCTGGAGGAATTTCCTTTGAAATTAGTAGTGTTCATGAAAAAGATTCTTTTCTTAAAGGAGAAGCTATCATGTATACAAATGGCGCACTCCATGTATACATTGATGAAATTTCCCCAATCCATAAGCGATTCAAAACTCCTCAAGAAGATTTAATCAACGAAAAAGCTATCAATAAGGTCCCAAATCAGCATGTAAAAATCGAAGCAGACAAAATAATATGGGAATTAGGGAAAATCCGGTATGTTTTAAAAATCAGTAAGTTTATGATTGAAGGATTTTATGGAAAAGATCTCACAATCATCGCGAATAAAAATTCTTTCATGAATTTTGAGAGATACCGAAATAAGAATGTGGATTTAAAGCCGAAAAATCAATCAAAAGATATGCTATTTGAATTAAAGAAACATTACAGTAATTTTCGGAAAATTTGCAATAATAGCTAATATATTATTTATAAAAGAAATTAGGATTGCTATCAATGTTTTAGAAAAGATTATAAGCAAGCCTATAAAGATTTTAGATGCCACAGGCGCATACATTGAGAAAAATGGAAATCTAGAGACTCAGCCAAACCTTTGAAACGAAAATTTCAAACAATTTAATGATAAAAAGCAATTCGGGCCTAGTAGTATTGCTTTAGATTTTACATTTGTAAATTCAACTCATATTTTTGGGATTCCTGAGCATGCTGACTCTTTAGCATTGAAAGATACAGTAAAATCGGAGCCCTATCGATTATATAACTTAGATGTATTTGAGTATGAGTTAAATGAAAGAATGGCATTATATGGGTCAATTCCTTTTATTTTATCAAGAACAATTAAAAAATTTTCAAGTGGGGTGTTTTGGTCAAATCCTTCGGAAACTTATATAGATATTAATAGCCAAAATAATGATAAAATTACCCACTGAATTTCAGAAGCAGGAGTATTAGAATTTTATTTATTCCAAGACGAGTCACCTTTAAAGATTATTGAGTCCTTTACACTCTTAACTGGGCCTCCCCAGCTTCCTCCACTGTTTTCACTAGGCTATCACCAAAGCCGCTGAAACTATAACTCAGAAAAAGATCTCTTAGATGTAGCAGATGGTTTCAATAAGTATCAAATCCCTGTTGATGTTTTTTGGCTTGATATTGAGCATACCCCAGAGCGAACTTACTTCAAATGAGATTACAGAAACTTTCCAACTCCAACAGAAATGCAAAAAAAGCTTGAAAGCATGAACAAAAAACTAGTAACCATTGTAGACCCACATATGAAAAGAAGTGACAGCTATTTCGTCCACAAAGAAATGCAAAGCAAAGGCTACTACGTAAAAACTGATAGAGGCTAAGGCATAATAATAAAATGGCCTCGGATAAACATATGATTCACTCCGTAAATTCCTTTTATCTCGCCCAGCTTTTATACATATTTTGGCATTCGGTAAACACCCCTTTTTAAGTTTAATCACAAAAAGGTGAATGCACTGACCATAAATTAGACTGTATATTATTATAGAGCCAGTTTTTATATGTGGACTTTCCATAAGAGATGAAAATTGCGAGAATTTTATACTTCGCCCACCTTTGTGCATCGTGTTTATCTCCTTCCACTATTAATATAAAAGACAAGGCCTTAGGCCCAACAGATGTTTGGAGGAAAGTCAGCGAGGCAAAGTGTCGAACCTCTAGTATTTTCTGCATTTCTGGGTTCCCAAATAGCTTCACAGGGACTAGAAGGGAGCGAGTCGAACTGCGAGATCTGACATGAGTTAAGAGTAGCGACGATATGGTGTTTCACCCAACCTCCGCAACTAGAGACTTAACGAAAAGTTAGTTAGATTAAATTAATTATTGATTTATTGATAAAGGCTATGACTTTGAAGGACATTGCTGGCCTGGCTCTTCATCATGGCCAGATTTTACTAGGCCAGAGGTTAGGGATTATTGGAGCTCCCTATTTGATTTTTCTAAATATAAAGATTCGACTGAAATTTTGTTTGTGTGGAATGATATGAATGAGCCTTCTGTATTTTCAGGGCCTGAAATCACCATGCCCAAAGATAATTTCCATGGAAACTATGAGCATAGAGAAGTTCATAATATTTATGGCCTTTACATGCAAAGAGCTACTAGCGAAGGGCTGGTTAAAAGACGATTGGGAGGCTATAGACCTTTTGTGCTTTCTAGAGCATTTTACGCAGGAGTGCAGAAATATGGAGCTATATGAACTGGAGATAATAATTCTAAGTGGAGCCATTTGGAATATTCTATGCCAATGTGCTTAAGTATTGCTGTAGCTGGGCTAAGCTTTTGCGGAGCTGATGTCGGAGGGTTTTTTGGAAATCCTGATACCAATTTGTTAGTTAGATGGTATCAGCTCGGAGCTTATATGCCATTTTTTAGAGGGCATTCTCATATAGAAACTCGAAGAAGAGAACCATGGCTGTATAATGAACCTTATTTATCACAAATTAGGCAAGCCATAAATGAGCGATATTCTTTATTGCCTTATTGGTATACTTTATTTTATATATATCATATAAAAGGGACGGGTTCAGACCCAATGATTGTGCACTTTTAATAGTTATTATTTCATAAGAAAATTTGGTCGAAAATTTTTAAATAGTGTATCATTTGTTGAAATTTAACGGTTTTTTCGGCCAAATGTCTCACTATCAAAAATGATTCGAATAAAATTTTCCCTAGGAGATGTCGCACTATCAAAAAAATGGTCATTTGGCATGGAGTCAAAAGGGACACCTATAATTAGGCCAATGTTTGTTGAATATCCAAATGATAATATAGCAGCAGACTTAGATAAGCAGTTCCATGTAGGGCCTGGCCTACTTGTTGCTGGCATTACAATGCCAAATCAACAAGAAATTCCAATTTATTTGCCAGAGGCTATATGGTATGATTACCACACTTTTCAAAAAATAAATGAAAATGGAGCTATTAGCTATAAAACTAATGAGAACTGGGTTCCTGTATTTATTAAAGGCGGAAATGTCATAATAAGATATGAAAAAGCCAAAATGAGCACAAGTGATATGAAATCAGATCCAATAAGTATCATAATAGTTTTGAATAAAGAAAAGAAGGCAAAAGGAATGATTTATAGCTTAGGCACACATTTGCGCGCTCTCACAGCTTTTAGGAAGCAGAAATCAAGCCTGCTGACTTTTATACTCCATTCTGACGAGAAAAACTGGATTTGGTAATACCATACGATTATGGCTTTATTTGTCAAATCAAGCTTGGGTAGATAAAAATGATCGTAAAAGCCAACAAGCTTGGTGTCAGCTCCTAGCAAGCTCTAATGGAATGCTAGATGCGCACCAAGCTATATTTAGATGATACAGAAACATTTAAGTACCAATCGGGGGAATTTGTTTATGCTGAAATTGAATTTAAGGAAAATTCTATTAGATATAAGATACTAAATCAGATGAATGCGAATATTAGTGTAGGAAAAATAACTGTGCTTGGACTTGATTTTGTACCAAAAGTAGTTGCTCTAGAAAATTCAAGTGAACTATTTACACTAGGATACTATGTGAAAGAAGAAAGTTTGATAATAAGTGAAGTTCCTGCTAAAATTTCTGAAGAATGGACTATCTATCTAAGTTAATTACTCAAACACATTTATTATTAAATTGCATCTTAACCCCCTTTTTCAGTAAGCTAAATTTTTGCTCGCTCTAAAGTGGGTTAAATTGATATACACTTTTATATAATGAATTAAAAATTGGTAGCAATTTCTAGTTTTCTAAGTTATATACAGAATAGAAAAACAGTTAACCAGCGCCAAGATTTCTATTAATTATAAAAGCATAAAAATTATTATTTAAAACAATCTAAAATATTATGGAGATAAAATTTATGTTTAATAAAGAAGCTGATTAAAATGAAACAGAATTAGACCAATCATAGGTATATATAAAGACATATTTATTTAAAAATTCTTTACACTTGAAGATAGGTTGATTTCCCCAAAACAAAATTTTTCCAATTGTTTTACTCGCTTTTAAGTAGGGGGAGCTATATTAATAATTCATAGTTTGATTGCTCCAGATCAACCAAATTTTATTAAAAAGACTGTATTGAGAATGTTTCGAGCTTATAATTCAAATTTAAATTGAAATTTATAAAAATCATTTATTTTTATAAAAATAATGTGAATTAATTTTGACGAGCATTTAATTTTTTTAATCATCTAAACTCCAATTCATTAAATAAAAATCTAATTTTTCAGTCGACGAAAGTACTTTATAACTTAAGGTAGCTTTTCTCTTAAATCTGTTTTGCATTTTAAAAATATATTTGAAGATGCAAATAAATGAAATTGAAAATATAAATAATATTAAATTGTTTAAATATATAACTTTATCAGAAAACTCAAAGGCTTAAATTTTTGTTTTAAAAAAATATATTTCATAACCTTATTCTTTATGTTGAATTACCTGAAAATTCATTTGACTTTTTAAATATATGAAGACTTTTTCTAAACTCCCTAATTAATAATAGAGCCAAAAAATACCTCTATTATTATATTTTATATTATAATGACGCTTAAAATTAGGTCTAGATCTTCAATCTTATTTATGTTTTAAAAACCAATAAATATGCAATAATTTTATTTAAAATTCTCTCACAAATTGTAAATTATTTGGTAGTGATTAATATTTAAAAATTTATACTTAGCGTAGTAAGGAGAGTTTAATCTTATCTTATTTAATTTATAACGCTTAAAGTCCACTACGGGGTAGCCGTTTCCAGAGCTGCCACAATATTCCACGTGTTTGACCCATGGACCTCTGGATCGATTCTTCAAGGCAGATATAACGTTCCGGCTTCGACGGGCTGCGTTGCGTTGCCTTCCTTGCCTTAACTGCTGCGTTTGCTCCGCCTAAGGCTTACCTTCCTAGGGTGTGCTGGGAGGTAAAACTTCGATCCTCTTGAATTACTTAGAGCAGTGCCTCGGCTTATCTGTCAGAGTTAAAGTGCTATTGACTCCCCCCCCCTTTAAATTGAAACAAAAAATTTTGTTTCAATTTAAAGGGGGGTTAAGAAAATTTTTTTTATAAAAAAATTTATATATAAAAATTTTTTCAGAGATAAAATTTTATAATTTCATGAAAAAATTAATTCATAAATTTCTCAATCTCAAAGTGTAAACTTGCTGAAATGGTATTCTTCTAACTCTCCCCATAACAATTGGACAAAATAGAGTTTAATTTCTAAATCTTATATGTTTGAAGCATATTAAATAGGGTATTAACGTATTTACATATAAAATAATGATTTTTACCTATAAAATTTTCTATTATAATAAAATTTTGTTTCAATTTAAAGGGGGGGAGTGAGGGCTAATTTCGCTCGAACCGAATGCCATTTTATTTATAAGGAGAGTTTAGTCATAAACCTTTCAAAACAAGTTGAATTTTCCACTGGAAAATCAGATCCATCATCCCATTCTTTAAATGATCAAGCATCAAAGAAAACGAGCCCCAAAGCATGCACTCCATGCATTTGTGGCTGCAATTCACCAATGCTTATGGGCAAAAGGAATCCAAACCTACGCTTTAGTAGCCCAAAAGAAAATTTTTTAGTTCTTTTGCAGTGATTCTTCGAAGAATTTAAGACATCAAAGTTCAGTTTACAAGTAATTCCAGATTCCAATTATAGTAATTGCCCGAGGATGGCGCTATCTTGCGCCATCCTCGGGCAATTCAAAAATGGCCCCACACCGGGAATTGAACCCACGTGTGGGGCCATTTATGATATGTGGAGAACATCGACTTCCACGAGCCAAAAATGGCCCCACACGTGGGTTCAATTTCGGTGTGGGGCCATTTTTTAAATTGCCCGAGGATGGCGCAAGATAGCGCCATCCTCGGGCAATTACAATATGACATATATGACCTTTTTCATTGTATATTGAAAGTAAGAAAGCACTTCGGAAGAATTAGTTGGCGAGCAGTTGGAAAAGTTCTGAGTCCAATCAACTCATGTCGGGAATCCAGACATGCTTTAAAAGCCTTTTATAAAAAATATTTGTCCGACTTCGAGGAATGAATTTATGAAAAAGGTCCAGTCACAGTAGGCTGCATAGACACCGAAATTATAGTGACGATACTAAAAGACTTTATCCCGAAACATCATATAGATAAGCAAGAGCTGGCTTCTAATGAAATCGAAAGCGCGATCACTAGTGATACGAACCATGAGGAATCTTCTGACTCCCCCCTTTAAATTGGAACAAAAAAATTGTATTTTTTAGGGTAATAAACCCTCTTTTAAATAGGAAACAAAAATTTTATTGGAGAAAATACTAAATTTTAAAATTAGTTTTGACTTAATTTAATAGACAAAGTGCAAGTATAATGCTATTTAAACTGTTTCACATTGAATCGATTAATTTTTTTTACTTAATTATTTATAAAATTAAATTAAAATTCAAAGTATTGTCCTCAATTTATATATTTTTTTAACAAGATCAAATAGTAATTTTTATAAAATTAGTTTGACCTAATTTAATGGAAAAAGTGAGAGGAGAATGCTATTTAAACAGTTTTCAATTGAATCGATCAATTTTTCATATATTTCTTCAAAAAAATAATAAGTATCCCTCAATTTATATTTTTTAAAAATTTTAAAAAAAAATAAACCCCTTTCTCTTGAAACAGGATTTTTTTGTTCCATTTTAAAAGGGAAGAGTGAAATAATCTCTCAAGAAGTTGTTGACACCGTTGAAGATCTAATTAAGGGAGCTGCAAAAATTATAGAGCAAGAAGGAGCTGAGAAAGCAATGAAGCAAAATATAGCGATTTAGAATAATTTCTATAATAATAAGATAAATTTTTTATTGATTTAAAAAAGCAGATAATTCGATATATACTGCAATATAGTATATTTTTATTAAAGATAACAAACAAGATGAAAGCAAAATTGAAGAAAAACCACAAATAAGGATAAGTGAAGATGAGTGTGAAGAAGAAGTTTTGCATAAAAAGAGAAAAATTGTGAATTATGAAGATCTTCCTGATATAAATGCAGCAAACGAATTTCCAATTTTTATTGTGCAAAAGATTGAGGTCAAAGAAGAAAAAAGAAAACTGAAGAAAAGCAAACCTAAAAGAGAAAATAATCAAGAGAAGGTAGAAGAAGAGAAAACAAAGCATGAGGCCAAAGAGAAAATTAATCAAAAAGAGTCTGTACCTAAAGAAGAAAGCCCAAAAAATGAAATTCTTAAAAAACCTAAAAAATCTGAAGAAATTAATATCTCTAATCCCATGACACCTGAATTTCGCAGCAAAAACCCCACAGATCTTGGCTACCGTACAAATTTCATCAGTCGCTATCTTCCAATAGAAATGCAAGAAAGCCATAAGCTCCAAGAAGACCTTTTAAACCAAGATAATCCTCAAAAACCTGAAAAAGAATCCAAGGCTCATTTCATCCGCAAAAAACAATCAGCGGCCAACATCAAGAGAAGCTGTGGAGTGACCTATGTTCTTCCCACCGAAAGCACACAAACTGGAGTTTCTGATCAATTTGCCCCTCTGCCCCCACTTGCTTTTCAAGTAGGCACAGTAGATAGGATAATCCCTTCTGAGGAAAGGGAAAAATATTTTACTATGTCTCGTGAATTAATAAAACATCTTTTTGAAAACCAAGGGGTTGTAAGGGTGACGATACAAAAAAATTATGGAGAAACAGACTTGAAAAAATATGTCTTACTCCACCCTTTCGTGTCTTCACACGACACTAATTCATTACGACTATTTTTTTGACTTTTTTTGCCTATATTTTTGGCATTTTTTTTTTCACCTATTTTGTTCCTATTTTTTTTTTGCCAATGTTTAATGATAATAAAAAAAAGACAAAAAAGCCAGGCCAATAAGGTAAAAAATACGCCAAAAAACAATAATCGTTATGAAATAGGTATAGTGTGAAGGAAACCCTTTTTAAATTGAAAAAAATTTTTGCAGGGTAAATTTTATAGGTAAATATACTAATTTTTATATAATAAGCTTTGGCCTAAATTAATGAAAGAATGCAAGTAGAATATTATTAAACAGTTTTCGCACTTAATCAAGAAATTTTTAAATTAATTTTACATAAAAATAGATTAAAATTTAAAAATATTGCGTTCAGTTATTTTTTTAAATAAATTATCCCCCTTAAATTGGAGCAGGATATTTTGTTCCGATTTAAATTGGAGGAGTTAGGCGAAATGGATGATGGGGATGAAGTTTTAGTTGAAGATATGAAAATCATGTGGAGAATATTGGGAAAAGATAATTTCGTGGTTATTCATTTGCAAATGGATGAAAAAACACTACTAGCTCCTACTCTTCCAGGCAATAGAGGAGATGTGATGATCGGATTTCTAGTAAAAAAAGGCCTCTGTGGGATGAAGTCTGTTAAAAAGTGCCTAGGGCTTGATGAGCTTGAGACCGACCCGTTAAATACTTATGCAACGCAAATTCGGCTAGAATTATATCTGCAAAAAAAATCGTGAAAAATTGCAATACCTCATGCCAGAAAGCTCTTATGCTCATTTATATATGAATTTGAAGCCTATATTCAGCGATTTCTACTAGATTGAAATGCAGAACGCGAAAAGTTCTTTGTCACTAAAGTACTAGAGCCTAAGCAAGGAATATTTTTATGAAAAAAATCATGCAGCTGTCCTTTATCTCCTCTCCACACCAGCCCTACATCCTCCTGATCTCCTTCATCTTCCTGAATTCTGCCAAATTCTCGCTCCTGTCCTATATGTAGTTCCTTCACAACAGAACCTTTATATACCTACGAAAATGGCCTTTCCAGTCTCTTAGACTCGAAAAATCCTCCTAATTGATTTTATTTAATAAATACCCGAGATTCCTTTTCTTATGATCTTCATGTCTTACACTTACACTTAGTTAGATTATAGAAAAGCTCCCTGTCAGGATCTGAAGATCCTTATTCCTCTCATAATACTTCACTTGCCTACTTAGCCGACAATCGTCTCACGATCTTCAAAGTCTTGCTCCTACCAGATATAGGCCTGCTCATTCTCCCTGGTAGTCGGAAAGTTGGCTAACCGTGCCGTACATCAATGAGGCTTTGCTTCTAGAAAATTCGAAAAATAAATTTTTGGTCGCCTGTCGGCAAAGATGAAATTCGTAGTCCAGGATGCAACACCTGGTATACGCTGTGGAAGGCTCCCGATCGACCAGGATGAACATCACTGGTATTGCTGGTACAACCCTTTCCAACTCCGTACTTCATCGTCATCGGAAGTAAAACCTTGACCTGGATGTGAGCCTGCGATCTGCTACCTGACATTGCGCTTCACCAAACCAAGCAGCCTAGCTAGATGCACATACCAATACCAAAAACATCTTCCACAAGGTCTCTGGGTCTCCTCAGCTGCAGGTGTTAGGGAGTTAGTTTGGCTCTTCACGCCATTTTTATGTATATGATCTTCATGTCAAAAAGTCTACTATCAGATGAAATGATAGAAATATCATTAAGCAAGAGTATTACTTTAGGAAAAATGATTTGCCATCAAACTATCATGATTGAGAAAAATGGCTTGAAGGAGACTATGTAAGGGCTGGCATTGTCACTTACCAAGGAATTTTTAGTCAAGATGAACTGTTAAAACTTGAAGAAAAAGCAAGAGGCACTGAACAAGATTTTCGAAATGGCCAATTTTTAATTATACCACGTACCCCTTTATAGATCTTTAAGGGCAATGACTTTTTTAATAGAAAAAAAATTTAAAATTCTAAGAAGTCAAAATTAAATTAAAAATTTCATCTTATATCTCCTATTTGTCAGTTGTAAATTTAACTTTTCAGAATATTTTGGTATGTCAAACACAAAACATAAAAATTATAAATATCCTACCCTATTACTGAGAATACCCTATCCTATTACTGATGTATGTCAAAAGGAATTTTTTCCCTCAGAAATCAATAAGGAGTCAGGCACTATAATACTGCGCAGCCTTCATATGGTGCTGGAGGGGTAATAAAAAGGACAAAGTTTTTCTTTGGGACTCGTTATATGTGGACGGCTACACAATTAGCAGAAAAGCAGTCTCGAGTAGCAGCTGGGGTAAGGGTAGACGTGAGTGATACCCCATATTGAATGAAAAAAGAAATTTTAGACCCATTGGTGGACTCAGGAATTATTGAAAAGAATTTTATAAATTCAATTGCTATGAATATTTATCATGATGGAAAAGAAGGCTTAGCCCAGCACTTTGATGATGCTGTTAGGTTTAAACAGCCAATATATACTGTAAAATTAGGGAGTGACGCGAGGCTTTCATTTGGAAGTCAATTTTATGGGTATTTAAATGGAGCTTTTTGCATTCCATGCCCGAGAGGGGTGGTTTGTGTTATGGAAGAATTCAGTTATGCAGCTAATTCAGCAAAGCATTGCGTGAGGCCTTGCGATATGTCTGGAAGATCAATCACACTAATTTTAAGGCAAATACATCCATTTATAATGGAAGAAGCAAGAAAATATGACGCTGAAATCGATTTACCGACGTGATTTTCGACGCTTTCACTAGATGATGACTCAGTGCCATATTATAAGCAAAAGGAAATGGAAGCGAAATTGCTTATGAAAGAAGAAAAAGAAGCTGGAAAAAAACTGTCTTCTAATAGCTATTAAGTAAAATATTATCTCAATGTAGTTATTCAATTTATGTTAAAAGGATGCTTATTATGGAACATATTCTCAATTTATTTTTTGAAATTTAATTGAATTTATTAAAGCATAACATTCACTTTCTTATTAATTTCACCAGAAATATGTCAGGCCAGTTCAGTCTTGAAAAACTATTCGAACATCTCGAAGGCGCAGGAGCAAACCTTGACGATATTAATTACCTTGATTTTGCTGATCTGATGATTGATTTTACCCACACTTTTTCATTCATTGGAAAAGTAGTATCACTCGCCTTTTCTGACATCGCTACTAAGGCTAAATATTTGAAAAAGAATTTCAAAAGTACAAGCTTCACAGGATTACAAAGCATGATCTTAGATGAAATTAAATGCGGAACTGTCAGAAAGGAAGGAAAGCGTCCATCAACTGCGATCACTGTGCTAAAGCTGATGTGGTTTTCAGATTTTTTAAGGCAGATTGTGTTACATTTAACAACCCAGCTCCATTGGAAACTCTCGAAATGCGTGAAAGTTGCTTATAAAGAGACGCTATCAAAACATCATCCTTGGACATTCAGACTTGCAGCAAAAATTGGAATTAAGATTTTACCTAGCAGGCAGGAGTATATGAATAAACTTTTTGGGAATATTCCTGTCGAAAAACAATTGGAATTGTTTAGGCATTTGCTTGAGCTTTCAGATCCACTGAGAGACACTCTTTGGGGATTTTATAACGAAAATAACCTGGCAAATATTGTTAAATAAATATATTTGTATTTAAATGGTAAAATTTCAAGGACATTCTGTTAGCAGAAAAAGACAAAACTATAATAAATATATTTGAAACTGCAGGAGAGCATATATTTTTGATCAGGAGACTTACACATATTTTCTTATAAAATTCTTTACTTCTGAATTATTTTATTTCTCCAATATATTTTAATTATAACGATTTTTTTACACATGTTTATTGTAAATTTTTTATTGGCTTTAAAACGGTGATAATTATGGTATCACAATTCGATATCAACAAGCTCTTCGAGCATTTGGAGCAAGCAGCAGTAAATCTTGATGAAATTCACTACCTTCATTTTGCTGATGCAATGCTTGAGTTTTCAAACTCATTTGCGTTTTTAGGAAGAGCTTTGTCCATGGCATTTTCTGATATCACATCAAAAGCAGCGATAATAAAAAATAATTTCCAAGGCTCCCAATTCACAGGCTTACAAAGCATGATTTCAGACGAAATTCGAAGAGGAGTTGAAAGGTTTCACCAGGACGACCACCATGCGTCTACAGCAAGAACAATATTGAGATTAATGTGGTTTTTTGATTTCCTTAGACAACTTATAATCAATTTCAGCACACATCTTGATTGGAAATGTCATATTAAAATATGGTATCGCTAGAATTTTATGGTCTCCTGACAGAAAATTCATCTCTTGTATATTTTAGTTATGAAGTTTGGTTTCCCTAGTAGAATTATCCCAGATATGTCAGGGAATCAAGAGCTGGGCAGTTTTTCTTACCGGATTCCTGACTTTATGGAAACGAATTTTCCAGAATGGCAGCACTTACCCTAGACGGGGAGACTGAGACCTCTAGGGTGACTGACGGACCAAAATAAGTGCTTGAGCTCAAAGAAGAATCGTCGAAGCCCAATCTTCAAGACTGTCGTCTTCATTGGTGATCAAAGTCAAAGGTGTCCATATCTTAGGCAGGCTCGAGGGAAATGTCGCGAAATTCTCTCCAGAACAGTGTTGGAGGTAGCTGTGGCCTAAAAACTGGTAGTGGGACGTTAAAACGTTTATAGATTAATTAAGATTAAGATTGGAAAATGTCAAAATGCGTCTCTGAAGCGTATGATGATGCTTTTGGGCCCCATCATCCATGGCCTGTAAGAATGGCAGCAAAAGTTGGAATTAAAACTGTACCTAATAGAGAAGAGTATGGAAGAAGATTGTTGGGGGATATTTCTTTAGAAAGACAATTGGAGCTTTTTAATAGAATGCTTGAGCTCTCAAGTCCAATTAGAGAAGCGCTTTGGAACTTTTATAAGAGAAATAGGATTATTAAAGCCAGGCGCTAACCATATCGGTGACGCAGTCACCAAAGACCTCCCGTAGGGGAGGTTCATCCGCTTTTTGACTCCAGCCCAGAGGGTCTATCCCTCTTGCGAATGCCCTTCCGTACCTTCTGTCTCCTCCTTTCCTTGTGGTTTCAGTCTTGAGTGGGCGGCTTATGGATTTCTGTGGCCCTGCTGCGGGCGATTGGAGTAGCTTAAAGATAAGCTCCTTGGAGTCTATCGGGTGTCGAAATGCCTTCCTTCGGCATTTACAGTAAAAAGAATGTTCCCCTGTAGCCTGGGCCGAAACCCCAATTTCTCGGTAGAGGAATGCCCATGGATCCTCGGATCCAAAGGACGTTGTTGAGCACCTCCATTTCCAACCACAGGAAAGCAGCCAAAAACTACCCGATACACACCTCTGGAGCCTGCACTGATTCTCAGCTCGGAGTCTGTCCCAGTTCGCCGTAGCTATAAGGTCTGGACTGCTGCGCCAAGAGGGCAGGTTGACACATGTCGTCATTTAATGTATATTTTATAAGAGAAATAACCTTACTGAGCTTCCTTAGATATTTTAATAGAAAATGATTAAATTTAATTTAAGCTTTGGGTTGGGGCTTTGCATTTGTTTTTTTCTGGTTATTTTTGTTGTTTTTTACAATCTTAATTTCTCTCGTTTTGATTACTCCTTTCAAAAATGTCCTATTCATTTCTATTCCTGGCAGCTGCTCAATAATGTTTTGTGATAAGCAAAAGCAATGAATTTTTGGGAGTGCAAAAGCAACAAGTTTATCTATTCCTATTATTTGTCTAAAACTTAAGCAATGCTCATTTATTTCCATTCCCATCACTTTTACTCCTTTTTCTCTGCCTAGAAAAATGAGAGGCTCTAACAATACTTCAGTGCTTTTATCAATAAAACAAAAAATAGAGCTGATTTGATCAATTTCTGAGATTATTTTCTTGATACCCAGAATCAAATGTATTCTACTAAATCTATGAGTGTCGGGATTTTCTATTTTTTGCTTTTTTTCTTCGTTTCTTATTGAGGGCGACGATTGTGCTTTTATTTCTAAGCTAAGTGATTCTAATAGGGAATTAGTTTGGTCACTTGATATAATTTGTCAAGACATTGAATAAGGATTGCTTAAGATGTGTTTCTTTTTCATTTATATAATAATGATCTTCGTAAGAAAAGAATAGATTATCAATGTAATGATAATCGATAAGATATATGTTGATATTAATTGCTATGCAAATTATTGATAAAACAAGTACCTTATTCGTGGGATTATGACTAATTTAAGAATTTACTTCCTACTTCCTCTTTCCTTGATTGAACTTATCGTAATTGCTCGATCAAGAATGGGGTTAAAAATTTCTGGATAAATTATTATATATGATTTTTTATTGGCTAAAAAATTTTATATAAAAATTGTGGACGAAATTAGATTAAGCTTTAGTTTAATCGCCATTATCTCTGATATTTGATATAACCTTATTCAATATATGCAATATCCATAACACCATTTCTCTGAATAATGTTGCATATTTTATTTTTGCATGATCTTCGAATTAGCAGCCCGTTTTATTGCATTTCCAAGCATCATATCAATTCTTAATAAGCCTTATATGGTTTTATTTACTTACTAAAACTGCCCACACCCTTATTTTGCTAACCATATATATATTTAATCATCCAATTCTTTTTCATATATTTTCTGACCATTTATAATTTATTATATGAGCCATCCTCCAGGTCCACCACCTCCAAACTATCCTCCACCTCCTCAAGGATACCCACCTCCTCAAGGGTATCCGCCTCAGCAGGGGTATCCACCTCCTCAAGGCTATCCTCCACAGCCTGGCTATCCTCCACAACCTGGTTATCCTCCACAACCTGGTTACCCTCCTCCACAAGGCTATCCTCCTCAGCCGGCGATGCATATGCCACCACCTCAAGGATATCCTGCTCAGCCTGGCTATCCTCCTCCACCTCAAGGATACCCTCCACAAGCTTTTCCTCCTCAGCCTGGATTTCCAGGACAACCAATGCCTCCACATGTAGGAGTTCCACCTCCGCATGGAGTCCCTCCACAAATGGGAATGCCTCTTCATGGAGGTCCACCCATGGGAATGCCTCATGGTCAAGTTGCATTTCATGCAAATCCTAACTGCCATAAATGTCATGGTACTGGAACGAATAAAGGAAAGCCTTGCAAGAAATGTGCTGAGCACGCTGGAGTCTGTGCAAAATGCCTTGGAACTGGTTTCAACCAGAAAAAGAATAAGCCTTGTAAATGCAGAGAGCATGGGCATGTGAAAAAGGATAAAAAGGACAAAAAGGATAAAAAGCATAAGCATTAGAGGGTAATTAATGATTTATGCAACAATTTGAAAATTATTTTGTATTTTTCCAATAAACTTTAAACATTTTCTGCTTTCCGTGACCTCAAAATAATTCTATTTTATTCAAAGTGTAGTGTATGTTATAAAAACGCATAATATTCTTAAAATTAGTTACAATTATTCAAATTTTACATATGATTAATAATAAATCAAAAGATTTCTATGTCAACTTCAGTCCACTTTTTCACTCTCTTAAGTGCGAACTCATACAGCTGTAATCTGAAAGTTCCAGAGACTATTATATTAGGTTTTGGGTTTCCTAAGCCTACTTATATGAAAAATACAGAACATAACAAGCTAGAATTTTTGACGATTGAAAAAGAAGACATCATAGGGATAATTTCGAATTGAGTTAACGGAGATATAAATTCGCCAATTATGATTGTAAAATCTCTGGTATTCATAAAATTAATCAGATTTAATTAAATTTAATAAAAATTAAAAAAATTATTCAAAAATCTCTTAAAGGGAATACTTTGTGATTTAGCACTGAAGAAATTGAAAATATCATAAAAGGTGAATGCATAATCCAGCAGTTCATATGCAATGAACTTAAATACTCGATTGCTCGAGCTATTTGAGACTATCAAAAAGGCCATACACTTGTAATGCTTCACGAAAAATCCCCAAAAATCATGATCCCAAGTGCTGAGCCAAGTGTATCCACAGAATGATCAGAGCACACAAAAGAAAATTATGTTAAATCAATTGACTTACCATGCCCTGTAAAGCTTAAAAGCTATCTTGAGTCAATGAAAATTATAATAAACAAAAAATTAAAGTCAATTTCTTGCAGGCTTGAGCACTTAGAGCTTGATTTTATAAAATCAACAAATCATCAATACTATTGCACTGGGATTCACAATTACTCTTATGGTGAATGCAATTCTCTATTGAGATTTTCATCATTAGAAAACACTTCAAAGTCAAAATTAAAGCAAAGCAGACATATTAGCACAAGCTCAATGCCATCATCACCTTTTATTACATCTCCAATTTCTACCCCTGATAGGACCTCAGCAAATATTTTTTATGCCCCAAATGTCAAAATAAAACAAACTTTGGATTCAAGAATAAGGAAGCATATTTCAGATAAAGGAATCATTGGACACATGAGTTATAATTTTTGAAAAAATAAAATAGACAATGGAGAGAAAATGCTTCCAAATGAAGAAAAATATGCAAAGCTAAGATTTCCTATGAAAAATAATATTTTTTATAAAGAAATAAATTTTTTAAAAAAAATAAATTATTATGACGAAATTTTTATGATTCCTACCTTAATTGCATCTCATTCGACAAGAGTCTTAATTGAAACAAGCCAAGATTTAAAAGTTGTGAAGTCACTTGCTCATAGAATGCAGCAACTTATAGATAGAAAACAGCAAAGAAATTTAAATGATAAAGAAAAAACAATTCAAAGTTCAGTAATCTCGAAAGAAAGGCAAAAAGCTCTAACTAGGCTAGAGAGGAGAATTATAAGACTCAAAACTATAAAAATTTTGCCTGAGGCAATCCAGAATACAGCCAAAAACACAGTGAATGATGCAGCCATGATGCTTGATTTTGCAAAAAGTTCTATAACTTATCTACCATAATAGATCGCTATAGACAAGAGCATATCAATCAGAAAAGAATGGTCCAGGGCACATGCTTTTATACAGCCTAAGCCTGATTAGGCATCTAAAAACTATGAACAGGGATTCTCTTCTTCATTTGCATTGTTCAAAACAATTTTCAAACAAAAATTTAAGTGAAAATTAAAATATGTGGTTAATAATAATCTATAAGAATGCAGAAGCTATATCAAAAGATCCCAATAGTAACTTTCAGTTCTGATGCAATCTTCAGAATATTGCTATAATTTTAAAATCTAATTTATTATAAAAATTCAATTTAATTTAAATAAATTCCAATTAATAATAGACCAATTTTTTAAATAAGTGCTGAAATATAATTTTATCTAAATTACCATGATTTCAATTAATTTTAAATTTCTCAATAAATTTCTATTTAAATTCTCCTAGCTTTCAACGAGAAAATGGCAAAATCCATGTCAATAAGTCAACCATTAGTCCCACCTCCTCAGCCACGCAAGCAAGGATGCTTCCAATCAATATTCCGTACATTATGCTGTTGTTTCGTCAAAAATAAAGTAAATTCTACACAGCTCAGCATCAGAACTGAAAGGAAGAAGTTTTGGGTCAAGATCCGCGATCGACTTTCAAAGAAAAAACATTTTGACCAAGTTTATATCACACTACTTAACTTATACTCCCACCAACTAGTAATTTCTGACCTTATCAAATGCCAAGTCAGCCCAGATTTTCGAAAGAAAAAGCGTGAAGACTTAGAATTTTATGTTCCCCAACTTTGGTATTTTTTATACAGCAATTTATTACTTTTTGGCTTTTTGGACCAAAATGAGGAATTAATTCGAGCGGTTTTAGAATTTTGTAAAAATTCTTTTCATTTCTCTCATAGGGTTTACTGGTTTTTAAAATCAACTGATTTCAGTTTATTAGATTTGCCGAGTGTTGACCCTGACAGGTAAAATATTATTTAGTTTAATTGAAAGTGTTGAAAAAGTCTCTCAAGATTCACAAGCAATATTTTTAGGGAGAGGAAAAGAGCTGTTTCAGCTTATGGCCAGTATGGGAATGGAACATATCTTTGACAGCTCAAGAAAAAGTTTTTCTGATATTTTAGATGAAGAGCCAGAAGATGTGGCAGTTTTAAGAGACTTGATCCGTGAGTATAATTTGAATGGAAAAGTAGAAAGTGATATCCCGAATAAAATCAACCCAAAATACATTCCTTTAAATCCATTTCCTAAAGGAAATATAGTAGACGGCTACCACTCTACCTTATGGTTCATAGAAAAACTCACACAAATTTCTATAAAAATCCTCCATACTCCAAAAAAGTCAGAAATGCTAAAAGAAGAGCTAAAAGAACTAAACCAGCTGGTCAAGCATAGGTCGTAAACCCATACCCCCACACCCCCTAAAAGTGGTACCCCCCCCCACCCCCCCTAAAAAGTGGTACCCCCCACCCCCCCTAAAAAATGGCACCCCCACCCCCCCCTTAATATAGCATAAATATATGACAAATGCCAATTTAGAGCAGACGTAATAAATAAATTATTATTTTAAATATTCAAAATTACTGATTTATACAATGTCCACATAGCGTAGTACAATCGATTAAGGAGTAGGTGGAATGAGGTGAGAATTTCCTATAACTACTAAGCACACCACATATGAAAATTTGTTAGCGAGCATAATAATGATCTTTGGTATTAATTAGCAATATATCCTGCATATATTTATGAACTTTGTGGAACAATGGCTAAAAGTCGAATTAGAGATCCAAAAGTAAAACTGGCAATAGCAAATACTATTTTATTACCACTATTGAATCCTGTTACCAATTCAGTCCTGCAATCCTTTTACAATGGACATTAGATTAGCTTTAATGTATGAATCAATAAATTTAATGCAAATTATTGTGTTGTGCTTGGCTCATTTAATAATTAATGCCATTATCTATATCTTTGGCATTATATTTATAAATATAAAAAGCAAATTTAATATATTTTCTAATTAATTGCTAATTAATTTAAATTTATTAATTAATCATAAATATAAAGTAATTTGTGGACTTAATTTAAAAATATAGTGTTTTTAATGGGTTATATTTAATTTATTTTGCTTATTTCCTATCAATTACTTCTATAGAATAAACCCGAGAGGGGGGGTGGGGGTGCCATCTTTGAAAGGGGGGGGGGGTACCATTTTTTTAGGGGGGGGGGTTCCCTTATTGGGGGGGGGGTGGGGGTGTGGGGTTGCTACCTATGCTTGACCAACCAGCTTCTTCCTGCGTGCGCTTATATTCCATTTAACACTCCAATCGCTCGAAATTGCGCAGTTTTACACATAATCGCTAACGAAGCCAGAGTTTTTACTACAAAAGAGCGAGCTCCCTATAAAATCTGTGTAGAAATTTTTCGGCCATATGAAGAATTACTTGTTTTAGAGCCCTCAAAAAGTGCCTCAACAATGGACAGAAGGTCAGCTTCAGTCCCATCAGTGCGGTCTTTTCATTTAAGCAAAACTGTTATAGAAGAAGTCAAAACTTTAAATGATACCATAGATGATGGGTTTGATGAAATTATTAAAGCAATACAAAAAGAGTCAAAAAATAATAGGAAACATAGAGAAACTATTGATGCCATACAGAGGCCGCCTGCATTGTCGACCCCTTCGCTTCATTATGAAAGATTAAGTATTTTTGGACAGCCTGGAGCTGGAGATTTAGAGGCGGTATATGGAGGGGATGAAGATGAAGACACAACAGGTGGTGAGGAATCAAGTAATGATAGTAAAAGAATCATTTTTAAAGAAAGTTTTAAGGAGATGGCTCAAAGAATTCGTGCAAAATCGCCGTTCGGAAAGCTGAAAACTTGGGAACTATTGCACATTATAGTAAAAAGTGGGGATGATTTGCGCCAAGAGCAGCTAGCGATGCAGCTGATTTCGTTTTTCCAACAAACATGACGAGAAAAAAAGCTTGATTTATGACTCTATGCATATGATATCATAGCGACTGGCGAAGGCTGCGGTATTTTAGAATGTGTTCCTGACGCTATCTCAATAGATGGCCTAAAAAAAGACTTGCCAGCAGACAGCAAAACTCTTTATCATTTCTTCGAAATGCAGTTTGGGGGAGAAAAAACAAAGCGCATGAAAAGAGCCAGAAAAGAATTCATGAAAAGCTTAGCAGGTTATAGCTTGCTGTGCTATATATTACAAATAAAAGACAGACACAATGGGAATATTTTGATTGATAGACATGGACATTTAATTCACATTGATTTTGGCTTCATGTTTAGCAATTCCCCCGGAGGGAACATTAACTTTGAAAAAGCCCCATTTAAGCTGACTGATGAATTTGAAAGAATTTTAGGAGGGAGAAGATCCAAGCTATTTATTGAGTTTAGATCACTGTGCGTCAAAGGATTTATTGCATTAAAAGAAAAAGCTGAGCAGATTGTTCTGCTGGTAGAAATGATGAGATTTGGAAGCGGGGCAAGTTTAGGATGCTTCGTAGGAGGAGAAGAAGTGACGAGAGGACTAAGAGAAAGGCTTCTGCCTAGAGAATCAATGTCAGAAGGAGACTGTAAAGAGTATATCAATTTATTAATAGACGAAAGCTTAGACAACTGGACCACAAGGTGCTATGATAGGTTCCAGTACTGTTGCCAAAATATCTTTTACTAATTAACACATATTTAATAAAATTAAGCCAATTAATGACTGTTAAACCACTGGGTAAGTTGGAAACATGTGAATGCAGCAAGATCCTTGCACGCTTGCCATTGAAACTTTTGCATATCCATTTTCGCCCCAGCCAGTTCCCCAAGAGGTTTTGATGATTCAATAGGAGTTGTAGCTATAACCAACAATAACAACTTCATGATTTATACTATTATTGCATGCCACATTTATAATTCCTGACATATATTGCTGAAAAGCTGCTGAACTAGCTGATATTCCAGCTGAAATTGGCTTTGTAGCGACTATCGCCATCATTGAGCTGGGAGAATTAGCTGATATTAACGCAAAATTAGAAATTGTAGCATATTTGTATGATGGGTTTCCTGCACAATTACCTTGAGTTCCTGTATATAAAGGGTAAACTCCATCTCTTTCTAAGCCATTATTTTTAATAAACCCATAAGCATAATATGCGGAGCCGCCTTACAGCCTTGGTTTCCATACGAAGAGGAGCAATCAATTAATTCCTGAGCAGACAAGCTAGCAAGGTTCCCTGTTTTTAGGCACCAAGAGGTTTCTAATGCACCAGCAGCTGCGAAAGCCCAACCAGCATTGCAATTTGATCCTTGGTTTTTTATTGGAGTTACATACTGTGACCCTCTTCAATCGACTGAAGTTGGAAGAGCTTCAAGTGGAATCTCTGAGATGGGAGCATGATTAGTTGGGACGGGTATATTAGATGTATAGAGAGCTTTGAATTCTTCAAGAGTTAGGTAAGAAAATTGAGTGCTGCCAAGAAGATAGGATTCTCCTAGGGAGTTATGGACTCTTGCATAAGCAGCATTGTCTCTGAAAATTTTGAAACGGTCATTGAATTCGTCGAGACTTGTATATACTTTATTAAATTTAGCAATAAAAGCAAGGAATTCTTGATTTTCTGCGTGGAATTGATTGAGCATAGATTTAGATGGCCCAGCAGAGTAAGTATATATGGTTGCAACGAGCGCAGTAATTGATATAATTGATAAAGTGCCATAAATGAATTTTCTTTTTTTCGTGCGTTTCAGTGCTATCTTTAAATTCAAAGTTATCCATTTATTGTCTCCATATAGCACTTACTCCCCTGTGAGTAAGCAAAACCATTGGAAAAATCCCTATTTTTTTGTTCGCGAGCTAACAAAATTTTTTTATGAAAAAGATTTTGATATACAATTAATAATTATTATAACGAAATCTCTTGCTAATTCTGTTTAATTTTAAACACCTTGCATTTTAAAGCATAAATTTTACAAATTAAATAAATATTTGCTTTCCAATCTTTGTGAATTGGGATTTTTTTAAATTTCGAAAAAAAAAAAATTTTATTAAATTTTATATTAATTTTCTCCGTTAGCAAAATTTTGCTGTTCGCTCACAGAGGGGGAGTTACAGATAAATTCAAATTTGTGAAAATTTAAGATTAAAATTATAATAAAATTTGTTAGCTTTAAAGAAAGCAATGCTTATTTGCAGCCTTAAAATCAAAACTTTGAAGTGATATTTTTATATTTCCTCGATAGACTAATATAAATCTGAGAACTCGCAAAAATGATGAAAAAAACGTAAAAATGCAATAATTTTGCGAATTATTTTTAATTTTCGCGAGCAAACATTTATTATTGCATTTTTGTGATTTTTGCATCATTTTTGCAATGTATCCATATAAAATCATATTTTTATTAGCCTTATTTATTAGAAATTTATTAAGCATATCAAATATAGAATTTTTGAGAAAGCCTAAAAGATTTATACTTTAAACACCCTTTCATTAATTTATATTTACTTAAATAATCATATATACATTAAAATGGAGACACGTGCCAGCCTACCCTCTTGGCGCAACGATCCAGACCTTATGGCCACAGCGAACTGGGACTGGCTCCGAGTCAAAAATCGATTGCAGGCTCAAGAAATGCGTATTCGTTTAGTTTTTGCTGCTTTTCTGTTTTTGGGATGAAGGCTGCTGCAACAACTTCCTTTGGATCCGATGACCCCTACCTACAAGCTGGGGGTTTTGGCCCATGCAATAGGGAATAGTTTTTTTCCTGTAGCTGTAAAAGGAAGGCACTTCGGCATTATACTGACTCCAAGGACCCTTGGAATCAAGCCATTCCAATCACCTTAGCAGCAGAAATCCATAAGCACTAATGACTGAAGTGGTTTGGTATGGAGGATATGGCATCCACCCTTGGGGTAAAGGCCCTCTGATTTGGAATAGAAAAGCGATTGAGCATCCATACAAGAGGTCTTTGGTGACAGCACCACCAATATGCAAACACCCGACTTTAATAACCCTAGCCTAGCCTACCCTTAAATAATCATTATTTGAAAATTTCTTTCAATTTTATTTTATATAGGCATTAATTCTAAATTCCTTAATTAAATTAATTTTGAATATGGAGTATTCATATGGATCAAGCAGCGAAGAACTCTCTGATTCTCAAGGCTTAAAAAACTTCCTTGAAGCCTCATCTTCTGAAGAAGAAAAATTTTTTAACAAGCAAAATCCTTACCTCGATTTCAAAAAAAAAGATAACTTTTTTGCAGGAGGAGGCGATCCTTATGCATTCAACATGGATTTCAGTAACATAAAAGTCCCCAGCAAAGCCCAGCCCAAGCCCCAACCTCAGCCTCAACCTCAACCTCAAACAGCAAAAAGTGCTATAAAAACCCCTACAACCCAGGCGGGCAAAAAAGGTGTGAGCTTTGAAAAATCACGACCAAAAAGCCCTGAAGATGACGATAGGCCAATCGATATGAAAAGCAAACAAGCCAACTCTAAATTTGAGAGCATGAAAAAAGACTTCCTCAGCATGGTTCAGTCCATCAAAAACGAAGATTCCAGTTCCCATAGCTCCAAAAGCAGCAAAAATTCAGACTCACCTGCCATGCCTACTTTAAACGTAGTAAACTGAAGCGATGTTAAAGGACAACTCAAAGTCACTGATGAAGAAAAAGAAACCTCTCATAAAGAAATAAAGACTGAGCCTTTTCGGTTTGGAATTAACCCGCCTATTTCTTTAAACAAAAAACTTGACACTCCTACGCAAAAAAAGGAAACTTTTATATCTCCTCTGGATTCAGAGATGTCTGAATCTTATCAATCGCCAAGGTCAGATTTAAAGCAAAAAGAAGAACTTGAGAGTCAAAACTCTGATTACTTTATTAAAGATGAGCTGCAAAGCAGTGAAAGAAGCTATAAAGAAAGCAATAATACGTGGAAAAGCTATTCTGAGCATGAAGATAGTTCTAAAAAAGTTGACACACCTTTTGAAATAAGTGCGTCTCAAAGTGGACAAAAAATAGATGTGCCGATAAAGGCTACACCAATATTGAGTTATGCTCCAAAAGCTGAGCTAAATTCTACAACACCTCAACAGCTTCCCACAAATAGCCAGCCACCTTATTATGCTCCAAAAGCTGAGCTAATTTCTGCGGCACCTCAACAATTTCCCACAAATAGCCAGCCACCTGATAATACTTCAAAAGCTGAGCTAATTTCTGCGGCCCCTCAACAATTTCCCGCAAATAGCCAGCCACCTTATTATGCTCCAAAAGCTGATCTAATTTCTGCGACACCTCAACAATTTCCCACAAATAGCCAGCCACCTTATTATGCTCCAAAAGCTGAGCTAATTGCACAAGAAAAGCCTCCTATTTATAAATATGAGCCAAACATTCCTTTAAAATCTGAAACAGACCGGCCACACTCTGCCTCCGATAGCCGTCCAAAACTCTCGCGAGAAAGAGAACTAGAAATAGAAATTATCGATTTAAGAGGCCGCGTAGAAAATTTACAGTCACAATTAAATATAAAACAAGAGCAAGTTGACCGCCTAGAAAATTTAAAGTCACAATGAGAAAAAAAGCAAGAGCAAGCTTACGACATCGATCTAAGAGGCCAAGTAGAATATTTTCAGTCACAAATAAAGATAATGCAAGAGCAATTAAACCACTTCGAAAATACCGAAGCTAGAGTAAAAGATTTAGAAGCTGAAAATGAACTATTGAAGTCGGAGTTGGGAAAAAAAGAAAAAAGTCATGAAGAAAGGCTGAGGAATAGTGAATCCAGGGTTTCTGAAAGGATTATGAGAACGCTTAATATGAAATTTGAATATGAAAAAGATGAATTTGATAGGAAAAATAAAGAGCTAGAGATTGAGATAAATCAATATAAAATTGATGTTACCAGATGTGAAGCAGAAAATAGAGAATTGAGGTTCAAATTATCAAAATTGAGAGATCAAGAAGTAAAAATAAAAGAATTAGAGCAGAAAATTTACACTTTAAGCCGAAAAAATACCCCAAGTGAAGTAAAAAAGCCAATAGAAAAAGATCTTCCAAAAGATGAAAAAGATCTTCTATTAAAAGAAATTGAAACACAAGAACAGCTTATAAAAGGTTACCAAAAGGAAAACGAAAGGCTTGTTGAAGAAATGAAAAAATTAAATTCTCAGATAAAAGAAGAGCAGGTAAAAATGCATCATGAAAACATGAAAGTAGACTTACTAAAAACCAACCTCATAAAAGACCACGGAGGGGTGCTAATCAAAGAAAACATTTCTGACTTTGGAACTATCAATGAATTAGCTGGTGGCACTGTAATAAATAAACAAGAATATATAGAGCTCAGAGAAAGGGCGTCTAGACTTACTCGAGAATTATTCGAAAAAGAAAAGATTTTTACTGAAAAAGAATTAGAGTATCAAGAAATTATTGAAAAATTAAGAAGATTCCAAGCTGAAGCTGAATTCAGGTTTTCTACAACACAAGAAGGATTAATTAATATTCAAGAAATAAACAAAATCCATGAAAAAGAAATCAATGATTTAAAGGAAGCGTATGAAGAAGAAATTGGGAATCTGCAAGCAAGAATAAAATGGTATGTAGAAAATCAAGAATTTTTAGAAGGTCAGATTAAAGAAAGCAAGCCGCTTAAGCAAGATCTTCAAAATTTGCAAAGAGAATTAAATGAAAGACCAGCCACTGCTGATATGTGAGAGATTTAGTTAGAGAGGGTTAAAGCGGAGTTTAGCTCAGCCCTTGATCCAGTGAAGCTTTAGCTTCACGCTTGTGTGGCACTAAGCGCTTAAGCTGCTTAACACCTATTCTATGACTTCACCAAAAATGATGATATCCACATCTTTCAGGGAGACTTACCCGAACTTAGACCAATAAACTTCACCAAAAGGACTCTCTTAAGTAGTGCTCAGAGTATGAGAAAATCGTCCGATGCCTCCTTCTAGAACTACCTCTGCCATTTTCAGGCACCATAATGCTACTCCAAAAGAGCTCAATTTGGTGTTGTGCCGCCGGTCTTCTTGTCTGAGACCAAGGAGAGGTCCAGTTAGCCCATACCGCACCCCACCCCACCCTACCCCCGGAATTCCTCCACCTGCAATCCCATGGCCCTCCAGGAATTTTTTATTTTTTTGGCCGAAGTTTTGAGTTCATCCTATCGCTCCAAAAGCCATCCTGTGGCCTGGTGGCCGAAATTTTTATCTGCTGATATGAAGAAAATGAAAAATTTAGAAGAAAAATGTAAAGGATATGAAGAAGGGCTGAAAACCAATAGTTCGATTGCTGCTATGATTCTAGCGTCAAAACCAGACCCTGAGCAGTCTGAACTAGTGATATCATTGAAGAAAAGAATTCAAGAACTAGAAGCAATGATCATGGAAAAAGAAATTGAGCAGGAAACCAGAATTAGAAACTTAAAGCAAGAATATGAATCTGTTAAACAAAAATTAGCTAAACAAAAAATACCAACAGGCAACAAGGGAAAACAAGCTGAAAGTGTTGCTAATCTAAGAATAAAAGAACTAGAAAAGCAGCTGGAAGATACAAGGGCTTATTACACAAAGAAACTACGTAATCCAGCTTCTAAACAAGAAGAAGATGTCTCCAAACTTAAAATGGAATTAAGCCAAAGGCCTTCTCCTAAAGAAGTATGGGCTGAGCCATCTCCAAATCCAGTCGACACTTTGCCTGAATTCAAAGACCTTTCTGACCGCGATGCTAAATTTTTACTTTTACAATCAAATAAGCGAATAAAAGAACTCGAAGACCAAATCCAAACAGGAAATAAAGCAGCAACTACGAATTTCACTACAGATCATGCATTATCCCTAAAAATTAATACCCTTGAAGAAGAGCTTGAAAAACTCAACGCAAAATACGAATATTCCCGAAATGAATGTGAAAAGCTTAGACTAGACAAAGAAATGCTAGAAACTCATATAGAAAGAACGCCTGTCATACCTGGGACTAGCGAATTTTTAAAATTGCAAAGAAAAATTGAAAACTTAGAAGACGCGCACTATAGGAGGGAGCAAGAGTTGATCAATAGGCTAAACTCAGTTTCACTGAGGTCTGAAAATGAAATTGAAGAAATAAAAAGAAAATTCCAAAATGAAAAAGCTGGATTGCAGAAATTAATAGCGAAAAAGAATAAAGAAATTGACGAGTTCAGAATTGAGCTGGAAGAGCTGCTTTCAGAGATTGAAAGACTCAGATCAAGAAAAGCTGCTTAATTAATTTTCATTTTATTTTTATTTAATTTCTGTCAAACTACTCAAAAAAGTAAAGATTTGCCATCAGCATTATAGTTATGTGTCCTCCTAGTCCTATTACCCCAACCCCAATTTTTGCTACTTGGCTCATAATTTCTATTTCATTCCAATAATTCTTGACTAGCAGAATCCCTGACCATACTGCTGCAAGGCTCATTAACACCCATCTGAATACTGACGAAGGGATTGCACACAGTAATACAGTAGGCAAAAAAATCACATAAGAGTAACCATATATTGATAAAAGTTCGAGAAATTTAACTTGGCTGCCACTATGAGACAGAATAAAATAACAAATTGTAGGTATCAAAAAAACCAAACTGTACACCAGTGCAATTCCTGTCACCAATTTATGAGGCTCAAATGGGTTATCTGTAGAGAAATTCCCAGCTGCTGCTAATAAAAAAATTAATGTTGTAGCAGTTCAGAATGGGCAATAGAGATCAGGCAGTTTATCTTCAAAAAATGTTGAAGTCTGCCATGGCAAAATTGCTTTGCGGATTCGATAAAACACAGTAACAGAGTCTACATCAAAAAATGGTTTGAAATATTCTAATTCCCAGCATCTTGCTTTTCGAGGAGTCTGAATTTGTTGTCCTAAGTTTTGATTTTGGAATCCTTCAAACTGAGTAGGTGGAGATAGCTTTGCGGGTTCATCTCGGTCTGATTCCAGATTAATCATATCAAATCCCTTGGGCTCTTGATTGTAATCTGCTTGATTTTCCATTTAATAATATCCTGATCTTATAATTGTTAGAAATGGTATGTCTGATTTTTTAAATAATTATTTCTGAAAAATCTAAGAAATTGTTTAACTTCTAAATAGACTCGAATGGATTATTGGAAACCTCTTCAGCTGCTAAGCTATTTTCTGCAAGTCTTGGATCACCTAATGGATACCATCCCATAAGATAAGGAATTGAATACTAAATAGCAGATACCTCAAGCAATTGCCTGGTAATATAATATTCACTAGGTGTCATAGTAAATTCTTTTTTATCAACAGGCGTATTTCCATTCAAAATTTCCAGCTTCAATGAATACCCTCCTTCAGATCTAAAAAACTTCAAAAGCTTTGTTTCATCGTTAGAATTATTATGCCTTCTCCATTCGACAGGATTATTTCCTATGGACACGTAGTCATATATATTTTCGACTTGGAGAGTGAACGTCTTTTTATTTGCTGGGTTTATTTTGGCCCTGCCTTCAGCTTGATTGAAATCTTTTGGCAAAAATTCAAGAATTATGACTCCTTTGCTTTTGAGATAAATTGTCCCTCCAGATTGTGCGAATCTTGCTTTTAATGGGACAAAGGACAATACAGAATCATCATGAAACATTTGATGATTAATGTTTACACGCTTTTCTATAGATGGAGTTGTCCATGGGGAAGAGGCAAATCTGCGTAGTATCCTCATGTGCAGCATATTTTTATATGTATATTTTATGTTAGTTTATGATATTTTATAATTATTTTGTTGCTACCTCCGAAACCAGCCTTTTTTCCCATTTTTCAGCTCTAGATACATCATTTTGTAGTTGTCTCGATCAGTGGCTGCTTCAGCGTAGTTTATACTGGCTTGAATGGCTACACATTCTGTCTCTTTAAGCCTATTTTGAAGTTTGAGATTTTCTTCTTCTAGTAATTTAATTTTTTGAGTTTTTCTACCCAAAGTCTCGAATTCCTTTTTCATTGACAAATTTTCTTCCTTTAATGCGTTGATTAAAGCATCTTTTTCTAAGTCTTTTTTATAGTCAAAGTGGAAAAATCTAGGGGTGTTTCCTTTCGAGCTTCGATCACTAAGCTGGCCTAATTCATCCTGTAGCGAGCTATCTTGATTGGTAGATAACCTATTAATATCAATATTATCTCTAAGTTCTCTAATTTCGTTTTCCAGTTCAGATTTTTCTTGTATAAGTTTATGCACTCTATTTTGAAGCTCATTTTGTAAATCCTCTTTTGATTTTGTTGCTGAACTTTCTTGCTTTTCCAATTTATGCTTCATTTCTTCAATCTCTTCTTTATAGCTTAAAACAAGCTCGGTGAGTGTCCTTTTTTCTTTATCAGAAATTTCGCTTTTCTTGCTCAACTCTTCTTTTGCCTGCATCAATTTTTCATTGATTTTTTCTTTTTCTTCTGACTTTTCAGACAATGCCTGCTTTGACATTTTCAGTTGATTTTGCAAAGAATTGCATTGTCTTTCAAGATCCTGTATTTTTTCATTTGCACTTGAATATGAATCTTCACAAACGTTTGTCATTTCTGCCTCTAAATTTTGTATTGTTTTCTGGTAAGCAGAAATTTCTTTATTTAATTGAGCATTTTCTTTCTCAAGTGACTTTATTTTTTCTACTAAAGAAGCAACTCGGTTTTCTAGCTCTTCATTCTCTTCATCAAGCTTAGTAGTTGATTTAGAATATTCTTTCTTTTTCAAGGACAGCTTTTCCTCCATCATCGATATTGAGGATTTCAAAGTTTCTATTTCATTCTCGTAGTCGATTTTTAATTTTTCTATTTCTGAGTCTTTTTCTTTAATCCCCCCCTCCGTGAGTGAACAAAACCATTAGAAAAATCGCCATTTTTTGCCCAAAAGCCCGCCCTCCGTGAGTGAACAAAAATCTTTTAATAGAAAAAATTTTTTATGGAAAAATATGTTGATATATAAGTGATAATTAGCATAATGAAATCTAGAGCCAATTCTGTTTCATTTTAAACAAATTGCGTTTTAAAACATAAATTTTATAAATTAAATTAGTATTTGCTTTCCAATTTTTGTGAATTAGGATTTTTTTTTAAATTTCGAAAACAAAAAATAAACCCCCCTCCGTGAGTGAACAAAATTTTTTTGTTCACTCACGGAGTGGGGAGGGGGGGTAAGAGCTTCTTCCATGTGTTGAGATTTCAGGTAAAAGTCTTTTACAAGAGATTTTAATTTTTCATTTTCATCGGTAAGCTCTTCTGTGGTTTTTTCAGAAATTGAAGTGCGGACTTGACTTTCTGCATCAATTTGGACATCAATGTTATCTGAGGGATCTGAAGTTTCTCCTTGAAAGATTAAAAATTCATTGTTTCTGCAAGAGAGCTCGTCAACGTCGTTTATTGATACACATTTTATTGTGCCGAGGTCACTGCTATCTATAGGGATGGGCAATGACCCACCTAAACTTCTTTGGCGCTCATAGGAGGTTCTTGGGGTGCTACCTCGAGATAATTGTGGGGCTACAAAACTACTAGAATGAAAGGTGTTCGCTAGATCAAAGTCTTCTATTTCATCTTCTGTAACGTTTGATTTAGAATCTTCTGACATTAAATATGATACTTAATAATTAAAAACTCTGGAAGATTGTTGAATTTTTATAAATGAAAATTGATGAAAAAGGAGAAATTTTTTGCTTAAATGACAACATTATATAAAAAATATGAAAATAAGCCAAGAGAAAGAGAGCGATTATCTTTTCGATTCAAAGAATTAAAAACTGATTTATTAATTCCTTCAATTATAAAAAGCTTTAATTTAGCAGTATTTTGTGCGCTATCTCTTTAAAAAATAAAAAATAATAATTTCACCAAATTTTTCACGGACTTTCAAATTAGACTCCTGTTTGTTTTTAAATTTCATCATGTCCACAGAAATAAGATGTCAAAGCTCCAAGACCTAATAGAAAGCTTCACTCAGGCTTTTTATAATGATGACTTTTCAGCGCAGATGGATCTACATAGTAGGATAGAAGACCATCTTAATAAATTCCCTGAAAGTTTAGATGGCTGTTCCTTAACATGTGAGTACAAAAAATTTTGCTCTGACTGGGATCAATATAGCTCATACCCCTTTATAGATTCCTTTATCGAGCAAAATGTATTGGACTATTGAACGAGCAAAACAGAGTCTCTCAAAGAGATGAGCTCAATCTCTATATCAGAAAGTGCTAAAAAGTGACATGTCAAAACATGGTGACAAGTGTGAAAAAAGTTGACAAGTAAACGCGCAAATTTTTAAAATGGCTTCATTATTAAAATAAGATACCAAATTAGACTGGATTGATTAATAACTAAAAATCTTATTTTAAAGGTCTTATAAATTAATGATAATTATTATAAAGATGGAGTCCATTATGGAAGAAATTGCACATGAACTCTCAAAATTGAAAATGCAAAAAGGGGACTTACCGAGCGAGTGCTATAACTCCAGTTAGCATATCATGCAAAAACTCCAGTAGGATTTTCACTTAAGTGATTATAAAGATGGAATCCATTATGGAAGAAATTGCACATGAACTCTCAAAATTGAAAATGCAAAGGGGGACTTACCGAGCGAACTATTGCATAGGTCTCCAAGTGCTATATAGCGCTTTCCCGAGGATGGCGCGGAATGGCGCCATCCTCGGGAAAGCCAGGAAGGCATCCACACGGGAACTGGGAGTTCCACGTGTGGATGCCATTTTGACATGTGGAAGTTTGGATCCCACATGTCAAAAATGGCATCCACACGTGGAACTCCCAGTTCCCGTGTGGATGCTTAATTGACTTTCCCGAGGATGGCGCCATTCCGCGCCATCCTCGGGAAAGCGCTATAACTCCAGTAAGCATATCATTCAAGGATTTTCACTTAAGTGATTATAAAGATGGAGTCCATTATGGAAGAAATTGCACATGAACTCTCAAAATTGAAAATGCAAAGGGGGACTTACCGAGCGAACTAGTGCATAGGTCTTCAAGTGCTATAACTCCAGTTAGCATATCATACAAAAACTCCAGTAGGATTTTGACTTAAGCAATTATAAAGATGGAGCCCATTATGGAAGAAATTGCACTTGAACTTTAAAATCTGAAAATGCAAAGGGGGGACTTACCGAGCGAACAGTTGTATAGGTCTTCAAGTGCTATAACTCTAGTAAGCATATCATGCAAAAATTCCAGTAGGATTTTTACTTAAGTGATTATAAAGATGGAATCCACTGTGGAAGAATTTGCACATGAACTCTTAAAATTGAAAAATATTAAATAAATAGCCCTCATATTAATTTGGAATTATTATCTTCAGTCTAATTGGGTATCTTAAGTCTTAATTATTTTAATAATAAAGCCATTTTAAAAATTTGGCGCGTTTACTTGTCAACTTTTTTCAGACTTGTCACCATTTTTTGACATGTCACTTTCTAGCACTTCCTGATATAGATGTTCAGCCCGTTCCTTTAATAGAGTCTTTCTTGGTCGTTGTACTTTCTATTGCATTTTGCTCAATAAATAAATCTATATCGGCGCATGAGCTATATCAGCAATGCATCGAATTTCTTGAAAGCGAGGACTGGAATAAAGTAAGGGACAAGAAAAATATAAAAATCGAAAGCCGAGGAGGTGGCAGCGATTTTTTCACTCGGTCAAGTGTTTTAGTTGAAAAAAATTTGTTCGATACATTGGCGGTTTTATCTGAAATCGATTTGGTGCCCACATGGTAATTTTTACGGTAGAGTAGATGTCATGAAAGGAGTTACAGTGGTAAGTGCACCTACTAAAACAAGAAAATTAGTGATTTACCATATGTCATTCCCATGGCCACTATCAGATAGAGAATTAGTAGTAACTTTCAACGCCCTGCCGAACCCTGAAGATAAATCGTGCACCATAGTGATGGCTACACCACAAACGAGTACTTATCTGAACTCAGAAATTCCACCTTGTGATAGAGGCAATGTAAGAATAAATGTACCAATTGGTTGCCTATATGTGAAATATTTGTCAGAAAATTTAACTAGAGTAGTGTTTGTTGTGTCTGCTAATTCAAATATTGTATATTTTATTTAGAGGTATCTTCCACGGTGGCTTGTAAACTTTGGATCTAAGCATATAATGTATTCAATGATGGCAACATTAAGAAACAAAATAGAAAATTTCGAAGGTAGCATATACGAAAAAAGAGTGCAAGAAAAGCCAGAATATTACAACTTTCTTAGGGAAAAAATAGATATAAGCCTTCATCATTAATCACTTATCTTTCTATAATTTTATTCACAACTAATGAAACTTAACTTTTAAATATATTCTAACCTTATTTTCATGACTCAATTTAAATTAAATAGGCTTATTAATTTCTTTGATGTCTGATTTATCGTTTGCTTCAAAATTAGGGTTGGGCTTAGGGATTTCTATTTAATGGCCTTTTATATGTTAAATTTTGAAACTAAAAAAGGGTTTTTATTTTAAAATCAAAAATATCTAAATAAGCAACTTATTGCTCCAAAAAAATTATTAAAGCTTTTCAACAATGGAAAAGCTTATTATATTTTACAGAATTGTCAGAAATATATTTTCAAAATAATAAAAATTTTCGTAATTACTTTTATGTAGAACTTGAGCCAAAATTCTAAAAAATGTGAGATATTAGACTTAACTTAGAAGGCTTGCAAAATTTTTAATTCGATTAAGATCTAGGGGCATGACTAAGTTGTGCTTTTAAAAAAATGAATTTAACCTAATATGGGAACGAGAAAACATGCATCAAGAATTTTTCTTGCATACAAAAAACCTTGAATTTAAGTTTATACATATTCTAAAGATTAAGGTTTTAGTATAAATTAGTTAGCGGTTTCCTACTATCAGGCTATAGCATTCTTGAATAGACTCATAAGGGTTTGTTCTGATTTGGGTGTTCATACTTTAACAGTATGGCTGGGTTCTAGAAGGAATAGGAGGTAGAACATTAAGTGTGATCTCCATAGCTAGACTTTTAGCCTGCATAAAAAATACTATCAAATCATAATTAGAGATTAAAGAATAAAATTTTTGCAAATATAGTAAAATTGTTGGTAATAAATATGCTTTCAAAGGTTTTGCCTCGCCGCTCATTACCTACTTTAAGATCTTTTTCTTCCGCTCCAGTCTACGTCGAATATCCAGGCAATATTTTTGTCCCAACGTGGACTCATGTCCCTATTTGGAACATTTATGGAGCTGAAAAAACTTACAGTTCGGCACTTCAAGCCTTCAAAGATTCCGAGCAAACTTTCCAAGATGGTACCTTTACCATTGCCGATTTTTGCTCAGTCAGTTGCAAAAATACAATGCACGTAGTCACCAAACTTGTAAAAGACCTCCGCACAAGATCAAATCGTGAAGTTTTAATTCATCCTACCTTACTTCCTAATGCAAACTGGAATGAATATTTCAAGCTCGCTCTCAGCGCTGATTACTATGGCTCCTTGACCTATACTTTTGTATCAGCAAGGCCAGGAGGACTATGGAAACAACTCTTCCCATCACAACACCTTAATTTTATCTATGCAAATCATAGCTTTATGCCAATCAGTAAGATGAGAGTTGCAGCTGATACGATTTGGCCTACAATGTCGGAAGATCCAGTCATTATTAGAGAGCTGAGGGATACAGCGGCTAAGGACTTAGATAATATTCTTACATTTACTCTCCCCCCCATTTAATAACGAACACTTTTTTTGTTCGTTATTAAATGGGGTCTAACTTATAAAATTTTTGGAAAAAAAAATATATATATTTATATTTAATATCTATGATTTTTTTATATAAAAATTTCAATTAAAGAGTTAATAATAAAGGATTCAAATGATGGCAACAGAAAGAGAAAGCGCCTAAATGAAAGCGAAAAGATAACTATTGCTAACTCCACACCCCTCCGTGAGCGAACAAAACCATTAGAAAAATCCCTCACCCTCCGTTAGCGACTAAAATTTTTGTTTAATAGAAAAATTTTTTATGAAAAATTTTTGATATATAAATGATAATTATTATAATGAAATCTGGAGCTAATTCTGTTTAATTTTAAATAAATTACGTTTTAAAACATAAATTCTACAAATTCAATTAATATTTGCTTTCCAATTTTTGCGAATTAGGATTTTTTTAAATTTCGAAAAAAACAATTTTCTGTAAAATTTATAAACAATTTTTTACAAAAAAAAATTAACCCCCTTCGTAAGCGAACGAGATTTTTTTGTTCTCTCACGAAGCGGGGGAGTAAAGCACCAGTTAAGATTAAGCCACTATTAACTTATTAGCTCTTATTTATTATTCTTTGCTCGATTATATTTGTCCTTATCTTATTCTAACTTCTTAAAATTAGTAAACTATAAAGACTAAATTAGCTTATAGAAATTTTATAGTAAATTTTGTTCGTTATTAAATGGGGCCTAAGGAAAAATTTTTAGGAAAAAAAAATGACGGTTTTGTTCGTTATTAATTGGGGGAGTTAGAGGAAAAGAAATCAAAAGTGGAGGGCGCTTCTGCTTTGACGTACTTTTGGATCATCATATACCCAAATTAAGCTGCTGGAGACTGCTGAATGATGTTGTGGCTGACTTTGTAGCCAATGGAAGAATTACACAGGAAGAAAGAGCTAAAATGGCACTTAGAAACTATCAGAGAAATGATGATATTATCAATGAAGCACTGGACAAGCATAAAAGCAATTGAAGGGTTGTTCATAAAGAAACTGTAACTTCAAGATTCCCTGCTTGGGGGCAATATGAAATTGATAAAGATGCAAAGAAACTTGCCAGGGCTTATACTGAGTGGCTTCAAGAATGGACTGCAGGAGCTATTTTGATGAATTTGGCCGCAGCCAGACCTCAGCAAGAAAAGCAATTTATTATTAGTGACATTTATGAAGAACTGTTCAATAGAGTTTCTGCTAATCCAATGCCACTTGATGTTCAACTTTATGACTTCGTTCTTCAAAAACTTTAATAAGTTAAAAGATTATTTAACAGAATCTGCATAATTAGTAAGATTAGTATTAATTTAAATAAAAAGTCATCCTATTTCTAGACTACCATAATATCTTAAAATTAAATCAAATTACCTTTATTAATTTTCAATTGATTTTTTGCACTCATTCCCTTCTTGCATATTTTCAGGGACATTTGGGTCTGCATTTTCGCATTTTTCTCTTTTTCTTTTTCCTAGCACTCCCAAGTCTTGGACTTCTCCATTCACAATTGTCGGAGCAGAAAAATCTTCTGGCTCTTCCATGGTCTGGGATTTCAATATATTTATACTCTGCTCCTGCTCCAATGCATCATCAATTTTCATCTTAATTTCATTCATCAGTTCATCGATTTCTTTAGCTTCTGCTGCATCACAAATCGTTTCTTTCGTTCCTTCAAGCTGTCCTACAGCTAGAATAAAATTTTGGGCGGCATCTTTTTCTTTGCCTGGCTGATTTAGAAAAGTTGTGCCGATTAAGAAAAATAATTCTGCTTTGCGTCTGGATGGAGCCTCACCCTGAATGCGGAATAAAATGGATAAGGCTTCTTGGTATTCGTGGCAAGCTTCTTCGAATAGTTCTTTCCAGGTTTGAAGGTCGCCAAGGCGGACATGAGTGAGGAAAAGATAGTGCAAGTCATTTTGGTGCAAATTCAAAATGACGCGGCAAGTTTCTAAGTTTTCCCAGGCAAGTTGAAGGTCATCCTCATCTTCATCATTTTCCACAGGATTGTTTCCTTCATTGCTTTCAACTGGCATTTCATTATTTTCTGCAGGAGCTTCATTATTTTCAGCTGGAGCTTCATTGTTTTCAGCTGGAGCTTCATTATTTTCTAATGGCGTTTCATTATTTTCCGCCAAAACTTCATTTTTGCAGTTTTCAGCTGAGTTTTCTCTATCCGATTCAGACCCGCTTTCTCCACTTTCATCAGATTTACCTTCATTTTCCACATTTTGAGGGCTTCCCATCTCAAAATTTTCTTCATCAGAGTAAACAACTCCTTCTGGGATCTCTTCTCCAAATAGCTGAGAATCCTGATTAGCTTCATATTGGTGGAGTATAGCATCAGCATAGTGATAGTAATTTTTATAAAGGTCTGCAGACAGCTCTCCTTGTCTTGCGACTTTTATTTCTAAGCTTTTCCCAAGCCTCTCGACTGCTATATCGAATAAATTTGATTTTAAATCTTCGAGACCTTGGAAAAATAAAGTGTCTGGATCTGGAGTTTCTTCGTGAATTGGAGAAGCGTCTTTGACTTCTTGATCTGCTATTTGGATTGCAGGGTCTTTTGATGAGGCTGGCTGGACTGTAGGAGTTTGGATTTCTTCCATACTTTTAAATTATAAAAGCCCGCGAAGTGTTAAATGGGATTTTGGCTGAGCAGAGTTAGTGCTAAATAGGGGTTTTAAAAAGAGTAATAAAGTAAGAATGCTTAAATTTAGATTTTACATAAATTAATGCTTATGATGGACCTCCCTTAATTTTCTATCATGCCGCTGCACATTTTCAATATTTTCTTTTGCTTGTTGAGCTGCGTCAATATTTCCTTGTCTAAGCAAAATGATGTCTTCTCTCACTTCTGAATCTGAAGGCAGGATTTGAGAAAACTTTACTTCATAAGGTCTAATGTGTCTTGCATCTCAGTATCTTCGCCCGTCAAAATCTATATACCCACAATAAGTTCCCTTAATAGTACTTATTGAGTTTCCATTACTATCAATAATAGACCCAAAAATATAATCAGATGGCATATTTTTATTCCCCCCGAACTGCAACTTGCACTTATACCCATTTCCTTCATCATTGAACTCAACAACTCCCAAGCTTTCATGCCTCATAGTCCCAAAAAACGTCCCAGAAAACACTTCTTCAGGACAATTCTGGCTAATACTTTGTCCATCAGGAAACGAGAACACTTTTCTCCCCACGTTTGTAATCTATATAAAATTTACAGTCACTGAATTTATCCTAGCTTTAGCAATAAAGTTGAAATACCCTGAGACTTGATAAGAATCGCTTGGTCCTTTTATTAGAAAATGAGAAACTGGTGGATGATGGCTTGATTGTTCTGCATATAGTTCGCTCCCATCTTCTAAATATCCATGAAGTGTTTCCCCTAATACAGGATTGAGAGGCTTTTCGAAGGTAGAAGTATGGATAAATGAGGAGATTGAAGAAACTATCACCAGTTTCATCCTTTCTACTGGGTCATTTATATATGCAGCCTTTGTGAGATATAAAGGATTCATTAATGCCGTTTTTAAGGTGTTGTGAAGAGCTGTATTTCCTTGCATGCAGCGGATTGGGAATGAAATTTGTGTGAGGTTTAGGTTGCCTGATAAAATTTTTTTGCCCATTTCTCTGATGATTTCTTTGCCAACACTTCGGAGTTTTGTGACTGTTTGTTGGTCAAGTAAAGCGAAGCCACCTGATGTATAGGCGTTAGAAGCTCTATAATCGTCTGAATATGGTAGAGGCTCCCAGTTTTTGGATTCTTCGATAATTGGGTTAATTGGTATTTCTTTGAAGGATATTTCAATAGGTGATGACGTAAGCTCAGAAGGTTTATCAATCGCAACTTCAAAAGGACATGAATTTTTCTTTTCTGAAGCGAGCTCATGCTGAAAAAATATATCGTTATTTGACTTTAAATTAGGAGTTGGAGGGTTTATTGAAATTCTTTCATCAATATCACTTAATTCATCTCCATCATTTGCGAACTCTTCATCGTCTTGTTCAGTTAGTAGAATCAATAATTGGCCAATATACTCTCTGAGAATTTTGGCTTCATCTTTGAGTTCTTGTATTTCTTTACCTGAATAAATCTTACAAAAAGCTTTTTCTACTGGAATAAATTCAGGATCAAATTCTCCACTTTCGCTTTCAGACTGAGTTTTTTGCTCAAATTCTTTTAGTTTAGTAAGTCTTTCAGGGTAGAGTTTGACAAGCTCTTCTCTAAGCTTATTATAAACGTATCATATTTGAGTATTTCGTGACTTGTAAGAATCATAGAGCTTTTTCCTTTTTTTCAAGGCTTTGGATTGGGATTCTAGTTTTTGTTTAAGCTCAACGCTATCATTATAAGAAGTAGTGTAATAATTTTGAAAGGTTTTGCGTGGAGAAGTCATTATTGGAGTATTAACACTTGGCCTATTCTCTTTAGTAGACATTTTTAAATAAATTACGAATGCAGCTATAGTGTGCCATTAAATCTGAGACAAGTTATTTAAGTAGGTCTATGCTGTATTGTTTTAGCGATAGGAATATCAGCAATTAATGTTATAAAAAAAATATTTTGCTTGATATGATTAAACGATGAAAACCTTCTTAAAATTTAACTAAAATAAAAGTATAAAAAATACTCAAAAGTGTAAGGACTATGCTCTCTTTAACTATTACAAAATAATATTTTTTAAAAAGCAGCCTAATTTACTTAATCATATTCTTCCTCTTCATCTTCCTTTTCTCTTTTTCTCATCATTTTCTGCAGTCTTTCTAGCATTTTTTTCCCTTGTGATTCAGGAAATCTGCTCAATTCAAAATAGTGAGGAGCAATCTCTAGCAGCCACTCAGCGTTTATTGGAGAAACTGTCCTTATATACTTATTCGGTGTAATCACAAACTCATGATAAATCGCCCACTCTGGTTTCCCTACGGTTGAACTCGGATGAATTCCAACTTGCTGTTTCTCCTTAAGCGTGATATAAACTCCAGCCCTTTCCTGATGCACCACATGCATAAAAAATCCACAAGCCAAGCACTTTCTCAAATTTTCGCTTAAATTATTTTTTTGTGATATCAATGGCAGCCCAAGTCTCGCCATTTTTTGACTCAATTGCTCTCGAATTTCAGCTGCCGATTTCAAGCTTTTTGGGTTTAAAAAGTTTTGATTGCATCATTCAATGTTTTGCCCTTCCCTCATATATTCATTAAAAACTGCCAATAAAGTTAAAAAGTCTCCATCCTGATGAATAAATTGCGCTTTTGCTTTATCAGCTGCTTCAGCATGCTCTTTTGTCCTGACAAATGGTGAATGTGAGGATAAAACAGAAACCAAGGTCAGAATTTCTTCACTACACACATATTTTGGGCTTGATATCAGAATTTTGCTCATCTCAACATCAAGAGGGAACTCTGCCATCCATCGGCCTTCACTAGTGAGTTCTCCTTCATCATTTATAGCATTTAAAAAATTCAAAGTTTCCAGAGCTCTCATCATGGTTTCTGGATTCGGAGGGTCAAGAAAATCAAAATTGGCCAGATCATGTAAGGACCCCCCCCCTCATTTGTCCAATTTTCTAGTCTTTTATCATTTGTCCATTTTTCTATTTTTTTTTATAGGAATAAAAATTTATTTAGGACCTCATTTATCCAATTTTCTAGTCAAAATTTTGATAGAAAAAAAAAATTTCAGGACCTCAATTGTCTCATTTTCTAGTTTTTTTAAAGTAAAAAACTAGAATTTAGGGCATTCGAAAAAATCCAAAAAAAACTAGAAAATTGGACAAATCATTTTTGACTAGATTTTGGGACAAATGAGGTCCTGAAAAAAAAAAAATTTCTTATAAAAAAAAGACTAGAAAATTGGACAAATGAGGGGGGGGTCCTTATATCTAACACTTTCATTGTCAGAACTACATTGGTTAAATTTGAACGTAAAATTTCAGGGATCGAGGCATCTTGTAAGGTCTCTTGATAAGTTCTTTCTGTGTAAAGTCTATAGCACTTTCCTGGCCTTGTTCTGCCTGCTCTTCCAGCCCTTTGCTTTGCCGAAGCTTTTGAAATAGGAGCAACTAATAAGCTTTCGACTCGAAGTCTGGGATTATAAACCTATGTAAGCTAATACGATTTATTTTTTACCTTCTGCTTAGATAGCCCTGCATCAATGACATATACAATTCCATCAATTGTGAGAGAAGTTTCTGCAATATTAGTGGCTACAATACATTTCCGCCCAGGGATGCCTTTAGAATTGTATCCAGGAGCAGGCTCAAATATTTTCTGCTGCATAGCAGGAGGGAGTGATGAGTAAATTGGAATTACAGAGAGTTTTCCTAAACTTTCTCCATATTTTGTAACTTCTTTTCTGATTAGCTTGCAAGCGTGCTCTATTTCTTCTTCTCCAGTTAAAAATACCAAAATATCGCCGGGGTCTTCAAAAGAATGAATTTGTATGACAGTTCTTACAGCAGCGACCGGATAATTTTCTTCTGAACTTTGGGAGTATAAAATTTCTACAGGAAACAGACGTCCAGGAATACTTAAAAGTGGAGCATTGCTAAAGTAAGACTGAAATTTTTCTGCTTCAATCGTTGCACTCATAATGATCAATTTTAAATCTACTCTCCTTCTCAGCATATACTTTAATAGTCCAAGTAAGATATCAGTTGACAGCGTTCTTTCATGAGCTTCATCCAATATAATGACACTATATTTGTCTAGCACCGGATCAGCCATAGCTTCCCTCAATAGCATGCCATCAGTTAAATATTTAAGAATAGTTTTGCTGCTTGAACATTCTTCAAATCTCACCGAATACCCTACTTCTTGGCCTAGCTCTACATCCATTTCTTCTGACACTCTTCTTGCTACACTCATAGCAGCTACTCTTCTAGGCTGTGTGCATGCGATCATCTTATCTCCTGCATATCCCTCATATAAAATGTACTGAGGTATCTGTGTAGTTTTCCCACTTCCCGTTTCTCCTTGGATCACTATAACTTGCTGCTCTGATAATAAATTTTCAAGCTTGTTCAATGCTTCACATACAGGAAGATGCTTTCTTTCTTCTACTAGTCTATGATATTTATTCGAATAAGGCTTCCCTGTAAATGGGTTTTCTTTGAATTCAAACAGATAGGATCGTCTGTCAGGAGACCTGGACCTTTCTCTACTCATAATAATTATTTTTACCTATTTAAAGTTTCGCCATCGTTTTTAAGATACTCAGGCAAGCTTTCCCTTGCGTGAAAAATCGACTTCTCCTCTTCTAGTTTCCTTTGTCTTTCAATTATTGCTTGAATCTCTTCTTCCTCCGCCGTTTCAGTGCCAAATATTTCTGCAGCTCGTTGCCGCTCCTACCTAGAGAATTGCCTTCAGTTTTACTTTGTGAAAATCCAATACTGCAAGCTGTGGGAGCTTATGGATCACATAGTAGCGATAGTTGGGGAGCTGAGTAACGAGATTTCCTACTAGAGATAAACGCTTGAGAGCTTTACAGTTGGTTAAGTTAGCGATTTCAGAGAAATCTCTGATCTGAATAGAAATTACATTGTTGTTTGTGAGAACTAAATTTTCAAGATATGGAAGATTTTTGCCGAATTGGGGAGAAATCCTAGAAATATGATTGTAGGAAAGAAGAATGGTGTTGAGACGTCGGAGCGGAGCGGTGTCTTCAAGCTTTGTGATTTCATTATGGCTGAGATCAATGCATTCGAAATGGTCCTATGTGAAAAATACCAGTGTAGCCCCAAGATTTTCAATGTGAGGGATTTTTAAGCCACGCAAAGAAATTTCATGCTCTCTAAGAGCGTTCATGTACTGAGGAGACCTTTGGATTAATTCGACGCTGATTTTCATCTTTATAAGACTTCTTATAGCTATAATTATAAATAAATTTAAGTTAGTAATTCTGTCGAGCTCCTGAAATATTTCTCTGTAATTTGTGGCACATGTCCTGCTTCTCCACTGAACGCGAAGCCGGTGTCTATATAAAATCTTACGTTTTACGGATAGTTTTTGCAAGCTTATTTGTGCCGCAACTTTTTCTTCTAGCGGCAGTTCTTGTAAAGCTTTTTCTCTATCGCTATCTTCTAGTTCTTCGTCTTCAAGCATCACAATTTTCTTTTTCCTTACTCACCACTCCGTTAACAAAAAATTGGGGGTTTAATTTTTTTTAAAAAGTATTTATAAAGTAATTTTTTTTCAAAAATTTAAAAAGTCCATATTCGCAAAATTTTTAAATTTTATGTTTTAAAATGAAAGCTGTTTAAAATTAAGCAGAATTTGATTATACTAATTATAATTTTTTTTCATAAAATTAAAAAAAATTTTGTGTGGGATTTTCCCATAGTTTTGCTCGCTAGCAGAGGGGAGGAGTTATTAAATCTATCAGCATTGTAGTATGAGTGATAAGAGGCTTGTAGAAAAAAAAGGAAAAAATCAGCAAAATAGAGCATAAATAAGTGTTCCCATCTGCGAACATTTGTGTTAGGCTTCCTTTGCTGTCATAATTATCAAGTCATTCACTTACAGGCAGCCATTCAGTTAAAATTGCTAGTATAAAGAAATACAATAAAACGCTGACACTGAGAATGGTGAGAGAAAACCAATAATGGGAATAGCTGAATTCTACTACTTTGCCGTTAGCTACTATAACAACAATAGCGAAGATAAGAGCTGAGCCTGTCCACATGCTGTTTGTTCGACCCTCTATTGAGGATGTTTCTCCACAAAGAGAAAACATCACGACTATTGTAATTGCTAGTCCTTGCAAAGAAGCTTCTAAAATTCATAACCAAAATATTGAAGTATTAAAAAGCCTTCCTTTTAGACCTAATAAATAGTGCATCGGATTTCCTTCAAGTCGCTTATAAGAAATTTCTTTATCGAATAGCGCATAAATTACAATAGGAAGTGAAGCAAAAAAGATATTAAAAGTCTGATAGGTCCATGTATTATACAAAATCTGCCCAGAATACGCTGAAAAAATCCCATAACAGAATAAAGGAATTACCAGTAAAACATTTTTATAGAAATTATAGCAAATCAAAGTAGCATTTTTGCGGTAGCTTTCGCGGCCATGCACAAACATAAGCCTTTTTAGGTAGGAAAATTGAGCAACTGAGTAATCAGAGGCACGGACAGCTTGCGCGCCTTCTAATCCAGCTATTCCAACTCCTACATGTGCAGCTGTTATCATGTTGACATCATTTGCTCCATCTCCTATACTTAAAGTTCTAGCTCCAATTTTATTATTTCGTATCATCTTGACTATATCAGCTTTTTGTTGTGGTGATACTCTGCAGGCCAAAACTACATTGCATTTGTCAGTCACCAATATTAATTTTTTTACTAATTCTCCTCTCATAGCTTTCAATAGTGCTTCCCCTGAAACCACTAAGGCATAGTGTGTATCAGTGTTTGCCCCAAACGATTTTATCCCCCTATCAAGTTCTTCGCTGACCTGCTGACTCCCCTCCATAAGCGAACGAAACCATTGGGAACATTCTTAATTTTTGGTAAAAGCCCACCAAAAATTTTTTTAATATGCAAATTTGAATAAAAAAAATATATTTCTACATGAGTGATAATTATTATAATGAAATCTCTAGCTAATTTTGTTGGAATTTAAATAGCTTACTTTTAAATATAAATTTTACAAATTAAATTAATTTTACTTCTCAGTTTTTACAATTTGGGACATTTTTAAAATTTCGGGCTCCCACCGGTGAGCGATCAAAATTTTTTTGTTCGCTCACGTAGTGTAGAGTGAGTTTTTGGAGAAGTCACCAAAATTCTGACCATTTCACTAGTAAGTAAATTACAGGAAAAACCAATATTGACTGCAGTTTCTACCTTGTCTCCTGTGAGGACCCAAATTTTTACGCCAGCATCTCTCAAAGCTTTAATAGTACTTGGGACATTGTCTTGCAGCTTATCTTCTATAGCTGTAGCGCCTATTAGATTAAGCTTTTGCTCTATTTCTTCTCCAACTTCATTAACTTTTTCTTCTCTATGGTGGATATCTTGCATGGCTTCTTCAAATTTCAAATTCCAAGCCAAGTATTCGCTTTCAGATAGCTCTCTACTTGCAATAACCAACGTTCTCAGTCCTTCATTTGCATACTTTTCTAAATGATTCCAAGTTTTAGGTATCAAATCACTTTGGTTCAGTCTTGGTAATATCACACTATCAGCGCCTTTGCATAATAATTTTATTTTTCCATCTGGATTTTTCACAATTACAGTCATTCTTTTCCTATCACTTGTGAATTCAATAACATTTAGCAGCTTAAAATGCATTTTCCTTTCCCCAATTTTAATTTCAATATTCATGTCTTGGTCTCTTGCTATAAACTCATACCCAAAAAACTTGGCTGCATTAACTAAAGCTAACTCATCAGGGGAACTAGCTTTGTATACAAGCTCGCCGTCTTTCATTTCAGAAATTATAGTGTGGCAGCAAGCTAAATGCATCATAAATTCTATAATCATAGGGTCACTATGGTCAAGGCTGTTGTCAACGAAGTCTACATGAGGGATTTTGTATTGCAAATCTAAATGGTCATCGGTTCCATATGAAGTTCCAAGTACCGAAAATTTCCGAAACTCCATCACATTGCAAGTCAAAGTTCCAGTTTTGTCAGAAAACACGTAATTAATTTGGCCTAATTCTTCATTAAGGTTCGAGCTTTGGACACCAGCTGGGGTATCTGTAGGTTCGTAATATAATTTCAAGTCCCATGCAATAAAAACAGCTTGCAAAAATTTTACCATTTCAAGAGTGACTATTAAAGAAATAGGGACAAAATTTGTAAAAATTAGCGTCCATGTAAAGAAAATTACAATAAATTCAACAAAATCAGCATGGCCAGTTCTTGTTAAATCCAAGTAAATATCTGTCTCGTATTTGTAGTCTGTGTATCATATTGCATAATAAGATGCACAAAAAACGCAAATTCCGAGCTGTAGCAGGAAAATATAAATGACCTCTCTGTTCATATAAGATTCTAGACTTGACACTTTTGCTCGAGATTTGGCAGAATTCAGCATAATTTTGGTTTGGTGGCCTGTGTATACGACAAGACCTGCAATTCAATCAGTGTTTTTTAATGAAGATCCTCTTAATAAAAATTGTTCATTAGATAGTGCACTAGTTATTCCTTCAATCTTTAAGAGACCATTGAAATTATAAATCATTGGATTTGGGTCTTCACATTTAACACTACATGTAAAATAATCAAATTTGCTCGGATCAGAAAAATACTCCTGTGTGCTTTTATTCGCCAATTTATGTTTTAAATTGGTTTCTCCATCTAGATTTTTCGTTTCAATATAACAAATTCCTTTTGTGTCGCAGCTTGATAGTAAAATCATATCAGCAGGAAAATATTCGTCTTTACTCACAAATAAAACATCCCCGACCTTTACTTGCTCCCATTTTATTTTGACTCATTGACTATTTTGTCTTTTCTTTATTAATCGATTGTTTTCTTCATTATCTGATCTTTTCCTTTTCATATCTTCAAGCAAATCTTTAATTGCACTAACAGTCAAGACAAAACCTAAAGGCAATAAAATGTTTGGGACTCCTCCAGATACTGATATTTCTGGAATAGCTTGTAAAACTGCAACTACAAGGAAATAAACGTTTGCCAGTTTTTGGAACTGGAATCATAAATTTTTAGGGAGGAAGGTAACACAGTTATATTTGCTTGTAGAAATTTTGTTGAAAGGGAAAGGGTTGATTTCTGGTAAAGGGATTTTGAAATTCCTTTCAGACATAACGAGAGTCGTTGCTCTTCTGCGAGATATATCGCTTTCTATAAGAGGGTCCTTCATTTTATTCTACCTCTAATAGTTATATAATGATTTATGGTACTGAAAACTCCTGATAGATTACTGTGATTATTTTCATAATTCGAATACGCGAATTAAATAATTTTATCAACTTTCCAATTTTACTTTAAGAGAATAGGATCTATTGATTTGGAGCGACTTAAAAATATGCAATTGGAAGCTTTGCATCAGAGGAGATAGGATTATACTATTATAATTTGACAATATTAAAAATGTCAGTTAGGGATATGTCCTAGCTCCTGCCACAAACAGGATGGACTTATAAACCGAGCTTAGTGAGAGAAGTCTAGCTTCTTGAGAGTCTCAGCTTGAAGAGAAGGGTCGGTGCTGATCCTGTCACTGACTAGAGACATCTTACAGGCTTATTAACTTTAACGGTTCGACGGTTAAGCCGGTTCACCTACCGTTGTTCAGAGCTGTTAATTTAGCTGAACCTCAAGTGAAGGGGAATTTCAGGCACAAAAAATGCTACAGTAATTATATTAAAAAATTAAAATTATAATTTGGGATTTATTGCAAAATAATCAAAATTAGAAACAAGAACGAAGTTTTACAAGTTATTATATTTGAAGTTCACAGTCTTTTATTAGACTTAATATTAATTATTGCTAGGCATTTGATAATACTTATGCTGCATCATTTTCAAATATAAAGACGAAATTATTAAGGGTTAATTTATTTTAAGTTAATATTGATTATTAATTGCATGAATTAATTTATTCCTCAAAATGTCTATTTTCGAATTGGCCAAATCTTTATACACAATTTTATTTTAGCTAAAATTAATGAATAACTATTTAGTTACTCTTCTTAATTTGAGAGCTGGTAAAGCTTGACTTCACCTTGCGAAAGATAAACTGGAACTCCGCTACTTGTCACAGTCACACAATCGCTGGCCCAGAAAATATTGCAAAGCTTGTCACCAACCTTATAAGGATGATAAGAAACTGTATAGGACAAGTTGTTATCAGTATTACTGAAAGCCATCATTGCCATCCCTCTAGTAAAGCAATAGAAGTTGGTATCCACATACCTTTCAATCACTGGATAATTCCAAATTTGATTGTTCTTTCTATAGTGAACAACCTTAGAAACAAACTGGTACATCTGAGAATTGGTATTCTGCAAGTTAGTCCAAAGGATTTCTCTATTATAAGGATCATTTCCACCAGCATAGCCTTGCTCGTCTCCGTAGTAGAGAATAGGGATGCCAGTCCAAGTCATGCTCCAGGCAATGGCATTTTGGAACCTGTTAATCTTGTAATAGTTGTATAGGAATCTTGGATTGTCATGATTATCCACGAAGTTTCCTAATAAATTGACGTTTTTGAAGGCACTTTCTTCTTGGCTCTTGAAGTCTCTCACTTTATAGAAAGATTGTCCGCTTTGGAACAAGTCTTTAATAAGCCAAAACATCGGGTAATTTAGAGTGGCATCAGTAGGTCCTTGGTATCCAGCATTTACATTGATGCTACCATTATCGACCTCGCATACTGTATATACTCCGCTTGCTTGAGAAAACAATGACCAGAACCAAGTTGGGACTTCCATACAAGTGTCAATTCTGAGTCCGTCAAGATTGTATTTGGTTACAATCCATTGCACCCAGTTTAATAGCTGGTCTTTGACGTATGGGACTGTCTGGTTTAAGTCGGGAAGATCAGCAAGCCAACAGTTTTCAATGCTCCATTGGTTATTTCAGTCAATTTGGCAATATGGATGGTAATATGACTGTTGGTTAAATGGGTTGATGGACCCAACATTATTAAGGCCTACAGGGCCAACATGGTTTGCGACGACATCAAGCATGACCCACATGCCTCTTGAGTGCATGGCACTGACTAAGTTAATAAAGTCCTGCTCACTTCCAAAATGAGAATTCAAGGAAAAGAAGTCTTGGGCCCAATAGCCATGGTACCCACCATCTGTATTTGCGACAACTGGAGAAAGCCATATGGCATCAAAGCCCATGTTCTGAATATAATCAAGGTTGTTCATAATTCCAACCCAGCCACCACCACAATAATTGCCTCACTCTCCCTCAAGTTATCAAAGCATTATATTTTGTAAATTATTCCCATTTTAAGAGCGAGCATAAATTGATTATATAAATTTTTTCTTATAAACAAGATTTATATAGCCAACAGTTTTTATAATAAGATTCCCAGTTAATTCTATGAAATTTAAGACAGCCCGTATTCTTAAAAAGAAATTTTTACAAGTTGAAATAGTTTTCATTTACAAATATTTGCAATTGTGATTTCTAAAACCAAAAATTGTATAGCTCTTCAAATTCTAAAAAAATTATCGCTCACAAGGGAGTAAATTCCCACAACCGCTAGTGTCTCCGTTATTTCTGGCAAATCTATCAGTAAGGAGCTGATAAATTGTCCTCGACTGCCATTGAGAAGCGGAACCTGCAAGTGCAACAGCAAGAATGAACGAGATCAATAACAACCTCATTTTATTATTATAAGCCAATTTTTATTAGTTCGACAAATGGATGACAAGTTTTCAGTGAAAACAGCCTTGAGAATTTAATAATGAAACATGGAGATTACCGAATTTAAATAGAAATCACAATTAAAAATGGTGGCATAGGTTAGGGGTTCAGTCCCCTAGTCCTTTTCCTAGTGAGGGAAGTTCCGACTTTCTGAAGGAAATCAGCATTTGGGACTGCTTCGGCAGCCCCAGATTGTCATTTACAAGCTCAAGAAAGAGAGAGAGACTCGTCCGGGCCAGAGGCGTCTGTAATGGTTCGACGGTTAAGCCGATTCCACCTACCGTTGTTCAGAGCTGTACGCCCAGAGGATAGAATTATGAAGGAGGAGCTTTACAGTTAAAACCCTAAGCTAAGTGGGGGTTTGGCAGAGTTATCGTAATCTTAATCCTAAATAGAAATCTCACCTAAATATTGTTGAAAAAATTGATTTTAAATAAAAAATTATTTCGTGCAGTATAAAAGCAGGAAAATTAATGGAAAATTCGAGAGTATAAAAAAACGGATTATAAGAGGTATATGGTCAAGCATAGGTCGCAACCCCACACCCCCACCCCCCCATCCCGGCTTTTTAATGGTACCCCACCCCCCCCTAAAAAATGGCACACCCCACCCCCCCTAATATAGCATAAATATATGACAAATGCCAATTTAGAGCAGACGTAATAAATAAATTATTATTTTAAATATTCAAAATTACTGATTTATACAATGTCCACATAGCGTAGCACAATCGATTAAGGAGTAGGTGGAATGAGGTGAGAATTTCCTATAACTACTAACTCCCCCCCCCCCCCTCCGTGAGCGAACAAAACCATTAGAAAAATCGCCATTTTTTGACCCAAAAAACCCACCCTCCGTGAGTGAACAAAAATTTTTTTAATAGAAAAAATTTTAATGAAAAAAATTTTGATATATAAGTGATAATTAGTATAATGAAATCTAGAGCTAATTCTGTTTAATTTTAAACAAATTGCGTTTTAAAACATAAATTTTGCAAATTAAATTAATATTTGCTTCCCAATTTTTGCAAATTAGGATTTTTTTAAATTTCGAAAAAAATATTTTTTATAAAAATTTATATATAAATTTTTTTAAAAAAAAAAATTAACCCCCCTCCGTGAGCGAACAAAATTTTTTTGTTCGCTCACGGAGGGGGGGGGGGAGTAAGCACACCACATATGAAAATTTGTTAGCGAGCATAATAATGATCTTTGGTATTAATTAGCATTATATCCTGCATATATTTATGAACTTTGTGGAACAATGGCTAAAAGTCGAATTAGAGATCCAAAAGTAAAACTGGCAATAGCAAATACTATTTTATTACCACTATTGAATCCTGTTACCAATTCAGTCCTGCAATCCTTTTACAATGGACATTAGATTAGCTTTAATGTATGAATCAATAAATTTAATGCAAGTTATTGTGTTGTGCTTGGCTCATTTAATAATTAATGCCATTATCTATATCTTTGGCATTATATTTATAAATATAAAAAGCAAATTTAATATATTTTCTAATTAATTGCTAATTAATTTAAATTTATTAATTAATCATAAATATAAAGTAATTTGTGGACTTAATTTATCAATATAGTGTTTTAATTGGGCTATATTTAATTTATTTTGCTTATTTCCTATCAATTACTTCTATAGAATAAACCCGAGAGGGGGGGTGGGGGTGCCATCTTTGAAAGGGGGGTGGGGGGTACCATTTTTAGGGGGGTGGGGGTGTGGTTGCTACCTATGCTTGGCCAGGTATATATAAAATAATTTTAAAACATTTTTTTAAAGCAAATGGATTTCAAGCCATTAGGATAAGAATTAATTAAAAGGCATTTTTTGCAATTTATTTTTATAGATTTCTGAGATCGATTATATCAGCATTTCGAATTTATTCGGTTCTGAATCTAACTATAATAAATAAATGGCTTGGATTAAAGTGCTAGCTGTCGCAATCGCGATATCAAGTATTTGTGCTCAAACACCAGAGGATACCCTGACTGAGCCAGTGGCTGCAGCTCCATACCCTGCTGGTGACAACACAGAATTACCATCTACCACCGTCGAACCTTACACTGAAGAAGAAAGCAGCGTCGAAACTGCCCCAGAAGAGACTACTGAAGAAGCTACTGAAGGCGTAGGCTCCACTGAAGAGGCTGCTACAAGCGAAGAGGAAACTTCCCAAGATGGGCAAACCTCTGAGGAATCAACTCAAGAAGAGACTTTAACTGAAGAAGAAACCCCAGTTGAAGAAGAAACATCCACAGGTGAAGAAGAAACACCATCAGAGGAAGAGGATGACCCTACTAGAGAAGAGACACCTCCTTCAACAGGAGGAGAGACTGACCCAACTCAAGAAGAAGCTCCTTCAACTGAGGAGGAGGCAGATTCTACCCAAGAAGAGGAAACACCAACAGAAGAAGAGACTGACCCTACTCAAGAAGAGGAAACATCCACAGGTGAAGAAGAAACACCAACAGAGGAAGAGACTGACCCTACTCAAGAAGAGGAAGCCCATTCAACAGAGGAAGAGACTGACCCAACTCAAGAAGAGGAAACCCCTTCAACTGAGGAGGAAACCGATCCTACCCAAGAAGAAGAAACTCCAACAGAAGAAGAGACTGATCCTACTCAAGAAGAAGAAACATCTACAGGCGAAGAAGAAGCCTCAGAAGGCACTGAAGAGGAGGGCACCACTGAAGAAACAGAAACTCCAACTGAAGAGGAATCTACTCCTACTGAAGAGGAATCAACTCCTACTGAAGAAGAATCAAGTTCTACTGAAGAAGAAACTTTTCCTCACTCCCCCCCATCCTTGATCGAACGATTGACTGTAAAAATTCCTAAAAATTGGGGAAATTAACCCCCATCCTTGATAGAACGATTTTCATATCATGCAAATTTTTATATATATAAAAATATATTAGTAATCAAAAGCTTGGGAAGATGTACCTAATGAAGTTGTTTTCAGAGCTCTGAGACGACAGAAAGCTGCGGAATCAACCATCCGAAGTGATTTAGTCATCAACCTAGGCTTAAAAACTAAATAATCTAATAAAAGAGAGATTCTTTAAAATTTAAAAAAAAAAAAAAATTAATTCAATAAGGAACAAATTAAAATTTATACGGTTTTAAAAGGGTAAATAATAAATCAAAATATTAAAAATTGGTATTTTATGAAATTAATTCAATTTTTTGCTGTAAAAATAATTATTAAATACTCTTTAACACTCTTATTTAAAAGTAAATAAAAAAAAATATATATATATATTTTTTATTTTATATATAATTTTTTTTTCCAAAAAAAATTTTTTAACCCCCATCCTTGATCGAACGATGGCGAGTCGTTCGATCAAGGATGGGGGGGAGTCAGCCACTCGACGAAGATGACGACTTTGATGACGTCACAAGAAAAAGCATAAACGTTAACCTCGTCCAAATGGGAGTCAAAGTTGTTATGCCAGAAACTCCAAAGAAAGACTCCATTTATACTGCTAAAACAACTGAGTCAGGTTGGGGGATGACACTTATTCAATTAGGAGCTATTGCTGGAGTCGCGTATTTCGGCGGAAAATACTACTTTTCTTACCGAAAGCGCTCCACAAGAGTCAAATATGCATTCCAAGAAGGTGAATCTCAAGCTCCATACAGCAGACTCATCAAATCTATATAGGATACTTAAATTTATAATTATTTTATAGATTTCCTCAATATTTTAAAAATATATCATGGACAGAGACCCGAAGCAGTATTTTAGCTCTCAGTTTGCAAGAAATTCATATCCGAATAATTTTCAAGGTCAAGGGGATCAGAATTTAAGCAATAGTACACAATTTGATTATTATCACTTCGAAGCACCCATCAATCAATCACAAGATCGAATGATTTATAGCCAAAGAGATGAGGTTTATAGATATAATGAATATAGGCAGGAAGAGCCAGTTTCTCGATCATTATATGCAGATTCACAAGAACCATGAGCAAACTATAGAGATATTGATCCACAACATCAAAATTTTTCAGGACAAAGGAATTTCGATTCAGCAATTCGAGAAGATAACGAAGGATTTGTTGAAGTAAAAAGCAAAAGAAGTAATAAAAAAAGGAATCCTGGAGCAAGCGATCTAAAACCGTGAATGATGGAAATTTTTTCCAATATTTCAGAAAAGGTAATTGCGGATGCTATAGCGAAATTTAAAGGAGATATTAATCAAATTTGTGAATATTTAGCTGAGGAAGGAGAAAAAGTTAGCTCTCCAGCCAAAGCTGAAGCTAAAGAATTTAATATGTTTACTTACAAGACAAAACCTTGCAAAGCAAAAGAAAAATGCTTACTCCCCCCCTCCGTGAGTGAACAAAAAAAATTTTGTTCACTCGCGGAGGGGGTTAATTTTTTTTTGTTTAAAAAAATTTATTTTCGAAATTTTTAAAAAAAATCCTAATTTGCACAAATTGGAAAGCAAATATAAACTTAATTTATAAAATTTATGTTTTTAAAAGGCAATTTGTTTAAAATTAAACAGAATTAGCTCGAGATTTCATTATAATAATTATCACTTATATATCCAAATCTTTTTCCATAAAAAAATGTTTTCTATTAAAAAAATTTTTGTTCACTCACGGAGGGTGGGTTTTTGGGCAAAAAATAGGGATTTTTCTAATGGTTTTGTTCACTCACGGAGGGGGGGGGAGTTAGTCTCCCCCTTTTAAATTGAACAAAAAATTTTGTTCTAATTTAAAGAGATTAATTTTTTTTTAAAAAAAATATAATCTGAATCCATATTTTTTTAATCTTATAAAGAATTTAATCAGCAAATTAATTGATTTAGTGTGAAATTATTTAAATAATATTCTATTTGCAGCTTTTCCATTAAACTAGGTGAAAACTCTTTTTATAAAATATGTATTTTCACCTAAATATTTTCCTAATTATTTTAAAAAGCAAATTTGATCCAATTTCAAGGGGTTTAAAGTGAAATTTTTCTATTTTTCCTTCAAATTCTAAAGGGAGAGCTAAATCCTTATTGCCATTACTATCACTTTTTAGGAGAAAGACGAAGACCTCCTAACACATATCCTTATTCCCCAGAACTATGCAGCCAATACATGAATTGCCCACATCAAGACTTATGTAGAAAAGCTCACAATCCAAATGAAGTTTTATATCACCCTCAAGTATTTGTGACGCAGCCTTGCCCTTTGCCAAAGGTAGGAGATCTTTGCATTGAAGGATCAAGGTGCCATTTTAAACACTCATCAGGAAATAGTTCGCTTTTAGAAGAAATAAATAGATTGAAAATTGCAGATGAAAATAAAAAAAGAGAGCTAGGCAGAGTACTGGGAGATTTAAGTAGCAAAAAGAAAGAGAAGGATGAAATGAGCGTGAAAATAAAATGCTTGTATTGTAAAGAGAAAATACGAGAAGTGATGAGAATTCAGTGTGGGCATGCTCTTTGTGGGGTTTGTGTACAAGATGTAGTTTGCAAAGTTTGTGGCAAAGAAGGAATTGTAGTACCTATAAATTTAAATGGAATTGTGTTCTAACTTAAATTTTAATTTGAATCGCATAATGCTAGGAATTAACTTAAGGATAATAATAGTCTCGAGTTAAACTTATTTTGAAGTTTGAATTAAGTAACTTCAATGTATTCCTTTTTTAAACTAGAACAAAAAATCGAATCATCCCTATTTAAATTTCATTTTATTGCAATATATCAGAGGCTTCATCACACGATAGCATCCAAAGATATGATGGCGATATCAAGTTTAATATCAAATTTTTTAATTCAATAATATCAATTCAATTTATTATTGATTATTATGCTATTCAGACTAGAATTTTATAAACTAATAAAAATGAAATTGAATCTTAATCCCAACTCTCAATTATCATTCAACATCAACTTTATTTGAAAAAAAAAGAGATTATAATTATATTTCTTTAGGCAAAACGGTTCTAGCATAAAAGAAATATTCACTTTCTAAATATAAAATCTTATAAAATGTTTATAACTGATTGAATTTCTACATAATCTAAAGGAATTGTATCCTTATAATTAAGTTTAACTCTAAAATATCCTGTTTGATCCCACTGGCCATGGAACATCCAAAGCTTTCTTGTGATGGACGATTGGGACATAAGGAATTGCTAATTCAATCCCATTCATCCACTTCTCCAAAGCAATGCAGCAAGAGAGTCTAGAATGTGGAGAAACAAACCCTATTGCCCTCACGAGCTGGTTGTACTCAGTTTTTCCAATGTCTTTCAAATAATTCACCCAAGGCTCGAAAACCACGACTTGGCATTCACTGCAAACAGCACCATATCTCATATTATCTGGAGGATTTTCAGTTTCTGGAGCATGCAAGTCTCCTCCTCTACAGCTGCAAGGTATGGGGACATTGTTTTTCTGCAAAGCGTACATCATTGACTCGCCTTCGTAGCCTGGGATTACACGCTTATTTCCTTCTTGATCAATGACATTGATCCACACTGTTTTGTCAGTAACTTTTGGAATTTTAGATTTTTGATGAGATTGGATTTGGCCTGCGAGTTTGACTGTGACTTTGGATAGGTTGGAAACCTTGAAAGAAACTCGAGAGCAGAACATATTTATTATATGAAATTATTTTTGTTTTATTTAAGCTCGAAATAAATAAGATTTTTACAATTATAGATTCTGAAGATTTATTGATATTGATTCTAATAAATATACCCCGATTCAAAGCAGAGATTGGGCTATAGTGGTTTTATTTAATTTAATTAGAAATAATTAATTGTTAGAATATGGAATTAAATACTTCCGTGAGCAAACAAAATGATTTATTTCGCTCACGGAGTTAATTTTTTTTTAAATATCAAATTTTTTTGAAATTCCAATTGAAAAATAAAAATTTACAAAATTTTATGTTTTGTTTAAAATTAAAATAAATTAGCTAGAGATATAATACACTAATTATCACTTACATATCAATTTTTTCATAAAAAATTTTTGTTTGTTCAGAGAGTGGGTTTAAGGCAAAATTTGGATTTTTCCATGGTTTGTTCACTTATAGAGGGAGGGAGCAAGTGCTCTTAAAATTAATCAACGAACTCTCAAATGCTTAATAATTTGCAAAAATATTTCATGGTTTAATTTATTATATTTTTCAAAGCAATGTTTCAGAGCATTTTCAATGCTAATAAAAACTTTAATTTTTCAATTACTTTAAATGCAATTCTAAATTTCATACCTTTTTCATTTATTATCCTGGACAACCAATCTTACAAAATTATTAAAATAAAGCATTAATCCTTGTGATTAATAAAATGGCAGTCTTCCAAAACGATGTGACAAGGTCAATCCAAATGAACGTTCGCAAGTCCAAACTTCACTCCACCTCTGAGTCCACAATTTTGGTCGTTTACACCGGTGGCACGATTGGAATGGTTAAAAGTGAGAGCGGTTATATCCCCGAAAGCAACATCTTTCAAAACTCACTCCGCTCAAATATTCGCTTCCACGACGCAGAAGAGCATCATCGCCGTTTATCTCACCCAGGCTACTCAAAAGACTTCTTTATCACACCTCTTTCTTTTTATAACAAACGAATTATCTATAAAATTCTCCAAATGGTTCCTCTGCTTGATTCAAGCTGTATGTCAGTGCGAAATTGGATTCAAATTGCTGAAGTTATTGAAGAAAACTACAAACTTTATGATGGGTTCGTCATTCTCCATGGGACTGATACAATGCCATATACTGCTTCAATTTTGAGCTTTATTTTGGAAGACTTAGGAAAGCCAGTTATCATTACAGGGTCACAGATTCCTTTTTCTGAAATAAGAAATGATGCAGTTGATAACTTATTAGGAGCTATTACGATAGCTGGACATTTTGCGATCCCAGAAGTTGGCCTTTATTTTAATAACAGGCTATATAGAGGGAATAGAACTTGCAAATACGACAATTCATCGTTTGAACCTTTTAAAAGTCCTAATATGAGGTGTCTTATAAAGGCTGGGATAAATTTTAAAGTGAACTGAAACCTTATCAGGATGCCACACAAAGGAGGGAAATTCAGAGTCCATAAAGACCTCGACAGCAACATTTCAGTTGTAAGCTTTTCTCCAATTATGACAGAAGAGTCTCTATTAGCTAGTATAAATCCCCACACGAAAGCAATTATCATTCAAACTTATGGCGCTGGAAATATTCCTGACAATCGGCCAGAATTATTAGACGCTTTAAAAAGAGCGAACGAAAGAGGAATTGTGATAGTGAACATCACTCAATGCAAAAAAGGAGGAGTTTCAGACAGTTATCATTGTGGACAAATCCTTGGGAGGGCTGGAGTCATTTCAGGAAGAGACATGACTTTTGAAGCTGCCTTATGCAAACTGAGCTATTTGTTAGGAAAATACCCTGGGGAACCTGAAAAAGTTAAGAGTGAGGTGTCAAAGGATTTGAGAGGAGAAATGACAATTGACCCAGAGGAGATAGATTTTTCACTTACTATGAAAGAAATTATTAAAACGATTGGCAATGTGTTAGGAATTTATACCCAACAAGACAGAGACGATGTAACTGAAGAAATTCTACCAATTATCATAAATACAGCAGCTGCGCAAGACAATATTAGAGAGCTGACACAAATCAGACACGAAGGCATTAGCTTGGAGCTGTGTGATTATGAAGGGAAAACCCCTCTTCATGTAGCTTGCAGCACAGGCAAAAAAGAAATTGTTTCATTTCTTGTAAGGCAAGAAGTGAATATCAATTCAATTGATTCTCAAGGCAGAACGCCATTGATGGAAGCCATAAATCATGGGCATTTTGAAATTGCTAGAGAATTAATCAAATTTGGAGGGATCATTAGCTGTCCAAATGAACAGCTCGCACCAATGCTCTGTTATGCTGGGATGAGAGGTGACCTGAATAAAGTTAAAATCTTATACAAGTCAGGGGTAAATATCAATGTAATAGATTACGATAAAAAAACTGTAGGACATTTAGCAGCTGCAAATAATCATTTGGATGTGATTCGGTACTTAAAGAATAAAACTGACTATAAATTTGATGCAAAAGACAATAATGGAATGACTCCTGCAGAGATTGCAGAATATAAAGGGTTTCTGGAAATCTCAAATTGCATTAAGAATACAGATCAATAATACTCACATTTAATAGATTTATTTAAACAAAAAGTGAAATTAATTTTTTAATGGTCTCTGCTTTTATAAGCATGAATTTCTTGATATATTAAGTCCATTATAATAATACAATGCAAGCAGAATATTAAAATGCATAGTTTTCTCCAAAAATAAGCTAGAAAGCTGTGCATCTAAATTCTATGATTTAAAATTCATTATTTTTTATCCTGCTTATACGCCTTAATGCTTATCTAGAAAAATTCAATAAAATTAATGGAGGAACCAAATCAAGAAAATCCCTCAAGCCATGATTTTAGTCTACTTATTAAAGAAATTAATGCTGAAATCGATAAGGTTTCTATACTCGATACTAAAGTTGAGGAAATAGAGACTTGCTATTCTCTTAAGCCATGATCTTTTAATGGAAATTTGGAAAGTTTAAAATCTGATATTCAAATTAAACTAGAAAGCCTAGGCTTATTTAAAAATAGAAGTGATGAAATTAATAATATAGTAAAATTCAACGATGAAGCCAGTCTTATTTACTCAAAATACATGCTAAGCTACAGTAACCTCTGTCATAAAATTGAAAAATTCTTTTTACAAGTTAACTTTGATATGACACACTGTTATGGTCTTCCTTCTAACAAAGAATGCACTCTTTTTGTCTACAATCTGGAGGAAGGGAAAAAAGAAAAAGTTGTCATTGAAGAGCTAAAATCCCTTGACTCCAGCTCATGTTTAATTCAGCTTCAAAATAATGAACTTTTCTGTTATGAGAATAAAGGATCACCATATTATGGGACTAATTGCTCCTGAATAATTGATTTAAACACTTTTGCAATCAAAAAAGCATTCCCCAGTTGAAATTTGTCCATAGGAGCAGGAGGAATTTACCTGGAAAATAAAGTAATATTATTTGGAGGATATAGAAGAAGAGATTTCTTAAAGGAATGCTCTCAATTTGATTTGATAAAGCAGAAATGAACCCAGCTCCCACCTATTCTAGTAGATTCTTACTCCCCCCCCCCCCCTCCGTGAGCGAACAAAAAAATTTTGTTCGCTCACGGAGGGGGGTTAATTTTTTTTTTAAAAAAAATTTATATATAAATTTTATAAAAAATATTTTTTTCGAAATTTAAAAAAATCCTAATTTGCAAAAATTGGGAAGCAAATATTAATTTAATTTGCAAAATTTATGTTTTAAAACGCAATTTGTTTAAAATTAAACAGAATTAGCTCTAGATTTCATTATACTAATTATCACTTATATATCAAAATTTTTTTCCATTAAAATTTTTTCTATTAAAAAAATTTTTGTTCACTCACGGAGGGTGGGTTTTGGTCAAAAAATGGCGATTTTTCTAATGGTTTTGTTCGCTCACGGAGGGGGGGGGAGTTACCAAATTTCTTGCGTAGTGTTTAAAGATATCATCCTTCTCTGCGGATTTGTTCACGCAAGGGTTTATATATATGACCTGAGAATAGAAAGCTGCTCAGAAATCTCTTCTATCAATTTAAATCCTTTGAAACTTAAATCTTTGATGACTGCAAACTCAAGAGCATATGTATTTGAGTATAAGGGTGGGATTTTCGAGACTGAAACTGAAGATGAATATAATTGAAGTTTCATTGGGAACATTCCCAATGAAAATCTTATTCCTTTTAAAATGTATGACCAAACATTGATCTTTGCTGAGAGTACGAAGACGGAAAAGGTATCATTTTATAAATTTGACTTAATTGAAAAGAAATTGAGGAAAATATCATATTAAATAATGGAATAATTTTTCTATAAAAAATAAATGTTTGGGTATAAATCTAAGTAACGAAACCTTTCTTTGAGCAACTGTGATATTTTGAAATTCGAGGTATTAAATTTTCGAGGGATAATTTCAGCAGCAAAAGAATGTGAAAATGTTGTTAGAAATAGCTTTAAATTTGCTTCTTATGACACACATTATCAATTAATTAGTTGCTGCAAGGCTATTGACTTATTGCGATTCACTATCATAAAATTTAAGTAAAAATCAAGTAAAATGCTTTACTTGATTGCTTAACATGCTTTAAATCCAATCTAAAAAGAAATTGTAAAGAAATACGTTTCCATTTTCTGCAAGTGCAAATGAATAAATGAAATAAACTAGAGAGTTAAAAAATGCACTAATTTGTTTTCCTATAAACCCTATCAATTTTTCATATAGCGACTTCAGATAATTTACATCCTTTAGAATTTAATTATTATCATTTGCTTGCTGAGAAATTTTAGTATAATTTGTCTGGCATTCAAACAAAAACTGATGGTCTGCAACATATTGATAATCATTTCAAAATCTAACTTCCTAACTCCCCCCCCCCTCCGTGAGTGAACAAAACCATTAGAAAAATCCCTATTTTTTGACCAAAAACCCACCCTCCGTGAGTGAACAAAAATTTTTTTTAATAGAAAACATTTTTTATGGAAAAAAATTTTGATATATAAATGATAATTAGTATAATGAAATCTAGAGCTAATTCTATTTAATTTTAAACAAATTGCTTTTTAAAACATAAATTTTATAAATTAAATTAATATTTGTTTCCAATTTTTGCGAATTAGGATTTTTTTAAATTTCGAAAAAATATATTTTTTATAAAATTTATATATAAATTTTTTAAAAAAAAAAAATTAACCCCCCTCCGTGAGTGAACAAAAAAATTTTGTTCACTCACGGAGGGGGGGCGGAGTAAGCTTTCTGCAAGTATTCAGTCTCTTAATAATAAAATCTTACATTTTACCCATTTTTATAGAAGAATCAAGTATTAGACAAAATAATAATCGAATGCTGCAAGAAAATGGAATTGAGGACATTGCCAAACAGTATTGGCAAAAAGGCAACGAATGCTATCAAGAAAGCAACTTAATTGAAGCCTTAGAAAACTATCACTCTGCGGTTAATGAAAACCCCGCCCTTTTTGAGGTTCATTGTTTAATAGGCAAAATTTTATATGAATTTGGGAACTATGAAGATGCTGTCGACGCATTTAACCATGCAATATTGAAAAACCGTGAGTACCCCGAGTCATTCTTGCAGAAAGGTCAAGCTCTATGCGAGCTTGGAGACTTTGAGGAATCAGTAAGATGTTTTGATATAATCATAGATAAATGGCCTGATTATGCAGCTGCCTATGTAAACAAAGCTTAAATTAAACTTAAACTTACAGGGTGGCGTCTGCCTTATTGGTTACGCAGTCACCAAGGACCTACCCATACGGGTGGTTCATCCACTTTGCGCTGTCTTCAGCTTCGCCTTGATTGAATTGGGACAATGATTTGCTGGGCGAGTTTCAGCTCTGACACCGTCCTTCTTCTCCTTCAGCGCCTGACGCCATGGCACTTCTGAAGTGTGGGGTTCTGCTTCGTACGTCTCCTCCTTCCCTTTCGGGTCCAGTTTTGAGTGGGCGGACTATGGACTTCTGCGGCTGCTGCATGAGTCACGAGGTTGGCCAACCAAAAATTCCAAAAAATGGAATTTCTGTTCAACCTTCCGGCAAAAGGAAAAATCTGGATCCCGGGACGTAACACCCGGTTTCACGCTAGGCAGTTGCCCGATTGCTCTGGGTATTACCTGCAGAGTCAGCTGGGCTTGCCCTTTCCAAATCCAAACCTTCCTTTCCCTCGAGGTAAAACCCAACCTTGAAATTGGACTGAGGGCTAGGCTCTGTACATTACCAGAATTGCTTACCTAGCATTGCTGTCCATTTCTGGATTGGTAAAACCTTGCCGGATATAATTAAAAATATGTGTCGAGGCTGCATGGCCGGGAGGCCATGCCCAGACGAAGACGCCATATTTTAATTATCCTATGTAAACAAAGCAATTTGTTTACTCCGTCAAAGTAAAGGCAAGGAAAAAAATGCACTTGACTGCTGCAATAAAGCTCTAAAGTACAAGCCTAATTACCCAAGTGCCCAATTCGTTAAATCCATTTCTTTTTATAAATTAGGTGAAATTGAAAAAGCTAACCAATGCTATGAAGCTGGGTCAAAGTCTGCTGTTTTAGATTCTTTTGATTTAAACTGCAAAGCTTCAGTCTTACTTCTTCTTGGCAAAAAGGAAGATGCATTAGAGTGCTATAGTGAGGTCATCACTAAGAATCCTGACTGCTATCAAGCCCACTACAAAAAAGGAGCCCTTCTTTACGAGCTGGGGCAATATTGAGAGTCAATTGATTGCTTTAACAGTGCTATAAGCCTCAATCCAACCAACCTTGATGCCTATTTCAATATGGGAAACTCAAAAGCAGCGATTGGAGAAAATGAAGATGCCATCGCGTTGTATGATAAAGCTTTAGAATTTGATCAGGATAGCTCTAAAGTATACCACCGAAAAGGAGATGCATTATATAAGCTAGGTGACTACCAAGAATCAATTAAGTGCTATAATGCTGCAATTCAGCTTGAGCCAAAAAATGCAGAACTTTATAAAAAATTAGGAAATGCATATGATGAGATAGGAAGCCAAGATCTCGCCTTGAAGAATTATAGTGAATCTAGTAAACTGAATAGAGACGATATAGAAACCCACTATAACGCTAGTCTTATATTAAAGAAGCTGCAAAGGCATGAAGAAGAAATAAAATGCTACAATGAAATAATCCGAATTGACCCTAAAGATATTCAGGCGTATCTTGAAAAAGGCAACGCGCTAACTCCCCCCACCGTGAGCGAACACAACCATTAGAAAAATCCCTATGTTTTGCCCAAAAACCCACCCTCCGTGAGTAAACAAAAATTTTTTTAATAGAAAAAAATTTTGATATATAAGTGATAGTTAATATCATGAAATCTCGAGCTAATTCTGTTTAATTTTAAACAAATACGAAAAAAAAAAATTTTACAAATTAAATTAATATTTGTCTTCCAATTTTCGAGAAGTGAGAGATTTTTTTTTAAATTCCGAAAAAAAAAATTTCTATAAAATTTATATATGATTTTTTTTTTTAAAAAAAAAATTAACCCCCTCTCCTTGAGCGAATAAGATTTTTTTGTTCGCTCACAAAGGGGGAGTGAGCATTTTAGGAAGAAATAAAGAGGTAGTCAAGTGCTACACAGAAGTTATAAGCATAAATCCAGATGATGCAAACACTCATTATAATTTAGGAAATGCGCTTTCTGAGTTGGATAGACTGGAAGAGGCAGTAAAGCATTATGATAAGGCAATTAAAATAGAGCCGAGTTACACAGATGCCTTCTTTAATAAAGGAATTGCACTAAAGCAACTTGAAAAATTCCACGAATCTCTAGACTGCTTTAACAAAATCTTAGAGAACTCTCCCAACGATGCCGAAGTCCTTGTAAAAAAGGGCCAGATTTTAGATGAATTAAATCGATATGAAGAAGGACTAAGTAGCCTAAAGCAAGCAATAAAACTTAGCCCAAACAACGCTGAAGCTCATTACTACAAAGGAATCATTTTATTCGAGCTAGACCGCTATGAAAAATCTATTAAGTCTTATATTAAAATATACATAAAATTGCCAGAGTGGAGCGATCTATTTTAGCATTTGGTGCAAAGAGCTGCCTAAGGGTTAGATTAGCCTCGAAGAGAGATGCACAGCTGGATTTTTATTTATCAGTGACTGGCTCGAGAGGCAATTTTTAGCATCTTTTTTTAGCAGCGCCCAGGCCTAAGTTGGGTGCTTGATAGAGGCAGAATGATGTGCCACATGAACTACTTGGTAGCTTGCTTCGAATTGCATAAGCGATTATGTATTTCCTTTGGTTGTAAGCCAAGGAAATAGAAAATGCAAAGTAGAAAAGACTCAAGGGATACAGCTCTGAGTTGAAAAGGGTTAGGGACAGGGGCCGTCTTGCCTAATTTAAGCATGGTTGGATACTCTGAGAGTGGAACTATAAACACGAGCTTAATTTTAATTTTAATATTAAGTCTTATAACAGAGCTATCAAGAATAATCAAGACTATGCTTTAGCATACTATAACAAAGGAATTGCCTTAAAGAAGTTAAATAAATTAGACGAAGCCCTGAAATGCTATAAAACAGCAATCAATAAAAACCCTAAATGCACAGATGCATTCCATAACATGGGAATTCTCCTATTTGAACAAGGGAAATTCGACGAAGCAATTCAGAGCTTTGATTCAGCGATCTCTTTGGATCCTAGATATGAGCAAGCATACTATCATAAAGGAATTGTTCTTAACCAAAAAGGAGTATACGATGAAGCAATAAAATGCTATGACAAAGCAATTGAAATTGATCAAATGTTTGCAAAGGCATATTACAACAAGGGGAATGTCCTTTCTAAACTTTTGAAGTTCAAAGACGCTGTTGAATCATATAATAAAAGCCTTCAGATTGAGCCTGGCTATGCCAATGCCCACTATAATAAAGGCAATGCTCTCTGTAAATTAGGAGAGTATAGAGAAGCTATTAAATCATATAACGATACCATCGACATAAACCCTGAATATGAAGGAGCCTATAACAGTAAAGGAAATGCGCTTTATAAACTTGAGGAATACAAAGAAGCTGTGGAGTGCTACAATATGGCGATTTTAATAAACCCTGAAAATGCTAACGCGTATTATCTTAAAGGTGATGTCTTATACAAAACAGATAAATTTGAAGACGTGATTGAGTGCTGCAATATCGCTATAAGCGTAAACAATGAATACACAGACGCTTATTATCTGAAAGGAAATGCACTTTATAAATTGCATAATTATGATGATGCGATTGCTCATTATGATATCACGATTAAGCTTAACCCAGAGCATGCAGGTGCATTTTATAATAAAGGAAACTGTCTTAAATTACATTGAGAATTCTTAATATCTTCCAAATTTGATGCCTCCGCAGGCTTTCAGCTGATATCAGCCTTCTTGCCGGGCGGAAATTCAGCAGATGATCTTCTATAAGAGATAGCTTGCTCAGCGACCTCCAAGAGTGTTTACGAGTTATAAAGGCGCCCTGCCAGTATGCCAGCGATGTAAGGAGGTAAAGATAGCCTGATATCCCCTTTCGCCACCTTCGGGGAAGGTGACACCCATGAAAAAAGAATAAAGGTCTTCCTTGACCTGGAGGCCTAAAAAACCAATCTAATAACTAATACTGCTATCTGACTCACAAGGTTTACCCACCCCATACGGCATCGATAACGCATACTAAGTGCTAGATTTAAAGGGCCTGAATCAAGGTTTATGCTATAAAACTCCGTAAGGACTTATTTCGACTCCACCATATTGATTATACTGTCTTAAGGAGCTAAATAAATTAGACCAGGCCATTCTCTGTTTTAATGAAGCCATCAGAATAAATCCTGATTACGCAGATGCTTATACAAGGAAAGGAAATGCACAGATGCAGTTAGGGAACCTTGACGAAGCAATTGAGTGTTACTCAGTCACAATGTCAATTCAGCCAAACTGCTATGAAGCTTACAGCAGCAGAGGATTTGTTCAATTTCAAATGGGAAAATTTAAAAAAGCAATAGAAAGCTATAGGCAATTGCTTAGAATTGCCTGATAAGGATGTAAGGATCGAAAGCTCCTCTTTGAGCTGGTTTAGCTACTTAGGTTGGTCTAGCCAACTAGAGAGCTGGCAAGTGAAACAAGAGACTCATTTGTCAACTCCAATTGGTTTGGCCAACTAAAGAGAGGAGCTCTCCCTCCTTACACTCATACCGGGCAATTCAAAGCTATTTCTATATAATTTGGCCATAAGCAAGCAGCCTGAAGATCCATGTGTTTACTTTCTCAAAGGAGAAGCTTTTGATCAAGATGGAAAGCCTGAAAAAGCTATAGAATGCTATGATAAAGCTATCAGTAAAAAGCCTGATTATAGCGAAGCTTATAACAGCAGAGGTAATTCTTTCAAAAAAAAGGGAGATCTTAATAAGGCAATTTTAAGCTACAACGAAGCAATCAAAATTAACCAGAATTATGCAGAAGCTCACAACAATAAAGGGCTTATTCTTAAAGAGATTAATAAATATGATGATGCCTTACAATGCTTTAGTAAGGCCATTGAGATTAAAGGAAATTTTGAAGATGCTCATTATAATAAAGGCGAGGTTTTAGTAAAGTTGGAACAATATGAAGAATCAATACCCTGCTTCTCTGAGGCCATTGCGTTGAATCCAAATTCAGTAAAAGCGCATTATCTGCGAGGAGTGAGTTTGTTTAAAAGCGACAATTATGAGCATGCACTCCAATCTTTTAATTCAGTGATTCGGTTGGATCCAAACCATTCTGGAGCTTATTATCACAAAGGAAAATGCTTATTCCCCTCTAAAATTTTATAAAAATTTAAAAAAATTCTAATTTATAAAAATTGAGAAGCAACAGTTAATTTAATTTGAGGCTGTTTAAAATTAGCCAGAATCAGCTAGAGATTTCATTATAATAAATATCATATTATATATCAAAATTGTTCGCTTGGGCAAAAATAGCGATTTTTCCAATGATTTTGTTTGCTTACGGAGGGAGGAGTTAGCAAAATTAGGGAGACTTGAAGAGTCAATAGAAAGTTTCAATGTTGCAATTCGACTCGACCCTGAAGGGCCATATGCTTATCATGAAAAAGGAGTCGTGCTAAATGAAGTGAAAAAATATGACGAAGCTATCGAGTCTTATAATGCCACTATCCGTATAAAGCCTGATTTTGCAGATGTTTACAAAGACAAAGGGATTTCTCTATACAATAAAGATCGCTTTCAAGAAGCCCTTGATTGCCAAATAACAGCAATTAATCTAAATCCATCATTTGCAGATGCACACTACCACAAAGGCAGCAACCTATTTAAGCTCAATAAATTTCAAGAAGCCCTGGCTTCCTTTAAAGAAGCAATTAAGATTAGCCCAGACTATGGAAGCGCGCATTATGGGAAAGCAAACGTATTAACGAAACTCGGAAAACTTGAAAAAGCTGCAAGAAGCTATAACAGAGCAATTGGCTTGAACCCAGAATCACCAGACTATTGGTATAATAAAGGTAATGGGCTGCTGAAGCTAGAAAAGTATTCTGATGCAATCAAGTGCTATAATGAAGCTCTTAAGCTAAATGCAAATAGCGCAGAAGTCTATTATTTTAAGGGGGAATCATTGGCTAAATTGGGAAAGCTAGACTATGCTATCCAATGCTATAATCATGCAATAAGGATAAATAAAGATTACCTTGAAGCTTATTATAGCAAAGGGAAAATATTTTACGAATCGAACAGATATAAGGATTCTATAGAGCCATTTAATATGGCTATAAGACTCAATCCAGACTACCTGCCTGCTCACTATAATAAAGCGAAATCATTTGTTGAGTTGAAAAAGTATGAAAAAGCAAAAGATTCTTTTAATGAAGCCTTGAGACTTAATCCAAAAGATGCTGGGATTTTGAATGAAAAAGCAATGACCTTATATAAACTCGGTAAATATGAAAAATCTGTGCAATATTTCGATATGGCCCTCAAAATTAACCCGAAGTTGGCAAATGCGTATTATGGCAAAGCTGAGGTTCTTTTTGAAATGAAAGAGCTCAATGAAGCAATAAAATCATATGATTTAGCGATAAAAATAAATGAAAACTATACAGAAGCTTATTTGCATAAAGGAAACGCATATGCTGAGCTAAATAAAGAAATTGAAGCTATAGAATCCTACAGCAGAGCCATAGAGATCAACCCAAACTGCATCGAAGCCTACCAAAACAAAGGGATAGCTCTAGGAAAACTAGACAGACTTGAAGAAGCTCTTGAGTGCTACAATACAGTCATAGAGCTTGACCATAACCACAGTAAGGCTCACCACTTTAAAGGTAATATTCTTGAACGAATGGATCTCCCTGAAGAAGCAATAGAGTCATTTACTATCGCAAGTAAGATTGATCCTGATTCCCCAAGCATTTACTATGAAAAAGGAAAACTTTTATCAAAACTTGGAGCTTATTCAGAAGCTCTTGATTGCTATAATTTGACTCTCAGTTTAGATCCAGACTTTGCTGACTGTTTTTTTGACAGGGGGAAATGCCTTTTGGAACTTACTCCCCCCTCCGTGAGTGAAAAAAAAAATTTTGTTCACTCGCGGAGGGGAGTTAATTTTTGTTTTTAAAACATTATATATAAAATTTTATAGAAAATTTTTTTTTTCGAAATTTAAAAAAATCCCACTTAAGGCAAATATTAATTTAATTTGCAAAATTTATTTTTAAACCACACAATTTATTTAAAATTAAACAGAATTAGCTCGAGATTTCATCATAATAGTTATCACTTATATATCAAAATTTTTTCCCATAAAAAATTTTTCTATTAATTTTTTTTTTTTCACTCACGGAGGGTGGGTTTTTGGGCACAAAATAGCGATTTTTCTAATGGTTTTGTTCACTCACGGAGCGGGGGGAGTTAAAAGAAATTCAGAAGCATTGAACTCTTTTAACGAAGCTCTAAGGCTGAATCCAGAGCTCGCTGAAGCAGTTTACTATAAAGGATTAGCGCTAGAAAAATTGAACAAGTTTGATAAGGCACTCAAATGCTATAATAAGTCTTTTGCAGCAAGCCCGAGTTCCCCAGATACGTTTTATCATAGAGCCGTTTCTTTGTCTGAACTAGGAAAGCATGAGCAGGCAATTGAAAATTGTGAAATTGCCCTCAGTTTGAATCCAAGCTACCCAGAAGCCTATTATTATAAAGCAAAATCTTTATCCAGTATTGAAAATTTTGATCAAGCCTTAAAATGTTTAAAAATTGCAATAAAGTTGAATCCAAGCTGCAGTGAAGTCTATGATGCCAAAGGAGATATTCTATATAAATTGGGAAACTACGAAGAAGCTGTCAAGTCTTTTGACAAGTCAATAGAGCTCAGCCCAGAGTGCGTGAACTCTTATTTCCATAAAGGGAATTCTCTCTATGGGCTTGGAAGATATGATGAGTCCATAGCTTGTTATGATCAAGCACTCTCCCTAAGTCCTAAAGATGCTAAAATATGGAATGCGAAAGGCAACGTGCTATTCAGACAAGAAAGTTTTAAAGAAGCCCTGAAATGCTATAATCGAGCACTTAAAAATTCGCCTGACTATGCTGATGCATATCATAACAAGGGGGATACCTTAAATAAACAGGGAAAGTTAGAAGAGGCGATAAGAAGTTACAATTCTGCAATTATAATCGACCCAACGAATGCAGACCACTATTACAATAAAGCTAACACTCATTATGAGCTCGGTCAATATGAGGAATCAATTGAAAGCTATAACGCAGCCATCAAACTGAACCCAAGAGACGTGGACTCATACAATAACAAAGGTCTGGTGCTAGATTCTATAGGCAAGTGTGAAGATGCAATAAAATGTTATGACTCTGCAATTGGAATTGACCCGTATTATGCTGACGCTTATTACAATAAAGTTAACGCTTTATCAACGTTGGGGGAATATGAAGAATCTTTAGATTGTATAAATGAAGCCATCAAAAAAAATCCTGATTTTGCGAATGCTTACTATATTAAAGGGAATGTGCTATACAAACTTGGGAGAAGTGCTGAATCCATTGAATGCTATAATGATGCGATTAGACTTGATCCTGACCATTGTGATGCTTACCATGCAAAAGGTATCATTCTAGATGAAAAGAAAGATTATGCAAGCGCATTGGAATGTTATAATGAGGTCATACGAATAAATCCCAATGATGTAAGTGCTTATACTTATAAAGGAAACGTTTTATATAAAAGAGGACGATCTCCTAAAGCTACAAAATGCTACAAACAAGCAATTGCAATAGATCCTAACTATTCTGACGCTTATTATTACTTACTTACTTAATTATCTGGTGTTTAAGGTGTCTAGTGCCGCAGCCCAAAAGGGCCTATGGCAAAACTGATGACGTAGGCGAGCCATCTTGGCACGGGTCAGCCCCGTCCAAGCCTTCTATCAACTCCTGCACCACCAACCTTGCTGCACGTCTCACCCGGCGCGTTGCCGTCGCCCTTGTCGCTCGACTCAGCTCCTGCGCGTGTTCCGCCTAAGGGTCATCCTCCCGTGGGGATGTGCTGAGAGGTAAAAGCCCGGAATCTTGAGTGGACTGAGAGTGGTTCCTCTGGTTATCTCCAGAGTTAAACCGCTATTGCTGTCCAGAAGTTTCTGAGTAAAAACCTAACCCTATAAATAAAATTCCATGAGGGAGAGAAAATTAGCGAAGCTAATTTCTCTCGAACCGAATGCCATTTTATTTATGACGCTTATTATTATCTAGGAAATGTGCTTTTCCAGCTAAATAAATTAGAAGAAGCCATTGAGTATTATAGCTTGGCAATAAAAAAGGGCCAGAACTATGATAAAACCTTGTATTATTGTGCCAGAGGAGGCGCCTATAATGCAATGGGCTATGAGCAGCATTCGTTGGAAGACTTCAATACTGCTTATGCACTTTCTCAAGGAAAAATTACAAGCATTCTTACAAAGGGTAAAATAAATGTAATAAATTTGACTATAGCTGAGGAGCGGACAGAATTAATAAAAACAGTCAAACAGCTGCAGCAAAAAGCTGCTCAGCTAAGACAAAAACTAGAGGATAGTAAAGAAGCAGCTAAAGATAATGAAAAAATGAAGATTCAAATGGATGAGGAATTCTACATAATCAAACAAGTGAAGACACAAGTAGTCATTCATTCATTCTTATTTAGAGGTCGTAAGATCATTTTATGGTGGAGCCAAAGCTCACCGCGCTAGGCCTTATGGCCTTAATTACTCACCGCTAGCGACGACAAGGTAGCTTATCTCCTCATCTCACGCCCGTTGTCTTGGCCAGAGCACCCGTCTTCGATGCGATTTAAACCCCATTAACTGAAGACACAAGTAGTCAAAAAAGTCCTTTCTATTATAGATCCAAATTGCAAGGAGTGGGAAAAAGATGAAAAGGATAATAAAATGAGGGAATTCGACGGTGATCTGCTTAAATATGTGAAAGAACTTGAAATCAGAATGATTGAAGAAGAGAACTATTTTAAGCAAAGGCTGCATGAAATGGACGAAGGCAAAGTTGGCGTTGATGAGATAGAGTACAATGCCAGAATAGTAAACCCAGCCATAAGGAATAACGAAGATTTAAAATTATATTATTCTGCGCTCTATGACAGGTTGCACACCGCATTATTTGAGTCTGAAGTCATTTGTGGGGGAAACATAGCATTAAAGACTACTTATGTGACAACAAGAGCATTTTCTCTTTTCTTTACATTGATCCCAGTTTTTGGCAGAATCTTAAGTGCTGGGTTTAATTTGGCATTGGATACATTGAACGATTATAAGCTCACAGACAAAGCAATTCTGTTTAAAGTTGCCACTGGAAACAATCCGACAGAAAGAGAAAACGTTATCAAAAGAACAGCTGAAAGACTCACTCTTAATAGCATAGAAAAAATATCGAAAATCGATAAAAATGTGGAAGTGAAGTATTGGATTACTGAAAGCTTTGTTGAAAAATGCCAAGACTTTTTTGACGTTAACATTGATAAGTCACTTTATTTAAAAAAACCACAAATTTTAGGGTGCATTGATGCATTGAAAATCATGTTTTATATTGCGGCTGGCCATTTCCAAAGAGGGTTGGGCACAGATGAAGCTGTTGATCAATTAATCAGCATCCCTGCTAATTATCGATTTACTAACTAACTCCCCCCCCCCCTCCGTGAGCGAACAAAACCATTAGAAAAATCGCCATTTTTTGACCAAAAACCCACCCTCCGTGAGTGAACAAAAATTTTTTTAATAGAAAAAATTTTAATGGAAAAAAATTTTGATAATTAGTATAATGAAATCTAGAGCTAATTCTGTTTAATTTTAAACAAATTGCGTTTTAAAACATAAATTTTGCAAATTAAATTAATATTTGCTTCCCAATTTTTGCAAATTAGGATTTTTTTAAATTTCGAAAAAAATATTTTTTATAAAATTTATATATAAATTTTTTTTAAAAAAAAAATTAACCCCCCTCCGTGAGTGAACAAAATTTTTTTGTTCGCTCACGGAGGGGGGGGGGGAGTAAAGACAAAAGCATAAAGAGCAATAAAGCAAGAAAAGGGTTCTGTATAGTCTTCTCAGTTCATCAGATTATTTATAGCAATGCTTTATTGAACAAGCCTGATTTATTGATGAGGATTAGTCAAAAAACAGGATTTGAATTAGCTAAAGTTATTGAAATAAGTGACAAGATGCATAATTTAGGGTTCAAGTTAGAAGATCTTGAATGTGATTTATTGTGTGAGCTTATTGCATCATTTGAGAGAATCTAAATAATTAATATTATTAAATCTCTATATTTTATTTACTATTCAATTTTAATTCTGATTTTATTAGCCTACAGCTAGCCAAGCAGCATAATCGAAAATATCCTAAAATAATTACTCTTATAAGCACTGAGTAAAGTTCTATCACTACTAAATTGTGCAAAATCAATCAAGCACTGAGAAAACTACTGACGCTTATTCCACAGCCTACATTAATGCCTAGAATTTCGTTAATGCATATCAATTTCAAATCTAAAACTGCAGTATCCGCAAACTTCAGTAAACCTCTATTAGTAGTTTCGATTATAGAAAGCATTCTCCTTCTTTATCAGAAGATATTTGAAGATGACATATTAATTATTAATTAACAAAAATAAAGCTGCTTAATATTAATAAAATCAGCTGAAGCTTTAATTAAAATAATTACTTAAAAATATTTATATATAGAGATTTGATTACTTGCCTTAAAAGTTTTATTTTTGCTCTTTGAAAGAAAAGAAGATAAAATTTAGAATTTTGTGTAATTAGATTAAATAGCGATAAAAACTAAAATATCATTTAAAGTGGCATTATTATATGGTTCTATAGCCTAATTAAAGTATACTCTGGTTCTTATGCAGGCAACAACTTTATCAATTGTTCAGAAACCAACGGTTATATAGTTTTTTGCATAGGTGCCTTCTCTCAATAAGAAAAAAGAAATTATTGTCTGAAGATACCATACTTACTAAATGCATAATTTATTATAATAGATATATGAAATATTGCTGCATCTTTAGTTTATTTTTTAAAAAAAATCATCAGGTAATATTCCAAAATGCTTCAGCCTGCATTCAAATATATTTTTTGGAAAATGATTTTCACAGCCAATACAAGTAATTTCTGAGTACTTGCACCCAATATCAATCTTTTCTTTTATAAAAGAGGTTATTAAGTCTACATCTCAGCATTGCTCACAAAGCATATTAAGCTCATTTCTACATATCTCACATGATTTCTTATAATTAGCAACTTCAAATGAAAGTTGAGCTTCATTAATGCAAATATTATTTTTTTCTATTTCTGGATTAGAATTTTCAAAATTTTCTTTTCTCTCAATTGAAGGTAATTTCATGCATTCCCCTTTCTTGTATAACATTTTAGTTTCTTCATTTTCTGCATTCTCAAGACTTTCAGAATTCCTACTTGAGGTTTGATAAATGTTTTTGATGCTTTCTAGGTTAAAAAATTTATTTTCTTCTGTTTCCAGAGTAGTGCTTTTAATGTTGCTTATATTCATTCTATTAATTTCTAGGTTGCAATCATCAAAAACTTCACTGGCTTGAGAACTTTTATTTTCTTCGCTTACTTGAGGGTTATTTGATGATGCGCAAAAGGAGGAAAGATTGCTTGCAGACACAAATTCTAATGCTTTCTGAGCATTTTGTGAGTCGGTCTTACCTTCATAAGAAGATGGCAGTAAAAAGTATTTTGCTTCAACTACTTTTTTAGTGGCAATTTCAGCAGTGCAGCTCGGATCTGATATAGATTTTGTTTCTTCATTTGCAGGTGGAAGATTTTTAAATCTCTTACTTGCTTCTAGCATTTTGATTCTATTTTCTGCGTTAAATGCTAGCATATCTTTTATTATTTCAATTACCTCCCTTTGCACTCCGCAGTTTATCATCTCTAGTTCGGCCCTTTTTTTTACATTATTTTCTAATTCTGCTTCTGAAATTGCTGCTTTATTATATTCATACTCTTCAAGAAGTGAATTTGGGCTGTTATAAGTAAATATTTCATATAGAGTCTTTCCAGTTGATCATGCATCTTCTTTGAATGGGTCAATCCTTTCTTCTCGTTCAATGCCCATCTTATGCAATTTTCTTAAAAACGGAGACATATATTCAACTGTCCCACCTACAGTGTGTGGACTTGGATTAACACGAATTTCTTTCATAAAATCAAAATCTGCAAGCCTTATTTCATCTTTTCCTGTAAGTAAAATATTGTCAGGCTTTATGTCTCTATGGGCTATCTCTTTTTGATGAAGGACTGATAAGGCTTCAACTATTTCAGACGAAATCCTTACTTTTGATTTAATGCTCCAATTCCTTCGATTCTGGATTTGGCTTGCTATACTACCATTCTTGCATAGCTCCATGAATATACAATAAAATTTTCCAATGATTTGGTCGTGGTAGTATTTTACAGTATTTGGATGGAATGAGGTAACCATTTTTAGAAAGTTAGCTTCTTTTACATAAGCTTCTTTTTGCTTATAGAATAATTTCATAATTCCTGTCTTCGGAAACCTACAGCCTCTTTCTCATTTATTGAATCTAACTTTAATTATGCTTGATCGTTGCCTGTCGCTTACATCTTCTATTCTTGTATAATCGCTATAATACGAGCTCTCATCCATTTCTAATTATTATAATTCTACATAAAAGGCATTTGCAATATTTGAGATGCATTAAATTAAGACTTTTAGTAATAAGCAAACAAAGACTATAAAAGTTATATAATTTAAATAAGAATTTGCTGCATAAGAAGAGTTTTAAATGAAGTAAAACCTATAAATTCGCAAATTGGTTAAGTATAAAAACTCATATGAAAATTTTTATTTTTGGGTAGAACTTTTCACTCTTATTTGTTTGTGCTATGGAGAGTCTTGTGTACTTTTTCTTGAATTCAATATTTGAGAAGATTATTTGTGTCTAAGCAATCTATTATATTAAATATAAAGATTTAGCCTATGAATACTAAAATTGGCCACATCAAGGTAAATAGTAAAAGAGTTGTAGACTATCTAAATATTTGATTTGTTTTGTCATTGGCATCTCTTATCTGTCTTCATGAGGAGTAAACAAATTTTTATCCATTTTATAGATTATGAATCTACATAATCATAACTCTAAGTCTTCATATTTTATTTCAGATTTATAATAGCAATCAAAAATGAAATCAAATTCAGCTTTATTCCTAAAAATTGAATATGAATTATCAATAAGAAAGAGAAATTCAATGAAAACTTGAAAAAGAGTTAACTATTTACCCACCGAGTAAAAGATATGTATTAAAATAAATTTTTTACAGCATTTGAAATCAAATATTACCATGCGGACTTAAGTAAATCTTTTGAGATATTGAGGTGAATGGGGGGTATAAATTATCATATGCAAATTAGAAATAATTTTTAAGAACAAGAAAATTAGATATAAGCCTCCAGATTGCATACAGAATTTCACAGAAATGCTGGTTTTAATGATTTACTTTACCTTTGTTGTTACGACATTTTTAGTACTCAAATTAAGTTTATAAATTGTTTTATCGTCAAATAGCAATGCAAAGTAATTTCCATATACAATAGGATAACTCATTAAGCATTTATTGTATAGTCAGCTATTTTTCATAAAAATGCTTCAGCTATATGGATTATTCTTGCCACTTTCATAAATTTCTCCATTATAAATTGCAGCATAAACTCTGCTTTTTGAGCAAAATATATATTTATCCCCATCATTATATCTGTCTTCGTCAAATTTTAATGCAACACAATGAGAATCAAAAAGATGTCATATATAAAAATATCTATTGTATTTCCTGAATATATAATTTTATTACCCAAAACATCACAACTATGCCTATCAGCTGTAGTATTAATATCTGGCAATTTAAATCACAATTTTCTCTTAATATCATATTTTTCAAATTTATCGCTTATTCCGATATAATGCATTGGCATTATTTCAAAAGAGTTTTACATAGGGACATTTTCTTAGGAGCCACTAAAGTGTGGAAACCCCTCATCTGAGATTTGGCTTACACATATGGGAAATGCTCTGACATGTGGAACTCTCTTAAAATAATGTCAACGCATTATACTAGAAAAGCAGCCAATTACATAAATGCACCCATTATAATAAATTGATCCAGCATAGCATGAAGATGAGCCTTTTTGTATTGCTTCTACGTTGTTAAGTTTATCTACAATAAAGCAAGTGTATTCTATAGGAAATATACCATGTGTATTGCGAAAACAAAATAATTTTTTATTAGGCAGTTTGCAAAAATTCATTTGATAAAAGGTAGTGGCATTTAAAGGCAGGCTAGGCGAATTAAGATCAAATTTTTTTGATGTTTTCGAATAAATAGGTACAGTCATAATTGAATTTGGTTCTCGTTCATTAAAGTATTTAAAATAATCGATATCTTCAGCTTTTTCATCAGCTTTAGTAGACATTTTATAATAAAATAGCATATTATAAACTTAAATGAATAAAATCCCCGACCCTGTGCTTGCAGAAATTCTTACAGCTGTGGGTCATTTTAGTGAAATAAACAACTTAGCATCAGTCTGTAAAAGATGATTGCGCTTATTAAAAAAAGCTGGGCATCATGTATCATTTGAGGGTACTTTTAACCCAACAAAATTGCAAAGCAGCATAAATATAGGAAAATATTTACGGATTTTTACATCAAGGCTAAAAATACTTTCTCTCAGTTTAAGAAACATTACTATCAGCAGTGCCTTTGAAATCCAACTTTTAGCTGAAGCTTTGGTTTTTCAATCTTCGTGACTAGAAACTCTTGATTTGACCAACAATGATGATTTTGATTTAGCACTTTTATGGACAACTGTATTAGATTTATTAGATATAAAAGCAAAAAAAAATATAAATTGTGTATTTACTTTAAAAACTTTAAAAATTACGAATTATCATAAAGACACCTGGTCAAGCAAAACCGGACCCCCCACCCCCCCTTACATAGCATGTATAATTAAGGCTATGAATATTTGCATAGCAAGCATATAAATGCAAATTCTAAGCCAAATCTATCATTGATTTTAAGAATAGAACTGTTTGTATATAAATATAGTTAGGATATCTGATATCTTCATCGTTAAAAATAGTTGATAGATATAAATTTTCTTCAGTACAAGCAGAATGTGTAAATATTTATTTAAGTATAGCTTCTGAATAAATGCTTTGAATTAGATAATTATTGATATTAGATAAGGTATTTAATATGAATAAAAGTTTTTCTCTTATTTTCTATTACAATTTTTTGCCTAAAAGTTAGAGAAAGATGCAAAGAAAGAAGTATATTTTATTTTAAATTGAATATTAATCTTTAAAGATTTCATGCAATTAAATTTAAGGTGGAGAGAAATTATATTAAACTGAAGTAAGCGAATATTAATAATAAGAATTTAGACTGAATGGCATATAAATGGTCAACACAAGACAGAAGAAGTATGAATTCCGGAAGTAGGACGCAAGAGAATCCATCCAGAATCACCAAAGAATTCAAAAAAAGTATAAAAGCCGTAGAAAAGTGCTTTCCATAGAGTGTACTCCTTATGAAGTGCATGTGCAAAGCTATATAACATTAAATTGATTTTATAAACAAAGGGTAGAATGTGTATCATGAATAAATTAAAAAAGAGGTAAGCCTGCTCCACATAATAATATTTCATCTGACGTATTAAATAGAGGAATCTTATATGGAGACTATATGCGGAATTCATAAATTATTATATTTTTTATAATTTTATTAAATGCTTTAACTTTTTTTGATGCATATATTTTGATATAATTCTCACAATTCGCTACTCTTTTTGCTAATATCCCAGCGACTGTATGTGGGAGTGGGGGGTAGGGGGGTTGGGGGTCGGGGTTCCCGGGGTCCCAGTTGTGTCGGACCAGACACCAAATTTTATTTAATAACCAAGATTTTTCCAAATTTACAAAAATTCTATGCTGGGAATTCAGAAATGAATTTAAATGATTTTAAATATATTATTGAAAACCTGAAATACTTAGAATTACTTGATGTGAGCTATTGCACGTTTATCATAAATGCTTCAAATGTTTTTTATAATTTAAAAGAACTTTTAGAAGGGTTAAAGCTAAAAATTTTTATTGGAGATTGCAAATTTGGAGCCCTAATTGACTTGCAACAAATAAATTCAATAGAATTGATAAAAACAACCATACATGATATTTTGAGTAATTTAGAGAATAAATGAGATTTATTGAGATTAGAAGAGTTCTTAAACAAAGGAGGCGATGTTAATTTATTTAAATATAACCAATTTGGGAAAAGACGGAAAAAAACCAAATCAGCGCAAATAAAATTAATAAAAAAATTAAGTGATAGCAGTTTGCTCGAAGAGACTTTTAGCATTATGATCAGATATGGGCTTGATTTAAATTTTTTTTCTAACTCTTCTGGGCATACTCTTTTAAATTGGGCTATAAAATTCAAGAGGCAAGGTTTAGTGGAAATGTTACTCAATGCTAGAGCCAGCACATATACCCCAAATTGATCTATATACGAAGATAAATATTATGGAAATTGGCCTTCTTTACTTTATGCATTGCGAGTAAAAAACACCGAAATTCTTCCATTATTTTTTAAGTTCGGGCTAGAAAAATTTGATTATTTTAATCTAAATACCAAATTTAAATGCAATCCCCTATGCTTAACAATAAGAAAATCAACTTTAGAAGCTTATCCAAAATTCATAAACGAAATAAGTCCAAATTACCGTTGCAGTGATGATGCACATATGGACGAAATTATCCTTCTATTAAAAAATTCCCAAGGTATTAATAAATATCCACTAAATTGGGTCTATAATGCAACTCGCCGCTTAATAGTGTCGAATTGACATTATGGTTGAAAATTAGGCTTTATCCAATATCTCGTAAGTTACAATATTCAAAATATGGAATTGGTATTAATAAGTCCCGAAGACTATAAAAACATGGTGGCTCGACCATTGATAATGCTTGCTGCATATAAAGGTGACTTAGATATACTGACTTATTTATTAGATAATGGTTTTGATATAAACAATAGAGATAATTATAAAAGAAATGCATTATTTGATGCAATTGCTCAAGAAAATTTAGAAATGGTTAGGAAATTGTGTGAATTTGGAATAAACATAAACAACCAAGATCGAAATGGAGAAACGCCACTTCATCAAGCAATGAAATTTCAAAATATTGAAATAATAAAAGAGCTTATTAAGAATGGAGCAGACTTATCCATAAAATCAAATTCAGGATTGGATTCACAGTTTTATGCTATGAAGTATCGGCTAAATGAAATACTTGGAATATCAACGCCGACATTATAATATTAAAATAGGCATTAAATATTTCACAAATTATATAATCTGATTCCAAATTTTTATTTATGCATATATTTAATTTACATAAAGGAAAAGGAACAAATATAATTATTACAAACAAATATGAAATAAAATCGTTTTAAAATCTAATAATTGCATTTTTTCTTAATCAATTTGATTTTGGAGATGGAAACTCAAATATGCTCATTTCTAAAATGCGATAGGCCAGCAACATCTTTATGCAAAACATGCCAGGACACTTATCTATGCAGAACCCATATACAAGAGCACGCTGATTCCTCAGATGAAGACCACCTTATTAAGTCCATCTCAAAAAGACTTTTAAATGAGATAACTCTTATTAATAACCTTAAACAAGCAAAAGCAAAGATTGAAAAAGCTAAAGAAAACGCTATAAGCATCTTTGCTAATTGCATTGAAAATCTTGAAAATTTGTTTACAGAAAGCATGGAGGCCTTACAAATGGAATCAGACAAGATCAGTGCAAAAATTGAATGCGTTTTAAATGGAGAAAATATCAATCACCAAGAAGTTGTTGAATATTTAATTAAACTACCAGACAGCTTGCTTGAGGAAGAAGTTTATGCATATAAGATATTTGAATCTATTTCTAATATATCAAAAATGATAAATTGCTCTAGGACAGCTGAAATTGATTTGAGATGTAAATACTTTGTAGCTTTAGCTAATGAACTCAATTGTGCTTGAGATGAATTAATGCGCATTGAAAAAAGTGAAAAAATCACTTTAAAAATAATAATTTCAAATGGAAAAGAGAAAATAAGCAAAAAAATTGACGCTTATTCTGGCTGAAAAGTCTCAGCTTTATTTTGAAAAATTAATGTTTTATGTGGAATTTCTATTGAAAAGAGTATCATCTTATCTTATCTTATGGAATTTATATCGCTTAACGTCCACTACGGGGTTACGACCCCAGGTTTATCACTCGCCTTTCGTCGCATCGGGCCCACCAGTCCGCTGGGGACAGACTCGCTTCGATCTCCAAGGTGCTTCTAGGGCAAATGTCCACGTCTTCGACGGCTCATGAATGAGCTACTTGCTTGTACATGGGTTGCTTTTCCGAAAAACCCAAAAAATGGATTTTTCTGGTCAGCTATCGGCAAAAAGGAAAAATACAAAGCCTGGGACGTAACGCCCAGTTTCACGCTAGGGAGTTGCCCGAATGGTCCAGAGGACTTTGCTGGGCTTCCCCTTTCCAACCTTGTACCCTCCTTTCCCACGAGGAAAAATCCACCCCTGAGATTAGACTAGGGCTAGGCTCTGAAAGCTACCAGAATTGCTTACCTAACATTGCTGTCCATCTCTGAAATGGTAAAACCTTGCCGGATATAATTAAAATATGAGTCGAGGCTGCATGGCCGGGAGGCCATGCCCAGACGAAGACGCCATATTTTAATTGAAAAGAGTATCATCACCTATAGAGATTTATATTTAAATTACCAACAAAGTAAGAATTTTCATCTTTCTGAGTCTCTTTTTGAAGATAATGATACTATTTATATTTTATTAGACACAAATGAAATTAATAAATCAGAAAGAGCTGATTGTGCATTATCTATTGATCCATATTTTCAAAAGAGGGATACAATAATATTGCATCTTAAATCTACTGAAGGCTTAAGATGAACTATAGAAACATCTTTAATGGCTAATTATTCAGAATTAGCAAAACAAATATATTTTGCTTTCGGTATTAAAACAGAAGATCAAAGAATAAATTATCAAGGAAAAAGTCTCACATCTCAAGATTTCAAAACTATGACACTTAAAGATTTGAATTTTAAGAACTATTCGTCAATCCGGGTTTCTAAAGCCACAAATTAATATAGCTAAGTCATTTATTCAAAGATTTATATCTTTATTCAATTATATTACATAGAGCAATAACTAATAACTATAATATATATGATCCCTTGCATAAATTTCATTTTGCTTATTTATGGTAAATTGATTTTAAAATGTCAAAAAAATTTTAGCATACCATAGACTCAGTTTTATATATAATGGCATGTCAAAATTTTTTTGACATTTTAAAATCAACTTACCATAAATAAGCAAAATAAAATATTACCAATACATTATATTATGCTTATGAATCTTTTAGAATTTATGATTTTAAGGAGTATTTAAGCCCTTGCAGTCTTGAATTTCTAATTCACCATTTATTGAAGTCCATATCAAATCAGCCATTTCTTCAGTTTTCACACCTTGTATTAAATAAGGCTGAAGATTTCATTTTTTTATAGTTTTATCTTCGCTGCTTGAGTACAAGAAATTTCCGCATTTTGAAAAACAAATTGAAGTAACCATGCCTTTATGGCCTTTAAATTCCTTAATTTCCATACCAGTTTCAAAATTCCACGAAATAATTTTCCCGTCCGCACTACAAGAAGCAATAATATCTCCAAAAGGTGAAAACTCTACAGAAAAAACATAATGATTATGCCCTATAAGCGTTTTTAGAGGTACATCTAGATTTTCAATAGATCATATTACCACAGTTTTATTTGATCCACTAACGACCAAATACATTTCGCAATAAGAAAAAGAAACTGAATAAACGCAGCTTTGATTGCTGTTAATCAATCTATTTTTTCATTGATAGTTCTCTTGAAACCAAATATCGACACCACCGTTAGATTTTCCTACGGCAATATAATTCCCTTGCTGTGAAACCGATATCGATTTTATGATTCCTTGAGAGCCTTCTAAATTAATTTTATGCTTTTTGCTTCCTAAATCATAAATCGTTATCGAATTCTTATTCCAGCCAGCCAATAATGAATTATTTGGTAGAAATGATAATGAATAAGTAACATTGCCTTCCATAATTGTCGATAATTCTGTCAGATTATCGATGCTCCATATTTTAACTGATTCACTTGCAGATGCAAGATATCTGCCACAATAAGAAAAAGCTAGGGATTCAATTCTTTTCTTATGGCCTATAAAATCTTTTATTAATTTCATATTTGATGCATCTCATAATTTTATTATTTTATCATTTCCTCCTGATGCAATATAACTTCCACATTTAGATACTACTACTTTGTTAACGCTTTCTTTGTGCCCATCAAAATTTACTTTCCTTTGAAATCAATCAATTTTTCACATAAATATAGACGTTTTTCTGCAAATGCATGCTAGATATGCATCATTTACATTTAAACAGAAATATTTATCGAATCGATTTTTCAGTGAATTTTGCCATACTAAGGATGTTTTTCATGGATCCCATACAGAAATATTGCATGCTTCTGATAGTAAAATGAGGAATTTTCCTGTATTTGTATATAGATCTTTTCCTTGAATTTTCAGAGAAAAATAGCTTAAAGCTCTAACTGGGCAGTTCTTGGGAAAGAGTCTTAAATTAGCTCATTTATAGAATCTTCATTATACTTTGCAAGCAGCGTGGTTTTAACTTCTTTCTTCTCCAAATTTATTTTTCTTAATTCTACTTCTCCTTTATTACTAGCTGAAGCAATTAAGTATTTTCCGATTGGGCAAAATGCTGCTGCATGTAAATATATAGTGCTATAACCATATTTTCTAGTATCATCAGGACCTACTGGGCAAATACAAACATCTTTTTCAGAATAAACGTGTTTTATCCTAATAAAACCATCACTGCACATATAAGCAATATATTCGCCACAAGGAGAAAACATTAGATTAGATATAGTATATAATAGATCAGCAACTTTATATATTTTCATCATAGGATTTGTCTTTCATACTTCAATAGAATTATCTTCCCAAATAGCAAAATTATTTTTACAAATAGAAATTGTAAAATAAAACCTTTCATATTCCAAGTTGCTATAAATCGTATGAAATTCTTCAGTTTCTAGATCTACAACATCAAGCATACTCACTTGCCAGCTACTCTTACCTAAAGTTGTAAAGATTTTTTGAGAGTTTAAAAAAGTAATTGAAATTATACTAGTTTACGGTGGACAGTCCATTAAAGAAACATTTTCTAGTTGCAAGGCAGCAGCTGGAATACCAAGTTATTTGGCTAGCCATATACAGAGGATGATATGTGATATGTTCCCCAGTAGCAGTTACTGCATCCGGAATTGTTTTTTGAGCCATAGATTGGCAAAAATGTTAGGGGCCTCGAAGCAAGGAGTCTAAGCACAGAGCCGCTGTTTTGAGACAATCGATTGGGTAGCTGCTTTTGGCTTCTTTATCCATCAGTTTACGTCAGTAAATGCCTGAAATGGGGAAAGGTCTCTTACTGCTCATGCGGCTACCTCGAATCACATAAGTTGCTATTTTTTTTCAAGCCACAAACTGAAAAAGATTCGCTCAAAGAAGCGATCTAACCTTGGTATCAGGCGGAGGTGGAGCGTTTTATTAGAGCGAAGGCTGGGCTGAAAATTTTGATGCCCGATAAAGTTCGTCGATCAGTAGCGCAATACCATTACCAAGAATTCAAGGGTTCGGCCAGGGCTCAGAAATATCAAAGGTGAAAGCCACCGATTTTTTTTTTGGCTAATAAACAGTTTAAGGCAGTACTGAGCATCGCTTGCAAAATTAGAGATAAAACCCATCTAGCCTTAATCATTATCTTAGTTTTTTCTAACCAAAAATACTCCTTAATTAATTTTTAAATTTTATTTTTTTAAAATGCAAGCTGTTTATACTTACTCTCCCCTCCGTGAGTAAAAAAAAATTATGTTCACTCACGGAAGGGTGTTAATATTTTTTTAAAAAAAATTTATATATAAATTTATAGAAGCAAATATTAATTTAATTTATAAAATTTATGTTTTTAAAACGCAATTTGTTTAAAAATAAACAGAATTAGCTCGAGATTTCATTATACTAATTATCACTTATATATCAATTTTGTTTTATAAAAAAATTTTTTCTATTAAAAATATTTTTGTTCATCATGGATGTGGGTTTTTGAGCAAAAAATAGAGATTTTTCCAATGTTTTGTTCACTCACGGGGGGGAGTTAGTATACTAATTGACCAAGAATAGCCCACTATGGAGCCATTCTTGGTCTGCCAGAAAAAATTTTGACAAAAGATCCTAATCTGCCATTACCACTAAGTTTTGGTGTTTCCAAATTTTTTTTGGGCAAGCCAAATGCAATAAAAAAAATTGTTCTTTTGCGATGATGCATTTGGCTTGTCAAAAAAATTTGGAAACACCAAAACTCAGTGGTAATGGCGGATTAGGATCTTTTCTGCCATTACCACTGAGTTTTGATGTTGCCAAATTTTTTTTGACAAGCCAAATGCATCATCGCAAAAGAACAATTTGTTTTATTGCATTTGGCTTGCCCAAAAAATTTGGAAACACCAAAACTCAGTGGTAATGGCAGATTAGGATCTTTTGTCAAAATTTTTTCTGGCAGACCAAGAATGGCTCCTTAGTGGGCTATTCTTGGTCAATTAGTATATCACTTCTATATTAAAATTTTTCTTCATAATTTTTTTTTCGCTTATGGAGGGTGCTTTTTTGCAAAAATTAGGATTTTTCCAATAATTTTGTTCACTCGCAGAGAGTTAGTGGGCTGTTTATCATAAAAAAAAATATATATTAAGCTCCTGATATGAGAATTCTTTTACTTTGCAACGGAGATTGAAATCTCACAACTCTATTTTCTGATTGCTGCCACCTGTTGCTAACCATTTTCCACATGGGGAAAGTGCTAAAGAATTAAACGTGGTTTTATCAGAGCGAATTGTCTGAGCTTCTTTAAAATCCAAATTTTCCATATTGCAGCCTTCAAAATTAGTAAAATTTAATGATGAATGTGATAAATCTGCACCAAATAAATCACTATTCTGGATATCTGTGTTAATAAATAAGGATCCTGATAAATTAGCATGAGGAATTTTAACATCTTTCATATTTTTGCCTATGAATTGAAATCCAGATTGATTTAAAAAACTTACAGCGTTTGATGCAGCTATATTAATTAAGCTTGTTTCTCTTGACATTAAAATTATTTTATAGAGAATTTCTTGGTCAGTTGGTTTTAATTTTTCTTTGAGGCTTGAACATATTTCTTTATCATTTTGCAAAGGTATTGCATTTAAATAAGAGTTTTTAACACTATCTATAGACTCTCATAAAGGCAAGTCTCTAATAATTTTATTTGCTAATCTTTCTTTCAGATTATAAAGAGTAATAATCTTTCCTCTATTAGTGGTGGAAGTTAATATATGTAATCTTGGAGATTCTGTGCTTTGAAAAAGTGAAAATGGTCTTTTGCAAGTTTCAGATAAGTCTCGAATATTTGATAAAAGTGCATTGAAAGTTTTCAGTTGCTCGTCTAAGTACATCCTAATTTCTATTGAAAATTATTGAATTTAAATGGAAAGCTGTGGATATATTCCATGCAGCCAAGAAATTCAATATACATGCCAAACTTGCTCAATAGTTCTATGTAAGAAGCATTTGAAAGCCCATATGACTTCATCAAGTTTTCCTCATTTAATACAATCTTTTGACCCAATTAAAGCAAAAAGGAAAATACTTTTGGACCATTTTGGCGATGAAAGAAAGAGCCTTGAAAAACTCCAAGAAGGGATTCTTAACTCTTATTCAAAGTGCATTAGAAATTTAGAAAAAATCATCACTCAGAGTATAAACAATTTCAATACTGAAATAGAAGAAATTAATACCCAGTGCAATTTAGTTAATGAGGCAGCTAAGATTTCTAAATATGAAGCTGATCCTGTTCTTAAAGCATTTAATATGAAAATTGAAGAAATTAGTGACTATTTAGATACTCGGCCTAAGCCATCATCTGGCTTAAACCATCATATTTTAAAGTTTTTCGAACATCTTGAGGAAGTAACAGATTATATTGAGAAAAATTCTAATTCAGTGAACTATAGCTATCTCCTTAGCCTAATCAACGAATTTGAAAATATAATAGATGAAAAAAGACTATTTCTTGACGACAATACAGTTCTTTTAAATTTTGAAAATCGGCAAAGCAAAAAATTCACCATTAACGTAAATCTTAATTGAAAGATTCCTGTGATATTTCCCGCTATTATTGATGCTTATAACTTATCAGATATATCGTTTGGAATTTATTATAAGAACCAAGAACTGAATAATAGACTTTATAAATATAAAAGGCTCAATAATATCAATGTTAGAAATGACTCTACATTAAAAGTTATACCATACGAATACAAAAAATTCGGCAAAGACTTCAAATGTTTTGAAATACCTTTCATTCAGCGATACATTAAAATGGTGACATGTGTCAGCCTACCCTCTTGGCGCAGCAGTCCAGATCTTATGGCTACGGTGAACTGAACGGAATTCAAGTGCAGGCTTAAGAGATGTGTATCCGGGTAGGTTTTGGCTGCTTTCCTGTGGTTGAAAATGGAGGCGCTCAGCAAAGTCCTTTAAATCCGAGGGCCCATGGGCATTCCTCTAACTAGAAACTGGAGTTTCGGCCCACTCTGGAGTAGTCTTTTTCCTGTATTTGCAGAAGGAAGTCACTTCGGTACCCGACAAACTCCAAGGAGCTGATCCTTAAAATCAAGCTACTCCAATCGCCGTAGCAGGGCCACAAAAATCCATGAGCATTTCACTCAAGACTGAAGCCTCAAGGAGGAGACAGAAGGTACAGGAAGTGCACAGCCCCTCTGGGTTGTAGTCGAAAAGCGGTAGAACCTCCTGTACAGGAGGTCATTGATGATTCCTTTACCAATATAGCTAACCCCTGATCTCCAATACTTAAAAAAAAAACTTTCATTCAACAAGGAGAGCAATTTAAAATTAATAATCTCTATTCAAATATAAATAATGAAGACTCAAAAACATCCATAAGAGACCTTGAAGATCCTTGAGGTGAAGTTAATAGAATAGAAGAAACGGAAAAACTTAAAAGTTCTGAAATCGTTATAATTAGATATGAGGATGAGCAAGGAACTGAATGAAATTTCGAAACAGATATCAATTTAACTTTATCAGATTTAAACTGATCAATTAAAAACTTATGTGGAGAAGAGATGAATGGTAATGATCTTATTTATAACAATAGAAGAATCCCATTTGATAAAAACTGTAAAAAGAAGTTGAAAAATGTAGGAATTAAGCAGAATGGCACACTTCTAATTTTAACTAACTATAAGTTTTGTTAGGTCATTATTATATTTTCAAAAATAGTATGTAATAATACATTAAGATATGCTTATATGTTAATTTATTTAAACCAGCAATTTAGAATGAATAATAATAAGATTAAAATTGCTATAAAATCTTATCTGTAATTCGACTAATAATTGATAATTGTAATATTGTATGCAATGCAATTATAGTTTTATAATTATGCTTTGTAATTAAATGATGGTTCATAACATATTAATTAAAATTTAAATAAGCTATAACTAAAAATCCCCTAAGCATTACTATTAATTGATATATTAAATGTAATAATTTCATTATTTTTAATCTTAATAATTAAATGGGAATTGCTCATATTCTAAATACCATCTATCAGGCAAGCATATATGTCAGAATTGCTCAATAATTGTTTGCCAGAAGCATTCCATTACACTTTTTGATAGTGAGCACTCATCTGAAATTGATCAATTTTTTTGACTCTCTCGAAAATTTAGCAAATTTTTCAAGCGATGTCTAGGAGTAAAACGTAGAAATTCAAAGAACAAGCATACATGATTATTTGATAGTTAGGATAATTTTATAATAAAATAACCCTAGATTTTTGCAATTCTAGGACAGCAAGATTGCTGATTTTATAGTTTAAGAAGATTTATTTAAGAATTACTAAAATCTATTAAAGCTTAGTAGACTCTCTATTCCATCAATTTATAATTTAAAGATGTTCAAATCAATCCCTAAATATTCCTTTATCAGTGGTAGCCCTATAGCAAAATTAATCACAATCCAAATTGTGTTAAATAAGCTTACAGGGAGAATTATAAGCACAATAATTGATCCAAGAATTCTAAATAGCTTTTTCCATTGCATATCTCTTATGAGGTAAATTGGTAGCAAAATCATAGACCCAAAAAAGAAGACAAGCAATTTTTCAAAAAATCATCTTATCCAGCTGCCATCCTTATGTTTATATATAAAAATGGTGTTACGAACTAATCTAATTTCTTAGTATTGTAGCCAGGTGGGCTTATTGGGAGATTAGGACCTTTTGAAAGTGATAGTGATGTCTGTATAGGCAATAATTGAATTAGAAGTTAAAAAAATTATCTTAAAAATAATAATGCAAATAAAATATTCTTATAAAAGTTACATTTAATACAATTTTGTTAAGTCAAGAAAACATAAGTATTATAATATCAATAATATAAGTTAATTAAATGTTTCAACTCTAAATAGAGATCATTTATATATGCTTAATTAGTAGATCTAAGTCATTTTATATTTTACTCTTATTCAATTTAGTTTTTTTTTTCTTTAAACCAAATAAAATTTTGCTCCCTTTATTATACTCCACCGAGATCAGAATGCTGAAGCCGGGGACCATTCAAATCAAGACCAGATGGGGTAAAACGCAAACTAGAGACTGAAGCCGTATAGGTGATGTGATTGTGGACGCTAGACGCTGAAAGTCTAACTAATATCTTTTATTATACAAAATTCGGCCATTATAACTTTTGATTCTACAAATATGATTTCCATTATATAATTATGCAAGCATCGCAACAATCTCAATCGATTAGCTCTCAAAAATGCCCTGAAATAACCACAAAATTATCTGATAGGTTTAAAATTTTGGAGCAAAATTGCAAGAAGGAATTCAAAAAAGAAGAATTTGTCATGGAAGCCAAGGTAAATACAGCTGATATAAAGGCCAAAATACTTGAAGAAAAAAAAGTCGAGAAAAAGGAAGAAGCTACTTATATTGACGATGAAACTATAAAGGAAAGAATAGAGCAATTTGAAACTAGTATTGCAAATAAAAAAAATGAAGCACCTCCTCAGTATATCGAAATTCCAAGGGGGAATGTCTTTAACTTTGCTCCAACTATTGAACCAATTGAAAAGAATAAAGGGAGCCCCGAATATTCTCAAAAATCTACAGCAAAAAAGAATGAAGCTAATCAGCAATATACATCAAATATTAGTTATAATGCTCAAATAGAAATTCCAGAAAAGGTAAAAAATATTGTTCCAATAGCTTCAAAATCCGAAAAGAAAAAAGATGAAGTTTATGTCCCCCCTCAGCAATTTGCAATACCTCAAATAAATAAGAAGAAAACACAGCTATATTCTGAGCCTAAAATTTCTCAAAATTGCACTTCAATATCGAGTCAATCTGCGAGTAATACTATAAGAGTCTCTAAAGATCCAATTGAGCAAAAATTTGATGAAACTAATCGAAATACCGCAGAATTTTCGTCAATTGCCAATGAAAATCAAAGATTAAATCTTGAATTAATTCGGATTCTTGAAGAAAATGAAAGGCTAAAAAAAGCAAAACAAGAAGAGTCTAGAGAAGCCTTGATATCTGCACAAGCAATAAAGCAAGAAGAATCTCAAAAGCTTGAAAAATTGGCATCTGAGCATATGCAAACAAGAAATTATTTAATTCAGCAAGAGGCCCAATGCGAATTGTTAAAATCTAAGCTTGAAAACAATCAAAATGAAGTCCAAGAACTGCAAAACCTTATAAAAAAAATTCAGTCTGAAGCAGCAGAGTTCAAGAAATCAGCAACTTTGTTTGAGACTTGCAGTATCGAAAAAGAAGACAAAAGCTTAAAATTGCAGAAAGAGTTAGATAAAATGAAAGAAGAAAAAAGAAAATTACTTGAAGCCACTAATTCAGCACTTAAAAATGCCTTAGGGAAATTTAAAGCTGAACAGCAAAACTCTATTAAAAATTTGTTTGATTTTAATGAAAACTTTAGTAAAGAAGCTGCTAGTGCTATAAATGCAGTTAAAATAAATCAAGAAAATTCAAGGAAAATGAATGAAAATTTATTAAATGAAAAAGAAGGAATAATTAAAAATTTAGGAAAGCAGGCTGCATTAGCTGAAGAAGCAAATAAAAATTTAAAACTTGAAATTGACAATAAAATTGCTGGGATGGAAGCTTTAATGCAAAAAATTAGTGATTTCGAAAACAAACAAATAGAGTGAGAAGTGAATAAACAAAAACTAGAAGAAGAATTAAAAGTAGCCAAAGAAAAATATGATACTTTCTGCAAATCCTTGATAAATGTAAGTTTAAGTGAAATCGAAAAAGCAATTTTAATTTCAGAAAATGAAACTGCCAAGCTATTTAATAAAATTGGATTGAGTCTTGAATTATGTGAGCAAAAATATCAAAAATTCAGCAATGAAAAGCTGAGAGAAATAGAAAATCTCAGAAATGAATTGATAGAAAGCAAAGAAGAATTGCAAATAAAAAACAAAAAAATTGAGATACTTGAAAGTGATAAAGAAGAACTTAAGAAAAAGATTCAAGATCAAGCTGATATGTTTGCTGCAGAAAGGTATAATTTCGAAAAAATTACTGAGGCATATGAAGTAGAAATGAAAAGTGCAAGCCAAACCAAAAACAGTTCAGAATTTGGAAACTAAAGAAAATGAAGAGAAAGCTTAAAATAATTAATAGAAAATAACGCTAACTTTATTAATAATTTGGAAGAAATGTTTTAAAAATGGTAATAAAACTAATTTAAACTCATATCAGTAAAAAAATATAAATTTTACCAAAATTCCTATTATTTACAATTTTCTAATATTAAATAAAAGTTTAGAGTTCTTAAATATAAATTTCTTGCAATATGATTATATACAGATTGCGTGTAAAATATCAAATTCAGGGCAAATAATAAATATAATGCATCTTTTATTTATATAAAATATTTATTCTCTATTTAATAAAATGTATTCGAATCTAAGTTCATATATGAATAATTAAAAAAATTAACTAAATCCTCTTATAAGATCAGTAATTAGCATATTTAAGATTCTAAAGCTTATAAATTATGCAATGAAAGCTCAAGAAATTCCTTAATAATGAACTGCAAATAGCAATCTAATAGGATAATTATTTATAACAATGAAATTATATCTAATGATAAATCAGCTATAATTATCTATAGGCCCTTCCTATAGATGGCGCGCAATACGCCATCATCGGGCCATGTCGGGAGAGGGTTCTCCACGAGAATAGTTCCACGTGTGGAACCCTCTTTTTCCACGAGCCAAAAAGAGGGTTCCACACGTGGAATCATTCCTCGTGGAGAACCCTCTCCCGACATGGCCCGATGATGGCGCATTGCGCGCCATCTATAGGAAGGGCCTATATTTTATCCTTGAAAAATATTTAAAATCATAATATTCGATTTTCATATGATAATATTTCTCTGTTGATTTTAAGCTATTATTTATGATTCATCTTTAAGTAATCCATTATATGGATTTTATTATCCGGCGCCAAGGAAAATCGCTATTCTTCACCTTCTTATTATTAATTTTAGTCTCAGGGTTTTGAACTTTTCTATTACTCATAGAAAGAGATCAAAGCACACCCGAAGTGATTTTGCCTTCAGAAGTGGTTTTCACTGAAAAAGAAACAATCGAAATCAAACGACATCCAGAAATTCCTTCCCTTTCTGAATCCTTAGTTTCTTGAAGTGATATTCCTGTGGATAAGAATGCAAAAGTCCTGACTTGACCTCTATCTCAGATCCCTCATTTTAAGGACTCAGACAATGCCTCATGCATCCCAAGAAGCTTTGGATATTCTAAGCAGCAAGCAGAGAATTTATTCAAAACAGAAGGATTTTATACATGTGACAAAGGTAAAGACTTTTTATCGTTTAGGGATAATAAATTGGAAATTAACTGTCCTGAGGGCTCTGATTCAAGTTATGTTTTGGGAACTTTGCCTGAAGAAGAAGTGCTTAATGACTCAAAAATGAGGCCGAGGTGGAAAAAATATGAAGGAGAAGTGGATTCTGGCAGAAGTGAGTATGCTTTTGGAAAGTGTGGAGATATAAAGCAAGGAATTCTGAAAAATAAGTTTTTAAAATCAGCTTCAGATCGAGCATTTAACACTACAGAAAAATTAAAGAAAGAAATGAATATTATGGGCAAGGTCAGGCCTTTGACTGTTCATAATCAATATGTTGGCGAATAAATATATCCTTGATGGCAATTCACCACCTAGGCTGAAAAAGTCACTTTATAGCCTAAATAGAGGTTCAAGCTTTTAAATCTAAACCACACAACAGTATTGGATGGGTACATCTTGGGAGTAGGCTAGTGGTGAGTCCTTGACCTGGTATTTGTTATCCGAGAGTAATAATTTTCACATCTGGAGGTGTTGCTCCTTTTTACTTGGTGTCACAAGTCCTCAATGGCTATTGAGTTAACCTTTAGCTTTATTGCACCCGATTTCTTTCTGAAGAGAAGCCTTTTGATATGGAGAGAATCTTTGGGGTCACAGTGAAGGTCCTGTCCCTAGAATAGAGCACTGTTCCAAATAATATGAATTTCTGCCCAGCAAGCAGGGGGTCTGGCTGAAAGTTTTTGGAGACAAGGACATTCTCGGAGAATACTTTAAAACCCTTAAATTTAATTTAATTTGACTGTTCTTTTTGTATTATTTGACGCATATTCCAGATATCATTTTTATCGGAACTCTCCAAAAACTCTCGAATTTTTGAATTCTCAGGCCGTAAATGGCACTTTTTCAGAAAAATTTACTATATATGATTTTCTAATCAATAACGCTCACGCTGAAAATACCCAGCCAAATTTAATTCCTATGTTTTACGGCTACAATCTAAGAAGCCATAAAATTCGGTTAGAGGGATATTCCTATAATAACCAAAGCGATACATGAAAATTCAAAGATCTCCAAAAAGAAGCTATCTGAAAGCACTATGAAAATTATGGCTTTGTCACTATGTTTTCTTATGACACTGTCTGAAATTACATGACCCAATCAACTGGAAGAAAAGTTCTAACTGACCATGTCGCTACTAATTTCTGGCATGCCTCATCAGAAATATTTGGATACCCTGACTTTATGAACTATAAAAGGTGCATTGGGAATCATTATTCTCATTATTATACTTTGGATTATACAAAGCAGTTTATAAGAAACTACCAGGAAAATAATAAATTCGCATATATCCATTTATCACAAGCTCACGAATATGCAGGGACAATTATAAAAATAGTTGATGATGATTTAAAGGAATTTCTTGAAGACACTCTAAAATATTACAATGAAAAAGAAGAAGATCTTGTCATAATGCTCGTTGGTGATCACGGAAAACATGTTGAGCCTTATGACACTTATCCAGAAGGCTACGTAGAAAATCAACTGCCTTTTCATATTTTAATCACAAATAAAGAGCTCGTTAATAAAATGAGTGCTGATGAGTTTCTTAAGCACAACACACAAAGATTGGTGAGTAGATTTGATTGGTATATGACACTAAAACATCTAGCTACAGTTCCATATGGATCTCTTAAGCCTAATTCTGATCTTTATTTAACTTGGAGATCAATGACTGATTCAAATCATTCACTTTCCTTATTTTCAGAAAAAGTTGATAATTATAGGGAATGCTCTGATATGAAAATTCCTCTGCATAGATGTTCTTGCTTGCCATTTTTCAAAGTAGAAGAAAAGCTTTATAGCTCTGAACCACTGACAACTTTAGGGAGATTAGGAATTTTCGCAGTAAATAATAGGATAAAGAATGATAATTCTTTAGAATTTTGCAAAAAAATTACATTTAAAGAGATAATTCAAGCAGAATTCCAAGAATTAAATGATAAAGATGAAAGCAAAACTTATAGGATTAGGGTTACAATACATGAGGATGAAAAAGCAAGTTTTGAAGTCTATGGATTATTAACTTCAAAAGAAAATCTGAAAAAAATGATGAAGAAGGATGAAGACGGAGAGATTTATCCTGTAGCAAATGTAGTTGTAGAAAATAGAAAAGAAGAAATGGCTATCCAAGTTCAAGAAATAATAAGGGTGGACCCTTATGCGGGCATATGTGAAGAGATAGCAGCTACTTTGGGCACAAAATCTGCATATTGCATTTGTAGAAAACCCCAAAATTACGACTTCACTAAAAATATCACGCCACCTAAAGAAAGAATATTCAATCAGCTAAAGAAAAAGCTAAAAGTCCAATTAGCTAGCTTCAACGAAACCTGCTATGAAAGCTGTATGGTAAAAGATACAATTTGCCAGCAGTGGGGATTTGAACTGATAAATAAATTAGAAATTTTGAAAGAGCCGTGGAATAAGGATGGCGGAGGCTATGAAATATGGATAAATGATACACATGTAGAAGAATTCAACGATATACAGATTTTAGAGTATAGTAATAGAACTGCTTTAAGCTTTGAAGAAGCTGATGATGGAAAATATAATTTGCTATTTGGTAATTGGACAAAAATGTCATGCTATCTAAGAGATGAGGAAGTTCAGTTATTATGTCCTTGCGTATAATTAATCCTTTGTGAAAATAGCTAATTTAAGTATTTCATTATTTTTCATAGCAGCAATATATTCTCTTTTTTGCTATTTTATGTTCAAAGTTTATTTATTAGACAGTTAATTCCGATTAATAATTTTTAACAATTCTTAATGAATTTTCTTTTTATCCATTTATTTAAATTTAAAACAATAAAAACCTTTTTAGTCAAAACTCTTTATTTTATATAGAACTCCAAATTGATTCATATCTGAATAAGCTAATTTTTAAAATATCGCAAGGGCCAAATATGAAAGTCCAACGATACACAGGTCCAGCTAAAAAAGTGTTCGTAAATATCCGCGAAGTTCCTAAACCATCTCCTTTATCACGAATAAATCAACCAACAATACAAAGCAGAGGAATTTTGATACCAAAACCTCCAGAAGCCAAACATGAACCTCAATTCATTCGAAAAAAAGTTGAATCGTTCAGATGCCACACCCCAGATCAAGGAGGTGGCAAGCCGCAGTCTTCTCAAATACTCCCTCCACTGGCTCAAAAAAAAGGAGTTTCATCTGTAATGAATTCTCCTTCACGCTCAAATTCTACTACAAAGCAAAGGTGATATATGCCAACCCATTTTAAGCCTAAAGATGTTGATACAAGCATTCTTCTACCTAAATCTCCTATAGATAAAGAAGATATTTGTATGCCCTATGAATTAAAAGAAAAGCCAAGACTGAGCAGCCGAAATGTGGAAATCAGAAAATCTGTTAAACAATTGCCGCAACCCCCTGAAAAGCAGCAGCGAGTTGATTTGAGAAAAGGGAGTTTCTCTAAAAAGCAGATAGCAACAGTGCTAAATAGTGTGGACACAAGTATAAATTTGTCAAGAATTGAGATGGATAGTATAAATCAATCAAGAATAGATTTAGATATACTATATCAAGCTAAATAATCCTTTATCTATAAAAATTCCTTTATTTCTCAATGATTTCATCAAAGAATATTTCAAAAATTTCATTAAAATGCGATGAAGTTTTCCAGCCCTGGGAAGATTTGTCAACAAATCATCCATCAAGAAATCCGACGCCTGATTTAAGTACATCACGGCCGAATCGATTTCATCAGCTTTCTAAAGGCTTTAAACTAGACAAGCAATCCTTTGTAAGCCAAGTCGACAAACAAGTGAGAAGAACCCAGTCAGAAAACCATTCAGCTGAAAAAAGAGTAAAAGGACCTCAAGCTTATACCCCAGAGCCACCGCTTCTGCATCCTTGGCAGAAATTTATGCAGGATTTAGATGATATATCAAATATAACGGATATAGTAGAAAATAAACAGAGTATTGAGAGTAAGTTTATTAAGCCAAAAGGACCTATAAAAGCGAGACATTTGTAATAATGGAGTTATGTAAATTAATTTTAAGCTCATGTTTGCCAAAATTTTAATTCAAATTTATATTTAAAACCTCTAAATATTATCCTTGCTAATAGTAAAAAGAGGAAAATTTCTTTATTTGTTATACTTATAGGAAATAGGAAATAAAAACGGTGACGTTGACAGAATATATGGAGCAGGTAAACCCATCCCAATGAAGCTGAAAGCAGTGCCTCTCCAGGTTTAACTGGGCCTTAGGGTTTGTGATGCTTGCCGAAGAGTGAGGTTTGGCACTCCACAAAGATTTTCGTGTCATGGCAGGTGAGCACGACAGGTTTTTGCCTTCCATTTATTTTGCTTATCGAGATTAGCTGGGCATTCGCAAGAGGTGACTCTAACTGATGGAGCTAATCTCAGGTTAGCGGTTTACCCAAATAGACAGGCTAATGGTCTATTCGCTTACGCCTTATAGCACTTAACTTAGCTTATACTTTGAGACTATTCTTTGATGAATTTTATATTATGAAGAATATTTTGATGCTCCTTAATCTATATATTTGTTTTCAAATCATAAACCGTTCAACTTCAGTATTCTTGATGTTAGCAATAATTGCCCACATCTTTATCATGACAAAATGCATATATATGCATATATATCTATTTTCATTTAAATTTCTTCTTATTTCAGGTGAAGAAATGACTTAAATTAAGATGGATCCACTTGCAAATTTTGATAGAGCTGCAGATCATAACGGAGAGCATGAGTACCAAGTTCCAGTTGATATAGATATTGATATCCAATGTAAAATTTTAGACCAAAATTTCAGCATTCCTATTAAGGATGAGGTCGATATCAGTGTAAGTAATCCTAAACTAAAGGAACAAAAAATAACAAAACATATCACATATTCAATATCAGGCGTTATTGACAATTATTTAAGGATAAACACTACTTTTGTATCTTAATGATAGAGCTTTTATTATTTTATATAAAAGAATACTTACCTGCTCAATTTAAAAAGTTTTTATCAAAAAAATTAAATCTACCACAATATCAGGCAACGATTCACAAGGAAGATTTGAAAGCTTCAGACGATATAACGATTTCTTGCTTCTTCGAGCAAGACTTGTTAATAGGTGGCCAGGCTGCTTCATCCCTCAGCTTCCTCCTAAAAAGCGATTCACTTCAATGGCCCATGGAAATCTGCAGCCACAATTTATAGAACAAAGGCGAAAACTATTGAATTATTTTATTAGAAAACTTGGTCAGCTCTCATATGTAAAACATTCACCCGAATTCATTGTTTTCACAAGAGGTGGGAACGATTTTAAAGCTGAAGTTAACGAGATAAAAATTCCATCAACCATAGAAATTGCTAATACTTTTCATAATGAATTCACTGAGTATTTACTGTATCAAGAAAGCCCAGATGATGATAAAAAGGTTGAAGAGGCCGAAATTATGTTTAGGAATGGAATTGAAGCCATAGAAAACTTTGAAGAAATCTGCAAGAGGAATGTCGAATCTTATAATGGCTATGATAATGGGCTTTTAATGCTGACACAAGGGCTTAGAGATATGAATTGTTTGTATAGAGAAAATTATAAAGCAAAATATATTGATTTTAAAGTAAAGGAATCTCATGAAAATCCTTATCAAATTTTATTAGACTGAGCAAGGACAGAAGTAATGGATTTACGATCAATTTTAGAAGCAATAGAGCAGAAAAAGAGCTATGATAGGCTGGAGGATAAATTCAAAGAAAAATTAGAAGAGGACAATAATCAGCTGGAGAATATGCAGCAGGGACGCAAAAGTTTAATGCAAAAGCTTACTAAAAAGCCAATAGAGCATTATATAGCTAAACGAGAAAGAATTATTAAAGACATGACTGAAGAAATCAATGGGCTTTCAAAAATAAAAAAAATAATCACATCAAGACTCGTCCATAAAGAAATTCCGAAATTCAGAGAATCAAAGATTCATCAGCATGATATTGTAATAAAAGCTTTTGCAAGGTGCACTGTACAAGAATTTGAGAATTGGATTATTCAGAATAAAGAAATTCAAAAAGGACTAAACGCCAAATAAAATCCTGCTCATAATTTATTATAAACTAGACTTAATTTTAATTTAACAAACTATTAAAAATTTGTGTGTTATTTATAAATTTTTAAATAAATTGTGTTATTTCTCTGATAATTCCATATGGTAAATCGTAATATTCCTTGCTATTTGATTTTTGATTTTGAGCTGCATATGCTAAATAATAAATAAAAGGCAGTCTTCTTTTTCATAATTTCACTTTTTTATTGTACTCAATAAGCTCAGTTAAGCCAACTTCAACACATACAGAATAGTCGAATTCGCTTCCTCTATCAAGCAAAAGCTTAGCTGTTCTTATGTCTTGATTTCTAATTGAAATAGTTAATGCAGATTGATCATCCCAATTAAGAATTCCTAAAGGATGCACCTTTACAATAGTTTTCAGAGCTTCAACATTCCCATTTCTTGAAGCTATATGAATAGGTCGATCACCTACAGAATCTTCACTAATAAAAAATAAACTCGGGTAATTTTGAGCAAGGTATCCTAAAATTTTAAAACTGTTTGATTTTGTTGCGTAATGAGCAATATTTTCTCTTCCAGTATCCAAAAAATAAGGATTAAATCCAAATTCAATAAGCAGATTTAACACTTCTGGGAGATCTTGAGTACATGTAAGAAAAATAGCTTCAGGATATACATCAACCAATTTTTTGAGTTCGTCTTGGTAGTTTTTAATTTCTTTTATATTTCCATCCATGATGAGCCGATGCAAATGAAATACCGTTTCATCCATTTTATTATCAGATGTGAAAAGGCATATTTATTAGCTTAAACCTTTTCTATTATCTTATTCTTCGTTTATTTTCTTTTTCTTCTTAGGAACATCAAATAAATCTGCAGTTGCATCCATCAAAAATTGTATATCTTTTGCCATTTTTTCTTTTTGTTCTAGCTTATCTTTCTTTTTCTCCATCAAGCTATCCTGAATCTTCTCTCTCACTTTCTTTGTATGCACAGACTCTTTGACCTTCTTCTTTTCTTTTTCTTTTTTCTTCTTTTTCTTTTTTTCATTTTCTAGTCTTTCTTTTTCTTCTTTTTCAGCCTTTTCTTCTGCTTTGATCACTTCTTCAGAGGCTTTATCAACAGTCCCAATTTCATGTGGATTCAGGACTATAGTATCAGGTGGCAATTTTTCTAATAAATTATGGACTTCTTGTTCCTGTCTTTGCCTTTTTGTTTGGAAAATATTGGCTTCATTGCTATCATAGTTAGCTAAGCCACTTCCAGGGATACAAATATTGCTAAATCCATTAGCCGTTCCAATACCAAGAAAATCTTCATAAGGCACAAATTGAGTGTCTGCTATAGAACTAGTGCAGATATGAGACATATAAGGAGATTTTTGTTTTTCTAGCTGCCAGTCTTTTCATATTTTTACTTCACTAAGAGAGCTCATTGATAGCAGCCCAGTCTGACTAATTGAAAGGCTGTTACATGGAACTTCTGTCCAGTATTCTTGGAGTGGATTTCCTAATGACCTAATATCAAAAATTTTTACTTTACAATCGGCACCTCCAGTGGCTAAATAGAGCCCTCTAGAATCTATAGCTAAACTTTTGCATGGCCCATTATGAGCAATCAGCCTAACAACTGGCTTATTTATATTTGGTGTCCACATAGTGACAATCCCTCTTGCATCCCCTACGCAAATGACCCCATTTCATGGATTCCTCTTCATATCATTGACATTTTCAAAGTGGAACCTATGCTCAGCAGCAGGCTTTCCTACAGAAATGTCCAGATATTTCAAAAATCCATGATTATTTGCAGACACAAGTAAAAAATGATAAGGCAAGTATTCCAATTTTTGAGGTTCTATATGTGTTTTTAAAGCATGGACTTCAATACCTTGGCTATCATAAATATAAAGCCCTTTTCTTTGGGCTACAGCAAAAAGAAGCTCGTTTTGTAAGAATTTTACGTCTCTTACAAGCTCTTTTAGATGGAATTCAGTCATTAGTTTGGCTTCTCTTCAGTTCATTAACGCAATGTGGCCTTTGCGGCCTCCAAGTAATAGGCTGGTACCGTTCATTGTGTAATCAAGTGCATATGGACCAAAACTCAAATTAAGGTCAAAAATGTGCCTTGAGCTATATTCAGGGACAATTTCTTTGAGTTGTTTTTGGTTTACTTTATAGGTTTTTTCGCCTTCGTCTGGCTCTAAATACCCGTTTTGTTGCGTAAGTAAAATTTGTGTTTCATAGTTGGCTGACCTTCCATCTCTGTAATATTTGTGGGCTGTGGCTAGTTTTGCATTGAGTTTTGTTTCCATTTTATACTAGATAGATAAGGAGGTGAATTTATTGGTAAATCTATATCATATTTATTTTATGGATTTGACAATTAATTTGAGAAATAAATGAATCACTCATGCATAAAGAATAATTATTTTATTACTAAATTATATGAGACTATACAGAGGTAGCAAAGGAGCAAGCTAAAAATGCATTTTTAAGCTTTATTTGCGTATCAAACTTATCAATTATTAAATATATGCCTTTTATATTATAGCTATCTGAATTGCAGAATTTCGCAAATTTATTATTCAGCAAACTCCATTCTCCTGTTTCTATACATCTCCATCTTATAATTTTGTATTTGGTCCAGCACATTTCCTCCAAGTATCTGAAGATCCCACTCATCATCATTTTCAAGCCCTTTCCACCACTTTTTTGGGTCTGGGATTTTTCTTTTATGAATTTCCTTTGCAATAAACACTTCTTGAGGTGTTGCATCTTGTATCGTATATTTTAAAGGGTCATTTAATGCTTTTATTGTCTCCAACGATTTTATAATATATTTTACTTCATTTCTGTCACTATACTTTTGGCTTCTTAGCTTATCCCATGCAACTTGTCTGTCAAGGAATTTTGAATATTCTTCTTTATATATTTCTAAATTTCCTCTTCCTTTAAGTCTGATTTGTTTTATTATTGCTTAAATAATAAAATGGCTTAGGATGAAGAGGTAATTCACTTCGTGAACTCATTTTCCATCACCCAACTTTTATTATAATAGGATTAAGTTTTTACACGTGGACACCGAGAAGAAAATTTGAGGAATTTTACTTCGCTCATATTGTGTATGTGTTTTTACCTTTTCCCTGCTGATACAAAAGGCAGGACACTTAGGCTGAACAGACACTGTAGGAAAGTCGGATAAAGCCAGGAATGCGCCAAGCCGCTAGTATATTCTGTACTTCTGGGTTTTCAAATGGAGCTATACAGGAATTAGAACGAGTGAGCAAGACTTCGAGGCAACATGAATTCGAGTAGCGGAAATAATGAGAAAAACACACCTCACCACACTGCTACTAGAGACCCAACTGGAAAGTTAGCTAAATTGAGCTAATTTGTTTGTTTTATTAATGCTTCATGTCTTACTGGATCAATTGGCTTATAAAATGTATCAGGTGGAGCTTGGAATTTTCTAGGTGCTGATTTAGGTTGAGTTACAACAGTTTGTGTTATTAGCCTTTCTCTTTCCATAAGTTTCCTTGTTTTTCTTCCCCTTCAAAACGCTTGAATAATAACTGCAGCATCTGCTTGCTTTTTTAATGCAAGTCTTAATACAGCTTCTGCAGGGAGTTTTGATAAGAAAAGATACTCTCTTTCTTTAGCTTCTAGCCTTTGTCTATGACGAAGCTTCAATAATTCAAGTTCAGCGTGGCGCATTTCTTGTAAAGTTGCTGGATTATTTCTGCTTTTTCTATTTCTAATAGCTCTTTGTATGATTCGTGCAGCTTGTTCTTCGCTTAGTCTATTTTTCATTTGATACATTTGAATTATTAAACATTTTTCTTACTGAAGCACAAGAAATTGGTTCCATAATTGAAAAAATGGGAAATTGTTTACGTCATGAGGAAGAACCTAATAAAAAACTCAGAACTAAAACAATAGATGAGTTTGAAAAAATTTATACCTTAGGATCACCCTTGGGAACCGGACAATTCAGTGAAGTACTTGAAGCGAAATCTGCTACTAAATCAATTGCAGTAAAATGCATAAATCTCGCAGCAATGAGACATGAGCTACATTTATTAAGAAGAGAAGTAGAAATTATGAAAAAAGTGAGGCACCAAAATATAGTGCAATTTTATGAGATATATGAGAATCCCGAATTTATCTATATCACAATGGAATTATGCGAAGAAGGGAATTTAAAGAAAAAAATTGAAGCTTTTGGAAAAATGAATGAAGAAGATGTAAAAATAATGACAAAACAAATATTAAGCGCTCTTGTGTATTTACATAGGTTAAAAATCTGCCACAGAGACTTAAAGCCGGAAAATATTCTTTTTTCTAATAATCGAGTGAAGCTTGCTGATTTTGGATTAGCAAGGCATATGAATGGGACAAATGGGTTTAGTGTAGTTGGGACTCCTTATTATCTAGCCCCTGAAGTGATTGATGGGCATTATAACTCCAAATGTGACATATGGAGTTTAGGAGTTGTTCTTTATTATTCGCTCACTGGAAAGCTTCCTTTTAATGGGACTTGCTATGAAGATTTATTCTCAAAAATCCAAGGAACTGAGATTAATTATGGCTATATGTCGACTGAGGCCAAGGAGTTTTTGAAGCTGCTACTTCACAAAGATCAAAATTCGAGAATCAATGCAGAAGCTGCTATCAAGCATAGTTGGCTGAATTAATTGAAATTTTGTAGTATAAAATAGCTAAGAATCTGATTATTAAGCCAAAATTTCTTTAAAAAATGTCACAATTCAACTTTAATTTCAAAAACTTTGGGCCTAACGATAATTTCTTCAGACAAATTTCGTTCAATAATCCAAGCCCTTTGAACTCCAAACGGTCAGTTTCGAATAATTCGCAAAAATTATCATCAAGAAAATCGTCAAGGAAACTAAAAGAAAATCAAGGGACAGAAAATATAAATAGTTTAAATAGTTCGAGGGCTTCATCTTCAAGAAAACGCTTTTATTGTGAATATGAAAAAGATTTCCCCAATTCCTTCGCATTGAAGCCAAATTTTTATATTGATCAACTCTTTAATAAAAAAGTCCGTCAAACCATCACATTGCAGCAGAAAATAAACCAAAACCGTCTTAAACCGCGTCAAATCCACAAAGACAAACAGAAGCCAGAGATCCCAACACTCAAAGATTCAGCAGAATTTAATTCTGCTTTATCTATTAAAAGGCTTTTAAATATCAGCCACAATAATGAGCAGTTAAAATTAAAGAGCTTAATAACGAGAAGAACTTCATTAGAAAGCCGAACGGATTTAGAAAAAACTTATGATGAAAGCATTATAAAGGTTAGGCAATGCACAACTCATAGGGTTTTAAGGCCACGGTCGGTCCCGAGAAAAATAATGTCAAGATCTCAAGCGATTTCTGAGTGTCAGACTGATGATAGTGATGACGATATTATAAATGAAATTCCGAAAGAAATACCAATTATGGAGCATGAGAGCTGCGAAGAAGAGAGCCCAGTGCGTCACTTAAAATGTGTATAAATATTCAATATATCTCATTTTTGAAAAATCTTTTTTATTATTTAAGCTATTAGATTTATAAATTAGCCAAACAAATTATGGAAATCTTTTAAAGCTTTTATGAATGATATAGCATTTATTTTTTTCTCACATTAATCTGATTCCCATTTAAAACGAATCATAAAGGGTAGTAGATGGGTTAATGAATAATAAATCAAAGGGATGCTGCTCGTGCTTTAAAGCAATGTTCGGCGGCCAGTCAAAGCCGTAATTCCAATACAGTGCTCAAAGCAATAAACCCGAAGAGAACAATAAAAAAAGTGTTCCAATAGAAAAACCAACTGAAGTTTCAAAAAAATCCCCTCCTCATTCCGAAATCAAAGAGAAGAAGCCAGAAAAGAAAATCCCTGCCTCAGACCCAGCCCCTAAAAAGAGAGAAACCACCAAATCTACTGCAAAGCAATCTACAGTAAATGCAGAAACGTTCCCATTAGACGAATCTTCAATATCTCTCCGCGTCTCAAACGAAATAAGTGTCTCTAACGACGTTGTATTTTATGATAAAAATTCTGGAAGCAACCAAACATATGACAAAGAGCAAGCTCGATGCAACCTTGATGAAGCTTTCCATATGATACAAGCAGACAATGGAAAATCTTCGGAAATGAGCTCACTCCCCCGTTTAAATTGGAATAAATATAGTAAAATTTCCATTTTTTGTAAATTAACCCCTCTTTAAATTGTGACAAAATATAGGTAAAGTTTTCCATTTTTTTGGTAAATTGCCCCCTTTAAATTGGAACAAAACTTTTTGTTCCAATTTAAAGTGGGGGAGTCAGAGCATTTGACATTTGGCAAAGACGCGCTAAATTCGTCATTTATTAACTCGAACAGTGAGGTTAGTGATGAAGGAAAAGAGCAATTTACAAAGGTGATTAAGAATATCAACTTTAAGGATCTTTTAGAAGAGGAAGAAAGCAGAAGAAGCAAGGAAGAAGAGTAAGTAATAGATTTATTAATGAGATTTTAGTTTAATAGGCTTCTTTCGCTTGGTACCAAGGGGCAAGGAAGACTGGCTGGACGCAGTCTAAGGCACCTTGAAGCTGGGGGTAATAGATAGCATTGAGACTGAAATAGTTCCAAGCTCTGTTTAATTTGGAATTTCACCAATCAGACATGCATTGACCAGTAAATCTTTCGCTGAATGATTTTAGCAATTATTTCAAAATTATAATAAAACATTTTTATTCTTCTATAGAGAGTATAAATCTTCTCATTGTATTGCAATTGTTTATTGAACTTGACTGAATTCATTGAATTAAATACTGGCTGCTTTGTTTTGCTGGCTCATCTCCAGGAAATAGTGTGCAATAGCTATTTCCAGAAGGGTTATAGCCGCATAAGCAAGATCCCATCAACTGTCCATATTCAAAATAATCGTCTCTCGTCGACATACAGTCAGCATCTACACTGCATTGTTGAGGTATCTTTTTAGCTGTAGAGACCTGGCTCATACACTCGTAAACTCCGTCATATTCCATGCACAGTCCACTGTTGCACAGCATCGAAGAATTTGTAGGAGAGCAATATCCTACCGGTAAATGGTTACTTATCGAAAAATAAGGGAAGCAAATGCTATTTGCTGGGGTGCTTGCCAAATTGCAGCCAGATCCATTCACGCAGTCATAATCACTTGTACACCCAGTGCCACCTATATGAATTTGAGGGACACATTGTTGGTTAAAACACCTGAGTCCAGGGTTGCAGTCGTCACTAGTAAAGCAAGCCTCTCCGTTCAGAGACCCTACACAGACACTATTTACACATCCATTTTTGGCATGGTTGCTACATTGTGAAGAAGAGCTGCATTTTTCACCTGGCCATGCATTGACGGGTGGAGATGGAGGATTTCCTTCACAGGTAGAGTTACGCTGGACTGGAGCTTGGCAGTGAGGATTTCGCTTGGAGCAGCTTGTTACATAATATGTAGGCTGAGTAACTGTGGGTGTGTAGAATACACAAGTATTATCAACAAAATTCTGGTGATCTTGCTTGCATTGGTATAATGGGCATTGATTGTTTTTAAGCTTTTCAGGAGCTGCTGCAGAAAGAGAGAATATAACGGAGAAAGCTAATAAAGCTAGTTTTGAGGTCTCCATATATAATATTGTAATTTGTGTGAATTAAAACTAAATTATAAAATTGTTAAATTATATAGGGATTTATAAATTTTTTATTTTTTCCGATGGCGCATTTTTTGGAAAGTGTTTTGTATTATATTTTGGATTATTTATTATAGCAAAAAAAGGTATTAATGTCTTGTTTTGTAAATAATAATATACAGTAGCGAATATTAGTTTTTCAAGTATAATGTGATATTTTTTACATGGAAACGAGTTAGATTTGCATTATTTCTTGCTAGATCCCTTGGGCTCAAGTAGTTAGTGTTGTGGATTTCACTAATAGACAGTTTTTCTTGTATAAGAGAAGACAAAATTGGGTTTAGAACACTAATTGATTCTCTTTCATCAGCTTTACTTTGATTACTTGGCCTAGATCTCTGTGTCGAATTTATTGAGTTTCTATTCTCGTGTCCCGGTAATTTCAGTAGTGGCCTTTTTGTTGCTCTTATACTTTTTGGCCTATAAATATCATCTCTTTCAACTTTTTTATATTTGTAAATTTCCTTTGATAAACAAAATATGGAGAGACATTCAAATTTTCTGTTCCCGGCCGAAAATTCTTCTCTTCGTATTTTGGCATGAGGCTTGGCATTAATTAGCGAATATATCCTGACAATGGTGAAGCTTTAAGCCCAGTGATGAGCAGCGCTGGAGGGCAATTTCAAGAAAAATAGAATTTTCTTGATGTTTTGCCAATCCCAGACATTTAGACAAGCACCTTTAAACTGCCTGACAGGCTTAAGCTGGCTTTTCTGGAGCTTGAAGAATGTCTTAAGTGCTAAAAATTGATGGAAAGTTGCCGCATTGGTGACCAGGATCAGGTCGAGTCCGATGTATGATGGGCACCATACCATGGTGAGTTTATCAGCAGAAGCATGGAAAAGCGGCATGGCATATAGATGCTAAATTTGTGCTAATAACTAATGCAGTTCCTTTGAATCTGATTTATAAATAACTGATTTTTTCATATAGGCAGATTCCACTTCTTTTATCTTTGCTAGAATGTCTAAAGGTCCTTGAATTCTTTCACTAGGATTATCCCTAAATGAAATAGGCACTTCTCTAGCTGTTATTGGCATTAAAGGTTGGATTTCAGGCTCAATTTTATCAGTGTCTACTAATGAGGAATGCTTTAGTACTGTACTGAATGGGATACTTACGAAATTCTTTTTGGAATCAAGTCTGATTGAGGAACGAAAAGATTTTTTAGGAGAAATATGAGGATCAGGTAGGTTTTGTGCGTTATCAAAAGTATTTGATTGTTTTGATTCTTCGTCACTTTTATCTCTCGTCACATTTTTTGCTACTGATTTATCTCTCGTTAGAAACTTGGACTTTATGCTGTTTCTTCTAAATTTCAGAGATTTTATGCTTTCTCGGGATTTTCTCTCTGACTTGAAATTTGAGCATTTTATAATTTCAGCTTCGCTTAATGACGAATCGCTTCCACTGCTTTCAGTACCACTATCAGAAATATTGACAATATCAATATCTTCCCAGTCTTCATCATTTTCTCATATTTGGCTGCCTTTATGATTTTTTTCGTCATTTTCTATTAATTTGTTCACGTCACCTTCATCTGAGCTTCCCTCATAGTCTATAGACTGTTCTTCAGCACTTGATTCATTATCTTCAACAGTGTTATTTGTATCATTAATATTATTTCCATTTTGTTTCTTATCTTAAATACTGATGAATAATAATTTCCTTCACAATATAGCAAATTGAATAGAAATTCATATAGAAATGGCATAATTATTTTCTTCTCTTTGTATGCAGGTCTTGCAAATAGAATTTTTCTTAATGTATCATTGACACGCCTTACTCTTCTCATATAAAGCGTAGGGGATGCAAACGTCAAGCATAATTCACATAAGTCAGCACCTATTTTTTCTAGATGGGATTTTTTCATATGCATGTCTCCTTGGAAATTATCAAAAGCTTTAGAACTTCTAGGGCCAAAAAATGAAGCTTCAAGCGTATAAGAGTGAGCTATGCCCATTTCATTATAAACAACAATTCTTTCTGTAGAAAATTTGGATTTTTCCATACGGAAATGAGAATCAAAATAACTAAAACATTTATTTTTTCGGGACAATAAAAGTGGAATTACCTTAGCTAACTCCGCCTATTAGTTAGTGAAAAATTATTAGAAATATCTCTATTTTTGGAAAAATTAAACATCTTTATTAGCGAGTATAAAATTTTTTACAAATAATAATTTGAAATATAATTAATAAGATCCCTGCTAATTATATAGAATTTTAAACAGTTACATTTTGAAAAGCATAATTTTATAAATTATATAATATTTTCATTTCAAATATTTATTTACAAATATAGATATTTTTTATAAATAAATTTTATATAATTTTCTAAAAACCAATTAATCCCTTCTAGCAGAAAAGTTTTGCTCATTAACCAAGTGGGGAGTAAGAGATTTTTCCTTTGAGGAATGGCTTCATAGCTTTTTACATTGCAGCCATACATAAACACATTTTTTTTCTTTGAATGCCCATGCATATCGCAACACATGATTATTTCGTTTTTTTCATTAAAAACTTCTATCATTTTTTTAGCATAAAAAATAGTGGGATGTAAAATTTTATTTGGTTTTTCTCACCTTCGGTTTAGGTCAATTCCTAATAAGCAGCATCGAGAATTCCCATATCTGACTCCGTCAACGTTTAGCATTGGGATTATTCGAAAGACAAATTTTTTTCTTACTACTCTATTATTCACTGATCCCACACGAGAGAAAGTTATTTAAGATATGGAAAACAATAACGCAAGTGGTTTTATTTCAAATAATAAGACTCACCTATGGAATTTTTATTCTAAAGTTAATAATTTTCCCACCAATCTCAAATTTCATTCAATAATAAATTTCTAAAAAAATTCTAAAAATCGTAGGAAATTTTTGCATTATTAAAAGCTAGCAATTTGAAGAAAAATCAATTACAATTCCGTTTTTAAATAAGGAGAGATCTAGAAGTTTTGCTTGATAAGTATTTCCTAACAAAAAATCAATAGCTCCTTTTATCATAAAAGATGAGACTGTTTCTCCACTATGAACTCTCGCTGTTAAAACAATGCCCTTTTTATGCGAATGCTCATCGATTATTGTTTTGCCACTCAAAGAACTTTGTCTTTCTAATTTTTGTTTCCTCATTTTAAGTATTCTTCTCCCACTAGAGCTTAATCCTCATTCATGGCTTTCATCTTCAAAAGATATATAACTTTGCACATTCTCAGTAATAGTCAGCATTTTACAAATATTTCCTCCAAGAGTCTGACACAGAGGATTTATTCTTAAAATTTCATTATTCTGCTCTATATCTGACAAATACTCCAATAAATCTGTATAAGTATAAGGATAAGCATATGCAAAATAAACAAGATCATTTGTATATTGAAAATTATATTTAAAACTAAGACAGTAATAAGAATGATCCAAATATTCAGGAGCATAGTCTTCATTTTTTTCATAGCTAATATCATAGCATCCTCTATATCATTCTTTTTCTTCTGTTTCATACAGAATTGTAGATCATACCAGCGGCTTCATTCCAGCTCTATAAAGAGGGTCTCGTTTAAGCATATTTTCAATTCTGAATGTCACTGTTATTGGTCTGAAATTTTTAACAGAAAAATAATACCAGTGGTTATGCCGTGATGTTTCTGTATCGGAACGAATAAATAATTTATATTCAAAATCAGATAACTTTATAACTTTATCCAGATTTCCTGATTCAAATTTGCTGTCAAAAATTAGCGTTGTCTGATCATTAGGAATCTCTAATGAATACTCTGGTTTAAATTCAGGGCATGGTTTATAAGCTTTTGCTTTAAAAAATGCTTCAAGCTCAGAGTCAGGCATATCTTCATTAAATTTCTCTATATGAGGCTTGGCATTTCTCTGAGGTTTGTTTTCGCTAGTAATTATTTGGGGCTTTCCTGCTATTTGTAGCAATGCTTTAATATCATAAACAAGCATCCCACCGAGCTCAAATTTATAGTTTCCTTTGTCATGGGAAGTTATTGAAGATTGTTTGGTTTCTTCTTTTTTTATGATGGGAGCATAAGATCAAAGAATTTCTTGTGCTGTTCTATCAACAAAGTGTTTACTGGTTATTTGATGATTTCCTGAGGCGATTAAGCCATTATTTGACATAATTAAAACAACGTTGGAATAATTATATATTGGTAATAATTAAAATAGTAGATTGAACGTATTTTTACAAATTTAAAAGAAATTGATCGTTTAAATAAAAACTAATGATCATCCAAATCTTTGTTAACAGTTTATGCACAATTTGAAATTAAATAAAATATTTCGTTTAGACATTGATTGAAATTATTGAATTTTTATATACAATGACTAAAAATCCTTAAATTAACGAACTTTTTGATAAAATATATATTCATCAATTTTTAATTTATATGAATTTTTATTATGGATTCCATTGCAAATAGAGTGAACAAACTCAAAGAGCGCTTTCCTGCAGGAGAACCGCATGTATTAGAATATGCAGCTCGAGCACCCACTCTATCCGATGCAATTAATTATTTACGAGAAATCTACGGGAATCCAACATCTCAGCCAAGTGCATGGGCAAAGCCCTTAAAAGTCTCAACGGCTCCAACTGACCCCAGAGAGAGAGCCCGTGCACGTGCCCTCGAATCTACCACTGAAGAAGACTCCAAGCCAGAATTTGACGTTTCTGAATACAAGATAAAAGAATGCAGGAACCGAGCTGGCTGCAATTGTGACAATTATCATCACGAGTTCGAGCGACGCCGTAACCCTAACAAAACCCACTACTCAGAAATTCCTTGCCCTAATGTTTTTAATGGGTCTTGGCGAGCTCCAGTCCTCTGTTCTAAAGGAAACAATTGTGGGCACTCACACACAGTAAATGAAGCTAGCTATCATCCCAGGACTTACAAAACGAAGCGCTGCCTTAAATTCGACGAAGGAACTTGCCATTATGGCATTAAATGTGCATATATTCATGGGAATAATGACCCTATTGCAGCTGCTTGGAAGCGTAAAATGGAAATGATAAGCCAGCCTAAAACCTCTCAGCCAGTTAGCTTTGCACCTAAAGTGTCTTTGGCTTCTCTAATACAAAGAGATGAGCCACCTCCAGAGTCGGATTTGTCACCTTCTGCATGGACTTTTATGCCGACTGTGAAAAATCCTGTAGAAGAGCTGAATTTGAAGATGCAGAAAAGAATAGAAGAACTTTATTTGAAAACTCTATGCTCAATTTGCTACATAAAAGAAAAAGACACAGCACTAATACCTTGTGGGCATCTTTTTTGCAGTGAGTGCTTATTGCAAACAGTCACAGCAGTCTGCCCTATCTGCAGGAGAGATTTTCGAGATAAATTAACAGTATTTTTGTAAGGCAATTAATTTTTATGTTTCTTATTTATCAGACAACTTTTTTCTTGTTTGAGGGTTTGGTGGGTGTACATGATCTCCATCCCTGTGCCATATACAATCATACTCATTATTTTCATTTCTTTTTCCCAAGCGTTTACAAGCTCTTCCTTAGATCGTTTTAAGAAATCAACTTCATTGTCTCGCTGGATCAGTTTTTCTTTGATGTCTCTGATTTCTTCTTGATGAGAAGAGCTTAAGCTTTCTTCTTTTTGCCTTAAAGCTTCTTTAAGCTCTATTTCTGTCCTAGTTTTCTCTTCCTGCATGGAGTTTAAAGAGTCTTCTTTTTCTCTTAGTTCTAGCTTAAGAGTAGAAATTTCTGATTTAAGTTTCATTATATCTCTTTCAAGTTCTAAATATTTTATTTTGTCAACGCTTTGCTCGTTAAGCTCGCTTTGATTTCTTTTCATAACTTCCAGCTGGTTTAATGCGATTCTTTCGCTTTCTTGGGCTTCTCTAAGCCGATTTGCTATTTTTTCTAAATCGATCTCACATGCTTTGATTGACATTTCTTTTTGTATGAGCATTGAGTCGAGTTTGTGGTTTTCTTCTTTGGAGTCTATTAGCTGTTTTGTGATTTCGTCCTTTTCTTTAAAAAGCTGCTTGATATCATGGACATGTGACTCTCTTTCTTTTTTCAAGCTTTCACATTCATTTTGGATTTTTTCCCAAATTAACTTTTCAGCTTCAAGCTGCTGAATTTTACTCTGTAGGGCTTGGCATTCTTCGCCTGCAGCTTCTAGTTTAGCTTGACAGTCAGCTAAACTTTTAGCAATTTGATCTTTTTCGTCTTCAATTTGTGCAGCTCTCATTTCTTCGTCTTTCCTCAATTTTTTTTCCTCTCTGCATTTTTCTTCCAATTTTTTCTTTGCCATATAAATTGTGTCCATTTGCTTGTTTATTTCTTGGACAACCCCTCCTCCACCTCCTAGCTGGCTTTTCAAGGTTTTGTTTTCCATTTCTAGCCTTTCTATTTGTTCTTCTAATTCTCTCTGCATTCCTGTTTGTAAAGAAAAATCTTCTTCTTCCTTTTCAGTTTCTAGTAAACTTGCTTTTGAGTGGAATTCTCGTTGTGTTACAGTTTCTGGGATCAAAAATTCCCTCTTTTTTCCTTCCAGCTCTTTTTTGAATTTTTGGAGCTCTCTTATCTGCTGATCTTTGGTTTCAAGCGCTAAGGTAAGTTCTGCAACTCTTTCTTTTTCTTGGGAGATTTGGTCTTTGTAGAAATTCAGTGTTTGTTTTAGTGTAACAACTTCGGACATGTTGTTCTCATTTTGTTTTATGGTCTCTTCAAGACTGTTTTTTTCTTCCTGAAGTTCTTTAACCTTCTTTTTGTATGTGCTTAAGTCTTCTAGCCGTTTTTTATACAATTCTAGCGTACTCTCAACTTTTCCTAGCTGTATCAATTTTTCTTGTGCCATATCAAGCTCGTCCTTTGTCATCCTTAGCTCATCTGTATGCGCTTTTTCAGTCTCCACCAGCTTGGCTTCCAATTCTTTAATTATTTTATCCTGCTTTTCTATTTTTTCTTCCAGCTTAAACAATGATTCGTCTACGTTCCAATCTCTATTCCCAATCCTTCTTTCCAGCTCGTCTTCTAACGCTTTGATTCTTTTTACATACTTCTCATTGTCATTGTTTAAATCCCTTTGCTTCTGCTCAATTTCTTTTAATGCACCTTGCAATTCCTCACATTGGTAAGCAAGACTTCTGTTTTCATGCTTCAGCTGGGTTACTTCTTTTCGTTCTTCTTCGTCTGTAAGCTTGGTCTCTCCTAGCTTGTTTAGAATCCTTTGTATGAAAACCATTAACTCTACTTGAATGCTTTCATTTAGATCAAGGATCCTTGAGATGTAGGTTTCTTTAGACTTGCAGCTGACTACTGCACCCATAATTAGCTCAAGTAGCATGATGGAGTTTTGACGTTCAGCTGATCTGGCAATTGCTGTAATTTCAACATGATCAACTATTTTGGTAGAAGGCACATTGAGGATGTCAGTATAAAACTTTTCTATTTGCCTCTTGAGTTTGTTTAGATTCCCTAGATCTTTGCTTGGTTAGCTAAAAAAATTCGAAAATCCTATTTTTTAGGGAAAATTAACTGTAACGATCAAAGAATGCTTAATATAAATTGTTTAGATAAATTATATTTTATAATTTAATTTATAATTATATTATAATGAAGCCTCGGGAAATTATATTACCCCATTTAGATAGATGGTACTCTAAATTTAATCAATAAAAATGCAAATTTTCCATTTAAAATGTTCACAAATTTGGATTTTTAAAAATTAAAAAAATTTTTATAAAGAATTTCAAATTTTTAGGAAAAAAAATAGTCCCTCCATTAGACCCAAGAGAGAGAAGTAAGCGAGCTGAGAAATTGTCATGAGTATTTCGTATTATGGTATCTGCACGGAAAAGATCTGGGGAACTAAATAGAAGTTACATTTGGCTCATGAGCTCGAAAAGCAATACTCCGTCACTCAAGTCGTCCATAGTTTTGATTTTTGCGGAAAGATTATTGCAATTAAGCTATATATCATATACCCATGCGATAAGGCTTCTCTCCAGATCGTTCATATTAAAACTAATATTTTCTTATTTTTAAACAAATACTTCTTTATTATTTATATATTTTAGCAATTTAAAAAGCATCATTTAGGCCTCCAATAGTTATTTTTAAATTCTCCCATATTTCGCATTACCCCGCATTTCTTATAAATTTATTTCACTTATAAAATAATGGCATTTGTAGACAATTCAAAAAATCTCAGTTCTGAAGACAGCTGGTTCAAGAAATCGCAAAATTCACTAAAAGAAAGGTTCCTTAATATTGCAAATGATATAAAAGCGTTTCAAGGGCAGTTCTATGAAGTGGAAAAGAAATGCTTTAAAGAAGACCGAGGACAGTGCTTAGCTCAGCATGACCAATTTAAATTGCTAATTGCTGATTTGCAGAGAAAACAGGAAAAAGAAAAACAAAAATGTTTTAAAACTTGTCAAGCTCTAATTCCTAAAGAAAATAATAGAAAACAAGCTAACTGGGAAAGTGATTATTTTGAGTGCTATTCACTTTATATGGAAAGATACATAAATTTAATGCAAAATGAATGCGAAATTTATAAGAATGCAGCAAGTCAGCTGCTGGAAAATTAATAAGTAATGAAATATTTTTTGATTACTAACTCCCCCCCTCCCGTTAGTGAACAAAAACCATTAGAAAAATCCCTATTTTTTGCCCAAAAACCCACCCTCCGTGAGTGAACAAAAATTTTTTATTGAAAAAACATTTTGATATATAAATGATAATTAGTATAATGAAATCTAGAGCTAATTCTGTTTAATTTTAAACGAATTGCTTTTTAAAACATAAATTTTATAAATTAAATTAATATTTGCTTTCCAATTTTTGTGAATTAGGATTTTTTAAATTTCGAAAAAAAAATGTTTTATAAAAATTTATATATAAATTATTTTAAAAAAAAAAAAATTAACCCCCCTCCGTGAGTGAACAAAATTTTTTTGTTCACTCAGGAGGGGGGAGTAAAGGTATAAAAACATCATTTTTTATTGATGATGATTTAAATTAAGAGCATGAGATACTTAATTAAATCTAATTTTTTAGGTAATTGGTTTATATTTTTGAAATACTTTAACTTTATAGATCCAAACACAATATTAAAAATGTCAGTTAGAAATAGATCCTAACTCCTGGTAACCAGGACAGGGTCCTATCATCCGAGCTTAGTGAGAGAAGTCAAGCTTCTGAGAGTCTCAGCTTGAAGAAAAGAAGTCGATACTGAGGCTGGCACTGACTAGAGAAGTTTGAAGGGCTTATTAGCTTTAACGGTTAGGCCAGTCCACCTACCATTATTCAAAGTTGTTAATGTAGCTGGACCCTTAAGTAAAAGAAGACTAAGGGCAATTTGCCAGAGTAATTCATTAAACTTAAACATAGATCCAAAAAATTTATTACATTTACTTACTAGAAATTTTAATAAACATCGTAGATAAATAAATCAATGTTATTCAGATTTGCAAGAAGATTTTACAGACACACATTTTCCTTGCAAGAAACACAGAAATTCTTTACAAGCTGTAAAACTTCTAGAGATATCAAACCAGCCATAATCTCAATAACAAACTTCATGAAAACAGAAAAGCTCCCAGATATTCCTTTCCGTAACATTTTATGAGGAATCGCATATTTGAAGCAAGTCAATCTAAACGAATCTAATTTTGGAAAAGAAATAACAAATCAATTCAATGCAAATAAGAATTATTACTCTAATGATACATGAGCCTTGCTTTTATACTTAACCAAGGTTCATTCCCTGCATGACCCAAATTTTGTGAAAAATCTGTACAGAGATATCCCAAAACACATAAACCAACTTGGGCTAAAATTTTTCTGCTATTGTATTGATGGGCTTACTTATCGTACAGATTTGCTTACACAAGAAATAATGGACCGAGTGCATGAAGAGATAATACGTCTTGAAGGAAAACTAAAAGAAGAAGACTTAAGGATAATTACAAGCAATCTCAAAACTTTAAATAAATACTACGTTGGCAGCCATAAAGCGTATGATTCCCTAGAAAATGAGATTTTTAGGCTTAAAGATGTATTGAGTTTAAGGACAATCGCAACTGCTATGAGCTCTTTTTCTATTGTAGCAAGAATAAAGACTCTTAAAATCTATTCAATCATGCTTAAGCCAATAATAGCTAAGCTTCCTGAAATAAATGATACTTGCTCAATACCTATGATTTTAAATGTTTACTGCCAATATGTTAACTTGAGGCTTTTTGAAGGACTTTTTGATGCTTGTGCTCACTTCCCCTTTAATTGGAACAAAACATTGGTAAATTTCATTTTTGGGTACTTTTAAACACTCTTTAAATTGGGCTAAATTTGGTTTTCATTAGGAAAATTGCCCCTGAAAGTAATAATTTTTATAAAGTTTGCTTTGACCTAATTTAATAGACAAAATGGAAGTAGAATGCTATTTAAACAGTTCAACACTGGATCAATTAATTTTTTATTTAATTCTCTATAAAAATAAATTAAAGTTCAAATAACTGCGCTAAATTTATTTTTTAAAATAATCAAAAGGTTGAAAATGCAAATTTTTATTTGCCTAATTTAATAGATAAAAGCAATAGAATGTTATTTAAATACTTTTCGCACAGAATCATTAATTATTTATTTAATTCTTCATAAAATAAATTAAATTTGAAATTATTTTGCTCAATTTATATTTTTTTAAAAGCATTAAAGATGAAAAAATTTAAATATATTAAAAAAAATAACCCACTTTAAATTGGAACAGGATTTTTTGTTCCAATTTAAGGGGGGATTCAGATTATTTTACAAAATCCAGAGCCTTATATGAAGAGCAACTTAGATATGCTAATGACTATCCATTCTTTTTCAAAAACAGGATTATATTCAGAAATTATCGATCTTGTCCCTATTTATGTAAAGGAGCTGCCAGCAAATATCAAGCAAGAGCCTTCGAATTTAGGTGTATTTTTTATTGCAATTTTAAAATACCCTCTTCCTACTGATTACTTACTCACTTTACTCCGAAAATTGTAAAAGCATCCTATCCTTTAAAAAAGATTATATAAAAAACTTTTGTAGTAGTATTTATAGCAATTTTAAGCAAAATTCTGATAGTTTGCATACATTTTATAAATTAAATTAGCAAATTAAATTTTTTTAACTTTTAAATCTTAATAAATTATTGGAAACTAAAATTTTCTGACTCTTAAAGGTGGGAGCTACAAAAATGCTTAAGATGGCTAGTAGAAGGTCAACACCTTTTATTTAATCACCACAAAGCCAAAATTCTAATGAGGCTAGTCACTAACAATATTGACTGCCCAGAGTTTTTCGCCCATTGCCTTGAAACTGTAAAGTTCACTGATTTAGATATACTGTATTTCAAAGCCATTATACCGAAACTGAAAGCTCTAGGATTTTCTATTAATGCAGAAAATACAAATAACAATAATTAGAAATATATTTTCGGTATTTCAGCTCTCAGAAACACCACTTAAATACTATAAGAAAATAGTTTAAATTCAATACTTATTTATAAAATAATTTAAACTGCATTTGTAAATATTCCTATAATGGGATCATTTTGTTCTTGCTTACGAGAATACAAACTCAACGACCAACAAATGTTCATCCAGAAGGAAACTTCTAATCTCAGAGCCCAGCTATTTCAAACTCCACTCGTATTGACATCAGAGAATTCTTACGATCCTTTTGATACCTCAAATTTAGTTACATTGCAATCTATATGTCGTGGATTTATTGATAGAAAAAATACTTTGACCCTCATGAACAATAAAGTGCGTGAGGTCAAAATTGAGTCTGGCCACTTATCAGTCCCAAGGACAAGCATTAAAGAAATTGAAGGAGAAATCCCGAACTATTTAAACGAGACCACAGCAGGCATAATTAAGCGACTAGAACCCTTTTTCTATGATATTAATGATGCAGACAGCCGAAATGTGAAGCATGGCCCTGTTAAAATGGAAACTGGAGCTATTTATATAGGAGAATGGAATGATAAGCTAGAAAGAAATGGACGAGGAGTCCAGTATTGAGCTGATGGTTCAAAATATGAAGGATACTGAAAAAATGACCGAGCAAATGGCAGAGGAAGGCTGGTGCATGGAGATGGAGACATTTATGACGGAGAATGAGTCAGCGATAAAGCTCATGGATACGGAGTTTACATCCATTCTGATGGAGCTCAATATGATGGGTTTTGACAGGACGACAAACAGCATGGCCATGGCGTCGAAAAATGGCCTGATGGCTCCTTATATGAAGGAAGCTATCATCAAGGCAAAAAGCATGGGACAGGGACTTTTATATGAGCCGATAAAAGTAAATATGAAGGTGAATTCCGAGATAACAGCTTAGAGGGAAAAGGAGCTTATATATGAAGCGATAAAAGGAGATATGAAGGAGAATGAAAAAATAGCAAAATGAACGGAAAAGGCATTTTTATTTGACCTGATGGCAGAAGATACATAGGAGAATATTTAAACGACAAAAAGCACGGACAAGGAGTCTTTATATGACCTGATGGGAAAAAATATGAAGGAGCTTGGAAAAAAGGGAAGCAGCATGGACATGGAGTGTTTTTTACAGCTAAAGGAGAAAAAATAGAAGGGGAATGGAAAGAAGGTAAAAGAATTGATAAAATGTAAATGTAAATTATTTTATAAATTATCCCCATGAAGATTGGTTTGGTTTGGAATCCCAAGAGGAAGAAGTTGAAGAAGGCTGTGGAGCTTCACCCCAGGAGGATTGAGACGCAGGAGGATTTGCAGGTGTGTCTGACCAGCTTGTGGTTTGAGCAGCTTGAGTTTCTGAGCTTCCCCACCCACTGCTTGGAGGATTAGATGATGGCTTTGTAGCTCCAGAGTCTCCCCATCCAGTTGAACTGCTTGAAGTTGTATTAGAAGCTTGAGGTTCTCCCCAGCCTGTAGAGCTAGCTGCATTTGAAGTTCCAGATTCTCCCCATCCACCAGAGCTACTATTTGTAGTAGAGCTTGATCCTCCCCATCCTCCTGAACTGTTACTAGTTGTAGCTGAAGATCCAGAATCTCCCCAGCCAATTGAGGCATTGTTTGTGGTCGAAGAGCCAGAGTCTCCCCATCCAGTTGATGCGCTACTTGTGGAGCTCTCTCCCCATCCTGAAGAAGAGTTTGAGCTGTCTCCCCATCCTCCACTATTTCCTCCATCAGAGCTTCCCCATCCTCCACTTGATTCGCCTCCTCTTTCTTCTCCTGAGCCTCTTCTTCCTCTTCCACGACCTCTCCCACGGCCTCTTCCTTCATCTGGGTTAGGACATTCTCTTGACATATGGCCTTCTTGTCCACATTTAAAGCAAGCTTTTGGCTTATTCTCGCCAGGATTAGGACATTCTTTTGACATGTGGCCTTCTTGCCCACATTTAAAGCAGGCTTTTGGCTTGCTTTCTCCAGGGTTAGGGCAATCTTTAGACATATGTCCTTCTTGGCCGCATTTGAAGCACCCTTTTGGCTTTTTGTTAGCATTTTCCCCAGGGTTTGGGCATTCTTTTGACATGTGCCCTTCTTGGCCGCATTTAAAGCAGCCTCTTCCTCGTCCACGTCCTCCTCTTCCACCTCTTTCAGCAGAGTCAATTTTGTCTCAATCAGTTTCAGGCACAGGAGGAGCTGGCATAGTCCATGAGTTTTGGACTTCTTCGCCCCAGCCTACTTTCGGCTTTGCAGCTTTTTCAGCTTCTTCAGTTTTTTTCTCTTCAGTTCCCCATTTTTCAAAGTTTTTGGTAAGTTCCCAGTCATCAGCTCTGGGGGTTTTGGTAAGGTCTTGTCCGCCAGCCCATTCTTGAGCGCCGATATGAGGGGTTTTATCAAATGGGGTAGCATCGCCATAGCCTGGAGTTTTATTAGGTCTTTGTGGTGTCATAGGGGCTGTGTTTTCATTAGACTCTTTAAGAACTGGCTGTTTAAGCTGCTCAGCTGCTTTTCCAGGGATTGCCAGATAATTGGTAGTGTCTATCATAGGAGCTTTAGAACGAGCGAGATGGTTTTTGTAGAGACGGTCAGAGTAATGTCGCTTGAACCAGCTAATAAGAAAGGTCATATTTGGATGGTAGGCTTCATGGAAAAATAAACCTTTTGGTTTAACCTTGATATATTCTCTAATTATTTCTTCTTTTGGAAGATAGGTTAAGATAAAAAATTGAGGATACTGAGGAGAGACACAGAAATAGTAAGGAATTGTGGTAGGTTTTGCCTTTTTTTCTTGAGTTAGAAGGTTTTCTAAGAACTTCATGCTACCAGATGTGATGTCTTTGAATTTCGGATGTGAAATAGACTCTTTTACAATTTTTGCACATGGAGCAATATACCTGTCAGCTATTTCTTGTAAGGACTCATAGGTGTCTTGTCCAATCTTAAACCTCGTTCCCAACATATTTCCAGCTGGCTTTCCTTCTTCTGCAATATCCAGATGTGCATATAAAAAGTCATAAAACTTCCAAGTGCATGTCAAATGGTCCATTCCTCTACTGCTCGGCCTGAACACATAGTCTCCTATATCTTTATTGTATAATTCATCACAAGCAGACTTATAGCCAATATTTTTATATTTTGGATGATTCACGACCCTTGGGACATATTTTTGTCCCACAACTTGCTCGTCTTCTTTAACTCCTCGTTCAGTCCAGTCACTGTCATCTTGTATAAAGGCATCATCAAGATTTAAATGAATATATTTCCCATGGTTTAGCACGTCTTCAGGCAATAAGCTGAGCTTTACTTTGAAAAGCAGCTCTTTAGGAGTCTTTAGCCTTGATGATACTTCTACGACTCTTGCAGTCAGTTTTTTGCCTTTATAAAACACTTCATTTATCTCTTCTTCTGTTGGAGTCTTTCCTTCTATAATGTTAGCAATTTCAACTTCGGCTTCTAATTCACATTCTAGCATACATCTTAGCACCTGCCTCTGAGGCTCAAACCCAATAACCATAGCTTGCACGATACTGCCTTTTTTAAGGGTTTGTCTTGTTTCTTTAGTAGTCAGGTAAAATAAATCATCAGTTGGTGGCTCACTATAGCCTCTTTTTGGATTAGCAAAAGGCGTGGTCAGTTCAGCTACAATAAACTCTAAGATTTCTTTTTGGTTCATTTTGCCACGGTCAGCTTGGAGTTTTGCATAGACGTCAAGATCAAGTTCTCTCATCTTGTGGGGAACCAGCATTATTTCTTGGATTAAATTTTCTTCTTTAATTCTTTCGTCACTGAGAGCTGATTTTGAAACAATTTTGGCGAGCTCATAGTTTTCTGGGTGAATACGGGTACAATCTAGAGGCTCAGTTTCGCCCTCTTCAAATGGAATTTTTATAAATGCGCAGCAGTTTTCGTAGATTCGCTTGGGTAAAATGCATTTCCCAATTATTTGGGCTCTCATAGCAAGTTTTTCTTTGCAGCGGTATTTGATTCCTTCAAGAAGATCATAAGCTCTTACTGGGCCAAGACCTGGAATAAATGATAGAGGACCTTGTAGATGAGGCTTATTAATGATTTGGTTTACATTGATTCCATACTGTGAGCATGCGTCAACAGCCACCATTTCCATCCCTATAAGTCTTTTAGACTCATTAACTAAGGACTGTAAATGATGCAGGTTTAAATTTTTTATCTGTAGCTCATTAGGATCATTCCACAGTCCAAGAGTTTCTGCGCGAGGGTTTTGAATGAATCTTCCTAGTGAAATCGCCATTTTTGTTAGGTTATTGTAGGTTTCACACAGTTTTTTAGACCTTTCTGAGGTTGCAAATAGAAGAGGGATCATTGTATCTTCCATAGCGAGGAATGGGGCCTTTGAAAATAGCTGAGCTCTGTCTACATCAAAGCCAATTTCTGTCTCATTAAATGTATCAATTGTTAAGTTTTCTAGCAAGGTTCCTATAGATTTTCGTAGGTTTAAGCTTTGCAAACAGTTAGCGCCTATTACGACTACATGTGGTTGGTGTTCAAGAAGAAGTCTGATGATTTGTTTCTTTTCTGATATGTAGCGGGCTTTGTCACTTTCATGCAAAAATTCCACTTTTCTAATATTTAAGGTCGAAAAACTAGCGATTTCAGCGACATCTCCATTAGGTTTTAGTACAACCACAGCAGTTTGCCCAAACATCTTGGAGTCTGGATCAGTGACCAATGCACAGATTTTGGGCCTAGGGTCTTCTTCTCCTTCTGCTACAAAACTTGGTCTATTTAAAATATCAAAAAACTTTCTCTGCACTTCTACCAGTACCCAGTCTTCACTTCTCGCTGTAAAAAGCTTCCAAAAAGACTGCTCGAATTCCTGATACAGCTGGTTTAAGCTTTGCCTCAAAACTTCATATCGAAATTGGTTCCACTCCAGCTCAGCTTCTTCAGTCCCATCAGTTGTATAAAACGGTGTCAACATTGCCAAAATTTTATCATCTTTTGCATCATTCCAAGGCAATTTGAACTCAATTTTAATCAGTCCTAACGCCTCACTTTTTATTGCCAAAGCCCACAGCTCAGATGTCCAAGTGCTTAAGCTTTTGCCTTCTGCAAAATTTTTAACCCTGTAGTATGGGCTGAATATATCTAAGGCAGTTTTCCCTTTTTCTGTTGGAGATGTGTAAATCCTGACGAATTTTTTGTATTCTTCTCTGACAAAGACACGAAAAGAGGGGAATCCTGATAGTTCAGATTTCATGAGGGTGCAAGCATTGTTGATGACTTGGATTTCTTCATGGTAAACGTTGCTTAAAATTTCAAATGCAAGGTCTTGGGGTCGGGATTCAGGCAGCTGAGGGATGTAGATTTGTTGACGAGCGTTTACGTTTTCAAGAAGCTGAATAGGTGTTAAGCCAGCTTTTGAAGTAAAATCGGTTAGCTTATTTCTGCGGGCTTTTACAATAGGGTTGTGAGATTTTGGATCAAATTCATAGACGTAAATTTTGATGTAGGCTTCCAAATCATTTATTTCAAGCAGGTACTCAGTAGTAGAATGGGAACTAAGCAAGTTGTTAATATAGTCAGGCAACGTGCCTGCTTCTGATAATAGCACTCTGTCCCCAGGGTTTAAAGTTTCCCCTCTTTCTAAAGCAATTGCATTTTGGCTTGCTGATTTCAAGATTTTTGCCAAATTTTGTTTAGTGGAATACATGAACCCCCACTCTTTGTCCCAGTTATAAAGATCCCATAGCTCGCTGTCTGACTCTAGCTCAGGTCTAAGCATATTCATCCTATACCTGTATATAAAGGGCACTTCAAAATAGTCGACTCTATAATATTTTAAAAATGCACAGATTTTTTCTTTAATAGGGAGCGGATTTTCTGAAGGCTTTTTGTGCAGCAATTTCTGAAGAAGTCAGTCAGCCTCCAAGCTGAGCTCATGCTCACTAGGGTGTTCTCTATTTCTCAAAGTTATTTGAAGCCTTTCAGGGATGTCAAGATCTCTAATTGCCCTAGCTTCTGGAGTATTGAACTGCCCAACTATTTCATGAGGCTCATAGACAATGGGTTTTGACTCTTTTTCTTTTATTTCTGACTGATACCCAAAAATACTTGCAGCGAGTTCAACACTTTCCCCAAATTGTTCAGCCCCCTCTGCTTCGTCTAGTGACATATCACTCTCAGAGTCTTCTTCTACAAGTTTCCTTATCTTGTGTGGAGCGTCTCTGCCAAAGAGCCCTTCGTCAAGTTCCTCACGGGATGTGGCCTTTATTGTGAGTCCACGGCCTAAGTTTTCTTCAACGAGCTCTCGGTCTTCTTCATCAAGGTCACTGATTTTTTTGATTCTGCGACGTTTGACAGTTTTTTTGACCTTCTTAGGCTTAGCGATAATTTCTTCTTCTTCAGCTAGGTCGTCGGGGACGACAAAATCGTCATGCTGGTATTCGTCTTGAGAGCTTGATTCTTCGGAACTTGAATCACCTGACATAAATATTATTTTTATTAGGATCCCCCTCTTAATTAATAGCCATTTTATTCGTAAAATACAGCTTCTGATAGCTGTCTTATAGCTGACAAAAAGACTTGGAGCGTTTGCTTAGTTTTAATTTCTAATTATCCTATATTGAGATGAACTGGATAGGCTTTTAAAACTATTAAAGCCATTTTAAAGGAAATATAGATTAAAATTAATAACTTCATGGTCATTTTATATTAGTGGAGAATAAATTTAAATAAGAATAATTAAATGGAATAATTAACATTACATTACATTAGAATTTATATCGCTTAACGTCCACTACGGGGTTACAACTCCAGGTTTATCACTCGCCTTTCGTCGCATCGGGCCCACCAGTCTGCTGGAGACAAACTTGCTTCAATCACCAAGGTGCTTCTAGGGCAAATGTCCACGTCTTCGACGGCTCATGGATGAGCTACTTGCTTGTACATGGGTTGCTTTTCCGAAAAACCCAAAAAATGGATTTTTCTGGTCGGCTATCGGCAAAAAGGAAAAATGCAAAGCCTGGGACGTAACGCCCAGTTTCACGCTAGGGAGTTGCCCGAATGGTCCAGAGGACTTTGCTGGGCTTCCCCTTTCCAACCTTGCACCCTCCTTCCCCACGAGGAAAAATCCACCCCTGAGAATAGACTAGGGCTAGGCTCTGAAAGCTACCAGAATTGCTTACCTAGCATTGCTGTCCATCTCTGAAATGGTAAAACCTTGCCGGATATAATTAAAATATGAGTCGAGGCTGCATGGCCGGGAGGCCATGCCCAGACGAAGACGCCATATTTTAATTATAAAATGGAATAATTAACATATGCGTTTTAACTATAATTCATAATTTAAAGGCTCGCACTCAATTTCTTTAGCTTCATGCGTGTGCTCAGTTAAAAACAAGGAAGCTGCAGCTGATATAAAATAGCAAACTGCGTTGAAGTGGAAAATCAACGAGTTTCCTCCAATTTCACCTAATTTTTCTGTTAGTGGAGGAGTGAAAACGCCAGTCATCAATTGAATGCCAGTTACTCAGCCAACTCCAAGACCTCTGACGTGTGTAGGGTATAATTCTTGTGAATGTGTGTATAGAGTCGAAAGTCCCATCATTAAAAACCCAAAAGATACTGCAGACCAAATATAAATCTACTTATAAGTTACAATTCCTGTTCTTTCAGAAAACATAAAGGGATAAATCGTCAACCCAGAAAGCATAAATGCAAGAGCCTCGGTCCCTTTTCTACCTAGCTGAGTGTCTATGCATTTAGAAGCAATATAAGTACCTCCAAATCCAGCAATTTGCTGCAGAAATATAACACTATAAGCACTCAAATCACTAGACTCAGGAAGAAGTAAAGGCATGAAAAAAATCATGTTTGTATAAGCTACGCTTGACCAAAAGTATTGAATTGTCTGCAAAATTGTGGTTCTGAGCAAGGGATTTCTGAAAATTTCAAAAACTGAAGAACTTACCGCTTCTTCTTCGTCATATGAAGAAAATCTTTCGTGTGGAAGAGAAAATTTAAAATCTATTTTCCCATTTATTGTTGCTATTGTTTTTATTACTTCCTTCAGTTTTTTGCTTTTTATTTCATATAGGAACATTGGGCTTTCTAATACTTCTAGCCTTAAATATGTTAAGATAACGCTTATGATTGTAGAAATTCATGTTAAAATAAGCCAAGCTGGCTGTTCTGATGATATTCTAAATTCAAGTAAAATTGCAAAAAAAATAGATAGGGCTGTTCCCAAGCAGTAAGAAACATTTAAAATTGTCATTGTCCTGTGCTGGCTAACCGGAATTGCCTCCATAAAAACAGTGGTTCCAATACTTCCGTCACCTCCCATTCCTAGCCCAATCACAAAAAGCCCAAATAATAGAACTTCGTAGCATGGAAAAATACAGATCAGGATTCCACCACAAGCTGCCACTGCTACTGTAATTTTAAATATTGGCGCTCTCCCATATATTCCGATGAGATAAGAAAATACGTAGCAGCCTACCAAAGTTCCAAGATTTATTGAGATTGCAAGGTTTGATTTTGATTTCACTAAATCATCGTCAAATTTATACATTATGATCGCACTAGTTTCTATCCAAAGCATCGTAAGAGCAAGAGCCTACGTTAGAATTACTGCAAAACAATTAAAATAGAGCTTGGTTTGATACCTTCCCCATCCTATGTCTTCTAAAGCTTTTTCAATGGGGTTAAGAGTGAGCATAAATTCTGTTTTTCAATCTTAATTTAATATGAAAAAATGAACTAAATTACCCCGAAAAGTGAATTATAAAAAAATATATGGAAACTGGGCAAATTGTGCCGCATTATGGAGAAACTCCAAAGCCAAGAGATCATATTAGAATCGTTTGTATTTCAGATACTCACACACAAACGCGAGGCTTACAGATTCCTGCAGGCGATATTTTAGTTCATTCTGGCGATTTCTGTAAAAAAGGAGTGTCATCTGAGGTGCAAGAATTTATGCAGTTTCTGCAGAGCCAAAGGCATCAGTATAAAATTGTGGTTTCTGGAAATCATGATTACCCACTAGATATAGCTGGATATCGAGCTATTGCTGCAAGAAAAGGATTAAAAGATAGGGTGGATCCATATGCTGTTAAAGCAAACTTAGTATCGAATTGCATTTACTTACTCATTGTAAATGGTAAGAAAGATTTTTTTTATTAGGCAAAATAATTATAGTTCTTAGCGCTTATTTTTATATTAGCTCTCTAAAGTGCCATTTTTTTAAAATTAGGGTTTTCTTGTCAAAAAATTTTTGCTTTATGAAGCACCGATAAGCAAATAATGCTACGCACTAAAATTATAATGAATGACATGTCTAAGAATTAAAAAACCAGCCCACAAAAGCATTGGCCATTTTAAAAAATTGTTGCACAATTCCAAAGGGAAATTTAGAAGATACAGGAGCCCAATTATTTGGATACTCCTTTTGAGGATCTCCATGAACTGCTGAAAGGCATAAAGGATCATTCACTATTCGAGATGAACGCGATCTAGGTTTCAAATGATGTGGATTTCCTGATAGAGTCGATATTTTAATTACACACAGTCCTCCATTTAGCCAAAGGGATATTAATTCAGTAAGAAATGAGCATTGTGGATGCAGATATCTTGCTGATACAGTTAAGAGGATCCATCCAAAAGTTCACATATTTGGCCATATCCATGAAGGCCATGGCTGAAATATTGAAGGTCACACAACATATATAAATGCTGCAATTTGTAACAGAAGATATTTACCTGTATTTAGACCTATAGTTTTCGATCTCCCTCGCAGGGAGTAAAAATAATTAATGATTTTATAGTTAAGCTTAAGTGCTAAATTCATCTTTTTGATCTGAATTTCATCTTGTGTAATATTTTAAATGGTATATTATTAGAAGACATACTTTATCAACCTAATTGCTTTTGATCTTAAATTTGATTTATTTTGCTTCATAAATGAAGAGGGTTAGAACACATTAAAAAGAAGATATTTATTAATAAATAATAAAACTTTTGCTTATCAAACATTGGCATTTATAATTCATCTCTTCAGTTGTATGGGATTTATGCTCCAATATATATGGAATCAAACTTAGCATCTCTTGGGCGATCTTATCTGCTTCAATCATAGCCAATACTTTCTAGCTAACTAAGCTTGCTTTAAATTTCCTTGTGCTGCTTCTTTTAATTCAAACTCAAAAGCTGCTCCCACCGCTATATGTCTTCTTCCATGACATTTTTATAACTTAGACTTTTAAGATTTCTTAGTTCTGGATTAACTCAATTTTCTTGATGAGTGGCTCTTTCATTATATTGAGCATATCATCATACCTTTCTGCTTGCTGAGCTAATTTGCCATATATATAAGATCAAATAGTTAAAATTAATTTTAACTTGGCAAGCAATTAAAAAAATAGTCTGTATATGCAATATTTCTTAGATATCTATTGTATCTGCATTTCACCTTTATATATATTTTTGTAATTCATCCTGACAAATATAAGCAATTAATTTATTAAATATTTCTTTTTTAATTATATAGCAGAATCCCTCCTCAATTTAATATAATCTTAATTAATTAGTTCTAGATCAATAACTATACAAAAGTGTATGCATGCCCATGCATACTTATCTTAATTTCAGTTGTAATATCTTACGTAATTACAAAATGGTTACGTCATGATATTCATTTTGCACATGTTTATCTAATAAATATGAGGTATTGGGATCCAATAACTTCAAGCATAGACTGATGCGAAGCTAATTACGAAGTTTCCGAATACATCGTAGAATTCTGGAACACAGTAACCAGTTTTGCATTAGTTGTAGTTGGAGTATATGGATTATGGGTGCTTAGAAGCTTTGAAAGCCGATTTGTTGAAAATTTGATCGCTTTCTTTTTCATTGTAGTTGGGGTTGGATCTGCAGCTTTCCACGCTACTTTAAAGTATGAGTACCAGCTATGGGATGAAATTCCGATGTTTTGGGTTATTTCAGGGGCGATTTATGCCTATATGGTTTTATTCGATTATTGGTGGGAAAAACGAATTTATCTGCAATGGTTCTTTATAATCTATAATATCGTCTGGTATTTTGTGCACAGTAGCAACGCGTTTACAGTTTTCTTCCAAGCTAACTTTTTTGTGCTTAACACCGTGATGATTGTATTAATGGTAACGTTCATATAGTTCTATTTTCATCAAAAATACAAGACAAAGTCCTCAACAATGATGATAAGTTTATATATTTTTGCAATACTTTCTGCTTTCTCCTTATGGCTTGTTGATAAACTTATGTGTGAGCATGTCAGTCAACTTCCTGTAAATCCTCAATTCCACGGCTGGTGGCATGTTTTAGTAGCTTCTAGTGCTCATTATTCCTTGATGTTTGAGCTTGTAATCCGCCACACAATACAACAAAACAGAATGCTAGAAATCGCAGGTGGACTTTTAAAGTACCCCATAAATAACTCAGAAGACCTGCATTCGCAATAATTAATATTTTTTAAACTATTCGTGTTTAATATAATTCATGCCTTCATTTTGATCCTGTAGTGAAATCTCTTCCAAAGAAAAATAACATAGGAGCCCCATATTTCAATAAACCAAAAATAAAATTTGGTCAATTGAGAGCAGGGCTTAAACTGTCAATTTTATTTATGGTTCATGCAAAACCTGCATTTAAAGTTATTTACCTTATAGGTATGTATTCTAATAAATATAGAAGAGGCTATGCTCTATATTAAATAGACCATTTAAAACCCGGAATTTACAAAATGATAGGCTGTGCCATACACGGGATCAAGTATTGACTTGCACAGCGTTAAGTTCTCTTTAAGTCTGAATATATTGGCACTTAAAGATGGTAAATATTCTTTATTTGGATTGTTGTCAGAATAGCTATTGCTATCTTCTTCAAAGCTGCCTTCATTCACAATTGCATCAATTTTATGAATTTTATAAAATTGCTTGCTAAAGAGACTAGAAACTCCATAGACTTTTACCACTTCACTTGCTGCTTTAAAAGCGATTTGAATTTTGCTGAAATTTGCGACTGAAACGCTTTTTCCGAGATTATTGGCTGAATCTAAAGGATCAATAATGTTCATGAGCTTTAGTTGGGGATAAATGAAACCTTCATTTGTTCCTATTTCGCTTTGGAGATTTTGAAGAAGTACTAATGATAAAATTGGATGCTTTAAAGATTTGTCAACTTTATGCTCTGGGTGTTCACAGTTCTGGAGTGCTAAGACATACTTTGAGGCTGACATTGATCCACAGCAAGTTATTATTTCGTTTTCTCAGTCGTGCTCTGCAAGGACATTAATCATTGTAGTTAGTACGTGTAGCGGTGAAGTCCTGGATTCAGGAAAACAATTAATAATATATAGAACTAAAATTTCCAGTGCATATGTAGATAATAATCCTTGCATAGAACCTAGCACTCTACTCTCATAGTATGCTCAAACTTTTGCTATAATTATGCATCTTTTAAAGAAGTGATCTGGAAACAATCTATCAATTTCTTCCAAAAAACACAAAGTTCTTACTCCTCCCAGTTGGTTAACTGAAATATCAACTGGAATTCCGCAAACCCTCAGTTTGATTAATCTTATTTTCGCGTTTATTTCTAGTAAATCGCTAATGCTATACTCAGGATGAAGAATCGAAATATATTCGAACTGCGCTTTGACCCTTTCCAATATAAATTCAGTAATATTCACTCCTTGGTATTCTGGAACTACAACGGTCAAATCGATGTCACCTTCAGGCAAAAAGGTTTTGAGAGGTAGAGATCCATATTCAGCTATTGTCACATAGATTCCTTTCAGAGCACAAAATATCGTTTTCTTTATGATCTTCAGCGCTGCAATTCTTATCGCTAATCGTTCCTTGTTCGGGGCATATTGGTTCAGAAGCTGTAACTCTAATTCATCAGTCATTTTTAATTAGTAAAAATTTAACGATTTATTTTATAGGAGGTTTATCAAAGCATCAGAATGTAGAGATTTATTAGAAGAAAAAGGTTTTGAGTTAAAATATCAGAAACAATTCTTGCAATCAAAAGATTATTTTTTATGTGTTATAGTTGGAAGTATTTAAGATTAAAATAAAAATTCATTGATTTGTAGGAATAAAGTTAATGCTTAAGGAGAAATTGATCACAGAGAGGAGAGTTAGGATGATTTATCATGAGTCAAAATGTTGTAATTAAATATGAATAAATATTAGCATGAGATTGATATAAGGCACTAATTTCTCATTTTTATATCGCATAGGCTTGGTAAATTTTCTATATATATCAAAGTATTTCGAAAAGTTGAGGCAAAACTAATGAGGAATATCGAATAGACTCTTCTTATATATGCATTCGCAAAAAGATAAAGAAAAATAGAGAAATTAAATAAAATCAAGGATTCTTGTATTTATATCAGATGAATTCACAAATTTGTTTTAGAATTCAATGAGCTTGAAGAACATCTAATATTAAATTAAAATTTAGATTGTTTTGATAATATATTCTTATTATATTATATATGACTTTATATAAAATAATATATTACTGCTTCTTTTTTATATAAAAACTAGTTTTATTTTAATAAATATTGCTTAACTTCCAATGCTTATCAATTTTACTTCTTTAAATGAGTTTTATTAACCAATTTTCTATTAATTTTGATCAATTCAACTCAAAGTATCATTGAATTGAAATTCTTGTCTTCAATAAATAAAAAGGCTTTGTCCTCACCTAGAAATTTCTCTCTTATTCTATTTTGCTATTATGATGTTTGGCATATCACTGAGCCTTTAGCCATTATCAAACCAAGCAACACAATGGAGCTACTGCCCCTGGAATTTATACCGCTTGGCATTCGACTGAGCAGGATACTCTTAAGTGAAGTGCACGCAAAAGTCAAGTAATACCAAGGCTAACACAACTTGTAAGACTATCGGCGTCCGACTGGTAGTTATAGCTGGAAAGCTTGAGTACCACTAATAAAAATGAGGCTAAGAACTCTGCTCTGTGGAGGTATCAACACTTAATAAACCACATATTTATTAAATAAATAGAATTTCTTGTCTTCAAATTTTTATATAAATATATGAAACATTTATATGTTTTCTTCATCATTCTAGCCCATGTGCAGTCGAGTAAATTTAATTTAGGCTCCTTCACAGCATTTGAAGTCACGTGCAAGAACTATCAAATAAGACAAGTAACAGATAACTATATGAGTGTTAAACCATATACTACTCTTCCTTCAGGCTCTCAATTTAAAGTTATATATCCTTCAGCTTTCACAAATTTACCTTCAGGCACTGTATCTTGCTCTTTTACAGGGATAACTGGCGGCCAATGCCAATTTTCAGGCAATACCTTGTATATTACCAATTTCACACCATCAAATTCTCCAACATTAACTTTTACCATTTCAAGTATCACAAACCCTACTTATGCAGGAATTACAGGAACTTTTCAGATTTATTCATTAAAATCAGATGGAACGATCCTTGACAGCACAACTTCAGGAGTTACACTAAATTTTACTCCCTTGAGCATGGGATCTGTTACTCTCTCCACTGAAAACCAAATAGTAGCAAGCCCTTGCAAGTGAACTTTTGATGCGACCATAAACAACAGTGTTGGCAGTAATGGCGCATTTGTAGTAAGCTTTCCAAGCTGAAATTCACAGCTAGGAGCAGCTGATACAGAAATTAGGTATTTCTGTGATGGAACGGTGACATGCACAGGAGTTACAAGTAATTTTTAATTAGATCTGCCTTCATCACTTCCGTGCACGTGCTCAAAAGGCATAGCTACAATAACTTTGTCATCCGGTTTATCTGCTTCAAGGGATAAATAAAATATGCGTCTTCGTCTGGGCATGGCCGGGAGGCCATGCATACTCGACTTATATTTTATTTATATCCGGTAAGGTTTTACTACTTCAGAAATGGACAGCAATGCTAGGTAAGCAATTCTGGTTGTGTTCAGAGCCTAGCCCAAGTCTAAATTCAAGGGTGGTTTTTTCCTCGTGGGGAAGATGAACACGGAAGTCGGTAAGGGGAAGCCCAGCAGAGTCCTCTGGACCATTCGGGCAACTCCCTAGCGTGAAACTGGGCGTTACGTCCAAGGCTTTCGAGTTCTACCTTCTACCGACAGTCGACCAGAGAATCCATTTTTTATGGATTTTCGGGAAGACAACCCACATTGTGCGAATCCCTTGCTTGTGGCAACAAGGAGGGTTTCCGCCGAGGCCTCACCATGAGCGATGGAGCGTGTAAGGGTGCAAATCCCTAACCCTGTAAGTGCTAACGGCTTAATCTAATCTAATCTAATCTAATCTAATCTGCTTCAAGGGTTGTTTTTACAATTTCACCAATTTTAAATCCTCCGAGCACTGACGTTTTTACAGGGATTATCGTTTCAACTTCATATAGTGGTGGACTAATTGAACAAAGCTCCAGTTTATCTGTTCAAATGACTAAATCAACGACTTTAGAAATCTATTCTATGTGAATTGATGACGAAAAAGTTGGTGCTCAAGCAATTTATTATTTCTACACCAATTGCTCTGCACCTGTCATATCGACTTACAATATGCAAATTACTTTTCCGACTGGAGAAATTACAGCAACGACAGGCGTAACAACTGTAGAAGGTGTTATATGGGTTAACCGTAATAATCTCGTATATACGATTTCAAATGATGTTTTGACTCTAACAGGGCCTTTTACTCAATACATTGACTGATATAAGTCTATTGAATTTCAAGTATTGAGCTTATCAAACCCGCCATCCACAAAGCCAACTCAACAAATTCAGATTAAAATAAGTACATCAAACGGAGGAACTGTTTGTTCAACAACATCAACAACTGGATATAGTATGACTGCGACTCCTTCGACGATTTCAAGCATATCAATTACACCATCAGACAAGACAATTGATGCATCAACATCATATGCTTTTTCGTTCACTCCCGTCGTCTCCATTCTTTCCGGGAGTGTAATTACAATAACAGTGCCATCGCAAGTCTCAATCAGTGACAAATCAGCAAGCTTTATTAGTTCTATCACTTCTGGACTAGACTCAAATGCCCAATATTCAGTAGCTTCAAATGCAATTACGATTTCAAGTGGATTTCCAAGTCAACTAGCAGCCTCAAGCGTAATTTCTTTTTCTCTCTCAGATCTGACAAATCCACCGACAACAGCTACCTCATCAGTATTTACAATTACTATTTATTCAGATTCAACTTTAGATTACTCAGAAGTTAATGATCAATCTGCAACAGTCACAGCTACATCTGGATCCCTTCAATCAGTTACTGTGACTCCTTCTTCTTATACAACAGGTGATTCATCTACATCGTACACATTCCTCATTATTACTAGAAATAAAATGGAGAAGTTAACGGAAATTGGTCTCTGAGGCGAGCTCCCATGGAGCAGGTCTGACTCATCCTGATGAAGCTGAAAATAGAGCCTCTATCTATTTTTAAGCAGGCTTTGGGTTTGGAGATGCCTTGCCGAAGAGGGAATTTTTTGTTTTGTCTCCTGAAGGCATTCCTGTCCCTGCCAGATGGACTAGACAGGTTTTGCCTCTCACAGGGTTTTTGTCTATTAGGACTATCGGGGCACCAGATAGAGGGTGGCTCTATAGGGAGCTGATCCTTAGGTTAGGTGAGTTTCGCCAGAAAATTCAAGAAGGTATAATTTTGGTTGGGCGTTGCACAGTTTGCACTCAAGTATATATGCACCCAGCGTAGGCCACCTCTCCTGGAGTCAAAGTAGTCCGGCTAGCAGGAGTCTCGCTTATGGATTCATAAGAATGGCGGGGCGAGCCAACCCAACCTCCCGGTGTATCCAGCCAGGTTTTACTTGGTTTGGTGGAGCGCAATGTCTAGTCGGCAGACCGCAGGCTCACATCCAAGTACCAGTGAGGTTTCTCCTTAATGATCGGAAATGTTCCCCTGCGCGATGCAAGGGGTTGTTTCCTGAGCTACGCATTTTCATCTTGGCCGACAGGTGACCAACAATTTTTTTCTCCAAATTATCTATAAGCCAAACCCCTTGGCGTACGACACGGTGACCCAAACTTTCTGACTACCAGGGAGCATGTGCAAGCCCTTGTCTGGTAGGAGCGAGACTTTAAAGATCGTGAGATGATTGTCGGCGAAGTAGATGAGTGGAGCGTTATGGAAGGGAAAAAGGATCTTCGGATCCCGGCAGGGAGCTTTTAAGTGTAAGTGTAATGGAGTCCCGCTTATGGCAATATAAAACTTTTAACTTAACTCATTACTACTGGCCATAAAATTGTTGCTGGCGGTCAAGTTCTTATAAGTTTTCCATCAGATGTCTCTATAGTGTTTTCAACCGCTACCTGCTCTAATCCTATTGGATTTAGTTCAGGCTACTCGTGTTCATTTACCTCATCAAGTGTCACTATAACTTATGGATTTCCAAGCGATTTTCCTCAAGGACAAATCGGGATAACTGTTTCAAGCATAACAAATCCTGGGACTACCAAGCCTACAAACACTTTTAGTGTAACTTCAAGCTACCAAGGATCCTTAATAGACACACTTACAAGCGGAATAACAATTGCTATGACCCAAGCACATTTATTAACGAGTGCTTCTTTTACCCTTGGAAGCACCACTGTGGGAGCTACTGCAGACTTAAAAGTTGCTATATCCCCTTATAACTCAATGGCCTCTGGGTCCTATGCTCTAATTACTCCGCCTTCCCAAATTGAATTTCCTTCATCTCCTACATGTGTATCTCAATCATCAAATCTGCAAAGCGTTTCTTGCAGCATCTCTGGAAGTGCTTTAAAAGCAGCTTTTACCTTAGCTTCAACTTCTACTTCAGAAATTGATTTTTCAATTAAAAACGTAGTTGGTCCACCGTCTACAAAGCCAACAGATACTTTTAGTATTTTTACTTATATATCAGGATATTCTATTGACTATATCAGCTCAGGGGTTTTTGTGAGTGCAAGCACTCCTGCAACTATGGTAGCTAGTGTAACTCCAACAAACACTGGAATAGCTCAGACAACTTCTTATACCTTTACGCTGAATACACTTCATACTGTAGCAAGTGGAGGATATGTGATCATTGTTTTTCCCTCTCAGGTGTCGTATTCAGGTATTACATGCACTTATAACTCTCAGGCGGTAAGTTGTGAAGATAAAGGGAGCAATACTATATGGGTAAGTCCATTTGCAAGTGATTTTACTGCAGGAAAACTGACTTTCATTGTAAATAATGTAGAAAATTATTCTCAGCCAGGAACTTCTGGGGCTTTTCAAATAACAACAATGACTTCTGATAACTATAAAATTGATTATAGTGGCTCTGCAGCAGTCACGTTCACCTGTGCGTTGCCTAAATACTCATATCAAAACAATTGCGTTGATAACTGTCCTGATGGAACTTATGCTAATGGCTCTGAATGTTCTAGCTGTGCAACTGGATGTGCTACTTGCTCTGGATCCTCAACTAATTGTTTGACATGCTCATATAAATAAAATTGCATTCGGTCTGAGAGAAACTAGCTCCTCATGGAGTTTTTATTTATGGGTTTGGTTTTACCTTGAGAATTTTAGCACAGCTGCAGCAACTTAAATTTGGGGATAGCCAGAGAAACTGCTCCTCAGTGAATCAAGAGGCTTGGATTTTTACCACTTAGCTCACCCGTGGAGGGTAACCCTTAGGCGTAGCATGCGCTGGAGGTAAGTCAGACAAGAACGACGATCAAGCCATGTGAGAAGTGCAGCCTTAATTGGCGGCGGCATGTCAAGGAATGCCTGCCCATATTGTTCGCCATTTTAAGTGACAGAATGACCCGTGATGTTCTTAGGGTCTAATCCCTTTTAAAAGTGAGTAGTATCGACACCTTAAAGACCGAATAATAAGTTAACTTAAGTTTGACGTGCTCACAAGGATATTACTTTTACCAAAATACTTGCGTCGACACATGTCCATCTGATATCACAATTGTGAGTGGAAGTAATTGCATAAGCTGTCAATCCCCTTGCAAAACTTGTTCTGATTCTATCACACATTGCAATTCATGCACATCAGGGTATTATCTCTATAAAAATGCTTGCACCAAAACTTGCCCAACTGAAACTACTGTCATCGTTGGGAGTTCTTGTGTTGATTGTCAGTCGCCATGCTCAACATGCTCTTTATCTATTACAAACTGCACTTCATGCACAACAAAATACTATCTTCACCAAAATAGCTGTTTAGATTCCTGCCCAAAAGAAACTACAATCACCAATGGAACTGACTGTTTAGACTGCGAATCTCCTTGCTCAACCTGTTCAGAATCCATCACAAACTGCACGCTTTGCATTTCAGGATACTATTATTATAAAAATACTTGCTTACAAACTTGTCCGACGAGCACTACAGTCCCAAGTGGAACCTCTTGTGTGGATTGTCAGTCTCCCTGCAGTACCTGCAGCTCTTCAATCACTTCTTGTACTTCTTGTATATCAGGCATGAATTTATATGGAAACCAATGTGTATCTACATGCCCAGATGGATATACTTCTATAAGCAGCATTTGTCAGCAATGCTCAACTAAGTGTAAAACATGCTCACAAACAATAGACACATGCACAAGCTGCTATTCTGGGGATCATTTAGATAATATTACATGCAGCCCAGACTATAGCACTACTTTATTATTAGATACAGTCCCATTTCCTGTTAGTACAAGTGGGACTGTTCTTTCAGGAATCAGTGCAGCTTCTAAAGTGCTTTTTCCATCTACTGGAATGACCTCAGGCACTCTTGCTATGTGAGGAGTAATTGAGCCAATCAGCTGAATTGGTGTAATAGGTGGCCTTAGTTCTTCAACGTCAACTCATGGTAGAACTCTATTAGCAACTGATGAATTTCCTATATATGTCCCTTTTATTTTGCTTTTATCGTTTTTAGTGCTGCATGTTCTATTAAATTTGATTTTTTGTGTGATTTATTACCACAAAATTTTTAAAAAAGACGATGACCATAGAAATTGGCTTAGCCTTAACAGAATAGCAAAAATGGTTATTGTACCGCTTGCAGTGGTTTTTTCATTTAAATTCATTAGGATGCTTGATGTAAAGCTATTTAACTTGAAGTGCTTTACAGCAGAGTTTACTACAAAAGCAGCTTTTTATAAACCACTTATATTATTTTCTTACGTAAGCTTACTGAGTGTTAATATTCCAGTTATTGGAACTTTATGCTACATTTTAATAGAATTTTCTACCGGGAACATTGTATATGTGCTTGCCCTTGATTCCTTAATATTCAATATTCTTGTGTTTATGATTACCATAATTGACATTTTCATGATGAATATGGAGCTCAACAAAGAATTGAAGGTAATGAAAGATAGTCAAATGGCAACTGATAATAATTTTACTATAAATACAATGAGGGATGCATTTGCAGAAACTATGGAAGATCTAACATTAACCAATTTTGCAAGTATTAGCTCCCCATTACCACTTAGCAAGCAAAAATACTATGTGTCTTTTTCTCACATTATTTTCTCTTTAAAACACTTCTCAGCGCTATATGGTCATAAAAAAATGTTCTATATAAATTAGTTCAAAAAAATTTCTCTATTAAAACGTAAAAGCCTTGCTTGCTAATCAAAGGGGATGAGTAAGATAAAAAATGCAGAATTAGAAAATATGGGAGATCTAGAGTATACTCAATTAGGAGGTATAATGATAAAAAATGCAAGTACAGAAGCCATGGCAAGAAATGCAAGCGCAGAAACTATGGTAAAAAATGCAAGTGCAGAAACTCTAGATGATATCATTTATGCTGAAGAAGCTAGCTTCAAGGTAAACTACGAGGATATGACTTCAGCAGAAAATTTGAATGAAAATGAAATTTTCATAGGCTACGGATCAGGTGCACAAGTTTGGACCATGAGTTTTCAACATGAGTCTGAAACTAATGTTGGGCTTATCCCATTGCCTCCTGTAAAACCTGTATATCGTCCTCCACCTCCTAATATTCTCGAAACCATCCCTGAAGAAAGCGTTTTAGATCTCACGCTTTCAGAAATGGACATAGATGATAAAAGCATCATCAAAGTACCTCACATTCCTTCAGGAAAAAATATTAAAGTAAGGAAGTCTTTTGATGGGGCTGAAATCTTAGATTTAGAATCCATTGATGAAAATCCTCAGCTGGTTGACCAAAACCTGTATTCAATTGAGCGGGTAAACCCAAATGATGCAAGATTTGGGACTTTAAAAGAAATAGGCTCAAATAAGCTGATAACTGCTAAAAGAAACTTCGCAGGGGCAACAGTTGTTGACGTAGAAACTGAGGATGGAAAATGGCTTATTGGAAAACACGTCAGCAAAGAAGAAGATTTTGATTTCGCAAATGCAATTGAGGACCCTAAAAACCCAGAAGCTGTATTAGTCACCCATAAAAGAACTGGAGTGAAGTGCAGAGTTAAAAAAGGCTTCAAAGGACTGCCAAGACTTGATAAGAAAACAAATCTGCCTTTATTCAGAGAAAAAATAATTGACACCTATGACATTGATTCAGTTTTTGTAGACCCTAAGAATTCTCATTACGCAAATCTAGTTTCTGATGGAAAAGAAATCAGGGCTAGGCGAAATTTTATAGGAGGAAACATTCTAGACGTCCTCACAGATGAAGAATTCGAAGCGTTAAAAGCAGAAATGGCTGAAAAAAATGCTAACCGAAAAAGAGAAAAAAAAGAAAAAGAACTGGCCAAGCAGCAGGAATATGAAGCAAGAATTAAAGAAGAGCAGGATAGAGAAAAAGAAAGAAAAGCTAAATGGCTTGAAAAGAAAGCAAAAGCAGAGCAAAAAGCTAAAGAAGAGGAAGAAGCGAGACTAGCTGAATTGCAAAAAGAAGAAAACGAAGTTATGATGTATGAAATACCAAATTTAGAGCAAAATGTGGATACTCAGGCTAATACGGATACCCAGGCTTTTGTGTTTAATAAAGATGGATATGAAGAAGAGCCTCCAGCATTTACCACACCACAGAGCAAGATGTTTACAGAAACCTTTTTAAGCAATTCTTCGAAAAAAGCTGTCACTCCTGAAGGGATTTCAAGTTTAGAAGCAATTTATTTGCAGAGGCTTGAACCTGCAAAAAATAAAAATATTTCAAGACCGAAAAAGAAAGGGAAAAAGCTGAGACACTTCAGCCCATTCATGAACCCAACGACTGAAGATAGCTTGCTAAATCAAATAGAAGATTCAGTTTTGAACCAATTAAATATAGGGCAAGGCCCAGCTGATTTAGATTTTGAGTTGATAAGGAGAAAGACTGATAATGTTTAATTTAAAATCATTAATCGAATTTCTTATTTAAATTATTTATAAGCCATTTTGATGAGAAAAAAATTATAAAATACTCTTAATTATACGATAAAGAATTCTTGTGAATTATAATTGTATTCAGTTAAATTATTAACTGAAACTATCTTTTTGCATACAGGACACGAAGGTTTGGTCTCAAGTCAAGTATCTACACACTCGGAGTGAAATTTATGAGGACATTTTAAAACAGTGATAATCTGTCCTTTCGTTATATCATTCATACAAATTGAGCAAAAGCCTTCCTCTTCAGCTTCTAGATGAAGCAACTCTCCAGTTATGTCTTGTGATTGCATAGTATAATTTGTATTCTGAATGTTGGTTTCATTTAGCTGCTCAATATATCTCTCTACTGAATTCTGAATGACAAGGTCCAAAACCATCAGCTGCTGCTCTTCGTATGACATTCTCCGAGCTAAAAAATAAATTCTGACTTGCCTCGGACAAAATCGTTCGAAAAATCCCTATTTTTTTGGGTAAAATCTACCCTCCATGAGCTAACTAAATTTTTGATATACAAAATATCTTGTAATAATTATTATATGAAATCTTGAAATTCTGTTAAGTTGTAAGCAGCTCACATTTTAAAACATAAATATTAAAATTAAGCAATTTTGCTTTCCAATTTTTACAAATTGAATTTTTTTAAATTTTCAGAAAAAATTTTAATCCCCTCTGTGAGTGAGCAAAATTATTTTGTTTGCTCTCGGAGAGGGGATAAGAAGAATCATAAAAAAGGTTGCAGAAATTCACCCAATCAGTAAAAGGGTTTGAGACCTCAAATTATTTGAAACTAACAGCAGCTTGATAAAAATCAGGGCTATGGTGAGACAGCAGAACTAGAATAAAGCTTACTAAAAATAATTTTGTTGATAGGTAATATGTAAAGTACTTCAATTTTGAAAGCAAACTCATTTTAATAAAATTTATTTAATTCAAAAAAATAAGCGAAATTATCATAAATTGGATGGAGATTGACTTAATTTGCTTACTGCCATATGACATATATATCAATTCATGCCGACTTATTATTTATTATATCAATCAGAAAAATCATAAGCACACTCAAATTGCTTTTGATTATTAGGAATTAATATAGCCCAAGTCTACTTTGGCCCATGCTATCCCAACGTCTACCGTAAAAATTTAGAAGTCTATTTTACCAATATTTGTTGGAAAACTAATCTCCAGATGACAAGCCCATATGCTACTGGAGATTTATCATCAGGTGAATTGGTTTTACTATAAATTTTGATAAAACTAACTCCTCATTTGACTTCGGGAGATCTGGATATCCCGAGCTAAAAGGAGGCTCTGCTATACTGCTATTTAAATTAAAATATTTATTTGTATATTGTGTAAAACTCTCCTTTAAATTACTCTTCATTATTTTCATCAAAAACATTTTTTTTTATCCTAAGCACTCTATACATATAATTTAAAGGCTTCTCATGAAGCCTCCAGTATGAATAAGCTCCATCTTCCATTTTCTCCATAAAATAGACCCTTTCAAACCTCGAATGAACTAAAGCCATTCCACACATCAAACAAGGCTCAACCTTGGTGATGAGATAGTGATCATTACAATAATATTGATTATCAGAAATAGGAAAATTATTAATTGCATCCATAATTGGATGCTGCAAAGGCAAGTCTCCTTTTTTCCCATAGCAGATTTCTTCGGTTTTCGGGTTATAAATAGCAGCTGAGTCATGGTCTAAGCTCTTCATAATTTCAAAAATTTTTTTCATTTCTTCTTTTATTTGGATTATTGGAAGGATGCTTGGTTCTTTATAAGAAATAGGCCAAAATGAGTTTCAGATCTTTAATTGTTCACGGGTATAAGCAGGAAATTGAGGAACTTCTTTTTCTATTATTCGATCACAATCATTGCAGCCATCTCCAAGGGTTTTGAGCTCTTCAGCTTCTTCATCTGTGATTAGATTTGAAGGTCCTATTACTAATTCAAGCTGATGGCCGCATGTGTGTTTTTTTGCTCTTTTTAGATGATTGAGAGAGTATTGCTCTAATGGGAACTTTTTGCCCATCATTTTGATAGTTTCTGTGCCTTTTTGTGCATCGATGATTAGGATTTTGCATAAAGTATTTGTTGGTTTTGTACTTGTGCAATATGGGAGATATTCCTTCATCTTACTCCCCCCCCCCTCCGTGAGTGAACAAAAAAATTTTGTTCACTCACGGAGGGGGGTTAATTTTTTTTTTTAAAAAAAATTTATATATAAATTTTATAAAAAATATTTTTTTTCGAAATTTAAAAAAATCCTAATTCGCAAAAATTGGAAAGCAAATATTAATTTAATATAAAATTTATGTTTTAAAAAGCAATTCGTTTAAAATTAAACAGAATTAGCTCTAGATTTCATTATACTAATTATCATTTATATATCAATTTTTTTTTTCCATAAAAAAATTTTTGTATTAAAAAAATTTTTGTTCACTCACGGAGGGTGGGTTTTTGGGGCAAAAAATAGGGATTTTTCTAATGGTTTTGTTCACTCACGGAGGGGGGGGGAGTTAATATATTTTAATCAAAATTGTAATAATTATCCAGCAGAAAATATATAATATTTAAGCGAATATTTAATTTTAGGAAATATTCAATAGAATTTCATAATTATATAAATTATGGTCGGAACTGTGAAGATCTCGGATATTCCTCTAGAGGCAACCAAAGATGATATCGATAAATTCTTTGATATGGCAGGGCCATTTAGCATAATCCGATTTGACCCACCTGTAGCGATTATAGCTTTTGAGGATGACAATGATGCTGATAAAGCTTTATTTTTAAATGGAATGGAGATCTTGGGAAAAATTGTTAGCGTAGAGATGCATTCTGAAGGATAGATTAGATTATTTCAGCCCCTCTCTTTCCTCCTGGGGGTACAAACTCTGGTAGTCCTAATTACCTCTATCACTTTAAGCCCTTTTTTTGCCGATGCCATCAAAAATAGTGACCTCGGCACTCTCGGGGACAATCACACAGTCATGTTTGGATCTATCTATAATATATAAATACTTAGCCTGGTAGTGCTGAGAGCGTGAGGGAACGCCCACTGACTCCTTTACACTCCCCTACCGTTCATAGATCGAAAATTGGACGCAGGAGTATGAACTGACTTTGCACCTCCAGTTTTTCCTGTCATGGTCAAAAAACCATCCGAACTTCCTCAAAGAAGGATTAGTTTGCAAGTTACCCATTATCTAATCACCATTCGCCATCTTTTAAAAAGTGATTCTGAAGAAAGATATAGAAAAGGGCTATCATATTATTTCTGATAATATTGCTCAGCCAGCATTCAGCAGTATAACTATCCCTCAATCTGCTCAGCCTGCATCCAGCAACATTACCATACCAGAAGCAGTCATTGAAGAGTATAAAATGGACTCTACCTTACATCCCAATTTATATTTGAGAATTATAAAAGTTTTATTCAAACTAGAATTTTTAGATACTATTGGCTACACAAAATTTACTTTATATTTTATATTGAAAATCATAACCATTATTTTACAATATAAATATTTAAATAAATTTTTAATTATAGAAACAACTGTTTTCATTATTTTAAATTGAGACAAGGAGCTACAGAATGTACCAAAAAAATCTAAGCCTTTGGCAGAAACAACTAATGATACCGCGAAGGAGAGGCTTCAAAATGTATCTCTTCCAGCGAGACGAAAATTAGATGAAAAAGATCCATTTGCCATTCTTATGAATTTGAACGTTTCAGGTGTGATCGCATTCACTACATTGGTCTACCTAACATTATCAAGCTTTTGGTCTTAAGCAATTCATGAAGTGAATTTAATATAATTCTTAAAGTAAAACTTTAGATTAATTTGGCATAATAATGTTGCCTATATTTGATTAAAGGATTAAATATAAATCGAAATTAAATTAAGAAATAATCTCAACGCTTTAGGCAATATAAATTGTTATAAAATTATTTTTAAATTATTTTTAGATCTCTATTTTATATAAAAAATCTCAATGCTAAATGATATAGTCAAAGCAGATAGAAATAGCAATTATAAATTTTATTTCCAAATTTAACCCTTTTTCATATTGGATGTAAAAATAATAAAAATCACATAATTAAGTTTAAATTTATGTGGCCTCCATATTTATTTTCTCCACATTTAACTAGTGACATATTATGGGTCTCAGCACAAGCCCATCTACACTTTTCCAGTTTTTAGTCCCAGGATTCTAGAATCACTCCATTTTGAGGTAATACCAAAACAAAGTGCATTCAAATAAGCCCATTTTGTTTATAGATATGGGTATATGAGAATCTTTAAATCCACTTCCAATGAGATAATCTCAAAATCTTATTTAGGTACCAGAATTTCAAACAGCTAGGAGGTGTATGGATCTTTGATATGCGAAAATTTCCTATTTCGCGGCATTCAACTGATTAAGGTTTTTTTTATTCTTAGGATTGATTCAAAACCTCAGAGAGTCTTTCTTATCATCAGGCTTAAATAGAGCAAGTGAAGAATCGCTCATTTTCATTTTTTCATTTCTTTGACAGAAAAGTTGCATCTTCTTTATGTTTCAACAGCAAGAATCATAAGACTTTCAAACATAAATTTAGTAAGGCACTGCTTGCTAGAAATTAGAAAAAATCTTTATCAAATATAGAAGCAATGAAATCTTTAATTCTGAAGATTTTTAATACGGCTTGAGGTTCGAATTGAAGAGCCAAATGAAACGCGTTAACAATTTTAATTGAATTCTGAAATTAACTGATGCTGCTTGCTTACTCCCCCCCCTCCGTGAGTGAACAAAAAAATTTTGTTCACTCACAGAGGAGGGTTAATTTTTTTTTTTTTAAAAAATTTATATATAAATTTTATAAAAAATTTTTTTTTTTCGAAATTTAAAAAAATCCTAAATACGCAAAAATTGGAAAGCAAATATTAATTTAATTTATTAAATTTATGTTTTAAAGAGCAATTTGTTTAAAATTAAACAGAATTAGCACTATATTTCATTATGCTAATTATCACTTATATATATAAAATTTTTTTTCCATAAAAAATTTGTCTATTTTTAAAAAAATTTTTGTTCACTCACGGAGGGTGGGTTTTTTGGGCAAAAAATGGCGATTTTTCTAATGGTTTTGTTCACTCACGGAGGGGGGGGAGTTAGAGTTTTTTTAAGATGATTAGCCAACAAAACTTGACGAATCCTTGTTGTTACTTAAGAAAATTGATAGACAAGGAAATTCAAAAGGATCAGTATTGACAAAGTGAGCATGATTTCAAAAATGATTCCATCGGAATAATTTCTGAGATGTTTCGCTTGGAAACTTAGTCTTTGCATCTTAATTGAATGTTAAAATTATGCATTCTGCCCTTTGATCCCTCTTGAAATTTAATGATTGCCTATTCTGGCGATGTCTTGGAAATTAAGGTTATGATAATCAAGAACACTTTGAAAATGAATTATAAGCTGACTCTGTTTCTTCATTAAACCAAAATACAATCTTCTAAAGTGTCGGACTCAAAAGAGGAAATTTGCGAAATATCAAATTTTGACCTCACATTTTTACGACCCCAATTTTCAAACGATTTCTTCAAGATAGCACTCGGAAAAGAATTCAGTGGAATAATAGAGCTCATTCCTCTATAGATTTCTTGCAGACAATTGATTAGCTGCATTGTTGCCAAAATTAGCTTGAGATTTCCTATATGAATTATCGGAATACTGATGTTACTGATGATGGCCAAAAAGATACCCCAAAAAAATATATAAATTTAAATGGCTTTTTTATATTAACAATAAAAATTAAAAAAATAATTACCCAAAAAGCACTTAAAAGAGACTTGCATCAAAAATCTTTAATTTAAACGAAGACACCTTAAAATTTGAAATGAAGTTTCAAAGTTAATTGGTTTGTATGAATAACTTAATTTGCAAAAAAAAATTTGTAATTTGGCTGCATATGAGGCAAGTAAAATTGGCTGATTGAAAAAATAATTTTCCAAACTTATGTAAAGCGGCTATTTAACAGATAAAAATATTGAAATTGAATATCAATACAGCGTTTTCACTTGCCTAATAATTTTTGCTGTGAATATGTATCCAACTGCACTTAATTAATTTGCGGCTCTCGATGAATAATGCTAATAAGCCCTTAGACTGAGCTCTATAGCAAAATAAGAGCACATAAAGTGTTTATCTTAAACTTTCCATAGTCTTAATCCTTTTTACAAACAAGTGTAAAGACAGTTGTGCTGCTAGCCATAATGAACGAACTTAAATATATATATCGGATTTGAGTTACAATTAGATCCTGCATATTCGATTTCATTGTCCTGAGGGCTTAATAAACCAAAATTCGGTGTATCTTCCTCTGTAGCATCGGTGTTCTTGCTAAAAATTATTCACATATGAAGACTTTCCTAACTAATTAGATCTTGTTATTGGAAATTGCTATACTTTAGAAGAGTATAACCTATTAAAGATTGAAGAAGACTTCAAGCTCATATTTATATGTTCCTTATATAATAAATTTATGTTTAACCTTGAATAATTATAACAGAATTGCTTAAATTAAAATTATGAACTGCCATTTATGAACTAGAGTATTAACCTAAAAGTGAGACTCCATTAAATTTAATATTTAATTTTATCTCATATGACGTCACACATAAAATGAGCTATCTTAATTTCAAAAAAATGGACACTTGAAACTCCATCAGACCAGTTTCTCCTCCTTTTTATTTACTCCCCCCCCCCCCTCCGTGAGCGAACAAAACCATTAGAAAAATCGCCATTTTTTGACCAAAAACCCACCCTCCGTGAGTGAACAAAAATTTTTTTAATAGAAAAAATTTTAATGGAAAAAAATTTTGATATATAAGTGATAATTAGTATAATGAAATCTAGAGCTAATTCTGTTTAATTTTAAACAAATTGCGTTTTAAAACATAAATTTTGCAAATTAAATTAATATTTGCTTCCCAATTTTTGCAAATTAGGATTTTTTTAAATTTCGAAAAAAAAATATTTTTTATAAAATTTATATATAAATTTTTTTTAAAAAAAAAAAAAACCCCCCTCCGTGAGCGAACAAAATTTTTTTGTTCGCTCACGGAGGGGGGGGGGGAGTTAGGAGAATTTTTCGCCATCTTTACCTTTATCAAAATTCTAGTCTAGTCTAAAAAGTTAACTGATCAGAAATTTCGCAACAATTAGCATTGCTTAATGGTATTTTTAACGATTTAAAATTTAATCCAAGCTATAACTCAATAAATTCATGACTTAGAGCTTGTATAATAGTTTTATTAGCGAGTTAGTATAGGAAGTAATCCCTAAATTTTTTTTTACTTGTTGACAAAACTAAGTATTTTATATTATAAGTGCCAAATCTAGCCCTGCAGAATTTTTTATATGATGAACTATGAATTATAAGCCTGTCTAACCTAGTCTAACCCTATTAGTTCGCCTAGAACAAAAATTAAATAATCTTAAGCGGTTAAGATTTACTGAATAAATTTCCCATATTTTATAAAAATTTAATGGGAAGCCATAGCTTCAGATCAGATGATTGAGACCGTGAGATGTGCGTGAACATTTCTCACTTCAAGATCCATCATACTATAGGAAAGGGTTGCTTTTGCAGAGTGTGACTTGCTAAACACAAAACAACAAAACAGATATATGCGTTAAAAGAAATCTTAAAGTCAAGGGTCATAGCACAGAAACATGTAGGAGCAGCATTGAATGAGCAGACCATTTTAAGCACTATAAGACACCCTTTCCTTGTTAACATGCATCACGCATTTCAAAGTCGTGACTACCTTTTTCTTACCTTAGACTTAAAAACTGGAGGAGATCTGCGGTACCATCTCCTTAACCATACTTTTGTTGAGGAAGAAGCCAGATTCATGATTTCTTGCGTGATACTTACATTGGAGTACTTACATTCAAATAAAATTATACACAGAGACTTAAAGCCTGAGAACTGACTTTTGGATGAAGACGGCTACGTTTGTTTAACTGACTTTGGCATCGCACGAAAACTCGAAAATGAGACTTGCAGAGAAATGTCTGGTACTCCAGGATACATGGCGCCTGAGGTTCTGTGTCAGGAGAGTCATACTTATACTGCAGACTGGTTTGCTATAGGTGTGATTTTATACGAAATCATCACTGGATTAAGACCTTACGTAGGAAAAAACATGAACCAAATAAAAAATCAAATCCTTGATAGACAAATACAACTGAAACATGAAAATCTATCTGGGGATTGGTCTAAGGAATGTGTTGACTTCGTAAATAAACTGATCCAAAGAGAACCTCAAAACAGACTTGGTTTTAAAGGAGTAAGCGAAGTAAAAAACCATCCATGGGTGAAGAATGTTGAATGGGAAAAGCTGCTCAGAAAAGAAGTTGCTCCGGTTTTTAAACCACCCAAAGCTAATAATTTCAATCATAAATATGTTTCCGAGGAATGGAGAGATGGAATTGTCGCCAAGAGCGACTACAACCAAGAGGCATTTAAAGGTTATTTCTATAATGAAATGTCTCAAGGTGATAAAGTAGAGTCAAATCATCATGATTTGCACTCAAGAAGAAAATATAATCTTTGTCAATTATGGAAGTAAATTATAAGCTAACGCTTTTAGAATTAAATAAAAATCGTCTTTAAATAGTTTTATTTGGCCTAAATCTTTCAGCTTGTCGTTGTATTTGACCACATGGGTTGATCAGTATGGGGTATGATGATTTAAAAAAAATCAAAAAATCTGAATAAGATTTCTAATAAATAATTTTAAATTAAAAAAAACAACTGCTCTACCAAAAAGAAATCAAAAAGAATCATTTCTTTAATTTTAAACCTAAATATCAGAAAAATATTTTTAAAAAGCTAATTTATCAGAACCCTTTTCAACAGGAGATAAAATGTTTCGAGCACCAATAATTATCAATAGAGTATCCAACAAAATATTTTTTGGGATATTCAGAAACAGATTTAACTCTAAAGCTGTATTTAATTTTCATAAATTTTTAATTTTTGAACCCCAATAATTTTTGAAGCATATCTTTTAATTCTGCCTTCAGCCATATATATATAACTCATCCACCTAAGTGAATTGCCATATGCCGGCATCTCCTGAGGCAAGTCAGGTAGTTGGTTTCTCAAACCCTTGAAATGGAAAATCCACCAGACAATTCAGATTTGCAATTTCAAGGGCTGATGAAACCAACTAACACTTGTCTAGGAGACATCGAGCACATGGCAATTCATTTAGGTGATTACTTATATACGGGTTATTAGGACCACATTAATAAATATCTGATAAGCTTCGAAATGGGAAACTGCAGTTTGAAAACTAGCGATTATGACCCGACAATTTGTATAAATCCTAATCAATTTGAGTTCCACTATCCAATTGGAAAAGGTTCTTTCAGCAAGGTGTGAAAAGTCACCGATAAAGCAACAAAGCAAGTCTATGCTTTGAAAGAAATCCTTAAATCAAGGGTAGTAGCACAAAGGCATGCTAATTCTGCTCTTAACGAAAAAACCGTGTTAAGTATGCTAAGGCATCCTTTTATGATAAATATGCATCATGCTTTTCAAAACAAAAATTACCTTTTCCTCACAATGGACTGGAAGTCTGGTGGAGATCTCCGCTATCAAATGATAAAAAATAAATTTGTAGAAGAGGAAGCCAAATTTTTGGTTTCATGCATCGTTCTTGTATTAGAATACATACACTCTCTTAGCGTAATTCATCGAGACGTAAAACCAGAAAATTTGCTCTTTGATGAGGAAGGGTATATTTATCTCGCAGATTTTGGAGAAGCCAAAATATGGGATAAAGAGATGCCTCATGATATGTCAGGAACCCCTGGATATATGGCGCCTGAAGTAGCCTTTCAGCAGGATTATTCATATACCGCTGACTGGTTTGCGGTGGGTGTAATTTTATATGAAATTATTACAGGATCAAGGCCATATTCAGGAAAAACTTTAAATGAAGTTAAAGATAAAATTTTAGAAGGCCAATCACATTTAAACGTCGAGAACTTATCAACTCCTTGGTCAAAGGAATGTGAAGATTTTGTAAATAAATTAATTCAAGTAAGCCCACAAAACAGACTGGGATTCAAAGGAATTGACGAAATAAGAAATCATCCATGACTGAAGTATATAGAATGGGATAGATTGTATAGAAAAGAAATTATCCCAAGCTTCAAGCCGAAGAAAGGAAATAATTTTAATTCACATTATGTAAATGAAGACTGGAAAGATGGAATTACACCCAAGTGCAATTTTAATCAAGATATATTTTTAGGCTACTTTTATATGGAGTTGCCTCAAAATACTGATTCAACTAGGCAGTGGAGACTAGGACCCTTAGGGTGCCTGAAGGGCCCAAGTAGATGCCTAAGCTCAAAGAAGAGTCTTCTGCCCAAACTTCAAGGCTGTCTTCCTGATGGAGATCAAAGTCAGACGTAGCCACACCTTTGGCAAGCCCGAGGAAAATGCGCGATATTCGCCACAGAGCAGTGCTGGAGATAGCTGTGGTTGACTGTTTGTGGATGCCAAACGATTATAGATTAATTAAAATTAAGATTCAACTAACACAAAAGTCTATGCAAAAAGGAAAAACTCCTTTTGCTTGCCAACAATTCATTCAGGAGATACAATTAATCAAAAAATGCATGAACGAGGAAAAAGCGAATTTCGTGCTTCATAACTAGGTTAATGTATTTAAATGTAAAAAATTCGTCTCTATAGCTTAAAAATAATTCTAGACATTCTACTAAATTAAGTCGACGTCACCAATTTATTTTTCAATTTAAGGCTTTCATGGGCAATTTAATGATAAAATCTGTGATTAATTTTAAAAGATAAAAAGTTACAATAATATCTTATTCGCTATCTATAAAGTTTTTATTATATTAAAATATCTTATGTTAATCACCTTGGTTGAAAATATGCAAAACTAAATAAAAATTGTATATAATTTTGTTGATCTATGAAAATAAAGTTATAAGGCAATGATTTGGAAATGTAATGCAAAGTCTTTCTTTTGATTATTAATTTTTAGCTAACTTGTATTTAATATTTCTTTTGAGTTTGAAGAGCTGGGGAAAAATTAAAAGGTCATAATAAAAAATCTGGCCGATAGAATTATATAAAAGAATAAGCTTCTCTGCTCACTAGAAATAATAAATTATTATTCTAATTAACTTCAACTGAAAATATTCCCTCACATATTTTTGAATACCCATATTTTCTAAATAATCTGTTTCAAAATCGATATAAATGTTTGGGTTAAGTTGCCTGAAACTAATTTTTCCACAGAAGATAGCTTAGAAGCTAGAAATTGGAAATTGAATGCAGTTAAGGTTTTGTTTTATATTTTCCAACTAAAAAATAACAATAACTAATTTTTTAAGTTAAAATTTATTTCAGGTGGTTAGCCATATACTTGGAGATTTCTTGCCACATTTATAAACATAAACATCCGACCTGACATGGGAAACTGCATTCTGAAAACTGACGATTGTGACACGACGATTTGCTTAAATCCTCATCAATTCGATTTCCATTATCCAATTGGTAGGAGTTCTTTTAGCAAAGTTTGGAAAGTCACCCAGAAAAATTCAAAGCAAGTGTATGCCTTGAAGGAAATCCTAAAATCAAGAGTAGTAGCACAAAGACACGTTAACTCTGCCCTAAATGAAAAAGAGATGCTAAGCGTTCTACGTCATCCGTTTATGACTAATATGCACCATGCTTTCCAAAGCCATAGTCATCTTTATCTTACTATGGACTTCAAGCATGGAGGCGATTTACGGTACCAACTTCTAAAACATAAATTTGTTGAGGAAGAAGCCAAATTCATCATTTCATGCGTAATCATTGGCTTGGAATACGTTCATTCCAAACAAATCATCCATAGGGACTTAAAACCAGAAAATTTGCTTTTTGACGAAAAAGGGTATGTATACTTATCAGATTTCGGGGAAGCAAAAATATGGGCCCAAGAGAACTCAAATGATGTATCAGGAACTCCTGGATATATGGCTCCAGAAGTTCTTTGCCAACAAAACCACTCTTATCCTGCAGATTGGTTTGCAGTCGGTGTTATCTTACATGAAATCATCACGGGTTCCAGACCTTTCCCGGGAAAAAATTTAAAAGAATTTAAAGAAAAGATCTTAGAAAGCCAAGTGCAATTAAACGTAGACACTTTATCCACTTCTTGGTCTAAAGCATGCGAAGATTTTGGGTATCTTAAAAAAACCGAGTGCAGTCAAAAATGAACTTTTTCTAAAGTAAAACACTCATCGTTAATTTTTATTTTTCCAAAAAATACGAGGAAAACCCAGCAAGATGTTTTCCCAGAATACATATAAAGCCCCTTTAAAATTTTTATTACTATTTTTTTCCTCTTGTTTGGGGAGGAAAAAATTTCAAAGGCCATTAGCAAATATTTGCACAATTTCTCATTCATTTTTATTTATTAGAGTAAAATTATTAGCATATATAATCTGAAAATATAAGGTTATCTAGATATCTCCATTTACCTATTTGATAGAAACTTTTTAACAGATAGAATTTTTTCTGAAGAATCAAAAAATATTAATAAGTTTTATGTTGCGGTTTTTCCCCTTAAAAAACAAAGAGTTCCATTTTCAATCATTTTTGATTAAAAAAAGTATAGCAAAAATCAATAAATTTTTTTCGGAGCCGCCCAAGAGATTTTGTAAATCAATTAATCCAAACAAACCCTCAAAATAGACTTGGGTTTAGAGGGGTTGGTGAAATAAAAAATCATCCATGGCTAAAGGATGTAGAATGGGATAAAGTTCTTAAAAAAGAAGCTAATCCGAGATTTGTCCCTAAGAGAGGGAACAATTTCAATAGAGAGTATGTAAACGAAGACTGGAATGATGGGATTAAGCCAAAATGCGATTTTAAACAAGAGATGTTTGCAGGCTACTTTTATGTGGAGATGCCTCACTTTCAGAATGTAGATAATAACCAGAACACACATATGAGAAATAAAAGCTCTTTTGTTCAGCCTCATATTCAAAGTGGAAGTTCGAGCAATCAAAGGGCAAGAGGAAAAAGCTCTGTACGTGGATAAAAAATTAAATTTAAAACTTTAATGTAAATATAATATCTTTAAAAATTGAACTGTTTCAAAAAATTATTTTTAAAAAATATATTGTTGTACAAGGCCTTGCACTTTTGAATTTTAAGATTTATAGTATAAAATATACTATCAAATTAGCTCAGATCAGTATAAACAATATTTTCTTTTATTTCCAATGTGTTAAAGTTCATTTGGTAGCCATTTTAGTTTAAAGAGAAAATGAAAATTGTTGAAAAGTTGTTAATTTATTCACCAAATAAACTAGCGATGCATGCCTATAATTTATGACTCGACAAATTTAAAACCCTTTAGAAGGTCAAGCACATTTAAACGTGGAGAACTTATCAACTCCTTGGTCAAAGGAATGTGAAGATTTTGTAAATAAATTAATTCAAGTAAGCCCACAAAACAGACTGGGATTCAAAGGAATTGGCGAAATAAAAAATCATCCATGACTAAAATATATAGAATGGGATAGATTGTAGAAAAGAAATTATCCCGAGCTTCAAGCCGAAGAAAGGAAATAATTTTAATTCACATTATGTAAATGAAGATTGGAAAGATGGAATTACACCCAAGTGCAATTTTAATCAAGATATATTTTTAGGCTAATTTTATAAAATACCGATTCAACTAACACAAAAGTCAATGCAAAAAGGAAAACTCCTTTTGCTTGCCACCAATTCATTTAGGAGATACAATTAACCAAAAATGCATGAACGAAGAAAAAGCGAATTTCGCTCTTCATAACAAGGTTAATGTATTTAAATGTAAAAAATTATTTTCTATAGCATAAAAATAATTCTAGACATTCTACTAAATTAAGTCGACGTCATCAATCTATTCTTCAATTTAAGACTTTATAGAAAATTTTAGTGATAAAATCTTTGATTAATTTCAAAAGATATAAAGTTGCAGTAATATCTTATTCGATATCTGCAAAGTTATTATTATACTAAAATATCTTATTTTAGTCAGTTTAGTTAAAAATATGCAAAACTAAATAAAAACGTATATAATTTTTTTGATCTCTGAAAGCAAATTTATAAAACACTGATTAGAAAATGCAATACAAAGTTTTTCTTTTGTTATAAATTTTTAACTAAGCTGCCTTTAGTATTTCTTTGAGTTTGAAGAGTTGGGGAAAATTAAAAGGTCATAATAAAAATACTGGTCGATAGAATTATATAAAAGAGCAAACTTAACTACTCGCTAAACACTGATTAGAAAATGCAATACAAAGTCTTTCTTTTGATTATACATTTTTAACTAAGCTGCCTTTAGTATTTCTTTTGAGTTTGAAGAGCTGGGGAAAATTAAAAGGTCATAATAAAAATACTGGTCGATAGAATTATATAAAAGAGCAAACTTAACTACTCGCTAGAAATCATAAATTATTATTCTAATTAGTTTCAGCTGAAAATTTTCCCTCAAACATTTTTGAATACCCATATTTTACAAATAATCTGTTTCACAATCGATATAAATGTTTTGGCTAAGTTGTCTGAAACTAATTTTTCCAAAAAAGATAGTTTAGAAGCTATAAATTGGCAGTTAAAGCTTTGCTCTATATTTTCCAACTAAAAAATAACAAGAACTAATTTTTTAAGTTAAAATCTATTTGGGTGGTTAGCCATATACTTGGACATTTCTATACCACATTTATAAACATAAACATCGACCTAACATGGGAAACTGCATACTGAAAACTGACGATTGTGACACGACGATTTGCTTAAATCCTCATCAATTCGATTTCCATTATCCAATTGGTAGGAGCTCTTTTAGCAAAGTTTGGAAAGTCACCCAGAAAAATTCAAAGCAAGTGCTAGCTTTGAAGGAAATTCTAAAATCAAGAGTAGTAGCACAAAGACACGTTAACTCTACCCTAAATGAAAAAGAGATGCTAAGCATCTTACGTCATCCATTTATGACTAATATGCACCATGCTTTCCAAAACCATAGCCATCTTTATCTTACTATGGACTTCAAGCATGGAGGCGATTTACGGTACCAACTTCTAAAACATAAATTTGTTGAGGAAGAAGCCAAATTCATCATTTCATGCGTAATCATTGGCTTGGAATACGTTCATTCCAAACAAATCATCCATAGGGACTTAAAACCAGAAAATTTGCTTTTTGACGAAAAAGGGTATGCATATTTATCAGATTTCGGGGAAGCAAAAATATGGGCCCAAGAGAACTCAAATGATGTATCAGGAACTCCTGGATATATGGCTCCAGAAGTTCTTTGCCAGCAAAACCACTCTTATCCTGCAGATTGGTTTGCCGTCGGTGTTATCTTACATGAAATCATTACGGGTTCCAGACCTTTCCCAGGAAAAAATTTAAAAGAAGTTAAAGAAAAGATCTTAGAAAGTCAAGTGCAATTAAACGTAGACACTTTATCCACTTCTTGGTCTAAAGCATGCGAAGATTTTGTAAATCAATTAATCCAAACAAACCCTCAAAATAGACTTGGGTTTAGAGGGGTTGATGAAATAAAAAATCATCCATGGCTAAAGGATGTAGAATGGGATAAAGTTCTTAAAAAAGAAGCTAATCCGAGATTTGTCCCTAAGAGAGGGAACAATTTCAATAGAGAGTATGTAAGCAAAGACTGGAGTGATGGGATTAAGCCAAAATGCGATTTTAAACAAGAGATGTTTGCAGGCTACTTTTATGTGGAGATGCCTCACTCTCAGAATGTAGATAATAGCCAGAGCACAAATATGAGAAATAAAAGCTCTTTTGTTCAGCCTCATATTCAAAGTGGAAGTTCGAGCAATCAAAGGGCAAGAGGAAAAAGCTCTGTGCGTGTGGATAAAAATATTTAAATTTAAAACTTTAATGTAAATATAATATCTTTAAAAATTGAACTGTTTCAAAAAATTATTTTTAAAAAATAAACAATGTTTCCTTTTATTTTCCATGTGTTAAAGTTCATTTGGTAGCCATTTTAATTTAGAGAAAATGAAAATTGTTGAAAAGTTGTTAATTTATTCACCAAATAAACTAGGGATGCAATGCCTATAATTTATTACTAAGACTTATCATTTATAATTATTCCTCTTTTCTAAATATAGAACTTTTTCAAACAACACACTTAAATCTGTCTAAATTAAAAAATAATTGGAGATAATTATCTTAAAATTAAACTTTAGGATTCTTAATTACTATTAAGATTTTAGAAAATAATATCACCAATATCCTTATCACAAATGAGCTTCTTATGATACTTTTTCGCATAAATAGATATATTCTTAAAAAATCCAATTGTGAAAATAAGGTAAATTCCAAAAAATTATTGGATATTATAATTATAAGACTCTTTAATTTATATATTTATTATATACGGTTATCACATGCTTTAAAATATTATTGCATATATCAATATTCGATAAAGAGCTTGCTTCCTTTCTTTAGGCTTATTTATGTTTCCAAAATTAATAAAAGCTGATATACCTAACTTATTCATGTGCTTCTTTCTAATGTTCTAATCTCATGGCAAAAACACAACTGATTTTTGATTTCACCTGCTCGACTTCTATATACCAATAAACAATTACATCAACACCCAAAATGGGAAACTGTAGCATGAGATCTGACGATTACGATCCAGCAGTCTACTTAAATTCTCACCAATTCGAGTTCCATTATTTAATTGGCAGAGGAGGTTTTAGCAGAGTCTGGAGTGTTACTCACAAAAACACAAAGCAAAGTTACGCTTTAAAAGAAATTTTAAAATCAAGAGTCATCGCAAAAAGGCATGTTCACTCTGTAATTAATGAAAAAAGGCTTCTCAGCATTTTAAAACACCCTTTTATCGTTAATATGCATCATGCATTTCAGGATCGTGACTATCTTTACCTTACAATAGACTTGAAAACAGGAGGGGATTTACGGTATCATTTCCAGAAACATACTTTTACTGAGGAAGATACCAAATTTTTGACTTCCTGCATAATTCTTGCATTAGAATATTTACATTCAAATAAAATTATTCATAGAGATTTAAAGCCAGAAAATTTAATATTTGATGGAGAAGGATATATGCATATAACAGATTTCGGTATAGCCAGGGCTTGGGTAGAAGACAATTCGCATGAAGTATCAGGAACTCCTGGATATATGGCTCCTGAAGTTCTTTGTAAACAAAATCATACATATGCTGTAGATTGGTATGCATTAGGTGTGATATTATATGAAATTATTACTGGGCTAAGACCTTATTTGGGAGAAAACAGAAGTAAAATAAGAGAACAGATATTAGATAGACAAGTCCAGTTAAAAGCAAACAATTTAATAGGCGAATGGTCAGAGGAATGTGTGGATTTTGTAAATCAATTGATACAGAGAAGACCTCAAAATAGACTTGGATTTAATGGAATCAATGAAGTGAAAAATCATCCGTGGGTAAGAAATGTGGAATGGGATAAATTGTTCAGAAAAGAAATCAAGCCGAGTTTTAAACCTCCAAAAGCAAAAAATTTCAATCAAAAGTATGTGAATGAAGATTGGAAAGATGGAATTATCACAAATAGTGATTTTAGCCAGGAAATATTTCTGGGCTACTTTTATAATGAAATGCCAACAAATAATAAAGATGATCCAAACTATCGTAAGTGCCAAAGTGAAGGGAAAAAATATTTGCGCCAGACTTTGAATAAAAAGCAGGTATCTTAAGATTATGATTTTAATAATGATTAATTCGTTTATTTGGATAAATAATAATTTTAATGCAAAAGAAATTTTATAATTTCTTTGTAATGTGCCGTGTAGCATTCATTTAAAATATTGTGCTTGCGAATATTTCATTTTTGGTCAATCTCAATCACAAATTTTCTATAACTTTTAGCTATGCATTCATATTTATATAGTCATTTCGAATTTAAAAACATAACGCAGCCCTATAAATCATAAAATTCCCAATTAAAAAATTAACTTATATATTATCATTTTTTTTTAGTTCACCTATACATTATAATGGCATAACTATAAACTCTACAATCACTTCTATATGAATTTTTCTGCTGATCTATGATTACAAAATACTAAATTTTACAAAAATAAAAAGTTTGCGGCCATTCTAATTTTCTTTTTACTAAATTAATATTTGCTACACAATTAAAAATGGAGCGCATGAATTAGGGACCTTGCTCCCTAAGGTCATCCTAGTGAGGGAAGTCTAGACTTTCTGAAGGATATTGGCGCAGGAACTGCTTCGGCAGTTCCATGTGAACTTGAATCAACTTCAAGAAGTGAAGAGAGACTCGTCTAGGTCATAGGCTACTGTAACGGTTCGACGGTTAGGCCGATTCCACCTACCGTTGTTCAGAGCTGTTAGCCAGTGATGGAATTCAGGAGGGATGGGCTTGTATTGTTAGATCCTAAGCTAAGTGGGGGTCGACAAAGTGTTATCGTAATCTTAAATCTTAAATATTTGCTATATAATGGGAAACTGCAGCTTACATATTGACAATTTCGACCCTACAATCAGCATAGACTCCACCCAATTTGAATTCCACAATCCAATTGGAAAAGGAGGCTTCAGCAAAGTATGAAAAGTCACACACAAGAAGACCAAGCAATCTTTTGCTTTAAAAGAGATGCTGAAATCAAGGGTCCTCGCTAAGAGATCTGTTCACTCTGTAATGAACGAAAAAAGACTTCTCACTCCCCCCTCCTGAGTGAACAAAACCATTAGAAAAATCGCTATTTTTTGCCCAAAAACCCACCCTCCGTAAGTGAACAAAAATTTTTTTAATAGAAAAATTTTTTATGAAAAAAAGATTTTGATATATAAGTGATAATTAGTATAATGAAATCTCGAGCTAATTCGGTTTAATTTTAAACAAATTGCGTTTTAAAAATATAATTATTACAAATTAAATTAATCTTTGCCTTCCAATTTTTATAGAAGTGAGATTTTTTTTAAATTTCGAAAAAAACATTTTATAAAAAATTTATATATAAATTGTTAAAAAAAAAAAATTAGCCCCCCTCCGTGAGTGAACAAAAATTTTTTTGTTCACTCACGGAGGGGGGAGTCAGCATTTTAAAGCACCCTTTTATTGTGAACATGCATCACGCTTTTCAAGACCGAGATTTCCTTTATCTCACCATGGATCTCAAAGCCGGTGGAGATTTGAGATATCAATTAACAAAGCAAGCGTTTAATGAAGAGCAAGCAAAATTCATAATTGCCTGTTTAGTCACTGGTTTAGAATACCTGCACTCGAATAAAATTTTGCATAGGGATATCAAACCAGAAAATTTAGTTTTCGACAGCTTAGGATACTTGCATATTACTGACTTTGGAATAGCAAGAATTTGGATGGAAGATAACTCAGGGGATACGTCAGGAACCCCTGGGTATATGGCTCCGGAGGTTATGTGCAGACAAAGCCACTCATATGTGGCTGACTGATATGCAGTAGGAGTTATACTCTACGAAATGATAGCTGGGGTTAGACCTTATCTTGGAAAAGATAGGAAAGAAATCAGAGACCAAATATTGTCAAAACAAGTACAACTTAAAAGAAGCGATATTCCTTCAACTTGGTCTCAAGAGGCGTTAAATTTTGCTAATCATCTAATACAAAGAAAAGCCCAGAATAGGCTTGGTAATGGAGGGTATGAAGAAGTGAAAAATCACCCATGGTTGGCTGATGTGGAATGAGTCAAATTGTTTAGAAAAGAAATAATTCCAACTTTTCAGCCTAGCAATTCTGATAACTTTAATCTTAAGCACGCAAGTGAAGATTGAAATGATGGTATTGCTGTTAAGGCTGATATTTGCCAAGATATTTTTATTGGGTATTTTTACAACGAGGCACCTCCTCCACCTCCACAAAATGAAAAAGAAGACCCAAACAGCCAAAAATCAAAGAGAAGGAAAAATTCATTTTTCAAGTTTATAAACTAAATTTCAAAGTATGATATAAATAAAATTTTAATTATAGCACTTTGGCAAAGCCAATTATTTATATAGCTAGATAGGATGACTGGAGCGGGGCGTTTTGGCTTCCCGGCAAGCCAAAAAAGCCCCGTTTCAGTCATCCTATCTAACTATAAATAATTTTTAAAAAATTTTTAACTTATTAACAGAAATTGTCTTTTCAGGAAAAAAAAAACTAGGGAAAATAGGCCTTACTCCCCCCCCCTCCGTTAATTTTTTTTTTAAAAAAATTTTATATATAAATTTTCTAAAAAATATTTTTTTTCGAAATTTAAAAAAATCCTAATTCACAAAAATTGGAAAGCAAATATTAATTTAATTTATAAAATTTTGTTTTAAAAAGCAATTCGTTTAAAATTAAACAGAATTAGTTCTAGATTTCATTATACTAATTATCATTTATATATCAAAATTTTTTTCCATAAAAAATTTTTGTTCACTCACGGAGAGCGGGTTTTTGGGCAAAAAATAGCGATTTTTTTATTGGCTTTGTTCACTCACGGAGGGGGGAGTTTAAAATAATTCTTTTAATGTGAAAATTTCTGTTTTATATTAATTAAGCTGGATTATATATATTTTTTGGTTTAATTTCATAAAAACGACTATACCCTATGGACATTAATAAATTACTATCCATTTGGATGTTTTCTTCAATCAATAAAGGCTATGAAATGCTCTGGAAGTCCTTTATAAGGCCTGAAAGAGAAAACTACTCTATCTATGATCTTGGGGACCGAATTTTTACATTAGTTGACGATAGGACATATCAGCGGACAGATTTTTCAATAGTAAGTAGCAATGGTTGCAGAATCCAATGCTCTCATTTTGAGCCTTTAGAGGCTTCGAGGCCTGAAGAAATCATGCCATGTGTCATATATTTACATGGAAATTGTGGTTCCAGAATAGAAGGTCTTGATACTGTTCCTATGTTGTTACCCTACAATATGACAGTAGTTTGTTTTGATTGAGCAGGATGTGGCCTATCAGAAGGAGAATACGTCACATTAGGCTGATATGAAAGATATGATTTGGAAATTTTAGCAAATTATTTGATTAAAAATAGAAGAGTAAGCTCTATTGGGCTTTGGGGGAGAAGTATGGGCGCTGTTGCAGCAATTTATTATGCAAGCCAAAATTTTCCAATCGCTGGACTTGTTTTGGATAGCCCGTTTTCGTCACTACGAAAATTAGCTACCGAAATAGGTGAAAAGGCTGCCGGTGTACCTAACTTTTTGATCAATCGGTCAATTAGCTTATATAATTTTCTAGAGTGGTCTCTAGTTGCTCAGCGTCGTGAGACACTTTTTTTCTTCGTCTTGTCGTTACTCTCAAACTCATGTCGAGCCTTGCAGTCAAACTTGCTCCTCCTAGTCCCCGTGAAGCCATCTGACAACCAAGAAGTACAGAAAATATTAGTGGCTCCTTGTTTTATCCGACTATCTCAAGCATATGTTCGGTCTAAGTGTCTTCCTTTTACACCAACAGTTAAAAGAGGTAAAACACGATGCACAAGGTGGGCGAAGTATAAAATTCCTCTCCATTTTTTTCTCTTGTAAAAAGTTCATGTGTAAAAAGCCTAATCTATAATAACAAAAGCAAGGTAAGGGAAAAGAAATTGATGCAGCAAATTACCTTTCATCCGAACCCATTTTATAATTATTCCTAATTTTTTGATCAAATTTGCGTTAAATAGGATCAAAAGCACAATAAAAGAAAAAGTAAATTTTGATATTGACGAGTTAAACCCAATTGAAAGGGTGTTAACTTGCAAATCTCCATCAATTTTTGTTGCAGGAAAAGATGATGATTTCGTTCCTGTGCATCATACAAAATCCTTATATAAAAAGTATGCAGGAGCAAAGCAGCTTTATTTGGTTGATGGAAATCACAATACTCCAAGGCCTTTAAGCTTTATCGACAAAGTTGCGCGATTTTTTTGCTCTAATTTGCATTGCAAAAACAGTTCAAATGGAAGAATAATGGCAAGCATTTTATCTTTCATAAAAGATCAAGAGGAAGGGTCAGGAAAAGAAGAAATAACTGTCCCAAATACAATTACAATTACAAGAAAAGCAATGGAAGAATATGATGAAGAATGAATACAGATCCAAAAAGAATATAAAAGAGCTCATAGTGCTCCAACAACGAAATCAACTCAAGAAAGTGACACTTTGAGTCATGAAAAATTTAAAGATGCAATTTAAGAGTGAATTATTATTTAATGTTTTTTGTTTGTTAATTCCTAATGTCTTCTTTAATGGATTGGAATTTCTTTTCTTTGAGATTAAAGGCTACCAATGTATAATAGCTTATATAATAATATCTTAATTGCAAATAATTATTTTATTAATATTTTTATATAATATAGTATATATTCAGAAAAGAAATAAACAAAATTTTGATAAACTGTTTTATATGAAAATGCGTCTTTTTGCGGCGAAACAATTTGGCCTATAGAATTTCATCTTCAAACATCATTTTCTTCACTTTCATATGATGGCCCTAAAGGATCAATAATATATACTTTTTTATTATCACTACAAATAACTTTAGCACTGTCTTGTTTTAGTTGTGGAGGAAGTGTCGCATAGGTTGAATTTTCTGGAGTATATTTATAAGCGCATGGAAGCTTATAGCCACTAATTATTATTTCTCCGTCAAATAGGCATACACTTGGACAATATCCTGAAGCTGATGGCAGATTATTTAGCTTAATCCATTTATTTTGTGATAAATCATATTTCTCTGCAAGATTCATATATCTCCCATTGAATCCTCCAAATACATAGACAGATCCATCTAAATAAACTCCATTGGAACCAACACAAGGAGTGCCGTTAAAAAGAGGTCTTGCAGAAAAATTTTGATTGATTATGTATGTTTCACCTGTGAACCTTCCACTGCTGTTATTTCCGAAGCAGAATATCATATCATTTGGGATTGGGACAATGCAGGCATATCCACTTAAAGCAATAGGTGTATGTCGTTCAAGTAACACAGGATTTTCATATTTTTGAGATGTTTTAAGGTCAACAGTTATCAATCTTGTATTTGGTGAAAAAAGTTTTAAATAGCTTGGGTTAATAGGCAAATTTTTATTTTCATTAGCTTTCGTAATATTTTTAGAGCTCAGCTCACAATTTTCTAATATGTTCCCATAATAATCAATATAACCTTCTAATGCATATCTCTCTTCATTTTCTTTATAAATTGGAACTTTATTTGAACTTTTTTGTAAGCTTGATAAATATATTAATTCAGCTAAGTTGCTTGCACCTTTTTTGGCATTTTTAATTATATCAATACTTTTTTGGATCTCTTGTAATCCATTATTTATCAATGCTTCAGTTTTATCTAAATGCTCCAGATTCCCAATATCAGTCAAAAATGCGATACAATCATTAGTGCTCTTCTGGATTTGCTCAATCAATTTTTGTTCTGCTTGTCTATATCCTTCAGTATGAGTATTGATAAGATTTTGCACAGAGGTTTTCTTTTCATGGCACCATTGCAAACCTTCTTGGAATTGCTGTTGATTGGCTTCCAGCTTTTTAAGGATTTTTGTAGGGTAAACAGCTGCTTCAGGGTCAGCTAAAGGGAAAAAAGCATGCCCTCTATGATTGGTAATGCACTGAATGCATAGCAATAAATTATCAAATTCGCAAAAAGCAATAACTTGCTCCCCATGAGTCACACAAAGAATAGCAGTTTTTTCTTCATGCGCAATTTCTAATAAAGCAAAATTTGTTTTAAGGGCCTTTACATTTAGATCAGTTGGCTGTTGGCAGAATGGACATAATATAGAATTTGCCTTTGTGTATGTTGTGACACATTCTTGGCAGATAGTATGAGCACAATCAAGAAGCTTAGGGGTTTTGTTTTCTGAGTCATAATGTTCAAAGCAAATTCCACAAGAAGGGGCATCTATATTTCTTTGGATTTCTTTTTTGTATCCTTTAGGTTCCATTGAAATATTATAATAAAAGTTAATTACAATTATTTATAAGATTATTTAATAGACTACAAAACATTTATGAAGTTTTGGATTGCTTTTAGCTCATTCTCTAGCAGTAGAGTTTCTGTGTGAAATTTATCAGTTTCATCTTTCCATTTTATACTTAAAGACTCATAATATTTCGTAGCGTCCCATATTCATTGGAGTCCAAGCTTCAAAGATCCTGCTGTTTCTTCATTCTCCTTATGCAAAAATATAGGAAATTCTATTTCTTTGTACTCTTGGTCTCTCAGATTTTCCATTGAAATATGAGTAACACCTATCAGCTCATGACTGCCATCTGGATCATAATGCATTACGGTACAGACCACATCTTGCATCCCATGCTCTATTTCTGTACTAAAGCTTTGACTTCACTCTGGGCTGCTATTATACATCACTTGAGTTGTAACAAAACTATCCATCTCACATTTTAATATAACAAAAGGGTTTGCATAAGGAGTTCTCTTAACTGTTGCACTAATAACAACTATATTAAGTACACTTCCTTTCATAATCCCATATTGGTTAATTTCAATATTTTCTTTAGCTAATCTTATTGGCTCTATTCCTGCGTTAAAAACTTCTTTTTTCTCTTGATATTCTTCCTTTGCTAAGGCGAGCTTGACATTAATGCTTTTGAAATAGCCAATAAAATTCCTTGAAAAATTTTCAAGACTTATATGAATATCCTGAGGATGATTATTGAATGTAAAAATACTTTCAACTGACGAGAGTGATAAGTTGTGTTTTTTGTGAAGAAAATGCCTTGCTTTTTTAAATGAAATAGAGTCTGAGATGTGCTCTTGTAGTTTTTCATATAAAATGTTTATAAGTGCCTCCTCTTCTTCAGTGTTTTGAATTTCCATTTTACTTGAAATTATTACGGTTAATCTAAAGTGCTAAATTTGCCTTAACCTTTTCATGCCTTACCAAGTTGTCTAAAACCAGCCTATAAACTGGTGCACAGTTGTTGATTAGGTTGCTCCCAATAAGCTCTGTGTGGTCCATATCAAATGTTGCTAAATGGTCTCCCCATTCTGCTTCATAGCTAAAGAACACCCCATCACATGTCCTCTTATGGAACGGGACGTAATCTTCTAACTTTTTCCCTAAGTCTGAAAGCGCGAATGTCATTGTTTGAGATGGTCTCCATGAAGAAATGGAATATTGCTTTACATCATCTCTTGGAGGCAATGAAGCATTGAGCCTTCTTATGCTTTTCGTGTCGATTTCATCTAAAGCTCTTTTAGTGATCCCTAGAAATCTCACAACTGGGTCTACACGTCCTTCTTCATATTGAGGCGTGTGAGTCCAATCAGAAAATCTGCTTCCATGATGAGGAGAACTGATTGTGGTGAGATATATAATAATAAATGGCTTCGGATAAAAAGGTTATTCACACAGCGAATTTTTCCCTCGCCCAACTTTTATTATAGGTTAGGTTTTTACACGTGGATTTTTGCACAAGAGCAGAAAATGGAGAGGGTTTTATTCTCCGCTCGCCTTCTGCATGTGTTTTACCTCTTTTCACTGCTGATTAAAATGGCAGGATCCTTAGCTGGAGGAGTAAAGGATAGAGCGAGGCAACGCGCCATACCATTAGTATTTCTCGTACTTCTAGGCTTCACGGGGACTAGAAGAAACGAGCCGGACTGATAAAAAGGTAATTAGACATCTCACCCACAAGAGCAGCTAGAGGCCCAATTAGAAGTTTGCTAAATTAGGTTAATTGACTGATTGTGGTGAGACTCTCAATTTTTGTCCCAAATTTGCACATTGCATGTCTGCAGTCTAGCCCAGCCACTGAAAATGCTACGACGTGAGGTTTTTTAAGGTCTGAGAGCCTTGAATGAATGTATCCTGCCCTCTGGACTAGATTTGTTGTTGCAGGATTGCGAACTGGAAGGAAAATGATTGGCTGATTATCCTGGGCAAAGATATCTTTGATGTGGTCATAAAGGATTGTTCTGTATAAGCTGTGCTGGGATTCCAAGATATTAAATACAAAAACCAAAGGACTTTTTAGCATTTTTATATAAAAATGAAATATTGATCACTTTTTAATATTCTTTAAAACTTTATATTTATTACTTACTCTCCCCTTTAAGAGAGAGCAAAAACTTTGGAAAATGGCATTTTCTAAGACATAAAAAAATAATTTTTTAATAGAAATTTGTAATCAATTACTCACCTATAATGAGATCTCTAGCAATGAGATTAAATAATAGGCAGATTGCATTCTTAAACATAAATTTTATAAATTAAATTGGATTTTTCTTTCAAATATTTGGAAACTCGGATTGTACAAATAAAAATCGCATTGTTTTCTATAAAATTTTAATTAAAAATTTCCGTAATCTTAAAAATGAATTAAGAAATAGCAAATTGAATATCTATTTACTTTTAAAACGAAGTAATAGTTCAATAAAAATTTGTTCATTCTCTTTAATTTGTAGAATTGCATTTAGCTTTAATATAATTAAGCTATTTCAAATTGTTTTTACTGGCAGCTCGCTCATAGAATTTCATAATTTAAATGGCAGACTTAAAAGACAATGTAAAAGTTGCCCTAAGAATAAGGCCGCTTAATAGCAGAGAGCAGCAAGAAAGTGGGAAAAAATGCGTAACTGTCCACGAATTTCAAAATTCTATTTCATTAGAAACTCGCCCAGAGCCGAAAATATTTACCTATGATTATGTAGCTGACGAATACGTAACCCAAGAACAAATTTTTGATGCTGTGGGCAAACCAATTGCTAAATCCAGTCTTTCAGGCTATAATGGAACTATCTTTGCATACGGCCAAACTGGGGCTGGGAAGACTTTCACAATCCAAGGTTTAGGAATTGAAGAATTTTCTTCTGATTTTGAGAAGCATGAAATGTACAATTTTCGAGGTCTTTTGCCAAGATGTTTTGAGTTTATATTCCATGAAGTGAACCAAGAAATGAAGAATTCTAACTGCGAGTATTTAATCAAATGTTCTTATTTAGAAATTTACCAAGAGCAGATTAATGATTTACTTGATCCAAGTTTTGAAAGTTTGCAGATAAGAGAAGACATGAAGCGAGGAGTTTATGTTGAAGGTCTTATTGAAGAAACTGTGATTAATGCTTTTGAAACTTATGAACTTTTAAGAGTCGGAACACAAAACCGCCATGTGGGATCTACATCTATGAATAAAGAAAGCTCAAGGTCTCATTCAGTGTTTACCTTGCTGATTGAAAGCAAGCATAGTGTAGACGGATTAGTCAATTTTCGGTCAAGCAGGTTTCATTTAATAGATCTTGCAGGCAGTGAAAGACAAAAAGCGACAGATGCAGCTGGAGATAGGCTAAAAGAAGCAGGGATGATCAATAAATCTTTGTCAGCTTTAGGCAATGTCATTAATTCGCTTGTTGATATTTCAGAAGGAAAGTCTCGGCATGTCCACTATAGAGATTCTAAACTGACTTTTTTACTAACTCCCCCCCCCCCTCCGTGAGCGAACAAAACCATTAGAAAAATCGCCATTTTTTGACCAAAAACCCACCCTCCGTGAGTGAACAAAAATTTTTTTAATAGAAAAAATTTTAATGGAAAAAAATTTTGATATATAAGTGATAATTAGTATAATGAAATCTAGAGCTAATTCTGTTTAATTTTAAACAAATTGCGTTTTAAAACATAAATTTTGCAAATTAAATTAATATTTGCTTTCCCAATTTTTGCAAATTAGGATTTTTTTAAATTTCGAAAAAAATATTTTTTATAAAATTTATATATAAATTGTTTTTAAAAAAAAAAATTAACCCCCCTCCGTGAGCGAACAAAATTTTTTTGTTCGCTCACGGAGGGGGGGGGGGAGTAAAAGATTCATTAGGCGGGAACTCGAAAACTTATATAGTCGCTAATATCAGCCCTGCGGCCGGAGCTTTTGCAGAAACTTTATCAACTTTAAAATTCGCCCAGAGAGCGAAACAGATAAAAAATACTGCAGTTGTAAATGAAGATACAAGCGGATCACTGGTTTTATTAAGAGAAGAAATAAAGAGACTTAAAGAAGACCTTGTCCAGGCTAAAAATATAGCTGAGCAAGCTGTCATCAACTGCCCAAGATGCGCTAATAAAGACTTTGTGCCAGGTCTAAAAGGTATTACGCCTAATGAAAGAATTTCTCAGCTTGAGCTATTATTGGAGCATAATATCAGATTAAGACAAGAAAGTGTCTCAGAGCTGGAAAAACAAATAAATGAAAAAGATAAACAAATTCAGTCCTTGAATATAGCCATTTCTAAATATGAAAGAAAAATCACCAATGATAAGATGGTGCTGAAATTCAGAGATTCAACGATTTCAAGATTACAAGGGCAGCCAGTTTCAGAAGAAGATTCAGAATTGGAGAACCTTAAAAAAGAAAACGAGATGCTTACCCTCCACTCCGTGAGCAAGCAAAAAATTTTCTTTGCCTATAGAGGATTATTTTTAAAACTTATATAGTATAATTTGTTTTTAGAAGTTTAAAAAAATCTATTCGTAAAGATTGAGCAGTAAAAATTAATTTAATTTGCAAAATTTATGTTTTAAAAATGCAAGCTCTTCAAAATTCAACAGAATTAGCTCAAGATTTCATTATAATAATTATCATTTGTATATCAAATTTTTTCATAAAAAAATTTTGTTTAGAGTGAGGTTTTTGAGTAAAAAATCGTGATTTTTCCAATGATTTTGTTCGCTCAGGGAAGTTAGAGAACAAATTGAGTCAAATCCAATAGCTGCAAGGCTATTTGTGGAAAATGATATATTGCAAAAAGAAAATGATTATCTTAAACAGGAGCTTGCAAATGGTCCTTCCTCAATTGCAATGAGACTTGAAGAAGAAGCGAAATTTACACAAGAATTAAGAGAAGCCTTAAGAGAAAGCACGCTAGAAAAAGAAAATCTTAAAGCTCTAATAGCAGATTTACAGGCAAAAAGTAAAGAAAATCAAGCTCCCCAAATAAAAATCAATGAAAATCAAGGATTTTTACAAATAAAAAACACAGAAGAAGACATCTTCATCTCTTCTCACAAAAAAAGCATTGACGAGGACTTTTTAACAACCCCCCACAAGCGGAGTATAGATGATGAAAAACTATACACTCCTAAACGAAGAAGCATTGACGAAGAAAGACAGGCCTACACAATCAGCCCAAGACTTAACAATGAAGATGAAATCACCAAAGTAAAACTAGAATACGGCGAAAAAATCAGCGAGCTTAATGAGCAGCTTCTTGAAGCAAAATCCGCTAAAAGTAAAGAAATGCTGGAGCTTAAAGATAAAAACATTCTATTAGAAATAAAAATTGCTGAACTGCAAAGAGAGCTCGATACTTTGAAAATAAATTCAAAAGAAAAAGTAGACGAAGACTTAGTTGCTTCAGCTTCTCAAATCGATGAGATTTTGAAGACTGTTAATGAGCAGCAAATGTCATTGCAAGCTGAATATCTGCAAAGAGTTGAAAGTGAAGGGCATCTAAAAGAGGCTAAATTTCATTTTTATTGGAGCACATTCCTCTTTAGAGGTTTCCTCGAGGATTTTTGAACGATTTTTTCCACTGAAACATAATAAATCGAAATTTTAATAATTTTTTCCGAATATGTGTCACATTAGGGAAAAGTTTCAATCAAAAATCCCGAAGAAAATGCTACAGAAGGAAAATGTTCCGATCAAATGACATACCGCTAAAAGAAGAAGTGGAAAAAATAAAAAAAATCAAAGAAGAGCTAGAAAATGAATGTAAAGTCTTGAAAAAGAAAATAGAGAAGGATGAGGTTGAAAGAGAAACAATTGGGACTCTCGTAGAAGAAAGAGAAGGGATAACTATTGAAATAAACAATCTCAAAAGTGAGCTTGGAGAGCTCAGGTCCACAGCTGAAGCCGCACAAAGGTTAGGGATTCTTGAACAAGAGCTCCTATTTGAAAAGGCTAAACGCGAAGAAAAAGAAAACGAGCTAAAAAATGCTTTGCAGGATATTGAAAATTTAGGAGAGTCTTTTGAGTACCTTAAAGCAAATATTGAAGAAAATAAAAAAACTATTGCAAGTAAAGATGCCAAAATAGCAGAGCTTAAGCAAGATATATCAAGACTTGAAGCGTTCAGAGAAAATCAAGACCAGCTTATATCATCATTTAAATCTAATAAAGATCCATCAGAATCAATCAGCGAAATTGAGCCTTTGAAGAACAGAATTTTTGAGCTTGAGCAAGAAAAAGACTCAATTTCTAGGATGTTCACTGAAGCTAGCCTACAAATGCAAGAATTGAAAAATTCTCATATTGAGCTGAAAAAGCAAGAAGATGCCTCAAAACAAGCTATGCACGAGCAGCAGAAATACATTACAACTATGAAAAAAGAAATATCTGGGCTAGAAGAAAAAATTAATGCGAAAAAAGAAAAATTAAAATATTATAAAGAAGAACACAGAAGAGTTACTGAAGAAAATGAAGAATTGGCCCAAGAAAAATCGTTTATGAATAAAGAAAAAATAAACTTTGAAACAAATTATATAAGCTCTAAAGAAGAAAATGATAAACTAAGCCAACAGGTTGTAGAACTAAGTATACAAGTTGTGAAACTCAGAGAAGAAAAAGAATCAAGAGTTAATGATTTAACTAATGAAATCAAGCATTTAGAATCAGAGCTTTTCCAAGAAGAAAAAAATAGAGAAGCTTTATTAGAAAAAATAGAAATTTTAACTGAAGACCTCACAAATGCCCAGGCAAACGCAAATCATTATCAGCAGCTAAGCATCAGCTTGTCCCAAAAAAACGCCGAGTTTACTTCCGAGATCTCCAAACTCCGAGACTCTCCCAAAGAAATTTTAGAATCCCTCGAATACGAACTTCAAGCTGCTCGAGAAGAAATCGCCACGCTAAAAGAAGAAAACCATACAAAAATGGAAATTCTTAAAAGTACCAACAAAAATATCCTATCCACAAGAAATGAAATCAATATGTGGAAAAAGTGCATTGACGAAAAAAACCAAACAATTCAAGATTTAAGGCTAGAAATAAGGCGACGAGAAGAAGGAAACTATAAACAGCTCAATTCTTTCCAAATGAAAGCGTCTGATGTATCATATGACAGTCTCACAGACGAAAATGAAATTAAATACTGGAAGCAAAAGGTGCAAATCAAAGATAAAGAGCTAAAAGAACTGAAGGAAAAAGGGCAGGAATATTATTCACAGGCTGATGAAGCAATGGAAATCCAAAGAAAAGAAATTGAAGTGTTGACAAAAAAATATAATGGAGCCATTTCAGATGTAAAAAAAGCAAAAGAGGATTTAAAGGCAAGCCTGCAAGATAGAGAAACAATGCTGGAAGAAATTAAAAGACTGAGAAGTGAAGAGTATAAAAATTTCAAAGAAAATGAGGAATTAAGAAATTCGCTGTCACAGGCAAGGGAAGAAAAAAATAGGCTTATGAGGGATATAGAAATTTTAAATAAAGAAAATGATAGGCTGCTTGGAAATGGGGAAAGCAGCTTAAGAGGAAAAGGGATTGGAAAAGATGGGATTTCTTTGATAAAAATAAATCAGAGGTTAACAGAAGAGCTGAAACTGAAAGGGGAGCAGGTTGAAAACTTGCAAAAGAAGTTTATGGATTTATCCAAAAAAATATCAGACCCGAATAATCTAAAGACTGGGCAGCAAGAAGAAATCCAGAACTTAACTGAAGGCTTGGCAAGAATTACAGATTTTGTTTTTTCTTTGCCAATTGTAAATTCTAACCCTGAAGAAACTAATATAGTAGAAAGTACTATAAAAGCAATAGCAGGTATCTATGAGGCTTTACAAGAAAAGCAAAGAGAATTAAATCTGTCTCAAAGGGGCATTCGGCACGATGAACATAGTAGGCATGAGCCTTTTGGGACCTCCCAAATAAATAAGCCTGCTTATAAAAGCCCAATAGCCCAATATCATGCATTACTAAATGCGTCTTCAATAAAGCCTGGCGAACTACTATCGCCCTCAGAAATGCCAAAAGTACGGAGCTCCTCAAGGCAGAAATTTAATTTATAATCTAACTTGAATGTAAATCTTCACAAATTTTCTGTTCATTTCCATCATATTTTTCATAAAAATATGCAAGGCAACGCATTAAATACAGCAATTGAGTATTTTTCAGACACCTTAAACAGAAAATCCGTAGCTTTGCAGTCACAAAATTTAAACACTTTTTTGACCTTATTATCCCAGCTTCTCCAACACAATAATCTGAAACTGAGAATTGACTTAAAAGTCTTAGGGAAAAATTGTTTGCATTGCGGGATGTACATCAAGCTAGAAAATTTAAAAAAAGCTGCTAATATCAGTTTAATTGGAAGTTTTTATATTGTGGCAGTTTTTTTCAAAAATTATTAAAATTAATTGCAAAGGATTTGCACTATCCAAACAATTTTTTCCAAATCTTCCATGGCAACTATCACAATATCAAAACATTCCAATCAAAAAGTATCACTCCAAAAAAGCGATCCCATTGCCGTGTAGTCCGCTAGAACATTTCTTTTGTGGAGCTGAGTGCCTCAAAAGGCATGCACTAATGTGCACTAATAATACACTACTGGAGCTAGAATTCGTAAGATGTCCAGGATGCAGAAAGACGATTTCTTATGATATCATAAATGAAGCGTTCCAAGGAAGAATTCAGCAGCTGCAAAATGATGCGTGCGACAGAGCTTTAAACATGCTTCTTGATGATGAAACCAAGGCCAAGATGAAACCAAAATTTACATGCCAAATTTGTTTTGGAGAATATGATATAGAAGAAGGGATCACACTTGACTGCGATCATAGGTTTTGCATTAATTGCATTAAGATGCAGATAGAAATGCTTATAGACTCTGCACAAGTCAGTGATGAAAAATTAAAATGTCCCAATTGTCCTCAACCGATAAGTGTATATGAAATAGAAGAAATTGTGGGGCCAGAACTCTTTGAAAAATATGAGAAATTCAAGCTAAGAGGTCTGAGATTGGATAAAAATGATGAAAATGGTATGATTTTTCATTGCTTAGGTGCTGATTGTGAATATATTTGTATTGTCGAAAAAGGAGAAACAGAGTTCGAGTGTCCTAGATGCAAATTTAAATGCTGTCCTTCATGTAAAGAAGACACTCATAAAGGAAGCACGTGTGAGGAATATAAGCAATGGAAAAAAGAAAACTCGGAAGCTGACAAATTATTTGATGAGTTAATAGAACAAGAAGGAATGCTGAAATGTCCAGAATGCGGAGCTGCAGTGCAAAGAATTTCTGGATGCCAATACATGGTATGCTCTTCACCTCAGTGTCAAGGAAGAACTTATTTCTGCTATGATTGTGGAATTAAGCTAGCTGGAGATCATGCACCTCATGATTGCAAGCCGAGATGGAAAGCTAATCAACAGCCGCAGCAACCAGGGATTTTTGGAGGATTTGGTGGCATGGGATTTGGGAATATGTTTATTCAACCCCAACCTCTAAGGCCAAGAAAAATTCGAAGAAGAGGGAAAAGAAGGTAAAATAATTATATTTATATATTTTTAACAAATTATCTTCCATAGTTAGGCACATATGATAGCACAATACCTAATAGCTTTTAAAGGGCTATAATTTTATAATTAATAATTATTAATACTGTGATTATTCGCTTATATATAAACAATGCTAAAAAGTCTTTTCTTACACCCTTCCTCCATGAATAAATACAGTTATTATATAGTCTTTCTTTATGTGAAGTTATCATCACTTCGAAGGAGCAAAAGTCTTTATATTTTGATAAATAATTAATAATATTTTACCGATTTCTGGTATGAATTATTAATTAATCCTTTGTGAGTGAGCAAAAATTCCTTTGCTTTAATTAAGGGAGTTGCTAAAACTGTAACAGCTATTTTATCGAAAAAAATATTAGAAAAGCGTAACTTTAAATAAGACATAAAAATGGGGAATTTATATAGAACTTGCCCGAGGATGGCGCTATTTGCGCCATCCTCGGGCAAGTTCGATATAAACTACCCGGTCTTATTGCTCTTATTGAAGTTCAAAATTCTTTACTCCTCCCCACTAATAAACGAACAAAACAATTGGAAAACTCTCTATTTTTAGGGGAAAACCCCTTCGTGAGCGAGAAAAAATTGTGTTTTAATATAATTTTTTATATTTTAACATATAAGTGATAATCATTATAATGAAATCTTATGCCTGCATTTTAAAACATAAAATTTTCAAGTTAAATGAATATTTGCTTTAAAATTATTTGAATTGGTAATTTTTAAGTTTTTGAAAAAATTTATTGTGTTTGAGCATAAATTTTAAAAAAAGCATTCATCCATGAACAAATTTTTTTGTTAACTCACGGAGTGGAGTAATTAGCAAATCCGTAAGTTCCAATGATCATATTGGCTACATTTCCCAGCTGCCCAATTTGATATAAAATTATATATCAAATGAAGTGCAATAAGGTACCTTGGATATACATTAGATTTTCTTTAATATTTTTAACATGTAAAATCTCTTAAGCACTTTATTAAATACTTTTGCTTCTAAATTCCTCTAGAAATTTTACATAAAAACGATTTCAAAACATTAAGCTTATCTTTCTTTCGAAATTCTCCCTATTAACCTCTATTTAATAATATTAATACCATAAGAGAGCTTCAAGATCTAATATAATTGTATATGAAAAATAAATTCTAAGCTTATTTAAATAAAATGTCAGAACCATTAGTTGAATCAATTTCTCGCGCACGAGTTGTTGAGTGCTCCCACGTGATAAATGACCAAATTCCTTTATGGCCAAGAAACCCATCAATGGTCCGCTGTCCATTTAACACTTATGAGAGAAGTGGCTTTTCTAATGAAATCTACACCTTGGCAGGTGGAACAGGTACGCATATCGATTCCCCAGCCCATTTCTTTGAGGGCAAGAAAACGATTTCTGATCTTCAGCCAAAAGAACTTGTTTCAAAAGGAGTTCTGATAGACGTAAAAGAAAAGTGCGACGAGGACAATGATTACGAATTAACAGTTACAGACATAGTTGAATGGGAAAATAAGCATGGAAGAATCCCTGATAGGTCAATTGTTTGCATGAGAACTGGATGGGGAGCTAAATTTGGTCACCCAGAAGAGTATAAAAATCATGATGAGTCTGCAAAACACCCTTATTATCCTGGAGGAGTTATGAGATTCCCTGGGTTTTCAAAAGAAGCAGCTGAGTTTTTGTGCAGTCAAAGAAACATTAATGCGATTGGAATTGATACACTTTCTTTAGATCCTGGAAAATTGACCGATTTTGCTGTTCATAATGCAATCCTGGGGAGTGAGAAGTATCAGATAGAAAACCTGTACTTGGAAGATCTTCCAGAGAGCGGGTTTACAATGATCGCTTTGCCTCTTTTAATTGATCATGCTCCTGAATTGGCTGCAAGGGTTATCGCCATATTGGATTACAATTAAAGTACAGTTAATTCAAATTTATTAGGTCTATTTTTTAAATTTTCGCTTCTGGTATTATTTCTACATGCAGAAAAGATTTTTCGATTATCTTAAATATTTATAAAATTTATCTCCAAAAAGTTATTTTTATTAAATATGCCAAATAAAGGAAATAGAGAAAACAATTTGGAAAGGAAAATTAGTATTGCCAGAAAGATCATATTCAAGCAAACACAAATTGATATGATTTTATCTAAAAAAATTTTTGAGACCACGTCTAACTCAAATAATCTTGAAAAAGAAAGTTATCTTAATAAATTGATTTCAAAGGACCTTCAAATCTCAAAGATCACCTTACAGAGGATTTGAAAAAAATTATATGCAACATAGTTTTATATTAAAAACAGCAAATCTAATAAATTTGGCATCAAGCTTCTCAATTAATCTGAGTTCGATTTTCAAACAAAGATTTAAACAAAATAAAATTCCCTCAAGTAGAGTTGTCATATGGATTGTTTATTAGCACGAATTTCGAGTCAATTAATCTTTATGGAGTCAATTTCTGTATGGTTAATATTATCCTTCAAATTTTAGGAGATGCAATATGATCGAAATAGAATTTGGAAAAAGATCCTGAGGACTGGGTTTGGTGGAAGATTGTTTATAATTACATACAGTAGGCATAAATCTTTTATATTATAGCTCATATCTCTATATAGATTTCTCTACCTAGCAAGCTAAATAGACGAAATACCTTAATTGATTTTATCGAATGGATGAGCTGGATCTCTATGGCATCAAGGATTTTATTTATGACATGCCGGAAGTGTAGACCAAACTGGAAAGTAAGCATGCCTATTATTAAAATTAAATTTTAAATTAGGACACCCTTCGAATATAGCATTAATAAGTATCTTACTTAATTTTTGTTGTTTTGTAGAATTTAGGTTTTACCCAAGTAAAGTTTTTATAATCATTATAAAATGGTATCCTTTTTTAGGCCTCTAAGAATTTATTCATATAAAAATAACTTATTAAAAACCAGAAACTTGTTGGTCAATTGCGTTTTAGAGGAAGGATAGAATTTTATAAAAGCATAGCCGATTTGATAATGAAAATTGGAACTTTTATTTGTAAAGCCTATATTGAAAGAAATTACAAAGATTAAGTATACTTAGCAATTAAAAATTTTATAAAAACAGTCCCAATTTGATAATGAAGGTTGAACTTTTATTTGAAGGAAATCATTGTGTACAATATTCTCAAAGGCTCATATGCAGAGTGTTTGGCAAAGAATAAATATGGCTTAATAGCAATAAATTATCATTGAGGCTCTTCTCAAGCATTAGTAAATATTTCTTATAATTAAATATCAAAAAACTTGTAAGTAATGTGTTTTTTAGAGGAAAGATAGAATTTTAAAACAACAATGGCAATTTTTTATGAAGATTGGGAAACTTATTTTAAAGTCTGTAATCAACGAATTTTTCACCATGTTTTAGTAATAGAGTCAAAATATATTAAGGTTTTGTAGTAAGAGCTTCAAACATAATGAATTTTCTTTAATGCAGACTTTGCAAATAAAGATTTCAAATCTTCATCAACTATTGGCTTTTTTTAAAAATTCTATCCTTTTGTTAAGCGCATATCGACTAACAAGTTTTTGATTTTTTAATAGTATAAGCTATATTTAATCTTTGCTAAGCACTCCTCATATGAACCTTTTAAGACGTTCTTAATTTACAAATTAATTTTAATAGCAAGACCATTTTAAAAATTTTCGAGTTTGCTTGTCACTTGGTCCACACCCGTCAACCGCTTTTTGAAACATCACTTCCAACCCTTCACATCATAGAGATTTAGCTCGCCCTCTTGATCGAATCCGTCAAGCTTCTTCGTCTATTTAATTTATAAATTGAGAAATCTATATAGGATTATGGGCTATAGTTGCTTAGATGGCATTGTGGAATCAATCAATTTTGCTCCAAAGGCGATTTTATTATTACTAAGAGTCAAAGCGATACATACAACCCACAAAAAGTTTAAGATAATGGCATTGCTAACTCCTCCCTCCCCGTGAGCGAACAAAACTATTAGAAAAATCTCTATTTTTTCCCAAAAACCCACCCTCGTGAGCAAACAAAAATGTTTTTAATAGAAAATGTTTTATGGAAAAAAATTTTGATATAGAAGTGATAATTAATATAATGAAATCTCTTGCTAATACTGCTTAATTTTAAACAAATTGCATTTAAAACATAAATTTTACAAATTAAATTAATTTTAAACCATTTTTTACAAATTGCAAATTTTTTAAATTTAGAAAAACAAAATTTCTATAAAAAAATATATATAAATTTTTTTAAAAATAAAAATTAGCCCCCTCCGTGAGCGAGCAAGATTTTTTTGTTCGCTCACAGAGGGGTAAGCAAGCATTATATTGTACTTTCATAACATTTTTACATTTATTAAATATTCTAGCTTATAATCGATTTTGCTATTTATTTAATTAATTCTTAAAATGTCAGAGCAGCAACTCTTTATATCAGCAGTTTACAAAGGAGATGTTTCTGATGTCTACAGGATTCTTCGTCGCACATCGATTGAACCCTTCAGCTGTAAAGACGTTAAAGGCTATACTGCACTTCACATTGGCAGCTTAAATGGAAATTTAGGACTTGTCGAGTTTTTGATTGACTATGTAATTTTTATTAAGATACGACAAACATATAGAGAAAATCAACTAAAAATTCTGACTCAATGATCAAACATCCCTACAGAAGAAGGGTTTATTGCCTTGCACTTAGCGAGCTTCAAAGGTCACCATGTAAATCCTACTTACCCCCCTCCGTGAACTAATAAAATTATTTATTGCTCATCTAAGGATTAAATTTTGTTTTAAAAAATTTACATATAAATTTTATAGTAATTTTTTTTTTTCAAAAAATCCCACTTCGTAAAAATTGAAAGCAAATATTTATTTAATTTTTAAAATTATTGCCTTAAAATGCAAGCTGTTTTAAATTAAACAGAATTAGCTACAAATTTCATTATAATAATTATCACTTATATATCCAATTTTTTCATATAAACCTTTTAAAAAAAAATTTTTTTGTTCACTAACGGAGGGTGGGGTTTTTGGGTAAAAAAGAGAGATTTTTCCAATGTTTTAGTGCTCATGGAGGGGGGAGTTAGAAAATATGTGAAAAATTAGTTGAAATTGGCTCGGATATACACAAAGTAAATAACCAAGGACTTGGGATGATTCATGTTGCTGCCCAAGGAGACCAACCCTTAATTTTGGCTTATTTTAAAGAACGAGGACTAGATATTGAAAAAAGGGACGAAAAAGGAGGAACTGCCCTTCATTGGTCTTCATATATGGGCTGCGAAATGGCTTCAGGTGTTCTCTTAGCTTGGAACGCTAAAAATAACATCCAAGACGAAGATGGAAACACCCCTTTGCACCTTGCAACAATCGCAGGAAATTCCAGAATTGTCAGAAATCTCCTTTTAAAAGGGGCAAAAAGGAACATAAAAGACGGAAAAGGAAGGCTTGCAATTGATGTTGCCATAGAAAATCATCATGAATCTCTGATGGCCATGCTTAAAGAGCCTAATTGACTATCAGAATGCGGAATGAAGCCTCCATTGCGTCCTCCACAAACGTCTTATGTCTCTTTGATATCGTTTATATTATTTTTTGGAGGAGGGACTTATACTACAATTCTTTTTACTTCTCAATATATCAGGTAAAAATAAATTTGTCCTATAATGCAAATTAAAATAATTTTTTTATATATAAAAATACTGTAATTTGCATAGCAGGGATAAATTCATATCTACCCCAATATATCCCGGATATCCCACGAATTATATATGCAACTCTTGTTATCATAACTTTTGCAGTTTTTGTTATCGTATGCTCCAGAGACCCAGGATATTTAAAACCAGAGCCTGGAATGACTATGCTTAAATTATATGAAACATATGAGCCTCATTTAGTATGCTCTGATTGCATGATATACAGACCTGCAAGATCAAGACATTGCCAAGTTTGCTATAAATGTGTATCAAAATTCGATCATCATTGCCCTTGGATTAATAACTGTGTAGGAGCTCGTAATAATTAAATCTGATGTCTCGGCCCGGACTTCTGGCCATGAAGCCTAGAGCACATATTTTAATTATATCCGACAAGGTTTTGCCAACCCAGAAATGGACAGCAATATTAGATACGCAACACCAGCAGCATGCGGAGCCTGATTCAAGTCACTTTTCAGGATTGTATTTTACCTCATTTAGAAGAAAAGGCTTAGAGTTGAAAAGGGGAAGCTTAGCAGCGTCTTTTGACTATTTGGATACCCCCTAGCATAATACCAAGAATTAAACCTTGAGCTCTGAGCTGGGATCTTTTGCCGACAGTAGGCCAGAAATTCCAATATTTTTGATTTTTTTGTGCAGACAGCCTACATCGAAGCCTGAGAGCTGAAAAGACAGTCGTCGAAATCCAGACTCCCGAAGCCTAGGGGCCATGCAATCTTGATACTGATGTGGTGCATGACACACTCGGAGGAGCGGGATCCCCGAAACAGGGATGGAAGACCGTGTAGGTAATGCGATAGTGAACTCTAAATGGATGCTTAATACCCTTAAGTTTAAGTTTAAGATAACTCTTCAAGTCCCGCACTTCTTGACTACATCTTGGACCATAACTCTGAATAAACTGTAGGTAGGTCGGCATTGCCTTCGACCTGTTCTGTCCCCACGCCCCTTAGGACATCTCTGATCTACACCAGACTCAGTGTAGATCCATTCTCTTGAGCCAAGACTCTCACGAAATTGTGGACTTACCAAACTGAGCTCGGATGTAGGGCCTGAGTCCTACCCTCAACTTACATTTTTAATTATGTAATATCTTTAAATTAATAATGTGTGGGAGCTCGCAATTTAGGATGGTTTTTTGTTTTTATTAATCTGATTTGGCTTACCTTGGCCTCAACTGTAGTTATTAATATAGTAGCTTTAGCAAGTCAAGAAATTGACTTAGAGCTCGTAGACATCCCTTATTTATTTTTCAAAATACTGGCTGGGCTCTTATGTGTATTTGGATTTGTGTGTATTCTCCCTGTTAGTTTCTTAGTAACAGTTCACTATCAGAACTTCTGTAAAAACATGACCACAAATGAGAGGTTTTCCAAGTCAAAAGTCTCTGAAGACGACGATATTAAACAATTAGCTGCTTCTTTTGTGAACCCTAATCAGTCCAAGCTAAAAAATTTTGCTGATATGTGCTGCAATAGTTCCCTACCTAGAAGAACTTCAGGTGAGCGCCGCAAAAAAGAAATCAGTGAAGTCAGCTTTGTTGAAATCGTGAAAGGCTACAACGACCAATATGGCGATTCCTCAAAAGTTCCACTAATTGAATAATTTTAATTTGTATTTTTCATTTGCCTTCATAAATGGCTCGCACTTATTGACAATCTCAACAGCAATTTATCAAAAATTTTTGACAAACATAGAATATCCATTTAAAAAATTGACGGATTTCCTAGTCAAAACAAAACCATTCACCTTCATAAATAGATTTTCATAAATGTCTAGCTGAAACAAAGAAAAATATTGGATAATAATCCATTAAAATGGTATCCTTATTATCAACTCCCACTCTCTTATGGGCATCTGGAGTCTACTTGCTCTGGGCAAATAAGAAGAATCCTGAATGTTTTATTTATCGTGATGACATAGGCCAGAGACAAGGTATTAAAGGTTACGAAGAACAGGCCATGATTAACAAATTCCACTGGCCTCACGAGCGCTATTTTGGCTCCTACAGTGCCTTGGTGCTGCGACGTGGCTTCAAAGTTTTTACTCGTTCTTGCAACACCTGCCACGCAATGACGCAGAACAAGTATGATTTCTTGATCAAAAAAGCTTTTAGACAAGGAGAACTAGGCGAGATCGTCAAAGAACTGGCTCCTGTAAACCCAGGACACTGGTACATCAAAGGGTGGTTCAGACATGAGTGGATGGACAGACCAAAGAGAATTTCAGATTACATGTTCTCTCCTTACATTTCCCCAGATCACGCTAGAAGTGCGAATGGAGGCCTGTTCCCAAGCGATTTAAGCAGAATTGGAATTTCCAAGCCAGGCGGCCCAGCTTATGTATACAATATCATGACTGGCTACCATTATGAGCCACCATTCGGAATTGACGTGCCTGAAGGGAAACACTTTAACCCTTATTTCAAACATATGATTATTGGAATGCCAAGACCTTTATACGATGGTATGATGGAATATGACGACGGAACCCCAGCTTCCACCCCACAAATGGCGTATGATGTTGCAGAATTTTGCCACTTTATGGCTGCAAAGGACAATTTGGAGTATAGGATTGCTTGGCTGAAGTTCCTTATGATGATAGTGATTTCGTTCCCATTCTGCTATTTCAGATTCAAAATTGCAAAAACTGCAATGCTCAGTATGAGAGTAGAACTGTATAACGTATCTGATGGATATCGCAAATATAAGTACTTCAACAGATTCTATAAGCTGAAGAGATCATTTGGCTGGATGAGACAGCATCCTTCAAACTTCTTCATAGGCAAGTAATTTAAGCCTTTTAGGATAAGTCTTAATTTCATATAAAAATGTTTTCATATAGGCATTGCATTAATCCAGAGCTAGTTGGAAAAATTCCAACATTGAGCTCCGTTCAAAGTATTGAAGAAAATCTGCCGAGCAAGTTGGAAGCAATAAGTTCAAAAGCAAAATTAAAGTACAATAAACTTGAGGTAAAAAATGTGGAACAGCCAAAGGGGTTTAACAGAGAGTTGTTTATACCAAAATTGCCATTGCTTTCTTTGAGAACTAAGAGAATCAAGAGAAATGAGAAAAAGGTGAAAAAGCTGGTGAAAGAGACGAAAAGGTCAAAATCACTATTGAGATCTCACCATTATATGAAGAATAAACCAAAAGCTTTAGAGGTGACTTCTACTGATATTTATAATTGAAAGCAGCTATCAGATGAATTGAGGTTTGAGGAGCTAGAAATAAGGCAGAATAAACTTACAAAACCGTCAAGGTTGAATAAAAGCTGCCTTGAGCATAACGAAATCTTATATAAAAAGCCCTTAAAGTCTCCTTTAGGAACCACTGTATATGAAAAAACTAGATCACCAATTATCTCTCCAAAAAGATCACCAAGACCTGCTGCAAATGAGTATCCTGCTCAATTAAGAAGTCTAGATATCTCAGATGAGAATATTGATACGCTAAAAGAAAAAGAAAGCACTAAAAACACAGAATTTTCTGTTAAAGGATCTCAAGCATTTCAAAGTATTAATAGTCCAAGATACAATAAGTCTTGAAATGATTTAACTGCAGTCCAAATTAATTTTCAGAATTTCGTGATGAAAAGCTATAATAAGGTGTTCTCAGCTATTGATACAAATTCAAATGGATTTTTTACATATAGTGATGTTTGCAAATTTGTAGACAGCAAAATAAATGAAAATAATCAAAAAATTTGTGAAAGCTTTTGAGGTGCGATCTGCATTGTTTGCAATAAGCCAAGGATCGCAAAATCAGATTTTTTATCAATATGCTCTGTTATAGAGCATAACAAAGAAGATGATTTCGACTACTTTAATAATTTAGACGAAAAAAGATTTTTGCAACTGAGAAAGCAGCTTATTGAGCTAAAAGAGCTTTTTTCTTGCTATTCACTTGGGCACAAAATTGAGAGTCAAGTATTGAGAAAAATCATTGAAAACTTGCAGAACAATGAGCATCTGCTCAAAATGGAACCTATTATAGCCTCTCAGACTATTGATTTTTCAAGGTTTCTTAGATATTTGCCTTTCTTTATTCATCTTCATAAGGAGATTACAAATGTTCTTAATTCAAATTAAAAATTGCATGCGATTTTATGGCTAATTTAAGTGTTGTTTAACTTAATGCTCCAATCAAAAGATACGCTCCAAAAATCTTGTTTTTGTATAGGCAAAAATTCACTTTTAGGGGCTTCCCGGAAATACTGCAAAAAATAAAGAATGTGATGTCTCCATAATGGCTTCAGTTTTGGTCTCTTGATAGGCTTGGTAGGATGTATTGACCTGATAGGAGTTCTTGTTGGCTCCATTTATTAAAAATAATTTGATCAAGTTAAATTTTTATCATAAATTATCCATGATTCCGTAATATTATTGCATAAAAATAACTAAAATAATTATTATATGATAGCTATTTATTTAATTTTTATATAAAATACAGCTAAATTAAGTTTTATCATTTTTTGGCTGGCTTTCTTCAATTTCACTTGTGCCATTTTCATTCTGATTTTTGCTGTCCTTTCCTAAAGCTTCTTCTTCCGAGTACTCATCTTGATCCCCATACAAATCCAGCAGCTTCTTCTTTTTCTTCGTAATTCTCTTTTTGCTTTCTTCTTTATACCACTTATAAGCCAGCTCACTCTGTGAAGGATTTGCCAAGGGATGCAAATCATGTCCTCTTTCATACAATTTTTGTACATATTCTTCTTGCTCAATCATCGGCACCATATCTCCTGAAATTTTCATCCAAGAGTCTCTGTACATTTGGTCTTCCTCTGAGTCATTGCCTTTTCCTACTTCAAGTTCATTCATTGACCTTGATTTTCCATCATAATTTGCATTAGTATGGTCTAAATTCCACAAATAGCAGGCAGTGTCATCTCTCACACGATTATTGCTAGTTATGGTTTTGGTTCTTGGGTCAACATTATTTACCATTTCACTATAAGCGTAGGTTTGGTTTTTGGCTTCATCATTGATTTCTGCTGATTCAGGATCATTTATTGGCTCTTCAGTATTTTCGATTTTTCGTTTTTTCTTTTCCGTTTCTATTTGTTCATACTCTTCTATGACCTTTTTATACATGTCTGGCTGGTAGCCGTTCCATCTGTCACGTTTACCGTCATAATCGAGATCAATTTTTTGAATGTTTTCTTCAGGTCTAAAGTCTCTGTTTGAATATTTTGCCCCGACTTTTCGAGGCCTTTCCACACAGTCTTTGGCACTGTGAGAAGGGGCTCCACAATTGGCACATGCACCTTTTTGGAATTTTTTGGAAATATTAGATGTTGTACCTTTTGAGTATCAAGTGTCAATGGTAGATTTTAGTTTGGATTTTTGGGATTTTTGATGGTTTAGAGAGCCTGATTCACCTTTTATATATCATGGAGCTTGGGCGATGAATGAAGGCATATTAGGATTGATTCCATCTGATTCTTGATTATCCATTTATTAGTTTATTTAAATAATAATTAGAAGCTAATTATCAATTCCAAAAATACAGCCAAATGAAAAATAAATGATCTATTTTCATAAATTCCTCTATTAAATAAAATTTAAAGATCTTCATTACCTATTTCTTTTTTCGCTTTTTTTCTTTGTTTTGGCTTTTGCTCCATCGTTTTGCAATACACATCAGGAAAATATAGCTTATCTCTTTCTTCTCCCATAAATTTATTCCTCAACACATTTTCAAGAAAATCAATTGCATCTTCACTATTAAATTCTCCATAAAGTCTCGCAATCTTTTTCTTTGCTGGTAAAAATGCTCCTAGTCCAGGCAAATTATTTTCATGAATATCAAAAATTTCTCTGAGCCCAGGATAGCAGGCTCCATCTACTCATCCAAAATGATAAGGGAGATTTCTATTTTCCATTAGTGCGCTTGCTTTTTTGAGCACAGAAAGCTCATTTGGGAAATCTTCCTAAATATTATTTACAGCATTTCCATTAAAAAACCCTATAACGCAGACTCCACCAATGCATTCATCTCTTCACCTATTTTTGTCCCATGATTTTACATCATTTTCAGTTTTGACTTTTTTCTTATCTTCTCTATAAAACATAGGCAGGGACATTTGGTCAACAAAATAAAACATGATTTTATAGTCATTTACTTCTCCTGAATACTCAATAATTTTTAATTCCCCAGTTTCATTAGCTCTAATAATACTGATCATAGTCGGTATTTTTTTAGGGTTAAAAATATCAGACAATTGTTGTCTTCCGGATTTAAATATAGAAAATCTTACTAAATGGTTAAAAGCAGGATCAGCTGCAAGTGCTTTGTAATGGATAGGGGCTTGGCCTTCAGTGAGAAAAATTAGTCCCATTCTTTTGTCACGTCCTGGCTTATATATAAAATCGTGAAGCTTGTAGTCAGATAATTGAGTCATTTCAAATTTTAAGTGTTTGGCAATTTCAATTTCAATGCTTGGGAAATCAGTTAAGTATAGAGGATAGCCATTAGGATTGTCTGGAGGGTATAAATAAAGAGAAGGAAATGATTTCACGTGTTCGTCAAGAGCGATTTCATATTCTGAAGCATCAGTGCAATTTAATAAAATAAAAGTGACTACACCAGCGTATTCCTTTAATAGCCTATCTCAGTCACTTATCATCTTTTCTTTATAAAACTGCACAAAATTTACTTTTTCTTTGTCAAGCCTTGTATAAAAATTATCTGCAGTTAGTCTTATAGGAATAAAATCAGGAATCCTCAGCTTGGGAATTGTTTTTTCAGCCTGCATAACTAATTTTTCAACTTGCTTTGACTGAACTGCATAGTTTTTAAGAAATTCAGCTATATCGTCATACGCAATTTTCCCAGTATATTTAATAATATCTTTATTTGTCTTAACAACGACAGCAGGGAAATTATAAATTTGGTACCTTCTAGAATATTCAGTAAGATTTGCCAAGGAAACATAAAAGTTCAGCCTTCCTCTATAAAGTGAAGACAACCCTTGGTACATTAATGGGACAAAATTTTTTTTTGTAAATAAAATAACAGAATTTATATCAGGGTCATATAGATATTCTTCTGTCTCTCTATTGAGAAAAAGGCCTAGATATGGAATATTTTCAAGTAAATAGTCGGTAATATTTTGTAATGCTCCTGGGCCAGAGTATTTTTTTAGCTCCACAATTGGTTTTCCAGAATAGGGGTTGTATCCGCTTGGCACATGAATTTCGAACATCGGAAGCATTGATTTGGTCTCTTGAGGGCACAGGACTTCATCTTCTGTACAATCATAGTTAAATTAGTAAATTGTTGTAGGTTGCGGAGGATTAGACCTTGGAGAAGACTGCTGTTGATCGGCTCAGGCAGCTGATGCTACCCCTGGCAAGCAAGGATCCAGTGGTCGAAATCGTGCGGAGGCATCAAATCTGAAAGACCTTAAGCCATTAATTTAATTTAAACAGCTTCCCTAAGGTATCGGAGTCACACATAATGCCCGTTTCCTATCAACATCACAAAAAAATGGTATAGGGTTTTACCCTGTGTAGCCCTATATCGTCACCAGTCTCTCGTGGAGACTTACCCGGCCTTGCTTGGGTCTTGACTCCACGGCTAAGGACTCTTTAAACTCCTGGTAGTACTCAGAGTATGAGTTTACCACCAAAGTCTCCTTTGAAACTACTTTAACCTGGAAATATTGCCACCTGAAGTATGAGCTGGCACTGCGCCTCGGCTTGCCATCTGTGAGCTTAGAAAAAATGCCTGTCATAGGGTCTTGAGTAGACAAAGACCCACCTGACTTCCTAAAACCATGGGATCCACTTACCTAGGGCGGATCAACTCATCGGACACCCTGGACTTATACTCAGCTTGCCATCTCTTAGAATGCACACAATCATAAGCTAAAAGTTGTATGTAATTGTGATACGAATCTAAAATTGAATCAATAATTTCAGCAAACGCTTGAGACCTTTCACCTTCTCTTTCATAGATCACAATACCTGTTAAATAGTCAGGGTCCTTTATATGTTTCGTTATTTCAGACTTGCTTATAGTTTTGATATAGGAGCTGTCTGTAAAAAATGCTGCACAAGCTACGGCGAAAAGAAGTATTAGTGCCATATTTTACTTAATTTAACATTTCTATTGTTTTTCCTTTTCTCAGCTGAATGATTTCTTCGAGGAAATTCGAGTCCCGCCCACCTCTTAGAGGTTTTATCGAAAGAGGGTTGAATTTGTCTAAGTAGCTGTCTTTCTTGATTGTGCTTCAATCTCTATCTTTTTTATCTATATCTACTGTCCAGTTATATCGCCCATCAAGAGTTGATCTGGACCTGACTCTGCTTTGAGAAGATCTTATTTGTCTTTTCAAAATTTCTATCTTCCGCTGGACTTGGTTTGCTTCTCTAACGATCTTTCTGTTTTTCCTCTGGAGGTTATCCAAGTCAATTTTAACTGATGCTGCTTTGGGCGGAGACAGCGATGTATTTTCTACCATAGTCTGCCTAGTCTCTCTGAACGATTTCACCATCCAGCTCTGAAAAATCGGTCTTGGTGCTTCACTCAAATGCAGTTTATTATGCAAATTAAGTGCACTAAACCAAGCCGCTTCTTGAATATTCGAATATACAGCTTTAATAAATCTCAAATACTCCCCAATCAGCACACTTTTCGTCATAGTGTCTAAAAACTCGAAAAACGAGTCATAAAATTCACAAAAAGTCAGTCCAAAATTTCCATTAAAATCAATTTCTGCGTCATTAATTGCATATTCCTTAGCGTATGCTGTATTATTTGGGTCCAAAATATCTTTATATATATTCTCAAACACCTTTATATAAACTGGCTTAGAAATTGACCTTAGCTGTGATGGGTTAATTAGCCTCCAAAAGCTAAATGCGCTCTGTAGCAGTTTTTCGCTCCTTTTATTTTGCATTCTTTTATTGAACTGGAATAAGGAATATATGTCAGTTGTATCAGAGCCTGCTCTTTGAACGGTGAATTTTTCTTTTTGGTTTAATAGTGAAACTGTATCTGAGTTTAACTGGGCTGATGGGATTTTTGTGGATTTTCACTTGTGGGAGGATCTTAGAGGGGAGTAGTCTCTTGATAAGATCTCGATTTCGGTTTGGTAATTCTGCTGAAAGCTGTTTTCCATATGAGAAACTTGTTAATATTATGTGTGAAAGAGGAATTAGCTATTAAAATTAGAATGATTTTTAGATTAAGCTGTCAATTTGGGACTGTATGATTTCTAAGTTCATGAAGAATTCGTGCAATTGATCTCGAGTGTAAGAGAAAGAGCAATTACTTTCGTCTGAAAGCTTGATTTTTAGCTCAGCTTCAGGCAGATTTGAGATTTCGTAGTTATTGCTGAGAGGAAGGCTAAGTTTCCAGTCAAAGGAGTCAAGAATTACTGGGACACTTGCTGAAAGAGTTTCTGTGATTGCGGAAAAAGGGTGGCCTTCTGGATTATCTCTTGTATGGTCTGCAATGTGATGTCGGCAAATACTAGTTTCAGGCTCTGTGCATTGACACACAAAATCAGGCTTATTTTCACATTCAGGCTCAATGCACCTAGAAGTCTCCATTTTATTTTAAAGCAACTTCTCTTGAATAGTGACTCTTTTGAGTTGCAAAAATTAATTTTTGCTATTTTAGTGCCCAAATAAATTTGGAATAAGCAAGTTACCTTGAATTTTAAAAGGAAATGTTCCTCAAAACTTATAAAGAGTCTGGCTAAAATTTAAGAAATTTTTGAGATCCTAAGTAAGTATTAAATTAAAATTGCAATGTTGAAACCTTTCTTATCATGATTTTTCTTTAATTTTTAAAGCACAGCTTGCTTAAAAATTAGATTCTATTGATATCTGAATTAAGCTAATATAATGATTAATAATGCTCAAATGTTGCATATAATAATTTAACGCGTTGAGTTATCAACTTGTCTGATATCCTTAAAAATTATAGCAAAAGATCATAATGTTTTATTTTATCGATTACTGGAATATTAACTTAACTTAAAAAAATGTTTTTTGCTCATCCGTTAATTAAGTAGCATTAAAAAATTTCATACTCGCCAATATCAAGGTTGAAGACATCAAGGAGTCAGCTGAAAAACTCAAACCTGCTGACTCGAATTTCAAATAATCAAGATAAAATGATAAATTTACTCCTCAGAGATGGCCAAATATTAACAAACAATCATCGTCGCCCATCTTCAAGACAAAGCTTATTCCTATCCGCGTAGCGAGCAAAATTATTGAAAAAGCCCTATTTTTTGAGAGAAAACCGCAAAAATTTTTAATATAAAATTTAATATTTTAACAAGAATAAAATAGTATTGAATAATGAAAAAGCTAAATAGGATTGGATAAAAATTTCTGCCATTATATTCGATCTAAATCCTAATAATCTATCAAAAATAAAGCAGCCAGTAAACTGCATCACATGGGGGAAAAAAAATTTGTTATCTGCCAATTTAAATTTTTTACTTTTTTAAATTTCATTAGAAACTCCACTTTGTTTTCATCTCACAAGTAGCAATCATTCAGAAGATTAAGTTCATCCTTATCAATTCATCCGCAATCCTTGCATGCACTGCTTTTACCTAAATGCCTTAGATTTTATCCTGGGGTCGTTATATTGAACTCAAAAATTATATATAAAATTTTCTAAAAAGCCCTATTAGAGAGTAAAATTTTTGTCAGCTCACAAGAGGAGGTAGTGCCTCCTCCTATGAATAATTTCCCAAATTCTGAAAATTCAAGACTTGGCGATGATCTTCCTTCGTTTTCTGTCGGAATTCGATACGTAAAAAGAAAAATAAAAAGCGACTGCCCAAGTGATATTTTGACAAACTCAAATCGTGATGATAAATTTGAAGAGAATAATGCGGCTGATTTTCAAAACCCAACTGTTATATGCTGGTCCAGAAATAACTCAATTTCAATAAATCCGCAAGAATGCAGCAAGTCACCAACTGAAGAAATCCGATTGATGCCATTTAAAAGGCAAAAAATATCTTTTCTAAAAAAGCTGAGGAATAAAAACAAGCTGTATTTGCATGATGAATACAGATCAAAAACTCCAAGTCATAAAAGATCAAGGTATATTAATAGTGATGTTGAGAATATTAGGCTAAAAACTCCTGAATTTTTTAAAAAAGCACTCGCTAAGATATCGCCAAATACAAAGTATCAAGATTCAAAATGAGTTTTGGATGCAAAAGGTAGTAACAAGAAAAAATCTATTTGCAGTGCCAAGTTTATGAGCTTGTTTTAATGTGACGATTCTGATTGGGTCTACTATCTCTCCCATTTATGAGCGAGTAAAACTATTGGAAAATCCCTATTTTAGGCTGAAAATCTAACTTCTGTTTGTTAGTAAAATTTTTTTAATATAAAAATATTTTTATGTATAAATGTCAATTATTTTAAATAAATCTCTTGTTAGCACTATTGAGCTTCTATATATTATAAAGAAAATGATATTTTACTAATTTTTTGAGAAAAATTTCTTGCTCGGTCATGAAGGGGGAGTAAAGATAAGGTACTCCCCACTATAATGATTGCTTTGCTAAGCTTTCTCAATAAGAGCTGAAATAAAGCAATTCTATATTATAGAGAATTATAGATATGGCAATTTTTAATTTGATAGAAAAGCTAGCATAGCTAGTAAAAGCATGACAAAATAGCTGCTTTAATAAATTCTATAGTAGACAAAATTTTGCAAGCCAAGTACTAATAAAATAAATTATCTTTTTAGATAAAAATTTTATAAGATTTGGTTTATTATAAGATAATAAGATTTTAATATCAAATTCAGCATATTTTGTTGTTAAATTATTAGCTTATAAAATTTAAAACAATTATGATAGTTAAATTGGAATCCTGTCGGACAAGTTTGCATCTGTCAAGTCCTTCAGCTAGCGGGTCACCTTGACTTGCAACCTCAGTAGCCAAGCATAAGTCTCCCCCCGGCCCATCACATGTGGGATCAAAAACCTCTTACGAGGAAAACCCATCATCAAAGGTCATCTCCGGATTTAGGCTAAATACAATAGCTTCTTCTCCGCGCAAAGGGATAATTAAAATGATTGGGAACCTTACCAAGAAGTTCACCCTCACCGTCAGCCTAATCTCCTTACTGGTCTTGAGTCCGTTATACCTGTATTGGGAGGCTAGGAGCTCTCCAGAACGAATTCCTGGATCAACTTCAGCAATTGTCACCAACTCGGTAGCCCTTCTTGGAAAATGGCTACCAGGCACATCTTTTAGACTTCCCATTTTAATTTCACTAAGGAATTAAAAACAACTAAAAAATAAAAAATCCCATATATAACCATTTTAATTCTCAGAATACTCCTAAACATAATATTAATTAGCCTTTGTGCTCAATTCTGCGCTATGCTTATCTTTAATGAATTCTGAAATCGGCTGCGAAGATTTCATCAATTCTTCATAAAAATAATCTGTTTTTGTAAAACCTGCGACTCTCTCAACAAGTTTGCCAGCTATACCAGGGATTGTAAGGAGAATAAAGCTCATCCCAAAGAGTTTTTTCATTCCAAGAGAATTCCTATTTTTTCGCATGTAAGGTATTACCCCTACAAGGATAAGAAGCCCAAAGCAGATTCTTATTGACGATGCAACACTTTGGGAGTGATCTTCAAACTGTTCTTTAAGGTTCCTCATAAGTCTTTCCTCGTCTGGATTTGTGCCTGGATATGTCAAAACGACGCTTTTTATAAGTTTGTATTTAGCGAATTCTTTCCTGAAGTTTTCGAAGACCATATTATTTGAAGCTAATTAAAATGCTGCAATGATTTACAAAAGACATCATAAATGGACGAAAGTATTGCTCGGGATATTTCAGAGCATTTTAATGTGATAAATAAGCTTGGCGAGGGTGCTTATGCATCTGTATACCACTGCATTTCTCTGAAAACAAAAAAAGAGGTTGCCGTCAAAGTTTTGCCAAAGGCTCAAATGAGCGAAAAAGAAATCGCCTTGTCAGTTCAAGAAGTGGAAATTTTGGGAAGCCTGGACCATCCTAACATTGTTAAGTTTGAAGGGATCAAGTATTGTGAAAGTGCTTTTTTTCTAGAAATGGAACTACTGAGAGGTGGGACACTTATGAACTTAATTAACAGCAGAAAGTTAACTGAGCAGGAGGCTTCTGAAATTATGAAAGGAGTGTTCGAAGGAGTGGCTTATTTTCATGAGAGAAAAATAGTTCATCGGGATCTTATTTTTTCTGAATTTTTAAGTAGAAATTCTCATTGTAGTTTTTATGAGAAAATATTAAAAAGTAATTTCAGTATAGCTCATACCCTTTATAGATTTCTTTATCGAGCAAAATGTACTGGATTATTGAACGACCAAGAGAGACTCTATTAAAGGAACGGCTAGATATCTATATCAGGAAGTGCTAAAAAGTGACATGTCAAAAAATGGTGACAAGTCTGAAAAAAAGTTGACAAGTAAACGCGCCAATTTTTAAAATGGATTTATTATTAAAATAATTTAAAACTTAAGATATTTTAATTTTAATCAATTATTAATTATGCTAAGCACACATCATATGAGAGTCGATAAGAACTTCTTATATATTTAAAATCACAAGCCACGCACTTTGCAAATTATAGCTCTAGTCTTCATAAATAAATTAGCATAAAATAAAGAAATTCCATCGAGCCGAAAAATGCACATCGAGTTGCCTGTTTTTGATTTCACTTATAAGCCATATTGAATTTTTGCTAAATACTTCTCATATGAGTCGATGAGAACTTTTTGTATATTTAAAATCACAAGTCACGCACTTTGCAAATTATAGCTCTAGTCTTCATATATAAATTATCATAAAATAAAGAAATTCTATCGAGCCGGAAAAATGCACATTGAGTTGCAAGTTTTTGATTTTCACTTATAAGCCATATTGAATTTTTGCTAACTCCCCCCCCCCCTCCGTGAGCGAACAAAACCATTAGAAAAAATCGCCATTTTTTGACCAAAAACCCACCCTCCGTGAGTGAACAAAAATTTTTTTAATAGAAAAAATTTTAATGGAAAAAAATTTTGATATATAAGTGATAATTAGTATAATGAAATCTAGAGCTAATTCTGTTTAATTTTAAACAAATTGCGTTTTAAAACATAAATTTTGCAAATTAAATTAATATTTGCTTCCCAATTTTTGCAAATTAGGATTTTTTTTAAATTTCGAAAAAAATATTTTTTTATAAAATTTTATATATAAATTTTTTTTAAAAAAAAAAATTAACCCCCCTCCGTGAGCGAACAAAATTTTTTTGTTCGCTCACGGAGGGGGGGGGGGAGTAAGTACTTCTCATATGAGTCGATAAGAACTTTTTATATATTGAGATACACAAGCCACGCACTTTGCAAATTATAGATCTAGTCTTCATAAATAAATTAGCATAAAATAAAGAAATTCCATCGAGCCGGAAAAATGCACATCGAGTTGCAAGTTTTTGATTTTCACTTATCACAAGCCACGCACTTTGCAAATTATAGCTTTAGTCTTCATATATAAATTAGCATAAAATAAAGAAATTCTATCGAGCCGGAAAAATGCACATTGAGTTGCAAGTTTTTGATTTTCACTTATAAGCCATATTGAATTTTTGCTAACTCCCCCCCCCCCCTCCGTGAGCGAACAAAACCATTAGAAAAAAAACCCCATTTTTTGACCAAAAACCCACCCTCCGTGAGTGAACAAAATTTTTTTAATAGAAAAAATTTTAATGGAAAAAAATTTTGATATATAAGTGATAATTAGTATAATGAAATCTAGAGCTAATTCTGTTTAATTTTAAACAAATTGCGTTTTAAAAACATAAATTTTGCAAATTAAATTAATATTTGCTTCCCAATTTTTTGCAAATTAGGATTTTTTTAAATTTTCGAAAAAATATTTTTTATAAAAATTTATATATAAATTTTTTTTAAAAAAAAAAAATTAACCCCCCTCCGTGAGCGAACAAATTTTTTTTGTTCGCTCACGGAGGGGGGGGGGGGAGTAAGTACTTCTCATATGAGTCGATAAGAACTTCGTATATATTGAGAATCGCAAGCTTTGCAAATTATAGCTCTAGTCTTCATAAATAAATTAGCATAAAATAAAGAAATTCTATCGAGCCGAAAAATGCACATTGAGTTGCAAGTTTTTGATTTTCACTTATAAACCATATTGAATTTTTGCTAAATACTTCTCATATGAGTTGATAAGAACTTCTTATATATTGAGAATCGCAAGCCACGCACTTTGCAAATTATAGCTCTAGTCTTCATAAATAAATTAGCATAAAATAAAGAAATTCTATCGAGCCGGAAAAATGCACATTGAGTTGCAAGATTTTGATTTTTACAACTATTATTAAATTTAAATATTAAATTTAAATATATATATAAATCAAAATATTTAAAGCCAATATATAATGTGTAATTATATCTTTCTGTCTAATTGAGTATCTTAAGTTTTAAATTATTTTAATAATAAATCCATTTTAAAAAATTGGCGCGTTTACTTGCCCAACTTTTTTCAGACTTGTCACCATTTTTTGACATGTCACTTTTTAGCACTTCCTGATATAGATATCCAACTCGTTCCTTTAATAGAGTTTTTCTTGGTCGTTCAATAATCCAGTACATTTTGCTCGATAAAAAAATCTATAAAGGGATATAAGCTATATAAAATAAGCTACCAGGGATCTAAAGCCTGAAAATATTTTGTTTGCAGAGCCAAACCTAATTAGTTCACTTAAAATTACTGACTTCGGGCTTAGCTCAAATTACAGCTACGATTCTCGTTTAGATACTAAAACTGGGACAATGATTTATATGGCCCCAGAACAAGTTTTATCTAACTTTTACGGTGAGCAAGTAGATATTTGGAGCTGTGGAATGATATTGTACATGCTTATAGTAGGAAGCCATCCTCTTTATGAGCCAGATGATGATACAAGTTCTTATACTTGAAAACTGAAAAACGTTGAATGGAATTTTCCTGATGATTTCCCTCCTTTAGCGAAGGACTTATTTTTACGCTGCACTGCAATAAACCCATTTTTACGTTACACAGCTGATTTGGCACTGAATCATCCTTGGATCACTCGCAAAAATTCAGTCATACCTAAAACGCATTTAGAAGATGTCAGGAATTATACCTAATTATCTAAATAGTCGTAAAGCTATTTTTATATAAAAAAATAAGAAAAATTTTAGCCAATATCCTATACCACGATAAGCTTAAAATGAAAACAATCATCATGGAATGCTTAATTCTCTCAGGAATCCTCCAGCAGCAGTCTCCCGAAATATCCGAAAAATACAAAGAGCTACTCCAACACTTACCCCGCACCCCTGACCCCGAAATGAGCGAAGAGGAAGAAGAATTCTCCCCACCAAAGAAAATCCAGTCCCTCAACACCGAAACGAAATCTTCATTTTTACGCACCACATTAAAAACAAAATCATTTCTAACTGTCCCAATGTCAAAATTCGGCCCATCTTCTCCTACTCTTTCCAGATCCAATTCAAATGGGCATCTTCGAGGCATCCAAACTACTAAAAACAAGACCATGGTGATTTTAAAAAGAGAGAAAAAGTAGCATTATTAATCCATTACATATTTAATAACAATTCCTTTTAAATAATGACTACAGAAAGAAGGAAAAGTCAAACTATTATTTCTCCTAGGGCAATTCTGCATAACCCTCCTCATAAACGAACACAAAAAGATATAGAGATTCTGATGAAAGCGACCTCAGGGATTAAATTTTTTCAAGAAATAACAGAAAGAGAACAATCAAATAAAGTCCATTTAGCTTGCTGCAAAGTCCTTACATATGCAGAATATGAGGCTGATGAGTATATTTTTAGAAAAGGAGACCCTGGAGATTGTTTGTACTTTATTTTGAAAGGCCAAGTTAGAATTTTACTTCCAAAAGATAGGAAAAAGCCTGTTAGGAACGAAAGTGAGAAAAAATTGATTGATGCGCAAAGAAAAAGCGTGCTTGATAATCCGAGAAGAAGCCAGCTTGATATACCAAGAAAGAGCCAACTAGACATAATTCCATTTAGGCCTAGGGCTGTAACTACAAGGAATATCAATAAAGAGCCTAATTCTCCTGTAACCCCAAATAAAATAAAAGACAGAAAGGATAGTATTGATATATTGAATGTGGTATCGACTGAAGAAAGTGAGGTAGATGATGGGCTTATAGAAATTGCGAGGATTGGAGCTGGGCAGTCGTTTGGAGAAATGGCTTTAATTAATGATAAACCTAGAAACGCCACAGTCCAATGTTTAGAAAAAACAGTTTTAGCTAAACTTAGTAAAGAAGATTATCAGATAGCTGGTTCAGTACACGAAAAAACAATGAACGAAAAAATTGATTTATTGCGATCTTTGCCTCAGTTCGCCAACTGGACCAAAGTTTCTCTATTTAAGCTCTGCTATTACTTCAGGACTATCAATTTCAAACGTGGGCAAGTAGTTTACAAAGAAGATGGCCCTGTAAACGAAGTTTACATAATAAAAGAAGGTGAGTTTAAATACACAAAAAAATACCAACTGCCTTTATCTAATGCTTTTAACCCTTATGATCTTCCTATAAGTTCATCAAGATCTAACAATTCTTTTAATAAGCTTAGAAAGCAAAATCACTTATTCAGAACCAAAGAACTTCAAATTGTAATAAAACAAAAAGGACAAATGTTTGGATTTGAAGAAATTCTCCAGCATAAAAATACAAGGGAATATACTTGTACATGCATTTCAAATGATGGAGAATTATTCGTCATTTCTGAAAAAGATTTCAGTAAGAGGGTCGCGCACCCAGAAACAATGAAATATTTGGAGGAAAGCAATGAGATATTTAAGACATGGGCTGATAGAAGAATTGATGAGCTGCATGACCTGGAAGGGTTCAAAGATGGAATGGCTTTTACTCCGAATAATAAAATAAGGCCTGATTCTGAGTCTCCAAAGCGAAGCTATACACCAAGGGTGGCTTATAAGCCCTATGAAGTATACATCTCTCCTGCTAAACCTCTGCCAAAAATTTTTTACCAGAGATCTCCAAAGCCAGCTGCTGATATTTCATTTGATTCTCCGCTTAAGTATCATAAAAAGAATTTGGACTATGATCCAGGAGATAGCTCATACTACACTATGTTCGAAACTGAGGTCCCAGAAGACATTTCTATCAGTCCTTACAAAACTCCAAACAATAAATTCAGAAGCACATACATGGCTGACGACCAATCCATTACAAAATCTTTTCATAAACCAATAAGGCTACTTCCTGCAACAAGATCGAGAAAACGGAAGCAGGACGAGAATATTGCAAATAAATCCTTTATGTAAAATACTTTTATATTAAATGATGGCATTTTAATAAAACTGCAAATGGGTTGCTGAGCTCAATAGCTTTACAACAGAGTTTCCTCAGAGATTTTCCCTGATCAGACATTTTAAAAAAATCATTCATATTTTGAGTTAATGACTCAAGAGAAAAAATTAAATAAATTGTCTATTTATTAATGAAAAATCCTGCAGCAGGTTGCTGTGCTGCACATGAGAGATCCATGGGTCTTTCCAAATACAACATGAAAATGAAAGACTATATCGACAGAAATCATATAAAAAACGTCCACAAGCTCGCCAAAATTTTAAAAGATAAAGGCACTCTTAATGATCGGGTCGCCATTATTAAAGGAATTTTTGTGAATGCTTTAGGCTATGCCTTGTATTTAGGTAAAACTGAGATCTTTATAGCTCTGCACAAATTTCATAAAGCTGATGTACTTATTATGGAAAATTTGTTTGAAAGCCAACACACAAGTGGGATGGAAATAATATGTAAACATGGGACAATAGACCTATTAGAGTATTATCTTCCTATTTATTTAAAAAATTACCAAGCCAAGCCTGCTCAAAAAGCAATAGAAAGTTTGACAGTCGATTTTGAAAAGCCACAATTAATAGAATTCAATGATGGTTCCACATATACCCCGCTGCACATTGCTTGTGAAAAGGGACATATAAGCATAGTTTCTTATATTTATAACTATTTTAAGGACTTGAAAAACTACCCAGTAGAGCTTGATATTGAGTATCAAGATGAAAAAACAGGTGAAAATTGTGCACTAATTGCGTGCAGGATTGGGCATTATGCAATGATAAAATTTTTACATGAGACATGTGATGCTAATTTTAAAGCCCTAAATAAAAAGAATGAAGGCGCAATACAAATTTGTGCGGCAGCAAGCAAGAAAATGCCACTAAAAGCATACTATGAATGCATTACTTATCTGGTCGAACAGGTTGGGCTAGACATAAGCTATAAATATGAAGAAACTTTGCTATTGACAGATAGCAGACCTATATCAAAATATATAGAAAACCAGCTCAAAAAAGTAGGAATTAACGTTACAAAGGAAGAATTAGAAAGAGCCTGCTCACTTGAAAGACATATAAGGGCAGAAGACTATGAAAATCACGAATGTGCAGAGCTTGATCTAAAAAACCTTCTTGAGAATAATGATAGCACACTAAAAAGCATGCCAAGTGACATTGAAAGCTCAAGTGGCAGCAAAAGTCCATTTAATGGATCCTTTGCAAAAATATAAATAAATTACCAGTTTTCTAATAATTTTATAAAAATGATAAAAGAAGTCCCGAGATATCGCAGTGGGATTTTTTGCAGAGAAAATGCAGAGCTGAGGATTATGTCTGGGACTTCACTGAGTGGTAATGGTAAAATAGTGTTTTGTTCAGGGAATTTTGCGTTAATGACTGCTTTGATCAGCGAGCTCACGTATGCTGAGACTGCATTTTATGTAGGTAAATATTCATTTGGAGCTTTAGCAATATCTCCAATTTATTTTTTCACAAACGAAATCATCACAACTCAATTAAAAAACATTGGAATTAACAATTTTTATATATCTCATACAATTTCAGCAGGGCTTTGCATGCCATTATTTGGAGCTTTTCAATGTATCTATAATAATAAAAATCCTTACTATTTCAGTCTCAATAAAAATTTATTTTATATTGAAAAAATAATTTTATTTCTCTATTAATATTGATAAAATTCATTTAAAACTGCATAAAATCTAATTAGACTATATTCGAAAGTTGAATTTTGCAGAATCTAAGAGTTTATCTTACCGATACATAGGCACTTTATGCTGCGGAGCTTTAATTTTTGATGCGATTTTATCTACAACCAAGCATCTTGCGCTTGGGAATATAAGTTTTGACAAGATTTCCTCATTTTTTAGCAGAGCCAAAACAAATTAATTATTATTATTACATAAGAATTAAATCTATTTAAATAATTTGTTTTATCCTAGAAAGATGTGGTAGGCATATTAACGCCCATATAGGAAAGCTTATTTTTTCGCTTTTTCTTTTTCTTATCTGTAAACTGTATTAAGTCAGATTTCGTATTGTCAAAATGAGGAGATAGATGCTCCCAATACATCAAAAGTGCTACACAGATCCCTACAAGAAATCCTACATTAATTAGCATGACCAGCTTTACAGAGACTTCTAATGATTTAATGGCTGAAAAAGGGCTAATTGTCCGAGATAGCAAACCTGAAGCTAAGGTCATGCCCATATAGAACCCAGCTGGATGTGGTCCTATAATTTTCGAATAAATACTAAATAAAACGTTTCTTGCCATTGCAAAATGACAAGAAATTAAGCCAAACCCAAGCAAAAACAACCCAATTGGAATATGCCGTTCATTATAATCAACGAGCATTGCCCACCCAAAAATCCCTAAAACTAAGGACAGCAAAAATATTCCGCGGTCGCTAAGCTTATTATCAAGCCAATTAACAATTGCAAGTGATAAAATGCTTATTACCCCAGCCCCTGCAAATAATAAATAAGTCGAAAACAAGCTTCAGCCAAACGACTCAGTAAATTTCTATATATTTTTTACATTTATGTGGTCAGTGACTAGTGGAGATGTAATAGTTTCTTGCACTGTAAATCCATAAAAAATTACAAAACAAGCTACGCAGCAGTAAATTACCCCAATTCTATCTGGTTTTGAATAATTTGTAACTGGTAGCTGCCCACGCTCTGGTCTTTCTGAAAAAGGAACTTCTTTGAAAAAGAAATAATTAATGATAATCATAATCAGTGACACAAATGCTTGAAAATATCCTGGATACGTATAAGAATCCACCTGCACATCAAAGAAAATTGAAATATCTATGAATGTCACAATCATCCCAAAAACTGGGCCTAGTATATACCCACAAATATTTGCGATCCCAAGTTCGCTTAAAGCTTTTAGTTTTGAGGTTGAAGAGACCACTTCTGATATATAGGCTTGCTGCGAAGCCTGCTGGCCTCCACTTCAAATACCCTGCATCATCCTTGCTAGCATAATGATATATAGAACTACATTTCCAGATAAATAATCTGCTGAAAAATACATGATGCTGCCTAGCAGTCCAAATGCCAAAGCCGATATCAAGGAAACCTTTGTTCCTAAATAATCAGATAAAATTCCAAAAAACATAGACCCAATTACCTCTCCGACTGAATAAATTGATAGGACAATAGCCAAAAAAGAGTGCTCTCCTTCGTTATCTTGTATATAAAGCCATATTGAAGGGAGGACCAAAGCAAAAGAGACACCAGCTGTGAATACGTTGAAATAAAATAGGATGAGGAAAGAATAATGAGTCCTCCACGATTTTCGCTTTACTTTTGAAGGGAGGGCAATGTAGTCAGCTTGCATATTTAGGTAGGATTTATTTATTAAAAATATAGCATGAAATAGAAACTGGAAGGGAGCAGGAAAAGGAGGGAGGTTGATGATAGTTTGTCGACGCCGTCAAAGTAGATAATGATTCTGCTGCCGGGAGCTTGGATTTCTCGGTTATTCCCGTTGCCTTCGGCGAAATCTGTATTGTTTTGCCATTGGCTGCTAAAAAAATCATGCTGAGGTTTGTCCATCTTTTGGATTTGAGGCCAGATGAGCCAACCAATATCTTCAGTGCAGGGTGGTACTGTATATTAGTCTTCATAATAATAAAATGGCTACGTCAGAATAAGCACCATCTGAGAGCTTTTCCATCTCTTTGTTCGTAGTTTTGCTATTTATGGGGTTAAGATTTTCTTTATTCAGCTACACAAATAATATCCTGGCATATAGGCTAGAGGCTGGTTAAGAGGCATATGATTTTTACTGCTACTATTCCTAAGAGGAGATTTTAAGCGAAATACGCGATGGAGACGAGTAAAAAGAATAAGTTGCTACGGCCCATGAGATTTGGTAGTCTTGGCGACTGGCGCCATGGCTTAAGAGTTTCCCAGGTAAGCCGATAAAAAGGGTGTGGAATAATATCTGTGAATTTTGCATTAAGAAGATTTGTATTTATACTGTAGTGAGGTACTAAACGATACGTTAAGCACTAATTCAGATAGCAAGTATATGAGCCTTCGTAAAAATAAAAATTGTAAATTTTTTCAATGCTTTCAAATGCATTTCCTACATCAATTTTCAGCGTTTTGCCTTCTGATTCAATTACGTCTTTGAGAAATTTGCTTGTTTGGTTTGATTCTTGGTAGAAGACTGATAAAATATAGGAGAATTCGTCTGTTTCGCCATCGCTTAAGAAAATTTGCATTTCCAACTCCCCTAGAAAAATAAATTTAAATCAGATCTTTGTCAGAAAAATAAATTTTAAATAAAATTAATTGGAAAAGTCAAACTGAACAGTCTTATGGCCATAAATTAATATTGAGCTTCCTCGAAGGAAAGAAGAGTAAGTCAAATTGTTTATCTTGGATGTAGTGTTCTGAAGGAGAATGGAGCTCAATTTTTGTCGAAAAAAGCTTGATTTCGTCATTTTTACCTGTGCCAAGTATAACTCCTCCGAAGTTTCCTAGTAGCTGATAAGATGTATTTGTAAATAAGCCAGTTGATGCTGCAAGGAGAAATTCAAGAGATAAGGAAGATGAGATGGCTGAGTCCTTTTCGATGAAATCTGCATCAGAAGATTTCAAGTTTATTGGGGACTGAATGTGACCAGTTTTGCAGAGTCCTTCCCAGTCTTTGCCACTGTTGATGTAATTTTCTGCGCTTGCAATGCTCACTCCCCTCTATAAAATCAATTGTTTTAATATAAAAAATTTATATTAACATATGATTAATAATTAAAATTCAGCTAAACCTGTTTAATTTGAACGAAAGACTAATTTTTAAATCTGCAATTTAACTTAAAGGTGCTATAATGGATTTAAAAATTTAATAATAAAAATTTATTAATGTAAAAAAAAAACCTCCCAATAAACAAAATAGTTCATTTACTCTCTGAAGGAGTTAGCAAACATAAAAATTCAAATAAGAGCATAATGGTTTTTATTACAGACATTTTAGGCTAGACCCATAAGAAACATTTTTGAAGTTGTTTTTATTTATTGCTAGTATAAGTAGCTATCTTGAGATGCTGAGTTCACTGAGGATGATAAGGGGCTTAATAAATATTAAACTCATTTTTAAGGTAGAGAGAACCAATTTTAGTCTTCTACCTTCAAACTTAAACTAAAAGAAACTTTAATAGATCAAATCAAAAAGTCTAGCTAACTTAAGGAGTTCAATTTCTCCATTTATAGCCAATTTTTTAATAAAATTTTTTAATATAAAATAATCCTCCTTAAAACAGTTAATTTTCTCTACTTTTGCTAATTGGCCGCTTTAGTTGTCTCTAAGCCTAGCTTTATATTTAAATTAATCTTTCTTCTTCCTTTTCTATAAGCAAGTAATTAAGTTTTGAATTTCAAGTGAATTTGCGAAACCGATGAATAATCAAATAAACAATTTAATATATATACCATAATAATTAATGTCCCAAAGCCTACAAATGACTCCTAAAGCTCAGAGTCTCTCATTGGCTTCATCACCTAGTTATTTCTCCTCCAATAACCTAGATGAGTACAAAAACATGACAATGCTTGATAATTCCAATTTAAGTCCACTATCAGAGACAGAACAAATAAAGTCCAGGGTCTCTTCAAATGACTTCTATAATGAAGATTTGCGGGCAAAATGCCAATCCTGTGGGAGAAAGTTCTTTTCTGACCGAATTGACAAGCATCAACAAGCCTGTTTCCAAGTCCAAAAAAAACGTCCTAAATTTAAAATCCTTGAAAAAATCCTACCTCAAATAGAAAGGAGAGAAGAAAAACAGCAAAAACCTAGGAGGTCTCCTCTAAAAGAATACAAAGATAAAAACTGATATAAAAAGCATCAGGATTTTATTAATAAAATCAAGATTCTTGATATTAGCACAATTGTTGAAGAAAATGCCGGGGATTTCGCAATTAATTCGCCAACGAGTTTGGAAGATACATACACACAATGCCCGCATTGTGGGAGAAGGTTTGCGCCTCTTCCAGCCGAAAGGCATATTCCTAAATGCAAGGATATTATAAATAAGCCTAAGCCTTTGAGAATAGTGTTGAAGGATAAAATTAGTCTCCCGAATATTTACTTTTCTTATAACAAAAATAATGACAATGAATCAGGGTCTCTAAACAGTTCAAAATTATAGTTAAATATAAATAAGCTTGCTCAGTTTCTTTTAGCTTAGATTGAAGCAAGAATTTCATATAATAAAGGCTGCCATTTTATTTAATTATAAACAATTTCAAGCAAGATTTCTATATTTAGCTCTTCCAAGACAAGGAAGATTTCCCCTGAATCAGAAGATTTTAAATATATGATACAGAAATTAACAATGGAAGAAAAAATAAAAGATTCCATTAAAAGAAGATATAAAATAAACAGTGAAAGCTCTTTATTATTAGCTATAGTTAGTTACTGTGTTATTTATTAGTATTAATATACACAGTAAAGCACATTCTTTGTACACAGTGTAACTCATTTTTATCAGTGGGTGCAAATTTCTGCAGCATGTGCGGTACGAAACAAAGTTTTAAACCAAGTTATTAGAGTGATTTATTATAAAATAAAAAATTGCAATTTACAGGCTAATTAATTCGGGTGCAGGTTGAATGACTTTGCTTTTTTGATGGTGTCCATTTCACCGAAAAATTTTTTGCCGAAAATTGATCGAAAATTTTGATAGTGAGACATTTGACCGAGAAAAAAACTTTTATTTTTCGGCCAAATGTCCGTACTATCAAAAATTTTCAACCAAATGGATTTCGATGAAATGTACACTGTCAAAAATCCACGGCCATTTGACATGGAGCTAATTAATTCTTTTGCATCCATGGGCTTGTTTACTGGTGCAATAGCAACAAGTCCAGCATTTGGCATTAACTCTCCATTTTCCAGGGTGGTATAGTTTTCGTGTCATTTCGAGCTCAGAGAGAAGATCTTCTCTCCTCATTTTTATCAGTTCAAATTTCCTTATTTTTAAACGCTTTTCCATTTCAAGCTTCTTTATTTTTTCTTTAGAATCCCTACTACTGCTTTCATAAACTTTTTGAATAAAATTTGAAAAAGACTCAAGAATATTGCTTCTTGAGCCTTCCTCCAGCTTATTTTTAAATGTGTTCGTATAGCTACATATTTCACTGCAGGTACCTGAGTTTTGTCATTTATTTTTTCTTATGAAAAAATTTTTGCAGAGTCCAGCATTGCATTTCACAGTTTTATATAAGCAATTAATTCTATGCAATTCCAGTTCTTTAAATGACCCTATAAAAGAGCACCCAAATTCAAAACGCGAACATTTAAGCTTAAACTTGTTATAAATCCTCAATACATATGCAGAGGGATCTCGGAAAGCCAATTCATTGCAACCGTATGGACATTCTTTTAGAGTAATTGAGCAAAATTCACAAAATAAATGCTCACAGTTTGCACATTCTTTAGGCTTTTTTACAATTTCTTTACAAACAAAACATATAAAATGATCATCTATCTGGCTAATTCTAGCTTTAGAATGGCCAGTCTTTGCTTTAAGCTTTTTCTTTATTATTCTTTCTGAAGACTCTCCTGTTATTCATTCAATACTTTTATCAGAAAATTGAGAATTTATAGTCAATTTTAGCGACGCATAAAAAGAGAGATCAACACATAAAGGACTTTGAGGCTTTTTTAAAGGAAAAAATTCTGCTTTAACCACAACAATATTGTTGCACATTAGAGCATTGTCAAAATTTGGTATAATATCAGGTGTAATGTTAGAAGCCTTATTTAAGCTGCTTGCATGGTCATCTTTTGATATTTCTATATTTACCAGCGGCTTTATTTTTACTTCAAATGATTTAGTTTTAAATCAATAAGACTTAGGCACATAAGAATAATAAGCTTTTAGTATTGAGCAATAAAGAGATGATCCTATGAAGCATGGAGAAAGCTTTGGTAACGGGATTTCGACTGGCTTGATTATAGGTTTAGGCAAGATCCTATAAGTTCGGATGGAGCAGACACAGTAATTTGCTTCATTCTTTCGTTCTTTGGTTTTGGTTTCAATTAAATAGCTTCGACTGAATACATCATAGTGTTTTATAAAAGTATTGGTATCAAATTTTGCTTTCATTTATATGTTATTGCATTTCAAACATTATAAAACCTATTGATATATAATTATTTATGAGATAGATACATTTTATAGGCTATATGACATTAGCATTATAGTTCGATACTGAGTCACAGAAATTTATAAGTTTCCTTTTTAAGAATAAAGGCGAATATCAAAAGGGACTTTAGAGCTTGCTAGATGGGAGCGAGCACAAAGGAGATGTGCTTCCCACAAAGGAAGCAATTTGGTTTGACTCTCAATAGCCATAGCAAAATCTATCTTTAATCTAATCCTCATCCTAGTTTCAATATTAAAATCAAACAGAAAAATTAGTTATGTACTTTTATGAAAGAAAAATTATTAAAACGAATGTTGATATTATTATTACATATGACCATTAATTAAGATAAATCATTTTTGATGGAGATTAAAAACAAAAAATTAGAATGCCATTGCTAAGGTAGCTGCTATTCTATTTTAATATATTATATACAATCCCATATAAAATAATACTCCCGCGTGCGGAATATAACTCGTTGCTTCAATTTTCAAAGTATTCTTCCTGGAAAAATCAATGTAGAGTGATCAAAGTCAAGCTCTAAAAATTGATATAAATAAGTATTCCTGGTAAGATTGCAAATGTCACACCATTTAGATATATACTATTATAACTGAGTTTGTTCTTCTGGCTCAATATTTTTAATATTTCTGATGAAGCCTGCAATAATATCTTTGCAAATTATGGGTAATGATATATGATATATCTACCTCCCTCATTCATGAACGTGCAAAACCGATAGAAAAATTCGTATTTTTAAGAGAAAAAATTATAAAAAATTTAATATATTTAATATTTAAGTCATATTTATTAATATGAAATCATTAATTAATTTTGCTTAAATTTAAACAGATAAAAATAAATTTTAAAAATTACGAAAAAAAATTTATTATTTAAAAAGAAAAATTGTTATAAATAAGATAATTTTTTTTAACTTAATATTAATTTATTTGTTTAGAATTTACACAGATAGTGATTTACAATTGATCTCAATTATAGAGTTAATTTCTAATATAATTAAAAATTAAATACTGTAGTCTATTTAAGTGAATATGAGTAAATTTTTCTCTTTAATAGCGGTATTCGAAATCCATTTTTAAATATTATGAACCTTAACTTGATTAAGATTATCGAAAGCTCTCAGTAGGCTCAAAGCTGAGCCATTTTCAACTCCATAAGGCTTCACTGCTTGCTTGCCAGTCCTAGAACGGTCTCTCATGGGCAAGAGCTTGTACTCGCTACCCATAAGTCAGATGAGATGGGTCGCGTTCATCAATGGGTTCAGATTCCAGAAAACTCTAAAAATCGAATTTCTGATCATCTGCTGGCCAAAATGAAACCTCTGAGCCGAGAGTACAATGCCTGGCATCGTGCTGAGAAGCATTCCCGATTTTGTCAAGAGGATCTCACTGGCGTTGCTTGGACTTCTCTTTCCAACTCAAAGCTCCATCTCCCCACGAGGTAAACCCTTGACCTAGAATGAGCATATGGTCGACTAAATCTGATATTACGCTCGCTCCGCTAAACCAAGTAAAACCCAGGCCGGATGCGCATCGCTGAACGCAATCTTGGCCGCCTCAGTTTTAGGTATTAAGAGGGTGGGTTGGCTCGCCATATCATTTTAATGTATGAATATTATGAACCAGCTAGTATCTCCTTTTGAAGTCTATGTAAGAATCAGACCCTTAACAGAAAAAGAAATCAATAACTCCTCTAATGATTTAAGCCACTATTTGAAACAAGACCCTTCATCAAGCGAAATCCTATTTAAAGAGCCTGGGACTTCCCAATTCAAGAAATACACATTTAACGGCGTATTCCCAGAAAATATCACAAATCTTCAAGTCTATACACTTACAGTAAAAAAATTATCTTTATTTTCACTGAATATTCCCTATAAATCATTAATATTTATAAAGTCAATTTTCCCTATAAAAGAATAGTCCAATTTATAAAAGAAGGCTACAATTCTACTTGTTTTGCATACGGGTGCACAGGTTCTGGAAAAACACATACAATGTTCGGACATATGAATTCAAAAGACAATGAACCTGGAAATGTAATTCATGCTTTACAAGAATGCTTGGAGCTGATACAAAATAACGAAAATAGCAAGCTAAAGCTGAGCTATTTAGAAATTTATAATGAAAAAGTTGCTGACTTATTGTCAGCTGGAGATCCAAGAAATTTGATGATAATTGAAGATTTTCAAAAAGGAATCCAAGTCCCTGGACTAAGCGAATTTGAAATAGTATGCCCATTTCTTAATAGAAATTTCGATTTTTATATGATAAATATAATAGTGTTTATACTTCTATATACTATAAACTGGCATAAATTTAAAGGATGCATATAATTTAGTTATAGAAGGAAATCAAAAGCGAGTAAAAGCACCTACCTCTGCTAATGAATTATCTACTAGGTCTCATGCAATATTACAGTTTACTTTAGAACAAAAAATAAGTTCTGGAGAAGTTTTATCATCAAAATTAAGCTTAATTGATCTTGCAGGGAGCGAAAGAGGCTCTGCAAGTGAAAATAACAGCCAAAGAATGGTAGAAGGGGCAAATATAAACAGATCTTTGCTTGCATTAGGTAACTGCATTAATATATTGAGTGGAGAAAAGAAGAGAGCGTGCCATGTGCCTTATAGAGACTCAAAGCTTACAAGGCTTCTTAAAGATTCTTTAGGAGGAAATACAAGGACAATTATGATCGCTTGTATATCAAAATCATTTACAGCTTATGAAGAAACACTGAACACATTAAGATATGCCCAAAGGGCATCAATGATTACCACAAAGTTGACAAAAACAATGAAAGATCTTTGTACAGGGGATTATAAAGATATCATCAAAAATCTCAACATTGAGATTGAAAATTTATAATTTCCAAGTTTGAATGCCCAATTGTAAATTATTATTATTTTTTAATTAATTAAATTCATCCTAGCAGGCCATAAAAAATCAACTTAAAAATGCCCCAGCCAAAATCTCCTCCACAATTGAACCTGAAGACGAGTCACTCTATGACTCTCTTCAAAAACAATTGAACGCCAATCTCAAAGAGTATTGGGAGTGTCAAAACGACCTCAAAGAAATCAAATCTGATAAGAAGCAAAGCAAAGAAAAATTAATGCAGCTTATCAACGAACTCACACAAGAAGACACAGAACTCGACCAATATGACAAAGAAAACATAGAAAAGGAAATTTTAGAAATCGGCCAAGAAATCAGAGAATGCAAAGAAAGAAAGACTGAAATCAAGCAAGAAATTATAAATAACCTAAAAAAGAAGCAGTCGTTACAGAAAGAAATGGACGCAATAAAAGATGAAAAACAAAGGGAAATTATTAAGCTACAAATTGCTTTAAGAGGGCTAAAAAGAGAAAAAATGGATCTTTATAACGAAAATTTGAGAAATAAAGAAAAGGCTGAAGAGTTGTTGGTGGAGAGTGAAAATAAAGACAAAATAATCGCGTCAATGCAGAATGAGATTAATTTCATGAAAAGACAGCTTGTTGAGCATCTGGCTTCAAAAGAAATACAGTCCAATGTGTCAACGCCAAGCAATAAGCCAATAATAGCTAAAAATTTTGACAGCTCAGATATATAGCTTATATCCCTTTATAGATTTCTTTATCGAGCAAAATGTACTGGATTATTGAACGACCAAGAGAGACTCTATTAAAGGAACGGGCTGGATATCTATATCAGGAAGTGCTAAAAAGTGACATGTCAAAAAATGGTGACAAGTCTGAAAAAAGTTGACAAGTAAACGCGCCAATTTTTAAAATGATTTATTATTAAAATAATTTAAAACTTAAGATACTCAATTAGACAGAAGATATAATTACACATTATATATTGGCTTTAAATATTTTTGATTTATATATATATATTTAAATTTAATAATAGCTGTGAAAATCAAAAACTTGCAACTCAATGTGCATTTTTCCGGCTCGATAGAATTTCTTTATTTTATACTAATTTATATATGAAGACTAGAGCTATAATTTGCAAAGTGCGTGGCTTGTGTATCTCAATATATAAGAAGTTCTTATCGACTAAGATGAGAAGTATTTAGCAAAAATCAATATGGCTTGTAATGAAAATCAAAAACTTGCAACTCAATGTGCATTTTTTCGGCTCGATAGAATTTCTTTATTTTATGCTAATTTATTTATGAAGACTAAAACTATAATTTGCAAAGTGCGTGGCTTGTGATTCTCAATATATAAGAAGTTCTTATCGACTCATATGAGAAGTACTTACTCCCCCCCCCCCCTCCGTGAGCGAACAAAAAAATTTTGTTCGCTCACGGAGGGGGGTTAATTTTTTTTTTTAAAAAAATTTATATATAAATTTTATAAAAAATATTTTTTTCGAAATTTAAAAAAATCCTAATTTGCAAAAATTGGGAAGCAAATATTAATTTAATTTGCAAAATTTATGTTTTAAAACGCAATTTGTTTAAAATTAAACAGAATTAGCTCTAGATTTCATTATACTAATTATCACTTATATATCAAAAATTTTTTTCCATAAAAATTTTTTCTATTAAAAAAATTTTTGTTCACTCACGGAGGGTGGGTTTTTGGTCAAAAAATGGCGATTTTTCTAATGGTTTTGTTCGCTCACGGAGGGGGGGGGGGGGAGTTAGCAAAAATCAATATGGCTTATAAGTGAAAATAAAAAATTTGCAACTCGATGTGCATTTTTCCGGCTCGATAGAATTTCTTTATTTTATGCTAAATTATATTGAAGATGAGAACTATAATTTGCAAATTGCGTGGCTTGTGTATCTCAATATATACAAAGTTCTTATCGACTCATATGAGAAGTATTTAGCACAATTTAAATATGGGCTTATAAGTGAAAATCAAAAACTTGCAACTCAATGTGCATTTTTCCGGCTCGATAGAATTTCTTTATTTTGTGCTAATTTATTTATGAAGACTAAAACTATAAAGTTCTTATCGACTCATATGATGTGTACTTAGCCTAATTAAATATTGATTAAAATTAAAATATCTTAAGTTTTAAATTATTTTAATAATAAATCCATTTTAAAAATTGGCGCGTTTACTTGTCAACTTTTTTCAGACTTGTCACCATTTTTTGACATGTCACTTTTTAGCACTTCCTGATATAGATATCCAGCCCATTCCTTTAATAGAGTCTCTCTTGGTCGTTCAATAATCCAGTACATTTTGCTCGATAAAGAAATCTATAAAGGGGTATGAGCTATATCTGGGATAAGTGAAATTCGTTCATCAACCCCCAGTTTTTCTGACTATAGAGAAGCCCGATTTCAGAAAAAATATGCTCAAATGATGAATCTTCCAGAAAGAGGCTCTTGTGACCTGTTTTCACGGCCTGATCTCTTAATGAAGTCAAGGTCATCTTCAGCAACTCCAAAGTCAGAGAATTTTATCCAAGAATTCAAAAGAAAAGAAACCAGAAAGAGCACTGAGGTGAAATGCATTTTAATTTCTAAAGGTCCAGGGACTATTAAACGCCCTCCTTTGTCTTCAAGAGCTTCAAGCGCTAGTAAAAAAAGAGCAAGCCCTTTTGAAGTAGGGATGAAAGTATCTGCTAGCCATGAAAATCTTGCTGGTAAAATATCAAAACTGCCTCAGAAAATAATGCTGCCAAATGAAGCTGCTGATCTTGTGAAAAGTATGATTCAAGCGCCAGGGACTTTAGGGAATAAAAATGTTTGGTAAAATACCAATTATATTAAAAGGTTAATTATTAACTTGCGTTATATAATTATTCAACTAAATCTGTGCTATTTAAATTAGATGGCAGAATCTTGATCCTTAAATTAAAACATGCTTATTTTATGGGATAGTTGGGTCAATTCCAGCTGGAAAAATAATTTCAGCAAGTGTCTCAGGCTGCTCTACCTTAATCCTATCCAAAATATTATTCATCTTCTTCATTCTCTCATCAATTTTCTGTTTCTCTTCATCTTCTTCCTTCAGCTGCCTTTCCAGCTCTGTCACATCTACAGGTGGCGGCAGCTTTTTTGGCAAATCAAACTCTACCTTATTATCTTTTTCTACCTTTCCTTTCCCCTTTTTCTTTTCACTATTCTTTTTCCCCTTATCTTCCCTTTCCTTTTCAATTTGCTGCTTATGCCACAACTCTGAATACTGACTTTCCCTTGCTGGGTTCTGGTCATCATTAGCCCACTTAATGCTCAGCATTTCATCATAGTCTAGAGCTTGATTTGTCATTGCTTCTTTCGCAATTTCTGCATAGCACCTATGATAATACTTTATAAAAGCAATGCATTTTTGAGGAATAAACGTGACATCTTCAACCCTTCCTCATATAGAAAAATGCCTCCATAACATCTCATTTACCTGCTGAATTGGGTCATCTCCAGGTGGTAGCTTGATATCAGACACATAAAGAGTCCTTGATTCTTTTTGAAAACAGCCGATTCCTTGCATGTCATCTCGGTGATTTGCATGTCTGGTTCTCCCAAAAATGTCTTTAATTGGCTGGATTTTTTTGCATTCTTCTAAACTCGGCATGTGGTGGAAAAATCGACAGTTTGCCCCTTCACTGCAGCAGCCTCTAATAAAATGCAAGCACAAATAAGCAGTTTCTGGCTCGTATATGTCAGCCTTGCAGTAGCCAATATCTTTTATAGGGTCACATCGAGTAGATGCAGGCGCTCTTTCTTTGACTCCTCTATCATTAAAGTATTTATCATACCAAATATTATATTCGTCATCTCCTTGTTTATAGGCATAATCTTTATTGTAAGATTTTTCTATTTGTTTCCTTGCTGGTCTTTTTAAATAGTTTTTGCCTTCTAGCCAATCAGAAGGTCTAATTAAATGAGAATATTTAGCATGCTTGTCTTTAGGCTGGAAAAGGTCAAGAAGCTCTACGTTTTCTCCTTCTGGGCCTGGGGCAGCTTTTGCCCAGATTGGTAGTTCCCATTTTGTTTCTTTTTCGTAAGGGTCATAATAATATGCTTTCTGGTGCTCTTCTGAGTAATAGGAAAGCCACACCTCTGTCGCAAGAAATATATCTGTAGGGTTATTATAGTGATGAAGCTTTTTATTGAGTTCTAATGGCAAATCATTAGGAAGCAGCAATGAGATTTTGTCAAGAGGGATTTGTTTTTGTTCGTGGATCGCTACAACTATGTCGTTGACTGTGGTGTTTCTATCTGTTGGCATTGTGAGCAAAATTTTGCCATCGCCTTCTTTGACTCTAATTTCAGTCATATTTATTTTATAGTAAAATTTTTAATTAAGATGCCAAACTTAGCTGTATATTTGCAGCCCTGTCTATAAGCCACCTCATTTCTTTAGGAGATGGGATGAAGTTTACAATGATTCTTCCTTTGGTGTTCTTTAAGCTTTCGCAGGCTTGATTATATTTATCAGTCAAATATTCATTTATACTATTAGAAGTTATTTAGGTTAATAATATGTAGCATTTTTAGCAGTATTATAAGGCAAAATAAAAACCACTATTACAATAAAAATATTAATAGCTATAAGCATGGCATATTACAAAAGATTGAACTTCTTTACTAATTGAAAAGTATTTGTCAGTGTCATTTGTCACTTTCCTTCTTCTCTTTGATTTCTTTTGAATATCCTTAATGATTTTCCCCACAACTGAATTCCATAGCTTTACAAGCTCTCCATACCTATTTTTTTTAGTTTCTTGGTATTTTTTCCAAGTTGTCTGTATTAATACAATTTTTTTGAAAAAATCCCCAAAGCAGTTCCTCACCATATAATTCGTTTTACTCGACTTTATGCATAAAATCAGCTGACCATCAGTTTTTGGTTTTATAAATAATTTCCCTACAAAGCCAGTAAGAAGCAGGATATTCCTTGCCCTAAACTTTTGAGTTGGCATGCCCCTAAACTTTGTTTCTACCCAGTTTCTATACGCCCTCTGTATTTTCCAAGCAGAAAAATTCCTCATTAATTTTTTCACTTTCATTTCTCGCCTTTTTGCAATGAGATCAGTAATTGTTTGTATGCTTATGCATAGATCAATCAAGCTGAACCAAAATTTATGGCATTTCAATATGCTGGACTTTTTTTCTAAAATTTGCCTTTCCAGCTCTTCTTTTTCTTTTCTTGTCATATGTCTATTTATAGAGTCAATCGTTCTCTGCTTTTTATAGACTTCATAATTATGTTTCCTTTCAGTTGCTTCTTCATGCCTCCTGTCTCTTTTTTCAGTGCTGGACCTTAAGGTGTCTGCTCTAGCTTCATTGTCTACCACATTAAGGTTCAGCTTTACGAAATTTTTATTGTGCCCGGTTTCGTACATTTCTCGTTTTCTTTTTTCTTGGTGCATGCTTTTTGATCGAAACATTTTAGCAGCAGGTCTATAGGTCTTAATTTTTAAGAAATTCCTAGCACAACTTTTTCGAAACATTTTCTCTTTACTCCGCCACTTTAAATTGGAGCAAAATATTGGTAAAAAATTACATTTTTTGGTACTTTAACTTAAAAAATTTTTTAATAGAAAAAAATTTGATATAAATTTTCTTTTAAAAAAGCATTAAATCCTTTAAATTGTAACAGGATTTTTTGTTCCAATTTAAAGGAAGGGGGAGTTAAATATTTGCTCGGCAAAAATCATTGCTTTTGGCCAAATGTTTACTAGAAAAAGTTTCAACAAGCATTACCAAGAATCTGCAAGAGGAAATATCCTGAGGAAAAGGCATGAGCCAAATGGCATTTCTTAAGGAAATTTAGTAAAATTTTTGTCCTTGTAAGATATTTGATCGAAATTAAAGATTTTTTATCAGTAGATTTCTTTATATTTAAAACAGTTCTAGCAAATTCTCCCGAGGAAATAATTCCATACTATCAAAATCTTTGATCAAATAGACTTTTAGCCCTTTTTTCTAATAAAGTGTTTACTTTATTTAAAAAATCATGCCTAAGCTCAACATCATTTTTAATCTGCTCTAATGATAAAACACTTCGAGATTTCGCAATGTTTCTTATGCTCATGGACCGTCTTTTTATTGGGGATTCTTTTTGCTGCCCAAATGCCACTCTGATTATATATAATAAATGCCCGATGATGTCGCTCAATGTGCCATCATCGGACAAAACCAGAAAAGGGCTCTAAACGGGAAATGTGGAGAATCCTCACTTACGTCCCAAAAAGGGCTCTACAAGTAGAATATATTTCCCGTGTGGACCCTTTTCTGGTATTGCTTGATGGCGCATTGAGCGCCATCATCAGACAACCTGTATATTTAGTATTGATGAGTGCGAAAAGAGACATGTAAATATTTTCACAATTAAATTTCATCCCTGGCTCTGCAAATTGGAATTCTTCTGTCCTAAATTCTTTTTCACAAAGCTCAGCACATGGCTCAGGCGTTGTTCTTGACACATAAGCAGCAAGTTTTCCTCTTTGAGTTATTTTGACCCTTAATGGGCATCTTTCTCCTCTTACAGGAACATAAAAAAACTGTGCTTCCCCCGTGTCCAAAATTCCTTCAATAGATTTTTCATCTGTTAAGCAAATTCTTCTTCCAGAAAACCCTTGATTTGACACAATTTTATCAAGCCTGTCAATGATCCTTATATAATCATTATTTGTTTTTCTATGGATTCCTTTAAATATTGACTGTTTCTCAGGCAATCTCTGAGTAGATGCACTGAGATCTTGATAACTACTCCCAGCTCTGAAGTTTTCTCTGTCTGTTAATGAGCTGATCTCACCAGGAGCAAGTTCTTTTAAGGCTACCAAATTGATTTTATAAGTGCTATTGCTGGGAGATGATTAGATTACGCCCTTTTTGTCGACGTCACCAAAAAATGGTGACGTCAGCGCTCTCGAGGTGACGCACCCAGGTACTTCTTGGGGCAACCCCTATCGGTCAGCCCGTCCGTCCGGAGGGGGAGACGGTAGGTGTTCTGAAGCCTCCTCCTGTCCTCCATTACTACCTTCGTTGTCAGGAGTGTGGTGTTGCCTTTGCGACTCTGGTCTTCTTGTCATAGGTTGAGGTAAAAAACCCTGCCATGGTGTCCTGGCCAGGGAGAAAAAACCTACCCCGGACACAAATTCTCCAGGCCCCATCCCTCTTAGACCCACAAAGCCCGAGGCAGTGGGAGAAGGACGGGTCAGAGTAGTCACCATTTTATTTTTATGCTGGGAGATGAAGATTTCGTGTTTTTCTTGTCAATAGGAGTTGAGTGGATGTAGCGTCATGATAACTGCTTTCGAAGCTCAGTGTTAAATAGTCGTGAGGAGAATGATGCAGTAGTTTGAGGCCTGGATGATTCTTTCCCGCAGTCTGGAGTAGTGCTCCTGCATAAACGAGATTCTATGTCTGAATATTTATTCATTAATTCTTATTTCAAATTATTCTACCTTGCTTGATTTTAGAAGTTTAATTTAAAAAATATTTTATTTTTTTGTGAAATAAATAAGCATATTCAATTTTATAAAAACAATATACTGTCATTTTACGTTTATTAAGGATAATTAATAGCCTTTAAGATTTCAGACGATTTTTAACTGAGAAAAGCTGCTAATTTTTACTTTTTAGGCTAGCTATATCGTTAGATCACATTTAGTTTCGTGTATGGCTATAAATATGGTAAAGAAGCTTGATCGTCTTTATAGCAGAGCTGTATTTCTCGGGTTCAGAAGAGGAATTACTCTCCAAAACGAAAACCAAGCTCTCCTAAGAATTGAAGGTGTTAAGACCAAAGAAGACGCAAAATGGTACATCGGAAAGAGAGCTGCTTACGTTTACAGAGCTCATAAAGCCCAAACCAAGAAGAACAAGCTCACCAAGTATAGAAGCATCCAAGGAAAAGTTATTGCTGTTCACGGAACTAATGGTGTGGTCAGAGCCAAGTTTGCCCATAATCTTCCACCTCAAGCTATTGGAAAATTGGTCAGAGTAATGCTTTACCCTAACAGACCAGCTATTACTCATTAACTAATCACATTTTAGGAATTTTTTATTTATTGTTTTACTTGAATATATAGTTAATTATATGCAGCATAAGCTATTTGTGTTGAAAGAATAATTTAAGAATATTTCTGAAGATTGACTTCTTTAGGAAAAGATAGGATTTTTGCAAATTTCTCTCATAAATTAAGATAGCGCAGATGGCTTAACTTGAAGAAGCATTTTTAATTATAAATATATCATTATTTAGAATTAAAAAACTCACTAAGCGAATCTGCAAAATAAACTGGTTTTCGATCTTTGATGCTTTGTCTTTCTGAATTTTAATATTTTAATTAAATCAAAGTCAGAAATATTGATAATTTTCAATATCTTTGAAATAATTTCTTCCCCTTCAGAACTGAGCTTCGGTGTCATTGTAATCAATTTCACAAGCATTTGTATAGCTTCATTATCCTCTAGGATTTTATTATGTGCAGATTCCTCCCTTTCATTTTTTTTCACTTCATTTTTTAAAAAGTTAATTTGGAGGTTCTGCAATTGGAACATTTTTTCTTGCTCCTCCAGCTCAAATTTTAAGTCAGCGATTTCTTGCTGCAGCTTTATGATGGTGATTGTATCATCATTTTCACTATCTTTTGCGTCAAATAGTATTATTGAGGATACTGAAAAATCATTTTGGTCTATTTCGGGAGTTATGGATACGTCTGGCAAAAAATCCAAATCTATGTCACTTACTTGAGTGAATATGTCATTCTTGTTATTTATAGTTTCTTTATACTCCATATTTTAGTTTATCAGAATAATGGTCATTTAAAAATAAATATATAATATAGCTTTTTTTAACTCTTAACTGGTTAATTATACTGAATAAAGACCTTAATATAAATTTTAAAAGCAGTATGGAATAATATTGCAAGAGAAGAAAAGAAAATATCATGTAAAAATAGCCATGACAATTTGGCATTTAGTGATAAGACAATTTATAATTTAGGAATTGGATTATAATAAGCACTTAAAAATTTCCTAGCTACTTTCAATATTTTCTGTTGTGACTTGCTCATATGCTCCTGCCTGAAGTCGATTTTTTGTTGAATATACATAATGTACTTATCTTCTCCAGTTTTTTCTTCCTCTTTGAAAAACTTTAGCCAATAAAGATACGAATTTGGCTTGGTCATATCATTCTTTTTCACCTTATTCAAGTCTCTAATCGACGTGCTCATTGTCTCCAATATATCTCCTACTTCTGTTATTTTTCTGATCAGTTCTACGTCAATTTTTGTTTCTCCTAATAAATCACATAAAAACATAAGGGTCGCGCACATTTGTTTTTTTCTGTATTCAAAAAAGTCATCAAAGCTCAAGTCGCCATCTTGTTTAGCCCTGATATTTGAAAATAAAACAGTTTTGGCTTCTCTTCTTATCTCTTCAGCGAGCACATTGGAATTTTGTACAGTTTGGCTGATCCAGCCATCAATGTGGTAGTTAAAAATATTCCAGAGCTCTCTGACTAGGTAAACAGCGAATTCTATATATGAATCAGCTCCTTTTACTAAGCGGCCTAAAGAAAGGTCATCTCTCTGTGTAATTGCTAAGAAAACTTGACCTACTTTATGGATATCCCAGCAGTTGAGAAGACTAATAGAAATTAAATCAAGCCAAATGCAGAGGAATTTCATTTTGTTTCTCAGCTCCGCATTTGCTCTTGGCAGTTTTGGCTCAAATCTGACGAATTCCAGCATGGCTAAAAAATTGATAATCCACTCATACTTGTGTCTTCCGAACAATTTTTCATGAATATCCATGATTAACTCCGTAGAAAACGGCTTGGCTTTATTATCAATCACAATGTGAATTCCATGCAGAGTTGGACAGTCAAACGCAATACTCAGCTTAAAAGGAGGAATTCCATCAGGAATATCTACATAAAAGGTATTTAATGCGTTTTGCTGGCCTTTTTGTTTTTTAGCCAATGTATGCAGCTGATGAGCTGCTAAATATTCAAGTGCTGTTTGATGGGTTATTGACTTTCTCTGTTTCATATATTCTACTACTTCGTCTACAAGCTCACTAGGGACTCCTGCAGCTATTGCAATATTTTTTGCATGCAAGCCCATATGTCCTCTCTGTATTCCTTCAGTTACCATCGCTCTAAGACTAGAAAAATTACAAGCAAGCCCTACACTTGCCATGACCTGCGCCAGTTCTAATGCAGAAGGAAACCCAAGAATATACTGTGTGGTCTGATATAAAGAATTTGACTTTAAAGCACCGCCTTGTGTGCCGACTGCTATTGGGATTTCGAGCCTTCCGTAAAAAAAGTTACCTTCAGTCCAAAACTCGGTAAGCGGCTGGTAATTTCCATTTCTGCAGCACCATGCGTGGGCTGCGGCTTCTATTCCTCTAGTATCTTGGCCTGTAGCCAAACCGACTGCGTCAATTCCATTTAAAATTCCTTTATTGTGAGTGCATGCTCTATATACACTGAGTCTTGCGAACTCTAAAGCTTCTATCATTCTTTTTGATACGTCTAAGCCAGGCAAACTTTTATAGGCCATATCTTCTATTGGAATTCTGAATTCTGTTATTACTCTTCTTTGTGTGCAGTAGTTTGATAGGATTCTCAGCCCAGTTCTGCAATTCGGGATAAGAGCTAAGACGTCCTTTGCTAAGTTTTCACATAATGAGTTCACAATGTTTTGCACCTGAAGTGTATTTCCTCAGGACTATTTGGTTCGTCAGACATTTGCTTGACGTTACTGATTAAATGCTGAAATAGCTCGATAAATATTTCCAAAAAAAACTTTGACCAAAAGACCTGCTACAATTTGCACCCATAGCGTCACAGACATTAACAGAAATTTCCACAATCCCCATTACAGCAGAAAGCTGAATAAAGGCTATATCAATCACTCCTCCACCCCTGATAACCATTCTTGGGCAATATTCTTGGTTAGCTTTCTTTATAAGTTTTTCTTTATGTGACTCAATGATTGTTTTCGCATCAGTCGGCTCAATATCAAGAAGTTGGATTTGGCCTGTCATGATGGGTGCTGTAGAGCTTGATTTAAACCCACCGTGCTGCTTGATTAACTTTGCAGCTGACGTAGCTGCAGCTACTATAGAAGGCTCTTCTGTGCACATAGGGACAATATAATTTTTGTTGTTTACTTGAAAGTATAATCCTAGTCCTAAAGGGAGAGAAAGCCGACCTATACAATTTTCAATCATAAGGTCTGCAGTCTTTAAATCAAGACCACCGTCTGAGATAGATCCATTTACCTGTGGGAATAAAGCGCGTATTATTTCTTGCCGCTCCTGGATGGTCTTTTTATGAAAGCCGGACATATGTGTGAGAGATTCAGACATAGTGTTCAATTAATCAGTATTGTATTATTTATCACAATTTATATAATAATCACAGTAAAGCCATTGATATGGGGGTTTTCTTGATTAAAAAGGATTAAATAATCAATAAAGAATATTATTAAAGTTTTAATATAATATCTCTAAAAAGATTTCAGAGGAAGTAATAGTGTTATTAATCTACACTAAATTCGGTATTTCCTTCTAGAGTCTTCTAAGAAATAATATTTTCATTCATTATTTTTCTCATGAATATTTGTGAAATTAGATATAAATGCGACTAATAAATAGAGCTATATCAAAGTATATATAATGGAAACCCAAAAAGCCAGCACTTTACCATCAAAAAACCCAATTGAGTGGCTTAATCAATTTTTAGAGAGCCCTAATCCATCAACAAAAGAAAATTATGAAGGTCTTAATAAACTGACCTATAGAACTGGGAATCTAAACACATTATACGAAATCAAAGGCAAGCTTGAGCTATTACTTCACACAAAGCAAGAAATTGTGAATGGGTTTGAAAATTACCAGGCTGCTGAACTTGAAGATGAGGTCTCGTCTGAATCGACTTCGAGCGAGCATGGAAATGAGTATGTCCCGTTTTCAGATGAAGAAAACCAGTAAACAAATATTAAATAAAGCTTTTTGGTTAATAGTTATATCATATACATTGTTTAAAAGCCTATATAGCAAAATGATACTTATTAAAGTCAATCTGATAATTGATTATCAATTTTTTATCTATCAAATTAATTTATTTCCTATCAAAATCATTGTCGATTTGTTTTAATCCTGGATGGACTCCCAGTCACTCTTAGCCAGCAATCTCTAAACGTTTATTTGCTCTTCTATCGCCATTAATAAATCTATCTTCAGTTAAGTATTGAGCAAGTCCATTTGTTCCTACATTCTCTAGTCTTGTTTTATAATTAATATTGTTTTTATCCCCATAGTAAATTATTCCTTCTTGAATTTAATGTGAGAAATTATATATGACCCATAATCATTTTACTCTGACTTCAAATCACATAATAGGTACAGTCTTTTTGAATCTAGTGACAGGCAGCTCTTTTATCTGGATTAAATAAGGCTGAATTTAAGACTTTTAAGCCCTTTATTGAGCTAGAAGTGGCTAAAAGTCAGAAAAATTATAAGTTGTGACTTTTATATCATAAATATGGAAAAAGGATATGAAAAATTATCAAAAGTTCTAGGCTCAGACAAAAGTAATAAACTTGATTTTTTAGAAAAAATAATAGAATGTGTCTTTCAAGACTATGACTGCCTCCCTGAAGAGTTTGAAGCTCAATTTTCAAAATCGGTAGTTTACCTCCTCTGCTGAATTTTGCTTCCAAGAATCGACCCACCTCCATTACCCCAAGATTTATTAATCCTACGCTCTCAACTCGACATTGACACTTCTAGTTTATCTTCCATCTTATACAGCAAGCTGATAGAAACCTACAATAAGCCAGGCATACCAGAAACTTATAAAATTTTGCTTTACAATGACACACTTATTTCAATATCTTTACTGATCCCAAAATTTAACACAGAATTTTTATCTGTCCTTCTGGCTAGTGACTCTATTCCTCCTTTGCTATGAATTCTTACTTATACTCAGTATGCAAGCATTGCAATCCAATTGCTGCCAAGAGCTATCATAAAGAAAGATGGAGTAAAAGAATTGATTAATTCCTTCGGCAAAGGTGACAATAAAGACAAGCTTAAAAATCTCGCTGTAAAAGTGCTGACTTCTCCGCCTAATAAATGAACAGAAATACCAAGAGACGAGTATGTAAGAAATATATGTGATCAAGCCGTAGACTTGATGATAAATCATAAGTGCGATGCATATGTAGACTCTATATTAAGTGAAACTGCTAATATATTGCTAAATAATTATCCAGATGAAGTTCTAAACTTATTTTTGAGACATATAATGATAACTCCAGGAGAAATTGAAAGCAAAATGATTTGTCTAGAATATTTGATGAAATATAACCCTCCTCATAGGCTTATATTATACCATGTATCTAATAACTTTGCGTTTTTTATGAATGCTTATGAGTATCTTCAAGGCTATAAAGCATTATTGGTTAACTCAACAGTAAATTCTATTATGCTGCAATTTTTTAAGTATTGGCCTGAAGCCTCTCATCAGCTTTATGATTATGTGTCGCAGCCTGACCATTTATGATCATTTACTATCAATGATGACGGACAAGTCTTTGCTATAGATACTGCTCCAGATCCAATTGAAAAAATTGATTTTTACAATAAAATCACAAACTTGATTGAGCTACTCTCTTCTTCTCCTTTATCTGAAAAAGCTTGTGCAGACCTATTTTCAATGCTTCTCCAGCGTTTTAACGAGTCCTCACCTCTAGATTCTGTATATCTCATTGTATATATGGTTCAAAATTTAGGACAAGAAAGGCTGCTTATGCATCCTAAACATATGAGCTTCTTTTTAACAAAAATGCTTGACTCCCAAGACCCAAGTATTCTTGAAATCACTTTGACAATCCTCTCAATGAGCTTAGCTGGCGTCTCTTTTTCCATTGAAGATAAATCCTTTTTAATCCAAATTTCTCCAAAAGTAATCGACCTTACAAGCCATCAAAACCTTGAAATAAAGCAGCTAGCTGGTGCTGTGAATTCTATGATTTCTCAAGCGATTTCACAAAGCACTATAGAAGTCACAAAAGACGATAAATATGCAGACATATATAAAGATCTAAGCTCAAAAAAGCCATATGAAAGAGCATTAGGGTTATTCAGGATAAGCACACTAATAAAAAACCAAGAAATCGAAATCCCATGGAGTGCTATAGAAAATGCTATAGAAGACGAAGACACTTTTGTGTTTGGGAACTTAGTTAAAGCTTATATGAGCTTGTTTACTGTAAAGAGAGAGCTCACATTGCAGAGGCTTAAAACTGTTTATCGCCAAGCTTCTGTTTTATCGAAAGAAAAAATTATGGAAATTATATATCAGTTGATAAGAATGATGCAGGATAAAACAATTTTGGTAGAGTCTAGCTTGTTTGTGTGGATGATAAGTTTGTTTAGTACAGAAGAAGATGAAATGCTGAGAAATGGAATTATGAGTGTGATTGCTGAGCTTGTGAAGTATGGAAAAGGAGGGATAAGTGGGGGTTTTTCGTTTGTGATGAGATCTGCTCTGAATTCAGTGAAAATATCTTCTGCAAGGGTACAGTCAGCACAGCCTGTTGATGGTCTGCTAGTGTCTGCTTTAAAGCTGATTGCTAAAGCAGTTAAGCATGTTCCTATTGAAATTCTTCAGGATGATATCCAGGATATCCATGATTCAGTACACATTTTAGAACAATTTTATAAAAAAGACGATAATATCTCTATACTTATCAAATCTATACTTATAAAGCTAGAATCTTTATATTCAGAGCTGCTAGGAACGATAAACATTAAAAATGTTCCATATGATTTTGGATTTAAATAATTTTTGAAATATAATCTGAATAATTAAATTAAAATGTTTATGAGGTAATAATTTATTATTATTCAAGATGCAAAAGAACCTCAAGAATAAGCCAAAATTCAAAAAAGGCCACACTAAAGCTAAAAACACTCCAAAGATGAAGAAAAAAGATAAGGGGATGAGCTGGAAGGTTACTAAAGATATTGATAAGAAAATTGAGAAAGTTATGGCAGCCAGAGCTGAAAAATTCGATGAGAAGTTTGATTTAGTAAAAGCAGATGAAAGGCATCTTGATATTAAAGGCAAAAAGCATCCTAATCTTTTGTCCTGTTTACTAAGAAAAATAATTGAATGTTTTAGAAAAATTATTGCTAATCTTTAAAAAAAATGTTTTAATATTTGGCTTAATTATTTTTAATATATATTAATGCTTATCATAAAAAAATCCCAAGCAAATTATATTAAATTTAAGATAGCTACATACGTTTTATAATTAATATAAATTTGTCATTAAATATTTGTAAACTTTGATATTAAAAGAATAAAAATTTTTTAAATAAAAGTAATACCCCACTAAATAAACTAAATAAGGGAGAATTAAGAAAAAAAAATCATAATCGAAATCCGAAATATTAAGATTTTAAAATCTTTCTTTCTAAAACTAAATTATATGAAGTAAGCTTTCTATTTATTCTATCGAAGATAAATGAATAAAAAAGCACAAATCCGATTTCTAATATTTATGTAAAAATTTTCCATGGCGTCGAATTGAATCGTTATTACCTTTGGCGACGAAAAATGCTTTTATTTTTGCTTGTGCATATTTCTCAATACTTTTTCAGCATTTCTTCGGTAACCCTAAAAAATTTAAGACGCCTATTCTTTTCTTAGGCTTCCACAGCCTTGGTCAAAGAAAATGCGCGACTAGTTATCTCAATTATAAAATGGAAGAAGAGACCACTAGCACAGATACTCTATCCGAAGGAACTGACATTCTCGACCCCAGAGTCTGCAAGAGCTTCTTTGCGGGTAACTGTGAAGCTGGCAAGTTATGTACTTTTAAACACACTTTTCCCATCCGTGAGGTCGTTTGCAAATATCATCTTCTCTACAAAAACTGCTCAAAGGGCTCTCTTTGTCCTTTTCTTCATGAAATCACTGAAGATAAAATTCCTGACTCCTTCGTATACTAAAAATCTCAAAATTAGCTTATTTTATATATATAAACTGCAAAAAAATATTTTTTTATGAGGAGAGTGAGTGCCGCAACTTTATGATTGATGGAGAATGCAAGAACCCAGACTGTAAATTTAAACACAGTGCTGAAAGACGCGAGCAAAAAGAATGCATCTACTACAAGATGGGATTCTGTGAGCAAGGCAAGTTCTGCAAATTCAAGCACATCAGAAGAGAAGTCTGTCTGCAGTATGCTGAAACTCAAGCCTGCATATTAGGTAACGCCTGCCCTAAGGAGCATATTGATTATATAGACGAAGCTTATTTGGAGGATGCCTTTTATAAATACCACCCAGACGCAAAAGACGTGAATTACCATCAGGCTTTTCAGCTCTGCTTTAGGTGCATGAAGTTTGGCCATATACCTGCTAAGTGTACGGAGCCAGTTGAGCAGAAAGTAAAAGGAGTGAGGTGTTATAGATGTTCTGAATTTGGCCATAAATCCAATCAGTGCTTTTATCAGTATTAGAGTGCTGAAAATCAGGCATGTTGTAAAAAATAAAATAAAATAAATTATAAACCTTCAGCGAAATTTATTTCTATATTAATAGTTAATTACTTTTAATGACTTCTTTTATAAGCTGCGCAATTAATTCGCTATTTTCTTCAGTAAAGCCAAGCCCTTCTAGGTCATCTAGCACAAATTTTGTATCAATTTCAATCTGCTTCATCATTTTTTCCTGGTCAGATTCTGCTGCATTAGGTGTATACTTGCTTAAAAGTTCCCCAGATTTTCTGATTTGTTGATAAGTCTCATTAACCAGCTCTAAATACCTAATCAAAATTTTTTCAACTACTCTTTGTTTAGACCCAGATTCAAGATTAATTTGTTTTAAAGGCTGCAAAAAGCTCCCTACAAAAGGAGATGGGTTAATAGGAGACGGCCTATTAGTCATTCTATATGATGCTGGAATCGACCTTATTGCTTCTAAATTAGATAAACATTGCCGGGTCAAAGCTTCAGCCAGACATCTCGTGCAAGGATCTAAAAGATTCTGCAAAAGGCTTTCTTTTTCTAATAAAACTTCTGCACCCATCTCAATTTCGCTAATCCTTTCCTTTAAAGTTTTTACTTCTTTTACTAATAAAACCAAAATATCAATCCCAACCCCTTGATTTTTGCTTTGAAAATTCAAATTTCTGGTAATAAAATTCACAAAAGTCGAGACTATTTGAAAAGAAAGCTTCATAAACCTCGCTTTTAAGTGCTCAATTTGCAGGGCTTTGTCCCAGCAGACTTTTAAAGCAGCTATATAAGCTTCGCTGGGGTTTTGTGATAGCAGGATTTCTAAAGACTCAGATTTTAAGAGCTTGCATAAAGGGCCAATGATTTCTTTTTTTTTTAATTCGAAAAATGTGGGGAGGTTTAGTCTGTCTTTGAATTCTTGGTATTCTTGAGAGTCTTTAAATTGGGCTGGGTTTGGGAGATGCGAGGCAAGATAGTCAATAAATTTCATTGTAACTGAGATAGATTGCAGATATTCTTGCTGAAAAGTTGGCAAGTAGACTGTTGGAATATTTGAAATGGATTTAAAGACTGCACTCCATAGAGATTTCAGTAAAATATTGCAGATCGGGGCAGCACTGATGTAAAGGATTAATCTTCCATTTGAAAGTTCTTCTTGAATTAACTTGAAGTACAGGGTTAAATCTATTGTATCTTGGACTTTGGCGCCTGAAATTAAATCATTCAAAATAGGAAGCACTGATTTGTCTCTTAAAAGTACCTGTGCTTCTGATTCAAGATTAAGGTGTTTATAAGACCTAAGTAGGCATTTAAAATGCCGCTCTGCTTTTTTAGAGGTGCTTCAGGCTACTAATTCTCTTGAAAGTAGCAATAAAAAGTCAGACTTTAGCTGTGAATATAATGCGTTATAACCCCCTTTCAAAATTTCCCCAACACCTGCAAGCGCTCTACTAATCCTTTCAAATAAAGCTCCATGGTTCAAGCTAGTATCATTATTCATACATTCATTAGAAACCTGCCTTAAAGCAGGCAGCTTCGCCTCAACCTCAGACAAATTCATTTCAATTTTTTCAGATTCTCTTTTTTTCTTTAAATTCGCCTGCTCTTCATTGTCAATTTTTATAGCTTCAGCTGCTTTAGAAGCAGCATCACGGGCTCTTTGATATATGAGATTGGTTTCTTCACAAAATTCTGAGGCTGATTTGTGCAAGACTTGGATTTCTTCTTCGAATTCAAGCAGCAGGTCAGGGATTTTTATGAGTTTGTCAAAATCCATTTGGATGTGGTGGGAAAGGGATTTTTGGGTTGAGTCTAAATAGGCTTTGAGGTCTTGTTTAAGGAGGCTAGCCGAATTAAATAAATTGTGAGTTCTGCCTGCGAAGCAAGAGCTGAGGAAATCGTCGATATTTAGGTTGGATTCAGATATTAAGTGAAGAGGAAATTCAGAGCGAAGCTTTCGTTGGAGACTGTGAGCTAGTTCCTGGACTGACATATTAATTTCAATTAGTTTAGAAATATGTTTAATTACTAAGCTAAGTTGAAAGGCTATGCTGGCCATAAGCAGGTGAATCCACTAGCTGCCGCTCATCGTGGTTCCAAAAAGTCGATGTATCACCTGTCCAAGGAATTAGATGACTTAATATGAAATTTTTAATAAAATAAAGATATTGCAAGCCATTCGATTTTACTATAAAAATATCTTTACCAATAAACTCTAAATTCTAAAGATCCTTATTTGTTATGGTCAATAAATTTTACTTAATTTATAATTTTTTTCTTCTTACTATCTAAATAAGGTATGAAATAAGAGCAATTACCGATTTTTTAATACCAATAAAAAGCCATTGGGATCTTCCATTATTTAAAACACACTTTGCATCAATAAAAGCTAGCCAAACCTAAATCACCTATTATTCTTTCATGCTAAAATCTTAATAAAGCGCACATTAACAAACTATAGGCTAATAATGAAAGTATTTTTATGTTGTATTAAGTTTCCCAAAAAGAAAGCAGAAAGCAAAGAGCCTACAAACAACGAATATCAAAACCTCTCAAACAGCTACTCAATTATATCAATAAAAAGTTCTGACGAAAAATCTATGGGCTCTTCCACTTTGTTAAAAGAAAAATGCAATATTGTTGTGGATGCTCCAAGTGCAGACGATACTAAAAATTATGAATATATTCAGAGAAAGCGGCCAAAAGCTTATAATTTATGCAACAACACTATAACTGTCAGACATATAAAGGATAACAATGTAGGCTCGATGAAATATTCGCGTATTATCAGAATAAAGAAAAATCAAGCCACAGTCCCTCCTCCAAGCCTCTAGGTCAGGATTGTTTATAAACTATTGCTTGCTTACAAAGTAATTTATATGTAATTCTAGCTCTCTCTCTGTGAGCTAGTAAAATTGTTTGCAATATTTAGAATGAATTTTACTTTTGATTTTTTTTTATACAGAAATTATAAAAAAAAATCCAAAAATTTGTAGGTAAACATCTGTCAAATAGCTTATAAAATATCTATTTAGAATGGCCATCTAAAATTTTAATAAAATTAGTTGAAGATGTAATAATAATTACCATATTATATATATGGCAAAATAAATTTTCGCTCATAGACGGAGTAATTTTCATAGTAAGCTTTCAGATAGGGAAGAGTTAAGCAAACTTAACAATAAAAGGTGTTTTTTGTAATTTCACATAAAACAAAATTATTAAATATTTATTAAAATAGTTATGGTTCTTTCGAAATCGACTCATTTGCTTTTTTCTTTGCCTTTGTGCGGTGCTTTTTACCTTTATGGTCTTTTTTCTTGCCACTTCTGCCTTCTTCCGGCAGCTGTGAATAGAACCCACTTGCATTCCTTCTTCTCTTAATATTATGCATCCCAACCCTATCCTTCTTGACTTCTTTTTTCTGCTTTTTTTGTTTTTTTACTTGTTTTTTTCTAGATTTTATATCAATTGCCAGCCTTTCAGGTGACAAAAATCTAAACCACTGCTGAGAAATATTATCAAGCCCAACTTCTGTAAACGCATATTGCCAATGAGGAAGTCCCAAATGCATGACCATAAGTCTAAAATAATCCGTAAAAGAATTCGCAATAAAAAACCAATCCCCTGATAAATCTTGAAAATAAATCTGAGGGTTAAAAACATTGTCTTTATACACAAGCCCCAGTCTGCCATCCTTTACATTTTTGTCTAAATCAAAGACTTTTATATCAGATAGGTCATTTTGGTCACTCCCCCCCTCTCCGTGAGTGAACAAAAAAATTTTGTTCACTCATGGAGGGGAGTTAATTTTTTTTTTTAAAAAATTTATATAGAAAATATTATAGAAAAATTTTTTTTTCGAAATTTTAAAAAAATCCTAATTTGCAAAAATTGGAAAGCAAATATTGATTTAATTATTAAATTTTTTTTTAAAACGCAATTCGTTAAAATTAAACAGAATTAGCTCGAGATTTCATTATACTAATTATCACTTATATATCAATTTCTTTTTTCATAAAAAAAATTTTCTATTAAAAAAATTTTTGTTCACTCATGGAGTTGGGCTTTTGGGCAAAAAATAGGGGATTTTTTCTACTGGTTTTGTTCACTCACGGAGGGGGGAGTCAGGGAAAGGTGGATCATCTCCAAGGCTACGTAGAATATATTGTTTCATAGGGAAAGGCTTGATATCATGCAGTTTATTTACATGCATTTGTCCTAGCGGCTGAGTCTGCGAGTTCATTCTGATTTTCCATTGTAGCAGCAGTCCGTCTGAAATCTGCAAAAAACTTTTTATATCATCTGGCAATGTATAGGGGGCGTTTTCTTCTTCCCAATTTGAAAGCAAAACTTCAGCAACGCCTTGCCGTTCATTAAATTCTACTTCAGTGACCCCTGGATGGTTTTCTAAGAAAGAGATGACGCTGTCGCTTATTTGTTCAAAAATCTCAAGGACGCTTTGCTTATTCATTTCTTAATATTAGGCGGGCCATGAATTTATATGAAAATAACCAAAATATTTTATATATGATTAGATTTGTAAGGTTTCAAGCTTTTCTATGATTTTTTCTGGCTCGGACTCTCTAAAGCTGTCTGAAGCTTTACAGCAGGCTTTATATTTTTTATTTGACCCACATCAGCATTTTTCGTTATTTGAGGGCAACTTAGCTGGCTTCATCCCTAAAGCTAAGCTTTTTTTGGATTTTTTTTCTTGCAGCTTTGGTGGCTCAGGCTCTTTTACTTCTTCTTTTGTTTCTTCTCTGGTAAACCCAAACTTTTTAGCTTGAGCCACATCATTGATTAAGCTTCCATGAAATTCATTAATAGCATCAATGCTGGGCGCCTCATGAAATCTCTCGATAAGGACTCTTTTGATTAAATTTTTATTTTCCTCATATAAAATTAAGGATGCATACTCAACTGCATCATTTCAAGTTTCGTCCGTAGCTTGTTCAAGGCTTTTGACTGTTCTTAATACGTCTGGTATTGATCTAGCAGGTTCATGAGTATCATCACCTATAAGTCTAACGCTATTATAATGGTCTCCGTCATGATATGACAAATGAATAGTTTTCACAGAATCATCATGATTTCGGACTTCCCAAATTGGCTGCCCTAGCATGTGGATTTTTATATTCACTGCCAAAGCTAGCGATAAAGCTTGAATTTCTAAATTTCCGCCCCACACAGAAAGTTTTCTCATATTAGCTATATATTCATCAAATTTTTTATCATCTTCTATAAAAGGCTCAAAGTCAGGGCGATTCTCAATCATAAATTCTACAGCCATATTTCGATAAATTTCATGAGCACTCTCTTCGCCAGTCAGCTGATCACTTATTGCTCTGAACAAGCAATTTCCGTCTCCTGTAATTTCTCTGATGTGTAGATTGAACGGCCTAAGCTGCTGTGACAGCTTAAAAAACTCAGTTTTCCAGGCAATTTGGTCAAGATTTCTTCTTCCTTTGTTTTTTTCTCGTTGCTTTTTATTAGGATTTCCTTTTTTCCCTTTGTTCTTTTTGCCCATTATCTCCTTTTAAATGTTATATAACCCATAATAGTTCATAATTACATTTTAAAATGAACCAAAAAGAAAACCTGTCTTCTTACAAAGCTGACCTTTTCCAACTTTTCAAACAGCAAGGCATGGACAACGACTTAAAAGCCATTATGCGAGCCAAGCTTCTTACAAAGATAAAAGGTCAGCACCAAGTGAAGCCTGACGACTTGAATACTCGTATATTATCAAGCCTTTTTCTGGACTTCTTAAAAGCTCAAGGCTTCCAATACACCACATCTGTTTTTGTCCCAGAATGTGGAAACTCAGACAGGATGCTTTCACAAGCTGAGATTGCCCAAGCCCTTGGCGTGCCTCTTCCTGATGCCGGGTCATTTCTTGAATATATTATTGCACAGTTTAAAAAATCAGTGACTAAGCCTCATATGTTTGAAAGTGCAGCACAGACAGAAGATGATGCGGCTGTAAGCAATTTGGAAGAAAGATTGAGAAAGCTAGATATAGAATACATCCAAAAAACCAAAGTTTCAGATGACCCACAGACACTTGAAGAAAGAATGCTGAGGTATCAAAGGGAATGTGACACCCGCATGAGAAATGACCTTGCCCAAGAAATTGCAAGGGTCAGAGAAATCGAAATCAGTGCTTTAAGAATAGAAGAAGCCAATAAATATAGGCAGCAGCTTCAAAAAATCAGAACTGAGCAAGAAGAGTACTGAAGACAGCAGTTAGAAGGCTTAAAAGAACGAGAAAGAGAAGCCAGAGAACGGCTTATGATAAGAGAAAAAGAAATTGAAGCCAAAGAATACGCTCAGAGGCAGCAGCTGCTAAAAGATATGGAAGCCCTAAAACAAAAGGAAAAAGACTTAAAACGTGCAGTTGAGCTTGAGCTTGAAGGTGCAAGACTGCAAAAACAGTCCTGGGAGCAAAAAAAGAACGAAAGTGAATCCAAGCTTAAAGAAATGGAGGCATTAAGGACCAACATGGTAAATAAAGCTGAAGAAGACTTCTTCCACTATAAAAGAGAATATGAAAGAGAGCATGAAGAAGAACGAAGAAGACTTATCAATGAAAGAATGGAGCTAGAAGCGATGAGAAGAAGCCTAGATATGGACACTAGCAGGTCTAAAAATAATGAAGAAAAATGGCACATGATTTTTAATCTGCAATTTCCTGGCCGAAAAACAGTTTTTTTCTCTTTCAAAAATTTAAATATTTTTGCCTATACACTGAAAAATTTTTTGTAAATTTTTGCATATGGCTAGTAGAATAAAATTTAGCCAAGAAAAATGCATGAAGCTGGAAAATGATTTATCAGAAGCTTTAAGGCTTAAAACATTATTCAAAGAAGAAAGGAAAAAATTTGAAAAGGAACTGGCTCAAACTAGAGAAGAGCTGAGAATTATGAATGAGACTGGCAGGAGAAATATGGATTTGCTGGTGCTGAAAGAAGAAGAATTAAAATCAGCAAGGGCTGACTGTGAGACTTATAAAAATTTGTTTTTGGAGCAGAGAGAGACAGTTAAGAAATACGAAAATTACCAGCAAGAAATAGTTAAAAAATTGACGAGGGAGGTAAATAATGTAAGAAGCTTGGGAAATGAGTATTTAAATGAGCTTGACCCAGGCGATGAATATTTAGCAGAAAGAAGGCAAGCTTTTGAAGCACTTTCAAGAGAAACTGTAGAGTTAGGCAGGACAGCTACAGAGCTTCTCAGGCCGGCTCCTATGATGAGGTTTTCTGACCCTTTTTCGTCTATAAAAATCCCGGGCAGGGCTACTCTTCCTTCATATAGCCACTACTCCCCCAGGACTTCTCCTAACCGTCAAGACGAGATCCCAGAAGTCAGTTCTCGACGTGAAGAAGAGGCCAAGTCTAGCCGTTCCCCACCTCCAGTCAGACAGCGCACCCCTGAGCAGCAATCTCCTCCTCCATACAGAGAGCCCCAAAGAACTCCTGAACAACAGACTCCTCCCAGATACCAAATGGCTTATGAAGAAGAAAAAAGCAGAAACAATCCAGCTACAAATACCCGCCCTCAAGCCCCTTACATAGAACGTGAGCCTTCAGAAGACATAGAAGAAAGCGGGCACATTTTTGAAAGCGGCTACGACTATAACGAGACTGAAGAAGAACAAAAACTCCCAACTCCTCCCCCTGTAGACCTCACAAGAAGAGTAGAAGACTACGAAGTCAAACTTAAAGAGAGAGAAACGTTCTCCTTAAGGCTGTCTCACCAAGCCTCCCCTGAAGAAAGCCAGGAAAGCTCTAGCATCGATTCTGATCCAATAATATAAAAATATTTAAAAAATAGAATTTAATTAAAAATATTTTTAGAACAGTTTACATGTACAAAAATTACTCCATTGAGGTATTGCGTGAATAAACTTCTAGGATCATGGTCGCGATTTCTTCAACAATCACAAGGTCTTCATCTTGGCTTTGGTGCAGAATTTTTACAATGACAGGGTATAAGTTGTATTGGTCAAGCAGCTCTCTTGGCTTTTGGAATTTGGAGCATAGTAAGTATAAGAAATCTAAACAGTTTTTGACAAGTCCTGGCTGAGGCCTCTGAGATATTTCTGATACGATTTTTATAAAGATTGACGAAATCTTGGAAAATTCTCTGACACAGAGTTTGGAGGACCGGAGGATCTTGATAAAACACTGTAAAATGTGGTCGAAATAGGTAGAGGAAATAAAATATTTGACAAGAATACTTAGGTTTTCAGGAAGGACGAGCTCGGAAGAACACCTTGATGGGTCATATGTGACCCAGTTAGCTATTCCGTCTATAGCCCGAGAATATTTCGCGACATTTTTGATAAATAAAGATAATATTGAATGAGAGCATAAAATTTTGCTACAATAAATAGACGCTGTGGGGATATTTAGCAGTAGCTGAAAGGCTAAATCTCCATTCTCCCCTCCTTTTTCTACAAAATTTTTCAAGATTTCTACCCCATTAGCGAGCACAAGCTGCTCTTGTCTAGCTGGGCTTAATTTCAATAAATAATTCAACGCTCGCAAAGCATTTTTCTTGACAGCGTCATCAAATTCGTGCTCTCTTCTCAAAATGCAGGCTAAATCTAGGATAATCCCTGAGTTTTCCAAAATCTGTATATAAATTACATGCTGGATTGACCTTTCCCTTGATAAAAGTCTAATAATATTAACCAGCTTACTTTGAGCTTCTCCAGTCACATCATATATGCAGTTCACAAGGTACTGTAAATTATCTTCTTCACAAAATTTCTGTTGGACAGTTCGTGGTCCCTATTTATAATTTACTTTTGCAAAAAGAAGCAGCAAGTCGCATACATAGGTAAGGTTAAGCTCAGAGTCTTTGGCTTGGTTTATGTTATCAAGGGTGATTACAAGTCTTTCAATAGCACCATAGCTTGCTCAAATTCGTAAAAAATCGTCATTTTCGGATACTGTGAGGTCAAGCATACATCGGATGCCGAGGGTAACTATTCTATTTAATGGTAATTGGGTATATAAAAAATTTATTGTGGTAATTCATTAGAGAAATATATAAATCACTGTTATTTTTGTAGTCTAAATCAATTACTTTTGGAATCGCTTCTATGCCTCCACTTGCGAGGAATAGCTTTTTTACGTCTGGCGAGGAGTGGGAAAATTGTCCTAAAATATAAGCGGCTTCTATACGGATCTCTTTTATGTATTCTTCCCCTGTGTATCTTAAAGCTAAAGGAAGTAGTCCAATCACGCAGACTCTTTCCTGTAGTATTTCATCTCCTTCACATATCTGGCTTAGTAGCTGGAGTGCTAGTTGGATTTTATTCTATTTTCTATTGATGTTTTTAAAATTATTGTCAAAAGCTGTCTGATAAAAAATAGATTTTTTCTATAATTCAAATTCCTATTAATTCTATCCAGCATATTATTTTCTTCTACCTCTTCCAATATTTCTTTAATATTCAAAATCATATCCCCAGCATTTTCCTTCAGCTTTGGATGCACTTTAATCATCTCAATCAGCTGCAGCTCAATTGTAAACAAATTATGACTTCTCGAATTGAACGCTTCCAACAAATTATTAAACTCCCTCGTCTCTTTTGTAGTAACCTTATCATCTGCACTTACAAAGCTGATCCCTTCTGACACTATGCTAAGCGCTCTGCTCTCTCTCAGCTTCTGCAGACACGAATCAAATGACCCGTAGTCATCGCTTTCAATTTTTGTTGACTTACTAGCCGTTCTTGTCGTTGGTAAATGCTTTAGCATTTTTTGTGGCTCAGGGACTTGGACATTTATTTCTAAAATCCCGTCTTCTTCCTCTTCTGTGTCTTGCATGTGGAAGCTGCCTCTTGCTATATTTCTTCTATGCCCTAGAGGACTTGAGCACCTTTCGTCAGTTGCTGAGTCATTTATTTCTAATTTTTCTATTTCAATGATGCTGCCTATATGGCTTCTTATTGTGTTGACTTCTTCTGGGGTTTCAGTTTCTGGCTCTGCTGATTTTTGGGTTATTCATGGGTGTTTTAATAAAGCTTTGGCGTCCACGCGGATTAGTGGCTCCTTTTGGAAACATTTGGTTAAAAAGTCTTTAAGCTCTTCACTGATGTTTGTAGGCAAAGGCGGGGCTGGGTCTTGAACCACTCGGTATAAAGCTTGCATGGGCTCTAAGTCGTAGTAAGGAGGACTTCCGGTGACAAGCTCTATTACGGTGCAGCCTAAACTTCAAATGTCGCAGGCAGGGGTCGTTGGGCCAGTTGGGTAGGCTATTTCAGGAGCCATCCAGTAAGGCGTCCCGACGACACTCATAGATTTTGTGGTTTCACTTAGCTTGGTAGCGACTCCAAAATCTGTCAGTTTTACGATTCCGTCTTTCGTTGCAAGGATATTTGCCCCTTTAATGTCTCTGTGCACGATGCCTTGAGAATGCAAATAAACTAAGCCTAAAAGGACTTGTTTGATGTAAATTGAAACTAAACTTTCGTGAAATGGGCCATGCTTTTTGTTTATAGCTGCTAAGGAACCAATTTCGACGTATTCTAAAATAATGTTTAGATATTTGTCTGTTGAAATGACATCTACTTATTTTGTACCTATATATTTAACAATGTTTTCATGATTGAGCTTTTTTAGCAGGTGAATTTCCATTTGAATTGAGTTTAGTTGATCGTCTGATATGTTGCTGAGGCTGATTTGCTTTATCGCCACTATTTTGGCATTTTCTGTGTTTAAACCTTTATATACTTTTCCGCTAGCTCCTTTACCAATTATTTCGCCTACTTGCTAAGTTATTTTTACATAAACTCCAATCATCTTCATTTGAGGCTTGGACATTTATAAATAGAATTCTTGCATTTAAAATCAATATGATTTCAAATAAAATTTTTATTATGAATATGCAGATGCACACTTTTAGATTGATAGTATCTTATTAGTCTTTAGGATTGAGACGCTTGAACCATAATCTTCTTGCCTTATAGGTGCTACTCTATATTCCTTATATGGCATTGATTAAGGTCTTCCACCAAAAGCTTTCAATTATAAAGTCAATAGTTATTTTAAATTAAATTTCTATGCCTTAAAATTTTGTTTATGAATTTTATTTTTCTTTTCATAAACTCCTACTCGTATTAGAATGTAAAAATGCTTTGAAATCTCTGAAAATAAAATTATTATCTCAGCAATTTAACTATGCACAACATATATTCTCACAATAATTATTTATTTTCACTTACTTTTATGGAGAAACATATGATTTTACTTATAATAATACATAAAATGATAGAGAATTAGCGCCTTAAATATTGAGGCTATATATATTCGGTTGGATAACTACTAATAATTACTTTTTTTTGCGAATTTACTATGGTGGATTCGAAATTATCAAAATTATAATATATCTAGAAGTAAGTAATGGGACAGATTTGCATGAAATTTAAACCAAATCGCTACATAGAAGGTGAAGATAAAAATAACGATGTAACTGGCGAAGAAAGGACTCATTTAAATAGAGTTCCAAAACCAGACCATAAAAAAAGCGCAGTTCATGACGAAGAAGCAGCTTTACGAGAATTAGCTGAAAAAAAGAAAAAATCCAAGCCTGGGACCTTGAGACAAGTTATGACTTATATAGAAGCTCAGGACGCTGAAATCGACCCTCAGGCTCAAAAAAGCCAAGACGATAAAAAACTTATTATAACAGCACTGAATAATCATTTTATCTTTACAAGCTTAACTGATGAAGACAAAGAAATGGTCGCTGAGTCAATGCAGCTTTATATTTTTCAGCTGGGAAGTACCGTTTTCGAACAAGAAAAACCATCAAGGTCATATTATGTTGTTAAAAGTGGTGTCCTTGAAGTCATTGTAAATGGCAAAAGAGTCAACCGAATCCACCCAGGTGAAGGCTTTGGAGAGCTCGCTTTACTTCATGATAACCCACGATCAGCTACGGTCAGATGCCTAGAAAAAACCTTACTCTGGGGCATCGAAAGGCAGACCTTTAGAAAAGTTATTGAAGAAATGAACACACAAATATATGAACAGAATAGGGAGTTTCTCGAAAAGGTCGCCTTGCTACAGCCACTTAGCTCACGGCAAAAAGACTCTTTAGCAGCTTCTCTTGTAGCCTGCAAGTATACATCAGGCCAAAAAATAATTTCAGAAGGCGAAAGTGGGCAGCAGCTGTTTATTATAAAAGAAGGGACTGTTTCAGTACAAAAAGGGTCGCAAGAAATTGCCAGACTGCATGCTGGGGGCTACTTCGGAGAAATGGCCCTGCTTACTAATGCACCGAGATCAGCTACTTGTGTAGCTATTGAAGGTCCAGTCAAATGTGTATCTTTGTCCAGAGAAACCCTTCAAAAAACATTAGGAAACCAGCTTCAAGATATCATAGAAAAAAATACTATAATGGAGGCTATAAATAAATCAGAAACTTTAGGATACTTAAACAAAGACCAAAAAGACTCTATTATCAGAGAACTTCATATAAAAAGTTACAAAGGAGGTGACGTTGTAATCCAAGCAGGGACTTCTTGCAGCTCAAAACTCTTTATAATTATTACTGGCAGGCTTCAATTTGCAAAGACCACTCAACTTTTTGCAGATAAAGGCACTGCTGTCGGCGATGTGTATGTGGCCCAAACTCATTCAGAAGAGCAGAAATATGAAGATGACATGATTGCTTCGTCTGATATGAAAGTGGGTGAACTTACAAAATACCGATTCGAAGTCAGCATAGGCGGCAGATATGAAGACGTTGTCAAAGAAAACGCTGCCACCAATGTCTTAAGAAAAGTCTACCTATTTAACACCTTAGACAGTACCAAAATGAAAGAGTTGTTTGGGATCATCAGAAGTGTAAAATATGGAGAAGGCGACATTATCATAAAAGAAGGGACCCCTATTGATGCTGTTTATATAGTAAAACGAGGAAAAGTTGACTTAAGAAAAAATGGGGAATTGATAAGGACAGTTATGAAGCATGATTATTTTGGGGAGCGGGGCTTTTTGATTGATAATATTTCGACTGTCTCTGCAATAGCTAATGGAGGTGTCACGGTATGGGTTATCCAAAATAATGATTTTATACAGCTGGTCAATGAAAATATGAGAAAGCAGCTGCTGAAGAGAATAAAAATGGAGGACGAAAGGGTGGAGTTAAAAGATTTGATTGTGATTAAGCTGCTTGGAAAAGGGATGTTTGGAAAAGTATATTTAGTTAGACCTGCGAGTGCATTTCAGCTATATGCGCTTAAAGCGATTTCTAGGCGTAAAATCGATATCTACGCGATCCAAGAACACCTACTGCTGGAAAAGCATATTTTGCTTTTGATAGACCATCCGTTTATAGTGAAAATGGTGCGTACGTATAAAGATGACAAGCGAATTTATTTTTTATTAGAATATATTCATGGCCTTGAGCTGAGCATGATATTGAGGCATGTAGGTCTTCTCAGTAACAGTGATTCTCAGTTTTATATAGGCTCCTTGATACTTGTTTTGCAGTATCTTCATGAACGAGATATCATATATAGAGATGTGAAACCTGATAATGTTATGGTTGATTCTTCAGGCTTTATAAAACTAATTGACTTTGGTACTGCAAAGCAAGTGCAAGGGAGAACTTATACGCTGGTAGGGACTTATCATTATATGTCACCTGAAGCTATTGTAGGAAAAGGTTATAATAAAAATGCAGATTTATGGAGTTTAGGCATATGCTTATATGAATTCTTATGTGGAAGAGTTCCTTTTGGAGAAGACGAAGAAGATCCTTATAAGATTTATGAAGCCATTCTTGACATGAATTTAGAGTATCCATCAGAAATTGAAGGTCCAAGTGAGTCCGCTAAGTCTCTGATAGGCCAACTGCTAAGTAAATTAGGAGAGCATAGAAGTGGAGGATCAATAGAGAACCTAAAAAAGCATGAATGATTTGCAGGGTTTGATTGGGAAGGGCTAATGCACCAAACTGTTGTGCCTCCTTATACCCCTGATGTGGGGGATAATTTTGAAGACATTGAAGAAGATGATGCAGAGCAGAGAGAGCCTTGGGATCAAGTATTAAATCAGGAAAGTGAGGATAGTGATAGCTCAATGCCTGAGCTGATTGATACTGAACTTGAAGAGTTTAAACTGTCAATACCAAGAAATTGGGATGCTGGCTTTTAAATATTGTAAATTCATTTAATAAGAATTTGTCTATTTCCCTAATAAACAATTTCATTTTTTAACCATGAAATCATAACAATTTCTATTTAATAACGTTTTATTAACAGATTTTCTAGTCAGTAATTATAAATAATTTTAAAAGAATAGCAATTTTTAAGTTGACATCAGCTTTGAGCCTAAATCATGGACTTTTCTATCTAAATTTGGCAGCACCTCTTTATAAAAGTCTCGGCTTGACTGGCTTCCACTTTTAGGATTTGAATTCCACTTCTGAGGAGAAAGCCCCAAACTCAGCTTTGGGAATGATTTTTCTCGAATCAGCTCAATAACCCTGGATTTTGAAATTAGCATACCAATAAGCTGCTCTCTTTCTGTTTGTGTTAAAACAGGCCATTTTCCTTTTCTAGCTTGCAGATTTTCTACATCTTTTGTAACGTCATTGAGACATTCTTCAAGAATCTGCTCCAGCTCAGTTCTCCTTGAATTAATTTTTTCCAGCTCTGATTTGAGGAGAATTACTTGACTTTGTGCAGATTTTAATTCAGAATGGATAGTTTGTATTAGTGGATCAGTAATTACTGAAGAGTTTGACCTTAATCTTGCAGTATTAATTGTTAATTGAGATTTAGTCAGCATTGAATTTGGGCTGCTATCTAAACTTTCAGTATGTTTTTTTTGATATTTCATTATAGTGATTTTTAATTTTCTAATTTGAACGTTGGCTGTTTCTAAGTCAGAAGTCAGGTCTTTTATTTTTGATTTAAGCTCTTTGTTTTCATCAATCAGTTGTCTATTAAAATCTTCTATTCTCCCTACAGTTCCTTGGAGTTCTTCTATTTGTCTTCAAGGGCCAGATTTTGAAAGAAGCTCAATATCCTTGTCTTTTGACTGCTTAACTTGTTCAAATTCTTGATAAGCTTTATCAAGTCTGGCGTTAAAAATTCTTAATAAATCACTTTCATGACATTTTAATCTTTTTTGATTGGCATCTTCTAAGTCTTTAACACTGGTTTTTACTTTTTCATTAAGATCATCCAAGTATTTAATTTTATCATCTACCTGCTCTTCAATTTGATATGTATTTGGCGATTTTCTTTTATCTTCACGCATTTTTTTCATCATTGTCGATGCATTTTCTTGGAAATGCAAAACTGCTTCTGCGTTCATTTTTTTGATCATCGCGTTTTCAGACGTTAAAAATTGAATTTTTTGATTGAGTTGCATGTTTTCATTGGTAAGATCTGCTATTAAGGATTTTAAGTCACTTATTTCTTTATTGAGGAGCTGAGTGTTTTTTGAAACAATTGAACGAGTTTTTGTGGGAGATGATTTGAGGGCGCTGGTGAGAGATTGGACGAGAGTGTTTAAGACTGGAGATGAAGAAGTTTTGCCATCTTCTGTTTGTAAGAGATCTGTGCTTTGCATTTAACAGATTTTTTATATTAATTTTTTATTGTGCATTGTATGAAAATAGTAAAATTTGGTATTAAGCCTAGATTATGATAGAAATGTTTTATCATTGGAGATTTGGTGTTTTTATTAAATTTAACTAAAAAGACATTAATTCTGCCAAGTAATTACTAAATAGCTTGCATAATTTCTTAATCGATAAAACTCTATTAAACATTTCATTGATGAATTTACCACCTGCATATAGATATATGCAAATTGAATTATATAGAAAAATTAAAAAGAAGCTAATCATCTGAATATAATAATTTTGAAAAGAAATAAAAGTTAATAAAACAATTTTCTCCTATTTTTTATACTTCAGCAATTTAATTATGATTGCATAAAATAATTATTTCAGTTTTTTATTTTCAAGTTCTTTATAATAATTCAAAGCAGATGCTTAATGCTCAAAACGTTCCTTCTGATACTTATATTTAATGCTAAGCTGTTCTATAAATCTTTCAATATATGCATTTATATAGATAAGAATGTTTCTTGCGACTAAAGACTCTCCAAAGAGTCCAGAAAGCCGAGAATATTTTTTGCGAAGCATTCTGAATAAGAAATTAATAAGAGATAACCCGACAGTTGTAAGCATAAAAGCAGACATAATTCCTTGGTTCCCTATAGGGTTTCTTCCATAAATCTTTGTTCTAAGCTCTTCACTGTATAGAATAGGAAAAAAATGTCGACTGCTGAAGGTTCTCTTTTATCTTGCTGTCTAAGCGTTATATTTTGCTTATTTTCGAAGTTATCAGATTGCCTTAAATCCATCATAAGTTTATTATTAATAATAATATGAGCTTTAAAATTGATTTTGGATAAATGGACCATTTTATTTAGAAATTATCATTTGTCTTAAATATTTCATTTTTATAGAGAAAAATTAAATTGGTACAGATTTTTTGTTCCAATTAAAAGTAGGAGTTATTAATAAATGCGACTATACTTAATTATGTCGAAGTTTATGATAATTTGCTAATTTTACTTTTCCAAGCAACTTCGAAAATATAAAAAGCAAGAAAATAAATTTATCTTTCATAAAGGGCTCTGTTAAAATGAAAGATAAAACATTTTTGGTTATAGTTTTAGCCCTTTGCCTCATATTTTCATTTTTCTCTGAGTTACTAATCATAAATTCGAGCATATCATGATATAACTCCAATAATTTTAGATATATAGGATTGAGAGATTGAAAATTCAAAAAAATATAATAAAACATTGTCACTCTTTTTGCTATACTTCTATACCTCTCTTTTTCAATTTCAAAGTTTTTCAACTTATCTTCTAATTTTTTGATCTTCAAGCCTATCTCTTTAGCACTTTCTTTACTTTCACTCAAAATCTCTACGAAATTATCATTATCAAAATTTTCCTCATCTATTTCTGATATTGTCTTTAAAATTTGTTCTTCAATTTCTTCCAGGTAATTTTTATTTGTAAATACTTCATCTAATATTTTTGTTTTATTTTTTTCGTAGTTTTGAATTTCTAATTTAGCTATTTCATCTAGCAGCTGATTTTCAATTATTTTTGATTTTAGAGAAAAATCAATTAATGTCATTTTAACACAAATATCTGGCAAAATATGAGGATTTTTTTTATTACAGATAATATAAAATCTAAAGTCATCGTAATAAGAAATTTCTTCATCGTCGAATTTTAATAAAAATTGGCCATTTTTGCTTATAATTTCCTTGTCAAGCAGAGTAGCAATTGAATAATCAAGATTTACACTGGTATTTTCAAGCAATATAGAGTTTCCATATCTTATGCAGCTTTTTATTATTTTCAAAAAATCTGATTCAGAAATCTTCATTACTTTAAGTGTTTCACCATGCATATTTTTAATCCAATTCGACGCTATATTTTGTGGATCTATTATAAATGGCCATTTTCTGCACTTATTTATAATTATAGAATTGACTATACAGCTACTGTCATTTGGCAGTCCAAAAGCAATTGTCTTTTTTATTTCGACAGAATTCGAAAGAAATCTCTCAATAGAAAAATCCGCTGCATAAGATTAAGATTCATGCGGCCATAAGCGGGACCCCATCCGGACTACCTTGACTTCAGGAAAGGTGGCCTACACTGACGCATAGAAATCAGAGTGCAAATGCCAAGCCCAGCCAAAATTGTATCCTCTTGAATTTTTTGGCGAAGCTCTCCAGCATAAGGATCAGCTCCTAGGTTAGAGCCACCCTATGTAGGATGCCCCGATAGTCCCGATAGACGAAGACTACAAGAGGCAAATCTGTCTAACCCATCTGGGTGGGCAGTAGACCTTCAGGGGAGAAATAAAACTTTCCTCTTCGCAAGGTGTTTTCAAGTCTGAAGGAAAGAGTTCCTGTTTTGATCTTTATCAACAATGACCCTACCTTGCTGGGTAGTGAGTGCGCTTTCGAGGTCAATATCCTTCAACGTCACCATTTTTATTTCTAACCCGTTTGTATAAGGGATTTGTAAATCTTGGAGATATTTTAGCCACTCATTTATAAATTTTTGTCTATATAAAGCATTGAACTGACCTAAATATATAATATATGCAGAGCATAAGACTGAGTTTGTAGATACACTTTCTATATCTTTTTCAATCAATTTTTGTGAATCTCTCCACCTTATTTTTTCATTCCCTAAATTCACATATAGATTTTGGATTTTTTTTATTTTTAAATCTTTTGATTCAATACTTTTTTTGATTTCTTCATTTTCATCGATTTTTAGCTTATATTCATTTTCCAGGTTTATAACTTCGTCTTGTGTGGCTCACCAAGAAGATTGCTTTTGCTGAAGTTCGGACTGCATTATTAATAAATTGTCTTCCTGATTAGCCAAATTTACTTTTTGAGGCTTCAAAGTTACGATTAGTTTTGCATAAGAGCTTATTGCAATCAGTCATTCTAGAAGTGCAGCTAAAGCTCTTGATGACTTTTTAACTGCTTTTATATTCATTAATGGGTTATCTAAGTATTTTTCTAGACGGTTTAATTTATCTTCTGAAATATTATCAATATCATAGTATGCACAGATTTTCAAAAAATAGCCACCTCTTAGTAATGACTTGCTGCTTTCTCAGTTTTCCTTTGCATCAAACATCAAGCAGATTGCTTTCAAAATATGGTCAACTAATTGAGTAGGTTTACTATATGACACTATTTCATAAACATCGCTTTTTCCCAGACCAAGCATTTTTTCATTTGCAGCTGAGCATCTATTTAATGCAGGCTCATGCGCTTTTTCCAAAGCTTCTCTTAATGCTTTAATTGTATTTATCATAGCATTGCAGTCATCGTCAGCTTTCCTTCAGATCTCTTCTTTTGGTTTTAATTCTTCTTTTTTTTGATTAATTTCTGATTCAAGTTTTTCAATTTCTTTTTGCTGCAAATCAAAATTTTCACTCAATTCACTATTAATTTTCTGTAAATTTGCTGCAATTTCGCTGAGATGATCTATTTTTTTTAGTCCGTTTTTAAATTTTAATAGATTTTCTGTCAATATATTTTTCTGCTTAATAGAATAAGAAATAAAATATGATAAAAAGTCTAGATATGAAGATGGTGGGATATAGTATTTTCTGTCTTGCTTATTTAGAGATTCTAAAGAAAAATGAATTAATGGAAAAAGTTCAGCTGGGATTATGTCAAAATCAAATAGATTTTTATTTTCATTAAAAATAAATTTTGCAATAGATACCATAGTCTCATGCGATCAGCTTTCATATCAATCAATTGTACAGCAATTTATAATTGAAGGATACTGCTTCATCTTCCTTATTCAATTGTCTCCAGCTGGGCTAATTGCTAAGATTATGTGGAGATTTTCCTTGCATCTTTGAAAAAAATAATCTAAAACATTATCATTTGAGTAATGGCTATTTGATTTCCCAAAACATTGCCTTACTTCATTGATAATTTCTTTAATTTCTAAGTTGCTATACAAGTTATACGTTTCATCATCGTTAAGAATGCTGCTAATATCTTCAAGATTTTTTTCACTAACAGTTTCATTATCATTATATGCCAGTTTTATTGATAGCTTATATCTAATTTCCTAAAAAAAGTGGCATCAAGTATTTATTCTAGCTTTCCCCTTTTAAATTGGTACAAAATATCAGTGCTTTTTCAAAAATTAAAGATGAAAATAAAATACTTATATAAAATTAGTTTTGGCCTAATTAATATAATTGAAAAGTGCAAGCAGAATCAAATAAGTTTTTTAATTTTTTCTTCACAAAAATAAATTAAAAATCAAAGTATTGTTTTCACTTTATTTTATTTTCAAAATTTAAAAATTATAAATAAATTTTTTTATAAAAAAAAATTAAATGCAAATTGAAGCAGTTTTGTTTGCTCCTATTTAAAGGGTGGAGTAATTAAATATATAATAATACAAGCCCCTCGTTTTTACAGCCAGCAGTTCTTAAGCATAGCTTTAATTCTTCTTGAAATTGTGAACCTGATTTGCTAATATGAAATTTATACCCAGAAATAAATGCGGCAAGTTTTGAAAAAGTTTTCTTGCCACTTCCTTCAAGTCCAATTAGTAAAAGATGACCTCTGGAGCGCGTCAAAATTCTATGAATCCTGAATAAGTGCTCGACAGCATATTTAAAAAAGATAATATTTAATGAGCTGGATGTAATTTCATTATATCTTTCCAAAACAATCTTAAGTTTTTCTGTTAAATTCTCATCAATTTTAGTAACTACATAATCTTTTTCATCTTCGCCCATAAAATTACTGAAAATTGCATCTGATCATTGCTCTTTTTCAATTTCACAGCCAAAATCGCTATAAATGTGTTTTTCAATTTCTTTATCAAATATAGCCTGAGCACATTTATAGCCCGGGCTTCTCGATCTTTACCGACGGGATAGAGGAGAATTGGCTTCGCCAACTAATGCTTGTAGCTAACTCTCCATAGCAGAAACCATATAGCAAGTGATTTTGTCACTTGGGAGTTGATCAGACCAACTCCTCTCTTTCCCATGAGAAAAAATCGAAAGGCCCGATCCATAAAGGTGCTTAAGCTTTACAGTCTTATCCTCGATGCTATTGAGTCTATCTTTAAACTCCCTGCAGCACTCATAAGCCCAAAGTATAGTTATGTATTTATTATCTATAAATTTATCATAATCCACCAATATAATACCTTGTATCACTTTATATAAATTCCTAAAATTAAATTGATAATGATTCTTTCCTGGAGTCGTTTCAAAATCGTTAAAAATTTTATAATAAAGTTCAATTGTAGCTTTTATTATCGTATTTATTAGGCTCGATAAGTTTTTGTTTGAGTATTCATCTAAATATCCATGCAAAATCAAAGAAAATATTTTTTCAATACTTTTTTGGCTTGGGCTATTTTGCAAAATAACATGAAAATGCCTAATAAATCTTTTTGTAATTTCACTTTGTTTGGATTTCATTAAAGTATAATTTGCAATAAAATAAACATCTTCTATGCTCTGGAAATAATATTTATTTATATCATAGTAGCCTCCTTCAATAGCTTGACGAATAAACTCAAATGTTGATTGAGAGTTAAAATCTTCAATTGGTAATAAATTGAGACCATCAATAAATATTACCATTTTTTTACCTGCTGGAGGCTTTCTTAAACATTGGCTTGGCTTTCTTAATTTATTTTCAATAATATTTATAATAGCTTGAGTTGAAAAATTTCGATTACAATTGAAACCTGCTGAAATGAAGCCTTCTTTTCCTTTTAAAAAATCTTTAGCATATTTTGTTTTCCCAATACCTGTTTCTCCTAAAATTAAAACATTTTTGTTTGATTTCAAAAGATTTTCTTGTAAGTAATGGTGTTTAGAATAGTCAGATGTATGGATAAAAATTGAATGAAATGGCTGAGAGCTGTTGCATGCTATTTCGTGCGTTTTTTCATCTCACAAAACAAATTCGCATGTATCTTCATTAATTTTATATTCAAAAAGCTCAAGAATATATTCTTTTTCATTGATGGATCTAATTTTTTCTTTTAATATTCGATCAAATTTTCTTTTATCTTCTTCATTAAGACTTTACATAAATAAAATGGCAACTTATCCGACCCGTCCTTCTCCCATATCCTCGGGATTTTGGGCCTAAGAGGGCCAGAGCCTGGAACAACTCGTCCGGGGGGGGCTTTCTCGGTCGGAACGCCACAACAGTTTATTTTTTACCCCGAACCAGAGGCAAGTAGTGCCAGAGTCTGCAAGGCAACTCCAAACTTTGGATGGGTAATGGGGGCCAGAAGGAGGATTCTGGGTCGTAGTTTATCTCCCATCCCTGGATGGATATGCCGGCAGCTAGGAGTTGCCCAAAGGGGTTCCTGGTCACCTCTCCCTGATAAGTGGTGACGTCGGCAAAAAGGGCGTTAGTGTAAAGAAATGCCTAGGGCGAGGAGTCTGAAGTCAGCGAAGGCGAATTAGGCTGCAATAAACCCCGAAGACTCATTCTAATTTAATCTGAGTCTGAAGTTTGCGAAGGTGGAAAAGGGCTGAAATAAACCCCAAAGACCCATTTTAATTTAATCTAATTTAAACATTAAGACTTCCTCCAAACGATCATAAAATTGAAAAAATTATATATCCTGTTCGAATTAAAAAATATTAAGTTTTATTTATTAATAATATGTCTATATTATTACAATCTAATATTATCAAAAAATAATCAATAATTTTAGTATATAAATTTGCTAATTTTTTGGCATCATCAATCCTCATTTTTAAGATTTTTTCTTTCTTAAATATTGACTTAAATAAGTTCAAAAACGAAATTACCATATGATTTTTTGATACAAAAAACTTTCTTTTAAATTCCAAATCAATAAAACTACTAATATAATTTCTGGTCGTTTCTACTATATAATCAGTTATATGTGAAACCTCTCCCTTAAGCCATCTTTCTCAGCAATCAATAAGTGCCTCCCATTTAATATTTTTCTCGTCAATATAGACTACACTAACTCTGCTGATGATTGCTGGAGAAGCGTTATAAAGCAAGTCTGTTTCAAAAATAAAAGAAATCGAGTCTTTAATAGCAATTCTTTCCCCATTATTTAAGCAAAGGATTTTATTATCATCTAGTACAGAATTTAATTGATCTGATCATGAGCTTTCGAGCCGTGCATCAAAAATGATTCATTTTTTGCTATTATCATTTTCCTCTTGTAAATAATTTTTAATCAAGCTACCAATAATCCCATCTGTATTAATATTTCCGTATAAATCTTGTATGCTAACTGATTTTGGATTTAGTGAAATATATGATATATTCTCATCTTCATTTAGCTTATTTAAAGCTTCAGCCAAAATCTTATAAATCGTTGTTTTTCCACTACCTGCCTCTCCAATTACGATAACCCCCTGCCTTGATTTTATGCATTCGTGCAGCTGTATTATTTTATGAATAAAATTTTCTAGATTTGCATAATTTTTCACCTCAATTAGATGCCTTATTATATTTTCTAAATACGCATAGTTCTTTGGAGGAATTATTTGTGGAAAATGGCTGTAAATAATTGTTTTGAATAATTCTAGATCTTCTTCAACAATTTTAGAAATATTAAAATCTCTGATTGTTCTAGCAAGAATAGTCTCTTCAGACAGGTATTGATGCGAATATTTCAGATTTCCAGCTGCATTTAGGACAGATTTAATTGATGAGATTCTAAAATGGTAATGAGATTGCTTGGAAAGTTTTTTTGAAGCTGATTCATAAATTTCTATCAATTTCTGAGCTAATTCTTTTGCTTTATTAAATCCTTTGCATTTAAAAACTGTTTCACAAATTAAAAAATAATCAAATTCTACTATGGCGCATGGCCGAAAATAAAGTTTCAGGCATTTTGGGAGTTCATTTCTATTTTGTGAGGAATTTATTTTAGATTTTATTTTCAAATCAAAATTATTCAATCCATTCACTGTTATAAAAATCCCACATTTAGGATTTATTTTAAATTGTTTCCCGCTTAATAAAAATTTTTCTTTACTGTTCCTTATAGAAAAATGAACCGCAGAAAGATATCCTGCCATAATAGAAAGAACTTCAATAGAAATTTTATTAAATTCATCAAAGCATGCTCATAATCCACCAACAGCACATCCTAATAATATTTTTTCCAACAAATAAATACTGCAATTTTTTGTGGAATTTACAAATAAGCAATAAATCCCTAAGCTTTTAGATAGATCTTTAATTGTTTCTGTCTTTCCTGAGCATTGAATGCCTTCAATCGCTCCTCCATTATGTGTACTAAGTGCTTGAGTTAAAGCTAAATAGCATTTATCAGTGATAGGAGTAATAACTAGTCTCGGTGTATTTCCTAAATATTCGTTTGAATAAGCAAAATTTGCTGCTAATTGTTTTATTATGCAATTATCAGAGTAAAAATCCCAATAATATTTAAACTGTTTTTCTCAGTTAAAATCGTCCACTTTTTTAACATAATTTCCAATTAAACTTCCTATAACATCTCTATTATGAATTTCAAAAATAATTAAATTTTCAACCAAAATCCTTTGTATTTCTGTAACTTTTCCATTAATTATGGAAATTAAATCTGCGATTTTAATATCTGTAGAATTATAGCAATCTTTCAAAGCATCATCATTAATATTGGTATCAATATGGCTTAAGGCTCTACTTGTGCTATTTGTAAATATAATTTGATTTCCTATTAAAATACATTGTGCAGGGATTTTACCATTTAAAACTCATTCTTTTCTAGCTAAATTTTCAGATGGATAAGTATCTTGAGCTTTCTTAATATAATCATGCATAGTTTTTATGATAATTTCTTCAATGCTTATCAATCAATGTTCAATATTTCCTTCAATAATCAACGGAGACACAAATTCCACTTTTTCGTCTTCTTGGCTTATTATTGATAAAGCTTGTATTGTTTCTCCTTCTTTTTCCAATATAATTTCTTTTATTGAGCTAAAACATTTTGAGATATAATAATTTAATTGGATTGGGCTTTCCATTTTACTTAAAATTTCTAATATTTCTTGGTTCGATAAGAAATAAAACCGTGGAAAAGCAAGTTTTTTGGTCTCTAAATACCCATCTAATGATTTTTGGATTTCTTCAAGAATTTTTTTATTTTGCAGCAATTTTTCTAAAATTCCAGGAATTTCGCATGCGTCAAGCACACTTGGATTTCTAAAGGTTGCAATCATGATGTCTATCCAAAAATAATTAACTATATTAAACTTCGCAGTTTCCATTGGCAGCTGTTTTTGCATTTCACGATTGCTAAAAATACTTTCAAAATAGCTTCAGAGCTCTTGGCAAGCTATTCACTCTTCTATTACTTCTTTAATATTTTTTAATTTAATTTCTCAAAATTCGAGTTTTTCTTTAAATTCATAACAGTATCTATTCTCCCACAATAAATGAATAGTCGATAGATGATCTTCAAGCTGATTATAAAACTTATTCATAAATAAAATGGCATTTGGTTTGAGAAAAATTAGCTCTGCTAATTTTCTCTCCTTCATGGAATTTTATATAGGGATTTATTTTTCTCTAGGCAACTTCTCCAAGTGAGAAGTGCTGGTAAAGATGGCAGGAAATTTATTTGGGATAGTCGAGCTTTTGCTCATGGAGTCACTAATTTGGCTCTATCTCTAGAGTGGGAATGTGGTATTAGACACCTTAAACACTTTAATTAATGCAATGAAATTATTATAAAACTTCTTCAACACCGCCAATGCAATATCTATCTTTTTGATCTCTATATTTTATTATAGTAAAAACTGTTTGTTCCCATTTGCTTTTAATTTCAGTAATCGCAGTTTCTATGTCTAGTTCTGAGTTTGCATCATAAGCTACTAGATCAAGTTTATCCGCAATGGCAACAATTTCTCATTCAAGGAGCTCATATAGACAAAATTGTTTTCCTTCAATGTACTCGACTCCTGTAGGCAAAGATTTAAATATTTTTTCTCAGTGTCTAGGCTGCAGTGATTTTATGCTGAGGGTTTCTACAATAGGGACTATTTTGGTTACTTTTGTTATTTTTTCACTAAAATCTTGAGTTAATACATCAGTTGAGATTTCAAGATTTTTTTGGTTTGTTTTGACCATTTCTAGCTCTTTATTAAATTGGTTGACAACAAAGCCTATATCTTTTTTTAGTTCTAAAAAGTTGTCATACATCAATTCATGAAAAAAATTGTCTCATTCTTTTCTTAAACTCCAGAATTGGTGCCATGACTTGAGTTTCTTCCAAATTAAATCCAGCTCAGTAATTTCAGGCAATTTTATTTCTAAAATTACTTCGTATTTTTTATATTTTTCAATTTTCTGGGTAAGTTTTGTTAAATTTTCTTCTATTCTATTCAGCTCAAATAATGCTTCGTTAGGATTGGTGTCAGGTTTTGTGAGTTTTCCTTTGCTTAGTTTTTCAGCCAATTCTTGGTTTACTTTATTTTGTAGAGCTCTAATTTTTATTAGCAGCTTCTTTTCCATCGGTTTTTTATTTTTGAAGAGATCTTGATTTGCCGATTGCAAGAATGATTTTGTAGAAATTGTTTCTTTTTCAAGTTCATATAGTTTTTCATTAATCAAAGCATTTTCTGCACCTCTTTCTTTATGAAAAACAACAGCTGTTTTATTTATTTCAATTTTTAAGCCTTCTGCTTGCTCAACTTGGACTAAACTTTCTTGAAGGAATTGAATATTATTTGCAAATTCGCTTAACTTTTGATTATCCTGCTTCAATTTATTTTGGATTGATTTTAATGAATAAATTGTTTTGGATACTTTTTCCATTATCATTTCATATAAATATTCTTTTAATTCTTTTTGAATTATTACAAAAGTATCGACAATATTTTGCCGAAGAGCTTTACCATCTATAAAAAGAATGCTATTTCCATTCACTGGAAGTTGAAAAGGCATGAAATTTGGAATATCAGATGTAATTCATCCTTTTATTTTCTCTATTTCTTGATTTATTTCTATTAATGGATGATTTTTCAATTTTCATTGATCAAAATTTCAAGCTATAAAAAATTGATAAATTAGCCTTATTTTTTCAAAATAATCTTCAATGCTGCATTGTGCTTCTTTAAAGTCCTGGTTGATTTTAATCTTAAATTTTTTTAAAATTTTGATAAAAAATTTTGAGTTTTTTATAATTTTTTTTGGTTGTGGAAAATCTGAAATGTGATGAGGGTCTACAATCTCATTAAAATGAGAATTAAGCTTGGTAATTTTATCTAAATCAGATAGAGTTTCTTCAATAATAATTTCAATATTACTTATTACTTCTTGGTTATTTGGCGACAAATAAATTGAGTTTTCTTCATATTTTATATTGACAAAAAATTTTTTTGATTTTTTTGCTAATAACTCTTTGAAAAAATCTTTAATTTTTTTTTGCAATTGAGTAACGAGAGTCTCAATAATAATGTAATAAATTAATCTGATATAGCTGCCTGACATCCATATATGCCTTTCTTTAAGCATTATATTATATTTAACCTCTTCCTCTTCCTTCTTCTGTTGGAATAATGATTTATTCTTTTTTCCTCCATAAATATCTATCTCTTCATGCCTAAAAACTTCCCGATTTTTGACAGATTTTCAAACAGTTCATAATTCTTTCATGATACTATTCATTATTATCCCAAGAGCTTTTTGTGCATGAATTCTTGCATCTCTTTGACTATTTTTTAAATTTTCTATTTCAATTATTTTCACATCATTCATAACTAACCAATTAGATTTCTCCATTTCATATGTAAATTCATTAATTTTAGTTATATTTTCCACAAATACAGTCTGCCCAAATAGCAAATTATTCCTCAAAATTTCTCTATTAGTCAAATATTTGCATTTTTTATGTTTTTCCCTTCATAACAAAAATATTTTTCCTGCTAAATAATGCTTAAAAAATTTTATTTCTCTTATTAAATCAAAATTTCTGCTCTGAATCAATCAATCGTCAAGGGCGCAGCATTCTGTTTGAAAATTATTTATACTTTCTAAAGAAACATTAACAACTCCATGAGATGAAATTACAAAATGGTCACCTGATATCTCATTTTTATTAACAACAATAAGGTCATAAGGTCGAAAGTATCTTGGGTTATATGGTATATTTTTGCAATAAAAAAATTTGGCTGGGGTATAGTTTCCATACTTTTTAAAGAAAGATATCGCATCTTCCCCAGTTTTGACGTTTTTTAAATCATCAGTAATTAAATCTTCTTCCTCTGTGAAACAAGTGATTTGGGATATTGGAGCTATTAAATCTTTTGGCTTGATAAAATCTAATTTTTGATCAAAAGATTTTACGTTTATGGACTTTTCTATTGATTTTTTATGAGGCAATCGCTTTGAGGGAGTTAATTCTCAGCTTTTTAATTGTGTATTTAAATCAGATTTATATAGAGATAGAAACTTTTTGGTTTTTTTCGATTTATCAAGGCTGAAACTTACTGCTGTCTGCTCGATGCATTTATTTTCTCTCCTATTTAGCTTCAAAATCTTTAGAGGCTTTTCACTGTCTTTGTCTTGGTTGCATTTATTATTCATTTATTATTATACCCATCTGAATCAAAATGATACACTCTGTAATGAAAACAAAGGGTGAAAAGAATCTTTAAGCAAGATTATTTTAGAATTATTTAATATAGTAGATTTACTATCCAATATTTAAAATAATTCTGTCTTTCAAAAGCAGTGTAACTAATATTTCTTAACTTAACTTCTTTCTTACTCTTTCTTAGAATTTTCTTTGTTTTCCGAAGAACTCAGTTTGAATCCTGTTAGTAGCTCAAGTCTTTTAACATATCCTAATGTTTGCAGCTTTCTATTTTTAATCTTTTCGTAGTAATTATACGCAGACATGTACTCCTTAAAAGCGTCTTTCTTAATATTATACTCAACATTAAGCTGCTCTGCAAGTCTGCCAATATATCCACTTATGTAGATGATAATTCCTCTAGTCAGAAGTGATTCACCAAAAATTGATGAAAACCTAGGATAATTTTTTTTGAATCTTCCTGAATATGAGATCAGCGATAGCCCGAGCGAAGATATCAGGAAAATAGCCATAATTCCTTGACTTCCAATAGGATTGTTTTCGTACACTTTTGCTCTAAGCTCTTCAGTTCTATAAAATTGTGTTAAGATATGGACTGCTGTAAGCTCTTTTTGTGCTTGCTCTCGAAGCATCATCCTTTGCTTTTCCTTGAAGCTTTCGGTCTGGCGAATATCCATTTATGAGTTTGTTTTATATAATGTAAAATTAAGATAATTTTTACTTTTATACTAGAATTATTGATGATAAAATTTTTATTTTATTTCTGACTTTATACAAAAGACAAAGGCATTTTAATTAAAAGTATGGCAAGTTTGGAGATAATTTACTAATTTACCCATTATATTTGATAATGATTTTAATATAATATATATGAAATGGACCTGAATAACAGCAGACCTATTTTAAAAAGCAAAAGTTTAGAGCTGGATGTGAAATATAAAAAGAGAGTATCATTCAGAGATAACACTAATTCTGAGACGAGCTCAATAGCAGATGTGCATGAAGTAGAATCATATAAACAATATAATGTTGAAGAAAAACAAGAAGGCACGTGTCTTACATGTATTGTCTTTTAAATTAATTTTATTTTGTTATTTCTAGTTCTTTATATTAGTCGAATTTTGATTTGTTTTTGAAAAATTATATATCAATTTTCTTTGGTGAAAAAATATTTATATATATAGTCTGAGAGGATTAGGAGAATTTTTAAACGAAACTGTTTAATATTAAGGTAACTTGATTAATTTTAGATCGACAAAATCAGTTTCATATATTCATCAATGAAATTTGCCACAGCAAATTAGTGAAATATGTGCATAGAGTTAATTCAGAATATTAATATATACGAAAAGCTTATCATTTCACAGTTGATCCTATATTTCAAAGAAGTATAAGTAAAGTTAAAATTTAATTTCTTCTTTTTTCTGCTTCTGTATGACAGCCACCATTGAATTTCTTATCATTTGCCAAACTTTCAGAAGCTCTACCTTGGAATGAAAGTTTAATTTGCTGTGCAAAAGCAATTTGTATGCAGTAATGTTAATTTAAATATATAATGCACTATAAGTTATTCGAAAAATATTCGGCATAAGTCTTTTAACATTAAATGATAAACTAAATTTCTGATTCTAATCCATATTTCCTATCTGCTAATTGCATTTCAAGCTGTTTCACAATATTTTAAATAATTCCCATATGAAATTATATTGAAAAATTGGTTAATTACAATTTGGAAAGCAATCCATAATTAAATTTCTTGAAACTTTTCTATTATTAAGCAAAATTGTTTCAGGTTTAGTAGTCAAACAAGCTGTTTTGAAATTTCTCCTAGGACTTGGGATAGAAATATCATGGGAAGCTTTTATTACTTTTGGTGTAGAAAAATCATTATGGACAAAGGAAAATTGGTCTGTATATCTTGAAGTTAAAGATTGCTTCCTTCTTTCTCGGGGTGAAATATAGACGGATCCTGTTGTCAAAGAAGGCAACGAAAGCCTAAGTTTCGGTACTGAGCTTGGCTTAGAGGAGCTAAGCCGCAAGGCTCTATAAGTATCTGAGCCTTGATCTGCGTCGTCTTGAATTACTTTGAAAGGGGAGAGTCTAACTGTTTTATCCATTTATAAAATATAACTAAGATCTAATAAAACTATCAATTTATTACACATTACTGAGCTCATCTACCATAAAAACTTCTTTGCACTGTAAATCAAACCTAAATAATTTTTTTTATAAAAATAATATATATTTTAACTAATTTTTCAATTAAAAAATTAATAAACCTAAAAAGCTTATAGTCATGATTTATAAAAAAAACTGAATTTGAATGATAATGTTGATAGGAAATCAAATAGCCTAAATTCAGGACTTCTTCACAGACAACATGCCATTTTGTTATGTCATTTGTTTTGCTTTCGTATATAACATTTCCGGATAAAATTGCATAAACCCTTTCATTTCCTAGGCATAAAAGTTTTTGCTCTTCAGAGCTGAAAGTATAAATTTTTGTATATTTGTTTGTGACTGGGTTATAGGAAAAAATTTTATTGTTGCCTCTTCCTGATATTAAGATTTGTTCATTAAAAACTACACAGGAACAAAAATCTGCAGACTGAGGAAGTGATGGTAAAGATTCCCATGAATTTTGTATAAAATTAAATTTTTCAGCCCTTTTCATAGTTCCTTCATTATTTTTTCCTCCAAAAGTATATACACATCCTTTCATATAAACTGCGCCTGACCCTGTGCATGGAGTACCACTAGGCAGCTGAGCAACCCTTAAAGAAGTTTCAATAATAAACGTAGCCCCTGAGTACTCATTTGTTAAATTTCCATAGCAAAAAAGACTTTTATCAGGAAGTAAGCATAAACAAGTGCTGCTGTTTATTTTTTCATTTAATTGTAAATAAAGTGACCTAGTTTTGAGACTTGAGACGTTGACAGATATTACATTCTTTTAGATTAATTAGAAAATAATATAGAATTCTTATAAATCATTAATAACTTTTTTTTTATTTTAAATTTATCAAAGCTCAGTATAACTCTTTTGAAAAACATTTAAAAAATAATAATTCGTTTTCCCCAGACTCAACGTTTTGGTCAAAAGATAAAAGACTCGATAAAAAATTGATATTGAAAAGATCTTTAACTGAATCTAAAGATTTTGTCATATTGAAATTAAGGGTAGGGAACTTCCAGTCGCTTAAAATATTTTCTGCATCTTCAAGCTTCAAATTTAATAAATTTTCAACATAGTTCAGCTGGCTGAAATTCGAGATTTCTTTGGTAGAATTAATCTCTTCAATTATTTCCGTACATCTTTTGCCTAACTTAAGCAAGATTTCACATGATTTTTCTACACAATTTTCTATATTTTGGATAAGTTCAGAAGACTTTTTTAAAATTTCTGCTATAGTTTTGGCTGCTTCTTCTTTTATATTAGAAAGTTTTTCAATTGCGATTTGTTTTGTTTGAAAATTAGGAGCAGTATAAATTTCACCAATATTGTGGTCACTCAGATTGCCTGATTCAATATGCTCTGTATAATGCTCACTACACATATAAAACCGATTAGGAACACAGGAGCAGGTCATAATTGGCTTGTTTTGGCAATCTTCTTTGAAACATCTTTTATGCATTTGAAAATTAATAAATAATTTTAGTGTTTTGATTTATTTAAAAAATTATAATAAATTAGTATCAGCATTTTCTATAATAATTTATCAAGGCTCTAAATTTCCAATAGAGATCGCTTTTTGAATATTTTTATCTTTTATATTCTTCTTGGATGTTACTCTAATTATAGGCATTTCCACTTTGAGACCATTTGGATTATCTAAGTTGCAAGTGATGCTTTTATTCAGTTTTGAGTCTAAAGGCTTCTTTTTATCATTTTTACTGGAAGTACCAATGATTCTCTTGATTCTTATTTTATCAATTTTTCCTTTTTTTCCTTCTATTTCCAGCCTAATTTTAAATTATGATGCTTTTGATTAATTTCTAAAACTTGATATTCAACTAAATCTTTTATGAAATAATATTATTTTTATAGAAATAATTGCAGAAAATAGCCTATTATTCTATACTTTCCATCAACGATCGAATTAGTCCTTGTAAAACTTTTTCCAAAATCTCTATAGAATTTTGCAGGCCTTGCTCCATTCATTTTTGTAGCAGTTTTTGGCCTGATAGCTTTATTAGAATAATTCTCACTCCTCTTATTTGTCAGTAATTAGCGAGAAGATGTTTTTCTCTATTCAAGAGGGTTAATTGCTTAAAAATATTTATATAAATTCTAATTTATTCGAACAAATTATACAATTAAATATATGAAATTTTAGCTTATAATGCAATCTGTCTAAATTGAAATAGAACTAGTGGAGATTTCATTATAACAATCATTAATTATATATCAAATTATTATTTGTAAAAATAAAAATTTTTAAATTTTTCTTATAGGATTTTTTGAGAAATAGAATTATTTTAATGGTTTTTTGCAAATTAATGTGGATAGTCAGGAGAATTCGGACAAGTCGCAAACTCTCCATTTCCTACAGATGATAAAGCTAATTCACTATTTAAGTTTTTTGAAGACTGATGATAGCCTTGCCTTGCCCTGGAATGCAAAATTAATTGACGATTTGGCTTGTTTCATTTATCTTTTTGGAAATTCTCAAAAACTCCACAATAAAAACTGCCCTTGGGTACGGTACTTGATAAGTCTAGGTTTGATGACTTAAATGATTTTCCTAAAAAGGGAGAAAAATCTAATGGAAAACCAGTATAAGGATTATGAGAATTCATGTATATTGAGTCTAAAGTACTTAAAAGCTTTTCGCATGTTTGATCACCTTTAAAGCTTCCTTGAAATACCGTTTGTGATGAATTTTTTTTCATAAAGAGCAATCAATTAAAATCAATATGAAAATAGACATTGCCCAAATCAGTAATATTGCTTAATCTTCTCTATAAATCTAATAAGTCAAAATTAATGTTTTTCTGGATATATTTATATTAAATATTATATCCATTTTGTCACTTTCAAATAATTATAATAATCAATTTAAATTATTTCAAAGAGATAGGAAAATAATTTAAAAAAATTTATATTTAGCTCTCTAAAACACACAAATAAATAGTGTCGCTATCGACCCGTTCTCTTCTAAGCCTGCTCAGAGTTTGAGATCTTATACGGTTTGGAGCCAAAGTGATCATTAAGCGGAGTTTACGGGCAATTGGCATTTGTGTTCCACAGCAGCCACTAAAGAATCAAGTCGAGAGCAATTTCTTGTGGAAGTGCTGACATAGCCTGGAGTTCACCCTCAGATGAGCAAGCCCTATAAGATGGTGAGATATGAACAAGGAAGTTCTAATCTTTAGCTCTCCTTAAAACTTTTTAAAGTTATTTATATTGTTGAATGATTTAATTAGAGCAGACATTTGTTCTTAAGATACAGAAAATACAACAATTTCTGTCCATAGAACAGGCCCAAAAACTAATCCATCACAGTCAACTAATTTTCAATAGCTCCTGAATCTTCCTGGATTACTCGGAGCAGCACTTATTTTATTTATAATAATTAAATTTATTATCTATTTGCTATGCCGATTGTCAGTATTTTTTGCCGATAAAAGTAACTACAGGGCACATCAAGCCTCGGATTCGGCCTGATCTTGATTGCCCAATGCGATTTCTCCACTAATTTTCAGATCCTAAAACGGTCATTTTTCAGCTCTCGTGAGTGCTTCTGGCACTAAGGTCAATCTCCATAGTATGAAGTTGGTGGCACACTTTTAAATTTCAATTCCCTTAAGATGGCTGACCATTGCTACACATCGTTAAGCTTTTAAACGTCATTATTGTCAGGTAAATTCGTTTTATAGCTTACATTATAATCAAAATATGAAAATGAATTTTTCTTGGCCAGAAAACCAGAAACTTCAAACTCCATATTTAATTATTCTCGGAGCAACGCAAATTACTGAAACATCTACTTCTTCTCCAGCCCAAGCAGAGTCAACAACTACAGCTTCTCCAGAAAAATCTCCATGAGAGAACATGCATCAGCATCCTTCGTTTCAAGCTTCTTCTCCGTCATTTCTTAGTCTCCAAGTTTTTACAAATGAAGCTCCAGCTACAAATCTATCTCCATCCATTACTCTTACATCTCTTACAAAAACAGCACTTACTCCTCCATCCACTTGACAGAAACAATTAAAATTTTTCTAATAAATTATATTTTTAAAAAAAAAACCTGAAGATTTATTTACTATTAAATAGGGAAAGATAGTGGGGATACCCTAGCCAATGTTTCATCTAAAATTCTTGCAGACTTATTTATAGCATTTTCAATATTACTTGGTGCTAAAAGTACCTTTACTGGAAGCTTGCTTATCATTTCCTTAACTTCTTCACATTCTGCTAAAGGAGGGTCAATTATTTTTGATTTAGAAGAATCTAATTCAAAGTCTTCTCCACTTTTGGCTTTAATTTCTTCAAGTTTTTTTAATTCCGTTTCCTCATTTTTTATATAATTTTGTAAGCTTGTTTCTAATTTTGATATTTTTTGGTCTAAATTTCCATGAGTTTGTGTTATTAAATTGCTGAGTTCTACTTCTTTTTTATCAACAACTTCTCTTACTTTTTTAAATCCAGCTTTAAGCTCTTTTAGGCTTCTTTCTTGTTCTTCAGTGAGGACTTTTTTAAGTCCTTTTAATCCTTCAATTTCTGTGTTAGCTTTGTTTAAGTTTTCTCTTTTGGCTGGAATCACTACTTTTAAGCTTTTAGTTTTTCGATTATCTAGCTCTTCAATGATAGATATTAACGAGAAGTTTTTGGGCAAACTATTTAGGGATCGCAAGTCTTTTGTTCTATCATTTAAAAAAGCTTTTTATATTTCAATTAATATTATAATAATTTAAAATAATTTTCTCAGAGCCATTTATCATTTGGACATAAAATTCCAAGCCCATTCTTATTCATCATCGTAAGACAAGTCTTGCAAAATGTATGCCCACATAGCAGCATCAGTGGGGCTTTATTAGACATATCAAATCTTTCAAGGCAAACTCCACAAACTATAAGTTCTTCCATATTCTATATCTTCTACTAAATTGTCTATTTAAGTAAATATAATTAGTTACTAACCTTAGCTTTCATTCTCTCCATCAGAGGCTCGCATTTTGGTTTAGTTATCCCAGTCCCGAACCCAGCTCCATACAACACAAATGGCAATCTTTTAGTTTTTGCCAAAATTAATCCTAAGCCAAGTCCTACTAAGCCGCCAATAGCAGCATTAGTCGCAATTGCTTTTATGCAGCTTTCTGCGTGACTAGTTTTTCCTTCCATATTATTTATCCTTTATCCTATTAATATCATTAAATTTTATTATAAAATTTCGTTTTTATAAATTTTATTAAAAAAAAATCCTTTATTTTATATTTAATTTAAAATTTTATAAATATGAGTGACAGTGAAGATGAGCCAACATCAAAAGTCTTGAACTTTGAAGTCATTAAAAGAGGACTTTTACAAGTCGGCCGAACTTTTGATGGGACTTCTTATGCATTTTTAAAGCTAGAGCTTGAGAACAGAGAAATTGAGACCATTTCAGAAGATTTAAGCCAATATCAGCATTTGAGATATATCAAGCTCTCAGGTAACCGCTTACAAAATATAGATGTGATCAGCAAGATACCAAATGTGCTGAGGCTAGATCTTAAAGGGAACCGCGTCAATAATTTAGAAGTGTTTAATAATGAAGAAACGTTCCATTATTTGCAGTTCTTGGATCTAAGCAATAACAATGTCAAAAATTTGTCCTCTATTAAAGTACCAAAAATCCTCAGCCTAAATCTCTCTAAAAATGAAATTTCTAACGTTAGTGATTTTCAAGGACATGCAAATCTAAAGGTGTTAGAACTGAGAGGTAATAAAATAAGTTCACTTATTGGGCTAAAGGGCATGCCAAATTTACAAGAACTGTATTTAGCCCAGAATAATATAAATTCGCTGGAAGGGTTGGAAGACTTGCCGTCATTGAAAAAGCTGCACTTAAGGAAAAATAAAATTCAGGCACTTGAAGAAGAAAAAATTCCTGATTTGCCTGAGCTAGAGTATCTTAATTTGAGAGAAAATGAAGTCCTTGATATAAAACAATTGGGGTTATTAAAAAAACTAGAAAAATTGAAAAAGCTCAACTTAATTGATTGCCCATTAAATGCAGAACCTAGTGGAAATGCTAAAAAAGAAATTTTAATAGTCCTACCTAAAATTGATTTTGTGAATAAAGAAGAAGTCACTCAAGACGATCGTGAAGAAGCATACAATGAAGCTCAAGAAAGATTTATTGCTGCTGAAAATGCAAGAAAAGAAGCAGAAAGATTAGCTGAAGAAGCAGCTGAAAGAGAAAGAGAAAAAGAGCAAGAATAATTTTAACCTTTATTGGCTATTAGACATATTTTTTGTTATTTTTTGTATTCCGTCAATAATGCCATCCGCAAAACTGTAATTTGAAATTATTTTGTTTATTCTTGGCTTCTTATTAAGCCATGCCCCCAGCTCTTCTTCATAGTTTCCGACTATAATTCCTCAGATTTCTCCTTTAAACATATCAATATCATTTCCCGAATCCCCAGCTGCGATCATATATTTTTCTTCAAAATTGAAAAAATGCCTTTGCATAAATAAAATGGTATTCGGTTCGAGAGAAATTAGCTCTGCTAATTTTCTCTCCCTCATGGAATTTTATTTATGGGGTTGGGTTTCTCTCGAGAACTTCTGCACAGCAATAGCTGTTTAATTTTGGGGATAAACAAAAAGAACAGCTCCTCAGTGCGTTCAAAATTTCGGAGTTTTACCCCTCAGCACTTCTCCACGGGAAGAAGACTCTTAGGAGGAACACGCGCAGGAGCTGAGTCGAGGCAGAGCGACGGCAACGGGGCCGGGTGAGATATGCGGCGGCTAGGGACGAAGCGTCGATAGAAGGCTTGGCCGGTTGGGCTGACCACCGCGACGTCACTAGTTAGCTAAAAGTTCCATTTTGGGACTGCGGCACTAGACACCTTAAACACCGAATAATTAAGTTAAGTTAAGAAAAATGCCTTTGCAAAGGCTACTCCAGTGTTTTTACCTCCATTTTGCGCTGTGATGTGAAAATTTTTTCACTCCAGATTATCTCCTGCTATAATAATTTTTGCCTTTATTATTTTCCCATACCTCATCAAATTTTCATGATTTTTAAAATATAATTTCAACGCTGAAGAATGCAGCAAAAAATCCTGCATGTTAGCTTTCATTCAGATTTTTAGCTTGTGGACGTTATTTTCAGCAGGCGTATAAAGCCATGGAAAATCTTTTGCTATGATTTGTTGGACTGTTGAAGAATCCCAATGCTCAAGATCATAAAGATCAGAAATGTTTTCATGAAGAATATACTCCCCTGACAATTTATCAATTGTATAAGCTTCAACTCCAGCGCCTGTAATGAGCAAATCTGGCTCTAATAGTTCAAAGCCATCATTAAGCAAGCTTATATATCGACAAAAATCTCGGCCAGTGTTATAAACTAATTTTGAGCCAGAAAATAAGTGTTTTCTTATTCAATATTCATTAAATCTTATCAACGCAGATCTTGCTACTTCATTGTATCCTACAAGGGTGTTATCAAGATCTGATAAAAGCATTATTTTCTGGTTATTTGTTTCAATTTCTATTAGTTTCTCATCATAAATAGCAAATTCTCCATCATGATCTATTTCAAAGCTTAAAGTTTCCTGATTTTCTTCATCAATAATCTTAAAACACCCCAAAAAATTGCTCGACACAAATTTTCAATTTCTCCTTTCAGGATCATCTGACATTTGTAGCAGAATGGTTTCTTCATTATCCTTGAACCTCAAAAAAGCCCTTGCTTTGGAAGTTCTATAATGAATTTTCTATTTTTGATTAATTTCTGTAATAAAAAAAAATCATTATAAAGAATTCTATAGAAATTATAACGCTTTATTTATATAATTAAAGCTCTAATGGAACTATTCAGGCTATTTTAATATAAAACCATATATCATTAAGCATATTTTTAACTTTAAAGTTAACTTTTATAATTTTCTAAAAATATATTTCGTGTGCTTCACGGATTTTGGCTTTACATATTGGGCATAAAATAGATGTGATTCTCCGGTTGACTTTTGAATTGATTTTTAAATTCATTTTTCTTTCGCAGCAGTCTTTGCAGGTTACTATATGATTGCAGGGAAGAAAAATTACTTTTTTTAAGGACTGTCCACAGAAATAGCACTCTATTTTAAGCTCTTCTGTCTTTATTTGTGTATGCTGCTCTTCCAGCTCTATATTTAGATTTCTTATTATTTCTTGTGTCTTTAGGATATTTTCATCTCTTTCTTTAATTTCTTTGCACAGGCTCATACCACTTTGAAAATAGTGGTGTTGCTCATTTACTTTTTCAGCAAATTCGTCCTTTAGCCCTCGGAATGCGTTTATCTGTGCTTGATTTTCAATTCTGAGCCATTTAATGTAATTCATATACTGAGCAGCATGTTCTCCAAACAATTCGCTGATATTCTTTATTGTATAAATAGTTAATAGACAGAATATTTTAAATATAAATTTATTTGGGGTTATTAAGGAGATCTATAAGGAAGACTGGTATAGTAAATTTAAATAATGCAAACTTATAGCCATCAAAAAATGAGCCGAGCCCTGGGCGATCTGACACATGAGCCATCAAATAGATAAAATCATTTGAAGGGTTAATAAATTCAGCCATCATTATATGGCCGCTTGAGTCTATTCCTTGTGAAAGCATTCTTTCAATAAAGTGCAGTGAGGCTTTAGTCTGATCAGAATCTGTGACTTCGCTGAATAATGCACAAATGTGAGTCACCATTGACTCATTGAAAAGGAAAATCAAGTAAGGGAAACTCTCCATCAGATATTTTTCCTAACTCTCACCTCCGTGAGCAAACAAAACCATAGAAAAATTCCTATTTTTGGGGTAAAACCCATCTTCTACGAGCGAACAAAAAAATTTTTAAAATTTTTTTTGAAAAAGATTTTAATATATAATGATAATTAGTATAATAAAGTCTCTTTTTTAATTTTAGGCTGATTGCAAAATATAAATTTTACAAAAAAATTAATATGTGCTTTCAAATTGGGATTTTTTTTAAATTTCCAAAAATAATTAATCTCGTGAGCGAGCAAAAAAATTTTGTTTGTGAAGGAGGTTGAAGTGAGAAAAATCGCAAAAATTAAATTATTTTTTACTTTTTAATAAAAATTAATAAATGTTTAACTAGAAAAAATAAAACCAATTTTTTTCTTGTCAGAACCAAGAAACTCATCTATTAAAGTTAATCTCTCATAATATAGTTCTGCAATATAAGGAACTGATGTTATCTGCTGGAGCGACTGAAGTTGGAGATCTCCATCCTTGAACTTCAAGTTTATTGGTGTATTGATGAGTGTTTTTTGCATGGCTTTGTATTACTATAAATGGATTTGCTTAATCATCATATTTTTTATCCCACTTTCTGACTGTAAAGTTAATGATGATTTCGATCAGTAAGGGGAAATTATTCAAATTAAATTTGAGAATATAAAAAGTATTAATGCATTTTAATTGGGTGAATAATATGAGCGTAAAAGTAAAATCAGTTTTTTAAGGGAAGTTTTGCACAAAAATGGATACCGAAAATAAATTTGAATAATTTTTCGGAATTTACTTCTTAAAAGCTTAGAATTTACAACCGATCCAAAGATTTTGGAAAAAAAATAAATAAAATAACTGACTGGTTTTATTCTTTATAATTTTATCTCAAAACAAGTATCATAAAGCAACTCGTTTTACTTAAAAATTAAAATTATATATCTTGTCAAATAAATCTAGTTAAGTAACCCTTGCAACGCATTATATTTGTTATGCATTAAAAATTATTTGCTAAAGAACAAAAATCTTTTGTTTTGCGCAAATAAGAAAACGATATATATTTATGAAAATAGAAATGCCATTAATAAATATTTTGGCGATTCAATATGTAAGATACTATGGAAAATAAAATTTTAACTCAGAGGGTTGACTTCTGCAAACGATTATTTGATTTTTCATTTAAGCAAAATACTAATGTACAGCTATTTCATTTGCGTCCTTATTATCAATTAGTGATTTTTACTCTTTTGTTTTATCAAATTGCTCAATAAGGAAAAAGGAATCTCTGAAATTCAAAAACTTTTATATCGGATTTTGTCATGAATATAGTAATATACGTTGTAAAATCCTTCTAAGTATCGTTTTCCTCTATAACTTTTATTATTCTGATATAAATAATAAATTCTCCATGAATTTTCACAATGATTCATAATAAAGTTCCACGTATATAAAAATGAAGTGGGCAGTACCCTTATTTTTAGTATCTCTCGCATCAGCTACAGTATACTTCCAAGAAGAGTTTGACACTAATTGGGAGTCCAGATGGGTGAATTCTAACTGGAAAACTGACGGGTCTCAAGCTAAATTCAGGAGATCAGCAGGAGATTGGTATGTAGATGCTGAAAAAGATCAAGGTCTCCAGACCACTGAAGACTACAGATTCTATGGCATCTCAAGCAAATTCCCAGGCTTCTCAAACCAAGGCAAGCCTCTTGTTGTGCAATTCACAGTAAAGATGGAAAGAAATGTGGACTGTGGTGGAGGATACATTAAGATCCTTCCAGATGGATTCGACCAAAGCACCTTTGGCGGTGACACTCCATATCTAATCATGTTCGGGCCTGATATTTGTGGTAGCGAAAAAAAGACTCACTTAATCGTTGCTTACAAAGGAAAGAATTACCTCAACACAAAAAGGTTCAGATGCGAGATTGATAGCTTCACACACCAATACACAGCCATTTTCCACCCTGATAACACCTATGAGTTTTTAATTGACGACCAAGAAGTCTCCAAAGGAAAACTTGAAGAGCATTGGGACATTTTGCCTAAAAAAGAAATCAAAGACCCAAGCGCCAAAAAGCCAGAAGATTGGGTAGATGAGCCAACTCTGCCAGACCCTGAAGACAAGAAGCCAGAAGGTTGGGACGATATCCCTGAGTTAATTTCAGACCCTAGCGCATCTAAGCCTGAAGATTGGGAAGATAAAGACGGTGAATGGAAAGCTCCAATGATCCCTAACCCAGACTACAAAGGCGAATGGAGGCCAAAGATGATACCAAACCCAGGCTACAAAGGCCCATGGACTGCCCCACTGATCCCTAACCCTGATTACGTCGAAGAGCCTAACCTACACGCTTTTGGCACTTATGGAGGCGTCGGCATTGAGCTCTGGCAAGTCACCTCCGGGATGATTTTCGACAATATCATCATCACCGACAGCGTCGAAGAAGCAAAAGCATTTTCAGAAAAAAATTTCGCTTATAGAAAAGCCGGAGAACCTGACGCAAAGAAAGTCTACGATGACGCTGAAGAAGCCAAAAGACCAAAACCAGCAGAGCCAGAAGAGCACGACTTTGAAGGAAGAGAAGACCTTTAAATAAATCAGATTATTTATAATGATTAAAAATTTATTACTTCAAAGAAATTCAGAGAATGGTAAAAAAGTATATGGGGTGAGTTTTGATTATAACGAACTCGTAGAAAGGCTTAAAAAAATCAAAAATGTTGATGACGCCAATGAAAGTCTGAGACTAGGAATGTCAAAGACAAGCTTTTATAAAAAAGTTAAAAATCTTTCGAGAGTTAAAAGCAACTCAAGAAAAAATTTAAGCACGCTGAGGGTAAAAGAGTTTATGGCAGAGCTGGAAGATGAGAAGAAAAGTGGAGATAATACGGGAAGATTGCAAACGGCAAGGCTAAAAAGTGCGAATTTAATAAGGTCGAAGTCAAGTATTGGGATCGAAAAAAGGGCTGGGCAGAGCAAGAGTCCACCCAAGCAGCCACCATTAGCGAATTTGCCACAAAAGATAAGCTGGGGAGATATTTACCAAAAGGTTAAAAATACTAAATCATATGTGAAGCCTAAATTAATATAAATTATTGTAATATGTGAATTAGTCGTCGTCTGAGATGTCAGGGTCTATGTATTTAGGGCTTAGCTCTTTTAAGGTCGTTTTTTCTCATTCAATAAGAGAGCTTACAGCTCGGTTTTCTTCTTCTGCTTTCATAATTTTGACCTTATCATTCCATTTTGTTCTAAATGGACTAGTTGACTGAACAGAGCTTGGCGTTATGCTTTTGCTTTTATTTGTCATTGTGCTTCCAACAACTAGACCTCCAATATTATGAAAATTTGTATTAATTCTCCTTGATTTCTCATTTACTGCTCCAATTGAAAACCTGTATGCTTTATTATCGACTTCAGGGAACAGTTTGTTTTTCCCTATAATTTTTTCATATATATCGTCCTCATTGTTTGGGAAGTCTTTTCTGTCATTTCTTATAGAAGTAGATTTACTATTAAAGGTAGCTTCATGCTGAAGTTTATCATAAAAAGGGAAAAACCTTATATGCTTTTTATCAGGCTTTGGCTTTGAAGGTTTTATATCAAATTCGTTTTTCTTTTGTCAAGTATTAATGAAATTTCCGTTAACTTTTTTAAAACAAGGCTTCCATTCTAACACATTAGTGCATTCAGCTATATCAAAATGTCTTCTGCCTTTCAATCTTTCGATTCCTTGGCTTGTTTCTTCTATTAAACCTTTAATTTTGACTTCTGGAAGAGAAATTGGCCCGGTAATTTTTTTTCCTCCTTGGAATTTGCAAGGAGTTGCACCATCCCAATCATAAAGCATTTTAGGACAGTAAGTAAATGTTAATTTAAATTTAATACTTTTTAATCTCTTTAATAAGAAAATTGCTTTATTTGCAATATAAAAAATGTAAAAATTCATATTAATTCACCAATAGAAGCAATCAGCATAAAGGATAATTTTTAGTATATTTTTCTATATAAAGAAATTCTATGGCCGATCGCTAATTTCGGCGAACATTAGCCAGATAAATTTCTCCTATTGATTTAATTATTAACATAGTTCTAGAATGGCATAATAATGATTAAAAAGGTTTTGATAATAACTCTCTTAGGAATTTGTCTTTTTTACATCGGAAGTTTTGCTAGTGACCACAGAAGACAAATCGTAAACTTCATTAATGAAGTCACTCCTCCGAAATATTCCTCTAATAATCCGAAAATTAGCACTGTTTCATATCCCTATCATGGTCCGATAATTTCAGATAAAGACACTGAAGAGTTCAACTCTTCTAGCTATTTCACAGATGATAGACCTCCTCCAATATTTAAAATTGATGACACAGAATCATTAAGAAGCTTAAATCTTGCCTGCCAGCCAGAAATTTATGGCTACTCCATCGACCAAGGAGACGTAATTTTTCCACGTCATGGATACCCAAAATGTCCTGCTGTAACAAATTTGAACCAGAGCTATATTTTTGTAGACACTGAGGACGATAAGTTATATATGAACTGTCCAGGACCCTATAAAGGCAGATTTTTATTTGGACCCACAAATGATAAAAAATTGGTTTTGAGAAATGAAATTGAAGACTTTTGGCAGGTTTGAGACTATGATGAACCAGAGCCTTTAGATGAGGAAGTAGAATTTGCTTTGGGATCGTGCGATAGCAGTAAATCAGCTTATCTTATACAAGCGAGTATGAACCCACAGTTTAATAAAACAGCATATGAATATGCTAAAGAGAGGACTGAAGGAAAACCAAAAATTATTTTTATGCTGACGCTGGATTCAATGTCCCGTAGACATTTTTTCAGAAAAATGCCAAAAACTATTGATTTTTTGAATTCTTTAAACCAAAATGAATCAGATTATTGGGCTTTTGATTTTAAATTGCACAATATCCTGGGCCCAAATTCTGTGGGTAATCAGGTACCTATTTTTGGAGGAAAAGATAGGTTTGTTAAGACTTTTAAAGGAGATCAAAATATTGATTACTTAGGGGAAAAAGCCCTTTGGAATATTTTGAGAGAAAAAGGATACATAAGTCTCTTTGGTCTTGAAAACTGTGATAATTATTTTCCAAAGTCCCTGGGCAGAAAACCAAACGTTGACTACGCAATAAACCAATTTTTTTGTGCAGTCTATAAATACACAGACTATAAATTCGACAAAGAAGCCGTTCTAAAACAAAGATGCCTCGGAGCCTACATGACTCATTATTACCCTCTTAATTATACCTATAACCTTGCCCAAATGAATCAAGGTGTCAATATGTGACTTTATCTTCATCTAAATGGTGCCCATGAAGCTACAGGCTTGCATGCAGAAACAATGGATGACGACGTGATGGATTTTGTCAAAAAATTCCTTACTGATTTTGGAAAAGACAATGATATCATTATGTTTTTGCACGCAGATCACGGAATGAGATATGGAAACTGATATAAAGACCTTCCAGCATATCAAGAAAACAAACTCCCTGGGCTGTTTGCAATAGCTGGAAGGCAGTTTATAGAACAAAATGATAAAACTTATTCCGTACTTACATTAAATACCCAAAGATTGACCTCAAAAATGGACCTAAGAAAGAGCATTCTATATCTGGCTGGAATTAAGGAAAATACAAAATATGGCGTCAATTTATTTGAAGAAGTCGCTCATAAAGGCAGAACTTGTGAAAAGGCAGGAATTGAGCCATGGGATTGTTCATGTAGAGAAATGAAACTTATAGAAGAACCAGATCAAGAATTAGAAGATTTTATACTCAGGCTTGCGGATCAAGTCCAAGCTACAATAAACACAGAAAGTTATGCTTCAAAAAAGCATGATAAAAACATAATTTGTGAAAAAATCGAGATTAAGGGTGTTGAAAATACCTATAATTTCCAAATTTCTAATGTGGAAGAGTTTTTCAAGCTGGAAATGACCGTTAAGCACTACCCAAAAGTAAAATTCCAAGCAAATATATTGGTGAGTTCTCAGTACTCGGACAGATTTAAATATAATGATGTGAAATATATGGTAGAACATGACACGTTTAGAAAGGCACCAATAATGATTAGAGTAAAAAATATTTAGATTTTGAATATATCAAGGCTTGATAAGTATGCAGGTCCTTGCGAACTTAAAGCTATCCAGGCGGGGCTTAGGGGCGATACGTGCATATGTAAAGAGGGGTATAAAAAAGAAAAATAAAATAAATATCATATTTAATTTGCTTAATAAGGACTTATGAATTTTATTAAGATGTAACGCATAAAAATGTTTACTCCTTATAAGGTTTTTTTGTATAGCCTAATATCTAGGTTGATATTGATTAAAATGCTTCTAATCTAATAGCAGTTTTTGATTCTTGAAATGGCTGAGTGGCAAATAGGATCTGGCAAGTAAGCACGCTTTTATAGAATATAAATCTGGTAAATTTACCTTTTATAATGGAATTGACTAAATTTAGCATAGCAAGAGCTTTAATAAATATGATTTTGAATTTTAAGCATGAAAGAAAGCTCTTATTTAATTTATTGAGTTTATCTTTTATGTGCCATTAAAAAAATCTTAAGACTTTGATTAAAATAACCATAAATACATTCCTTTATATATAAATAGTTCTTACTTTTCTCAGAAAGAAGTTAGAACTTTTTGCATTTAATATAATTTCTCAAGCTTATTCAAAATAATTTAGCATTACTAAGAAATAAAATGTGACGTCGACAGAAGATGGACTCCGAGGTGCTATGGAGTAGGTAGGACCCCTCCTGATGAAGCTGAAAATAGTGCCTCTGTTATTTCGAAGCAAGCCTTTGGGAATGCCTGCCAAAGAGGGGATTTTGTTCTCCACCAAGGGTTTCACAGTCCATTACAGCTGGGCTAGATAGGTTTTACCTCCCATTTAGTCTTTGCTTATCAGGACTAACGGAGCATCCGCAAGAAGTGGCTCAAGCTAGGAGCTAATCCTTAGGTTAGGTTGGTTTATGCCAGATAGGCAGAGTAGTGGTCTATCCGCTTATGGCCTTATCAGACCTAACTAAGCTTAGCTTAGCTTTAGCATTATTCATTCAATTTTATTTTAATAAATCTTCTTAAATTAAATGAAAACCTGATTTTAGATTTATTTATTTCAGCATTGTCAATATGGTCATTAATACATTAGCTTTCCTCATGTTCATAGCAATTATAATCTTTAATCCTTTGAATAAAAAAATTATGCAATTTGTAGCTGTAAATATAAATCCAAAATCATTTTCACCATAATCTCTAATCTCTTTTGTATATTTATAAATGCCGAAGAAAATTTTATTGATAATTCTTGGGTGCTTATGCATTCTTTATATAAGAAACACTGTTATCACAAATAGACGGAAAATAGCTGCTTTTATTGAGAATACTACTCCTTCTATCTCTCCCCCTCCTTAAATGAAAAAAACCATTGAAAAAGTCCCTATTTTTTGGATAAAAAGTAATCCTCCAAATGCTAACAAAAAATTTTTAATATAAATATTTTTATGAAAAAGAAAATTGCTATATAAACGATAATTATTATATAGAAATCTTGAATTAATTTTTTTGAATTTTTAAATAGGCTTGCATTTTAAAAAACATAATTTTTTTAAAAAAAATCCTCCGTGAATAAACAAAATTATTTTGTTTGTTCACGAGAAATGGGGGAGGAGTAAATATTCGTCAAATAATCAGGAAATCAGCACTGTTTCATATCCTCATCGAAAATTCGTCCCTTTATCAAATCATTCTGACGCATTTTCAGAGATTGCCAAAATATCTGTAAAGCCTCCTGGGATTTTTAATATTGATGACACAGAAAATTTAAGAACCCTAGGCTTGGCATGCCAGCCTGAAAGTTATGGCTATTCAAAACAGCAAGGCGATCATGTTTTTCCTTATCATGGATATCCTAAGTGCTCTGATTTAAACAACCAAACAGAAAGCAGGGTGTATTTAAGCACAGAAGACGGCAAAATCTATATGAAATGCCCTGAGAAATTCAGAGGGAGACTTGTTACTGGGCCAATTAACGACAAAAAAATAGTCCTCAGAGGGGAAGTTGAGGATTTGTGGGAGCCGATTAAGTATGAAGAGCCACTTCTTTTAGACGAAAAGACAGAATTTGCTCTAGGGTCTTGTGACGAAAACCCTAATAATTGATATAAAGAAGCCCATATGACTCCAAGATTTAATGAGACTGCTTATAATATGGCAAAATCTAAAACCAAAGGAAAACCAAAAATAATTTTTATGCTTACTTTGGATTCCTTATCAAGAAGGAAGAAATAAAATGGTGAGGCTGAAGGAAGATTGACTCTGAGGCATGCTTCCTATGGAACAGATAGGATTAACTCTGATGAAACTGGAATAGTGCCTCTGTCTCTTTTGAAGTAGGCCTTCAGGTTTGGTGATGCCTGCCGAGGGAAGTTTTGAAGGCATTTCCCATCCCTGCCAGGCTAGATGGAATTATGTAAGATAGGAATGCTAGTGATTTATCCGCTTATGACGTTACAACACTTAGCTTAACTTAACTTATCAAGAAGGCATTTTTTCAGAAAATTGCCAAAAACAGTGGATTTTTTGAACTCATTAAATCATGAAAATTCTGAATATTGGGCTTTTGATTTTAAGCTTCATAATATTTTAAAGCCAAATTCCGTAGGCAACCAAGTCCCTATATTTGGAGGAATTGAAAAATTCGTAGAATTTTTCGAAGGAAACCAAAATATAGACTACCTTGGAGATACTGCTCTATGGAACATTTTGCGAGAAAAAGGCTATATCAGCTTATTCGGGCTTGAAAATTGTGACAACTATTTTCCTAGGTCTTTAGGAAGGATGCCAAATTTTGATTATACAGTAAACCCTTTTTTCTGTGCAATTTATAAATACACAGATTATAAGTTTGATAAAGACGCAGTATTAAAACAGCGATGTTTAGGCCCATATATGACTCATTATTACCTATTAAATTACACAGATAATCTTGTCAGGATGAATCAAGGAGTCAACCAATGGCTTTATCTCCATTTAAACGGTGGCCACGAAGCTACAGGGCTACACGCAGAAACCATGGACGAAGACATCACTGATTTCCTTAAAAAGTTTTTATCTAAATATAGCAAAGATAACGAAATTATTTTATTTTTGCATGCAGACCATGGAATGAGATATGGAAACTGGTTTAAAGATCTCCCAGCATACCAAGAAAATAAGCTTCCTTCTTTATTTTTTATTGCAAGACGTGAATTTATAGATAGCTATGATAAAGCATTCCAAATTTTGACATTAAATACAGAAAGATTGACGTCTAAAATGGACCTGAGGAAGACCCTTCTTTATATAGCAGATGTCCATGAAGACACAAAGCATGGAATCAACCTACTAAAAGAAGTCGTCCCAAAGGAAAGGACGTGCAATGATGCTGGGATTAATCCTTGGGATTGCTCATGTACTGAGATGAAAATTATTAAAAATCCAGATGCTGAGCTGAAAGGGCTGATTGAAAGAATGGCTGATTTGCTGCAGTTTACGATAAATTCTGAAGCATATGCGTCAGCCAAGCATAAAAAAGGAAATATTTGCCAAAAAATTGAGGTTAATGAAATAGAAAAAGTTTATAATTTCCAAATTTCCAACGTCGAAGAATTTTTTAAACTAGAAGTTTCTGTGAAAAATCACCACTCAGTGAAATTTCAATCAAGTATATTAGTAAGTTCAGAAAATTCTGACCGGCTAGACTATGATCCTATTAAATATAATGTTGAAACCGATTCATTCAGAGGCGCTCCTATCAAACTTCGAGTAATCTTTATCTAGATTTTAACCATTTCCAGGCTTGACAAATACGCTGGCCCTTGTGAGCTAAAAGCAATCCAAGCCGGTCTAAGAGGAGACACCTGCATATGTTCGGAAACCTACACAAATTATGACTAGAGAATTTATTAATTAAAATTAGTGTATAATCATTAATATGATTTCAGACGTAAAATTCCAAAGAAACAGCGAGACCCCAAATCGCGCAGAAAAATCAAGGTCAATGATAAACTTAGACTATAAACCTGCAATTTTAAGCCAATTTAAAGAAAAAATCCAAAACACTTCTAGAGGGAATTTTTCAGAAATCCCAGTTATCGAATTTTCACAAAAAGAAAATTTGAAAGATTTTCAAAATAAATCTAGCATCAGTTTTCATGACCATAATAAATCAGACCTCTGTATAGATGAGCTGAAGAAGCAAAAAATAGAAAAATCGTATCGGAATACCAGTTTAAGCCAGATGAATTCACATCATCCTAGGATTATTCCCATGCAGGATAGAGACTTGAATTTTAAAATATTGAAATATGAAGAAGATAAAAGAGAACTAAACAAAGCTCAAGAAAAACTAAAAAAAGACCAATCAGTTGTAGAAAAACAGCTTAATATCATTGATAGAAAATTGACAGAAATGCAAAATCTCAAGGAGAAACTTGATATGTCTATAGCTAAAAAAAACGAAAATATAAGGGCAAAAGAAGATGAAATATTTAGAAAAGAAAAAGAGCTCGCAAAGGAAAGACTTCTTTTTGAAGAAGAAAAACAACAATGGGAAACTCATATAGCTGCAAAGCTGAAAGATATCATAAATCGAGAAAAAGCTTTAGAAAGTGACCAAAATGACCTTGATAAAGAGCTTGAAAGATCTAAACAAATAGGAGAAAAATTACAGAAAATTCAATTGGACATAAAAGAAAAAACAAGCCTACTTGATCAAAGAGAAAAAAAATTTTTGGAAAATGAGGATTGTTACTGGAAAAATAATGAAAAATTCCAAATGATGATTGAAGATATAAATGGATGTGAAGACAGAATAGTTGAATATGAAGGGAAATTATTAATAAAAGAAAATGCTTTAATAGAGCTAGAAGAAGAAATTGAAGAAAAAAGGCTTGATATCGAAAAAACGTCTGAAATGTTTGAAGATATTGATAGACATCTTAAAGAGGTTAGTCTTGGAATTGAGTATGAAAAAAACCAATTAAAAATCCAGTGGGAAGAATTAAAAACAGAAAAATCTTTATTGAAAGATAAAGCTATCAGAATTAAGCTGATTAGATTAGATTAAAATTTGAATTGATTTTTGGAGCTTATTTCACCACACTTCTCCTTCGCTCCTCACCCTAGGTATCGGGCTGCACTTACGCCCTTTTCTATCGATATCACCAAAAAAATGGTGACTTAGCCATCTCTTGGGGAAACGAGCCCAGTTGCTTCCTTAGAAAACTCCTAGCGGTCGGGCACAATCTATTCGGAGATGAAGATAGGACACAACCCCGAATCCTCCTTCTTGTCCCCATTACCCTTGGCGTCTAGAAGTGTAGAGTTGCCACATGGACTTGGTTTCCTTGCCTGTGATGCGTGCTAAAACACCCTGTCGTGATATCTCGGCTAAGGAGAAAAAAACCCCAGGACACAAGTTCCAGTCCCCGGCATCTTAAACCAAAAACCCAACGGTATTGGAGAAGGACTGGCCGGATAAGCTGCCATTTTAATCGTGTGAATTAAGCTGAAGAATGAAAAATTGAAATATAAAGCTCAAAATATTTCATACCAAGAAGAAATGCTTGCAGGGAGAAAAAAAACACTCGAAAAAGTCATAATGATAAGAGAAGCTTCATTCAATGAAAACAGCGAAATAAAACCCAAAAAAGCAGTATTAAATGATTCCAAACAAGAAAACTACGATAAAAACCAAACCATTATGAACGGGAGCTACGCAACCCCTCAAGATGTATTAACCCCTAGAAGCCAATCAAGCAATGAAAGTTTTAACTACGAATTTTAAATAAATTTTATTTATAGCTAAAGCGATGGATTTATTTGAAGATTCAGTTGGCAAGCTAAAGATAGGTGATCACTAGGGTAAATTTGTGAAGGCAATCCTTTCTCGCCAATAGTTTCTTCACTTGGCATGCTTAAAACGCATGCCACGTCAAACCCTTTAATCCATATATAATCAACTGTTTTTCTTTCAAATTCATCTCTGAATTTAAAAGTTGTGAAAATTGGCTCAATTCCTTCTTTATTGTATACACTTTTAAAGCTCAGCCTATGCTCACTTAATATATTGTATGTTTTGCTTCCAGGCTCTGTGTTAAAATCGCCACACATAATTAAAGGAAGATTTCCTGCACATAGATCGAGTTTTTGTAATAAATATTCCATTTGTATTGCTCGTTCTTCTTCGCATTCGTGCATTGATTTTAGATGTGTGGCGACTACAATAAACTCTATACTAGCGAAATTTAGTTTTTCTGCATTTTAATTTTAATTTTTTTTTAAAATTTATTGATTATTTTTTAAAAAAAAATAATTTAGTTTCACTACCAAGGCAAATTGATTGGAATTAGGAAAATATCAGGCCTCTTGGGAGGAAACTGAAAATTTTTTGTTATAAAGCAAGCAAATCCCATCACGATGCCACCCGCGCTTCTTTTGATAAATTCCTGCAAAACCTTTTTCGTTCATCCATGGAACTATGAAGTCATCATAGTGGTCAATTTCACTCAGACAATACAGATCAGCTCCAATTGAATCCAGCTCGTGCAGAATCCGCTGTGATCTGTGATTTCATGCTAAATACTCGTCAGCCACTAATGGAAAGAAACCTGAGAGCTGATCTGAAAGCGTGTTCCAAGTCATAACTGTGAAAATCGGCTGAATAGGTTTGACTTGTAAAAGGGATCTTCCAAGTAGCATTTTATTTAGAAAATGACTCATAATAAAATGTCTTGTCCTTTTTATTAACTATTTTTGCTTACTTTAATAGAAAAATCTGATACTGAAAACCACAAAAATCAATTTTTCACAATTTTTAGTATAAATATTGCTTAAATTAAAGTTATGAATTAATAGATCATGAAAATAAATAAATCCAGCATCCCACGTCCTCATGCAGCAGTAAATGAAATCTACATCACTCGTAAAAGACCTATTCAAGCTTATATCAAAAGAGCGGAAAAGCTAATGGAACAAGAAATTAAAGAACTGATAATTCATGGCAGTGGAATGGCAATACCAAGAGCATTAGATGTGGCTAATAATTTAAGAAGATTTTACAATTCTTTTGAAATTCAGACTTCATCTGTAGCAGTTGTCGATGAGCTTGATCATTCTGAAAATTGTGAAGATGATTCAAGGCTAAGGCTAATCCCAGCAGTACACATAAGATTGTCTGATCTTAAATAAGGATTTTGGCTTAATTGTTTAAAAATTAAATTATTTTGGCTTTCTTTTTCTTCTTAGACTTATTTTCCAAGTTTTCACAATACTTTTGGAGCCTTGATATAACAGACTCATAATGGTCTTTTAATTGGTTTACAGTATCGTCAAACTGTTTTTTAGAGTTCCGCTTGTGGTTTGAGCATTGGATTTTGGTTTCTCTCATTTCAATTTTTAATGCTTTTAAAGCAGAAAAATATGCCCATTTGGATAAAATTATTTTTCTTATTGAATAGATAAAGGCTATTTATTTTTAAAATATAAGGAAAGCTGTATGTTGCCTATGAATTTATTATTTTTTAATAGCGTATTTTGTTGATAAATCTATAGCTTTTGCTCTTCAATTACTCAGCTCATTTTCTAAAAATTTGACTCTTTCTTCATAATACGCTTTTACATCTTTTCAAGGCTTATTTAATTTATTTCTTTCTTTTTCAAGGTTTTTAATTTCTTCTAAAATTTCTTTTTTCTTTTCTTCGAGTCCCTGTAATTCTTCTTTAGCTGCTGCGATTTGTTTTATATTTGGCTGACTTTGTGTGTTATTTTTGGTTTTTAATGTCCTGTTTTGTTGGCTTATTATGGAAGATAAAATATGGCATCATAAGAATTTTCTGTTGTACAGGACAGAAAATATTATGGTCATTTTGAGTTTGGCTTCACAATGTATCTTGCCTCAGGGATAAAGACCGTGGGCTTTTAGATGCTGGCTGATCAAAATTAGTTTACTGTAGGCTGAAAGGTAGCTATCTAAATTAGAACAAAATTAGGCTTCTTCGATATTGGTAGATAAAAACTAGAGATAATCTGAATACTAGGGGCTAAATTGGTATTTTACTCAAAGCAAAAGGTAAAAATCCTAATTAATCGAATAAATGCAGATTATTCTGGAAGGTTCACTGCTTCTAGGTCTTAGAATTGCATTTCCTTGTGACAGTTTTCTTTTTGCTTTAGTCCCATTCGCATCATTTTTTTTATTTTCCATCTCCATTTCAGTTTTTACATAATTTTTAATCCTTTCAGTCTGCATCTCTAACTCTTTAAATTCTTTATCTTTTATACGTTCTTTTTCTTTAAGCTTCTGCTTCAACTCTTTTACTTCTTCTTTTTTTGTTTTTAATTTTTCTAACAATTTTTCATCACTTTTTCTGCTTTCAACTACTCCTTTATTTCCTACCTCTATAATTTGGTTGAGCCTATCGATTTCATCTCTATACAAAGCTGTCTCATTTTTATAAATTTCACAAATTTCTTCATATTTTTTCTTAAATCCTTCTTCTCTATGGTTTTCTATTTTTTTGCCACTGTTTTCGAGCTCTATATAAGAATTTTTTTGGGAACTGTCTGATTTTTCTATACTTTGTGAAAGATTTGGGGAAGGCTTGTAGGGATCATTTCGCTTATACATGAAGATTGGACTATAGGTGTTTGGCCGCTCTATTTGATAGCTTTGGTTTCTTTTTCAGCTAGCTAAATCTTTTTCAGCGAGTGAGGTTTCCAGTTCTGCCTAGATGGGTTTTACTTTTAATAGTAAAGCTTTTCTGTATTCTCTTTCTTCGACAAGTTCTGGAGTTAATAGTCTCTTTCCTAAATCCATTTTTAAATTATTAAGAATTGCCTTTTAGGATCATCACAAGTAAAACACGCATAAAAATTAATTAAAACAAGAAGAAATTGCAAATATAAAGAGGATATACTTTATCAATGTGTTTTCAGAAAAAATATAATTTTTATATGCATTTAGTTATTTTCGAGACATTGTCTGTCAATATTGGTAAAATATATTTAATAATAATCTATATTGGTAAACTATATTTAATAATATCTATAGACGGATTTAAAAAACTGTTTTTATAAAATGACAGTTTAGTCGCTAATCAAAACTTTTTTTATTTAAACAAATTTTAACCAATGCCACGCTATTCTCATCTTCCTGAGAGTTACGTTTTTAAACTTTATCAAGATAAACTATCCTTTCGGTTTTTATTTTCGTCTTGAAATCTATATGCAAAGTCTATCTTTGCATAATGGGGGTATCCACACCAATTCAAATTTAAAAATGATTGATATACCAACCAGCCAGCTTAGCCTGCTGCTTCCCCAAAAACTGATTGAAGACGTTTTAGGATACCAAAACCATGATCTATCTCCCTCAAGCCCCCATATAATTTCCACTTCAATTCAGTCATCCCCTTCTTCTGTATCCAAATCTTCATTTCCTCCATCTCCACAAATCGCACCCTTAGAAAGCCGCCTCCACTCTTATTTATTTAAACATCCTCACAAAGGCTCGGTCTCTTTAAAACTTGCTACATTATTTGAAAACTTAAATTTATCATATTAGAAATGAGTTATTTTTTAAAAAAAAATAATAACACCCTTTTTTCTATAGGATAATAGTACATATAATGCGAGAAAAATGGTAAAAGGTATTTAGAAATGTATAGAAAAGGAAGTAGAAAAAGAAATCGCTGAATGCAAGCAGGAAGTTAAGCTTTGTAATGAAATTAAGACGGACTTTTTCGACGGAGTTGTAGCAACGATTAATTTATTTGCTAAAAAACCTGAAAAATTAAATGCAAGGGCGAAAATCTTTTGTCCATTGGAAATTGATAAAGAAAATATCCCTCCACAGTGGATAAATGATAAGAGAAATTAAATTTGGTTATTATTTTTCTATTATAATAATTCTAAATGGCCTTAAGATTAGCAAGAGTGTTTAGACGCTCAGGGATGCCCCAGCTAGCTACAAGAGGAAGACCTGCTGCAGACACTGAAGTAGCTGATGAAATCCCTCACGATTTCTACGTAGTAAAAGATTATGAAAGAAACTTGTTTTATGGGCAGCTCTCCCATGCTCAGAGACCTGGTTATAAAAAGAGATATGATCCATTTAAGAAATTCTCTGAAAGACAAGAACATGCTTGGACTCCCAGATATAGAAACCAACAATTTGATGCTGGGACAGGCTGGATTACCTTCGCTTTTATTCTTTTATTGCCTTTTGAATTTATTGTGCTTTTCTATTTGGAAACCAAGTATAAAAGATATCGCTACAACCCATTGGCTTACAACTTGGGTATTCCTCATGAACTCTAGATAAGTTAACTACAACTTTAAAGAGATTAATTGATAGATTAATAAAAATAATTTAAGAAAGATGTTTGCAGCAGGCAATTTTTATTTAGAAGAAAACTTAGGAATTGTACTTGATATAGGCAATCATACTACAAAAGCTGGCTACGCAGGAGATGCCGTACCTAAAGCAATTGTCCCTTCAGTAAACATAATTTAGTATGTTGGCATCATCGAAAACCCCAACCAAATGGATCTTGAATCCAAAGACATTTTAACAGGGGACAGAATCAATAAATACCAAGACTATATGAAAATCGAACAACTTTTTGCTGAAGGCAGAGACAAGTATGAAAAAATCGAACAAATATGCAAAGAAGCTCTTGAAAAAAGTCTAAAAATCACACAGCAAACGCATCCAATTTTATTATCAGAGCCAAGTATCCACGATAAAGAATTTCGTAGTGCTTTAACTGAAATTATGTTCGAGAAATTACAGCTTCCAGCTATTTTTATAGTAAAAAATGCAGCACTTTCTTCATTTGCGTCAGGAAGGACTACAAGTTTAATTTTGGATTCCGGGGCTTATTCAACTAGTGCAGTCCCAATACAGGATGGGTATGTTTTACAGAAATCAATAACACAATGTAATATCGGAGGAGAAATGTTTACTGATATGCTGCTGAGTACTTTGAAGAGTAATGGAGTGTACATAAGGCCTCATTATACATTTAACAAAGATATTAAAAGTATTGAGGATGGAGAAATAGGAAGCACTGATTTTGCTATTGAAGAAGTCTTAAATATTGATGTAAACCCTTCATTTCAAGAGCATTCTATAAAAGAAGTAGTAAGAAATATAAAAGAAGCCACATTTAAGGTAAGCGATATCACTTTTCCTGAAACTTCTTATACAGGGATTCAGCCTCAGAACTATGATTTGCCTGATGGCACACAAATTCAGGTCGGAACTGAAAGATATAGAATCCCTGAAATGCTTTTTGTGCAAGGAGCTGAAGGAGTAGCAGGAGTGGCAGGATTTTCAGGGGTCCACCAAATGGTTTGTGATGCAATTAATAAGTGTGATGCAGAAATTCGAAGAGAATTATATGGAAATCTAATAGTTACAGGAGGAAATTCTCTTATTGGAGGATTTCCTGATAGATTGTATAAGAAAATTTCAGAAATTAATGCTCAGAGCATGAAAATCAGAATCATTGCCCCTCAGAACCCTAATGACCGAAAATTCAGTGCTTGGATAGGAGGCTCCATTTTAGCATCTTTAGGAAGTTTCAGCCAAATGTGGATATCAAAGCAAGACTATGATGAAAATGGAGCTAATATAGTAGAAAGAAAATGCCCTTAATAAATTATCTCTATCATTTTTAACTAATAGATAAAATTATTAGTCTAAAACCCAATCATACCAACATTTTTTTCGTGACCTATAATTTTGAATTTTTGATATAAATTATTTTGAATTAAATTTGAGCAGAATTCAGAAAAATTTAATAGTTTTAAGACAGAATAGATGTTTCAGGATTATTAAATATTGATATAAAAATATGTTGAGTGATCATTTGCATAAACAGCTAATAGCAAATTGCCAGAGAGAGCCTACAGTTATAGATAGCTATGGTGTCCATTTTGAATATCATGATTTATGTGCAAGACTTCTTGCATTGCAAAATTTACAAGAATTGGCTAATCAACAAAGCAAAAAAAGTCCGACAAGTAAAGTTCCGAATTTAGTGGGATTAGAATCAATTAATGCTGCCCCTACAGAAATAAAGAGCGATAGAGCCAGACATTTGTATGATGTAAATTTTTTCAAAAATAATTTTCTCAAGCCGAAAAAACAAAAAATAATGCTAATTCCCCCATATCAACTATATGGAAAATTATTCCTCTATATAGAGCAAAGATTTTAATATGAATTTTTTAGTATGATATATAATTAATGATGATTATAATAGTGATATCTCCAGCTAGTGATATTAATTTTTAAGTGCTTGTGTTTCGAAAAAAATAAATGTTTGCAAATTATCAATTTTTACATTTTTAAAAAAAAAATTTTTAAAATGCAAAAAATCTTACTCATTAAAGGAAGTAAGAAATTCGAGTGGGCCAATTAAAAATTTATCACAAATACATCTTAATGGGTCCTCAACAGAGCGGAAATCTGTTTATGAAAGAGTTCAGTCCGTATATGGGAAAAGAAAGATCGTGGGTGCTAATAAAAAGCCAGCAAATATTGATATTTTGGCTTTAAAATTGAGCCGAGTCCCACCAATGCCATCTAATTTGTCTACTAAAGTATCTCTATTGAAGAAAATTAAAAGCAAAGCTATAATTACTAAAAAAAATTAATTTTGCTGTAATAAGTAAAGATTTGCTATCTGAAATAGGGCAACTGAAGAAGCTATAATTTTGCATATGAATTATTCAGAAATTGAAATTTTTAGTAATATTATTTATTTCTTAGAGCTTAAGACAGTAATTATTGATTTTAACTAGAAAAATTTAAGATTCTCTAATAAGAAGAAAATAGAAATAATATAACTATGCAAAATAGAGAAATTTAAAGGAGATATATAGAATCCCAAAAAGGATTGTGTAACCTTTAACGCAGAATTTAAGCTGACAGTCGATTTTCTTTAAAACCGAAATATATATTAAATAATTTTTTATAGTAGATATTATTTCTCTGACAAGCATGGTTTTGTCAGATAATCAATTATTCCATATTCAAAACAGTTATTTATTAATATCTTCATCAGTATTAGAAATTACGCCTTCCATGATGGCGAAGGCCGCAGTCCGACAGAAAAACAGGAAGTTCCGAAATTCGGGTCACTTAATAAAATGGGCGGCCCCGAAGGCCACGGGGTCGGATGGAGGTGTGGTTTTCGGGGTGGGAGCAGGTTTGGGCTAACCGGACCTCTCTCGACCCACAGACGAAAGACCGACGGCGCAATACCAAGCAGGTACTTCTGGAGGAGCATTATGTTGTCTGTAAAATGGCAGAGGTAGTTCCAGAAGGAGGCAACGGACGGTTCCCTCATACCCTGAGCACTACCAGGGGTTAAGAGAGTCCTTTGCTGGAGTTTTTTGGTCCAAGCAGGTTCGGGTGAGTCTCCCCGAAAGATGTCGACGTCACATTTTTGATGACGTCATCAGAAAAGGGCGTTATCTGGGATTAGTGCTTAACGCCACTGAAGCGCGAAGCTAATCCGTGTAAGGGTAGGGGCTGGAATAATCCCCTGGGACCCCCTATAATTTTATCTCTCTCATCAGTATTAAAAGCTGAGTATCCTCTAATTGATATCTTCTCATTTGATAATAATTTATTATTTCAATTGTGGCTTCAAATCCTGACATTTCAGGCATGCTACAATCCATAATAATTGCTTTATACATTTGTTTTCTCTCATTACAGGAGATGACTTTATTCATAGCGTTTTTCCATTGCAAGCCTCATCAATAAATCAATGCTGCGGGCTCAGGATTGACAGTAGAGCAAGCCTATTAAACTCATTGCCATCCATAGTAAAAATATCAGAAACCATCGAGCTTTTTAAGGATTATCAATATAAATGTTTTTTCGTTTTCTAAGAAAATTGTTCTACTGCTAATAAATTGGGGGGATAAACTTGGAAATACCAAAGAAAAATCAAAAAGTTGAGCCTTTGCCTGGAGAAGATTTTACTTTGATTGACTTTCCGCCAAGCTGTTTTACTAGAAAATTTGAGTTATAAAGAAGAATTCATGAGCCTCTTGGGTTAATAATTGGAATATAAGAAGTGCTGAATTCTATGAAAAGCCTTTTTCCCATTTATTCATTCATCCCAAGCATATTTGCTTTATTTTAAAAATAATCTAAATACATAATTTTAATTATCTTTAGTATAACATTTAAATATTAATCTCATATAATTAGCGGGAATGGACATCTTAGAGCAGCATCAAGAACTCTCGCCTTATCACATCTCACTCTGCATCCTTCTCCACGAATCATTTATGAACCCAAAACTATTACCTCAACAGCGTCAAAAAACCCTAACTCCCCTCGTCCGTGAGCAAATAAAAAATTTGTGTTCGATCATGGACGGGGTTAAATTTTTTTTTAAAAAAATTATATATAAATTTTATTGAAAAAATTTTTAATTTGTAAAATATTGAGAAGCAAAAATTAATTTAATTTGCGAAATTTATATTTTAAAATGCAAGCTGTTTAGAATTAATCAGAATTACAAGAGATTTTATTATAATAATTATCATTTATATATAAAATTGTTTTTCATAAATAATTTTGTTCGCAAAAATAGGGATTTTTCCAATGGTTTTGTTTGCTTACGAAGGGGGGAGTAAGCTTTCTTGTTAGTAAAATCAAAGATGAAGGATCTGAAGAAATGAGCTTTCAAGATTTATCTCAAACTTACATTAATTTATCAGTTTCTGAGCCTCCATATTTTTCTAAAAGAATTCTTTACAACTAAATATAACTAGGATAGTAAATTATCTGCAAACTCTTGAAGAAGGAATCAATTCTATTCAGCCAATAAAAACCCATTTTTTAAACGCTATTAGCTCTTTACAGCACTTCAGCGACATTCTTACCTTTTTCATTGCGAAATTGAATGAACTTAAAAATGAAGGCGAAATGAGCATGGGGTATTTGGAGCAAGGAGGAACTTTATATTTGTTTTTGCGAAAATGCTTTTTGATTTTTGCGAGGATGGGGTTTGAAGATATCACAAAGCTTGATATCCCCTTTATATATAACTATTCAAGGCAATAAATATAAATAAAATTGAATTTTAATTTTATATTTTTATAGGAAGGGTATAAAAAGCTTCAAGAATACAAAAGCGGCAAAACTCAAGAAAAGTCTGATGCCCAGCACTCAGTATCAGTCGCCACAAATCTAGATAGTTTAGTGCTAAAGAAAACCTACCAAGAGCTTTCTGAAGAAATTTCCAAAATAAACCCTCCAACTAACTTCATTTGCCAAGGCCATTTAGACGCTTATTACAAAAACAATCAAGCAATTGACAACATTCATAGGTATTTTGATATGATTTTGGACTCAAAAATGCCTACAAAAACAACTCGTGAAAAAGGGCTAGTAGTCGTCCAATCATCAACACATTATGCTTCTTTGCATAGAGTAAAAATTGAGCTTCAGCTAGGCCATTTAGAGCCTGCATTGCATTTATTAGTAGAAACCATAAAGCGAGCACTCAGCGAAAATGATAACCCAGTTATTTTAGAGTCTACACTATTATTTATGAAAATCGCTGGGCTGATGGGGAATTATAAAAAAGAAAAAAGAATTGCTGAAAGAGCTGTTTTACAATCAATTAAGCTGGGGAACTTAATTGCGCTAATAAAATCATCATTATTTTTTTCGCAAGCTGATTTGCTATATCCAAATTTAATATAATTTTAATGGAGGATTTTTGTATAATTTGTATTAAAAATAAGAAAATAAGCATAATCATACTCATTTATATAGGTAACAGAAAGGATATTCAAAATGTGAATCGTCTAATATATTAGCTGAAATAAAGCCAAAAATCGATACTAAAAAGAAAATTCCTATGATTGTGCCGAGATATTTAAATGTTGATACAAATGTGAAAACATGGGTAAATTTAGCTGATTATGCTTTTATTGAAGGATTAGTCAAGCATGAGCATGCAGATTTGAGAAGTAACCAAATGAGAATGAATGTTTTAAATTGGATGAATCAAGGATGCTACTGAATTTCACATAGCTTTCTTAATGCCATCAAAGAAAACCCTCTGAAAACTGCGATTGATGCTGATTTTTATTTGCAGATTGCTCGATTTTTAGCTCAGTATCAAAAAGATACAGTTCTGGACATCTTAAAATACGTTGATTCTTATTGCTCTATTAAAACCTGCATAAAATGGGACTTTTCTATTTATACTATTAATATTCTAAACCATAATGCCAATAAAGATAATATCCAAATTTTTATAAAAAATGGCAAAAAATATTAATAAATTATTTTTTTTTCAAATCTAATAGAATATTACATTGGGCACATATGAAGCCTTAACAAAGGAGAACTATTAGAAGCCCTTTACTTTGAAGAAAAAGCAATTGAAACTTTAAACCAAACAAATGACGTTGACCTTTTCCTTGATATAAAATTAAATAAGCTTCGAAGACTTATTCACCATTATCAGCTCAGAGAAGCTTATGAGCTCGCAAATGAGCTAATTTCTACATTACATGACCGTGGCAGCAAAGTTCGCATAGTAGAAACTAGGATTTTATTATCTTATATATATTCTATGTCAAGCCAACACTATAAAGCTCTTTCTGAGATAAATAAAACACTTCCTTATATCGAGGATTTTTCAATATTAGAAATCATAATAAAAACTAGACTTGCTGAAGTTTATCTTGATATTGCCCCTAATTCTATCCCGTCGCTACAAATATTGACTCCTTTAGATAAAATTCTGGACAGGGTGAATTTTCCGCTGATATGTGGGAAATATCATGCAGTTAAGGCAAAATGCTTATTTGCCCTTGGGATGAGCTTGAATTCAAATTTATCGATGAATTTAATGAAAAGTGGGATTGACCATTGTATTAAAGCGGTGGATTATTTTAAACAAATAAATAGCTGTTATGAAATCAGAGAAGTTTTGTATATGCAGGCAAGAGGGTTCCATCAAATCGGGGATTTCGGGAATAGAGATAAATCGGCTGAAGAATTCTGTAAGATTAATCAAGAAATAAATTGGGCTGCAAAGAGGACAAAAAGTAGAGAAAGCCAGAGTTTAGTGTTTTTAATTGGTGATTAGTTAGAATTAAGCTAGTTTTTCTAGACACCTATTTGTATTATACAAAGTATAAGCTATTACTATGTATATTTTAAAGTATTTGTTATAAATACTTACTCCTTATCTTGATAGAAATATTCCATTAAGCATTCATAAAAATGGTAAATTAATCCCCAACCCTACCCACCTCAAATCTACTATCTATTTTAATAATAATTAATCTAGACATTACAGCATATAATAAGTCCTGCATAGTTCTAATATAACTTTTAAGCAAATTTGCTAATGTATTGCATATTCTATCTCTTGTGGGACTAATTTATAAGATAAATTTTTATATGGAAAAAATTTAATTTTTTAAATTTTAAGGTTATTAAAGAATTTTATAAATAGTTTTTAACGAACTTTTTATAGCCCCATCCTTGATCAAAAATGGCAATCAAGCAAGAAAGGATTTAGCTACAATTCTGATTATTTCTTCAGAAGAACAAGGCTTTGGTAGAAAATCAATCATTCCACAGTCATAACAAAGTTTTATATCCTCCTCTGAGTTATAAGCAGAATACCCAACTATAATGGGCATGTGATTGAGTTTTCCTTCTTTATAAAGCTGGGTAATCAGAGTTGTAGCTTCCCACCCATCCATTTCTGGCATACTGGAATCCATAAAAATTAGCCGATATGGCTTATTTTTCACGTCCTGAAAAATTACTTTGTCGACTGCAATCTTCCCGTTTTGGGCCTTCGAGTATGATATTCCATTATTCTTTAAAATGCTACTCAAAATTTCTAAATTAAATTCCATATCATCTACAATCAGCACTGATTGATTTTGGCTACCCATAAACTCTCTAAATGACAAGGAAGTTTCTGGGCATGCATCTTCATCATACTCTCTTTTATTAATTGACAAATCGGTCTTATATTTTCTAGATTGATTCAATAAATCTATAGTAAAATAAAATGCTGAGCCTTTTCCTGGCGCTGATTTTCCTTTGATTATTTTTCCACCTAGTTTTTTTGCCAGCAGGTTCGATATGTATAGCCCTAGGCCACTTCCTTTATTGTCAATAATCGGGATTGTCGACGAGTTTTCTTCGTCAAGAGCTTTAATTTGTCTTTTTTCAAACTCAATTCCTGAGTCTTCAATGCAGCATTTTAGTTTATTTTTAGCATTAACTGTGCAAATAAGCTCAATTTTTCCTTGAATTGTGTGTCTTATAGCATTTGCTAATAAATCTAATAAAATTTGGTTAAACCTGTCTCGGTCTGTAAAGACCTCTTTGGGCATTAATGGGTCAACCCTACAGATAAGAGAAATCCTTTTTTTCTCAGCTTGGAAATGGACAAGGCTTAAAGCGTTTTTGATGAGTTCTCTGATATTGCAGTTTCGCTTGTGCATTTTTAAGCTGCCTGTTAGGATTTTTGAGTAGTCAAGCAGGTCACTGATCATAGACAGCATGAGTTTGCCGGAATTTAGGATAATTGAGAGTGATTTTTTGGACTCCTCTGTAAGGACTTTTTGATTTTGTAAAATCTCAGTGGCAAAATAAATAATGGAGTTTAATGGGGTTTTAAGCTCATGAGAAGCTGAGTGTAAAATCAAAGATTTTATGCTTTCTTTCGCGATGTTTTTTTCTAAATCAATAATTTGATTTGCACTTCTGATCGACAGAAATATTGAAGGAATTCCTTCTCATATGATATTTTTAGCTTTCCACTCAAGATCAAGATGCCCAGACAGAGAAATCCCCAAGGTTACTTCTTCGTCACTGGGATTTTGAAGCAAATAATTTATATCGTCAATTAAAGCGTTACTTGAAGATATATGTGCTATTTTTTTCCCAGGGATATAATGTGTGGCAATCAGCTTTACCTTTAAATGATCCTGACTTGCATTCATGAACTCCAGTGATTTTTCATTGTAAAACTCTATGTTTCCTACTTGTGAAAAAATAATGATCCCTTCGAATGAATATTCTGTAATAATTTTCAAGCGATTTGAGGTACTTTCGAGCTCTTTCTGATATTGAAAGCGCTCATATGAAGTTTTCATGAGGCGATACCTGCCACAATTGCATAATAAAAAAAGAATAAAAATATCAAAATAAGGGACTGGGATTTTGCTGTTTGGGTCAAAAAATCAAGGGTGGATGTGCCAGATGTATTCGTGAAATAATAAGACTACATTTAAATAATCATGCACAATATTAAAATGCCAGTTAGGGATTGGTCCTAGCGCCTGCTAATACAGATGGACCTATAATTCGAACTTAGTGTGAGACAACTTGAAGTAGAGAAGTCGGTGCTGAGGCTGGCACTGACTAGAGAAGTCTGGAAGGGCTTATTAACTTTAACGGTTCGACAGCTAGGCCGGTCCACCTACCGTTGTTCAGAGCTGTTAATGTAGATTGACCTCAAGTAAAACAAGACTTAGAAGCAAAGTGTGCTAGAGTAATTCTTTTAAACTTAAAATTAAATAATCATACGCTGCTTATTGTCGAAAACTCAAATTTGATTTTTATTATAAAAGCAATAACCTCGTATATGGTCTCACCTTGTGAATTTTTGGAAATTGCCAAAAATAAAAAGTTGTAATATTCTGCAATAATAACTAAAAGAACAAGCTTATGCTTATAACTTACACGACAAAATAAACAGACTAATATTAAAGTAAGCATATTGCAAGCACAAAAAGGGATAAAAAAAGTCCAGTGAAAGGCACTTGGGTTTAGTATCTCGTATATCAGTTTTATGAATCCGTAGAATGCAGAAATGATAGCCATCATATTTAAAAGCTTGAATACTGTCTCTAGTTATTCGATATGAATAAAATGGCGTTTCAGCATGACATTGCTGGGAGGCAATGCAACCTCGAGCACATTTTAATTATACTTCACAGGTGCCATGGATGCTCGAGCCGATACTCTCTTGGTGAGTTATCTTACTCGAAAAGTTCTCCCTGTCGACATTACAAAGAGGGTGAATCCCCTAGGGGATCCTTGGCGTCTGCGTTACCAATGCCAGCAGGCAAACCTAAATTTAATTTTAAGTTTAAGTCTCTACTTCTTCGTTCAGTCATAACTCATTTTTACAGTACATTTTTATTAAAAGGACAATAAATTTCAGATTAGCGATAAAATAGGATTATTAACGAATTATACAAAAAAAAACTCAACTAGTTAATATTTTATTTGAAAATGATACCTGTCAGGAATTTCAAGAAAAATAATTTAAATTGAAAGCTGGCAGAGGGCTGGCTGGATTTTGCTAAATTATTTTTTTGTGAGCTGAGATAGCAAAATGAATGAAATAAATGCTTCTATTTGATTAAAAATCATAAGCAAGCTAAGAGTTAATAAAAAGCAATAGAATGTAGAGGATTCTGTTTAATTTTTTTCTTGAAAAATTAGCGAGTCTGTTTTTTTTTGCTTCCAATGTAAAAGATGCTGTGTGGGTTCTTGATTGTGCTAAAATAATTGTTAAAAATAATTAGCTGAAAGTCTAATTAAGTTCTTTTTCTTTATTTTTTTTTCTGCCTGGCTTCAGTAAATGCGGTGCCATGTTTGCCAATTTTTGTAATTCAGAATACAAAAATTTAAATTTTATAATTTTTCTGGTGTATTTATGCACTAGTAAAATGGTAAGGATACATGCCCTCCGGACTTGTGTAGAGTTTTGCAGCCAAGAAGGAAACGGAGTCTACCAATCAGGCATTTGTGCATGAAAAAAGATTTTGGCCCTTAGAGGTCACTGATGCTTTAGTCAAATGCATATTGAATAACTGCCAGCTATTCATTGATAGCTCAAAGAGCAGAATTATAACCCTTGCCTGTTTATAAAATATTTTCAAAAAATATAAGAAAATAGGAAATCAATAGAACAATTTATATTAAAGCCGAAAACTTAGAAAATTCGATCTTTGTTGAGTAAGACGTTTAATTATCAGAATTTTAATACTATCTCTAGCAAGTTTATTTTATTATATATAATTAATTACAATTTTGAATTGTTATTTTGCTAACTCCCCCCCCATCCTTGATCGAACGACTCGCCATCGTTCGATCAAGGATGGGGGTTAAAAAAAATTTTTTTGGGAAAAAAAAATTTTATATATAAAATAAAAAAGATATATATAGATTTTTTTTATTTACTTTAAATAAGAGGGTTAAGAGTATTTAATAATTATTTTTACAGCAAAAAATTGAATTAATTTCATAAAAATACCAATTTTTAATATTTTGATTTATTAGTTACCCTTTTAAACTGTATAAATTTTAATTTAAATTAAATATTTTTTTAAAAATTTTAAAGAATCTCTATTTTATTAGATTATTGAGCTTTTAAGCCTAGGTTGATGTCTAAATCACTTCGGATGGTTGATTTCGCAGCTTTCTGTCGTCTCAAAGCTCTGAAAACAACTTCATTAGGCACATCTTCCAAAGCGTTTGATAACTAATATTTTTTTATATATATAAAAATTTGCATGATATGAAAATCGTTCGATCAAGGATGGGGGTTAATTTCCCCAATTTTTAGGAATTTTTACAGTCAATCGTTCGATCAAGGATGGGGGGGGAGTAAGCCAAATTTAAATTTGGATAACTGCCCGATTAAAAATTCTCTGCATTTTAGTTATGAATATATTAAGATCAGAATTTTGGTTTCACGCAATATTCAATATAGCTATTTCTGCGCATTTACCCATAAATGAAATAATCTAAAAATAACAACAACTGGCTTAAAAACTAATATTTTGAAGAAAATATTTTAGAAAAGAAAAAAATATTATATCATACCTAATAAGCCAATTGGTACTTACTTAAGATCTTATAATTAGTAGAAAATAAGGAATAAATAATATTAATTAAGAAATTTTTAGTTTAATTAATGAAAAATTATTTACATTAATTTTATAATTATAAATATTTTATAACAGTTTTTATCAATTCTTCAGATGAGCAAGGTTTATGCAAAAATTCTACCATACCGCTTTCATAACAAAGTTTTCTGTCTTCATCAGAATTATAAGCAGAATATCCGATGATATTTGGCAAGTTTTTGATTTTATTTTCTTTAAAATAATGATTTATCAGCCTGGAAGCTTCTCATCCATTCATAACAGGCATACTGCAGTCCATAATAATCACTTTAAATCCCATATCTAAACTATCTTGTTCAACTACTTTATTAACTGCGATTTGTCCATTCCGGGCTTCTGCATAAGAAATTTGGTATTTTTTTAGAATTGATTCCAAAATTTCCAAGTTAAACTCTGTGTCATCTACTATTAATAATAAAATAATAATACGAAAATACCTCTAGAATCAGCCTTACTAAATAGCGTAACTCTTAAAAGTAGATAAAGCACGACTTCGTCGTGCTGCTAAAAAAATTCTATAATAATTTACTATTAATACAGCTCGCCTCCGTTTCTCTTTAAAGCTTTTCATTGACAATGACATTTCTGGAACGACGTCCTCATTGAATTCTTTATGATTCATTTTGAACTCGATACAATTTTTACTGTCATTCTCGTTTAAATTAATCTGAAAATAAAATATTGAGCATTTCCCTATAACAGATTTAGCTTGGACTCCTTTTCCTCCTAAAAGTTTAATTAATAAGTTAGAAATATAGAGCCCAAAACCATTTCCTTGCAAATTTACTCATTGTATCGCAATAGAATTTAAGCTTGCTAAAAGATTTTCTAATGCAGGTTTTTCCATTCCAATCCCAGAGTCCTCAACATAAATTTTTAAGTGATTTTTGTGGGTCATGACTAGAGAAATTTCAATTTTTCCTTTTAGTGTATGTCTTACTGCATTCGTTAATAAATTCAAAAGCACTTGGCTTAGCCTCATCTGATCTGTAAAAATTTCTGCAGGCAAAGAAGGGTCTATTCTGCTTACTACAGAAATTCCTTTTCTTTCAGCTTGCAAATGAATTAAATTGCAAACATTGGCAACAATGCTTCTAATATCACAATAGGTTTTACTTATTTTAAGCTCCCCTGCTAGAATTTTCGAATAATCAAGCAAGTCATTTATAAGGGAAAGCATCAGTTTGCTTGAAACTGAGATAATTGTCAAAATCTTCTTATTTCTCCAACCAAAAAATTTTTCACAATTTAAAAAAAATCAAATTTGTAAAAATTAATTTAATTTACCAAAATTTATGTTTTAAATAAAAATAAAGTTAAAGATATCGTTATAATAATTATCACTTTTATATCAATTTTTTCATAATATTAAAATTTTTTTTGCTCACGGAGGGTTTTTACCTTAATAGGGATTTTTCTAATAGCTTTTTTCGTTAACAGAGGGAGTTAATATTTTCATCATTAAAATGAAAATTTTCAAGAAGCTCATTAGTGAAGTGAATAATGGAATTCAAAGGCGTCTTAAGCTCATGGGAAGCAGAGCGTAAAATCAGGTTTTTGACGTTTTCTTTAGCAATGTCTTCTTCCAGCATGATAATATGGTTTGCATTTCTTATAGACACAAATAAAGCAGAATGGTCTTCTCAAGTTATATTGCGTGCTTTTCACTCAAGGCTATCACAGCCTGATGTATACTGTAAGAGTACTAATAAATCGTTTAGGGCTTTGAGATAGCTGGCTAACCTTAAGTAAGTAAATTGATCAATTATATCAGATTTTCTGACTGAGTTAGCTTGCCAACTAGATGTGCCTAGAGGGTTGGGGCTTATGAACTATCCACTTAGACGCTTATGGAATAGTTATTCCTAATGTATATTCCTGATTATTAGAATTTGCTAATAAATAGCTGATATCATCTCATAGACTATTTGATGTATTAAAATCAGATATTTTTTTATTAATTGTATATTGTGTTTTACAGATAATTTTCTTCAAATTTTCCTCATTAGTGTTAAGTAATTGTAAGGATTTTTCGTTAAAAAAGTCGATTTCACCTGAAACTGAAATTATAATAATCCCATCAAATAAAGATTGTGTAATTGTATTCAGGCGATTTGTAGTACTTTCAAGCTGATTTCTATATGAAAAATGCTCAAAAGACACTTTTGAAGTATGAACCCAATATACTCCGCAGGAAAAAATAAAAATAATCGTATGATAAACGAATTTCTTAAAATCTGCATATAGCCAGTAGTGCCAAACTATCATATGGGTGAGTATTGAGCAGCAAAATCCTATTTTTGTTGTTATCACTGAAAATGTAAATTGGACTCTAATTCTCTAATTAATCAAAAAGATGTTTTTAATTTTTTAAATTTATTATGAGTTAACCATATAAGTTTTTTATTAATACAAAATTTACTATAAGGCATCAATTTTTAGAGAGATTAAGGAAAAATGAAAGCATTTCGAAAAAAGGGTAATATATATAATTTCTTGAATAGAGACTCATAGATATACTATAAAACTCTGCCATTAATAGCAAAATACAAAGCTTCATGCTACTGTTCAATTTCGACGCAAGAATTGTTAAAATCCAAACAAAGACATTAGACAAGGCAAAGGGCAGAAAATCCGTTCAGTGAAAATTCGCTGGAACAAAAATTTCTTTTATCACTCTTAAAGCAGTAGGAAATATTCCGACTATAGAATTGATAATCAGCGACTTGTAAGAAATCTCTATTTCTTCTTTCCATCACAAATCTCTAAGTTTGTCCATAAAGTTATAATATTTCTTATTAAAAGCTGACTTTTATGATATTTAATTTAAAAAAAACAAAAAATGTTCAAAAGGGCTCTGAAGTATTTAGCTTTTACAGAAGTTAATTATTTTTAATGCTTTTTTGATATGCTTATCCTTTATTCAAAAAATTAAAAAAATTATGGGGTTTCGACATTTAATTAGAACAATTTATTTCACCATGATTAGTTTAATCAAATCAAGGTTAAATTTTTGTTAAAAAGAGATATAAATACTAGACCAATAATCCTTATATTAAATTTGAGATTATTTATCTAATTTTAAGAATTTTGCAATTTTCTGATTATATTTTTCATGCAAAGCTACTTTAAGCTTTACAGACACATTTTTACTAGTAAATACGAACTTTTTTTTTATAAAAGTTAAAATTAAGTAAAACTCTTTTGTGGGATTTTTGCTCTTGGAGGAGTGAAAGGTCTTCCACCAGCCATCCCTGATGCAGTACCCATCTTTTTCTCTGCTGGCTTCAAAATCTGGAAGCTACACATCAAGGTTTCATCAATACTCATCATAGCCCCAGCATTATCAAATTCTCCACAATAATTCGGTGCCGAAAACAATGTAACTAGCTGTCTTTTTGCAAAAAATTCATAGCCATCTTCTACCACTTGATGGGCTCTACATATCAAGTCTAAATCTTGTCTCCTCAAAAACCCAGCCACAATTTCAGCGCCAAAAGTATAAGAAACTCCTCTTTCGTTTTCTCCCCAGCCTTGAACTTCTTTATCAGGGTCACTTCATAATAAATCACATAGCAGCCCAGTGTCAGGAACATCAATTGGTCTCATAATTCGCCTGACTTGTTCCATATTGGTAAGATCTGGTGACAACCCTCCATGCATACAAAATATTTTATCGTCTATTAATGCTGCGACTGGCATGCAATTAAAACAGTCTGTAAAGGTTTTTCATAGTTTTATGTTGTATCTTCGTTTGCATTCATCATAAAAACCATAAATTCTGTTTATAGAGGCACATTCGTGGTTTCCACGAAGAAGAAAGAAGTGCTCAGGGTATTTTATTTTGTAAGAAAGGAGTAAGCAGATTGTTTCTAGGCTTTGTTTACCTCTGTCAACATAATCTCCGAGGAAAAGATAATTTGATTCAGGCGGAAACCCACCATACTCAAACAGTCTAAGCAAATCATAATATTGCCCATGCACATCACCACAGACTTTTAGCGGTGCTTCAAGCTCTAATAGGATCGGCTGAGACATAAACACTTCTCTTGACCTAATGCAAATTCCTCTGACTTCTTGTTCTGTTAGATTTACTTGTTTTCCAGGTCTAGAACCTCTAACTTCTAGTAGTTTATCAATTATGCTGTCAATGTTTAAATCAGAAGGATTAGAGACCATTTAATTTATGCGAAATAATTTAGGGAATTAATTTTAGAAATTTAATTGAAGATGACGCATTTTAGTAATAAAATTAGAATTTTTGAATAGAATGGGAAGCATCAGGAAATTTATTTATTGATATAAAGAATGCCACATTTATAGGCTAAAATTTTTATATTTGACGAAATTGCAATTTATTGGAAAATTTACTTTATAAAATAAAGTACATTACAAAGAGAAAAGCTTCTTAATATAAAAATATTGAAGAATAAACTTGAAATAAGTATTATTATAAGCTGAATGATAATTTTTTATAGCATCTTTAATTATTTTACTATAAAAATATTCCATTTCTGAGTTACAATCTGCTAATTATATTAATAAATGTCTCTACATGTTACAGGCCAAGGTTGCATTAAGCCAGCTATTAGACCTCTTGATTTAAAACCAAAACAAGCACTCCTACCTATTTCAATAGAAGCTCTTTCCCATCCAAATTTGGATGGGAATGCAATATTTCAAGATTTGAAATCCAAGCTATCCTTATCCTCATAAATTCCTCCACTTTTTTATAATTTATATCACAATTCTTATTTAAAAATTTTTTTCGAAATCAATTTGAAGCAAAATAACTTCTTTTTACCAATCAAACCACCATCATAATAACTCAAAACAATGACTATCAGTATTTCATTCTTCACTTTATGCACTTCTAAATGAAGTTAAATGCACCCAAGACAAAGAAATGCAGGATAGCTTGCTTCAAAAGGTATCGAATTGATACTATTCTAAAATCTCAACAAAGCATACAATGCCTGAAACCCCCGAAGTTGGAAAAGATTCAAGCCCAGGCTATATATCAAGGCTATCAACTGATGATAACTCTGTTATTGTAAGCCATCATAGAGGATTGTCATTATTGCCTGATTTATCGTCAAGGTCTCCATCGCCTCCACCTCTATCGTTGCATTCTTATAATTGATCATTAAGCTATGAAAAGCCAAGATATGCAGCTTTTACTTCACATAATAGCAATCGACCTATAACTGAAGCTGAAATTATGCTGATATCTATTGAATTCAATATAAAAAAGCTCTTTTTTGCTGATTTAAATAAAAAAGCTACTATTAATTTGTTAAAAATTCAACCTAATAAAGAATAACCTCGAAAAAAGGCTCGAAAAAATAAAATCCCGAGAAAGGCAGCGCAGAAAAGTCCACTTATTCAGAGAAAGTATTTTTTATATAGAAATTCAGAAAGACTTCGGCAGCTACCAAGGCAGAAAAAACGAAGAATTTTCAAAAAAAATGCAGATGATAGAAGAAAATTACAGGGAAAGAAGAATCAAAAAATTTAGCGAAAAAGAAAGAAAATACAATACCGCCCACATCGATTTTTCGAGTATCAAAAAAGAAGACTCTGATGAAGAAAGCAGCACAGATGAAGAAGCATCAGTGAATTACTCAAATTTCAACAAAGTTGGGAGGTTAAGAAATTTATATTCGAGGCTAATTGGCATTGAAGAAGTCCCTTATCGGCCTAAAAAAAGAAGAAATATTTCGCTTACTATAAATTTCAATAATGTTTCTGATATGCAAGAGCCAAATCCTCAGGTAAGAAATTTTCATGAGCAAATTAATGAGACTTTTTTAGTGAAGTCTAAGCTAGCACATAGAGGGATCAGAATTCCTATTAAAGAGCTGGAAGAAGGGATAGTTGGCTTTATTTCAGCAGGACCTGTAAAGCCATCTGATTTACCAAAAGGTGGAGAAAGTTTGCTAGAAAACCCTACACCGTGTATAACCAAAGAGAAAAGCAAGAAAAAAAAGCCAAAAAAAGACTAATCTAATGTGTTATAATCAATAACCTGTAAGCTATAAAATTATGAAAATCTCACCAAAAGTCGGCTCTTTAAGCCCTTTGCGGCTTTATCGAAACCAAAATCCTTTTTTCCCTCCTACAAATCATGACTCAATCAGATCCTTCCCCAAAATTCTGCTTCGAAACTCCTCTAACGATATAAAACTTCACCGAAATTTTCTGACCGAAAAGTGTAAAAATGTAAAAGACCTAAAAAAATCGTACATTTTGACCCCGAAAGGCCTAGAAAGCAAAGATATATATGGAGGGTCAAGAGAGCTGAGTCGATATTCAAAATCGTCTCGTCTATTTCATTACAGCCCTTTAATGAGCATTAGGAGGCCAAAACTTAAAGAAAGAAGTATGCGATTTTTAATAAATGAAACAGATAGGAAAATTTCTGAATTTTTGTCTGAGGCGAGCTCTCCTGTGTCAAAACCTGAGACTCCTATACAAAAATTAAAAGGATCACCGAAAAAATTGAGCGAAAGGAGGTTTAGAAAATTAAGATTAAAACACATAGGGGTTGTGGATGAAGGGGTCCAGGCTTTTGAAGATAGCCCAAGGGATTATTTTGACGAGTATTAAACTAAATAAAATTAATTTACCGTATGAATCTTATCATCTGGCTAATATTAATAAAATTTTAAATTTACCGTAAATCCTGTGAATTTTACCTAGGAAGTCTATCTCTAATTACCTATGCTTACTCTCTTAGCCCTGCCGCTAAATCATTAGAATTTGATTATCATCTGCGAAAAAGTACGATATTAGCTTGATGCAATTCTTTGAGCATTCCTAAGATACTTTGATAGATAGACTTTTGCTGAATTTTATAAAATTAGCTTTAGGATGTTCGATAAGTATTCAAATAAAAAGCTAAATACTCTGCCCTCACGATCATTCCCAGACGTAGTCAAAATCACTGGACCTTAGTAAGCTACTTGCTATTTGCTTCATTTCTTCATATATAAAAGTATATTGCAGGTTAGACATTTTGTTAATAAAGTTTTGGGAAATTATAAGGGCATGGAGAATAGTAAAGGCAATAATAACACTGCTGGCTACAAGAGCAGAATCAAGAATATATACAGTATTAACTCCCCTTCGTGAGCGAACAAAACTTTTTTTTTTCAAATTTTAAAAAAATGCGAATTTGTGAATTGAAAAGTAAAAATTAATTTAATTTACAAAATTTATGTTTTAAAATGCAAGCTGCTTAAAATTAAACAGAATTAGCTAGAGATTCATTATACTAATTATCACTATAAAAATATTTTTTCATAAAAACATTTTTGTTCGCTGGCTTTTGGGCAAAAAATAGGGGATTTTCCAATGGTTTTGTTCGCTCACACGGAGGGGAGTAAGGAAGACAGAATGATTGTGGCTGCTGCAGTTTTTAATCTTATATCACAGATTGGCTTGCGCCTTAATGGTTATGCAACCACCAAGGACCCTAAGGGTCTGCTTTTTCGATGCTGATGCCTCATCGTGACCGAATGATGAACAGTCAGCAAGGTGCCAAGCCATTTTCTTTTTCTCTGATCCACCTCATCGCCAGGACGGATTGAGTGTGCTCGAGAGAGGCACGTCTCCTCCTTGCCCGATTAAGGGCTCCAGTTTTGAGAAGGCAGATTATGGATTTCTGCAGTCCTACGGGCTCATTTGGGTAGTAGCTTGATCCAGGAAAAGCCGGAGCCTAAGGATGCTGGGCACCTTCCCTCAGCAACTATAGGTACAAAAGGCTCAGCTCCAAGGCCCAGGCCGCAACCCCTGGTATCACTCTGAAGGTCTAACTTAAGGGTCCTGAAAGACACTGCCAAGTTACCCCTTTCCAACCATATGAACAAGTTCAAAAACCTATCTGAATACATAAAGCATACCGGACCTGAATCTCAGCAGGTTTTTCATTCAGTTCACCTTGGTCGTAAGGTTAAAAAAATTCATCCAGAGTTCGGATGCGCTTAGGTCGCTATTTTATGTATGGCTGGCTGTAGCAGTTCAAATCCTAATACTTTAATTCTTTAATATATAGGCTAATAGTTTAAGATTTATATAAGAATGGGCTTTCGAAATTAATCTTCCACAGTATACACATAAATCTAAAAAAATTAAATTATCAAGAGTAATTTTTATATAAAATTAATTTCTATCTATAATGAATAAAATAAATCCTGGACGAAAAATCTTAGATATAAGGATCGATATGGGAAACCAAAGTTATTCTCACATAAGAGTCCACGAAAATGACGAGCCCGATGATTTAGCTTATAAGTTCTGCTTAATCCGAAAAAAGTATTTTTTCACGGGAGGTTTATTTTAATATATAAAAGAATATTTTTTAGATTCAAAAAATCCTTTTTTAAAGAGAAAATCTAATTTAGAAATTTTATATTTAAATCTAAGCTACCTAATTTGCTGAAGATTTTATAATAGAGATTTTCCTCATAGTTTGATTCACTAGCCAAGGGGAGTTAGAAAATGAATTAAATATTGACGAATGCCAATCTTTAATATCAAAAGCTATAGAACATCAAATTGATATCCTTCTTGATGAGGAAGAAAGAAGTAATAAGCTACTCAATACTAGCAAATTAACTTCTGCCCAAACTTATAAAAACGAATTAAATTTAGCCTCCCATCACAAATTTCAGAATTATTTCAATAATCTCAGACAAAAACAAGAAAATTGTTCAATAAAAGGCAGATATGAGCTGAGTTCTGAAAGGTCTCAGAAAAGTATTGAAGAACAAGTGAAACATTCCATAAGGCATTCTTCATTGACGAAATTTAATAAATTGCTTTACAATAAATCCCAGCCAAGATATGATTATTTAATTTTTATAAAATTCAATAAAAAACAGCATAATACCTATGCACCAAGCTTTAAGCTTAACAAAACACAAATGATTAGACCAGCTTCCAACAGTCGTGAGAGAAATGAAAAAATTATCGGAAAAAATTCAGAAAAAATATTTATCAGGATGAAAAAGGACAGATATGTAAAATTGTTTAGATTATTAAATCCTGGTAATCACTCAAGTTTGTTGTTTCTGTCTAAAATTGATTTTGAGCTATTAACCAGCCAACTAATTAATATTTTGAAGCCATTGTGGGCAAATTTAGAAGAAAATGAAGGCGGCATAGATTATGAAATGTTCAGTATATTTATGGATGATATTTTAATTTATTTGACTCCTGGTGACAAATCTTTATTATTTTCCCAGATTGAAAAGCTAGCTAAAAATCGAGATTCTAGTAGCTTTAGTGCAAATGCAATGAAGAAGAAATTTGAATTAATATAATTTTTGTATAATAAATCATCATTTGGCTTTTCCATCTTATTTTTAATAAAATTAAAAATTGCCATTAAATGCCCTATTATTTATAGACGCTTACCAAAAGCATCGAACAACTATGACATCTGCATCGAATTATAAAGTTCATCTAAATCATTTTGCTGTGGGTTCTTCTGTACATTTGGTGTCTCCTTTACATCTACAATAACCTCTCTCTGCCTTTCAAACGTTTTTCCAGTTTCCATCCCCACCATTTCTGACTCCAATTCTTTAGCTTCCAGCTCATCAAGCTCATTTAGCAGCTCATCTTCGTCTACAGATGCCATAAACCCAATAGGCTGTGATATAGCTTCATTCATTTCTTGCAATAAATCTTGCTGCTCCTCCATATCGTCCTTCAGCTGATCTACATCATCAATTTTTATTTCTCCATGGACATCTTTTAACGCTTGATTTCCTGATTTTAAGGTGTCAAAAATATTTTTATTCATGCTGGCTCCTTCAATAGCAAACATTTGCTGCTCCAAATTCATTCGGGACCCTTCTAATTTTGCGATTTCTCCTTCGTACATTTTTTTCCTTTTCAAACAGATGAGCGCACCATTTCGGTCTCCGAGTTTTTTACGCTGGAGGGCCATCTGCATTTCGTTCTGAGCTTTGTTTTGCAGAAGAACACCGCGCTTAGTGATGTCGTCAAGGGTTTTTCTGAGGGAATCTATAGTTTTGAGGACCTCTTCTTGATTCATTGCTCTTTTCTTCTTCTTGTGACCGAACAGACGCATTTAATTATTATCAGATTAAAAATGTAGGAAAATTTATTTGGAAATTGCTGGGAGGAAAATTATAATTAAAATATGGCGTCTTCGTCTGGGCATGGCCTCCCGGCCATGCAGCCTCGACTCATATTTTAATTATATCCGGCAAGGTTTTACCATTTCAGAGATGGACAGCAATGCTAGGTAAGCAATTCTGGTAGCTTTCAGAGCCTAGCCCTAGTCTATTCTCAGGGGTGGATTTTTCCTCGTGGGGAAGGAGGGTGCAAGGTTGGAAGGGGAAGCCCAGCAAAGTCCTCTGGACCATTCGGGCAACTCCCTAGCGTGAAACTGGGCGTTACGTCCCAGGCTTTGCATTTTTCCTTTTTGCCGATAGCCGACCAGAAAAATCCATTTTTTGGGTTTTTCGGAAAAGCAACCCATGTACAAGCAAGTAGCTCATCCATGAGCCGTCGAAGACGTGGACATTTGCCCCAGAAGCACCCTGGTGATCGAAGCGAGTTTGTCTCCAGCAGACTGGTGGGCCCGATGCGACGAAAGGCGAGTGATAAACCTGGAGTTGTAACCCCGTAGTGGACGTTAAGCGATATAAATTCTAATGTAATGTAATGTAATGCTGGGAGGAAAATTAATTTTTTGGGTGTCAGAATGAATTTTAAATAGGGAATTGGGTTTTAAAAAGATAAAGATCTATTAGAGAATATTAATGATAATTTCATGATTGAAAATAAGCTTATTTGTTATTAATTTTATTATAAGCAATTATTAGGATATATTATAATCTATAATTAAGAAATTAATAAGCAAATATTATTAGAATAATTAATCCAGCCTAAGCTTAATATTTTGACCCTTTCATTATTGCAGCGATTCGGCTGATTTCAGGGTCCAAAAGCAAGTTTCTTGGTCTTGGAGGCTTCGAAGTTCTTGAAGAGCTAATTTGTTGACTTATAGACTTCTCTGCCTCTTTATATATTTTTTTCTCGTCAGTGCTGATATTCCGATTATGAGCCATTGTAAAAGAATTATTCTTGTCTTTATAATCATAAAAATTACTGTCTCCTTCAGTTTCTATACTAACCCCTTCACTATAAGTTTGGTTTAATACCTCATTTTTATAATCACTTTTCCAGTCTTCAAAAGTTTCTTTTTCAGACGAATTTTTTTGTAAAAAATCAGGCACAAATTCTGGCAGCTTTATTGGATTTTCATTAATTTCAGCTGAGAAATTTTGGTCTGTATTTTTAAAATCTTGATAATTTTTATATAAGCAAGATGGGCTGTATTCTTCCTCGCCCTTTTCATAATTTAATTTATATAAAAATTGGCTATTTGTGTTTGCAGGTAAGCTTTCTTCAACAAAAGACTGAGACTTGTAATTGTTATATAATCCAGGGTCCTCAGAAATCCCAAAATTATTGGAGCTTGATTTTTGGTGATTTCCTATTTTTTCGATTGCTGGAGTTTCTATATAAGTAATATCGGCTGTTGGATATTGGTAGTCTGGTGTAATTCCGAATTGATTTTCTTGAAAATTTTTAGCTGAGAGGTATTCAAATGCTTCTTTTGTGGCTTCGTCTGGATAATCTGATGATAAATAGTGTGGAATTTCGAATTCCTTTTCTTGAAAATTTTCTGCTGAGGAGTATTCAAATGTGCCATTTGCTGATGGACAGTGGGAATTTAAATAATTAGGAAGTTCAAATTGATTTTTTGGGATATTTTCAGTTGATGGGTATTGAAAGGACTCAAGCTTAAACTTCTCATAGCCTTGAATTAGCGGATTATCGAGAGATTGTGAAATATTTCCTAATTCTGCAGCCCTAAAAAGGGTTTTTGACTGCCGCAGTACCTGGCCATAGGTGTCCTGCTGAGCGTTAAGACAAAGCAGCTGAAGCAAAATCAGTGAAGACTAAAATGGAGCAAGCGGCGAGAAAGTCCTAAACTAGGTACTCTAATGGCACGGGCCGTGCACGTGCTGCAAGTAACAATCGGAGAGCAGGACTCTGGAACCTGGAGGATTTAAACCTTACAGCAAGTCCATAAATATATAGCTGAGACATCATAGGGTAACTCGATCGTTCTGATCGGTATACTGATCAGAATTATTAACAGAAGTTTAATTATTAAGTCTAAGCCTAATTCTGTAGACAAACTATTATTTTTCAGGTTATTTTCTTCAACTTTTACCAGTTTTGGTGACGGAATTTTCCCTGATTTTTCAAGATTAGACGAAAATGAGTCTTTTTCGTTATAAAAATCTCTTTCAGCCGAACTAGGATAAATTGATGTAGGTATAATAGGAATTTCATATAGGTTTATTTTAGAAGTATCTGCTGAAGATATAGTTGATTTTAAGGAAGAAATGCTTTTATATTCTTCTTTTTCAGAATTATTTATTGAAGAACTATAATACGGAGATAAATCAGTTGCTTTACGCTCATGACTTCGAGTTTCAAATTGTTTTAAGCTTGAATTTTCTTGAGTATTTTCTATTGGCTTTGAAAAAAATAGAAGCTCATCTTTTAAAGAATTTGTCCTATAATTCGCTGCAAGTGCTGGTTTTGCAGGAGAAGAATCACTTTTTTCATGCCTCCAAGACCCAAAATTTTGAGTCAAACTTTCAAGAGTCCTCATATTTTCCAAGTGTTTTTGATAAATTTTGTCAATAATTAAATATGGCGTCTTCGTCTGGGCATGGCCTCCCGGCCATGCAGCCTCGACTCATATTTAATTATATCCGGCAAGGTTTTGCCAGCTCAGAGAGGGACAGCAATGCTAGGTAAGCAATTCTGGTTGTGTTAAGAGCCTAGCCCTAGTCTATTCTCAGGGTTGGTTTTTTTTCCTCGTGGGGAAGGAAGGCATGACAGTTGGAAAGGGGAAGCCCAGCAGAGTCCTAAGGACCAATCGGGCAACTCCCTAGCGTGAAACTGGGCGTTATGTCCCAGGCTGCGTGTTTTTCCTTTTTGCTGAGAGCCGACCAGAAAATCCATTTTTTTGGATTTTCGGAAAGGCAACCCATGTCCAGATGCAGTAGCTCACTCATGGGCCGTCGAAGCCGGTGACATTTGCCCTAGGCGCACCTTAGTGATCGAGACGGGTTGGCCCAGCAACTCGTGGGCCCGATGCGGCGAAAGGCAAGTGGCGGGTCTGGGATAGTCTACCCCGTAGTGGACGTTAAACGTTATAATTAATTAGTTAGTTAGTTAGATAAATTTTGTCAAAATCTTCTTCTTCCAGACTCTTCTCAATTTCCTTTGATTTTTCCTCAATTTTATTTTCAACTTTTTTCTCGATTGGCTTATTTATTTCTTTAATTGGTTCTACTATAGCACTCTTTTCAAGAATAGTATTATTAGGCAATACACTTAATTGGCTTGGTAAATTATTAATTTTTACCAAATTTTCATCAGTTAAATCAGGCTCAATTACCTTTTCATACTTCACAAAAACTTTTTTATAGGGGGACGGGCGTGATTGTTGAGGCATATTCTGTATTTTTATATTTAAACTGTTCTGTATTTTGACTGGCTCTGGGACTATATCAAGGATTTTATAAAGGTCTGTAAATAAAACTCTTCTATGGGTTGATGTTAAAGGATTTTCTTTAACAACTAAAGTAAGAAAATCTTGGATCTCTTCAGAAGGAATTTCTAGCTGTAGTTTTTCGAAAAAATTGACAAAGCTTAGGGTATGAAGGAATCCTAAATTATATTTGTCGGCTATTTTTAGTTCTTCTTCTAAGTTTATATGAGAAATTTTCAATGCATTTTTTAAGTTTTGAATTAATTCATTTTTTGATTTTTTCTGCAAGTTTATAGAGATTTGAGGCTGTTTTATAATTTTCATGTCTTGAATTTTATTTGTTTTTGTGGATTCCTGCTTAATATTAGGTGGCTTTTCTTGAAAATCATCAAATTGGCGCTCATATAGTCTAATTTCATCTTTTTTTAATGTAATTTCTTCAAAGCTCTCTTTTACTTCATAATTTTTTGTTAATTCAGTCTTTTTATTTTCACTTCCTCCATAAAAACTCACATCATCTATCATTTTACAATCTTTCATACCATTACTATCATTTAGAGTATTTTTCAAGCTTCCTTGATTTAAAAATAATGCAATATCATCAATGCTGTCAATGGCGCTATTTTCAATTTTTTCTATTTTCTCGACTTTTTCTATTTTTTCTATTTTTTCGACTTTTTCTATTTTTTTATCATAATTTAGCTCTTTAAAAGTGGCAGTTTTTCTTGGAGAATCCTCAAATTTTTTATCAATACTCTGTGTTAAGTCAAGCCTATTTATTTGAGAAGGTGTCCCAACTGCTAATAAGACTTTAAGATAGCCTATATCTTTCCCAGTTTTTAGGCTATTTATAGGCTTATATTCATCTATAGCAATAAATGGATACACAGTTTTTGTGAATGTTTCTAAGTTTGCACTGAGTGCTGTTCCAAATAAGCTTAACGGAAGTTTAACTAGTCCAAGCAAACTGTCTTGAGAATCAGTTTTGTCTCAAATTTCTAGAGGAATAATCCCTGAGTATAGTTTTGAAAGTGATTCATCATTAACTACTAGAGGAAAAAGCATTTTATAGTTAATCGGAGTATTTTCTAACTTTCTGTTCAATAATGAAATTTTGTAATTTCAACAATTAATAAAATTATTTTTAGTACAAGAATTTTCTTTAACATACACACAGAGATGGTGAGGCAAGCCAACCTGCCCTCATAATGCCTTTAGCCAGATGGAGCCTGGGACCTTGTGGAAGGGCGTGTGGTGAGCGTTCTCAGCCGGATTTTACTTGGATTGATAAAGCGCAATGCTGTGCTGATACACCGCAAGCTTATTCAGAGAAGATTTACCTTGAGGGAAGATGGAACTTGGAAAAGGATAAACAATAAGGCCAGAGGGCATTAGCTTTGTCAGTCGAGCAATTTCACAATGCGATACTAGGAGTAGCGCTCTGGGTTATAACTTTCAGTCTGGCCGATATCCTGGCCAGAAAACTCACTTTTGAATTTCTAAAAGGGCAGCCCCATTGACATATGACACGGCGCCCAGCGTCTGGGCTGTGAGTGCAAGCCCTCATCCTGAAGTGCAGCACATGGCTTTAGGACATGGAATCGAACTGGCAATCAAGAGGGTGGAGCGAAGCAAGGGACCTGAAAAGTAGCATGACTGCAGGAGCTACTAAATAATAACTTAAGAGTATAAGTTTTTTTTTAAACAAACACAAATAATACATTAATTTTAAAATGCTCTTATATACCGATTATTTTTTTTAATTGAGGAGTGAGTAATTTCAGAAAATTTGGGTTTGAAATTTATCTTTGTTCAAAAAAATTTTGTAACTAATAAAAAGATCAGGGCATGACCCATCAGCTCTTAATAGTTTGCTTGCTCTTTCTATTAAGAGATACAACTGAAACGTTGGGATTTCATCTTTTGGAGATAATGTGATAAACTTTTCAGGGGAATTTGAAGTTAAAGTAGTAGGCTCATCAATAGTTTTTTCAGATTCCGCTAATTTAACTGTATCAGAAAAATCAATTTCATCTGTAAAACTAATATCTTTGTCATACTCAGGTATTGCATCCTCTTCAAGCTCAAAAATTTTGGTAAAATCATCATTATGTTTTGCTTTGTCCATTCTTTTTCTTAAGCTTTCTCCTTTTTCTTTAATTCTATCTCATTCTCTACTTGTGCTTACTTCTGGATTTTTTTCTATTAATTGTGCCTTTTCTGTATTTCTCAATGTAAAAATACTTGGCGGCTTCACTCCTATTACATCTTTTTCTGGTAAATTTTCAAATTTAAAGGCTTCTTCATATAAATCGATTTCATTTTTTGATATTTTATTATCAAGTTTTTTTATAAGCATTTTAATTGCCAAAATTAATTGGTAGATGGAGGACTGATCATCCAAATCTAAAAAAAATAATTTTTTTTGGCATGCGGAGTTCTGAAATAATTTTTCCAAATTATAATATTTTATTTCGTACCTCTTCAATTGTTGCTTTTAGTTCATTTAGTTTAAAACTTGCTAATAAATCATCCTCGAATTCATCCATTTTTAAGGCTTTTTTCTATTTTATTATTTAATCTTTGCGTCATGATTTTAGTTTTTTGGGAATAAATTTCTTTGTAAAATGAGATGTTATTTATTAATTCTTGCCTCTAAAGAATATAAAGAGTTTAACATAATAATTGGCATACTTAGCTTTTAAAAATGGCTTATAATTATTGAAATGGAGTCTGCGCTAGTTTCCCTCTGCTAGCAAGCAAATATTTCAGAGTTTTTTTTTTAATTTTTAAAACTTATGCTTAAGTACAAATTAGCCTAATTTTAACAGAATTATTTAAATAATACATAATGATCTGTAATATTTTTTATATAATATTAGAAGGAATTCTCCAAAAAAATCTAGGATCTTTTAATAAGTTTACCTGAGGAAGTAAGATTGATCCAAGATATGTGGCAAGTCCCATATATCTGCCAATTCGTCAAAATTTTCCACGGGTCTCTCAACATGGACTTAATAACCCCAGAAGAACTTGAACAAGCCCTTCTGTCACCCCATCAAAGTTCGCTGTGCGCTGAGCTCATCACAAAGCTGCTTTTAAAAAAAAGCACAACAAGGCGTGAACTCCCTCATGGCGAAGGCTATGCTTTTGATAAGTGGCATGATATGCTATGCAAACAAATAACTATTTGGCACCGCATCTATCAGAAATGGGAAAAATTATACCAGCTCAGATTGATCTATTTAATAACTATAATAAATAAACCGTTATAGTATTGAATAGTATACAAAGTTTTGATAAATTTAATGCTACTAATAGACTTGCGGTCAAACTGTTTCAAGAATTAGGAGGAAATCCCTTCCTTCTCCCTAAATTGTCTTCTAAAAAAAATGAAGAGCCTCAGCAGCTGCTTCCTCCACCTACTTCTGCCACTACAAGAGTCAGGGAAACAAGGTCACAAACCAATTCATTGCCACGAGCCAGAAAGCCGAGATATGCGGACGAATTTTTTGAAAATTCTTCAGATTTTGAAGAGGAAGAAGAAAGATATAAACTCCCCCATATGAACGAACAAAACTATTGGAAAAATCCCTATTTTTTGCCCAAAAACCCACCCTCTGCGAGCAAAATAAATTTTTTTATGATCAAAATATTTTAGAGAAATTATTAGAATAACTAATTCTGTTGAATTTTTAAATACAAGCATTTGAAACATAATATTGATTCTCAATTTTTGCGAATTTTTTATTTTTGAAAAAAATTTACCTTCTCCATGAACAAAACTTTTTGTTCGCTCATGGAGGGGGAGTAAGCACCTTGGAGAAATATCAGAGCAACAAAGGGTGGTGGTCATTTATGGCTGTATGCTATTAATTGCGCATTTTTCTCTTCAGATATAAGCTCAAAACAATTTATTTAAAATTTTTGATAGATATTTTCTCGGCAAAACCATTCCATGAAAAAGTCTACCAAATGAAATGCTGACTATCAAAAATGCAGACTAAAAATCATGAGCCGATCATTTATGTCTTTTGACTATAAAAATAACGAAAATAGCATATAAATATTTTATAAAATAAATAAACTGAAAAAGTATATTACCTGTGTGTGCTAAAACTTGATACTGAAGAAGAGCTTCTGCATGAATTAAACTATGTCCCAATAGAACAGCAGAGAGTTCAGCCTATTGGAAAAGATAACTCAGGAGCTGCTTATTTTTATTTTAATAATACTGATTGCAGGATATACAAACAGCAAAACGAAAAGTTTTCACTGATTGCGAAAACTATTGACCAGGTAAAAGAGCTGATTTTGAGGCTTCAAGCAAATGGAGCTTATGAGTTCAGTAGATTGTTGACGTCAATGATGGACGATTTTACAAGAAATGAGCAAGAAAGGACAAGAAAAATGCTCGCAAATATTAAAAAAGTCCATTCAACACCTGGTTTGTTTTTTTTATAAAAATTTTTTATTATAAAATAATTTCTCACAATTAATAAAAATAAATCCAACACCTGGAAGGAAAAAATACACAGAAAATGAATACGATGATAGCGATTTTTCACCAGTTGAAGACGACATGCCGAGAAAACGAGGTCCCGGCAGACCCAGAAAAATTCCTCTCCCTGAGCGAAAGCCAAAAGTAATGCCAGAGACCTCAGGAAATGACTTAAAGCTAGAAGGGGTTATAAAATATGTATCAACAGCCAATGAGACCGTGCATAGTTTTTCAGGCTTTTGGCAGGTAAAAGACAAAACTCCACAAGAATTCAGATACTTAAAAACACAGCCAGGAGGCCCATCAGGTCTTTATTCAGGATATTGGAGGTTTTATGATATTCTTTAAATTATTGAATATTTAATAAGAAAATTTATGCAGAAAATTCAGCTAAAATAGGCATAAAAACATTGAGGAAAACCTCGACCTAAAATTTGACAATAAATCTGTAAAAGGATGCGGAGAAAATGTCTTTGGGATGTTCCAAGTATACGGAGAATGGAAAAAATCTGACGAAAAAGAAATTCTAGGCGAGACTACATTGGGGCAGCTCAAACTTGAAAGAAATTATCTGAAATTTGAACCTTCAGATGAAAGCAGCTGCAGTGAGGCTGAGCTAGAAGTACTTGATGCCGTCAAGCCACCACACAGGCTGGAATTTGAAGAAAAAGTTCACTTAGAGCATATGAGGATGCCTCTTAAGTCTGTTCAAGAGCTGAAAAAGTCACTTAAAGCTCAAGAAAAGAGAGAGCTTCGGCGTGTTCCATTTTTTAAATCAGATTATCTTACACACCCCTTTAAATTCGAAATAAAAACTTATCTAATTTAAAATTTGATATTTTAGAAGCAAAAGTTAATATAGAATTTGTTTCAAAAAATATATAAAAACTAATTTTTATATAAATTTTATTAATTGCTCCTTTAAAATAGGAAAATTTCATTTTTTAGAGTTATTAAATTGGTATAAAGTATTTTCAAAAATAATTTAAAAAATATTTTGCAAAATTTTAGAGATATTTATTCTAATTTAAAGGGAAGGAGTTAGTTAAATCACTTTTGGTTGATTATTTATTAATATTCTTTACTATAAATGAGAGAAGTCATCTTATTCCCTTGGTTTGCAAGCAAAAATATCTCCTTGAATCAAAAGATTAGTAAATTTTATTTTATCAAAAAATATTTTATTAAAATGCTATCTATATATAGCCGGGAACGGGCTATACACAAAACTTTTACTCATTAGCCAAGGGTTAATTTCCCAAAAATAAGGATTTTCTAACTCCCCCCTCCGCGAGTGAACAAAAAAATTTTGTACGCCCTCAGGGGGGTTAATTTTTTTTTTAAAAAAATTTATATATAAATGATTTTTTTCAAAATTAAATCTATAAAAATTGGAAAGCAAATATCAATTTAATTGCAAAATTCATGTTTCAAAACGCAATTTTTTAAAATTAAACAGAATTAGATTTCATTATACTAATTATCACTTATATATCAAAATTTTTTTCCATAAAATTTTTCTATTAAAAAAATTTTTGTTCACTCACGGAGAGTGGGTTTTTGGGCAAAAAATAGCGATTTTTCGAATAGTTTTGTTCACTCACGGTGGGGGGAGTAAATAATTTTACTCGCTAGTCGAGAGTGGGGAAGTTAGGGGTTTGGCTTCTCTTATCCGAAGAATTCAAGCTGCCAAATGAAGAAATTTCTGATGAATTCAATAAAGAGTGTGAATTTGAGACCTTGAAGGGCTTGATGGCTATTTCTATTGTATTATTAGTGAGAGCAGCAATTCCAAAAACAATTTTCACAAAATATAGGGAATATCTAGGACTTATCCAAGTATAGCCCGTTCCCGGCTATAGATCGGGCATAGTCCGATCTTTGCTAGGAAACTCGGGGGGTTGTCTGTGTCACTTCGAGGTGACGAGTCAACTCCCCGAGTTGGCAAATAGCCACCATATAGTGATTTGCCAACTCGGGGAGTTGACTCGTCACCTCGAAGTGACGCAGACAACCCCCCGAGTTTCCCGGCAAAGATCGGACTATGCCCGATCTATAGCCGGGAACAGACTATATTAAGACATATTATCCCAGCATCATTTGTGTTCGTTTATGTTAACATATTTTCTCTCCTAGGAAAGCGGGCTTTGCCTTACAAAGATGAGATATTATCTATAAATCCGTATTTAAAATATTTCTTTCCAAAACCAATTGATAAAAAAACAGAAGAAAAAACAATTGATGAAAAAACAGAAGAAAACACAATTGAAAATCAATTAAATATTCTGCTTAAGACTATATAGCCCAGGGCAATAATAGCAGACATGGGCTATAATTTTTTTTTTATATTAGTTTTTTATTTATGTCAAATTTAATTAAAATTGCGTTAATTCAATCCAAGCTCAAGTAGCCACAAAAGAAATATTAGAGGAAAAAGAGATCATAAATAACTCTTTATGAGACATGAGATTTGGAGATGCTGAGTATAGGGAAAAGCTTGCTTATAAATATTTTGTTTATAATTTAAATAAGTGAATTGACAAAGATAAAGAAGAAAATAAACCTTACAGTGATGAGCTTTGGGGGAATTTTATTTTTGTGACAGCTTTAATGCACATTTGCTCACTTTCACTGGTGTATAAGGGTAATTTCTGGAGTAATAAACCTTTTGAAGCACAGGCATTTTGAATTTTTCAGTTTCCCATATTAAATGTAATTGCACTTGCTGGGGTGGCATATTTTAATTCTGGGTATAGGCATTATCTTGAGTTGATGGGAATTAAATATGAATCTCAAATATTAAAATTCGAGCCTGGATTGAAGAAGAGATTTATGATAAATTCCACAAAAGATAATTAAATTAAGATCTATGTCTAACCCCTTACGTAAGCGAATTTTTTTTTTCCTATAAGGTTGTTATCAAATCATTAGAATTTTATTTTAGCAATAACTTTTTTATGATAATTCATGCACTCTATATCTATTTTTGAAAATATAACTTACTCCCCCCCCCCTCCGTGAGTGAACAAAAAAATTTTTTCACTCACGGAGGGGGGTTAATTTTTTTTTTAAAAAAATTTATATATAAATTTTATAAAAAATATTTTTTTTTTCGAAATTTAAAAAAATCCTAATTCGCAAAAATGGAAAGCAAATATTAATTCAATTTGCAAAATTTATGTTTTAAAAAGCAATTCTTTAAAAATAAACAGAATTAGCTCTAGATTTCATTATAATAATTATCATTTATATATCAAAATTTTTTTCCATAAAAAATTTTTCTATTAAAAAAATTTTTGTTCACTCACGGGTGGGTTTTTGGGCAAAAAATAGCGATTTTTCTAATGGTTTTGTTCACTCAAGGAGGGGGGGGAGCTAAATTAATTATGAATTTTGCAAAAGTTGATAAAAAACTTCATAATCAACCATTTTAACAATAAAAGCAAAAATTAATGCCTAAATAATCATAAGAAATGGAGTCAGAGGCGATGGAATACAGATACCTCGGGAATTCTGGCCTGAAAATCTCAGTTCTAGGATTTGGCAACATGACAAGTGGCTGGTCAGAAGGAACTGAGCAATGGAGCTTTGACTGTGTTGATAAATGCATCAGGGGTGGTGTCAATTTCTTCGACACTGCAGAATTCTATGGGATGGGAGTCGCTGAGACCATTCTTGGAAATAACATTAAACAAGGAGGCTGGGATAGAGACGATCTTGTGATCACCACTAAGTTCATTCCGACAAAAGCAGTAGGAATTCAAGGATTGAGCAGAAAAAGACTACGTCAAGCCATAAATCATTCGCTTAAGAGACTTCAGCTAGATTATGTTGATGTCCTTTATCTCCATAGATTTGATTGTGAAGTCCCTCTTGAAGAATCAATTAGAATTGTCAATGAATTAATTGATGATGATAAAGCTTTTTATTGGGGTACTTCAGAATTCCTGCCTAGGAAAATAGCCATTATATAATTTCCTTTAACGGGAAAACGCCCACGAATTTTACCCAAAATTGCTTATTTTTTAGAAAATTATTTAGAAAGCTAAAATGCATATAGCCCAGAATTCAACGCTCAGCAGCTAGCTGAATGTCACGCAATCTGTGAGAAACATGGCTGGATTCATCCTATTGCAGAACAAGTCCAATACCATATGTTTGAAAGAGCAGAGGTAGAAAGAGATTATGTTCCAATTTATAAAGAATACGGAATGGGGACAACTGTATGGGGTCCTTTGGCAGGAGGACTTCTATCAGGAAAATATAATGATGGCAATATCCAGCCTGGCAGATTTGAAAGTGGACCATTTTCTCAAGTTTATAGACAAAGGTTTGAAACTTACGTTGGGAGCAGAAAAGAAGCTGCTGTCAAAACATTGCAAGGCTTAAAAAGTTTGGCTGACGAATTAGGGTGCTCACAAGCTCAGCTTGCCTTAGCCTGGGTTATTAAAAACCCTGATGTAACGACCGCAATCCTTGGTGCGTCTTCTCCAGCACAATTAGATGGAAGCCTAGCTGCCGTTGAAGTCATGAAAAAACTGACCCCAGAAGTATTAGCCAGAATAGAGGATTTGCTAGGAAATCGTCCAGCTCCTTCTATGAATTGGAGAAATTTTACTCCAAATCCTCCTAGGCGTTAAATAAAACTTAATAATCTTTTCAGAAACCAACAAAATTATCAATAAAAATATGGAGAGCGACTCAATGGAATATAGATACCTTGGCAGATCAGGGCTCAAGGTCTCAGTTTTCAGCTTTGGGAATATGACAAGTGGCTGGTCTGATGAGGCTGAAAGATGGAACTTTGAGTGTATTGATAAATGCATCAGGTCAGGGGTAAACTTTTTCGATACCGCTGAATATTACGGCCTTGGGGTTGCTGAAACTATTCTAGGCAAAAACTTCAAGCAGGGAGGATGGGATAGAGATGATATTATTGTGTCGACTAAGCTAAATCCTTATGGATTTGGCGTACAAGGGCTGTCAAGAAAAAGGGTAAGGCAAGCGATTAACAATTCCTTATCACGTCTCCAGCTTGATTATGTTGATGTATTATTTATGCACCGTTTTGACCCAGAAACTCCATTAAAAGAAACAATAAGAATTTTTAACGAAATTATTGACAATGATAAAGCATTTTATTGGGGAACTTCTGTATTCACCCCTCAGCAAATCTCAGAGTGCTATACAATTTGTGAAAAGCATGGCTGGATTCCACCAATAGTAGAACAATGTGAGTATAATATGTTTGAAAGAGAAAATATTGAAAGAAGCTTAGTCCCAATATTTAACCAGTATGGACTAGGAGCCACTGTATGGTCTCCTTTAGCAGGTGGATTATTATCTGGAAAGTATAATGACGGAAATTTGCATCCAGGAAGATATGATACTGATTTATTTGGCGGAAGACTTAGAGAAAAATTTGAAAAAGTTATTGGGGGAAGAAAAGAAGCAGCTATCAGAACTTTCCAAGGGCTAAAAGCAATTGCTGATGAAATTGGCTGCACCCAAGCACAACTAGCATTGGCTTGGGTAATTAAAAATCCAGATGTGAGCACTGCCATAGTTGGAGCAAGCTCTATTAAGCAGCTTGAAGACAGTTTGGGATGTATTGAAGTTTCGAAAAAATTAAGTCCAGAAATTTTAGCAAGAATAGAAGATGCCTTAGGAAATAGACCAGCTCCTTCTATGAATTGGAGAAACTTCACGCCAAATTCCCCAAGAAGATAATTAAATATTCTTAATCTGATTAATCTTTTGAATATTTTGAATATTTTGAATATTTTTAAAGTGCACTCTTTGAAAATGAAAGGATTAACCTAATTTTATCTTAAATTTATCAGGAATAAGTTTTTAAGATTTTATTAAATAATTCAACAGATCGACCTAAACTTTTAAAAACAGTTTTCAAAATGACAAACACATTTTTAATATTAAATAGCCATTTAATCCACAAATAATCAAGCTGACATGCATTCACACTATAATTTAAATCCTATTATGAAGTAACCATTTTCACCCTCATTTATTTCTTATTTATCCACATTATCTCATTTCTCGTCCTCCTCTATAGTGTCTTTTGCCTCGACTTTTTATTTATCTAACTATCTTCTCCTCAAAAATTTAAAATTTTTCCCCAAAATCTTCGCCAATATATTAGTGCTGTAAGTTTTAATAATATACACAAATGGACATCCCTAAGATTTTGGAGCACATTAATGACCTTCACCAAAACGCTTCTGAGAGAAATGAGTTTATTCACTTCACCGAAGATTTGCGAACTTTACTATCAGAATCTTCCAAAAAATCCTTATTGACCTGCTCAACACCTGAGATTACCACCAATAGCATGATTGCTAAGCTCAATAACCTTCTCCCCAAAACAGCTCAGCATCAAGAGATCAGCCTCTTCAATTTATTAGCAAAACACGCAAATTCTGCTAAACTCAGCTTAAATATCCCGACAACCCTAATCAGGATAGAGCACCTGCCCGAACTATATATGATACAAACCAAAAGGGAAAAAATTGTTTTGGCAAAGGAATGCACACTTGCGGAATTTTTAAGCATGACTACAGCTAAAAATGACTCGAATTTCCCAACTTTTTGTTATAAAATCCCTGGGAAAGAAGTTGTGGCTACTTTTTCAGCAGAATCTGCTGAAAGATTGTGAAATTCTTCTGAAGATCATGCAATATTGCAGTATTTCATACAGAGCAAGACGAATCCAGCCACAATTACAAGGGTTTTGTGGAGGCGAGGGATGAAAAATAAGTATTTTACTATAACAAACCGCAAAAAAGTTTCAAGGAAACTCAAGAAAAGTGTTACCATTGCTGCTGGGCTCGCTTTTAGAAGAAATAAGCTTATGAATAACCTTGAAGATTATAAAAACGCTGGAATGATGAACTCAGTGTCTCAGTCCGCTGGCTGTCCTTTTAGACCAGGCCCGAAAACGCCTTTAAGCCGAAAATTTTTGACCATGACCGAAAAATCCCATAGTGGCCGAGACGAGTCAAATTTTGTGAGGTCTTTTTCTACTGCTGTATCAAAATATATATTCTTTATAAAATAAATATTTTATTTAAAAAACTATATACATAAAATGGCGTATGGCGACCGACCCACCCTCTCAGTGGTGGTTACCCATGTATATCCGGGCATGGTTTTTGGAGCCAGGAATTAGCCCAACAACGTCTGGGACCTCGAAGCGAGAGGCCTAAGCGCGAGAGCCGCTGTTTTTGCGACCAGATCCATGGGCAGTTATTCGTGACTTTCTTTTTGCCAGCAGCGCTCAGCCCAGTGAGTGCCCGAAATGAGGCAGGGCGACTTACCTGCCTAAGCTGCTTTAGTGGCTCGCCCCGAATGGCGAAAGCTGTTGAGTTCTTTCTCGGGATGACCGGAAAAGAGGGGAGGCGAGTTAGACACCAAAACGGGGGTCTCTCCAGTTGAAAAGGTGCCCTTCAATGGGCAGATCTGGCGGACGACGAAGCGGAGTTGGCGTAAACTTAGGCGACGATCCAAGTTGGAAATGGAGGTGGTCAGCAAAGCCGGTATGAGACGGCCCTTGACAATACCTCTACCGAGAAACCGGGGGTTTCGGCCGGGCTTGGTGAACGCTCTGCCACCACACGGGAAACCGTGGCATGCGACCTCGGACGTAGTAGGGACCTTAAATACCCAGCGTAATCTTAATCTTAATCTTATTTAAAAAACTATTATTTAATATAATGAAGATAATAAAAATAAGCATAAAAGACTATGACGGGTATGATCCAACTGCCTCTACTGATACTTCAAGCCAAGAAGACCACAATAAAGAATTTATAGTTTTCACTAAAGATGTAGATAGCTGCTATGCCATTGAAAACTATTCGAGAATTGCTGAAATCGAGCTTATGGTGGACCAAATAGTGGAGTTTTTAAATTTAGAAGTGCTTAAACACCATGGACTAAAAGGAGTCGTCCTTGATTTTGTGAAGGACAAACACAATAATTGATTTTTATTAGACTGCAAAGAACATTTTGTTGACTATTGCTAAATTAATTTATTTTTTTAGCTTATATGGACTTTTAGTCTAAAAATCCTTATTTAGCTTCAGGCTGCAGCAAGATCTCAAAAGAAATTATGACTATATGATTCCCATCGATTTTGAGAAATCAAAAAGAAAAACAGTCATCGAAAAATGCAGAACTCCTGAGCAGCTTGAAAGATCTGCCTCATGTGTACACAGTAGCGAATCAGAACTAAGGCGGCAAGACTCTCTTCTCAATGAAGGCTACCTCCACGAAATAAAAGAAGAAGACACCCAATTATCCTGCCCCTTCAAAATCCGGACAAAACCGAAAAAAATAGAGCACGATCCTGTATCCGAAAAAGACTTAATGGAAAGACTTAACAAAGTCAACGCAAAAATTGATAGACTTAACGCCCAAAAATCACCTGCAAGACTAAGCCCTATAAATAGAGAAGAAAGCATCCAGGATTATTTAAACAGCTATAACTATTTAAAATGCCCAATGAGGGAGCCTACAAGTGCAAGCCCTATTTCGCCAAGACTTGTCCAGTCAAAATCCACGACCCATTTAGACCGCCTTATACATGATGATAAGAGGCTGCTTTATTCCAGAAAAGTTTTTAAAGACGTAGTCGATAATTTTGATGAAATGGCTCTGAATGTAAAAATTGCGAAAATTAAAGAGCAAAATATTATTGATAAATATGGAGGGATTGATTTTTGGAACAAGTTTATTGTGTCGTTGTATAATAAGGTGCTAGCGAGCGATATATTAAATAAACACTTCAAAAATTCAAAGCTAGAAAGCTTTGAAATGATTGTGGCGGGGATGTTCAAGATATTGAATGCTAGCTCTATGAGAATAAAATAGTATCGAAGTCCTTATAAGTAGCTGATAAGGGCTGAAGATTGAGGGAAACTCTTAAGTTGATTGGAACAACTCAGATTGGTAAAAAAATGAGAGTTAGCAAATTAGTCTCTTTCCAATCCTGTCTAATTATAAGAATTTCCTATAATTTGTTTTTTTGAAAATTTATATATATTTTTACTATGATAATAATTTTAACTTCAGAGGATCATATTTTTGTATATATTTTTAATTAAAATCATAAAAATAATTAATGGACTCAGGCGAAGCAGAAAATCTTGATTGATTATGGGTGATTAAGGTGAATTTAGATTTCAGAAGAAAAATTAGGGCAGCACACATGACAAAAGGAATATTGGAGAAAGAATTTTATTGCTATTGCGATCTTTTTGATAGCACATTATGCGAATTTAATCTTGAAGAAGACGATAGACAAGGAATAAGCTCACAAATTAGAAATATGAAGAATATTATATGTAGGCAAGTGCAGCAGTAAATAATTCAGCTAGAAATTAATATAATAATATTTAGCTGCAGTTAAGTCATAGAAATTTTTAATCAGAAATACCTAATATTCTATCATTCTTAAAAATAAGCTGTTAATTTAAAATTATTTAATAAATAATTACTTACTCCCTTTAAATTGGAACAAAGAATTCTCTGCTCCAAAAAATTTAAAAATATATAAATTGAGCACATTATTTTGAATTTTAATTATTTATATAAAGAATTATTTTAAATATTAATCAGCTCAGTGTAAAACTGTTTAAAATAACATTCAACTTACGCTTTTTCAATTAAATTATATCAAAGCTAATTTTATAAAAATTATTATTTCACATTTATTTTTTTTTTTAAAAAATATTAATTATATAAATTAGCTCAATACTTTCAATTTAATTTATTTTTATGAAGAAATAATTAAAAAATTAATCGATTTAATGTGCAAATTGTTTAAAAATAATTTTTTTTACATTTTTATAAATTAAATTAAATTAGGTCAAAACGAATTTTATTAAAATTATAATTGAGCGTGATGCTTTGATTTTCAATTTATTTTTAAGGCACCAAAAATTGCAAATTTTATAGATATTTTGCTTCAAGGGGTGTTAAGCATAAATAAAGCTGCTTTAATATAATTTAAAACAAATTTACTTATATTTATTTTGTTTTGCAAATATTCTCCAATAATTTTAAAATATTTTCTTTGCTGCCTCAATATTAAAGTTTCGCGCAAAGCAGGCCAATAGTTATTAGCCATATTTATTCCCGAAAATTTGGCTATAAATATGTCAAAAAAGCCAAAGCTAAGTTCTCCTCTAATCGAATTTATTCTAAATACTGAAAGCGGAATCATTAAAAATACCGAAATCCTCAAAACGCAGCTTAATTTACACTCATTAACCTACCGAGTAAACTCTGAATGCACAAGCTATGACTATTCCAAATTATTTTTCAAATGGGCATTCGAATATTATGAGAATTTCGATTTAATGCTCCAAGGTAACAAGCAGTATGACCAGCCAAATCCTGATGATCTCTATTTACTGTCAGACGAATCTTTAATGTTAAAATCAATTAACCTGAACTCCCAAAAAGATGACCAATTATGAGAACCTGTAATTTTACCAAATTTTACGTTATCTGCAATGAAGGAGTCAGAAATTTCAAGAAAAAATATTATAAAGACTATTATTGAGCTAAAAGGAGGATATTTCAATGATAGCAAAATAATGGACCAAATTGCATGTGAGTTTGCCAGCTTTCGGGCTATAAAAGTAAAACTGTTGTCAAATCCTGATAAATGAGTTGTTTTTAGCATAGAAATAAACCGTTTTCCTGTCCTTGTAGATGGCATACTTGATGAATTTATTTGTATCCAGCTTATAAAACTTATTGATTTAGCTGATACATATAGTAAATGCATAAAAATCGCGAGTGCGTATCTTCAAGAAATAAAAGGCGTCCCAGAATTGTGAGTTCCGAAATGAATGAAATTTTTTAATAGTTTTTCTTATGTCAAACAATACAAAACTATACCAGCTACCTTTAGGGCAGTAAAGCTTTATCCTGCTGAGAGGGCGCGGTATAGGTATATTTCTGAAATAAAAAGATGGAGAAAAGGCCAAAAACAAAAAGTCTGGTCAATTGCAGGGAAAAGCTCAAATAGTATTTCTCAAGAAAATAGTCAAATTATAAGCCAGCTGGCCAGTCAAGAAAGCTGTTCACAGTTTATCAAAATGATGGAAAAATTAACAAGTTTTAAATTCAGGCTAAGTGACGAAGAAAAAGCAATCATAAGTGAGTCTTCAAACCAGTTGGCAATCGGCCGCTCTGGCACTGGGAAAACGACTTCTTTAATTCTCAGGATGTTTGCTGCAGAAATGGTTTTTAAAAAAAAATCAAAAATTAATCTGCATAACTCTGGGATGTTAGAAACTAGCAATTTGACGACAGATGACGTCAGGAAAAAGGTAAATCTGCATCAAGTTTTTATTACTGTAAGCCCAGTCTTAGTATTTGAGGTGAAAAGACTATATGATAATTTGTATAGGCAGCTTGAAGCTGCAATAAGAAGAGAAGAATTTAACGAAGCTGCAGGGGAGCTTAATGACCATTTTTTTAACCCAAATGAAGACTCAGATATAAATCTCCCTAACTCTTTGCTTAATTTTGAAGATGAGCATTTTCCTGTATTTATTCCAATTTTTAATTTTTTGACCAGAGTAGATGCAACCCTTGAAGTCCCATTTTTTGCTGTAGGAGAAGAAAATAAGGAAGAAAATATAGCTTACCACCTTATGAAAAGAAATATGAAGGTAAGAAACTTATATACACCTAATGGTTTTGTAAAATTCTCTACATTTGAAATAGATTATGATTATTTTTCTTACCATTTCTGGCCAAGACTGAGAAGCTTGATAGGGATTTCTCCTATCACAATATGAGCAGAAATAAGCTCAGTAATCAAAGGAAGCCCAGAAGCATATAAAGACAGAGATGGGCACATCCAAAAGGAAACTTATATAAATTTAGGGAAAAAACAGTCACAAATAGATACTGAAAAAAGATATTTTTGTGCAGTATGAAGAATGGAAAAAAAAGCAAAATGCCTATGATTTTCCAGATTTGGTGAATTATGTGCTAAAAACTATTGATAATGAAGGCTATAGAGGCTCTCCAATTCATTTTACTTTTATTGATGAAGTTCAAGACTGCAGCAACAATTTTTTACTATTAATTTTAAAATTGACAGAGCAGAAATTATTATTTGTAGGTGATACAGCTCAGTCTATAACCAGAGGTGCAGGATTTCGTTTTTGCGATTTAAATTCTTTATTTTTAGAGGCTTCAGTTATGAATCATTCGCAGCCAGTTATAAAGCATCTTTCGGTGAATTTTAGAAGCCATACAGAAATATTGGAGGTCGCTCATGTAGTTGTACAATTAATTGTGACTTTTTTCCCGGATTATATAGATAGGCTTGATAAGGAGACGTCTACAATTCATGGGGCCAAGCCGATTATTGTGAATTCTAGCTCGATAAATACGCTTAAATTGTGTATCCAAAGAGTTTCTAGAAGGAGCACTGATATTGAATTTGGATGAAATCAAGTTGTGCTTGTAGGGAATGATAAAGCAAGAAAAAGCCTTCCTAGAATGCTGCAGGAAGCTATTTGTTTAACTATATTAGAATTTAATTAATTATCTATATTGTTTAACTTCCATAATAGCAGATTTTATTAAAGATTATCTATATTGAGGTCTATAATAACTGACAGATTTTATTAAAAATTAAATTATATTAGAATCTAAAGGACTGGAATTTGACGATGTAATTTTATATAATTTTTTTAATGACAGCCAAGCCCAAGAAAATGAATGGGCAAGACTTTCAAAATTTATTGATAGCGATATAAACGAAATCAAAAAAGCTCGAGAAGGCATGAAAAGTAGCTTATTATGCTCTGAATTAAAACATTTATATGTAGGAATTACAAGAGCGAGAAAAAATTTAATTATTTTTGATAATGATGATACCTGCAGAAAATCTCTGCAAAAATGCTGAATGGCTAATCAATTAATAGAGCTGTTTGAATTTAGTTTAGAAATTCCGGTTCATGTTTTTGCTCTGCACTTCAATAGTCTGACAATTTACTTGGAAATTTGTTTCTTGGTTAATTTTTAAAAATTTAACTCATTTTTGAAGAAAATAGCTAATATGTAAATTGTGCTAGGAATGAGACAATGCCCAAAGAAAAATTGCATGCAGCCAAGAAATTCAAAACCAAGTCATTGAGCCTCAAGATGAAAACTCAGACTGAAATAATCTAGAAACATGGAGAAGACTCGGATACCAATTATTTAACAGAAAAAATTATGGGCAAGCAAAGTTTTGTTGGCATAAAGCAGGAGATGAAATTTTAATTAACAAAATAGATGCCACAATTTCTGCTGAAGAAGGGAAAAAATTATGCTCTGAAATAGCTGCAATTAAAGAAAGGGCAAAAGAAGCTGGAAGAAGACTCGGAAATAGTCAAAAAGAAGAAATAAATAGAAAAAATGAAAAAGCTATGGATCTATTTAGAAATGCTGCACAATTGTTTGAAATTGCAAATGAATTTAAAGAAGCTGCAATGTGCTATAGTTCTTTAGAAGACTATAAAAATGCAGCTAAGCTATTTTTAAAAATAAATATGATCCATGAAGCAGCGGTGGCTTATTATAAGGCAAAATGCTATAAAGAAGCTGCTGATCTTTATGAAAGGAGCCGAGATTATGTCATGAATGTTAAATGCTGAGTATTCGCTGATGATTTTGATAGAGCTTTGGCTCAATTTAAAAAATATATTTGGGCAATTCAAGAAAACAATGCTAAATTGTTACTGCAATTAATAATAAGATGCTCTTTATCATGCTATTTCCCTGAGCCGTTTGTTGAAAATTGTGATGATGATCTTAAATGAAGAGATATTGATGATTTTATTTTATTTCCAGGATTAAAATTTAAGAACTACTGAGCAACGTATAAGAGTATTGATGAGTTTGGAGAGTTATCTGAAGAGTTTTTTAATCAAAAAAGAAACTTGTCTGCAAATTATAAATTTGACCCAAAAAATACCATTTTAATTCTGAAACATATTGTTAAAATTTTAAAAAATTTGGCAACTAACTCTAATGGAAGCAGATTATATAATACAGAAACAATAGATTTTATAGAAGACTGCCAAAAAATTCCAGATTTTTTAAAAATATTTTCTGAAGAGTTTTCTTTGAAATTTACAGCACCCTTATCATCTCTTCTTGATTCCTTTGTAAATGAAAATAAAAGGATATGTATTCTCATAGCAAATTCATTAAGATTAGCTGATTTGTCTTGCTGATATTTTCTTTCATCTGTTTTTAAACTTTCGAAACCATTTTTAACCTCCAATAGATTTAGAAAAGATGCATTTTCGTATTTCAAATACAGAAGTATTTATACAGGATTAAAATTTATAGATCCAGACTTCTATAACCGTGAAATTTTATTGTTTGGTTTAGCTATTTCTAATAAAAAATGGCGTCTCCACCTAGAATGGCCTCTCGGCCAAGCACATATTTTAATTATATCCGGCAAGGTTTTACCAACCCAGAAATGGACAGCAATGCTAGTAAACAACTCTGGTACTGTACAGAGCCTAGCCCTTGTGGTGACTGCATTAACAATATGGAAGTAGCCTTCTAGTAATAATGGCAATGGTAATGGTTAGCTATTTCGGATTTTGGAAAATATTGTGATTTATTCCTGAGAATGCTTGCAAAGACCTTATAAATTTGTATTTTTTAGGAAAAAAAGAATATAATAAATTGCAAGCTAAAGCCTATTTTACCGAATTAAAAGAAACAAAATACTTCGAGCAGGTATTGAATTTTGTTAATTCAGATAATCATATGACAATAAATGCAAATTTTGATGGTTTTCAATTAGAAAATAATGAAGATGAGTATCATTGGATAAGAGAAGTTCATAGATTGAATACTCTTAATGAAGAAGAATTAGAGGAACTAAAAGGCTGATTTAGGAGTCTACTGATAGGTTCTCAAAGTATTATTAATAATGATTTTCTATAATGCATAAATAATTTACAGAGTTCTAATATAAAATTTTGCTGAAAAGCTACATCTTAATAGTAATAATATAGATATAATGTCTGAAAATTGCACAACACATCATATATGAAGACGAAAAAGTGTTTATGGAAAATTGTGCAGGGATATGCTTTTTATTAGTAGGCTCAAATCAACTGTTACAAAAAATTAAAGTCTTTTTACAAATTGATGAAATGGAAGCTTTAATTATCATTGCAGAGCATATAATAAATTTTTTATTGGGAAAGCCTAATGGCATAGAGACTCAGAATAGAAGCAAGTTTTTGGAATATTTTTTATTGGTATTTGGAATAAAATTAATAAGCCCCGGGAAGTCTACCAAATGGCTGCCATTTTTGACACATGCTGTTATGAGCAAATACTATATAAGAAGTGAAATAATTTTGAATAAAAATGATAACAGTACCTATACCTTTGATATAGAAGGAGATTACTGGCTTGTTCCTAAAACCCTTATTTTTAAAGACATTGCGAAATTAATTTTGCATTGTCTAAATGAGCTGGTTTATGAAAGAATTAAATTATCAAATTTAAAACAATACCCTTTTAATACAACGGAGAGACCGTCAGCAAAAATTCTCGAGCTTAGAATATGCATGCTAGGAGAAATTTCTATGCTGAAAGGAATTAAAGCGGCCTGTATTTCATGCGGAGTTGATTATAAGTATGGAAATTGAAATGAAACTTACGATTGACATGTCTATAATATTAAAAGAGATCTATGTCGGATACCTTTTTCGTGCATATTTTTATCATCTGCTTCGAGAAAAGTTTTAAGAGACGAAGCAATTAAGTCTTTGTCAAGTCTCAATAATCTCGATAAAATGCATACTATTTTTCCAATATTAATAGTTTCCTATCTACTTTTATTTCTTGAAAGGCAAGAATATATGTTTATGGACATTTTAAATGAAGTTTTGCTAAAGAAAAAATTTTCGAGTGAAAAGATTTCATCTATCCATGAAATAGCCGAAAAAATAATAAATTTTGTATCATGCTCACATACAGGAAATCCTAAAAGCATATGCAATTCCATATGAGAAATTTTAAGCAAGAATCTAAATTATATTCCTTTTGCAGAAGCTTCTAGCTTATTTCAGATATATTGTGCACATGCTTTATTAGCATGCCCGAATAAATTAATTCCTGCTATTTTGGTTAAACCTTACTATGATTGCTATTCAGTATCAATCTACAATAATCTCAAAAATTGTATAATTGATAATCAAATAGACTCAATTTTATCTTTAATGGACCGATTGATTGAACTGTTTAAGAAAATTTTAAAAAATAGTCAAAAGGAAAACCTGGGGGGGATATTTCTTCAATGTCTTACTGTAATTATGAACTCAATACAGTCTAAAGAATATTTTCAGAAGCTTAAATCTCTAGGCTTTATCCCTAAAGATTTCAAGTATGAATATGAAAGACTTAATCAAATATTTCACAGCAAAAATATAAATAGTGATGACCTTAGATATATTTATAAATGCGAAAACAAAAATTGAAGAATTTCTAATATTTTATTTGATAAATATTATATCGAGAATATTGGAGAAAATCTTTTGGAAATGCATGATATAAGTCCTAGAAAAAATATTAATTATTCTTTATTTGAGACATTACTTAGAGCGAATTTTAGTCTATTTCTAAAGCACAATGAAGAAGTTCATGATATTTATGAAAATATATCTTCTGGATATTTATTATTATTAAAAAATAGAAGACAAAGAGAAACTCCTGATATCAACATTGTGAGGGCCATTATTACATTAATAAATAATGGTTCTAAAATATTTAATAGAATTTATGAATATTCATTTACAGAAGAAGAATACGATGATATAATTTTAGGACAAATAAATGACCAAATGAGCAAATGAATTTTGTCAAATAAAAAATTAGAAAATTTGCAGATACTTTCTAAAAGAATACAAAATAAAGATGAAAACGAAGAAGCTGAATCTGAAGATGAAAATATTGAATATAATAAGAATGAAGGAATGAAAATGAATATAGAAGACCCAATTGATAAAATGAAATTCAATGAGCTAAAATTAAAACTTCGTGAAGAAATTGAGGAAGGCTTTGAATCTTTTTCTATGGAAGAATAAGAGAAAGAGGAAATTAGCATTAATTCTCATTATTTTAACTAATAAATGGTTTTTACATTCACTGTATGAAATTCAGTATCTAATTTTATAATAGATCAGAATATTTTGATATATACTTTCTAAATTTTATAAATTTTGCATTATAAGTCTGTTTTAAATCTAGGGTAATAATGGCCTAAAAAATGTTCGAAACACATAATTAAAATAGCATAATTATTTGTATTCACATCAAATTGCATAGTTTTATATAAAATAAAGGCTTTATAATTCTTTATTGAATGTTTTGATTCTACTTTCTTTTTTCGAATAACATTTGTCGTATGAAATCTATAAAATTATCAATTAGAGTATTAAAAAATGATACTGAAATTTATTTAAGGAAGGCTACTTTTTTCCACTTTATTTTCAGCCAAAATCTCAAAGGTGTTAGGGTGTTAGGGTGTTAGGGTGTTAGGGTGTTAGGGTGTTAGGGTGTTAGGTGTTAGGGTGTTAGGGTGTTAGGGTGTTAGGGTGTTAGGGTGTTAGGGTGTTAGGGTGTTAGGGTGTTAGGGTGTTAGGGTGTTAGGGTGTTAGGGTGTTAGGGTGTTAGGGTGTTAGGGTGTTAGGGTGTTAGGGTGTTAGGGTGTTAGGGTGTTAGGGTGTTAGGGTGTTAGGGTGTTAGGGTGTTAGGGTGTTAGGGTGTTAGGGTGTTAGGGTGTTAGGGTGTTAGGGTGTTAGGGTGTTAGGGTGTTAGGGTGTTAGGGTGTTAGGGTGTTAGGGTGTTAGGGTGTTAGGGTGTTAGGGTGTTAGGGTGTTAGGGTGTTAGGGTGTTAGGGTGTTAGGGTGTTAGGGTGTTAGGGTGTTAGGGTGTTAGGGTGTTAGGGTGTTAGGGTGTTAGGGTGTTAGGGTGTTAGGGTGTTAGGGGTGTTAGGGGTGTTAGGGTGTTAGGGTGTTAGGGTGTTAGGGTGTTAGGGTGTTAGGGTGTTAGGGTGTTAGGGTGTTAGGGTGTTAGGGTGTTAGGGTGTTAGGGTGTTAGGGTGTTAGGGTGTTAGGGTGTTAGGGTGTTAGGGTGTTAGGGTGTTAGGGTGTTAGGGTGTTAGGGTGTTAGGGTGTTAGGGTGTTAGGGTGTTAGGGTGTTAGGGTGTTAGGGTGTTAGGGTGTTAGGGTGTTAGGGTGTTAGGGTGTTAGGGTGTTAGGGTGTTAGGGTGTTAGGGTGTTAGGGTGTTAGGGTGTTAGGGTGTTAGGGTGTTAGGGTGTTAGGGTGTTAGGGTGTTAGGGTGTTAGGGTGTTAGGGTGTTAGGGTGTTAGGGTGTTAGGGTGTTAGGGTGTTAGGGTGTTAGGGTGTTAGGGTGTTAGGGTGTTAGGGTGTTAGGGTGTTAGGGTGTTAGGGTGTTAGGGTGTTAGGGTGTTAGGGTGTTAGGGTGTTAGGGTGTTAGGGTGTTAGGGTGTTAGGGTGTTAGGGTGTAGGTGTTAGGGTGTTAGGGTGTTAGGGTGTTAGGGTGTTAGGGTGTTAGGGTGTTAGGGTGTTAGGGTGTTAGGGTGTTAGGGTGTTAGGGTGTTAGGGTGTTAGGGTGTTAGGGTGTTAGGGTGTTAGGGTGTTAGGGTGTTAGGGTGTTAGGGTGTTAGGGTGTTAGGGTGTTAGGGTGTTAGGGTGTTAGGGTGTTAGGGTGTTAGGGTGTTAGGGTGTTAGGGTGTTAGGGTGTTAGGGTGTTAGGGTGTTAGGGTGTTAGGGTGTTAGGGTGTTAGGGTGTTAGGGTGTTAGGGTGTTAGGGTGTTAGGGTGTTAGGGTGTTAGGGTGTTAGGGTGTTAGGGTGTTAGGGTGTTAGGGTGTTAGGGTGTTAGGGTGTTAGGGTGTTAGGGTGTTAGGGTGTTTAGGGTGTTAGGGTGTTAGGGTT